GGGGGGGGGGGGGCAGAGAAGCAAACCACTTCACGCGACGCAACTGTGGCGGTTGAGCCGAAAAGATGTGGACGCCTACCTCAAAATCAAAGAGATTGGCTTCCTTGTTGATAAACTTCTTGACTCGGAAAGCCTTGCTCAAGGCCGCGGCCTCATATGCAGCCCCCATGGCAAATGTCTCATCGCCGTTCAGGCTCTTTCCCAGCTCGCGCTCATCGTAAAGCCACCAGAATGTCCTGAATTTTGGGCATACGGACGCCACCGCCGATGATGATAAGGTTGGTCAGCTGATCCAGCGTCAAGTTGGCTGCTGCCAATGCCGTCTCGACCGGCTTGAGCACACGTGGGTACAAGTGCGCAGCCATAGCCTCAAGCTCGTCGCGAGTGACCTTGCACTTAAAATCCCGCTCCTCAAACAAGCCCTCGATCTATGCCCCCGCAAACGCCCAGAGTGTCGAATGAGTTGATAAATCAGAACGTCAAAACCAGCCGTATTCATTTCGCAATCATGCAGGAGCGAAGAAGAAGCAGAAGAGAGGAACACACGCGGGCTTGTCTTGATTGCCCCATGCAAACCGATCTGATCCAAAGCTGACCTGAGCAAACGTTTCAGTGTTGGCCGAAAGAATCGTCTTGACGCGCTGTGCTTCTTTGAGAAGCTTGGCAAGTGCACGGGGGTTGGCACCGGGGTCACCCTTGAGCTTGCTGCCATGCTGGGCGCGGAAGGCCTTGAGCAGATGCTGCTGCAAGAGTCGGTCCCATTGAAAGCCACCGAGGAGTCGGTCATAACCGACGCCCTTGATCTGAACTTGCGGAACCTTGGACGACTTATCCTTCACTTGGCTGAAGGTGCCCACAGAGGCAATGGTGTTGGTTGAGCCGATATCATAGAACAGAATGTGCTGTTCAGTAGCATTAAACTCCTTGCGGCGGAACACGCCGTAGTTCAGTCCAGCTGTGGGTCCGCAAAAGTCACGGGCGTGTGAGCCCATGCAACAGTCCATGCCTCTAGAATGGCATGCTCGAACAACTTTGGGCGGACACATTAAGTCAGTTACGTACTTGCAACGCTTGATGACATGAGGCGCAGGACATTCAAGCCTGCCAACTCGGCAGCGCTGTTGAAAGGAAAAAAAAAAAGGGGGGGGGGGGGGGAGGAAGAAAAAAAAGGGAAATAGGAGGGTGAGTCCACCCAAAGTAGCCGGGAACAAAAAAAAGGGCACAAGGGTTTGTTGTGTGGGCAATGCAAAAATGATGGCTTGGGAACCAAACACAATGAGCTGTGTGATCAGGTAAAAATGTTAAAACCGACGGGCATCAATACAGAGCAGAGCATTCCATGCGATCAGGATACAATGTTGTCCACAGTGCAAGACCGGGGGCTGTATCGGTTGGCATACCGAGCCCGCACCGGCGCTCGGACGCAAATTACACAACATCACATCGCATGGATACAACTCGGCTTGCAGACTTCCGTGGTTGCTGTGTCCATGTAGCGGAACACTCAAAGGGCAATTGCAATCCAGTTGCGAGAAGATATTGTTTGCCATAGTGTGAACATTGTGATTTGGTCGGCAGCAACTTACGACAACAGGGCACGGCGTTCAGCCTGAGAGAAGAAGGGCGGAATGATGATGATGTGGGAGCTGATGGGTTGCTCAGCATACTCGGAAGCCAATTCATTGGCATGTTCAAGAATCATAGCCACAAGCTCTTCAACGGGATACAACGTGTCCTCATCCAGACGGAAAGCCACGGTATTGTGGCCCGGAAGAGCTTCGAGCTTATGCTCGGGAAACATGAGTTGGTATTCCTTCACGGCGGGGCTATCCATCTGGCGTAGGGGCCGGTCGACGGAAGTGCGTGAGGTTCACCATTGGGTGGTGCCATTACCAAACACAACACGAAACGTGGACGATGAAACGTACACGCTGGCCCAGCAGGAGAGAGAGGTAGCGAAACCCGGTCTTGGGATACTTGATGGCCGTGTTCAGGGCATCATTGCCAAAAGTCCGCTCGCCTTTGCGAAGCGCGACCACGTTGGCTGTTTTGCGCTTGCTCTCACTGCGCACGGTGAGAACGCGCAATTTGTCGTGAGAAAGAGGGCTGTAAACGGCGCACGAGGCCACGGCCACGTATGTTGGATGTCGGAGCAAGGATCAATCTAGTGGCCTCCAAGCTATCCCTTACCGATTGAGGACAATGTCCATGGGCGTGCCCGGCTGAAGATGCAGAGCGTGCAGGAGCAGGAGCAGAGGCGATGAGATGTCATGACAGGATATGAACTGGATGGCAGTGACATGGCTCAAACGCGCCGCAAGGGGTTGGGTGTTACTACACTACCTTGACAAGAGCCATCTTGATCCACTCACTGCCAAAATCAATGGCCACTGTGGCAATGCCAGCTTCTGCAAATGTTGGCCGCCAAAGTCAGTGAGTGCCAGGCAAGATCAAAAGCAAATTGCAAGCAACAACAGCACCCTTGCTCCCGGCCTTAGCCAGTCCGGGCCGGCGCTATCAATTCATTTCCTATGCCATCCCGCGCGGATCGGGTACGCACCAGCTGGCTGCACGGCACTGAGCAGCAGCACCATGGCGGCGACCATGGCAGCGCGCCACATCATGGTGACGGATTCTGAAGTAAAAAAGCAACACGCTTCTACAAGATATATGCGGTGGAGCGCCAGTTGGGGCCAAGGGCCAATATCAGGGCTGTACTGGTAGGCACCAGAACCGCAACAGTGGAGCCAGATGCGCCTGCCACACAAAGAAAAAATGCCCAGAAAATGGAATTTCAAAGAAAAAAAAAAGTCTGAAAAAGTTGTTGAATGTGTGGAAGCATCTGGCATGCGACTGTTGGGCGGATCGAATGGGCTGGGATGCTTGATAAGGAGGCACAGGGAAGATGGGATCATGCGTGTGCTTCACGCCTTGTGTGTTTTGATTCTCACATGTGTGCAGTACACAAGCTGATGTTACAGGAGGCGATGGTGGCGCTGCCCTTTTGAGCCGTGTTCTGCTTGACGTGGCCCCATGCATTGCCGTGCCAAAGCACGTGTGTGGTGGTTGCTGTTAAGCTGGCATGACGTGGCAGGGAATCCACTAGCAGGTCTCCGCCAGTCTTGCTCGAGACTCTCGCCGCACAAACTATAATATACCCCTGTATTATATACCGCCAATACTGCTTGAGCTTCCTCGTATCTGTATGCCTCTGAAGGGTATTAATAGCTGCATACCAATAGCAAAATCTGTTTCTTTTTGCAACGGTCACCTTGAGAGAGGCAGAAGAACAAAAGACAAAAGAGAGAGAAAGAGAGAAAGACGAGAGAGAGAGACGAGAGAGAGACAGAGAGAGAGAGAGAGAGAGAGAGAGAGAGATGAATTGGTTGAGAGAGAGAGAGAGAGAGAGAGAGAAGAGAGAGACAAGAGGGGTCGCGAGCAGCATTTGTTGCGTGAGCAGGAGAAGCAAGCGTAGGAGAAACCTTTGCTTTGAGCCAACAACCAACGGCTGGGGCAGGATGGGGTGAATGGTCTCGTCTCACTAGGGCCGACCCCGGTATCGGCTGCGGTCGGGAAGGTCGGGTGGGTCTTTGAGGTGGTACCATTCTCATCCGTGTTGCTGCGCTCGCACGGAGCAGATTTGCTGTCTTCGGACCGAACGGTGCAGAAGAATTGTGCACGGACGAGGGAAGATCGCCCTCTGTTGCTACAGGTGTGCGAGCTGGCTCAGCTTCAGCCCGTCGTGCTCAAGATGCGCGCTTGCCTTGGCCACAGCCACTTTTGCAGGCATCGCGCTGCCTGTGTGCCTTGATTGCTCCTCTTGCAATGATGAAACTCAAACACATTTTCCTCCCTCTCATCGCAGACGTCTTCAGGCCCGCTCGTGCTTTGTCACGACACATTGCCAGCATGGCGGCAGCCGCAGAGGTATGCTGAATCAGCCATTGTCTTGTGGCGGTGGTGTGCATTGCAGAAAGCGAGCCGGGGCCGAGGCCGTCTCGACCAATTTTGAATAGCCGCTGGCTTTATATCAAGGCCTGCCACTCATCCGGGAGTCTCATCCTGCTTAGGAGGATGTTTACCTCTCCGAGGAAGATGACATGGACGAGGAGCCTGATGTTCCAACTCAGGTGGGTCTGTGGCAGTGCATGCTCACTTCTGGTGGCACGCAACTGCGCTGTGTGTCTGATCTCAGGGGATTGCTTGTAGTCGGGCCAAACGGCCAGCGCTAGCGACGAAGTAGCCCACGATGATAGCGTGTACGAACCGCTGGAACAGCGCAACGAACGCACAGCCGCTGATATGGTAAGCATCACGCCTAGCCCATCTCAGGATTGGTGGCCCTATCAGCCTTCGATTCGTGCATCTGTGTCGCAGTCCCGAGCATCCATGCCGCAGTCTCAAGGCACCGCCCAAGCGTCACCTGGGTCTTATTAGTTGCTCGCATCGCTCCTTCTTGCCCGGGATGGATGCAGGAAAACGATCAAAACAAGCGCATTCGCTACCTTAAAGAGGAGACCAACCTGTTTGAACAGCTGTCCGAGCTTGGCTCAGTCCAACGCCTTCAGCCGTTGATCAACGCCCTCACCAAGGGCACCGGCCACGAAGGCCAAGCAGCGGCGGCCAACACAACGTGCGATGCCACATTGCACAGCAACTCCGGCCCATCTGCTGCTGTTTTCCATTCTCATCATCTCATGCATCGCACACAGGGATCAGAGTCGCCGCCACCGCAAGACAGAGAAGGAGGAGGATGAGGAGATGCTGCAAGAGTACGTTGCTCGATCCTGCGCTCACACAGGCCACAGGGACAGGTGCTTGGGGTGCCATTGTCACGTACTCACGATGCATCACTTATCAACGGGATGGACTGGTCTCGATTACAGGGAAGCGGCTGAGGCGGATGGTCAGGAGGAGCTGAATGCCGTGCATTTCGATGCCTCTCCCGCTTGTACGTTGACTTTCGTTGCCATATTCTTTTTGTGCACCCCCGCTGGCCGAGCCCCGCTGGAGTGGGTTGGCTCACAACGACCATAATGCGCGTTGCCTCCTTGCAATGGTGGTCACGCTGGGTCATGCCTGTAGACATTACGGGTGGTACAATGCGTGACTATCAGCTGCGCGGCCTCAATTGGCTCGTCAACCTGCACACACACGCCATGGGAGGTATCCTGGCTGATGAAATGGTGCGTCTGTTGTTTGGCCACCTTGACAGCGTCAGCCAATGAGCTGGCTTTTGTCCAATCTCTGGTTCATCGGTCTTCCCGCGCCGTGTTTGGCGACCTCGCACACCTCATTGATGTGTGATGACCATTTCGCAGGGTCTTGGCAAGACTCTGCAGACAATTAGTTTGTTGGGCTACTTGAAGAACTTTGAGGGCATGAATGGCCCGTTTCTACTCTTGGTGCCCAAGTCGACAGTCGGCAACTGGATGCGGGAACTGGGCCGCTGGTGCCCCTCACTCAAGGCTGTCTGCCTGCGCGGCGACAAGGACGCGCGTGTGCGTAGCCTACCCCGCTCCGTTTTCGGCTATAGCCGTACAGGTGTCACCGCGTCCACCATCTCATGCCAGTAACGTTTGTGTCCATGCAGGCCCAGCTGATCCAGGACACGATCCTGCCGGCCAAGTGGGATTGTCTCGTGACTTCTTACGAAATGTGCTTGCGGGAAAAGTCTACCCTGCGCAAGTTCATCTGGCAGTACATTGTGATCGACGAAGCTCACCGCATCAAAAACGAGAACTCCAAGTTGTCTCTCGTCTTGCGTGAGATCCGTAGCCGTCGCCGGTACGTTCTCAAAAGGCCGGCGCGTTGATGGACTCGCCACTGCCAACGTGGCCGCCATGCCAGGGATGACTGGTCAATCAGACGACCTGCCCGTCTAGAACACCTCTCACGTTGCTCAAACCTGCCGGGCGATAGCCTGCTCATCACAGGCACGCCGTTGCAAAATAACCTCCACGAGCTGTGGGCACTGCTCAACTTTTTGTTACCAGATGTCTTCTCTTCGAGCGAGGACTTTGACAGTTACTTCAAGACAGAGGACATCCATCAGCAAAATGACATGATTCACAAGCTGCATGCCATTTTGAAGCCGTTTTTACTGCGCCGGTCTGTTTGTCGTTCTGAGTATGCCTGCCGTGAGCCGTTGCGACGCGGCTATGCTCACCACGCGTCTGGTTGTGCATGTAGTCTGAAGAAGGAGGTCGAAAAGTCTCTCAAGCCAAAAATTGAGACCAAGGTCTACGTTGGCCTCAGTCGCATGCAACGTGACTGGTACAAGAAGATTCTGGCCAAAGACATTGAAGCCGTGAACGGCGCCGGCAAGATGGAGAAGATGCGGCTTCTCAACATCCTGATGCAGCTCCGCAAATGCTGTAATCACCCCTACCTTTTTGATGGCGCTGAGCCCGGTGAGTTGTGTGTCTGATTCTGCCGAGCTGGTCCGAACCAAGCCAAGCAGGCAGATGGGATCGAGGTCAGGTCCAGGTCTGGAAAGAGGTGTCAAAAACGTGTCGCACTAGTGTACTTCAGGGGCGGAGACTTTTGAGCACGGACACGTCTCCCTGCGTACCTCTGTCTTCCCTTGTGCCGGGCGGTCACCATGTCATACACACCAGTCAATTCCACTCACACAAAACGTTTCCCACGACTGCAGGCCCTCCGTTCACAACGGACCAGCATTTGATCGACAACTGTGGGAAGATGCTCGTTTTAGACAAGCTTCTCAAAAAGCTTCAGGAGCAAGGATCTCGAGTTCTCATTTTCAGCCAGGTTCAAGCCTTGCACCTTGCACTCCACCAACGCAGTTGGTACCATGCAATCTAATGGCATGGCCTTGTGGCACCATTTTTTTTCTTCAACCCACATAGATGACGCGAATGCTTGACATTTTGGAAGACTACTGCTGGTGGCGCAACTACAACTACTGTCGTATTGACGGCTCGGTGCGTTGTGGCCCTTCATGGCCTTTTCGTTGGGGCAAGGGAGCTGCAGTTTGTCTCTGTCTCATCATCGAAATTGCGCAGACTTCGCATGACGTGCGAAATGAGATGATCGACGAATACAACAAGGAAAACAGCGAAAAATTCATCTTCATGCTGTCCACCCGCGCTGGCGGCCTGGGTATCAATCTGGCGACAGCCGACGTGGTCATTTTGTTTGACAGGTGCGGTTGTGCTGGTATCATGGGTTTTGTACGGCGATGGTGGCACACCCAAATAAAATACAGGGCCTTTTCCTCAAGTTGCTATGCTTGCACACTTGGTGTAGCGATTGGAACCCTCAAATGGATCTGCAGGCTCAGGACCGTGCACATCGTATTGGTCAAAAGAAGCAGGTATCGAAGCTTTGCACTTCAATTAGTCATCTCGGGATCACCCGAATGCACGGCGCCCAATTCTGCTGTGTTTTCTGTCAGACGCTTACAAAGCGGGACGTCGTACATACGTTTCTAGCATTCGCTGTTTTGTCTTATTTGATGCGTTTGTGTAGGTTCGCATCTTCCGCCTCATTACCGAAGGTACAGTGGAGGAGCGCATTGTCGAGAAGGCCGAGATGAAGCTGCGATTGGACGCCATGGTCATCCAGCAAGGCCGCCTCGCCCAACAGCAGAAACAGCTCGGCAAGGATGAAATGCTCTCCATGATCCAGTTTGGTGCTGACCAAATGTTCAAGAGCACCGAAAACAACATTACAGACGAGGACATTGATGCCATTCTCGCCCGAGGCACGGAGAAGACAGCTGAATTCAACGAAAAAATCAAGAAGCTGGGTCTCAACGACTTGGAGAGCCTGTCCTCCCTCACTTTTGACACGTCGTACGTTGCACGCTGCTGCTCTCGGCCGGCCAACGTCGCGCTCATCAGCAGTTTTTTTTTTTAACATGCCCTGATCGTGTTTTCTTTGACTTTTGCAGAACAAGCGTCCTTGAGTTTGAAGGCGAGGATTATGCCGCAAAGCGCCGGCAACAGACGGCGATGAATTGGATTGCTCCGCCCAAGCGTGAGCGAAACGTCAACTACAACGAAAACAAGGTCTTCAGTGAGCTTATGAAAATGGCTGTCGAGCCCAAGGCCCCCAAGGTTTGTCACACCCAGATGCATTCCATCTTTAGGCTTTGGAGCCCATGGCACGCTTGTGCTGCCTTTCCGTTCAGGCCGTTCCGATTACATGGAGCGGCATGCAGCACGCCGCTGACTTTGCGCGGTGATTGATTCACCGCCCCTGTCTGCTCTTTCAACTTTTAGCCACCGAAGCCACCAAAGATGCCCAAGATTGAGCAGTTTCAGTTTTACCCACTCGAGCTGCCCAATTTGTTGGAGCGAGAAATCTTGGCGCATCAGAAGCTTGTTGGGTGGAAGGTATGTTTGGGTCTTGATGGCATAGCGTGGTTGATCGTGATGTGGTTGATCGTGATATGTGTGTGTGTGTGTGTGTGTGCATGTGTGTGTGCATGTGTGTGTGCATGTGTGTGTGTGCATGTGTGTGTGCATGTGTGTGTGTGCATGTGTGTGTGTGTGTGTGTGTGTGTGTGTGTGTGTGTGTGTGTGTGTGTGTGTGTGTGTGTGTGTGTGTGTGTGTGTGTCGTGGCGCGATCTCAAATAGCTCAAATTGAGCGGGGCGAGCACAAGATCAATCGGCGCATCGAAGTGCAGAGCGCCTTGGACAAGAAGGTCAAGTCAACGCCACACCCATTCCATCGCCTCACCATCAATTATGGCGGCAACCGCGGCAAGAACTATACGGAGGAGGAAGACCGCTACATCATTTGCTTTTTGCAGCGTCTGGGTTACGATCACGACCACGTGTATGATGAGCTTCGACGCCAGGTGTGTCCTGTGCTTCAGCATTGGTTTTGGCTAGGAAAGCTTGAAGCCATATCGTGGAATGCACTCATTTCCGATCAATGTCATGTGGTGGGTTGTGCTTGCGGGTGTAGATTCGCAACGAGCCGCTGTTTCGCTTCGACTGGTTTATCAAGTCACGCACAAGCGTTGAGCTTCAGCGCCGGGCAACGACGCTCATTAACCTGGTGGAGAAGGAGATGAAGCCAGCTAGCAAGAGCAAGGGCAAGGGCAAGGACAAGGAGGAGGATGAGGAGGAGGAAGAGCCGCCCACGAAGCGAAGCAAGGTGAGATTTACCTCGTGGTGTACGCAACCAACTCGCTCATGAGGGACACATTGGTGGATTCCAGGCCGTCAATTCAGCATCCAACTTGCACCCATCGCCTCAGCCTCACTTGTTGCTTTTGGGGTGCGTAGAGCCAATCGGGTAATGGCAAGAAGGCTTCTTCAAAGGGCTCTTCCCAGGCCGCCTCGCCGAAGCCCAAGTCTGGTGGATCTTCCAAGTCCAAGGCCGGCAAAGGTGGCAGCAGCAAGAAGAAGGGCAAAAAGTAGATAACGCTCATTTGCACGCCCTATCGGCTACACCTGGACCTTGTTGATGTGGACTCTTGTTCTTGCACGATAAGCCAGCGCGTTGCATGCGGATCGTTTTTTTGAAGGACACCCTGTCTTTTCCTGTCTCCTATTTCCATATCAGATGGCTGGTATGGCATGGTTCACGGGATTGATGTATGGGATCGTCTAGTTGGCTTGTCTGGCTTTGTTGGGTTTTCTTCCGGCTGAAACACCTCTTTGGGTCTTCATGCTGGCTTGTCGGCCCGTCGTGCATCGTTTGGGAGCCATGCTCCTGTTCTGCCGTTGATCGACTTTGAGCTTTCCTGCATCAATAATCACAAAAGAAACAAGATTGTCATCACAGCCGATCAAAACCCTACTAAAGCTGTCGCGTTTTGCGTTTTGCATCTGCACTCGTGGTCGGGCAAGTCTGCAACGTACACCTGATCTGAATAGAGAAAATGGGAAAAAATGGACTTGAACAATTCAGTTTTAACGGCTCACTCACTCACACGCACGCATGGCAAATGCAGAAGAAGAGAAAGAAAAGGGAGAAACGACCACGTTGCCCTCTACCTGCACGCGTTCAGCCCGCATGGTCTTGCTTCCCTTTTAAAAGATTAACTCAAGCTTGGCGTGTGGGTTGATGACTGCCATTTCCAAAGGCCCCGGCCTCACACATCCAAACACCTCTCGAGTACCTCTCCCCTTCCCCCCCCCCCCCTCCCCCAACCCTTTTGACCATTTTGAGCTCGTCTCGGCCCTTACCGAGGCGGATTGGAGGAGTACTATAGCACAGGCCATCGCTACCATGTCCCGACCTGGTGCCAGCAATGGCATGGTAGGTCAACAAGCGCTTGCGAATGTCGGATTGCACGCAGATTTTTGTTGGTCTGAGAAAGTTGGCGACTGACTCACACAGTGTTTTTCCTTGTTTTGGCGCCTCAGTTTCCACAGGTAAACGGCCAGGCGGTGCCCATGGGGTTCAGCGGCATCCCTCAAGGCTATGGCCAGCAGCCCTATCCGCCTTATGGCATGCAGCATCAAAACTACGCGCCGCCGTTTGTTTCGTCTCCGCGAACCCCCACGTCAAGCCAAACCCCACAACGCGCTAAGAAGACCCTTGCGATTGTTGATCCCAAGACTGGGGAGTCCCTTCAGATTCAGTCAGAGAGTGCGGCATCTACCCCTGTCCGTTCTACCGCAACAGCGGCACCAGAGCCAGCCGCATCACCGGCCCCTGCTGTTTTGACGCCACAAACGACTAAGGCACGCCGACCCCTCAAGATTGAAGACCCCGACCCGGCTCCTGTCCCTGCGCCAGTGATGGCACAGGAGGCACCTCAGCCCGTGGCAGTGCCTGCACCTGAGATCAACACTGCGCCCAAGGAGGAGCCCAAGGCAGCTGCTGCACCTGCCGCTGAGCCAACAGCAGCACCCGTCAAGCAGACAACCGAGACAACTGCTGCTGCTGCTGCTGCTGCTGCTGTTACCGAGCCCGCTCCCGAGCCCGCCAAGGATGAGCCCAAGGATGACTTGAAGGCATCCATCTCCTCCGACACGACGGCCGTGGCCGACGAGGACGAGGGTGACAACATCTATAGTGTGCTGCGTTATGGTACCACAAACTTTAACCCGGCCACATCAGATCCCAACGCACCCAAGGACTACGATATCAACTTTCTCCTACAGTTCCGCCTTCAGATGTCCCGCATCTTGACGGGCGAGCCACGTGTGTTGCATCAGGCCGATGCCGAGTCGGAGAACTTGTTTGCACAGCTCAAGGGCTCAAGCGAGCCGCCAGAACAGGTGGTGCGTGTTTCGAGCAACAAGGGTGGAAGTCGAGGCAAGGGCCGCGGATCTCGTGGCGTCAGCGGCGGCGGCGTCAACGAGCTCAGCTTCGTCAAGACCGATAACCAGAGTGGGCGCCGCCCCGGCAAGAAAATCATCCGCATTAATTCAGCCGTTGTGCCTTTGAAGAAGGGCGAGAACGCCTGGGATGGCAAGAAAGCACGGGACGAACTCAGCACCGAACAGAAGCAGCTGAACCAGACTAAGGCATTGCTGAACAAGATTACCATGGAGAACTTTGAGAAATTGAGCGATGAGCTCATCAAGATTGGCATCACAATGACAGGCGATGACCTGAATAGCTTTGTGGAAGCCATCTTCAGCAAGGCCATTGACGAGCCGTTCTTCTCTGGCATGTACGCTGATCTTTGCTTCAAGATGGCTACTGCCACTTTCAAGAAGCAGACTGTCTTGCCCACGTTCCGGAGCCTGATCCTGGCGTCGTGTCAACAAAAGTTCACGCAAGACCGAGCGGCCGACGACACACAAACTGAGTTTGAAGCACGCCGGAAGCGCGAGGCTGATGAAGCCGCCAAGGGCTCTACTGAAGGTCATTTGAGCCAGCAGGAGATTGATGAACAGGAAGAGAACAACTACATTGCTCGCCGTCGGGCCTTGGGTAACATCAAGTTCATTGCTGAGCTTTACGTTCGCGGCATGGTAAGCCACTTGAACATTCGATTTCGATTGCACTGCATCGTCGCTTCACTGTTTGATCTGTATTACACAAAATATTACACAAACTATTACGGCCGGTGTATGGTATCTGTGTCGAGTGCTCTTCAGTTGCACACGTCATTCGTGTCAGGCCAAGAAAAATTGCGGCAGCTGCGACAGCTGGCGGGTGCCTTAACACCCGTTTGGCTTACTTTTCGTTGTCCACATACTTTTACCACATTTTGAGCGTTTTTGACATGTGATGTGGTCGTGCGTCGCATCTCATCCGCGTGCTTGATTTGTCACATAGATTTCTGCCCCCATTATCCACCAACACTGCATCAAGCCGTTGTTGCGGCTGCTGGAACAGAACAACAAGGATGAATCTGCCGTGGAATCTCTTTGCAAGCTGTTTGAAACCGCTGGCAGTACGTATTGTTTCCGTTCTGTTGAATCCGTTATTTACACAGCCCCACTTACCTTGCTTTTGCTGTGGCTGCAGAGCGCTTGAGCGAGGTCAAGACTGCGAATGAGGATGTTGCCAAGGAAGCCATGAGCGCGATGAATGACTACATGGCCCGCATTGAAAAGCTCTCCAAAACTGACGGCATGCCTTCCCGCCTGCGCTTTATGCTCATGGACATTGTTGATCTGCGCAAGCGCAAGTACGCTCAATAACGAGAATTGTACCCGCACCCTGTGATTGTACCACGTCTGACCGGCTGCTTTGGTTTTGATCTGCGTGCAGCTGGCAACCCAAGGCCTCCAAGCAAACTGGCCCCAAAAAGATTGCGGACATTCACCAGGAGGCGCAAGAGGAGCAAGAGCGCATCAAGGCTCAAGATGCCCAGGATCGCCTGAGTGGAAAGATGAACCGCGGAAAGGGAGGACGCGCACCACCGGTATGTACACTCTACCCGATCTGGTCTGCATGGTGCATGACCCATGGGAACGATACAAATGGGCACACTGAAGGAAAGCGAGCAAGGGGCGACATTGATGAATTAGACTGAACTACAAGATAGGAATTGCCGTCTGTAGTAGTTGTTGATGGCCAGCGCCGGAGACTGTGTTGATCAAGGGTCTTCTGAGTCGCACATGCCCACATGTACAAGGGAATCGTGCGTTGTATTGTGTTTTGAGCTCATCACAATGCCGTTGTGTTGAATGCTTTTAGGCGGCCGCACCTCGTGAGAAGCGCGTTGATCGCAATCAACTTCGTCTGACTCGTCCCGGAAGCAATAATTCCGGCAGCGCTCTTGGCAACAAGAACCGCTTTGGCAAGAGCAAGGGACCCGTAGAGGAGCGGTACGAGCTCCTGCACGCTTTACCTCAATGTCTGATCTTTTGTTTCCCCTCATGCCTTTTTTCCCCATCATTTGTCCATTTGGCCTTCGACAGCAAAGTGGGCAACTCCTTTTCTATCCTTCAGATGGCCCCTCCGGAGTCGCCTGGCGTGGAGGAGCCCACGCCCTCCATGGATACTGAAGTGGAGGACTCCAAGGTCAAGGGCGAGAAGCTGGCTCGCAAGAGCGAGAACTGCATCAAGGAGTTTATTGTTAACCCCGACAAGAAGGAGATTGAGCTGCTTTTGGAGAGCTCGTCTGAGCTTGGCGTCAAGGGCGGCCACGAGGCTTTTGTCTCTTCATTGGCCACTCGCCTGGCTTTTTTCAAGAAGGCAGATCAAGACTTGGTCATGGAGCTCTTCGAGCATCTGCTGGCAACTGACAAGCTTGAAAGCGAAGCTCTTGAACAAGGGTGCGTTGAAAATCTATGTCTCTTTTTGTCTCGTCTTGCTGGTCATGCCGTGGACCAGCATGTATTGTTTCCGTGTGCACGTGGGGCTCTGGGAACGATGACCAAATATCCATGCTAATACTGAAGCATTACGTTGCACTGACGAATACTTTTCTCTGAATCTCGTTAACCTGACCCGTGTGAATGAGCCCCTTGATACACGTGCACGCGATGTGGTCACCACTGTGCTTTTGATTTGGCTTGTTATCGGCTTGCCTCATGGTGTTTGTGGGCACATTATTCTGCTTCACAGATTGAGCGACGTGCTGCGCAACATGCCCGACATCAAGCTTGATGCACCCCGGTTCCCTGAACTCTGTGCACGTATCATGGCAACTGTACGTGGCTGTGTGTAGTGCCTCAAGTTTTTATGGATGACCATGCCATTTTGTACACATTTGCTGTTCGCCTGCTCATTTGGCCTTTGTTGGCGGGACATGTCAGGCCTTCCAGCACGAGCGTTTGCCCCTCTCTTTTATCAACGGCGATTATCAGAAGGCTCTTGCGCCGATTGATGTGCTTCGTTTCATCCTGACTGTTGCCCAACAAGCCAAGAATGTTTCTTCAGAGAAGCTGGCTCGTGATGTCATCGCTACACTGCCCAAGCCCATTAAGGAGTACCTTCCCCCTCGCTACGATGAGAGTGATTTGAAGTCAGAAATGAGCAAGCGGGTATGTGCCAGGCATGCTGTCGGTAACACCTTGTGGCCACGTCGTGTCAAAAAGTGCTTGCGATTGTGCGCGAGTCAGATGATGATTTTATCCAACCTTGCTGCATCCAATGTGATGATAAACTTTTTATTACATGCACTACCATCCGATGACCCTTGTCCAGAGGATCGCGCACACACCGCTTGTGACTTTTTTCACCGCGTGGCCCATTTTTTAATCGTTTCGCATGGTTTTTGTTGTTGTCGTGGACACACCTCATGATGCCATGTCGCTTCTGCTTCCAGGATGTTCTCTTCTTGCTGCAGAGCGCCGCGCCGGAACAAGCACCAGAGCTGTCTGCGGACATGTCCTATGACCAGGTCGTCGCGCACCTGCGCAAGGAGTTTCCTGAGGTGACTACTGACCCAAAACAGGCCCGTGCCGTCAGCAAGGCCCTGGCGCTTCGATTCTCATCAGTTGACGAGATTGACAACGCTTTGACTTCATTGACCAATGAGCAAGAGCTTGCTGAGGACGTGGACGTCGAGCTCATCCAGGGTGTGGTTGAGGGTGCCAAGGCCAAGCAGTTTCCCGAGGGCTTCCTGCATGGCGTTTTGACAACCTATCAGCCCACCGTCAAGGCTTTGAACTCATGGTTGAGCCGCTACAAGTCAGACGAGGGCTCAGCCTCTAGCCAAGTTGAGCAGGCTCGGGATGACATCAGCCAGAGCAAGGCTTAGGCGTGTGTTTTCTTTTTTTTTTTTATACACATATCATGTGGCCTCAACGTTGAACGTTGCTGTGTCGAGCCACCGCGTTTATCGCCCCTGCTTGTTTGTTGGTGTGTTGTACTGCATGCAGTAAATATTAATCTTGCTTGGCATGTTGATCCTGCTTGGTTTGCTTCCAGATACCTTGTTCACGGGGTTGACATGAAAATGCGATCTTCTCTAGCATTTGAACTTTTAGTCTTTGATTTTCCTTTCTTTTTTTTTTTTTTCCTTTAAAGTTTGGCGTCGAATTGACGCACAAAATTATTATGATGAGAACAATGTGACTCATGGGTCAACGCCACCTTTCGAATGAATTCAGGCAGTCAAGAGATCACGAACACAAGTCGATCCAGAAGCACCACATCAAAGCACCGAGTGACGACCGCCTCAGGTGCGCTTATGTGTGGCTTTGTGATGGGCGAGTTGGGTAACGAATTCAGCCAGCTGTTCTTTAACGTAGGCCTGGATCTGTTCTGGCTTTGGCTCCGGTTGCCGCGCACAAAACGCCGAAATGTTGTTGATTACTTTCAGCTACACGCAAAGTCCCAGGCCCGAGAGAGAGTTTAGAATGTAGGTGAGGCCGGCATGAGAGAGTTTAGAATGAAGGTGAGGGCACCAAAACATTGTGAGACCAGAGGGTGGGCCTTACGCGAAGAGCATCAGCCATGCTGGTGCGCTTTTGGAGCAGTGGCGTGCTCAGCAAAGATCGAGCGGCTTGCGACCGAATCCATACACGTGAAGCATCTTGTCCTGCGCCATCCCCGGGTTGGGTGGCACCAACCACAGCCAACTGCCATGTGGTTCGATCAACCAGAGGCAGCATTATGACCATCAAGCGTCATCAGGTAGCGCCAGATTGTTGACGATGAGAAACCGTCCCCGATCAAACGCGTGTTGGAGATGCATGCATGTCAACAATGACACGACAGTGTTGCCGTGAATGCCATGCCAATACAAAGTTCGGAGAAACCATCGATCACAACGATGAGTGAGAGAGCGCACACGTGTTGCAAGCAAGACGAAGACAAGGGAAGAAGGTAAACCCCGACTCGGATGCAGTTGCACAACATTGTACCCACAATGCCGTGAGCGAGCATGCAAAAAGGAGGCAAACAAGGTTCAACAACCACCAACCTTGTCAAGCAGGTCGCGCTGACTTGGGGTGGTGACGGCATGAAGTCCCAAGACGGGCAGGAGCCAATTGCTATGCTCAGCCATGTCGCCGAGGTGCGGCTTGAGGAGTGCAAAGGTGAAGCCTCGCGCACTGGTATCGGCGTTGAGTGAAATGAGCTTAATTAGACTGCCCGTGCTCGTCTACGTGCCCCTTGGAGGGGCGGGGACACCACGCTAGCAGGGGGCGGGGTAGCAAGGTGCAAAGAGTGAGTCAGTACATGGGGAAGGTGATCGCGCCAAGGGTTTGCCGCCAAAGCGGTGGGATGAAATAAGATTTCCGCTGTTATCAACCTTGTTGGCGTCGGGGCTTGACTGCACTGATGCCCTCACGACCCCCGCGTTGTTCTCAACTGCCGTTTGTTTGCAGGTTCTCCGCCTCCTCATCCGCGATCTTCTTGAGCAAGAGAGAGAGAGAGAGAGATTTGCTACCGCGGTCGTCGGGTCGCGTGGCGTTGGCAAGAGCCATGTCTTGGACCTCTTTTGTCAAATTTGCCCCTTTTGTGGCGCGACTCCGGAGCTCAACCTGAGCCGAGCGGGCCAAGACCGTATCCTACAATCTCTGCCGTCTCAGATTCAACCGCGTGCTTTTGAGCAGCTTCGCGGTGCGCGAGTGATTGGCGACCCTGGCTCGTCGCCCACACCTCGTGAAGCCAGCCCTGAGCACCAGTCCCAGGCCTGGCGTGTCAATTGTCGCAAAGAAGTGCCTTCCCTGCAGTTCTTATGCCGCCAAACTATTCATGTACGTCTTGAAGCTTGAATTTGTGTTGATCGCTGCCATTTGCTCCGTGAACTTGCTTGTTATGGCAATATCAAGCTGGCCCTTTGCTTCATCTTTGGTCATGTTTTCCATTGCAGGCTGCCCAGCTACAATTTGATCGGTCCTCACTCCCCCCTCACATCCTCCGGTACCTTGATGAGGCCCATAGCACTTATTGTGCACTTTGTACCAGCCTAGGGGTCAAATATGTATGTCACTTGCATTTTTGCGTCCCCCTGACACGCCCTGCACAGAGGGAGAGAGAGGGAGGAAGAGAGAGAGAGGGAGAGAGAGAGAGAGAGAGAGAGAGAAGAGAGAGAAGAGAGAGAGAGAAGAGAGAGAAGGAGAGAAAGAGAAGGAGAGAGGGAGAGAGGGAGAGAGATAGGGAGACAGAGCTCATATCTCACTTTTCTGTACATTCATGCATACACCCCAGTCTTCGCGCCTGCTGTCCTTCTCTTGCCGATTGGTGTGTTGTTCACCTGGTCGATTGCTTTGCCCGCAGCATGCACCGACAGATCGGATCCAGACCTTTGTGCGTGCATCCACCTTTCGTGGCGAAGTCTGTCAGCATCTGCTCCTGGACTGGCCGGGCTGGCCACGTACAGTCACGCCAGAGTCTGCCGTTCCTGAAGCGCAGTGGGAGCTGGAACCTTTGTTGCTGCGCTATGCCCATCACGTTTTAGTCGTCTACGATATTCGTGAGGACTTTGATGCCTTTCTCGAGGTTTGAGCCTTTTTTTTTTTTGCGCGCCGCTCGCTTCTTTTCATGAGTTTTATTGTGGCACTGTCCGCAACTGTCTCATTGCTATACGGCACGACTTGTGCATCATTCTTGGCAGCACTTGCGCAGCCTGCTGTGTACTCTCCAACAGGTGTGCGCCCCGCGTGGGGCGGACCGCCTGTTGCTTTGCCAGCCCACACTGACTGTTCTTGCCACCAAAATGGATTTGATGGCGCCTGATCAACGCGACGTGCGGTGAGGAGGGTCGTCCTGGGCACTATTGAATGTTGCCTGACGTGGTTGGGCATTCTGACTTTCTCGCGCCCACCCCATCTAGGGCCTCAGCACATGCGGCTGCCATCCGTACTCTGGCGGCGGAATTTGATACTGTGCCAACACACGCAGCTGTCAGCCTCAAGTGGACGTTTTATAATCCAGCTTTTGTCATTGCCGAGGCCATGGGTCGGAGCTTCGGGCCGCCCAGCCGACCCTCCCCTTGTGTCATTGCGTGACCCTCTTCACCGCTGCGTGTAATGACAACGGGTCAAAGAATGGCTCAGTGCCATCATAGATTACCCATCATCTCGAGCTGAGCTCGACCACATGCATTCATATCCATTTGCACATGCTTCTCTCCCTGCCAAAATTGCAGCTGAGATGGCTGAGCTGACTGTTTCGATGACTTGTCTCATTCTTGAATTGTCATACAAAATAAAATAAAAGAAATTTAGCTCAAATATTGAATCCCTTTATATGTAGACTTTTGCGCTCGACGGGCGATGTTTATTCTTAGCATCAGCCGTCAGGAGGTATAAGCATGCCAGTGTGGCCGAGTGGTTTAAGGCGTCAGACTTAAGTTCTGGTGGGCATTGCCCGCGTAGGTTCGAACCCTGCCACTGGTAACCTTATTCCTTGACTCCTATGGCTCTTTTTGTTCACCACAACTGTTTTTCTTTTTTTTTTCTCTTGTGTGTTTTGGCACACGCATACAAGCACACACACACACACACACACACACACACACACACACGCACATGTAGCTTGATCGCGTCTCTGCCATTCTCTCGTCGGCTCTCTGCGGGCTGACTCTTGAAAGGCACATGGGGCCATGGAGGGCGGTGATCAAGATTGGCTGATGCTCGAGGAGGAGCAGGTTCCAGCTCTTCGAGAGGCTCAACGACTCGCCACGGATCGGATCTGTACTCGGCCGGCTTGTGGCCAGCCCCTGCCCCTCCTCGCCCGTCGGCGTCGCCGCTGCCAGGCCTGCCAGGCGGAGTTTTGCTCGCGCTGCTGCACTGCTTATGGCGGTGGTACCTCATTCCTTTGCCTCGATTGTTGTGCGGCCCAACCCCATCTTCATCAAGAGCCGGGTGTGCAGCGCAACAAGTCGACCGAATTTTTGGCCCGACGCCGGGTTTTTCGCAATCACACCCACAGCGATCTTCGGCTGCAGGCCGTCCGGCTGGCCCGAGGCTTGCCCAAGCCCTCCTTGGCCAGCTCGCTCTCGCATACATTGGGTCTTGCCACGCCCGCAACGAGCCGCTGGTCACGCTGCAACGTGCTTCCACAAGCCGCTACGGCGCCTGCGTGCCACGCTTGTAATGCGCCCTTTCAAGCCCTACTTCGCCCGCGTCAGTTCTGCCGCCTCTGTGGGCGAGCCCTGTGTGCCAAGTGTATTTTCAATACCATCCAAGTCTATCGTCAAAACCTAGGGGATAGCGACGCCAAGGTGCAGGTGTACCACCCAGACCTGGAGCAGCCAGCACAGAGTGTCATACTGCCAGGCTGCGACGCGTGCTTGACGGCCCTGGAAGATGCCTGTGGCTTGGATCGGCGCCTGGACCTGGCTGCTCGCCAGCGTCAAAAGAGTCACTCTTCACCCACCCCCTCCCAAGCGGGCGTACAATCCAGTATGTCCGGCTCTGCAGCTCGGGACCAAGGTCCGGGCGGACTCGAGCCGAACAGTGCGAGCGAACCCTTCCACCGGGTGTGCCAGCTCTACAACAAGAGGCTTTTTCAGCTGGCCCGCCAACTACGCCAAGACTTTGCCCGCTATCACATCCTCGTCTGCTCAATCTCTGGACAGGACGTCCAGGTGGCGGCCACCCCTGTGCTTTCCGCCAGCCTGCACGCTCTTTTGCTAAATGCCGAGGCGGACCTAGCCCAAGTGGGTTCCCGTGATCGGGTCAATCTGGTGGCCAAGAGTCAGGTCGACCTCACTGAGGGCTTTGAGGCTCTGCAAAAGTGTACCCTTCAACTGACGGGCCTACTTAAACGACAGGGACCTGACATGCGCCCCGTCGAACAACGCGTCACCCGCAACCTCATCAACGCGCATGCACGCCTCTACCAAGAGCGTATTGGAGCTTTTCGTGCGGCCCGCGCCCAACTGGCAGAGGTTTTACCCGACCACGTTTTGACGGTGATACAGGCCACCAATGACGAGCGCGCCTTGCGCTTTGCCGTGACCCAGCTGCGCCAAGTTGGCATCGAGCTTATGGCTTTTGATCGCTTGCAGTCCCTGGCTGCCGACACCGCCAGTTGCCTCAGCGTGCTCGAAGACGACTGGCATCGAAGCCTGACGTCCATCAATCAAAATTCATCCGAGTCCATGCCAGCCCTGGAGTTCGACGCCGAAAGCGCCGCCGTTCAACAGTTGGTGCAGGACCTCTTTCGCTCGCAGCCGCTGCTGCTCCCGTGTCTCAAGGTGCCGCACGCACCTACACGACAGCAGCAGGTGACCCAAGCCTGGAACGTTATGCTACGTCAAGTTTCACGCGTTCTTCACGATCGTTCCTGCGAAGCAGCCAGTGGGCCATCGCGTCGAGCGTGCGCTGAACTTTTCCAGCGCAGCTCTGCCATCTTGCAACCACCTGAAACTACTGCACCATCTTCGGATTGGGTTCTCCTATAGCTGCCTGCGCCCCTTGTCCCGTGCACTTTTTCTTTTGGCCCTCCCTTGAGCGTACAAATGAGCAAACAGGCGCACAAAACTCTTGCTGGAGGCCCCACAAAAGCTCCAAGAGGAAACGGATGAGCAAGTTTGTCAATTGAATACTTTTCGGCAGCTCGCGATGCTTGGTGCTGTTCTTAGATTGGTTCCTCCTCCAGCCAGCTCATGTCCACTGGTTGAATGCATTGACGAGCAGAGTCATGCATGGTCTTGTCTAGCTTCCAAATTTTATGTTGGCCCTAGATCAATACCCCAGTCAGATAGAAAGCATTCAACACCAAGGAGAAGAGTTGAACAGAGGGGAGCATGGCTGCGGCGCGGAGCATGCCCGAAAGACATTGGCCAACGCCCACAAGTGCATAAAGAAGGTCAGGCACAGCTTGAAATCATTGTGCAGGTCATACCTTGACCGGGTAGCGTACAATCAGCTCATGGGGGTTCTTGCAGACAAACACGTAAGGCATATGCGAATCGCCGTCTGGGAACTGCAATGCAGTCATGTGGCCAGCGGCGGTGAGGAGGCATCTCGAAGTCGTCATTGCAATGTATGAGGCTAGGCGGTACAACGTCGGTCAACATGTGCCGGCATACCTTTTGGCGATATTCGTCCTGGGGAAGAATGTCTTCCACGTCAACAAAGCCCAACAGGCAGGCAGTCGGGTACTCCTTGGGGAACGGCACATTGCGCCCGGCAAAGCGCTCGCGGTAAAAGTCTTCAAGCTGCTGAATCTCCTCGGGATCAGGTTGCTTGCTTGCAGCGGCAATCCACAGGCGCCCGCGGTGCGGGCCGGTCCACACGCGACCTTCGTGCATTTTGATGCCATAAACCAGCAAGCTGGCCCATGGCTGGTGCATGCTCATGCAAAAGCCACCGTCCGCCATTTCCTGCAGCTCGCGGTCTTGCAATCGCAGGCGCTGCTGCCCCGTGCTTTTGCTCGTAGGCTGGCTTGAGGCTTCAGTCTCGTCCGCCGCACTATGTGCAAATGTGGTTTCGATTTGGAATTGTGGACGAGGCGCCGTTGCGTCTAACATTGGGTTTTGGTCCAGTCGCCCTGCGAGCCAATAAACAAGTGTGTTATCAGCCCTCGGCCGGGGTGTGGGCAGCACACACAAAGCGAGGCCACAGACGCGTACCAGTTTCAGAAGCTTCCTCAGCGGTCGGTGCATCGTCAAAGAGTTCGCCAATGGTAGGACCTCGGTGCGTCTTGTGCAGGGCACGTTCGCGACGCTCCTCTTCCTCGCGATGAGCCTCAGCATAGATATCAACTTCCTCCACATCGGCCTGTCGAACCTGGCGACCAGCAAAATCAATAGTAATGCGATTTTCACGGCGAGCAGCGCGTCGCTCGTCACGCATCTCCGCCTCGCGTTGGCGTGCAGCATCGCGCTCTTGTCGCGATTGCCACCTACGAAAGAAAGAGAGAAAGAATGAGAGAGAGAGAGAGCGAGAGCGAGAGAATTCGCGCTCTGTGTAAAAGAGAGCGCCCTTTTGCTGCTTGATAAGGCAACACCATAAACGTACTTGTTGCCATCCGTGTTGAAGTAGTCGGCTTGATCATCAATGACACGTGTACGTTGGGCCATATTGCGATCGTAGTCTAGCAATTGATCACTGTTGGTTTGGAGGTCAACGGTCAACGGTCAGCACCAGACCCCAGCGTTGGTGAGGATCGTAGAGGTAGCAAAAAGACGGCGTCTGGCGCGGGAACAAGCAAGCCACAATGGCTTTTCGGAAGTGAGTTTAGACACGATGGGATTGCGGACCTACCGCCGGGATTGGGCAAGGGCCAGAGCTTCGGGGTCAGTCATGATCTCGCCGGGAAGGGCAGAGCGGCGAAAGACCTCATACGACACTGTGGCAGGGACATCGGCTTCACGCATGAGCTTCTCCAAGAATTTGCGTGCCTGCTTGCTGTCTCGCGCCAGGAGCTCTTGCTGCTCGCGAGTGACAACGCAGGCGCCACAATGCATGCAGGGTCCAATGCCTTCTTGTTCGCAGACAATTCGTCCGCAGCGAAGGCAATTGTTAATGAGCTGGTGACGACTGGCCAGGCATTCACAGAAGCGGCGACCAGGCAGGAGGTCATTCACAAGCGAGTCTCCATCCCGATTCATAAAGGACACAAATTTGGGGCGCGGACGCCGAACGCCAGCGTTTGTCTAGCAGGACGGACAGTGCATCACCAAGGCAGCACTGTGATGAGAGGTGCGGAGCTACCATGTTCTTGGGCATAGAGGGATGGTGCTACATAAAACGCCCGGCTGACCTTGGCTCCAGCGCCCGGGTTGGCATCCTTGGTCGCTGTTGAACGTTTGGGATTGTACAGCGGTGGAAGAGAGGCTTGCACGGCCAGCGTGTCACCGACAGGCTTGTCCACAGGAAGTTGCTCTCTTCTCTTGTTAGCTGTGCTAGCTGTGCTGACTTTGCTGGCTTTGCTGGTGGTGCTAATTTTGCTAGTTTTGCTGGCCGACGTGAGGCCCGGTGGCGGTAGTGTAATGGGGCTAGCAGCGGCTGCGGGCGCAGGGGCAGGCGCCGAAGCGGGCACGACAGTGGACGTGGCGGTTGGTGCAGGCGCGGTGGAGACAGTGGGCTGCTGAAGCTTGGTCTTTTTGGCCTGAAAAGTGTTGACAAAGCTGCTGATTTGGCTGCCCGAGGCTTCGGGTGCAAAGTCAGTAACGTAGGCCCGAACTTCCTCCGCATCCTTGGTGGCAAGCAAGTATCTAACACTCAGGGGCAGCGCATGAGGAAACACTGTCGACAGTTCTACACCTTCAAGCAGGACGTTCACGTACTCGGCCGTGTCAGTGAGATAGTCCACATCGTCCTCATCTTCACCAGAGAGCTTGACCAGCTGCAGTGCCGTCCAGCGACGAAGCTGGTCACGAGCGCTTGGGGCCATGTTGACGGCACCTGGCCGCCGCTTGGTGGACAGACCACGGGCAAATGAAGGTTCACTCGATCGTGCCTCAATAATGGGCAGAGCTATGAGCGTGGGTGCAAACTGGCAGTGGATCAACTCTGAAACGCTCCACGTCCCGTGCCGATGTGGCCTTGAACAAATGCTATTCGGGGCCAAAAGCAGTCCAGTCTCTCTCTCTCTCTCCCTCTCGCTCTCTCTCCTTTTTTTTCATAACTCACCACTTGCCTAAGCGATAGTCTAATGATTATCACACTCTTTGAACACCAAAAGTATTGTCACTGTGTTCGTGTATATGGTATCAAACGGTAATGCGTCGGTTTGTGTGTGTGGTGCGTTACCCTTTACTACATGGATGTACATGACGCTGTCATCATCAGCTGCTGCTGCTTCTTTCCCCTTGTTATCTTTACAACTCCTCGCTTACTTTTATCACACTCAATCACCTCCCTCTCTTCTTTCTCTTTCTCAAACAAACCCATTCATTTCTCTCTCTCTTCTCTCTCTTTCTCTCTTGCTCTCGTCATCGTTGACTCTCTCTCTCTCTGTCTCTGTAGTTGTGCGTTTCCTTTGTGTCTTTGCTCTTTTCTCTCTCAAACCGACCAAACCAATTCAATTCTGTCTCTCTTCCTCTTCCTCTCTGCCTGGTTTTTTTTTCTGCTCCCCTGTTTCTCTTCTCGCCCGTTTCTCTTCTTGTGCCGCCCTGTGGCCTGCGCGCGTTTGTGTTCGGTCGTGTTGGTGGTTGATTGGATAGCCGACATTGGACGAAGGGTGTTCGTGGGTGGTGGACGTGCTGCTGGTCGTTTCCTGGTCTCACCTGTGACGACACATCCAAACAATTGGTACGTAACTCCGCCAACCTTGTCCACCCTGGCAAAAACCCATCATCGTCGTTGTGAGACAAGGCCTCCTTTTTGGGTGTTTTTCTGGTCCGCGCAGTCCCGAGCATTGGCCAGTTGTTCCCGAGATGTTGGCGTACTGACGCTTGGATTGACATTGGATACGTCCACAGGTCGCTCGAGCAAGTATTCCTGCAAGCCCTGATTTGACTTGGCATCCCAACGTTCCCACACATACCCCTTGTTTCTGCTCCACAGCAAACATGGCGGCCGTCAAGAAACTGCAGCAAGAGCTAAAGTCCTTCACCAAGGACCCCTTGGATGGAGTTATGGTGACTGTTGATGACACGGACCTCTTCACCTGGAACGTCGGCTTCTTTGGCCCCCCAGACAGCATTTACACGGGCGGTTACTTCAAGGTTTGAGCCCAAGGCTTCTCCGCTCTCCTCTGTCAGGCGTATCCCGCGCTCACCTCCCCCCGCCTGTTTTCCCGCATCCATAGGCCGTGCTCAAATTCCCCCCCAGCTACCCTTTTGAGCCCCCGGCCATGCAAATGACAACACCACTGTTTCATCCCAACATTTATGCCGTACGTCCCTTCGCCTCCTGGCTGTGTCGTGGTACCAAAAACCTGGCGCCCACTTGCAGTGCCCGAATCTCGCCCACACCCCGCTCACATGACCGCCTTTTAGGATGGCAAGATTTGCATTTCCATTCTGCACCCTCCTGGCGAAGATGAGATGTCGGGCGAGCGCCCCGAGGAGCGCTGGAATCCAACTCAAACCGTGCGGTCTGTTGCTTGAGCGTCCACCATTGGCCTGCCACCCTCTTGCCATCTCCGCATGCATGTACACGCTTGCCTCCGTTCTGGTGCGCCTCGAACCTCATCTCCCATTTGTGCGCGCTGCAGCACCATCATCCTGTCCGTGCTTTCCATTCTTAATGAGCCCAACATTTCTTCCCCGGCCAACGTCGATGCTTCAGTGGCCTTCCGGGATTGGCAGGCCGGCAAGTCCAAGCAGTACGAGTTGCGCGTCCGCGATCAGGTGAAGCAGAGCCAACAGCAAGCAGCCGATGAAGGACTGAGCATTCCCATGACCCAGGAAGAATACCTGGCCTCCAAGGCTGTCTCAGCCTCTGCTGTGTTAGTCCCGCTGAGACTCGCGCCCGCCAACCACCCCACGCACCAGCTTCTCGTGCTCGCTAGCTCATGGGTTTGCTGCGACGCAGGGACACTTGCGTTGATGAAGGCCCTGAGGATGAGGACTATTATGATGAAAGTGATATGGATTCGGACGTCTGCTATTCTGAAGAAGACGATGAGGACGAGGACGAGGACGAGGAAATGGACGAAGATGACGAGTAATGCCGCGCCTTCCCCTTTTCGCTACTGGCGTTTGGACAGGCTGGTCTTATCTAAGCAGAGACAAGGGAGGCTGCTGGAGGTGTCATCAGGCGCCGACAGGTCGAATGGTCTACCTCCCACAGTTTCTCTTGGTCTCGACGTTTTATGGTTCGTGTTTCATGTACCATTACACTCCTTCCCACCGACCTTGTTTTTGTCGTTCTCTTTTGTGTCTGTTCAACCTGTGCCCGCTCGCTGTTTGTCGATGATGTCGACCCTGTGACCTTGTCTTGTGTGTCGTCCTTGTTTGCGTCGCCGAGCCCATCCCGAGGCTTGCCTCGGCGATCTTGTCTTCTTCTGTTGCCCGTCTCGTCTTTTTTTTTTTTTGGTGTGTATGTATGTGTATGTGTGTATGTGTGTGGTTTTCATTTTTACAGTTGTCGCGGACTTCAGTCCTCTCCTTTCCTTCTTTCCGAAACCCCTCGTTTCTTTGTTTCTATTTCTTGATTGTGAGAAGAGGCAGCCCTCAAGGTGGATGTGCCCGGTTTTTTTTTCATCCACGCTGCTCTTTTTCTCCCTTGCATTTGAAATTGAAAGCAAAGGCACCGAAGTGTGTTCAATGTGCTTGCTCTGTCATCGTTCTGAGGGCCACACTACAACAAAGACCGTCAGCCATCAATTACTTTACAAGTTGTTAGTATCATGGTACCGAAACACCGCAGGTCAAGCTGCGGAACGACAATGGCTGGGGTCAAACGCAAAACTACAACTGTGGCACCGTTCATTCATTGATTATCGAGGCGCGCTGCGCCGCACGTTGCCACTGCCACTGCACAACCCGGTAAACCAACGAGGCCAGTGCTGTTCCAGCAACGGTAAGAGTGGCAGCTGCCGCCAGGTAATCACCTGTGGGTGCATTTGGACGAGTTGAGATACACGCAATGACGACACTGGCCAAGGCCAGCCCAATGAAAGAATTGACGGTGGTGGCGGCTGCAAATTGCTCAGAGCGCTGGTGGGCCGCACTTTGCGTCGCGGCAGCCGCCAACAAAAACCGGGCCGCCAAAGACTGTGCCACAACAAGAGCAATAAAAACACCCTGCTTCGCGTGCCAGAAGGCGGCTGCAAAAGTTGCACCCGCTGCTACCAAGGTGGCGAGCCAGGCCAAGGCTTGTGGCCGTACATAGACAGCCCGGGTACATCGGCTGGTCGCTGCCAACGTGGTACCGGCCACGGATCCAATCTCCAGCACGGCTTCAATCAGCCCATAAGGCACATGAGTGTAGTGGTATGTCAGCAAGGTTTGGTAGTAGTTGCCAAAGACAAAGATGGCAGCATAGCCAAACGTGAAGATGACACTCCAAAAAGCCATGTGAGGGTCCTGATAGTCTCGCCAGAGGCGCCGCACCAGCACGCCAAAACCAGAGCTACGGTGTGCTCCTACAATTGGGGAAGCAGAGCTGGCTGCGACCTTGTCGGGACGTCGTCCAAGGGCGGAGCACCGCCAGCGTCCATATAAATAAACGCTGCAGCCCAACGTGGTCATGACCCAGGAGAGGACAAAAAGTCGGTCCATGCGTCGCCCGTGCCAATGGGCGTATGAAACAAGTGCCTGAGCCACGAGAGCACCCACCACATTGCCGCCATGGTAACAACCCCGCGCCCAGCCCGTGGCACGAGCAAAGTGCTCCGTGGGTAGGACCGTATAGAGGATGGTAAAGAGCGCGGTGTTGAGGACGGATGAGGCAGCATATGTGATTTGACTGAGCACGGCGGGCAAAAGGCCGCGGCCAAAGAGAAGCAGCATACGGGTACCTTGTCGGCAGAGCAAGCCCAGGCCCAGGGCATTGTAGTAGCCCGCAAACTCAGCCAACAGCCCCAAGGGTAAGAAGAACGCAAACGTGGCATACGTATCAGCGGGCCAGACGTAAGCGTCTTGCTGATGCTCGGTCAGATTCTTGACATCATCGAGGTAGGCAGCCAAATAGGGCTCGGACGGTTGGCAATTGATGCAAAAGGCGATCAGAGCTATCAGGAGTAGCGGATTCCGCGCATCAATCTTTGAAAAAAGCGATGCTGTTTCATAGTCGGGTCCAGACGCATCAGGGTCGGCTTGGCTTGATTCATCCTTGTCCAGTAACGGAGCTCCCAAGTCTTGGTTCTGTGACAGCTCGAGGTCGGCATTAGCGGGGGCCATGACTGTTATAGATGCATATTGCTCCCAAATCGCCGAAGCACCATTCGCAGCCGATCCGTCTGCTTGTATACTTTCAGATGGAATCCCTCGGCGTTGTGGTGATCAGGACTTCAAACCCAGGACAAGCAGGGTGTGTAGTCTGCCAGCCCAATGAGACAGCTGCCGACCAAGTGGAAAGATGCACGTAAGAAGAGGAGCGTGCGCCAACTCTCCTCTGGCCAAGCCGGGGCGGAGGTTGAGGAAAAAAAAAAAAAAAACGCGCACAGCCTTATCTCCAATTTTTTTTGTGGAGACGCGAAAGAGTTTCTTTCGAGGTGTCAGGGTAATAATGTCAGACTGCACAAACAGGTCCGCACGCACCGTGAATATACACTACGGACATTATCGTATCTTCAACAATGTCTAAAAGGCCCACAACAAGTGGAAAACGAGCCGTTACGGGCTCAGATTCATTTCGCTTCCAAAGGCGGGGAGTCGTCGCCCGGGAGCGGCCTGGGCGAAAGAAGAAGCATGTCTCAAACAACATCCGTGGCACAAGTTCAAAACCTTGGGCATCGGAGGCCCAGTGGTGATGGGTCGCCATTACCCAAGCGAGCAGCCTGCGCTTCCGACACCACCGTGGCCGCGGCAAAGACCACGCCCCAGCCCCGGACTGCGACGCCCACGCAAAGTTCGTATTTCTTTACCAAACCCGAGCAAGGGGCCGGACCCGCCCGCGTTTCGTCATCGAATCAGGCAGCAGCAGTCACAGCTAGTGCGGCGACAGCCTCAGCTGCTGGTGGGCCGAGAATTGTGCTCGAGTTTTGCGAGCGACGGCTCAAAGCTTGTGCCATCTGCCTTGAGTCGCTGCGTCTGGACACTGATGTGCGCGGTCGGCCCAAGGGTTGTGCCCACAGCCACTTTTGCTCTGGCTGCCTGCGGCAGTGGCTAAGCGCGGCCCGGTCCTGCCCGCTGTGCAAGGCACCGAGCGACGTGCTTCAGTTTGTTTGTGGTCGAGAGGACACGCTGCTACGCGAAGAGCCGCTCCCAACACTGTTGGCGGAAGCCCCCGAAACCACATCCGAGGTCATTGACAGCACGGTGGCTCCCTCGGGCAGTGAGCTTGGGTGTGCCGTCTGTGGCGAAACAGAGGGTGATCTCCTGCAATGTCGCTTTTGCACGATGCAGGCACATTCGGCTTGCGTTATCAAGGGCCGAGGTTCTTGGAAGTGTGCAACCTGCGAGGCGGAGCGCCAGCAATGCCGGCAGACGCAAGGGCCACGTACGCGCCACGGCTATCGCCAGGACGACTTTGTGGTCGAGGATGAGGAGATCAAATCTGAGGGAGAGAGTGATGATCAAGGCGACGACGACGACGACGACGACGACGACGACGACGATCTGTCGTTGGACGAGGGCATGTTGCCGCCTATCTCGCCAATACGCATCGGTACCCGTAGCTTACGCTCCCTCCCCAGTCGTCGCCATCGCCAACCTCGCACACTTGGATATAACACCGAAACAACCACCAGCCCTGCGCGAACCTCTTTACGAGCCTCGGTACGAGCAACAGTGGAATCTTCGCCCGACGGTTTGAGCGTCCGAGCGAGCCCAACTGCCGCACGGGCGGTTACAACTGACTATATAGTAATCGACGATTAGTTGAGCACACCATATGCAAATTTGATCCATGTGCATGTGCGCAAGTGTGTGTGTGCGTGTGCGTGTGTGTATATACGGCCCGGTCCAATCGAGTCTATGAAATCTGTAGATAGCTTCGCCATGATTCTGAAGTTGGCATGGCAGCAAGGACTCTAACTGAAGCTTGGCTCTTGACTCCATCATCTGAGCTGCCTCAGCTCAAGGCAATACATTCCTGGCCTTTGTAGCCAAATCTAAAAGTAGTGGGATCTCACTACTTCTAAACTTCTAATTCGGCAGGGTCGCTCTTGAACAGGGGATGCTCTCGAGGGGGTTTGATGTTTTAATGATTGTTAAATGATTTGCGAAGGCGAAAGGCGGGATTTCATGTAAAAACGCCAGCGTTGGGCTCGAACGTTGCTGCCAGCTCCACGCAGCTGGCATTCGCTTCCTCTGTGGCTGAAACAACATTGAAAATACAGCCAGATGTAGAGATGTAGATGCAAGTCCCATAAACACCTTCCCCCCCCCCAAACAAAAAAAAAAAAAAAAAAAAAAACAGCAATAAGAATTACTTCAGGTCTGGCGCGAGCATCGCTAGAGGAGTAGCGGAATGTTAGTCTTATTTGTAACGAGCAATTGCGTTCTCAACTGCCTGGGAGCCTAAATACTTGACTACCAAGGTGCTCAACCTGGCGTTACTCCAGGCGCCCGCACTTTAACGTCGGCGGTACTTATGGGAGTGGCAAAGGAGGAGCAAAAGACTTAGTAGTCTTGCCTCAGCGCGTGTGGTTGTTGCAGCAATAAAACGGGTTTATGCATATCGTAACTAGGAAGCATAATTGAATTTTGTTGTAAATGTGGCACCTGTTGTCGTACCGTATCATAAGGACACGTGTGTGTTGGTGTTGCTCTCTCTGTCTCTCTCTGTCTCTCTCTCAGTCTCTCTCTCAGTCTCTCCCTCTCTGTCTCTCTCTCTTTTTTGTCGATTCGATCCGGTCATCGGCAGGATGCGGGGGGGCGAGCAGGTGGACCGCGAGTTTGACGTTAGCAAGGCCCGGGTGTTGGAGCAACTGCAGCTGTGTCTTGACAACAGCAAGAAAGGTGCTCTGGATGCACCGATCGAGGCACTTTTGAACTTTATCAATGAGCTTGATGACTATGTCACGACGTCCTCTTGCTCCGGCCGCATCGCGCTCTTTTGCGAGCAGCAGGATGCTCGCAAGCGCACCGGTATGTGCATGGTCCTGCATCAAAGCCAAGCCTGGGTCTATGGCAAGCATTGATGCCACCAACTGCCTCCTCTTTTCTTCTCTCTCTCAATGCACTTCTGTTGCTTTTTCATTTCTCTCCGTTTCTCTCCTTTGGCTTTCCCTCGTGGCTTGGTTCGGGACCTGGCAGGGACATGGCTCTTGGCTTCGCACGATGTCGTGACGGTAGAAGCCGCAGCTGCGGCATATCAAGACGAGCGAATTAGGGATTCACAGGGTCCTGTCATGTTCAAGTTTGAGCCATTTGTGCTTCATGTCCAATGCCGCACCCTGGAGCGAGCTCGCGATTTTCTCAAAACTGCCCTTGATTGCGGGCTGCGGTACGCTTGGCGGGTGTGCAGTGTGTGCACTTGGACATTGCATATTTTTTTCGTTTCACAGCTTATGGATGGCTTCCTTGTGCATGTGTGCGCCGTGCATTAGCAACTCTGGTCTGGTGTTGGGCAAAAAGTTTATGGTGGCCGTCCGCACCACCCTCAAGTTGGAGAGCCCGGTGGCATACGATGGACAGCGACTGGTCGATGAGGCATACATTGCTTGCCTCGTACAGATGGCCAATGATATGTTTGCTGAGAACCTGCAAAGGATTGCGCGATTTGAAACTGGTGTGCGTGCAATGGTGGCGCGACAGGCCGAGCAAGCCACACGGGCCCTTGAGCGTGAACACGCGCGCCAAGCTCGAAAGCATTCGCAGATGGCGGTTGCCCCAGCGGCCAAGCCAACATCAACCCCAGCAGAAGCGGAAGAGCCCATTCTCAGTTTAGATTTTTGAGCTCCTCACCTCGGCCCGTGACATCGTCACCATGTTCACACCGTCCAACGATTACGTCCCCAACTTCCTGCAGTTCTCGATGTCGTGTGACTCTGTACTCGTGTCACTGAGGTGAAGCTCAATATTACATTTTCTTTTTGCTGGCGGGCTCATGGCCGTGTGCCTGCAATGCGTGCCGTTGTCCCTTGTCATTTTGTCCCCGTTTTCGACTAGAATTCCTCTGCTGTGCAGACGATCAAAAGACTCAATTGAAAGCAGGCTGGCTACCTAGTCTGGCTCTAGTGTACGCCGCACGGGCAGAGCGAATGGGGACGAGGGGTCCGGGTAGATGTGAACGATTGGGCAAAACCCAAGTGGGGATTTGCTGCAACAGCAAGTGATCAAATGAGGGGTCCGACGCAGTCGGTAAGCACAGAAGTAAAACGCATGATACTCAATCCCGCTTAAGCTAGCAGCTTGAGGGCTTTGGAGAGTCTGCGCGGGGCGGGGGCGGGGGCGGGCACGCGATCAGAGTGGCGAGGTAGCAAGCAAGGCCCCGTCCAGAACAGTGGCTTGTTCAAGTTGGATAGGCAGCCGGAGCAAGCACACAAACCTTCGTTCAAAGGACTTGCGCACGAAGGCTGCAAATGCGGCCGCCGTGGCCTGACTGCTCTGCAGGACGTAATCCAGTTGAGTGGGGGTCAAGGGGCCATGTTGCTCACAGGCCAGGACTCGACCGCCTTCAGCACCACACGACAACACCACGGTGGCGTTTGCCGAGGCCTAGACCACGAGGCGGTGGCAAGGTGAGTAAGCAGAGCGACGAAATTCCGTGAAGCGTCGTGGATACACGGTTCCTTCACCACCTGCAGGCGCGAGTGGGGTAAAAGTACCTGGGCCTCTGTGGCTGACGGGTCAAGGAGAAAACCTCCCTTGGCGTCAAAGGCAGATGAGACACCAACAAAGACGTTGGTCATTGGAAGCCCGGCATCCAGGAGGGCAAGGCAAGTGGCAGAAGCAAGGGCGGCCAAGACACCCCCATCATCCTGGACCACGTGGGCGGCAACGGCGCACTGCGACCGGGGTTGCTCGTGGACCTGCAGGGCACAGTCCACGCACTCGCGCAAAAAGTTTTCAGCCGCCGCGTCTGTCACTTTGCGCTGACCGCCCTGTCAAGCATAGGCACACGAAAGGATCGTGAGGGGTTTATGTGCATCCATAGGCGGCGGCGAGCTGACAACATTTCTACCAATGACAACAGGTGAGGTTCTGAACGATTGGAGCGTACCACGCCTCGAAACGATACTTCGATCGCACTGCGATCTGGGAGCTCGCTGCGGACGGGGACTCCGCGAAAGCCTGTAGAGCACGGATGTGAGGAGGCAATGTACACAGACGCAGCATACACACGAGGCCCCCGTGTGGTGATACAGCTCACGCAGCGTTTTGGGGCTTTCACGTACCGAAAACGGAGACTTCAACACAGGTCTGGCCCAAACGAAAGCGAGCTGATCCATCAGCCGCCGAGTTGACAGCAAAGTCACAACTCAGCTCCCGCAGCTGATTGGGGGCCCGGCCGTCTTCTCGCGCAGCGCCGTTCGGGTTCGTGGAGCTCGACATGTTGCCGTTACCAAATGCAAATGATGACAACGCTTTTGCAAACGACGAAATCAGTCACCATATTCATCTCCTTTGTCAGACAACTTTTTGTATCAAATAAATCAATAGTTTGACAGGGAAAAATAGCATCAACGGCTATTCAACTGGCCCAAAAGCCAAAAAAATCCATCAACTGCAACGGTTCTCTACAGAGCGCAAAGCACAAAGGCACTAAGGACGTAACGGTAACAGCAAAACAGACATCGTTACAAGAGAGAGAGAGAGAGCTTGAGAGAGCTTGAGAGAGAGAGAGCTTGAGAGAGAGAGAGCTTTAGCAGAGAGAGAGAGAGACAGAGCTTGAGAGAGTCAGTGTGTTTCCTCGAGCATTCAACTGCTGCTGGAGCTGGACTCGACCGGTCACCCCTTCCCTCCCCCACACGACGAAGCCCCTCGACTCAACAGACGGCTTCACTCGAGTCGAGTGCCCAAGGGTCTGGTGCCTCTGCCTGGGCTTTGCTCCAGGTTGTGTGGTTGCGTCTGGCTTCACGGTCAGCTCTGGTCCTTGCTGTGAGCGCCCACATTTTCTGAAAGGAAACGGCAGCCCAACAACAGTGGCGTATTCCCCAGCAGCTCTTCGCTAGTCGGTCCTTGATCGGTCACGAGTGGCCACAGTCGCGTATTCGTTCGCCAGTACAGCCGTGTCCAGCATCTGCTGGCCTCACGCTGGATTGCCGTGACCTGACAGCCACCAGCATATCCTTGCCGTTGCCCTCCCAAGGACAGAGCCGTTACGTCCCTTTTGTCTCGAGACCGAGCGCGTGTGCGTTGCACCGATTGTCATTTGCCCCTTTGTTCAGCTACCCCTTCAAAATGGATCCGATCTTTGGTGAACGTCTAGCAGTCTATCAAGACAGCGATGATACGGTGGCTGCCGAGCGGCCGGCTCGATCTGCTGCCTCGAAGCGCCAACATCATGACGACCCTGCCCTTCCCGTACCAAACAGTCAATCAAAGCGCCGTCATGGCGCACCGCTTCGTCAGTTGAGCAACGGTGTCGCCGCTGCAGGTCATAGTCACATGGTCAGTCCTCGCTCTGCCCTTGGCTTGACGCAGGCAGAGGTGATTTGGTCTGTATTTTGTGCTGATGTTAGCAGCCTGAGCTAGAGCTACGCTCGTTCACGCACCCTTATTCTGCCTTTGATTTGCATGGCCTTTTAGGGGGCAAATTGTGCTGCTGCGCTGACTAGTGCCCCATCGCTCTCTGCAGCGGAGAATGACCCATCTTTGGCCACCGATGCGGCTTTTTCAGAGAAGCTAGCCTGCAAAGATTTTTCACTCCTGCCCGCAGAGAACGCCTTTGAGCCCGCCAGGGCTGCGGTTGTGCCTGTCGCTGGTTCGTAATTCTGTCATGTTCCTTCGGGCATCTGCCAGCCTCGTTGTAATGTGGCGTCGGAAAAGGGATGGGGTCTTCGCTGCCGTGCTTTCTCTTTATGGGGAGCCAATTCTCTAAATGCCTTTCTTTCTTTCCCACTCGGATAGGTGAAAGTTTAGCCAACATGGGTCGTCACCACCCCCCTGCCTTTGCACGCATTCTCTCCAACCTGCAAGTTGAAGAATACCTCGATGACGTTGTTGAGTATCTCTTCTCTCTTGAGGTGCGCTCGGCTCTTTCTACCTGACACTTGTTGTCCCTGGCGACGCAAACTTACGTCCTCCTACTTGTATGCTTGAACGACAACAGCATAAACTCTTGCCACGCGCCGATTACATGCGCAAGCAGCGTGACATCAACCACACCATGCGCTCGATCCTTATTGATTGGCTCATTGAGGTGACGGAGGAGTACAAGTTGACTCTACAAACCTTTTTCGTAACAGTGGGCTACGTGGATCGCTTCCTCTCAGAAATGGCCGTCCAACGCAGCAAACTGCAGCTCGTCGGCGTGACATGCATGCTTCTGGCCTGCAAGTACGAGGAGATATATCCACCCACCATCGACGACTTTGTATACATCACGGACAAGACATACAGTCGACCCCAGGTCATGAAGATGGAGCACGTCATTCTGAAAGTGCTGCGCTTTGATATGGGCTCCTGCACCCCCCTCACCTTTCTATACTACTTTCTCAACGCCATTCCACATCATGATGACACCAAGTGGTTGGCACAGTATTTGTGTGAACTTTCGGCCTACGACGGCCGCCGCTCACTGGGGCAGCGCCCCTCCACCACGGCTGCTGCAGCGATTGTTATTGCTCTACATACCTTTGAGTTGCATCCTTTGGTATGTTTCACTCCCCCTCGACTCCAATACTGAAAGCATTCACGACCAAGTCCTCTGGCTGCCTCGAGTATCGTCTCACACCGCAACTCGAACCTTGCTCTGCATCCTCCTACATAGCCACCGGCCTTGGTTTCGGTGATCCGCCAGGGCCCCGAGGAGCTACAGGCCGCTGTCAACACGTTGCATGAGATCTTTTCTGTGTACCCTAACTTGCAGCACGAAGCTATCAAGGAGAAATACTCAACAGCCCGCTTCAATCGCGTAGCCGAGGTGCCGCCCACGCGCCATGCCCCTATTCTCTTCACATGATAGCCCTTGACTGGGAATCTTGTGGGATATTGGCCTGGCCCTTCACCAAGCCATCAGTCCCTCTGCATGTTCAATTGTGTTCTGCTGCTTGAGCTTTTATTTTCTCTATTGTTTTGTTAGAGCTGCTGCATCATTCGAGTTGTGTCCTGTCCCTGAGTATCCTTATTTCCCCCTTTTCCCTGGCCTCACTCGGCGCAAGCGCCTTACCTTCTGTTCAAAGGCGCTCCGCGCTTTTGATATCGTCTTGTGGCAGCGGGACAGGACTCTTCTTTTGTGTGTGTTATTCTCACAACTCGAATGTGCGCCGCGTTTGCAACGCGCGTTTCGAAATGCTGTCCTTTATTCCTCCTGTTCGAGTCTTGCAGCCCTTTCGCCCCCTCCGACAGAAAGTTTTGTGTTCGCCTATCGTTATGCCCTTTTTGATCAGGGAGGTGATTGGCTCGTAAATTTGCATAGGTTGCCAGTGTTCCCTCTACCGTTTTGGCAACCCACCCACGATGTGTTGTGCGACCCATCAGTCGAGATGAGGGTCCCACATCTTCACCTTCACCCCACCCATTTGTAATTGAGAAAGAGAGTTTCACTTGCATTCGGGTTTGATGTGGTACTTTGGAAGCAAGGCAGAGCACACTCTAAAATCACTTTCGGGCTTTTCTGGCCGGTTGAACATCAAAATACAACCACAGACAAGAAATCACAAATGAAAACAAATCCAACGAGCAGGTCTTCACGTCATCATGATGCAAAAAAAACCAATACCGAGCTACAAGAAAAACAAGAAATGATAACAGGTCAAGTTGCAGAGGAAAATAGAGAGAAATCAGGGCGAGGTGGTCAGAGAATCCCTGATGCGAGAGAGGCCACAATACCACCTCAAAACAAGTATGGGTGGCAGGGCCGGGCTATGTCACACTCTGCTCCAAAAGGCAGCACCAAGCGATAAAGCAAGTGGGTTCCTGCGTTTGACAACAGCACCCGACCCCTTGTGGATGACACGGGCTTTTTACGCTGTCGAGTCCATGGCTGTCGAGCCAAAGCAGGGAAGAGTTAACGTGGATGAGAAAGTCCGCAAAGCGTGAGTCCGCGATGCGCCTGTGTCACGAGACACGAAACACGAAAAGAGTTGCAATATACATCAGAGGGTGCAAACTCACATTGCAGCGCCCGATCTGCAAAGTAGCGCACATCTACATCCTGATCGGCCACAAGCTTTTCCAAAGTAGGGCGCATGGCGGCGTCGACCGTACTGGCATCGCTGCCCATTGAAGTCAACAGCGTCTCAAGAGTCTTTGCCACATTAATACTAAATCGGGGGTTCATAAACAAATGATGAGGAGCAGGGAAAAGAAAAAAAAGGACAAGGAAAAAAAAACAAAAAAATAGAGGAAGAGGTAGAGGAAGAAATCAGCAGCGACAGGCTGTCCGCGCATGACGATTGTGCGACGTTGTCAGTGCAAATCATCGGGCGTGAATACTAACCGAATGTTGGGGATTTTGTCGGCAGCCAGGGGCAAGACCATGGGTAGAATCTTTTCCTTGCACACCACAGGCTCGCACACACCCGAGAGGTCAGCGCACGCAAAAAGGGAAGTTAAACGATGGCTAAAGTGCGAATCCTGTGCCAGCTCCTTAAGGGGGCCCATGATGGCCTTGCTACACCACTGTGAACCAAACTCCTTGGTCAGCTTGCAAAGGCAGTCGATGGCGGCCCGACGCACAGCGTAAACTACCGAAGACCAATGATTGAGGTAAGCAACACGGCACACATACACACACACACACACACACACATATGAGCGCACCGCCGCATGCTATGTGTGGATCAACGTGCGCAGATGCCGAGGGCGATTGGTGACTGAGAGGGCTCAGCGAGTGCGTACCGAGTCCTTCAGCAAGGCAAGGAACTGGGGCAACAGCAGCTCAATTGTATAATCCTTGCCGACGATGCTGGACAGTCCCATGATAACGGTAGCAATGGCCGCACGGCAGTAGTCGGACTCATCAGAGACAAGGCGCTCCACCGAAGGCAGAATGTGCTTGAGCACGTTGTTGACACGGTTGGTGGTTCCCAGATGCAAGCTGAACGCGTGCACCTGACGGGCGGCACACGTGCGAACTTCGGGCTCCGAGTCGTTCAGAAGGTTGACAAACGCGGGCAGGAGGTGTTGGTCTGAGAGCTCAGAGGACAGGACGCTCTGCAGCTCAGTGATCACATCGGCCAACATGTAACGAACTCGCCACGAGTCATCCTTGAATGACTTTACACAGCTTTGTACAATGATCGTAGCGTGCTGGCTGGCTGGGAGGGAGCGGGCCAACTCGGGCAGAAGCCCAACAGCCAACAAGCGGACCGAATCTTGCGCATCCTCCATAAACTGTGAGAAGAGGGGGCGCAGCTGCTCGAGTGCCGTGGCTGCCGAGCAACATTTGAGCATTTCCTGCATAGAGCCGACGTGTGCTATGAGTTGAAGCATCAGGCAATATTTGTAGGGCTTGAGCAGGACGAGGCGAAATGGGAGCTGATCGAACCTTGAGGTAGGTCGCGGCGGCCCGGCGGACCATGGGTGTGTTGTCGCGGCACAGGTCAGCATAGGCCCTGTTCGTTTGTGATCGCACAATGAGGCGAAATGAGTGGGTACGAGGTGGGCGATATTGGCTTGCATCAACTCGCGCGCGCCTGGAGCCAGAAAGAGCGGAGAGAGAGAGAGAGAGGGAGAGAGAAGCCGTCTCGATATCGTACATAATGACGTTTTGCTTGAAGCCTTCATCTGTGACTGCTGTATAAAGGGTAGGATAAAGAGCGCAAGCCGTGGTACGCTGCGCGGGCCAATGTGCTACATCAAGGTCCCGCGATATTCCGCAAAGCAAGTGACCGAGTTCAAAAAAAGGGGGGCGAAGAAGCATGAGCGGTGGATTGAGTATGTAATGTGTTGCTTTGTTGCAGGCGGGGAGCGGGCCGGCTATACGAGGAGCGATGGCCGTCGATAGTCTGTCTACGTACCGGTGGTCAAGCGGTCAACCAGAGGAATATAGCTGACGTAGAGCGCATTCGAGGTCAGAAGGCCAGCAATCTTGTTCAAGCCCGTTGCCGCCTGCGTCAAGCCCAGGCATCCAAGAGAGTAAACGACATTTGGGTCAAGGCGGCAAGAGGTTTTCAGCAACGAGACGACTTGTTGGTGGACACACGAGCATGTTGTGTAGAGTGTTTGGGTGAGGTTGACGCGGGTATGTATGTGTCAAAATGACAGGATCAACATGGACGTACGCGTTCGCGAATGACGGCTTCTTCTGAAGAGGCCAGCTCCTCGAACAGGGGCTATCAGCCATCAAGTGTTGCAGCCGCATAACGTGAGGAGCGATCGATACTTTGGCGGCCATGGTTTGAGAGGTAGCAAGCAATGCCAGGACCAAGCAAAAAAAAGCAGGGGAGGATATCTACGTACTAGGAGAGATTCAACACACTCGACATCACCAACAAACTCGGTGAGGGCCCCGGCTTCGAGGGCCAGCTGCGCAATTGCTTCGTCTTCATCATCAATGGTTTCTGCAGGAGTGGGGCAAGGCGGGGGGTGAGTTGGTGGGAGTGCCGCACGACCAGGCAGCAGGGTATCAAAAGTAAGCAGGGTAGGCTTCCGCCTAGTTGCAAACAGCCAGGTGACACGGGCACGGACCGAGCAGATAGGGTACAAGCTCATCACGAGTGCGCACGGGGCCGATGGTTTTGGCGATAAAGGGGAGAGCGCGGATCGATGCCAAGCGGGTCTGTTATTGAACGTTGGAACAGATGCAAACACAAGGCGGAGGGGCGCGGTGAGAAGAAAGCGGGCAGCGGAGCCAATCAAGCAGCGAGCCCAGACCGAGCCAGGCGGCACAAGTGGATTTGATATGCAGGGTGGACACATGGTGACGTACGTCTAGTTCTGCGCTTTTGAGATTGTCGATGAGGCGGCCAACGTCCTGCACACCAAAGGCCACATCGTCGGTGACGTCCATGGCGGCGCGTCCGATGGATCTTTGCAGGCTTTAAAGCAATTGGACCAAAAGAGCGGGATGCCGACACAGGACAAGAGGTGTGTCTGATGATCCACCTATTGAGGAGAAAGCGGGGGCGCCAGATAATGCACGACCACAGTCCAAAATGGCGGTCGAGGGCAAGGCATCAGGTGAGTGAGTTGCTTCATGATGGCAGTTCAGTGTGCTCAAGTGAATGGCCGAGCAAGGCCGCCGCCCTTTCGGGTGACGTCGTCCCCTCCCAAACGAGGTTTTCACACAATGGTCTGGGAAGCCGATGCCACCCTGTGGAAACAACTCCAAAGGCGATCAACGATGCACAGTGGCAAGCCCCGGATCTTCAACCGCCGCCATCCATGGCTCGCACACCACGCACCCCTTGCGCTCGAGATGTCAGCGCTGCCCTTTGCGAGCGAGCGAAAGACAAAAGAGGGACGAAAATTTCGCTTGGTTTGCGCTCACCGTTCTTGTGTTACCAAATGTCAGTTTATGAGCTGTTGGCGCTTTGCTCACACCCTCGCGATCGGTTTCTCATGGACGCCGCATGCAAGTCATCACACTCAAACGTTTGGGGTCAAAATGTAGCTCACGTCACAAATCGATAAGTCTCCGACGAGACCATGGGAGACTGGACGAGACTGGGAACAAGCTCGTTGCCAACCAAACCAAAAGCGCATGCTGACAAAACGATTTTTCTCGCCCTTGGCTCAAAAGTGGCGGTGACCCTCAAGCTCCTACTCGTCCTTGTTGACGCCTGGTGCGCCTTGTTCAGGCCTATTGCGCCTTGGTGCACCGGCACAGCCTGTCCTGTACCGGTAATGGAGCGTGCGGGTGCACTCAACTCTGGGTGATCCCGAGTCACACAGGGGTGAATTTACTTGGTGTCATGGGGTGTGCATCAAGCGTCGCTGTGACCGCAGGGGCTCAAGCTGAGCAAGTCCCCGAGCCGGCCAACGATTCGACGGTTCCTGCACAGTCTGCATCAGATGGTGGCAAAAGTCACGTGGAAAGCAAAGATGCACTGCCGATCGAGCCGTTTCCCGCCTTGAAACCTGTGATTTCGCCCACTCCCGCGCCCGATACAGAGCTGGAGAACGACCCTTCCGTGCTCGTCGGATTTTATGCACAGCGCACTCTTTACGAGCGCAATCGGCTCGAAGAGCGCGAGGCCCGCGTTGACGCGGGTCCGCGCCATGATGTCGATGCTGAGTGGACACGCATGCGCACCGAGCAGCTGCACGATGCTTCCAGCATTCCAAAGGCACCGCGCAAGTCTGTTGTTCGTACCTTGGCCAATCCCGCCCTCCTTCGCCTCAAAGAGGATGCCGGTCTCCATGAGAGCTCCCAGCACCACAATCTAGCCGCGCCTCAAGGCGCGGCTGGCTCTAGTCGCCCCAGCCTCTTGTCTCCACCTCATTTGGGGATCAACAACCCCAATGACCGCGCCCGTTCCGACTCCATCTGGTCCTCGGTCACGTTCCTATCCAGCGGTTGGTGGCGGCCTCTCTCTTCTGACCTGCATGGGCGCACCCCTACATGTTGCTCATGCCTCGTCCGCCTGGGTGGTTGGCCTCTCCCCAGGTCGCGTTGGACTTAGTGACTTTTACAATTCTTTCAATGCTGGGATCATTGCACCCTTTGTGCACAACTCGGACTACATGCTCGTTATTGATGTGCGGCGTCGTACCGCCTTTGAGCAAGCCCGCATTCAGGGGGCCGTGCACTTTGATGCCAATCAACAATCCCCACTCAGGTACACGGTGGCAAGGGTCCTAGGTGGCGCAATGAGGAGGAACAACTGACCTCTTCCCTACTTTTTTTATTTTATTTTATTTTATTTATTTTTTCTCAATCTCTGTCTAGCGTACCGGCCCTATCCCATGACTTTGTGGTGGTGTATGACGATGATGGCGCGGCACAAGGTTGGGCTGTGCGCCTTTCTCTAGACCCTTTCCTGTTGTTCAAGGTTTGTTGGTAATGAGCTTGTCTCACAGAGGTGGGCATGGTTGATTTACTTTGCAGGACCGGCCATGCACTTGAGCAGCTATCTGATCCAATTGCAGTGTGACAACGTGGTACGTCACCGTCTGGCGATGAGTGTATTTTGGCAGCACATGATTTGCCTGCATATTTCTCTAAACCTACCTCCCACCCGCCGATTTATGTTGCTTAGGGCGTCCTGGTTGGTGGCTTTGATGCTCTGCGTGCTCGCTACCCCTGGATGATAGAAACCGGTTGGTTTGGCCTTGTGATCCGTGTGTGTGTGTGTGTGTGTGTGTGTGTGTGTGTGTGTGTGTGTGTGTGTGTGTGTGTGTGTGTGTGTGTGTGTGTGGGTGGGTGCACAGGCCATCTTCTCAATGCCCGGCGGTTGATTTGAAACCTGGCCACAGAGCGACCTTCCAAGCCCACTATCGGGCCATCCCTTCGCACATTTCCTTCAGAAATCTGGCCAGCCTTTCTGTTTTTGGGCAACAAGCATCACGCCTTGGACTGGTCCGTGGTGCATGATATGGGCTTGACGCACATTGTCAATTGCAGCAAAGAACACCCCAATGCATTTGCCGATCGTGGGATCCGCTACTTTAATGTGCGCGTGGCGGATGAAAAGTCGGAGAGCCTGCAAAGTTTTTGGAATCCCATGTGCCACTTTCTCGGTTTGTCCCTCTCCACCTTGCCCGCCAGTCCAGAAAGGCTTTTTGCAGTTGCGATCTTGGTCTCTGTCGCTCGCTCGTCTGATCTACATCTAAGGCTCATGCGCCCACTCATTCCCAATTTGCTCTTTCATGTCCTTTTGAAACTATCCCGACTTCAACAGACGAGGTTAAGGCACAAGGCGGACGCTGCTTGGTGCATTGCACTATGGGAGTGTCTCGCTCCACGGCTTGTGTGTTGGCTTACCTCATCCGCACCAAGCGTAAATCCCTCCGAGAGGCTGCTGCTCTGGTCAAGGACAAGAGGCAGGGTGTGCGCCCAAATCACGGCTTTCTCAAGCAGTTGGCTGACTGGGAGCAGCGCGAGCTTGGTTCCCGCCTGACAGATCTCGACCTCTTGTACTTTTAACTCAAGAACTGCGGGGATGCATTCAACTCGAGCTGTTTGCCGGGCTTGCCCCAGCGCAGATTAATGCTATTGCTTCTGACTCTACTCCTTTTCAAACGAAGGAGACGACGAATAACCAAACCATATTCAAGGACACATAAGCGAATTGACTCGATCCTCTCCCCTTGCCTCTGCGTCTGTATCGGCCAACACCTTCCAAAGGCCTTTTTTTGTGCGACATGCACCTGGAACAACACCATCATCCATCAGAGTTTCTTGTTCGTCACAAAAAGAAAGCGAGAACACAACAAACCGAAGAAAGCAAAGAAGTTGTACATGATGTTGGCTTTTTTTGTTTTGCTGAACACACTGACACCTTGACCAGTGCTTCTCACAGGCCGTTGTCTGTCTACTGACCACGCACCATGGCGTAGGTTGCGATGGATTTGGGCGAGATGTTGGGGCTGAAAGGAAGTGACGTGGCTGGTACCGGACAGGGTCACTCATGTCGCTGCCTCATCTTGGTAGGGATTCGCCCGCTCGTTGGCAGCACAACGATCGTCTCTTGACGCGCACGGGACCCTTGGCTGTGCCGGGGTTTGAGCCCATCCCAGAAGTACGAAAAGACCTCAACCCGCTTGCATTGCCGGGTTGTTTCTACTTGCTTGCTTGCTTGCCCCTCTGTTATCCATTGTGAATTTTAGTTCCCCTGTGCCCGGCTGCCCTTGCATGTGCTCTCGCATGCAGCCTCTGGTCTGCGGACAGGCGCTATTCTCATATGCGCTTGTCTGCATCGACAGCTACGTGACTTTTTGATGAACGACTGCCGAGTCCTGGTGATTGGTGCAGGTGGCCTGGGCTGTGAGCTTCTCAAAGACTTGGTGCGTTGTCCCGCCACCCCATCTATTTTGCCCCCGGCAACCCTCGTTGCTGGTCCGGCAATTCCGTCTCTGGCTTTGATGCCAAGTTGTGAACTCACGATTTTGCTGATTTTCCTGACGCATATCAGGCACTGTGCGGGTTTCGCCGCATCGACGTCATTGACATGGACACCATTGATGTGTCCAACCTGAACCGCCAGTTCCTCTTCCGTCCCAAGGACGTGGGTCGTGACAAAGCGACCGTGGCCGCCGAGTTTATCAACCGGCGCATTCCCGGCTGCCAAGTGACACCTCACTTTAATCGCATTGAAGACCATGACCCTGACTTTTATCGACGTGCGTTTGGTCGTCTCAAGCAAAAGGACCGCGTAGCTTGTATTTGAACCCACGTTTTGTACCCCCTCTTTCGTGCGGGCGCCCCGTCCGACCTCAAACCTTTCTGCTTCCTGCCCACCTTCTCGTTGCGTGTCTGTTTTAGAGTTTCAGCTGGTGGTCTGCGGTCTTGATTCGGTGGCTGCACGGCGCTGGATCAACAATATGCTGGTGCGTGTGCCAGGACCTTTGCACAGTCTTTTTTCCTCGAGCATCCTCAAGCTCGCGGTGCCCCCTCCTCACTCTGTCGCCATGTAGTTGAGCTTGCTCCAGTATGACGACGAAGGTCAGCTCCTCGAGCATACCATCATTCCGTTGATCGATGGCGGCACCGAGGGTACGTGGCCGGCATACGCGCCCAGTTGGTGAAAGGATGCGTGCTCCTACTGTTCAGCCCTCATGTCACGCTGGGTCGTAAATGGAGCTCTCAGGCTTCAAGGGCAATGCCCGTGTCATTATTCCAGGCAAAACAGCTTGCGTGGAATGCATGCTGGATCTTTTCCCCCCGCAGGTAGGTGGGCATACCAGTTGTTTGAAAAGGCTCGCTGGTCTCCGCATGCCTCAAATTTAGGCCCGTGCTCCGTTTTGGGGACCGGTGAAGATGCATTGCTCAGCCTCTGATATCTGCTTGCCTTGCAGGTCAACTTTCCCATGTGCACGATTGCCAACACCCCACGCTTGCCAGAGCACTGCATCGAGTATGCCAAGGTGAGTTCGGCCCGTCCTTTTGAGTTTCAGAGCCACCCCTGGTCTGACAGCTCTGGCGGGTACTGACGACCCTCTCTCTTTAGATTGTGCAATGGCCCAAGGAGCGGCCCAACGATAAGTTGGATGGTGATGACCCAGAGCACATTCGTTGGCTACACGATAAGGTCGCGAATCTTGCTACAGGCTGGCGCTCGCCGCTGTTTACGCTCAGGCAAAAAAGATTTGTTTGCTTTTTGGTTCGGCTCATGCGTAGATGGACTTTGTAGGCAGCAGAGCGTGCCGGTCAGTTTGGGATCACTGGTGTCAACTACAGTTTGACGCAGGGTGTAGTCAAGCGCATCATCCCCAATGTCGCTTCTACCAGCGCGGTCATTGCTGCAGCCTGTGCCAATGAAGCGTTCAAGCTGGCGTCAAGGTAAGCACAGACCATTGCGCTCCGATGCCCACGGACTGTCAGACTCCCCACTCACCCATAGCGGATGCAACGGGCACCGGACGGTTTTGACAATAGCTGTGCTCCAACCTTGAACAACTATGTGGTGTTCAACGACACCTATGGCGTTTACACCCACACATTTGAGTACGAGCGCAAGCCGGAATGCCTGGCCTGCAGTCGTGCCCCACGCAACATTAACGTGGAGCCCCATCAAACGTTGACCATGTTGCTGGATGAGTTGACCACGAGGTTCGTTGTTCAAGGCGGTGTGGCGGTCTTCCCGTTTGCCCCCCTGTTCTCAGTCATGCCACCTTGCGTTAAACTCGTGGACAGAGCCGACTTTCAATTTCGTGGACCGGGCTTGACCACCTCGATGGGTGAAAAGAACAAAACCCTCTACATGACTCGGCCGCCTGCATTGGAAGAGGCAACCCGGCCCAATCTGGACAAGACGTTGCAGGGTACGTTGCACGACTCGATTTTTTTGTGTTGGGGTAAAATCCGAACAATGGCGGGCACAGCCCGGTATTGTTTGGTAAGATGGTCGAGGGAAAGCTGAAAGCAACGGGCCCACACGAGGAGAACAAGGCTTGCCCAGGCCACGGCACATAAAACACGATTATCGCGACTGGATGCATGGCTGGGTAGCATCACTCTTAAGCTTTGCCATTTGTCATGTTGTTGTAACGTCATTGCAGAGTTGGGCTTGGTAGACGGACAAATCGTCAACGTGACCGATCCAACATCGCCCATACCGCTGCGCCTGCGACTGCGCATGCCAACGGCAGCCATGGACACGGAGTAAAACAGCTAACATCATGGGCCGGTTGTGGGCCACAATGCAAGGCCAAAGGTGAAAAAAAAAATTCAAGAAAATCAAAGCAACTGTTGGGACCACATCCAAAATAGCCGTGTGTTTGCAGCAGAACAAGCCAGCCTAGAGCAGCGTTTGGGCAACGCAAGACAAGCAAGGTTCACAACTACACGGCGGTCGACACGGTTGACGACAACATGCACGCCCACCAACACACGCACACACACACACACACACACACACAAATAGGAAAGAAACAAAATAACACCAGTGAAGGCGGGCCGGCCTTTGGATCGGCGGATGGAGGCGAGGGTGTCTTGGTAAGAAAACGTTCGTGTAGCTTCAGCATGAGTCCGCGCGCAGTGACTGAGATAGCAACGCGTCGGCAGACCATCGCGCGTTGGGTAGTTTAGTGGGACAGGACCTTGCGGCCCTTCTGCAAGCGCCGAAGCAGGACTTTCCGACCACCCTTGTAGCGGAGACGGCGCAAGAACCCGTGCTTGCGCTTGCGTTTCAGGTTGCTCGGTTGATATTCGCGGCCATAGGTGATGGTTCGCACTTGCTGCAGTCCGGAAGCCGGGGTGCTTGCCGAAGCGACCGTCGTGCTTGGGCTTGGTGCAAGTCCCGGCAAACGTGCCACAGTGCCCGGAAAGCCCTGAGCAGCACGTGGAGTGCTGGCTTGCAGGGCAGAGAAACAGCGCACGGCAGGCTGTGCAAGGCTAGGTGTACGAGCGACCAGCGGGGCGGCTGTCGTCATCGCCCCGCGAGCGGTCGCAGCGAGGACGGCACGCAGCATGGCTCTGGCGAATGAGTCAGAGGGAGAGAAGAGAAAAAAAAGGAAAAAGAAAATCGAGCGTGATTTGTCTGACAATACACATGGTTCGGTGCTACCAAGCGAAAGCAGGTCACAGAGGTGGTAGCAGGTTGCACGCGATATAACACATGGTGTGGACGTGTTGGGGATTCCAGTGCACCTTTTCACCACGTTCACGCATGGGCGACGTTCAAGTTGTGCCATGCTGTTGGTTTTTCAGGCATTTTCGTCTTGCCGGACCTTTCAATGGCTGGTCTTGACTGGTGCGCAGTATGAGCGCCTCCCAAGGTCGCGTGAGCGGCGGCGGAGGGGATGACACCAATGCTCGGTAGGTTTTTTTTCCTTCTTGCCACCCTCTTTTCTCTTCCAACATTTGCTTGCTCGTGCGTTGCACACACTTTTATGGTCAAGTGATTGGGCGTGGCGGCCGCTGATGAACAACCATCTGCGCTTGGACTGAGCAGCCAACTTGGTTGCTTTTGATGAATACCTTATTTTCTTCACTTTGACCTGAGGCACGCCACGCCCAACACTTATCAACCACAGATCTGCTCGGGTACGCCTGTGCATAGCATGCAATATCTCATCTTTGTAACAGGGTGCCATCAGGTCAGCATTGGCAGTCGCATGTGGCAAGCAACGGAAAAACTTATTTTTTCAATGTGAAAACTAAAGAGTCGCGATGGGAGCCACCTCCAGGCTGGACCGCTACGGTATGTGACTTCACGCGTTTTTGAACATCACACCAATCCCGTCAAAACAAAAGACACACCTTTTCCTTAAGGCTGTTCGAAGACTTGCGTTGGGCCTTTTTCTACCCGCTGCAAGTTCATCAGTACGCCAAGAACAAAAGTCGAGTTTGGTCGCGGCGACTCGCCTCATCAGTACTTCCACGAGTCGATGCTCAACCCACTCGGCGAACACTCTGTTTATTTTTAATACACATTCATGATTTCTTTCTCCATCATGCAATGACGATACGATCGAGAATCTCATGGCTGTGTTTTGTGTCGTTGATGGCACATAGGATGGACGCGTGAATGCAGTGTCTTCAACAGCGGAACGAGACCGACCACGACATGATCGATCCATGCCCGGCCATCCTCGTTCTGAGCATCGTGGTTCCACTCGCCCTGAACATCAACACGCTGCGCCTCGCACCCACTTTCGGGAGTCTGGTCATGCCCTGCCTCCGCGAGGTGGACCACCCCACCCAAGCGTGTCTACACACCCTCCACAGCATTCGCATCCGCATCCGCATCCGCATCACCGTCCGGCACACGGCATGCATCCTGAGCGCCGACCAGATTTTCATCCTGAGCGAGACCACTTTCGCAACCGGACGGAGCCGCGCATGCGGGCAGATTGGTCTCATGGCCCTAGCGGTGCCCCTGTAGGCCATCGTGGCCCACCACCACCCTCTTCTGATTATCGCTCTCGACGCGCATCAGATCACAGGCCACATCGCCCTGAGCATCATCTTCGTCCTGAGGCCCCACCGCCGCCCCGCGGCAACCCTGGCTCGCGACACGATCAACACTCCTCGGCCCATACCCGTGGCCCACCTGCACGAGCCTATCCACCTCCACCAAGCGAATCTGATCCCCACCACCGAGATGGTGCTAAGCGCACTCTTTCGTCTGAAAGCAACGCTATTTTGCCGAGCAAGAGCAGCCGCTCCAGTTTGCGTGAGGACCCGCCCGCGGCACGAGCATCACTTGGAGCACCGCCTCGATCTGGTACTGACCTGTCAACTTCTACGACCTCAGAAGCCATTTTGTCTGAAACACAACGCTCTCTTTGCGCGAGCAAACTCGCGTCATTGCGAGCCTCATTGCGACAGCAGATTCTAGCCACTCGTCTCGATGTTCTTGACTATCGCGTTGTTGCCATGGAAGACATGGAGTTCTAATCGCGCCTTCCTTTTCGTGTGGACCACTCCCATGTTGTGTCCTCTTCGTCTTTGAGCGCTGTGCGCTCGTGTGTCATGCACTGTTATCTTATCTTCTGTTCATTCATGTAGCGAGTGAGTCTCGCCCTCTTTTCTTTTTTTTTTTTTTTTTAAACATCAAATCAATGTTATGGCTGCAAAGCAGTTAAGCGTGGACAGCTTGTCTTTTTGCTGACCAATAGGTTCTGAGAGCCTTCTTTTTTTTTTTCTCGTTTTGTGTTTGTAAAATTGACACATCAAACTTGCTTGGAGGGTTTTATGTGCACACATTTCACATTTAATTTACACGCCACCTCAAACTCATGAATGCAACACATTCGGTGCGAGTTGATCACCATCAATCCACGAAAAACCTGAAGCTCCTTGGTCAACTACATTGCGGTGCACGGCCACCCTTTTCGACCCAGTCAAGACGCCAACCTAAAGAACAGAAGAGGACAACGCTTCCGAAAGTACACAAATCAGGGATAATCCGGACGGGCGGTTCAAACACAGGCCACAACGCTTGCGATTTGCTCGGTACTGCCTAATCAGAAAAGTCATCTGCCTCATCCTCGTTGTCCGAAAAGTCGGATGCTTCGCTGGCCGAGTCGTCGTCGGCACCACCCGCGTTTCCCACGGGAGCGTCTGGGTTTTCCAGGATTGAGGGATCAGCCCCAGTCTCCAGGGCAAACTTGGTCTGCACTGCAGGTAGTGGCACGCCCATGTCCATCATCTTGAAGTACTTTTTGTACCGTGGATCATCTCGGTTAGTCATGCGCGGGGTCTCGGGTTCAGCTTCGGGTGCGGCCGGGGCAGCGTTTGGTGCAGCGTCTGGTGCCGGGGCAACCGGGGCGTTGTTGCTTTCTGTTGGTGCCGGAGCAGCCGAGGCACTTGGTGCAGATGCAGCCGGCGCAGCAGGCGTCTGTGTGGTGGAGACATATTGTTCACCTGTGACGCCATCCAGGCCTTCGATAGACTGTAACTTGTTCTCCAGCAGTGCCACGGTCACCTCCAGCTTGGCAAGTCGGTCTGAGACAGTGTGAAGTTTCTGAGACACGGTGCAAGCAGATCGGTTTATCAGAAGCATGTATACCCACTGGACCCGTTGCCCAAGGACTTCTGGCACCAGGAAGCACACGGACGGTTGGACATTCAGACACAAGGGCGAGGGATTCGGAGCACGAAGCGAGCGGCCGTTTGAAACTTGATGATACCTTCTCACATGCAACTGAGAAATGATTCAAAAAGCTGGCGGTCGAGGTAACAAAGTGATTGACAAACGCCAGCATGCGCTTGTGCGGCATGGCATCCACCTACAATAGCAGAGCCAGGAAAGGGGCCATATGAGTTCTGATCAGGCTTGGAATCCGTTGTCGGCTGAACGATGCAAACCTCATAGTGGTTGGCCACATCGCCCAGCACGACCAGACCGTCACGATCCATGTTACTGTGTTTTTTTCCTCCGAAAAAAAAAAGAAGGAAAATTGGTGGCCTCGCCGAAGTCAGGGACAGCGGTCGCAGTCTGATGGGTCCACAGGTCCAAGCACAAGCACAAGCGCGCTCCAACCCCTGGTCGCCCTGGTTCCCAGCAGCGACAACAACAACAAGTCAAAGGAATCGCGCTTCTGTTCTGTTGTGTGCCAGCCGACCAGACCGCGCTCAAGATCGCACAATTTGGAGACTGTCGCGAGACAAGGAGACCAGGAGATTGCAAGGAGAGAGAGCGAGAGAGCGAGAGAGCGAGAGAGAGAGAAAAGATGACAATCGTCATGGAATAAAGTGTGACGATGGTCACAGATAAAATTGTCAGATACCCACGCGCGCAGGGTGTTTGGGAGGCAGCGCAACACTTGAACAGCGTCAACGTGGTGGGTGGTGTGCACTTTGTGAAGCCGCCATCCAAACGGTCGCGCTCAGACGGGGGGTTGACGCTGCGCTTTAGCTTATAACGTTCGTTCGCATCGGCAGAGCGTCTGCTTTGGTTCACCTCAAAAATGGGCAAGAAGAAGCCCTTTGTCAAGCGCAATGACGCGGGCACCTTCACCTATCAAGTCGTGCACCGGAGCCACCGCGACCCGGCCCTGGCTGACAATGATAGCTCAGACTACGTCCTGCAGCCCGTCGTTCCGCGGAACGTGCAGCGCCGCGAAGTCGATGGCGGTGAGGAGCGTTACTATGCGGCCGTGGACATGATCCGTCAGAGCGGCGCTGACGTCAGCCATGATCTTCCCAAAATGAGCGAGGCCGCTGCCGCCTCCGGGCAAGCCGCCGCCGCCGCCGAGCGCGTCGCCATGTACGTGCTTTTGTTGTCTTTGCTCTCGTGCCAACGTTCTTCTGAGTGTAGCTGTACGCTCGCTTCGTGTTTTGCCGAAGAGATTCTTGAATCCACCATGCTTGGTCCTGTGCTGTGCGGTGGCTCGTTGGTGGCTGGCTTGTTAAAATTTGTCTTTGTCACTTTGCAGGTCTGAAGAGGATCGTCGGCGCGTTGACCTAGCACAGCTGGGCATCTACTACGATGACGACTACGACTACATGCAGCATTTGCGCGAGACCGGGCAGGGGGGTGGCGAGACGGAAGTTGTGGCAGCAGATCCACGCACCCTGAAAACAATTCTGCGGGAGCGCGGCGTCGATCCGGCGGACATTCTGGACGAGGTTGCGGCTCGCCGTGCTGCCCCTCAGCCCGATAAAAACGCCCCGCCACCGCAAGTTTTCGACCGCGCTGCTGATTTGAGCTTTGATCCCCGCTTTGACCTTGATCCTGACATCGTACGTCCAGATCTCCGCCCCCAGGATCGCACGAACCACTCTTGGAATCCTGCCAAACTTCCTTGTAGCTTGGACTCACCGCGCCCCCTCCGCTTCTTCGCGGCAATCGCTGTTCTATACACGTGTGCCAGGTGGCCGCATTGGATGATGCATTGGACTTTGAAGACCCAAACAACATCTTAGATGATGATTTTGTCCTCCAGGTTTGTGCTGCTTGCACCGTGTTTCTGCCCCACTCTGCCATCAGTTCTAATTGCGTGCTGCGTGGCATCATCTTGTGCTGGATTGAATGCAGGCACAGCAATCCGGTGACGACTACGACGAGGACGAGGACAGCGACGCGGGCAGTGCGGCAACGCTCACGCTGGCAGATGAGGAGGATCGCTGGCGCGCCATCGGTCACGGGAGCGTCTCTGGACCTGCAGGCTTGAGCGCGGCGCGTCAAGGGGACGATAATTCGTCCATGGGGTCCATGGGCCACGGCTCGGACGATCGTGATATCGAGGAGGTCAGCGTAGCGCAATCACGCTTCACCGAGTACTCCATGACATCTTCCATCTTGCCGCGCTCCGAGCACCAAGTGATTCACAACGAGCATTTTGAGGCTATGTACGCCGCGGTAAGAGCCACGCATGCTCTCTTTTCCTTCCTCTTACTTTGGCTATCTTTTACGCCCACTTGCCGTCGACTTTTTGTTCCTTTATTTTTTGATTGATTGACTTTTTTTTTTTTCGTCGCCACATTCTAACGTGCTGCTTGTACTTGCCGTCACCGTGCCGCGGTTCATTGTCTACGCGTTTGGGGATGCTGTTAGTATGACGATTCACAACTGGGTGCATTGGACGAGGACCACGCCTATGAGGACAGCGATGTTGTGGGCACTCAAGATATCGAACAGTTTGATCGAGTCTTGGACCAGTTTTTGAACACCCAGCGCCAGTATCAGCTGCCCTTGGCTCAGGCCGTTGCCGGCATCAACGAGGAGGAGCCTAAAGCACCCGCCGAGGATATCTTGGAACGCAACGATGCAGACGAGGCTGCCGAGGAGGACGAAGAGGAAGAGACAATGGTTCTGGACAGCGTAGCGTTTAAGGTTTGTTCAGCCCGTGGGGGTGCCGAGAACGTCTTGCGTGGACACTGGGGTAGCCTTTTCTGCTCAACTTTCTTGACCGACCTTGATGTCTGTGGGTGTCTGGCTCATTGGTTACAGCCTCGTAACAAGGAGTGGGACTGCGAGTCCATCTTGTCCACGCGCAGTACGCTCTATAATCATCCAACCGTCATTGACGAGAAGCGCCGGTCACGCCCGCGCCCCATCCAGCTTCATCCCAAAACAGGCTTGCCGGTTCGTGATGTGACCCCGATGGCAATGCACCACCGCTCGCATTGCGCCATTGCGCAATTAGCAATGGAATCGTATGCACTGTGCGCTTGCTCATCGACTCGGAACATGTGACAATCCCAACTATAGCTTGAGGCATTTGCTCGTCCAGGCGCAGCCGAGGAGGAGCCGGAGGAGATGTATGATGAGGAAGCTGAGGGTGACTACTTTGAAAATCGGGGTGTGGCGCGCGACAAGGTGCAGTGACTGCGCAGCAGCGATTTGGGCATGAATCTCCAACCAGCAGGTTGGGTCAGAGGAAACTCACGTTGTGGTGCGATGTTCTCTTTAGCACGAATCGGCCGAGGATAAGCGGGCGCGAAAGCAAAATCTCAAGGAGGAGAAACGGTTGCGCCGCCAAGCCAAAAAGGCCACTAAGGAAGCCTTCAAAGCTGAGACGAACCGCCAGAACAAACTGATGTCCAAGCAGTCAGGCATCAAGGCTGTGAGCGTTGCTTAAAGTGAAAGCCTCTGCTTTTCTTTTTTTTTCCCGAGCCGAGCCATCCAGTGGTGGAAAGAATCCAGCTCTGATGAGATGGGTTATGTGTTGAATGCTCGAGTCAACCGCCCTCTTGTGCCTGCGCCTTTCCCTCTTCTTTGCCTGTTGTAATAGTGTCATGTCGTGTTTCTGCTCGAGATGGTGATGGCATGTGCGCCCGTGGCGCCAGACGCGTTAAAATCGAAGCTTGTTTCCTTGAACGACTTTTTTCTTGGCGAGCTGTACGCAAGTACAACTAGGCTACGTATTGAGCTCGATCTCAGGGATACCGGCGCGGCGCATTCGTGTGTAAACATGAGATCAGTGAAGAACGAAGGCATCTGCCAATGTGCAATTGAAAGCAGGGCTTTGAAACACTTGCATGTCACTGGTCAAGAAAAGCAATTATCGGCTCTGGGTCTTGATGGTGGCAGCGAGACACAGTTGGTGTTGGCAAGATGCTTAAGCCGAGTGGCAGTCGGCAGGAGGGATCCAGATGTTGGGGTCCTGGACGCCGAGGGTGACATCGGTAAACTCCTCATAGTGGAAGCCTGAGTCAGGCACCATGACGTCGTCGCGCACGGGGACGCACTCTTGGGTGAAGGTCTGGTAGACATGAGCCCCGGGTTCACCGTGGTAGGTTTGGTTCACCGCAACCCACTGGCTGAGGGTGATTGAGTCTTCCGAGTTGCCTGACAAGCGAGGTGTGCAAAAGAGCGGGGGAGCCACGTGAGATTGAGATGTTCTGCCGTGTGCGCATGTGCATGTGTGTGTGTGTGTGTGTGTGTGTGTGTGTGTGTGTGTGTGTGTGTGTGCGTGTGTGTGCGCGCGCGCCAACAGCAGGTACTTACCAAGGGTCTCGTAGCCGACAAAACGTGCGTTGGGGTTGATGTCGTGGTGGCGGAAGGGGAAGTTAATGTTGTAGCTGGTGCACTTGCCAGTGGTGAGGTTGGTCACGTAGGCCTTTTGGCTCTTGTACAGCTCCAGCACCTCCACACGATCAGTGGCCGAGTCACCAACAGTGATGTCCTCGCGGCGCCAGATGCGCAGTTCAACACCATCATAGGCGTACGCGCCGTAGCTACGGTACTGGGAGGTGTGGTTGTGGTAGTAACGGCGATCGGGGTCAAAGCGCACGACCCGAGCCTCAAACTCCTGCGGCATATCGCAGCTAAGACCCAGTGGCAAAGGGATCCAGCATATGCAACATGACAGACAAGAACAAACAAACGCACCAACGAAACACGGGCCTGGTGAGATCGCCGATCGCTCCTCCTTTACCAGGATGCTTCACCATGCAGAACAGCCGGAATGATCGTACCGCTGGGCATTGGCACAGGCCAGGCAGGCGAGGGCAAGCGCCACCAAGGCCAATCCCTTCATGGACGTCATGTTTTCGGTCAAAGTATCAGCGAGGAAAACTTCACCGCTGCCCCAGCCAAAAGAAAATAAAATGGTGATCGTGTCGGCAAATCCATCCGTTCAGGGGCCACTAAAGAACAGCAATAACGCCAGTTGGAACAACGTCAACTTGAGTGGATTAGGTTAGAGCCACGTCAATAACTCCGATATCATCTGCATTTAACCGAAACCAGGCCGCACCACAACATAAAAGCTGCGAAATTCAGAGATGGGACCGTTTTGCAAATCGGATTGGGCGACAGGGAGTGAGAGAGAGAGAGAGAGAGAGAGAGAGAGAGAGAGAGAGAGAGAGAGAGAGAGAGAGAGAGAGAGAGAGAGAGAGACAGGAAAAATCAAGGCTATGGCGCTACCACATGTCTTCCGCCTCCTCCAAAAAAAAAAAACCACCATCGAGGCAACAGTAGAAAGCAACTGTAAAATCCAACAGGTCCGTAAACCGGAATGTCAGATTATTTTGACCGGCGGGATCAAGTCGTCAATGGCAACACACACACACTCTCCGGACAACTTTTTTTTGCCTCTATTTTGTTTATGGTTTGACGAGGGGTTTGGACGAGAGGAGGTGCCCGTGTGCCGGTGTCCGGCTGGCATCGCACCCTGTCCAGTCTGAACGTGTTTCGTAGGGTTCAGGGTCAAAAGTGGGGAAGGGATTTAGGATGGCTGCAGCCAGCACCGACCGAAAGCGTCTGGTCCGGATCGACCGGTTGGTGCAAGCCTATAATCTCCCGCGCAAGCGCGACCCTGACTCGCCACCGCCGCGCTTTGCACCCGAATGCTCTCCGGGTCAGCGCCACCTGCAGAAATGGCACGAAAAGCGCCTTCAGGATCCATGGCCCAACCGCCAATACATCGCCGAAGAGTTCGGCGCTAATACCAGCCCCAGCCCACACGCTCGACTCCCATCGATGCCAGGTTCCCTTCCTTCGAGCCGCCGCACTCTGGCCGCCCGCCAGGCGACGAGCCCAGAGCCATCTGATGCAGCGCTCAATCAATCTCAGGTAGCGCTTCGAAAAAATAAAACCAAAACTGATCATCACAAAAGCCCAAGCCCTCCCACATGTCGATGGCGGGGGGCCAGCACTACACCACCCCCTGCTACCGCAGCCCCCTTACCTCCGAGTCGCGGTGGCAGCTACCGCGAGGAGCAGCATGCGTGGTGTTTGGAACTTCATGCCAAGCCCTTGCGCATCACACCGGATACTGCTGCACGCATACTCCTCAATCATAGTTATCGGCAGTGGCGAGAGTGGACGCTCCTGCCCGTCGCGCGGGTGGATGCCTGCGTCTCCATGGCAGATGCTTTTTGTCAGCTGTTCAGTCTATCATATGTTCTCTTGAATCGCGAAAAAGTAGTGGAAATTGTCAAGGTAGGGCGTGACTCTGCGGCGATGGGGCAAACCGGCTCAGTCTCATCTGATTCTGCAATGACGCTTCTGCTGGGTCTCGCTGGTGGTGGTGCAGAGTGGCCTACTTTTGCGCCCGGAATCCACTTTGCTGTACTGCGACAATCCGGCCACCTATGCCCCTTTCATCACGTTGAGGCGGCGCTTGGGCGTACGTTTTCCTGACAGCAAAGCATGACCTTGAGCCTTGAGCTGCGCGTCTGTGTGTGGTGGGTGAGCGCGCCCTTGTTCGCGTGCGTGCTCATCCTCATGCGCCCGCCTGCTATCAGGGCTCAGATGCTGAGACACAAGCTGCCCTTGTGATGCAAAAGGCCGCCAGGTACCGTTTCTGCCAGCTTCATCAATCACATGGATGGTCTCTCACCTCTGAACCTGCATGTGGCGTGTCTTCTCTGGTCTTGTCAGATCCTTTTTGAAATACCTGCAACGAGAGCGGCTTCGCCGCCAAGCGGCCGCCATTGCCGTCATTTCCACCACCTGGTGCATCAAGTTGTTCTACCGCGCCATGCGCCACCGGCGTCGTCGTGCTCACGACGAGCGTTTAGCCTGGTATGAACCCCACGTGCACTGGCCGTCAGGGTACAACATGCACTCTTAGGGCCCTTCATCTCCATGACCTGATCTCCCACATAGGAATGCCGATCAGCTCGAGGGGCTGCGTGCCAATTGGTCTCAAGTGACGGCTGAGCCACACATGATCGTACAACTTCTTTCGGCTGATTTTGGAATCAAAACACGCCAATGGTACGACTTGATGGGGGATGGTTGCTCAAAGTCAGCACGAGGCGACAATTCGTCCGTTCTACTGAAAGCACAGATCAGTCCTGAATGATATCTGTCCCGGCTGATGTAGGGGGGTGCTGGATACGCGTGCAGTCGAGTGCAGCATGGTGCCGGCGCTTGAGTTGTTGCAGCGCTATCCAGCGGCTGAGCTCTTGCTGGTTGTGTCAGAAGCGTGGAGCAGCGAAATGTATTCCGTGGGTTGATGTCCCTGCCCTCCTTGTTTAATTGCTGTTCCTTGTTGTTCTCTCTGTTCTTGAGAGCCGTCCTCTGCACCGCCCTTGACGGGCGAGTGGGAGGCAAGCTGTGCACAAGCCACGCCTCTCATGGTTCTTTCAACCGCGTGACTATCGTAGACACTGCTGGCTGACGTGATGGCGACCTGCCGCTGCAGCGAGAGCCAAGCACAGCTGCGCTGCCACGTTCTTTGCCCAGAGTCAATTGGATACTTTGTCGCGCACAATCTACCTTTGTCTCAGTTGGTGCTATATGACGGTCATATTTTGAAGCGGTTACAGAACCGTATTGCCGGGCGACCAGGCTACGTGTTCTCCACCGTGCCCAGCCAGGCGGACTTGCAAGTCGCACACACCCTGCAGCTGCCCCTATTGAGCAGCTTGGCAGAGGAGACGGCGTCTTTGCGAAGCTGGCCCGCCCTGCGCGCTGATCCCGACCTGGGCTCGGTACGCTGTCTTGTTGCCTTGGCTGTGCACCCCCATATTCCTCTCACTGTCATGCGATTTAAAAACTCACGGATCCTTGCTGGCCTTCCTCTCGTGACCAGATGCTGGCCCCTGTCTGGCAACTAACGGCGGGCACGCTGAAACGTCAGCTCCATTCGTTGGCGGCCGGCATTGTACAGCACGCCGTGCAACAGGCCCAGGATCGACCCGGGCCACGACCAGTTGCTTGGTGTTTGACGACTTTACAGTCCACGGCGATTGACAACGTGCGCATTCTCTTGCCCGACACCTGTGTGCGGGCACACCTGGAGCGCATCGTCGGGGCAGCTTGCGACTATGGGCCAGTGTGGCACGCCGACGCCAAGTTGCGAGGTCCACATGAGCGACGGCTGGCCAACGAGTTGCCGGATCTCTTGGACAGGTTTGCTGAATGCCCCAATCGGCCAACATTGGAGCACGCACAGGCGGCTGCCGCACCCATTGAGCGTCTGTGGCGTCAACTGCTGGAAACGGGCGCGATTGTGCGGCCCGAGTTTGAGGTTAAGGATTTACCTCGCTATGAGACGGCTGCTCTGCTCTTGCCAAACCAAACGCTCGCGCGTACTGGGCGCTTGTTGGGTCAGACCACTGGGCTGGGCTGTCTTGAGCCGGGACCCGCCACTGTGGTGGCGGCCTCGGACCGTGTCTTGACCCGCCTGCGAGAGCGTGGCATCTTGGGGCCGGTGCAACTTCGCTGGGCCCTCCCGGATCCGGGCCAGGCCCCGATGCTGGAAGTGGCCATCCAGCGATTGGCCCCCTTGGTGTTGAGCGGCGCGCCCACGCCCTGTTTAGTGGCCATGGACATCCGACACACGGCTTTACAAGCGTGCTCCATCCAAAGCTTGCGACACATGCTTCGGTATGGGTTTCACACTTCATCGCTCCATTTGTGCTCGGTTCCCGCACGCCGCTCACGAACCAAATTGCTGTGGGTGCGTTTTGGGTGCATTTCAGGGCTCTGGAACAGGAAGCGCAGGCAATTGGCATCAAGCCCATGCGAGCGCGGGAGCGACAGCACATTGGATTGGTGCTGGCCCAGCCGGCTGCAGCCTGTCGGACTTTGCTCGAGAGACTCTTGGCCTTGGTCGTGGCAGACAAAGTGCCTCCCCATCCCAACGACACGCTGCCCAGCATCCTTAATGGTCTGGCGTTATAATTGCATTTGGGCTTGGTGGGTGAGCCCCTGTCGTTTGAGAGTGATGTAGGAGACTGCTCTAGCAGTGCAGAACCCCGATTTGCCCGGCCCAGCTTGCTGACCTCTAATAAAGAAACAAACCCTCGTAAGCGACCAATTGACCCAAGCCGAGTGCCGGACGGCCCTGCCCTGCCCTTATCGAATAGGTCCTATTGCATGTCATGCACTTGAAGAAGGCGTCATTCTCTTTCGCCTGCTGCCGTGGTTGCGAGGGATCGTGCAGCGCATACATTCATTGGTCGCACCACATTCCTCGCAAGCAAGACCTCGCTCTCAGGCCTGAACCGAGGCGTTGAATCAGCTGGTCGCGGTGCGACCTCTGTCCGCGCCATGCATGGTTGGCATTTTGCCTTCACATTTGCTGTGGAATGATAGGTGTCCGCCAAAGTTCACACTTTGACTGATAACTACCAGGTGTTGTTGGTGTGATGACTTTGTGTTGTCCCTTTGTGTGTCTTGTGTGTGAGTTTTTGAGGTTCAATTTGCTCTCTTTGTCTGTAGAGGTACGTGACTGGTCCAGAGAGACAAAGGTCAAGAGAGAGTGAGAGAGAGAAAAGAAAGAAAGAACAAGACGGTTGAGGCGAGGTTTGGATGAAGAGACCGCGTTGCACTGCCAGCTGGCTTGGGCTTTGGCTGCTGACCGCTGTTCAGGACTGTGCCTGCGGCCTTTGAGAGCGCATAGCGGCTGGGTGTTGTTGTCTTATTTTATTTTTCCCTTCTGGTGTGGTAAAGAGAGGCTGGTGTGCACTTGCCCCCCTTGCTTGACCTGCTCTCGTGATCAACTGACGTGGTGTGGTTGGGCCCTTTCCTCCTCAGTTGGTCCAACGTAGCTCCTTGCATATCGTCAACCATGGCTCCCACCAACATCTGCTGCATTGGTGCCGTAAGTCTTGAAGGAAGCCTCGGTCTTGTTGTTGTTCAGCGCGGCTTCTTCATGCTGAGCTCTGCGTTTTTGAGTTGCGTTGAGTGGAAAGTTATAAAAAACGAAGCAGTGGCCTTTTTGCACTGCCACGTTGTCACTTGGGTTGTTCCGGCAAGGGATTTTCTCGCTCGCTATCGTTGATCTCACTGAGTTGGTTTCACCCTCTCTCTCTCTCTCACACACACACACACACTCTCTTTCTTTTCCTTTCACATCTTGATAGGGCTATGTCGGTGGCCCCACGTGCTCTGTCATTGCCCTCAAGGGTGGTGACCAAGTCAAGGTCACCGTCGTCGATATCAACCAAAAGCGCATCGCCGCTTGGAATTCGGATGAGTTGCCCATCTACGAGGTTTGTCAACCTGCTGTGGCTCACCTCTTTTGACTCTTGTTCGCCTCTTCTCCCCTCACCGCAACGTATCATGCATGGCCTCGCTCGGCGCAGCCTGGGCTCGATGAAGTGGTGCAGCAATGCCGTGGCAAGAACCTTTTCTTCAGCACCGACGTGGCTGGTGCTATCAAGGCAGCAGACCTCATTTTCGTGTCCGTCAACACGCCCACCAAGCTTTACGGTCTTGGCAAGGGCTCGGCCGCCGACGTCAAGTATATCGAGTCGTGCGCCCGCGCCATTGCTGAGCACTCCGAGGGCCCCAAGATTGTGATTGAAAAGTCGACGGTGCCTGCCCGCACTGCTGAAACCCTCGACCGCATTCTTCGCGCCAACTGCAAGCCTGGCATCACGTTTGAGATTCTCTCCAACCCTGAGTTTTTGGCCGAGGGCACCGCCATCAGCGACCTCATGTCCCCGGATCGTGTCCTGATTGGTGGCTCGACAACCCCCGAGGGCCAAAAGGCCATTCAAGCGCTCAGCGCTGTCTACGAGCACTGGGTGCCCAAGGACCGCATCATTACCACGAACACCTGGTCATCGGAGCTCTCCAAGTTGGCGGCCAATGCCTTTTTGGCACAGCGCATCTCCAGCATCAACGCCATGAGCGCCATTTGCGAGGCCACCGAGGCCGATGTGTCAGAGGTCGCTCGGGCCATTGGCAAGGACTCACGGTTGGGTGCCAAGTTTCTGCAGGCGTCGGTCGGCTTTGGTGGCAGCTGTTTTCAGAAGGACATTTTGAACTTGGTCTACTTGGCCGACTCGCTCAACCTCCATGAGGTTGCTGATTACTGGCGCCAGGTTGTCATCCTCAACGACTGGCAGGAGCGTCGCTTCTCCACTCGCATCATCAAGGCCTTGTTCAACACGGTCAGCAGCAAGAAAATCTGCATCCTTGGTTTTGCATTCAAGAAGAACACCGGTGACACGCGCGAGAGCGCTGCCATCTATGTCTGCCAACATCTCATGGATGAGGGGGCCCAGCTCGCCATCTATGATCCCAAGGTCAAGGCCGAGCAAATTGACCTGGACCTCAAGAGCGTGTCACAAGGTCAGGAGGACCGCGTGGACCGCCTTGTGACGGTGCATTCGGACCCTTACGAGGCCATGGACGGAGCTCATGCCGTTGCCGTCCTCACCGAGTGGGACGAGTTCAAGAGTATGTTGCCATGCCTGTGTACTGCCTTGTTGGGTTGAACTGCCCAGGCCTTGCTTTTTGTGTCCTTGTCGGGCGTGATTGTTTTGTCCTCACCGCTCTGATCTATTGCACGTCCGTCTGAATGAAACCCTTAGCTTACGACTTTGCCAAGGTATATGCTACGATGCCCAAGCCCGCCTTCCTCTTTGATGGTCGTAACATCTTGGACCACGCTGCGCTCCGGCAAATGGGCTTTGAGATCGAGGCCATCGGCAAGAAGATCCATTAATCCTGCCTGCCCTCTCAACTGGCTACAATCGTACATGTATTGGTTGATGATTGCCGCGTCATAACCCCCCTCTACAACTAGCCTCCACCTGAGGAGACCTTCTTCTCTGTTGTTCCTGTTGAGCATTTCGCCATCAGTCAAGGGGCAGTGATCGTGCGCTCCACTCTGCCATCCCCATCTTCTCCCTCTCTGTATTCCATGAATGCCAAATGACCTTGTCGAGTGTTTTGGCCAATTTAACAGTTTAAATCCGACCATGCATGTCTTGACTTGACCCTTTTCTTCGTACACCTCAAAGCACAATCATCAAGGACATCGAAGGCATACGCCCAAGTCTGCACACCACATGAACGACATCGTGCAAGGACCAATTGACACGCGCGCACTGCACAGCAATGTAGCTCAATTTTTGCGTTTGGAGAAAAAGGTGGGAAGTAGGAAACCTGCGAGGCTGTCCGACCCGAGAGCTTATTGCGTGTTACGGGTGCAGATGATCTGGCCGTGGTGCATGACGACGGGCTTGATCAGATCCTTCTTGATCAAGTCAGCAATGGCGCGGCGCGCAAGGGAGGCCTTGATCTTGAGACGATCCGAGACGGTGGAAGGAGTGATGAGACGGGAGACGGGGATCTCCTTCAACAGACGATCCTGCTGCTCCTTGTTGAGCAGAGGGGCGTTGTTGAGTTTGTCACGGGACTTGCCCTTGGACCACTATATTAAAGACGACGTGAAAAAGAAGCAGCAAAGGGTACGATGTAAGGGAGCGCATCATGTATGTGGCCTGCGGCCAAGTATCTCGAGGCTGAGGACATGCAGCAGTCCCTTGACATTGTGCGCCAGAATCATGTGCTAGTTTCTGAGGGTTGAAACTGCAAACGAATCTGACGCACAGTACCCTTCTCAAAGGGTGGCCATTGACGTTGGCGAAGAAAGATAGCCGTCGTCGATACGCACCTTCTTCTTAGCACCCTACAGGGCCGGACGTGACACCACAAAGGAACCAGAAACCAGGCACAGAGGACACAAAAGTGCCACCATGCGGGTTTGACATAATATTGTTCGTCGCCAGGATGGGCCCGGAACGCAAGGTAATGGCCAGAAAACGCGGGGCAGGAGAATATATGCACATGCAAGGAAGCAACAAATTTTCAAACATGAGAATGAATCAGGAGTGATTGGAAGGAACGTGCCCGCCAGCCCAGCTCGGACGGCCGCTGCGCTGCCCTTGCGCGCGGGGGTGCCAGCCAAGACGAGAGGGGGAAGGACGTGTGGCGTGAAGACTTACACCAGCCATGCTTGCTGTTCGTCGAAATAGAAAAGTGACTATCAAACAGACAGGAAAAACCCAGATGAAACGATACACAAAAGTATCGCTTGCAAGCCAATTCTCAACGAGGGCGCTACCACATGTGTTTGTAGCAGTGGCTCTAAAACCCCCATCTAAATATAGATGACGTCAGACTCGAGGAGACTCGCAAAGACCATCAGAGACCGATGGAGACTTGAGGAGACTGGGGAAGCGAGTGGTTTCTGCTTTTTTTTCTGCTCGAGTTTTTGACGCACCCGAACAAGATGGCGGCAGCGCTACAGCCTTTGGAGTTGGTGGATAAATGCATTGGTTCCCGGATTCATGTCATCATGAAAAACGACAAGGAGCTGGTCGGAACTCTCCTCGGCTTTGACGATTTCGTCAACATGGTGCTTGAAGATGTGAAAGAGTAGTACGTCAAGCTCGGATCGCACCCCCTGAGCGAGAGCATCGGCAAAAAGCGCCATGGTGCACGATGGCGTTCTGACCCTTGGCTACTTCGCTCCCTTGCTGTGTAGTGTAATTACCCCCAACGGGCGTGAGGTGCACCGACAGAAGAAGATTCTGCTCAACGGCAGCAACATTGCCATTGTATGTCTATATGCCATAATTGGGTTGTCTGAAGCATGCTACGTCATGCGCTTGCTCCTTGGCACTCAATCTCACGCCACGGTTCGGATGGAACGACTTGAATCAGCTTGTGCCAGGTAGCGATGGTCCTGAATGAGGGGTCGAGGGTGGGTGCCTTGGGTCGGGGGTGACTGGAGTTGGAACAAAGAATACGCCCGTATTGGCCACCATACCCTGTTTACCACCGACTTGGCCGAATCGCGAATGTTTTCCTTGGTCATTCCGGTCAGACTAGATCATTGCTCTTCCGCAATGGCGGAGGTATCAATATCAGATGTCTTCCCTTGCAAGCTTATCTTTCTTTGTTTCTTCTTGTACTTTTGTTCCTTTTTTTTTTGTTTTCACCTTTGCATCGCTGACGTTTGCATTCCTCTCTCGCCATCATGATCATCTGTGTCACGCGAGCAAAGCCAAGCGCTAAGCGCCCTGAGCTTCATCTTGTTGCTCCTCTCTTGTCACGACACACCTTCCTTGGTTCGTGCATGCGACGAGCTTTCTGGTAGAGGAATTGCAATTTGCCAAGTAACAACAAGACTTCTCTTTCAGTCAGAGTACATCAATTCAAAGGTCAGCACGTTAGTTTGACAGAAGAACACTCGCACGGCCAACACGTCGCGCAAGGCCTACCGCCGCTTTTTCATTCAGACACACCATCCTCCCTCAACCCCACATACCCACAACATTAGACACAACACAAATAAAAGACTTTAGCATGATCGACATGGGATGGACAGCCAAAGGGCCAGCCAACAAATAACATTGAATCACTGGAGCCATTGTCTTTCGACCCGATCACCTCACTTGAAGGTGCGACGCAATCCGACGCCAGCACTGACTGGCCGGATTGGTACAGCAGTCAATGTGATCATCAGACGAGTCTCCTCTTGAGTCAGACGGCCGACCAACTAGAGGCTGATCAGCCAGCCAAGAGCAGCAACAACGACCAATCAAACAGTGACAAAAAATAAACATCAGGTCATAAGGAGGCAACCTATGCCATCAGGGCCCATTAGTTCGACACGTCGATGCGGCGGTACTCAAAGGCCGAGCCGGTCCAAAGTGCCGCGCACGTGTCGGTGACGGCCTCACAAGCAGCTTGTACTGAAACAATCATGCTGCCATGCTGGCCAACCTCCGCACGACCCTGCTGAGGAGTAAGCGCTGCTATATACACCTCGAATTCGCCATCATCCGCAGCTCCTTTGCGTGGACCTTGCTGTGCGCGCGCGGCCGCGGTAATGTTAATCGTGATCAATTTTGTTTCCTCCGCTTGCGTGAAGCGTATGGTTTCGTTGAGGCTCACATAGTAGTCGGGAGCAGTCGCTGTACCATCACGCGTCGCGATGACCACGTCCACGGGACTAGCGGCGAAGGGGGCTCGGCGACTGACGTTGAGCACCAAGACATCGGTCAACTCAGACACCGTTGCTGTGGCTGTGGTAAACGAAATAATGCCGGCATCATTCAGCGCCAAGACTGTCACGACAGGATTTGCTGCGGACCACTGGCCATCGATGGCCACCCGAATCGATTGTTCGCCTGGTGCCACCGCACATGTCATGACCAGCGCTGTATCGTTTATGACTGAGACAGCGTCGCAATCAACATTGCCTGCTCGGGCCGTCAGGTTAATAGCCCCTGCCAAGGTTGATGATGTCATGCCAAAGTGCATGCCCTCCACGGTAAAATTATACGTTCGGTTGGCATACACTTCTGACGGCATCACCGAGGTCAACTCGGGCATGGCCAATGCCGTGTAGACACCTGTCACGTTTGCAAGTGAATGGTCGAGCGCCACCAAGACATCATACTGGCTGGGTACCAAGGCAGGTACCACGCAAGCCAGGCGGTCAGCTGCAACAAAGTACGTCTCAACACACGGCACACCGCTCAGAGATACGTTGGGGACATTGGTACCGTTTGAGGTTGCGGCGTAGCCCAGGTTGCTGCCTTCGACAAACATGATCGAACCACCAAGTGCTGAAAGGGCCGTCGGCCAAACAGCCGATACCGTAGGCTCGGCCAGATAGGTAAATGTGATGTTATTGGGTGACACGAGGGAAGCTTCCAAAACCACGGACAGGGTGACCGGGCCGGGCTGGGCCGCCGCAGGCATCTCCACAATCATCATCTCATTCTCGTGGTGCTCGATGCGCGCCTCACCTACGCCCTCTACGCGCACGGTCACATTCACAGGACCAGTGTAAGGGGAGAGAGCACGAAGACCAGGCTGCAAAAAGTTGAGCCCCACCATTGTGACACGTGCACCACCCGCTACGCTGCCCACAATGGGCCAAGCCGCTGTCAAGATGGGCCGGTCATAGTTCACGATCGAATCCATCTCAAGCTGCTGTGTAGTCACGCCCAAGGCATTTGGACTGTTGTCTACAAAAGAGTCGGCACCCAGAGCGCACCACAGTGCAGCGCCGGCGTGCTCGGCCAGAATCCATTGTACCTGCGTAATCGCAGAAGCATCAAGCTGGACAATCAAGGTACGCGCCAGATGGGAGGTCGCAGCTACTGACGCGTGAGTGAGATTAACCCAAGCCGTGGTGCCATTACCAATCGCAACGTGGGCCAGCTGAGTTGCAGAAGCGTTGATTGGTTCACTGAAATTCAGAACCAACAGACCCTGCACCAAGTCCAAGCGTGCACCCAAGGGAACGGGTAGGGACGTATCCCAGAGTACAGACGTGGCCGCGACACCAGCAGCAACATTGGGATTGCCGGCAATGTCAGTCACGGCTGCTGACGCAAGTCGCAGCTCACAGGAGGCAGAGCTGCGGCACAGGGTATCGGCCGAGGTCAGCTGATCACGAGTGGCTTGGTCCAAAATCACGACCACGACGTGCATGTCACGCGCATCGGTTCCATGGTCATTGGGCATGGCGCCAGCCGTCACGTCAATTTCGCCGCCGAGCACAACTTCTTCCACACCTCCGTTGGAGAGAACCATGGCGGAGAGGTTGACCAAAGCATATTGCACAACTTCATGCAACACAATCGTGGCTCGACCTGCTTGCAAATCGAGATCAAATTGCAGCAAGCGGGGTGCAACTGTGTCGGCGACCAAGCTGACGGGCGTAAGTCGTGCATATTCAGGATGGCGCACCACTTGATTTTGCGACATGTCTTCAATCAATGCGGTCTCGTGCACAAGATCCGTGCCGCTGCGGAGCGATCGTAAACGTGCAAGAGCATAGCCATCCTCTGCGGTCAGTGTGATGCTCACTGCATCGAGGTCATGACGCAAATTGGCAAAACCGCTCAACAGCAGTCCCTCGTAGGCGCTTGAAGCAATCGGTAGTGTGTTGGAGAGCCGCACGCTAGAGACGTCCAGCGAACTGGCATTGACCGTCTCTGAAAAGCTCAGCGTCAGCTCCAACGTGCTAAAGTTTAGAGCGGCACTGAGCAAGACTGGGGCGGACACATCTGCGATGACCTCAACCCCAACATCTGGACTGCTAAAAGTGCGGGCGGGTGCTACATTGCCGTGCATGTCGAACGCAAAACCTGCGCCAACACCCAGAACAAAGCCCGATGCCTCCAACACTGGAGCGTTGTTGCGCAACACATCGATAGTTGCCTTGCGAAGGGCAATAACCACGCCGGTCGTGTCGACCCAGGCCACCGGATCGGGTGCAAAGACAAGTTCCCCATTTGCTGAGCGCCCGCTGACCTTGTCTTCCACGGCACTGAAGTTGTCAAGAGCAATGGTTTGGAAGTTGGCCAACGTCAGATTGAGCAGCGATGGACGCACAGTGGCCATGTCCAGCGGCTCCTCGTAGAAAAGCGTGAGCGTGCCTTCGTTGAGGTTCAAAGCAACGTTGACAAGCACAGGGGCGCTAATGTCGGGCAAGAAGGCCACGGCGACTTGGGCTGGGGACAGCTCGGCTATGGGGTTGGCATTCATGTCCTGGATCGCTCCGTCGGCCATAAGAAGGGCCGAAGAAGCGAGGCTACGACCAAGATCCCGCCTCACGGACAGGGCGCCAAAGTCAGTGCTGGAAAGAGATATTGTAACATTACGGGCGTCGAGGGCCGAAATGGTGCTGCTTGAGCTCAGTGTCAGCGTCTGGTTTCCGTGGGCATTGCTCAGGCTGAAGCGTGTAGCTTGGAACGTACTGGCTCGCACGGGCTCATCAAAGTTAAGTTCAAGCTTGCGTGCATTCAGATCCAGCGTAAAGTCCAAAAGCAGGGGCGCCGTACGGTCGGCCACAAAGCTATGTGCGGCCTTGGCAGTTGAGAGCGTGGCAATCAAAGGCACGCCAACGATCGTGTGGGGGTTGGCAGCCATATCCAGCACCGTTGTATCTGGGAAACTGAGCCAAGTGTTGACGCGCGACGTGGCGAGCAGGTCGTTGACCTTGAGAGCAGCGGCGTCGTCATCATTAAGCCTGACGACTAAGATGGGGCCCGCTGTCGTTGTGGCTGCGCTTGAGGTCAGCGTGTAGGAATAGGTCGGCTCAAAAAAGTCGCCGATTGTCAGCTGGTCAATGCGTAGAGAGCTTGCATTAACCGACTCGGAGAAGGTGAGGAGCAACTCCAAAGCATCCAGATCCAATCCAAAGCTCGTCAGCATCGGGCGAGTTGAGTCCACTTGGTGGGCTTGCACAGGCAAAGGCACTGGGGTAGCAGCATTGTCATTGCCAAACATATCCACAATTGCAGTCGCATTGAGGTGCATGAAGCATGAGGATGGGAAACGACAAATCGTGCGGGCTTTGAGGTCATTGAGGTCGCTGTTGGAGAGAAGGACGCGAATGCGTTCACTGTCCAACTGCACCACGCTGCCCCCGGAGAGAGGAATGCTTGATGCTGCATTGGATAGCCATACATGCGACACATCCAACGTGGCTACGTCCACGGCCTCATCGAACGAAAGCGTAAGGACTCCGGCTTCCATGTCGATCGAAAAGTTTTCCAGCTTCGGAGCCGTTTGATCCACCACCAAGCCGCTGGCTTGCAGTGGGATATTGCTCACGTCGAGCGGATTGGCTGCCATGTCAAGCAAGGCACTGCGCGTACTTGCAAACCAAGTTCCGCTCAAATTGCGACCAAGCGAAAGAGTGGTGGCGATGTTATTGAAATCCGCCCTTCCAATATCGACAGCGCATTGCACGGAAGGCGCAGCCTGCGCACGCGAGGAAGACAGTTGCACAGCCGAACCACAACTCATGCTCGAGCAAAGGGTGAGATTACTCATGACAAACGCTGAGCAGCGCACAACCTCGTTAAAGGTGAGCTCCAGGGTGCGTACATCCAAGTTCAAAGCAACGCTCTGCAGGACCGGTGACACGGTGTCACCAACCAAGACGCTATTGTTAACAAAGGCCGGCACGATGCTGACACCAGTGGTATCGGTGACAAAGCCACCGAATACCAGAGCACAATTTGCGGCTGACGTGCACAGGCTGTCATCTTGGGTCACGTTGTTAATGACAGTTTGTGGCAAAGCCAATGTTATTTCGAGGCCATCGCTCACGGAAACGCTCGTGCTGCCGCCGAGAGAGACAGGACCAGCCGCGCTGCTGATCAGTGCAAGGTGAGCTGGATCCAGCGACAACAGGTCCACAGGTTCATCAAACGTCAGGTGAAGTAGGTTAGCGGTCAAGTCAAGCGTAAACTTAGTCAGGGTGGGGGGAATGGTATCCGCATGAACTTCATCAAACACATGATCCAAAGCGGGCAGCAGGGGGTTTCCAGTTGCATCCCGGGCACTCTGACTGCTCATGTTCAGTGTGAGGCGCCCAGGCAAGGGACCCTGCAGCTTGATCTGGTGCACATAAGCCGGGGCTAGTTCAATTGTCAGCTGGGCCTGAGCCGGGCCACGATGAACAGCGACAAAGCTGCTGCTCATTGCGGTGTCCCCGGGCACGAAGGACACAAATTCACTGGGCATTACTTCTGCAGTCATGACTTCGGAAAACGTCAGCGTTATCGTCTCGTTGGTCATGTTCACAGCAGCAGCGACCAGCTCGGGTCGGGTCGTATCCGGAACGACGAGCGACAGAGGCCAGCTACCATCAATAACCGCGTTGCCTGCCACGTCGCTGCCCAAGGAAGGAATACCGGCCAAGTGCAACCAGGTCCAACTATCAGATGTGGCAAGGTTGGCAAAGTCTTGAATGTCGAGAACGTCGGGCACACGAAGCGAGGCCACCAGCGTAGTGGCGTTGGTCTGTGTCGCAGTGGTCTCGGCCCGAAGTCGTACTGCGGCTCCGCTGTAGTTGTTTGGACATGCCATCAGGCATTCTGGCAGGTTTTGGCAGGCGCTGAGGCAGTCTGGCAGCGGTATTCCCGCCCCTCCAGAGGCATTGGAGACCAGATAGACGGCGGAAAAATTGAGGTTTGCCGTAGACATTGTCTCGGAGAAGACGAGCGTAAGGGTTTCGTCGGTCATGTCAAGCCGGCTATAGATTAGGCTGGGCGATGCAGCATCAGCCGTGTAGGTCGAAACGGCAATGGAATTGATGCCCAACGCAGCCGCCACGCTTGGATTCTCGCTCGTGTCAAAGAAAGCAGCGTCTTCGGCTGCCAAGTAGGTGGTGCTTGACGACACAGCAATACCGTTGAAGACCATGTCATCAAACAGCGGAGCACGCAGTGCCAGGATCACCTCAGAAGCATTCGTCGTCGTGAGAATATCGCTTTGCTCTAGCGCAAGACTGGGTGCTCCAGATGCCGAATCTGCGGCGAGACGCAGGGCACTCAGATTTACAGATGGCAAGTAGATTGACTCATTGAAGTACAAATGCACCCGGCGTGTCGTCATGTCCACATCAAAAGCTGCGATACGAGGACGGTCTTCATCGTCCACAAAAGTGGACACCTCATAGATACCCAGAACGTTGGAGTTGGGCAGCAGCGCCACATCCCAGACTGCCTGGGCCAGAAGCTGAACATGGCACACACCCTGCTCGGAGCACAATGGCCACTGGCTTTTGACGGCATTGAGTTGAACTTGCGTCAGCTGCAGCATAATGCCCGAGGAAACGCGCGGCGCATACGCTGCACCTGTCAGTGGCAGGGCTGCAGAGTCGTTACGCCCGTCTGTGAGAAGGACCCGGGAGAGGTTCAAGGTGGAAAAGTCAACTGGTTCGTCAAAGTTCAGGTGCAGTGACCCGCGCTGCAAATCAAAGGCTGATGCAGACAAGTACGGTGGCTGTGCCTCGCTGGATAATTGCGCCAGCACCAAGGCTTGCGCCATGGATGGATTGCCGCTCATATCAACCAAGAAGGAGGGCGGGAGTTCAACAAGCAACGTGAGCGGCTGGAAGCGCAATAGCTGAGCTTGCTCCAAGCGATCAGTTTCCGCATCCGTCAACACCAGATCAAAAGTCATGGACGCGCCCGCCGGTGCCGCCACACTCAAGGCGTCCGTGCCAAAGTTAAACGTGCAATTGGCCACCACACAGCCCTCTGTGGCGTTGAGAACCACTCCATTCAAGTTCATCTGAGTGCTATTCACAGGCTCGCTCAGTGCGATGCGAAGGACTTGGCTCCCGTCGAGCAAAGTTGTCATGTTCACCTGCACTACTTGAGGAAGAATCGAGTCGCGCGCGTAAGCCAGCAATTCGATAGCCTGTGCAAGCACTGCGTTGCCAGCCACATCCACGAAGGTAGCCGCATCAAGACTGAGGAAGGTGGAGTTGGCATCACTATACATGGTGGCATCGGCTTGGAGCGTCTGTACGAGGGCTTCGCTAAGCTGCAAGACCTGCAGTCGCTGGGTAGCGTTGGTCACCAAGCTGGCAGTGGCATGGCTCAAAGGCAGTGACTGTCCAGCTGCACCTCCGAGCCGAATGCCTGAGTATACGGCGATGCCAGGAGACACGGGCTCTACAAAGGTCAAGCTGAGCACGCCAGTGCTCATATCCACGGAAAAGCCAACGGGGGTAGGTACCACGTCATCAACAACAAGAAGCTCCGGTACAAGCTCAACCATAGCAGCGAGACTGTTTCCGGCCATGTCTTGCAATACTGCTGGCTCAAAGCGCACAATGGTCGAGTTAAGCTGCAAGCCAAATGGCGACAGTAGCTTAATGGCGGCTGTCAAATCTGCATCGAGTTCAAGCTCTAGTCGAGCAGCATTTTCAGAACCCGCAATCAGGGTGATACCGCTTGCAGCAGTCACAGGCGTTGAGGCACCTGAGTGGTTCAGAAAAGAGATGTATGCATCGTCCAGGGTACTGATATTGACGACCTCCGACAGCACGAGCGTTAAGCGAGCGACACTCGTGTAGTTGAGGCTCAATTCGAGACCCACAATAGCAGGGGCAACTGTATCAGCCAGATACACCACGTCAGAGAAATTGCTCGCCACGCTGCAGAGATCAGACTGATCACAGAAAGCCCCATCAAGTAGCCAAATACTCGAGGAGCCCACGTCGATCATCAGAGTGACATTCGCTTGCGCGGCAAAGAGTGTGACGTCCGTCAAAGTCCAGGTGCAGCTGCGGTTGAGGTCATGGCAAGTGACGGGCGTCACGTCCTCAAGATACAAGGCGCCAGCAGCAAAACCAATCAGATTGGCTGTGGGCACCTGCACAGGCTCTGAGAAATTGAGAGTCAGGCGGCCCTGGGCCATATCCACGACTGCTGCCCGTACTTCAGGCAAAGCGGTATCATTGAGCACTGTTGCGTTCACCAAGGTCAAACCACTAGCAAGGTTACCAGCCATGTCTCTGACCCATCCAGACGAGGCAACTAGCTCACAGATGCCGGAGAGGCAACGTCTTGCGTACTTGAGACCGTCAGTGGTGTCGGCGGTCAACTTCACTGACACTTGCGTGGCAGGCATAGTCGTCACAAGGTCGGCCTCAACCGACAAACCCCCGAAAGTCAGTTGAGCAAAGATAAGCGATGTCGGAGAAACGACCTCGCTAAAGCTCAGTGTCATCAAACCATCGGTGGCATTGTACACCACCTCGTTCAAACGAGGCGTAATGGTATCGGCGACAAACACATCCACCTCCGCTTCGTGGTGCAAAATTGGGTTCCCGGCGTAGTCACGCACAAAAGTTGTTTCGACTTGGAGCACAGCCGTACTGGCGTTCTCGGCCAAAGCAGGATCAGCCTGCAAAAGGTCAACTTCGGACTTCAAGAGGTCAAGCACCCAAACCGTGGCATCTCCGTTGGCTTTGAAAGTACGTGGCTCAGCCAGCAAGCGCAGCGTGCTTCCAGCCGCACCCACCAAAGTGAGACTCGAGGCATTCAAGGTCAACGCATCCACTGCCTCGCTGACAACAATGGTCACCTGCTCTGCTGTCAAGTTGAGGACCGTATAGAGCACATCTGGGGCTTGAGTGTCTGCCACAAAGTGGGCGACGGTGAAGTTGGCCAGCTCATTAACAGCATTCTGGTTCATATCAAGCGCCCAGGCCAGCGGGAGCGTGAAAACGCTGGTTGCCGAGCTTACATACGCCCGTGTGATTGCCATGGCGTTGAACAAGGAATGAGTTAGATTCAAAACAAGGGTGGTTGACGGCCGAGCATCACCGACGCGAACAGCCGCAAAAGGGGCCAAATTATCCCAGCCGAGCTGGGTCACAAGGACGGAAGACGCGTTTAACACCTCATCAAACTCTAGGATAAGACGGCGGTGTAGCATGTCGAGGGTGCTGTTGATGAGGACAGGGGGTGACACGTCAGGCACGAGGGCAGTTGCGTTGAGTGTGTTCTGAAGGTTCCCATTGCCTGACATGTCCTGAATCGCGCCGGCAAGCAGCTGCAGCTGACAATCTTCCAGAGTCGTGCAAAGCTGCGTGTCGGCCTTGAGTTGGTTGCTGGTCATACGGCTCAGTGCAATTGCTACCGTACGGCCATCATTGGGGGCCATGACAGTTCCGTCTAGTGCCACGGCAGAGCCTAAGTTGGCCTCGTTGATGGCAACAAGACGGGTCATGTTGAGCGTGGTGACGTTCACGTTCTCCGCAAAGGTCAATGTTACCGTCAACGCGTTCAAGTCCAGCACCACATCGGTGGCCAGTGGGGCCACGCTGTCCGCGATAAAATCTGAGACGGCATGTGTTTCCGTCAGCGACGGATTGCCTGTAGCATCCGTCCAGGCTCCCATGCTGCAGACCAGCTCTATTGTGAGCGGGCTTTGAAGTACAGTGTGACTCAGCGTCAAATTATCAATAACCGAATCTGGTAGGGCTATATCAAGCTGCTCGTATAACGTCGATGCCAATGCAGCGACAGTCCCAGCCAGCGAGCTAATCCTCGCGCCATTTGGTAGCTGAAAGTGACAGTGCTCCACATTTGTCGACAAGATGGGTTCACTGAAATTAGCTTGAAGAATGCGATCAGTCAGGTCTAGTCGCAGAGCCACAAGGGCGGGGGCTGTGACGTCGGCTACAAAAGAGGTGGCGTTCAGGACCTGCGATACAAAAGCATTTCCTTCGACATCGACAATCATTCCAGATTGGGCTTGGAGCAGACTACTGCCAGCTGATAGGAATGTGCCGGCCTGAATTTTCAGTGTCGAAAGCACATTGTGAGCCAAGACCAGGCTGACGGCCTCGGTTAGGGTAGCCAAAGTGGTGTCGATGCCGGTAAAACCCACGGCCGGCGTACCAAACGCGATATGCTCCACGCTAAGGGTGGAGCTATTAATGACTTCGTCAAATTGCAGGCGCAGCGAGCCGTCGTTCATGTCAACATCAAATTCGACCAGCAACGGAGCAGAAGTGTCGCCTGTAAACGTGCAAAGCATTGCATTGGCAGGCGCCACTTCAGAAAGAACATTGGCCATGTTGTCGCGCACAAAGCCCACTGGCACAACGAGGTAGCTCGTTGCGGGGGAGCGTGCTACGCCAAGTTCATACTTGAGTGCATTCAGGTTGTCACGGCCCAACTTGAGCACAGCCTCTGTATTTGTCTGCTGGCCAAGCGTCTGATATTGCGTCAGCGCAACGGCCACGCGCTCATTCTGATAATCGTCCATCACAGCCACGCGATACTCTGAAGAGACGACAAGACCCGGCTGGGTGGAGACGGTGCTGCCTGCGGATGCTTGCGTCTGTACAGTGCCGTAGATGTAGTCTTCGCCCACCGTGAGTGTCAGCGTTCGGCGGGGATATACACCTGCTGCTGACTGGAAGACCAGCAATCCATTGCTGTCGCTAGGTGCGTTTAGAGTGCCATCCGGTTGCACGAGTAACATGGTACCTGAACCGCTCAAGACAAACTCGCCGGACACGCCGTTCCAAACGGCGGCTGTCACACTAGCCATGTGTTGCGCCTGCGTTGAATTCCGCAGCGAAAATCCTACAATCACCTCGCCCGCAGAAGAAGACATGCTTAGGAGGTAGTCCAAAAGGACAGGCTCTGTCAGGTTGGCCACATTCTGAATGTGAGCGCCGTTGGACATTATTGTTGCGATGGCCACGGGCTCTGAAAATGTCAAAGTAAGGTTGCCACTGGATAGATCAAGAGCGCATGCATCGAGAGAGGGTGCGGTAGTATCGTTGACAATAGTGAGTTGACTGCCCGAAAAGTCTTCGTCTGCAAGGGCGTTGCCAGCCATGTCCTGGACAGCTGCCGCGAGTAATTCCAAGATGCAATCACTCGCGTTGTAGCAAACAGCATGCCGTTGAAGCATGTTACTCTGCACAGCGCTTAAAGTGAAAACAACGGTCTCGTTGGACAATGTCAGGGGCGTCGTGTCTGCCAACTCAACTGATACTAGCCACGAGTCGTACAGCGCCAGCAGCTCGGGTTGAACTGTTCCTGGAAGGATAGGCTCGTTGAATTGAACTGTCAGGCGCAAGGGATCATTGAGATTGAGCTCTGCCGCCAAGACGAGAGGCGCGGCGTCATCAGCTGTGATCGTCACGGCCCGGACAGAAGAATTGCAGTTGTTGCCGAACAAATCTGTAACAAGTGCAGGGCCCGGCTCGAACCACACATTGGTTGCATTATCAATTGCACCCTGTCGCTTCAGTACGTTGAGAACGTCATCTGGTACACTGAATGACAACGTGCGAACGAGTGTGTCCTCAGGAGGATGCATCGTTGCTGCTGAGAGGACAGCAGGCTGTGATGGGGCAATGAATAAGCGAGCCGAAGCCAGGCTAACAGAGCGCTCATCGACGAGCTCGCTGAATTCAAGTGTGAGTACGTTACTACTCAGGTTGAGATGCACTGTGGTCAGATGCGGCGACAAAGTGTCATTCACAAGTGCCAGTGAGGCCAGGGTGGATTCAAATTGGTTTGCAAACCGATCAACCGCCAAGGTGGCCGGTAGCGCAGCTGCGAAGTGCGCATGGCCTGCAAAAATGGCATTCACAACCTGGTCATGAGCAGCAGGCACCAAAGGCAGCGTCCAGCGGCGATCGTAGTCTGAGCCAACAGCGCTTTCGGACAAGACGCCTGTTGTGATGTTTGCACTGCCATCCGAGCGCTGGAGCTGCAACAAGGCCAATTGGGCTTCTGTGATGGAGACTGGCTCGCTGAATACAAGAGTCAGCACAACACGGCTCAGGTCCAGCTCAACTGTGACGATATTCGGGACCTGCGTGTCGCTTCCAATTGGGTCGACTATCAGCGCGTTTGGAAAGGCACGCGGCTCCACCGGTTGACCAAAGACATCATTGAAAAAGCCGCTGTTCCATGATAGGACAAAGGTCTGAAGTCCGGCAAATTTCATAGCGGTGACACTCTGATTGCCGAGCAGCATCACCAGCTGAGGTGCACTGGCGTTGTTTGCGACAATCGCATCTGTCAACGGCACTGATAGGGTCCCATCAAGACTGGCTGCAGCCACATGTGCCACGGTAACGGCGTCCCGGGCCACGTACTCGGAGACACGTAGAAGCAGGATTTGAGAGTCAAAATCAAATTGAGCACTAAGGACATGGGGTTGCACCGTGTCCAGCTCAAAACGTCCAGGCACCAAGCTCTGCGTCACTGTAGCTGAGTTGTTTGAAGTATCCATTGCTAAAGCTCCGGACGCGCTGAGTATTGTTGTGGAGGCAGCGTTGAAGAACTCTTCAAAGGCGCGGAATGCATTGAGCTGGGCAGTCAGCAACGTAAACTCGACCAAATGTGACACACCAGTCGAGGAAGATAGAGTTCCCTCAACCGCCATGGCGAGAGTGCCGTTTTCAACAGTCAGGGCAGAAAGATTGACGCTGGAAAGCTGAACGGGCTCGCTAAACGTAAGCACAAAGTATCCCGTTGCTGCAAACACGCTTGCATTGAGTAGCGTCGGAGGCACCACGTCGGGATGAACCGTCGTTGCAAGGCTCTGCATAGCGTTGGGGTTTGGAACGGCTGCCAGATCTTGGGCCATGCCAGCATAGAGCGCAAGGCTCACAGGGCGTGTGAGTTTGAGCGCTGTTTTAAAGGCGAGCACCTGTTCAGAGGACAAAGTGATGCTCACCACCTCGTGACTAACGGCCACGACGGGGTTGTAAACAACCAAATCCGAAGCAGACGGCTGACTGACTCGCAAGCCCGATCCATTAAGGCTAGTCAGAACGGGCTCGTCAAACTCAAGCACCAGCACCATCGTACTTAGGTTAACTTCGGCCCCAATCAGAACAGGCCCGCTTTGATCAAGAATCAAGGTGGTTGGTTGCACGACGGACTGTTGAGCGAGTGCATTGCCCGCATAATCGCATACAAAGGCTGTCGACAAATTGAGCCAAGCCGAGGAGATGCTACGCGCCACAAATCCTCGCTTCACGGCATTCAATCCTGATCGCGAAAGCTCCAGGGATAAGACCGTTGAGTTTGTTAACTGTAGCACGGAAGCCAGCTCCGGATTAATGTTTGTACCAGTGCTTAAAACTGTGGATTGAACGGTTAATCGCGTTGGTTGCAGACAACTGGCATCTACCGCCTCGCTAAAAGTTATTTCCACAATGCCTGCATCCATATCCAGCTCGGCGCTCACAAATGTCGGGCGAGTCGTATCCAGTGCCAAGGTGTGGCCAAACACAAATTGTCCGAGTGGACTGCGGTAGGCATTGCCCGCCACATCCGCAATGAATGAGACCGAATCGATTTGCCAGCCAAAGGGTGATGTGGCCAGCCTAGCACTTTTCAAGGCGTTCAGCCAATCCGTTGATATGGTAGTTTGGTAAGCTGTGGCATTGAGCTTGGTCATTGGGCCAGTTGAAATGCCCATCAGTGTCTGCGACGCATTGCCAAGCGAAACACCAGCTTGCAGATAAGAGGTAACATTGACAGGCTCATCGAAATGCATCACAAGGGCGCCAGAGTTCCAATTGGCAGCCAACTGTAACAGAGCTGGCCCGGTGCTATCGGGCACGTAATCCGACACCATGATGGCGGCAGTTCGCGTCAAGGCAATGACTGGTTGAGCATTGAGGCCTTGGATTGCCGACGACAGCACGCGCACATAAGTGCTGGCCTGCTTTGTTGCCAACGTTGCGGCATCTTTGAGAGAAAGCATATCACTTCTGGAGATTGCAATCGAAATGTTATACCCCTCAAACCATGCAGGACTCGAAGAAGCCAGAACAACTTCTGCACTCGTCAAAGAAGGGCTTGCCAAGACCATCACAGAAGCCGTGTCTAAAGTGCTCTCATCCACAGGGCGATCAAAGCTGAGCACGAGGTAGCCCAGCTCCATATTTAGGTCAGCGCTGACAAGCTGAGGGCGACGAGCATCCGCCGTGATAGCTGTTATAGAATGATTGGCTGCTGACAAATTGTTCCCACTCAAGTCCATCAACATATGCTCGGGCAGCTGAACGCGAAGTGTGTCAGCAGGGTAAGCATGGCGAGCCTGAGCCAAGTCCAGAATATTGGTGCTTGTCAAGCTAAGGACCAAAACCGTACGTGCCGCGTTCCCATACTCAGCCGTGTTTGCAGGTACCAAGGTCGACAAGTTCACGCCATGAATCACAACGTCCAAGGCATTCAATTGTACGGCCTCATCAAAAGTTAGCCGAAGACGGTCGGTGTGCAAGTCCAAGGTGCTGGCCTCGAGCTGTGGTGCCACACTGTCGCTGATTACAGAAAGAGCCATTGTGCTATTTGCGTTTGCGTTGTTTGCGATATCTGCTACAGCGGAGCTGAGAACATAGACTGACAATGAGTTGAGATGGAAGTCATACACTCCAACTAGTGTGTCGCGCACAGCAGTCAGTGAACACCACACCACTGTCTTGTTGGGACCGAGCAAGGCGGTGCCACTTGCGGACAGATAAACCACCTGGGTCCCATTTGACACCACAAATCGAGGTAGCGTGACGGATGACAGCACGATTGGCTCGTCAAATACAGTCACAAGGCGGTCAGCCTGCAAGTCGAGAGTGGCGCCAACGAGCTCTGGCGCACGAGCATCGGCAGAAAAGCTCGTGGCCGGCACATTGGGGTCATAGACATTATTGGGATTGCCACTAACATCTTGAACTGCCAGGGCATCGAGGAAGAGCCAAGCATTCGACCGTGAGCGCCACAAACTCACGTCAGTAGATTTGATGCGAGTTGCGTCAGTTCGTGAGAGTTGTACGCCAACAACAAGTGTATTGTTGCAGTTTACAGGGGCAGAGTCGGTCAAAGCCAAGCGCGGGTCACTGGGGGACAGAACATTTGTCATGCCGACTTGGGCATATAGCTGTGTCACATCAAAAGTTGTGCACACAACAGGCTCCGAGAAACTGAGCGAGACAATATTTGCGTCCATATCGACACTATAGCTCTCGAGAACAGGTGCCACCAGATCCGGTCCGACTTCGTCAAAAACGCGAGAGACGTCTGCAATCTGGTTGCCATACATATCTTGAAGGGCCGCATTGCGCAAGCGGAGAGAACAAGTCAACGAGATGCATAGTTCAGCCTGCTTCATCGCGTCCAAGTGGATTTTGGGCATGTCCAGCTGCAAGTTCAAGACGGAGAGGGGCTGGCTTGTAGCACTGCCCGACAAACAAACTTCGACTTGGCCACCCACAACACAAATCAGGCTGGTATTCACTGAGCTTAAGCGCATTGGCTCGTGAAACGTGGCGTACACCAATCCAGTGGTCAGATTGATGCTGGCATGAACCAGATTGGGTTGCTCTTCGTCAGGCACAAAGATATCGGCAATTTGATCATAGGCAGATACTTGATAGCCATAGACATCAACACCAAAGGAAGCTTGAATGCTCAGCGTGCTTGTCAATGCCGAGTGGCCAATGACATCACTTGCAGCAATCGAATTGAAAGCACCATCACTCAGCACAATTTCATAGCAGCTGCGTCGTTGCTCCACAATGCTGAGACCAGGCGGCAGCTGGTACATTGTCGTACCGTCCCCAATGCTTATGGCGTTTGAATCGAGGCTTGCTTCCACCAACGGCTCAGACATGCACAAGGTGACCACCCGACTTGTCAGGTTAACAATGCTCGATGCAACAACGGGTGAAGTGCTATCAGCTATAAAGTCAGACACATTCATGCTTGCAGGCCAGGACGGGTTGCCCGCCATGTCAAGGACAAAGTCAGAAGCGAGGCGCACACCAAAGGAGGAAAAGCTGGACAAGCTCTCATCATCAAGCTGATTTTTTAAATCAGCAGCTGCATTGTTCGAAAGTTGCAATCGCAGGAAAGGCTCGTTACGCGCTTGTACGACCGTGGTCTCGGTATCCTCAAATCCAAACTCAGCGCCAAATCCAGTCAAGAAGAGTTGCGACAACTGAATGGTTGTGCGATTCAAGACTTCTGTGAAGAAGAGTGTAAATTGCATCGTGTCCAGATTAATAGCCAAACGCGTGAGTTGTGGCCGAACTGAATCTGCTACAAACATAGATGGTTGAAGAAGGACCGCTTCTTGGACCAAATTGGCGAACATGTCTTGTGCAGCAAGCGTCTCCATCAACAAGGTGCAACTATTTGCGTTGACGCAGGTGGAGGTTTGTCGTTCAAGTTCAAACAAGTCGTCTCCTTCGAGTGTGATCCTAGCCTGAGTGAGATTGATGCGTTCAACGAGAGAAGCATTGCTTAGGAAGACACATTGATCATCTCCACACAGTTGCAAGGCCGACAGATTGAAGCGAGCAGGGTCCATGGTCTCCGAGAAGAAAACGGCCAGCTCATTGCTCGTCAGGTTCAGTACAAAGTCCACTGCTGCCGGCTGAACGGTGTCCAGCACCACAGCATCAAAAGTGCTCGCGTTTGGAGTCACCAGGTTGCCGGAATGATCACGAGTAAAGGTCATTTGCAAGTTGTAGCGCGTGGATGAAGTATTGAAGCCAAAGGGGGTATAATCACGGAGTAAGTTGGCATCAGCTTCCCCAACAGCAACGCTTAAAATTGTTCCATCTTCCGTCGTCGAGGGTGAAATGGCTGTGGCCTGCACAAATACGGCCTGATTCTCCGCATTCAATAAAGTTAGGCTGCTTACATTCACTGAGCTTGCTTCGATGGCCTCAGAAAACGTGAACGATACAATCATGTTTGACATGTTCATAGTTGCTGACAGAACGAAAGGCCTCACAGTATCTGGGATGAAAATTGCCGGAAGGCGTCCGACAACAATGGGCTGGATGTGATTGCCCTTTTGATCAACAATAAAGTCACCGGTCATATGCAAGAAGGCTGTTGCATTGGTCAAAGCAACAGCCGACATCTTCAGAGCATTTAAGTCTTGATCGGCCAAAAGGAATGTTAAAAAAGCAGCATCTCTTGCGTAAAGAAGATGCACGCTGTTGCTTAAGCGAACAGAAGTGCCTCCGGAAGAACTTGAGCTCAGAACGATGCTTGAAAGATTGGCCGACTGGTGGTTGACAACCTCAGAGAAGAACATTGTCAATCGGCCACGGCTCATATCAAGATTGAAGCTTTGCAGGGAGACCAATGAAGTGTCATCAATAAAAAGGTCAACCTGCCGTGCCTGGCCGTTGCTGATGGGCGTCACCGCATTGTCGGCCATGTCCAGCACAAAGCCAGAGCCCAGGCTCAAAAATGTGGTCGAGTTGCTGACCGCCAGGCCCTCGTGCACCTTGAGAGCATTCAAGTCCGTCAGCGTCAAATTCAACGTCTGCTGCAGCCCATTGCTAGACTCAACCACTCCCCCCGTGAGGCGGTAGCGATCGCTGGCACCCGATGTGGCGCCGGTCTGGAACACGAGCTGGCTCGCGTTGATGCTCTCGCTCTTAACAGGCTCATTGAAGTTCAACACCACCACGCCTGCATTCATGTCCAACATAAAGGCAGTCAAGTATGGAGCTGTGACATCCGGGGCCACGACTGCGGCTTGCTCAACCACCGCGCTCAGCGCATTGGGGGAAAGAGCCATATCCACAACTGCCCCGTTGCCAAATGACACAAACGTTGTGCTCTCGTTGGTGCCACGAGTCGTGTCCAACTTCAGACGGTCACAGTCTGCCTTGACCAGCCGCAGACGAATGTCAGTGCTGTTGGCGCTTAGGGCCTGACCGCCCACCAGGAAGATGTCACTTGCAACGTCGGCTGTGGCCGAGCGCTGGAAGCTGATGCGAGTAGGGTCGACGGCATCCGCGTTCACCGTCTCATCAAACGTCACGTTGAGGTCACAGTACTCATCCACCAGGTCAAGCACCACACGGGTGACCACTGGACGAACAGAGTCAGCCACGAATGTGGTCACCTGCACATTGCTAGTCACGGCTTCCATATCGTTGCCTTCAACATCAGCAACCGTTGCAGTGGCAAATCGCAACCATGTTGTCGATTTGTCATCAGCTAGGGGCACCAAGGCCTTCAGCACGTTGAGATCCATAGCAAGCAGGCTAGCAGTGATAACCTCGTTGATAACGTTGCTCACAGCCCCCGTACCGCTGAGGGCATAGGCGTCAGGCGAGGCACTCCCCACTGTATCGTTGCTGACAGCGACAGTAATGGTGCTCAAATCCAACGTGCTGCCATTTACAGGCTCATCAAACGTCAGCTTTAGCGAACCTGCGCTCAGATCAAGGGTGCTCGACCTCAAAATGGGGGAGACGGTGTCCACAGTGTATGATGAGAAATCTCCATTCAACTCAAAATTCGTATTGCCATACATGTCTGCAAACGTGCTGCTCAGTAGTTGATATGAGCTGCTGTTGATCGATCGTGCAACATCTGTGACACGTTTGATATTGTTTGAATCAGCATTCGATAGACTGATGATAACTTCAAGTCCATTCACGTGCTGAGCATTGCTGCTTGAGAGAAAGTATGGTGTTGTTGAACTTGCAGAGCTTTTAATCGCTATTTTGGCTGGTATAATCGAGGTGGCTCTCGCTGGCTCACTTAGCATCAGAATTAAGACACCACTTGCCATATTTAGCGACGAATTGGTGACAAATGGTCGAGTCACATCTTGTTTAATGCTGGAGAAAGTCATGTTACTAAGAGCATTCGTTGGATTTGCATTCCAGTCTTGTAAAAGTCCACTTGCTACAGAAAGCTTGAAGTCCAAGCTATCGGCAAGTGCAATTGCGTTGAAGTTCGCGTCTGTGAATGTCGCGCTCACTTGCCGAAAATCAACTTGGCGCATGTTGTTGAGAAGCAATGTGATGACTTCGACACCAACTGAGATGGCGGCATAATCCGCCTGAATTGCAGACAAATTGCAAGCCTCAGATATGTTGAGCGTCAATGTTGATGAGTTTAAGTCAAGGATGGCAGACAGAATGGTGGGAGCAATCGAATCGTGGACGTAAGTGGCCACGCGCATCGGTGCGTCCGGATTCACAGCTTCAACGGCATTTCCAGCAATATCACGAACAAACTGTTGCCCACTTAAAAATGAAGTTGCACTCGAGCGGGCTGCTGCAGAGCTCGAGATGGCATCAAATAGGCGTGGATCCATTGTCAGCACGACAAAATCTGCCTCCCAGAGTGTGAGCACAAGTTCGTTTAAAGAGACCTGAGCAATTGACGCCGGGTCGCTACAAGCAGTACATGCACCACTTGATGCGCCGGTTCTTGCACAAGAGGAGCAGGTATCATCTGATGGGAAGGCGGTTGCATGAAGCAGGAGCATGGACGAATCGATCGAGTGGGGATTGATTGGTTCTGAAAACTGTAATGTGATTGTTTGAGCAGTCATGTTCAGCTCCCAATCTGTTAAGCGAGGTGCCGCTGTGTCTTGAAGCACTGTGACCGCTTTGGACGTCGGGCCTGAAAAGGAGTTGTAGCCGTAGTCCACAAAAGCATCTGACAAAAAGGCGACAGTTACCATAACGCTATGAACTCCATTCAACTTGAGTTGGTATTCGTAATCACTGACATTCAGATCCACAACCATGTGATCGTAGCTCGTCAGCGTTGCTGAACTGAGCACAATCGTCGACGTCTGATTCAAGGTAAGAGAGACAGAGCTTGCATTTGCAAGGCTGTCGCGAATTGGCTCACTAAAGGTCAAACTCAATACAAGCTGATCCACATTCAGAACCACGTTTAATAGTTCCGGCGGAGTTTGATCTTGAACGATAGTTTGAACATTAAGATATGAGCGCTCAACGGCAATGCCAGTGCCGACCGTATCTGAAGCCAGTAGCGTTGTTGCTCCAACTTGAAGGGAAGAATTATAGGGATAACAATCAGAGCTCTTGATGGCGTTCAGTTGATCAATGCTCATGTTGAGAACAATACTATATGACCATCCTGACTGATCAAGCACAGTGAGGTCCTCGCGCGAGAAAATGACTGATTCTTCGCAGTATATGGAAAGCTCACGCGGCTTGACTGAGGCCGTGGTCACAAGATCACTCATGTACAAAGTCACTTGCCCGGCATCCGCATCAAAGTCAAATGCAATGAATTCCGCCTTTGTTGCATCGGCTATAATTGACGAGATTGTCTCATTCTCTGCATCGTTGAAATTTCCGCTGGTATCCACAAAGATACCTTGTGCCACTCGAAGCAAGCGAGGGGCAACGTCCAAGGCTCGATTGTAAATCTGCCTTCGCGATTCTTGCGTCAACTCGAGTTCAACATCCATTCGAGTTGACCCAAACAAGATTCGGTCGCACGAAAGTGTCACGAATTCTTTGGAGGTTTGATCGTACAGAGCAAGGGAATCGCAAGGAAAGGAAGAATTTACAATCGGCTCGGACAACGCAAGAATCAAGATGTTCTCATCCAAATTGAGGACGGCGTTCTGGACCACAGGAGCAGTGGTATCTCTGCTCACAATATGCACAGCGACCGTCTGGTCGAGATTTTCGTTTGCAAACCGATCTTCAAAAGAAGCGTTAGCAAAAAGCAAGAGCAAGCCGTCTGTATCGAAAGCGGGGTCTTTCTTGAGGCTCAGAAGCTCTGCTTCACTGAATCGATAACTAAAGACCGTGTCGCTTTGCTGTGATACGTATGAAAGCGTCAGGATTGTTGCAAGATTCTCCGAAGCAAGCTGAACTGGTTTTGCAATCGCCTGAGGTACCACCGGCTCGGTCACATGGAGTTGGATAAGACGTGATTCGACACTCATTGTTGCGTTCAAAACAACAGGAGGAGTCGTATCTGGCGTAAAGGATTGTGTCACAACAGAACTGGCAAGTCTTGAAAGACTATTGCCGTACATATCTTGCACGAATCCTGTCTCCAAATGCAACCAACAGGTACCAGCACTTGTGCACAATTGAACTTTCTGAACAATGCTAAAAAGGACCTCGTGTGGCAACTGAAGAGTCATGAGCAAGCCATCATCTGACATTGAGACTGCTGAAGCATCCACACCAGAAAACACTTCTTCTTGAGCCGGGTTGTAAACGAACGAAGCCAACTTGAGACGCGAAAAGTTGAAAGTGCTGATATTGACAGCTGAGTCAAATGAGAGTGTAAGAGCTCCAGAATTGAAGTCAATCGAAGACCATTCGACCAGTCGGGGTGGCGTGGTGTCAGCGAAAACATTGCTTGACTGGCCAGCAAAAGCGCCCACGCTGTTGAAGTTGGCGTCCTTTGCAAAGGAGCAATTACTTTGCAAATGACAAGTCGACGAGGATGTACACACACCATTGAAAGTGACACGATCAAAGTCATCGAGGGTCAAGCTGTAGTGAGTCCAAACAGTGTTGGTAGGACTGATGTCCAAAGAAATGAGAGGAAAGCATGCATCATCGCAAAGTTGCAGACATTGTGGGGTCAGTGAAGATGGAAGAATTGCTTCGTTGAACGTAAGAAGTAAATGACGCAAGGAGGCATCAATCGAGAATTCCGAAAGTTGAGGGGAAGTTGCATCAGGAACAAATGCCAGTGCGGCAAGGCCACCATCAGTCGCAATCAACGTCAGCTGGTTTGCGGCCATATCAGCCACGGTTGCCGATGAGGCGCGGATAAAGCAGTCCGCCACCGAGGTGCAAAGCCCTGTGCGGCGCTTGACCTCGTTCAGATCGGTCACCGTTAAGGTCACATTAATCACCAGCTGCGATGAGGTGATGCCGGCATGTCCCGTCAGTTGATACTGGTCCAAAACACCAGCACCTGTTGCATCGCCCATTGCCTGCAGCGCCAGTCCGGTAACATCAAAACTCGAGGCATTGACAGTCTCGTCAAAGCTCAGCGTAAGAACTTCACTGGTCAGATCAAGCTCAAAGCCAACCAATGCCGGTGCCGTTTGATCACCAGTCACTTGCGTTGCCTGCAAAGCTCCTGTTGATGCAATGGCTACAAGCGGCTCGTTGACCATGTCAACAATCACCGCCGAAGTCACCGCCAAGAAAGTATTGGAAATTTCCGTCCCAAGCATCCAAGCACCCTTAATATTGTTGAGATCCGCATCAGACAACTCCAAGGTGACCACAGGACGGTAGGGCGCCCCGACGGCTGCTCGTGAATCCACAAGCGTCACGACCTCGCCAGTCACCACACTGCCTTGGCTCTGCATCTGGATGCCCTGGACATCTAGGCTGCTTACATTCACTGTCTCGCTAAACGACAGCACCAACAGGCCGGCATTAATGTCAAGAGTAAAACCATCGAGCTCAGGAGCAGTGGCGTCTGCCACATACGCCGTTGCCGAGACCGGTGTCGATGTGGCAAGAATCGAGTTGCCAGCCATGTCGGTCACGCCCGAGGCATCAACGCTGATGAACGATGTTCCGAGGCTTGATGCCACCTCAGGCAGCGCCTTGATGGCATCCATCGATGTACGCGACAAGACAACACGCACAAACTCCAACTCCTGAGACACCACACTGAGTCCCGCCAAAGAAACAGTGGTGCTAGCCGCTTGATTGGCAACAAACGTACCGGCGCCGTGCATGTGCAGCTTGAGACCATCCAAGCTGCCCGTATCCACACTTTCGCTGAACGACAAAACAATGATGCCGTCGTCCGCGAGGGACACATTGAAGCTCTCCAACAACGGTGCAGTCGTGTCAGGTGTGTAGCAGCCCGCATCGGCAATGCCGTCCACAACTGTCTGCGCACTTGCTACATTACCATTCATATCGACCACGGCCGCCGAGAGCAAGTAAGCAAAAGTGGTGCCACTGCTCGTGCCCAGATTTGGCTGTAGCTTAACCTGGTTTGCTGAACGTGCCGTCAAATGCGCCACCAACTCGGCGTCGTACACGCCATCCGTCTGTTCGCTTGATTCCAGCTGCACTGAGGCAAAGTCAACGGCGCTATCATTTGCACCGTTCGCAAGCACAATACGTCCCAGATCAAGCGAACTAGCATTCACGGTCTCATCAAAACTGAGGGTGAGCGTCAAGGTGTCTAGGTTAAGACACACACGAGTCAGCTGTGGTGCCGTCGTGTCAACCACAACCACACTAGCCTGCAGTCCGGTGGTGCCGTTGATGACGTTGCCCACCATGTCAACTCCACTTGAGGCTCGCAGGGTCACAAACGTCGTGCCAATGTCGACGCCCAGTGTGGGCAGCGCTTTGATGGCATTCAGGTCTGACATACTCAGCAGAATAGTTTGGATGGCACCATTTCCCGAAGAAACCACACTGCTGCTCGAAAGTGTCACGCTGGCACCCACTCCCTCTGCACTGCTGTTCTGAAGAAGCATAAGCGTGGTATCCATGCTCACCGCCCGCACCGTTTCGCTAAAGTACAAAGTCAGCTCGCCTGTGTTGACGTTCCACCGTGCGTCTTCCAACACGGCCTCAGTGGTATCCGCGACATAGGTGCCCACACCAAGAGCATTAACGCCGGTCACTCGCCCGATCAGCTCCTGTCGGCGTTGATCGGTCATAAAATTGGCCTCGTGCGTCAGCCACGAGCGTGCGGCACTGTTGCCAATCTCCAAACGCTTCAGCTCATTCAAGTCAGCCAGACCCAGCACAATGGAGATCACTGGACTATCCATCTGCCCTGCAACAAGCGTGGATTCATTTGTCAAAGCAAAAACGTCGTTGCCAGTGGCATCAGACGTTGCTTGTAGGCGAAGGCGCTCTACATGAAAGCCAGATGTGTTCATAGTCTCGCTAAAGCTGAGCACCAACCGGCCAATATTCATGTCAAGGTCAAACTGGCTGAGCACAGGTTGTGTGGTGTCCAGCACGTAAGCGTCAACCTGCCGTGCCTGGCCGTTGCTGATGGGCGTCACCGCATTGTCGGCCATGTCCAGCACAAAGCCAGAGCCCAGGCTCAAAAATGTGGTCGAGTTGCTGACCGCCAGGCCCTCGTGCACCTTGAGAGCATTCAAGTCCGTCAGCGTCAAATTCAACGTCTGCTGCAGCCCATTGCTAGACTCAACCACTCCCCCCGTGAGGCGGTAGCGATCGCTGGCACCCGATGTGGCGCCGGTCTGGAACACGAGCTGGCTCGCGTTGATGCTCTCGCTCTTAACAGGCTCATTGAAGTTCAACACCACCACGCCTGCATTCATGTCCAACATAAAGGCAGTCAAGTATGGAGCTGTGACATCCGGGGCCACGACTGCGGCTTGCTCAACCACCGCGCTCAGCGCATTGGGGGAAAGAGCCATATCCACAACTGCCCCGTTGCCAAATGACACAAACGTTGTGCTCTCGTTGGTGCCACGAGTCGTGTCCAACTTCAGACGGTCACAGTCTGCCTTGACCAGCCGCAGACGAATGTCAGTGCTGTTGGCGCTTAGGGCCTGACCGCCCACCAGGAAGATGTCACTTGCAACGTCGGCTGTGGCCGAGCGCTGGAAGCTGATGCGAGTAGGGTCAACGGCATCCGTGTTCACCGTCTCATCAAACGTCACGTTGAGGTCACAGTACTCATCCACCAGGTCAAGCACCACACGGGTGACCACCGGACGAACAGAATCAGCAACAAAGACGCTGATGCTGCGGCTTTCAAACCCTTGGTTTGCAACACCAGACATATCAGTCACAAAGCCCTCAGCCAGCGACAAGTAACTGGTGCTCGTGCTGGTCGCTAGTTCCCACATGGCCTTGATTTGATTGAGATTGAGATCTCCCAGCACAACACGAATGTGCGTTGAATGCAAGCTCTGAACACTCGCACCCGAGACCCAAAGCCGATGGCTTGGTACGGATCCACCAGGCCCAGCCAGGAATTGCAACCTGCTGACATTGACAGAGGAAGCCACTACTGCTTCCTCAAAAGACAGGTCGAGGTACCCAGCACTCATGTTAAGCATTGAGAATAGCAGCTCTGGCGCTTTCACATCTGGGGTATAAGCACCAACAGCCTGGTGGAGCGTTGCCACGCTCGGATTGCCCTGCATATCCGCAACAGCCCCTGCACTCAGTGAAAGCACACTGGTGGATGCATCAAGAAGGATACCCTGTGATTTGAGCTCATTGGCATCCACCCGACTCAAATCAAGAGTGAGCACAGGCGATGATTCGGAAACATGCGCATAGCCGGTCAAAGAATAATTGACGCTGGCTGCACTCCCATTCAGGGAAAATGTTATCCACGAAGCAACCAGACTGGATGCATTGATTGATTCTGAGAAGCTCAGGACCACGCGTGCAGCGGTCAAGTTCACGTCAAACTGCATCAGCTCGGGGGCTGTAGCATCGGCAGTAAATTGACTGACAGCAAGAAGTGAAGTCATTGGGTGCACAATGGCAACGACTGCGTTACCATTCACGTCCGTAGCCAGACCAGAACCGATGGAAATGAAGGTATCAGACGAGGACGTAGCCGTAGAAGCCTGAAGCTTGATGGCCTCTTGATCGGCCTTGCCCAAAGCAATGGTGATTTCTGTTGACAAAACATTCGATGTAACAGCTGTTTGAGCGTCGCCAAGAGGCACAGGGTTGTTTCCAGCTGCGTCGCCTGCCAAGGTGATAAAGGTGATGTTGCAAGATGCATACGAAATGATTTCGTCAAATGTCAAGGTCAAGGTGTTGGTGTCCATGTTCAGGGAAAAGTTGACAAGTTGAGGGGAAGTTGCATCAGGAACAAATGCCAGTGCGGCAAGGCCACCATCAGTCGCAATCAACGTCAGCTGGTTTGCGGCCATATCAGCCACGGTTGCCGATGAGGCGCGGATAAAGCAGTCCGCCACCGAGGTGCAAAGCCCTGTGCGGCGCTTGACCTCGTTCAGATCGGTCACCGTTAAGGTCACATTAATCACCAGCTGCGATGAGGTGATGCCGGCATGTCCCGTCAGTTGATACTGGTCCAAAACACCAGCACCTGTTGCATCGCCCATTGCCTGCAGCGCCAGTCCGGTAACATCAAAACTCGAGGCATTGACAGTCTCGTCAAAGCTCAGCGTAAGAACTTCACTGGTCAGATCAAGCTCAAAGCCAACCAATGCCGGTGCCGTTTGATCACCAGTCACTTGCGTTGCCTGCAAAGCTCCTGTTGATGCAATGGCTACAAGCGGCTCGTTGACCATGTCAACAATCACCGCCGAAGTCACCGCCAAGAAAGTATTGGAAATTTCCGTCCCAAGCATCCAAGCACCCTTAATATTGTTGAGATCCGCATCAGACAACTCCAAGGTGACCACAGGACGGTAGGGCGCCCCGACGGCTGCTCGTGAATCCACAAGCGTCACGACCTCGCCAGTCACCACACTGCCTTGGCTCTGCATCTGGATGCCCTGGACATCTAGGCTGCTTACATTCACTGTCTCGCTAAACGACAGCACCAACAGGCCGGCATTAATGTCAAGAGTAAAACCATCGAGCTCAGGAGCAGTGGCGTCTGCCACATACGCCGTTGCCGAGACCGGTGTCGATGTGGCAAGAATCGAGTTGCCAGCCATGTCGGTCACGCCCGAGGCATCAACGCTGATGAACGATGTTCCGAGGCTTGATGCCACCTCAGGCAGCGCCTTGATGGCATCCATCGATGTACGCGACAAGACAACACGCACAAACTCCAACTCCTGAGACACCACACTGAGTCCCGCCAAAGAAACAGTGGTGCTAGCCGCTTGATTGGCAACAAACGTACCGGCGCCGTGCATGTGCAGCTTGAGACCATCCAAGCTGCCCGTATCCACACTTTCGCTGAACGACAAAACAATGATGCCGTCGTCCGCGAGGGACACATTGAAGCTCTCCAACAACGGTGCAGTCGTGTCAGGTGTGTAGCAGCCCGCATCGGCAATGCCGTCCACAACTGTCTGCGCACTTGCTACATTACCATTCATATCGACCACGGCCGCCGAGAGCAAGTAAGCAAAAGTGGTGCCACTGCTCGTGCCCAGATTTGGCTGTAGCTTAACCTGGTTTGCTGAACGTGCCGTCAAATGCGCCACCAACTCGGCGTCGTACACGCCATCCGTCTGTTCGCTTGATTCCAGCTGCACTGAGGCAAAGTCAACGGCGCTATCATTTGCACCGTTCGCAAGCACAATACGTCCCAGATCAAGCGAACTAGCATTCACGGTCTCATCAAAACTGAGGGTGAGCGTCAAGGTGTCTAGGTTAAGACACACACGAGTCAGCTGTGGTGCCGTCGTGTCAACCACAACCACACTAGCCTGCAGTCCGGTGGTGCCGTTGATGACGTTGCCCACCATGTCAACTCCACTTGAGGCTCGCAGGGTCACAAACGTCGTGCCAATGTCGACGCCCAGTGTGGGCAGCGCTTTGATGGCATTCAGGTCTGACATACTCAGCAGAATAGTTTGGATGGCACCATTTCCCGAAGAAACCACACTGCTGCTCGAAAGTGTCACGCTGGCACCCACTCCCTCTGCACTGCTGTTCTGAAGAAGCATAAGCGTGGTATCCATGCTCACCGCCCGCACCGTTTCGCTAAAGTACAAAGTCAGCTCGCCTGTGTTGACGTTCCACCGTGCGTCTTCCAACACGGCCTCAGTGGTATCCGCGACATAGGTGCCCACACCAAGAGCATTAACGCCGGTCACTCGCCCGATCAGCTCCTGTCGGCGTTGATCGGTCATAAAATTGGCCTCGTGCGTCAGCCACGAGCGTGCGGCACTGTTGCCAATCTCCAAACGCTTCAGCTCATTCAAGTCAGCCAGACCCAGCACAATGGAGATCACTGGACTATCCATCTGCCCTGCAACAAGCGTGGATTCATTTGTCAAAGCAAAAACGTCGTTGCCAGTGGCATCAGACGTTGCTTGTAGGCGAAGGCGCTCTACATGAAAGCCAGATGTGTTCATAGTCTCGCTAAAGCTGAGCACCAACCGGCCAATATTCATGTCAAGGTCAAACTGGCTGAGCACAGGTTGTGTGGTGTCCAGCACGTAAGCGTCAACCTGCCGTGCCTGGCCGTTGCTGATGGGCGTCACCGCATTGTCGGCCATGTCCAGCACAAAGCCAGAGCCCAGGCTCAAAAATGTGGTCGAGTTGCTGACCGCCAGGCCCTCGTGCACCTTGAGAGCATTCAAGTCCGTCAGCGTCAAATTCAACGTCTGCTGCAGCCCATTGCTAGACTCAACCACTCCCCCCGTGAGGCGGTAGCGATCGCTGGCACCCGATGTGGCGCCGGTCTGGAACACGAGCTGGCTCGCGTTGATGCTCTCGCTCTTAACAGGCTCATTGAAGTTCAACACCACCACGCCTGCATTCATGTCCAACATAAAGGCAGTCAAGTATGGAGCTGTGACATCCGGGGCCACGACTGCGGCTTGCTCAACCACCGCGCTCAGCGCATTGGGGGAAAGAGCCATATCCACAACTGCCCCGTTGCCAAATGACACAAACGTTGTGCTCTCGTTGGTGCCACGAGTCGTGTCCAACTTCAGACGGTCACAGTCTGCCTTGACCAGCCGCAGACGAATGTCAGTGCTGTTGGCGCTTAGGGCCTGACCGCCCACCAGGAAGATGTCACTTGCAACGTCGGCTGTGGCCGAGCGCTGGAAGCTGATGCGAGTAGGGTCGACGGCATCCGCGTTCACCGTCTCATCAAACGTCACGTTGAGGTCACAGTACTCATCCACCAGGTCAAGCACCACACGGGTGACCACTGGACGAACAGAGTCAGCCACGAATGTGGTCACCTGCACATTGCTAGTCACGGCTTCCATATCGTTGCCTTCAACATCAGCAACCGTTGCAGTGGCAAATCGCAACCATGTTGTCGATTTGTCATCAGCTAGGGGCACCAAGGCCTTCAGCACGTTGAGATCCATAGCAAGCAGGCTAGCAGTGATAACCTCGTTGATAACGTTGCTCACAGCCCCCGTACCGCTGAGGGCATAGGCGTCAGGCGAGGCACTCCCCACTGTATCGTTGCTGACAGCGACAGTAATGGTGCTCAAATCCAACGTGCTGCCATTTACAGGCTCATCAAACGTCAGCTTTAGCGAACCTGCGCTCAGATCAAGGGTGCTCGATCTCAAAATGGGGGAGACGGTGTCCACAACGTATGAAGATGCTGTTTGTGTGGTGAGGAGAACACCAACACCTGTCATGTCTCTCACGGCATTCTCACTCAGGCTAATGAGACTTGATGCGGCATCTCGTGCACTACTCACAGAGCGCTTAATTGGCAGCAAGTCTTCTTCAGAGATGGCAATGACGAGAAAGAAGCCATCTGAGCTTGTGACCAGACTTGAAGCCAAAGCATAGCGGGAGCCATTGTCGACATCCGCAATAGCCACTCCACTCAGGTTTAGGCTGGCCATGTTGACTGGTTCATAGAACGTCAGGTTGATCTGGTTCAAGCTCAAATCAAGGTGCCCAGCAATCATAGTCGGTGGAATCATATCGGGGATGTATGTGTTCGGCTCTTCATTGTAACCAATCAAGGCATTATTTGCCATATCAGTACAAAACCCAGAATCAAGCAGCAGCGTTGGCGCAGTCACAGTACCAGAAGCAAGAAGCACATACGAATCAAAGTCTTGCTTTGAAATACTGATGGTAATTGAAATCCCGTTTACAGCCGTGACCACACTCGAGTATTGTAGACTATACTCAATGCCAGAGGCGTTGATCGTAACTGCTGTGGGCGCAACGCTACTCACAGCTACAGGTTCACGCATGACCAATATGATTTCACGCGTCGAAAGGTCCAGAGTCGAGGAGACGACCACGGGTGCAGTTGTGTCTGCTGTGTGCGTCCCTTGAAGAGCTGAGATCGCCTGAATGCTGTTGCCAAAGAGGTCATCAATAAATCCAACGGCGACAGTCATATATGTGCTTGTGCCAGAAACGGCCACTGCTGTGTTGAGGGACAAAGCGTTGTAGTCGGCGTCGTTCAGCACAATACGCACGACAGCTGGTGCTGGCTTGTCAACACTTGCAGCACCGGTCAGTTGAATGCGATAAAGCGGCAACTGAATATCCGTGCCTGGATGGTTTTGGATGGCAAGAAGTGTCGGCTCAACACTGCTTAGCGACACTGGCTCGGAAAATGAGCAAGTTAACTCGCGGGTTGCCATGTTCAAGTTGTAACCCAACAACGTTGGTGGCGTCACGTCGGAAACAACTGTCGCTTGGAGAGTATCAGTTGCCACCACGTTCCCAGCCATATCCTGAGGAGCATCGTGAAAGGTGGCCTGAACTGTACAGCCATTGCACGTCTCATATGCAACTTTGAGTCGTCCAAACTCCGAAGCTGAAAAACTGAGTATGAGACTCCGGGCATGCTCGCTTGTTGTACACGAAGTGGTCTGTAGATTCTCCACGTGTCCGGTAAAATTGAATGTGATATCGCTGGCACAAACAATGCTGGCATTGATGACCTCAGAAAAAACAGGCACAAAGCGATCAGTGTTCATGTTTAGATCTGCTGAAAGAATGACTGGCGCCACTTCATCTGCAATATAGTCCGTCACCTGCTGCGCGTTTGTGGAGGCCACAGGTAGAACCGCTAGACCAGACAAATCATTGCAAAAGGACGACTCCAGTGCAATAAAGGAATTTGCAAGACTGCTTGCCAGCCCGGGATTGGCATTTAGACTGTCAACCACGGCACTGCTGAGCTGCAAGATGATCCTAGACGAGGGTGTTGCAGTCAGAACGATGGAATTGGTTAGAGCAATCGTCAAACTGTCATCTGTAGCAGCACTTTGCAGACTGGCGTAACGTGGCAAAATGGTTGTCACATCCACAACATCATCAAATCGCATTGTAATGGTTGAAGCATTCATGTCCAACGTGCTTGAGACCAGTGATGGGGCCTGCGTATCGGCAACATAGCCGCCTGTTGCCAAGTTGAGAAATACTTCGTCTGTCAACGTGTTGTTAAAAATGTCGCGGAAGGCAGCTTGATCCACATAGATAACTGAAGTAGCTTCGGCTGTCGCAATCGTGACACTGACGCGAAGCTGGTCCAAGGTAGCCTGATTGGTCACAATTTCAACAATCTGCTTGGTAGAGTCAACATACGACGAGCTTGCAATGACGACAGGAATTGAATAATTGCTTGTCACACTGCTAGTCAAGTTAATGACAGCCTCTGCGGATGGGAGCTGAACAGGCTCGTCAAAACTCAGGCGCAGTGAGCCCTGGGAGAGATCGAGGCGAGTAAACCCCAATGCGGTAGGCGGGACAACGTCTGGGAAGCTAAGATCAAACGAGGCTTGGGACAACAAGTTGTCATTTCCTGTCGGCTGCGTCAGGTCGGACACGAGGCCCACACTGGCCACGGCACTGAGGGTCTGGCCAATATACTGCCCCAACATATTGGACGCAAGAAGGGCGTTGCGATCGGCGCTGGAGGCTTGGAGCTGGATTGAGGTCGAGGTTGCAGAATTCAACACAGTAGCCGAAGATAATGCAACGCTCGATGAGTTACTAATAATGCTCAGTTTGGAAACATCAAACGAGTCAAGGGCTACCACTTCATTAAAGCTTAGGGTCAAAACAGACGATGAAGCATTGAGAGCAGCATCCAAAAGGCGTGGCCCGACGACGTCACGTTGATAGGTTGTGGCACGTAAGGCTGAAGTTGGCTCGATGCGCACTGAGGGATTTTGATTCATATCGCGAATCATATCAGCCTGGGCGCTGAGATAGGTAGTACTGCGCGCTGTGTATAGCGAAGTTTGAGCCTTGATGTTGTTGGCGTCAAAGTCATTCAATCTGATTTGAACGACAGGGCCGTCGATGGTGGGATTCAGCAAAGCAAAGGGGGTAGTTAGGGTATAGTCGACAAAGTTCTCGTCAATGTCATCCAAACTTTGGCAAGTTAGGTGGTCAATGATCAAAGAAGATTTGTTGACCGTTTCAGAGAACGTGAGCCGAAGCTGGCTGGCGTTGCCGTCAAACGAAAAGGAAAGAAGTTGAGGGGCAATGGTATCAGGAACAAAATGTTGAGCTCTCAAGTTACACTGGATCAGGGTGCCAGGCACAAAGTGCAAGATGATTGAATCCAGCTTGAGGCCTCCGATGCCATAGGAATCCACAAGCGACACAGTGACTGTCTCGGCGCTAAATGACGTGACGGCAAATTGACCTGTTCCGTTTTGGATATCCAGGGTGGCTGCCCCGAAGAAGGTTGACGCAGCCAGGTCTAAAATGACGCTGTCTCCTGTGCGACTTCCATCGGCCAGAAGGCGGATATCACGCTGCTCGGCCGTAGCTGTGTTGTTGTATTGATCGTAAGCAATGACAGTGCCATTAACAAAAACACCTGCGACAGGATTGCTTGCCTCCAGACTGAATTTGTACCCCACCGTTGCACCTACGCATCAGAGCAGTCGAAGGGTTGGGCTTACATACGATTGACGCCTCGATAATCGTAAAAAACCTCGTTGCGGACTGCGTGCCCTGACTTCTGGTCTGGGCATTTTTGTCTTACCTGGTGCAAATGAAAAGCTAAGCTTTGTGGACGCGGTTAGATTCAATACAGAATCTGTCACGACAGCTGTGACATCGGCTGGAGTTGTGGCCAGTACAACAGCAACGCCCACGCCATCATGCATTGCAATCTGAGCGCTGGCCAGCCATGCGTCACCATCCACCCGCAGAGTCAAGGCGTCGGCAAAGTCGGGAACAAAATTGTCGTATGCGTCGCGGGCTGTAATAACGACAAACGAAGGTGCATCAACCGTTGCGGAATCGTTCAGAGCAAGCGCCAGCTTCACAGCCACATCTGAAAATACAGTGAAGCAAAAGCGAAATTCAGTGGGTGAGCAAATCCGCAGTGCTCATAACACTTTGGTGTTAATACAGCGGTCTTAACGATTCAACAGCACGTACTTGGCAACAACTGTATTATTTCGGTTGCAGCAGCAACACCGCTCGCGTTTTGCACCGCAACGATTACTTGGTACAACCCGGTTGTAGTCAAAACGAGCGAGGACGATGCAACGCCTTGAGCAAGCGACAGAGTGCTAGCACTGTCGTTGACGGCAAGCAGCAATGTAGCGTTGAAATCATAGTTGATGTTGTCATATTGATCCACGGCTGTGATGTTTGAGAGGAAAGTTTCGCCGGCCACTTGGGTTGTCTGCACTGCAAGCACAAGACGCGAAACGGAGTCTATGGAAGTTTATATATAAAGGGTAACTGCGTGAGTTTTTGCGTTGGCAGTGGCAGTCTGCAAACACTCAGGAAACCAAAGAAGCGGATCGGTAGAGACATATCCTACCGGCAACGACAGGGAAACTATTATTGGTGGTGGCAAGCAGCGCGTCTGAGGGACTTGACAAGTAAAACGCCGCGCTTTGAGCAACAGGAGATGACAGAACAAATGACCCGCGGCCGTTGCTATAAGTGACGAGTAGGTTGGTCGAGCTCAAAGATAGCCCAACAATCCGGACCTGCACGGTCCCTGAGGCTGTGATATCCACATTCTCGTATTGATCAAGTGCAACAACATCAAAGGCACACGTTGTGCCTGCCACACAAGGCCCGAAAGTAGTCACAGCCAAATGTGTGGCGGTGCCGTGCTCAAAAAGAACAAGCTTGGGTTCAGAGACGAAATCGAACACTTGCGCTACAATGACGGCAGCGAGTGGATGGCGAGCTCGAACGAAGCGCTCGCCTGAGCCCTCCACGATTGAAACGGGGCCCAGATTAAGCAGTTCTGTGCTGTTGGAAGTCAGGCTTGCTGTGTACGACGCAGCGTCGGCCAAATTGTTGAATTGATCATAACAGCTCACTTGCACCCGAGCCGGTAAATCCACTGAGATTGAAGTAGCCTCCGTGTGCAGTGTCACGGCAGTACAATTGCCCGCCCGAACAAGATAGGTATTCGTCGCCGACGAGGAGACAAGTGTGTTGGCGGCGTCACGGATTGTGAAGTCAAGAATTACCGTCTTGATGCCGGGGACGGATGAGTGAATAATCACTGTGCTTTCACCGGCGACCAACTGAGGCGTGGTCGTGCTTAGACTACCTTGAGGCGAAATGGTTAAAGTGAGCGTCTCAATGTAGGTATCAGCTTGAGGCTGCAGGTTCCCGTATGCGTCCACGGCTCGAATGCTCAAAGAAGCATTGTCATCGGCACTTGTGTCGTTAATGGCCAGGGAAAAATTGGCCACGTGCGCCGGGTCCACCTCGAAAGCAATGGTGACAGGGTGACTAATGCTGGGAGATGTCTGCAGATTTTCAATCAAGTTGGAGCCCGCAACGGTGGGGTACACTTGAAGCAAGATAATGCCAGCCACAGAGGTGTTGGAAATGGCTGTACCGTCGAACGAGGCGCTGAGCTGGGTGTTTACTCTTGAGTTGATATTGCCATACGAATCCAGGACCCGACCAAGAAGTTCAAACCCAACACCAGCCAGCTGAGTCGGGACCGTGTCAAATGACAAAGAAACGGGTGTGTCTAGTCAAGGAAGGCGGTCGACGGAAGTATGAGTCAGTGAGCAGGCAGGAAACGAGAAGAGCAAACAATCTCGCACGTGAAGACTTGACTTACCAGCAACAAATGTGAAAATGTGGCTTGACGAAATGTTCCCAACGGGGCTGTCGACCCAAGTCAAAGTGAGAGACGTAGCTTGAGCGACCAATGTCCCAATTGTGGCCGTGCCGATGCCATTCGTGAACTGCAAGGTTGCACTTGCAGTGACTGCGGTACCATTCACTGCAACCCTGGCCAAAAAGCTCTGATCGGCCACCAAGTTACCAAACTGATCGCGCAAGCTTGCAGTAAAGGAGAGAGCGTTGGCCACGACGGTTTCGTTATTTGCAGTGACAAAGCTGAAATGAGTGGGGTTGCCAACCTCGATATCGACAACCGTGTCAGGTCGATCTATCGAAGTGGGTAGAGAGCTCCCTGCAAGCACTCGCAACGTATACTGGCCGGGCACTCGCGCCTGAAACGGAAAAGCACCAGAACCGGCGGAGAGAACCACTGTTTGGAGCGCAGCGACCCCACCGAGGACGATGGAGACGTTGACCGTGCCATTGCTGGCCGCTTGATTTCCAAAAGCATCGTAGATGACAACAAGAGCTCCAAAGGCATCATCAACGGAACCGTCAGTCACGTTTTCAATATGAGCGGAGGCAGGAGCAGCCGGTCTGACTGTGACCAAGAAAGTTGCAGATAGGTTCAGGGCTGCTGAAGACGCAGTTGGCTGGAGGGAGAGCGTCAAGGTTGTCGCTGTTGTTGAAATCACGGACACGGTTGCATCAGGGTCTAGTGTGGTGGTTGCGGATCCGACTATAGACCCGGGCAATGTTATAGCCAATGTAACGTCCGCAGCGGAAGCGGCCGCTTGATTGCCAAACTGATCCACTAGCTGCAGGGCAACGGCAAAAATTTCACCAGCCGTTGCTGCAGAAGCAGAGGTAAACGCCACAGCCGTCGCAGCTCCTACAGAATACAGACCCATGCAAAAATACGGGACGATTGCAAAAGAGATGGGGTGATGAATGTTGGCAGATAGTGTTGTGAGCCAAAGCAAGTTTCTTGAGTTTGCAAGACTTGCCTGCAGCAACTGCGAATTGTGTCGAACTGGAGGTCAGTGCAGTGTTTGGAAAGTTGATGCTGATTGTGCCGGGCTTCATCGTTGAAAAAGAGATTGTACCAACTCCAGCTACAACCGAAACAGACTGGGCTACTGTTTGGCCAACGGCATCTGTGATGGAGGCATCGACCACCCGGTTATCATTGGCCCGATTGCCAAAGCTATCTCGCAGCTCCACAGTAAAGTATTGTACGTGGTCAACAGTTTTGCTGCTGGCGCTGCGTGTGTCCTGAACCACGATGCTTGTAGCGACACCTGAGGATACGTCCATAAATCAGTCAATGGTCAAGGGTGCACAAACTCGTCTCAAGATTTCAGATTTCAACGTGGAAATTTTGAAAAAAACACATAAACAGAAGTCATGGGTAGAGAGAAGAGCATACCGGGCTGATACACGATGGTTTTCGTCGCTGAATAATCATAACCAGGGAACGAATCAGGCGAAGACGGCTCAAGACGAAAGAAGACCCTCTCAGCCGTGTTATCGAGCACAACGGAGGCTGCAGAGGATTCTCCATCGAAACTCAGGGTCGTCGTTCTCGGAATGACGGACCCATTGCCAATGAGCCTGAGCTGGCCTGTCACTGCTTGCGGTACGCCCGAGGCCTCGAGAGCTTGGACAGTCAAGGTGACAGCTGTGCCGACTGTTGGGTTGTCGTTGTTGGCCGTAAGGCTAAAACGAGAAGCTGCGGTGAATGCCGACGTCAGAAGTGAGTTCAAAGGCCTTCGATGTCTTTCAGTCCAAAATAGGCGCCCGCACATGAAGACCCAGCAGTGCATAATTCCCTCCCTTTTTGCTCTCATCTAACACAGGCTCTCGGTCGGCAGGCACAAGGCTCACCATCGGTGGTGGTCAGAAGAGACAAGATACAAAACGTCAAGATGTTCCAACGAGCACAGGGAAGGGGGAGGCCATGGCGAGGCATGTTGCGCGGGATGGATAAAACCCCGCGGGTCAGAAGATGCACACCCCGCTTGCGTCCTGGGTCTTGGCACACGGTTGTGCCAAGCGCGCCACGATCACCGATCGCGCAGCGCGCGGCAAAAAGGCTGATTCTCTGTGAAAGACCGGTTGGGGTTATACAAAGTGCCAAAGCCAGGTACAATGGATCAGCTACAAATCTTGTCCACGAGAGCCTGGTTGACTTCGGCAGCGGGAAGTTGACGAATGCCCTTCCCGCGACCAAGGAGGAGGTGCTGACTGAGTTGCAACTCAGTCTTGCAGGACGAGCTGGCTCTTTGTATTGTGCAGGGTGTAGCTTTCTTTATTGACGCGTTATTTTGTATGTCGTCTGTTGGTTGTTGGGCCGTCTACTCAACTACCCAGTAGAGTCGTTGTCGACGAGTGAAAAGTCAACGCGCTGATTTTTCAATTTAAACCCATTCACATTTTCACAAAGTTGCTCCTTTGCTCATCCTTTGACTTGGACAGCGAACCCTGCGCTACCAACCGTCAGCTTGCTTTGAAGGTTCGAGCAGAGAAGAAGCCCTTTCTTTCTGACATTTTGACCCAGAAAAAAAAAAATCCAAACATGGCTTTGCCGCCTCGACTTCGAGACGTGCTCAGGCAGCAAGGTCAGCGGCGGGTTCCGCTTGTCGCAAGCGTCGCCTTGCTTGGACCACTCCAGCATCGAACCGACGTCAATTGCTCAAGGATCTGGTTGACGCTTGTTGAATGAATTAGGCTTTGAACTGCAGGAGGCGCGTGGCTATGACATTGCCTCACTCAGTCAAGGTATGTAAGCATTGGACCACCGAACTGCAACGGCTCGATTCCGTTGGGGTTTTCGCTGGCTCGACCTCATCTGATCAATCTCTGGGCAATGCTGGTGGGCGTCTTGGGCTAGAGCTGGGCCTTGAAGCCAAAGATGCAGCAGCTGTGCTTCAAGCCGCACAAGGACGCAAGCCCGTGGGTTTTCAGGTAAAGCCTGCAAATGCATGAAATGCAAGCCTGCGCGCACGCACTTTGCATACTAGCCTCAATCTCTCGGCGATCTCCGCTGCAGTCTGGCTCCTCACGATTCTGAATTGCTGTGTTCTTGGGCGGGGGGCCGGGCTCTTTGGAATCGACCACGCAGAGTGCATACGAGGCGCTGCGACAGGAGCGCCACCTATCCTTCATTCCAACGATGAGCAAGACGTTGGATGCGTTGCTGACAGGGGGCGTGCCATGTGGTTGCTTGACGGAGGTGGCTGGTGCCCCTGGGTTGGGAAAAACTCAGCTGGGGTGAGCCACATGATCTTTGAAAGAGCAGGCTTGCAAGGCATTCATCCTAACCCGCCTTTTTCTGCTGTCCACGATGTAGAATGCAGTTGGCTCTAACGGCTCAGTGCGCTTCTGCTGGAGCCTTGGGCGCCAACCCCGAGATGCCCGCACCAAGCTGCATTTACATTGGTAAGCTCACCTAGATTTTGAGAGCTTGGATGATAATTCTTTTGCCCGCGAAGCCCGTTTCACCAAGCAACCCACTCGCTTGACCATGCTGGGCGGAAATCAGATTCTGAAGGCAGCTTCTCCGCGGTCAGGTTGCGGGAGATGGCTGTTGCCTTGGCAGCTGAGCTTCAGGACAGTCGTTTGGGTGGGTGCCCGCAAATACACGCCCGAGTTGATCAAGGTTGAGGCTGACTGTGAGCAGCAACTCACCTGGCAACTCCACTTGTGGCAGAGGTCCCTGCCGTTGAGACGATGCTGGAGCAGGTACATGTGGCGCGAGTGCTCAACTACAAAGAGCAGTTGGCTGTGGTTCACCAGCTACCAGAATTGGCGGCGCGCCTTGGCGGGGTACGTGCTGCAACCGTTTTTACCATGGCTGAGGTTCTTGCAATGAGGTCACACACCTTGGATGTCTCTTTTGTAGACGCGGCTAGTCATTTTGGACAGCGCTGCCTTTCATTTTCGAATCAATTTTCGGGATGCGGGCATGCGCACGCGTTTGCTGAACAATATGTGCCAGACGCTCATGAAATTCGCCCGCACCCACGGGGCAGCAGTCGTGTTGATCAATCAGATGACCACAAAGATTGCAGAAAACAATCAAGTCTCATTGGCCCCGGCCCTTGGTGACAGTTGGGGACATAACTGCACCAACCGTGTAGTCCTGGCCTGGCATGACAGACAGCGGTGAGTGGTGCTGCATGCCCTTTGCATCTCCTGCATTGTGCCTGGCTCGAATGGTCACGAGTTTTTGAGAGTTGTTGGGTGAAGAAAGGAACCCTCGAGGGGGGATATCAAAGTGACACAGATGGGGATTGGATTGGATAACAACGGCCGCGGGTGACTCGACGCACGGCGCCAGCAATGTTTTACACCCTCGTTTTTTTTTTCCTTCGCGGAAATTCAATGTCCGAGCCTAGTGGCAGCGCTTGTTGCAAGGCTTATCCTGGCTGGTGTTCTAGGGTCGCGACCTTGTACAAGTCATCGTTTTTACCAGATGGCGAAGCGCCCTATGCGGTTACGGTGCGCTCCTGAACCCCTTGGACAAGGCACATGCATCCAGGCCTGCTTGGTAACTGATTTTAACATTGGTTGGTTATGAATGGGCGCAGACCAGTGGCATTCGTGATGAGCACGCAGGCAGCAGCACGCTCGGCCCCGAGGCCAAGCGGCCGAAGCTAGTCAGCGAGCACGCCGCATGAAACGATCGTGCAATCTGCTTTAGGACGTTGGTTGTAGGTTGCCACGGCTTCCAGGGCGTCAAGAGCCGCACTGCCCTCATACAGTTGCCTGCAGCCAACGCCGTGTAATTGGTGGAGGGCCATTGTCAGCGGCATCACCATTTTTCGAATGCGCCGAGCGCATGAAAAAGACAGTCAAATCCATAAAAATCCAAGTCCATTGCGAACCGTGTCAAGCAAACGTACCCAAAAGCCACATATTTGGTGTTCATCCATTCCAGTGCGCTGAAGGAGATGAAAAACTAAATGACCCATCAAGTCACAATGCCCGGCCAGGTGATTACAATTGAGTTGGGGCAAACATGGTAGACAACGGGCTAGTTTTTGTTGAGCCGTGCAGCAACAAACCTGCGAAGCGTTTGAATGAAGGCCATTATTCGCCATGCCCAGACGCCCACGGCGGTCGTGCAGGATGGCAAAGTTTTCATCTTCAAACGTGTCTCCAAAAATGGAGCGGCCGCCATCACCAGCACCATCCACAATGTCTCCACCTTGGACCCAGCCACGAGGCTGGATGCGATGGAAAACCGAGTCTTTGTAAGTCAGAGTCTCGCCTGCGCGTTGTAGTGAAGAGTCGTTTCCGTCATCATTTGTGAGAAGTCGGGGCCCCCCAGCCGCGCTGACGAGCAGGCACAACACGCCAAACCCACCGTCTACTTTTGTGCCTGCACACAAGCCTTTGAAATTCTGGCAAGTCTTTGGCACCACGTCGCTAAACAGCTGGCAGACAAGACACAAAGGGTCGGTGCATCGGAGGTTGGTGGCGTGAGATCAAGCTGCTAGCAATTGAAAGGCGATGTGCTCAAGCTCACCTCAAACGTCATGGTGTACTCGCGGCCATCGATGGCCACGTCCATCGTTACAAAGTCATGCTGTCGCAAGTGCAAACGCGATGCGACAAAGCTGGGGTGAGTTGGGTGTGGACACCACGACCTTGCCGTAAGCATAACCACCGCCACAGGCGCCGTACACTGCCACCCAAAGGTGACGAGTCGCAAGCGACGTACCTTGGACTTTTTCCGGTAACTTTTGTCGTATGCCTGAGCCGCCGCTTGCAAGCTGGCCGGTTCGCTATTTATGGGGCGCCCCGACGCAAGAGGGAGAGAGGAGGCAAGCACCTTGTGAGTTTACACGATGTCGAGAACACAGGTGCGCGGCGTGCAGTACATTTCGACACCAACTATGTCGGTGGCTCAAAGCGCTTCTGACGCAGCCAGTCCGTGAAGGCGGCTTTGTCAGCAAACGGCTGGTCGTTGAGCACGGCAATGGCCAGCTCCTCAAGGTGAGCGTTATTCTACAATATAGGCGCGGCAAATGCATGCAGAAGGACAGACAGCATAGAAAGAAATGCGTCAACCATCGCGCCGGTAGAGCCAACCCATTGCATGTGTCGACCACAACTTGCTTACGTTTCGCAGCGAGGCAATGCGCACGATGGCGTCCAACTCGTTGTGATCTTCGATGGTCAGATTGACATCGCGTCGGCGCGGCGCAGCAAAGTCCTTGGCACCCAAAAGAAAGGTTCCGACACGCAGCGATGAGGGTGCCAAAATTGTGCATCGACGTGGATGCAAGGTCATCCAGCTAGCGCAGCAGACAGACCTCAGCCCACAGCCGCAGCTCCTGGAAGGCGGGGCTTCGTCGAAAGCCCACAATCGTCAACTTATCCGCCATGATGCTGTCACGCGAACACATGGCAACAAGGTCAATGCAAGCAACCTGAAGCACACTTCATGCTAGATGCGCGTGGTAGATACTTGTGACCATCGCCTCCCTCCCTCTGATTTGGTGCCTTGTCGTTTTCTCGCATGAACATACTCGATCAAGGATAAGGATTCTCACAAAAAAAAAAAAAAAATCGAGCATCTGCTTGTCTCGCTCCGTCCGCAAAGAACGAGTTCAGACAGTTGCCAACCGATACAAATATGAATGAGATTGACGGTGTTTTCCCTGTCAAAAGTTATAGACTTTTCAACAACCACGGCCCGTCGCTGTTTCTTTGGTTTTGTTGCTCCTTGCGTTTTTATTTTTGTGTTCTCGTGTCGTCGACGTCTAGCTCATCTTCTCAACTCAGGAACCAACAGAATGGCTGGTGGCGGTGTTCCCCCCTCTCAAGCCGGCAAGGGTCTCGGTGCCATCTTCAACAACCACACGACTGCTGGTCGCCGCAACGTGAGTTTTGAAGGCTTTTTTTCAAGGGATTTGTCGGTGTTCACACATAGCTCGCACAAAAGCCTTTGCCGAATGCACACCTCCATGGTGGTGGGAAACCGCTACTCAGCACGAATTTGTGATCCATGAGGAAGAAAAACACAATCACGAGAATTGATCGCGAGTCCATTGGGCTCAACCTGCGGCTTTTTTTTTTTTTTTACTCGTCGAGGACGTGCCTTGGTTTCGCTTTACAGCCACTGCACTCATGCCCGGTTGCGCGCTTGCTCGATAGTTGACCTTTGCCGTGGTTGCTGGATGGGTTGTGCTCATCAACCTTGCCACGAGCGGCAAGAAGAGCGAGGCCAAGTAATTGGATGGCTGCATAATGCCATGCCTGTGCTTACCAAGCTCTTCCCATCCCACTGAAAACAACATCATTGCCGCCACCTGCAAGTGTTGATTGCCATGAGACTCGTGCCCATTGCGAAGCAGACTTGTCATCGCTCCCATGAGCTGTCATTGGCTTGTTTGTATCACAGACTTAATCAACAACACGGGAGACGGCCGATGGTGCTGCTGCCGCTGCTGACTCTTGCTTACCACCTGTGAATTGGATGGATCTAGTGTGGTCTCTGCCATACCTCCTTGATGCGATGCGTCGTGGTTCATGACCGAGTGCTGTTTTGTTTTGTTTTTTCTTAAAGAAGAAAGCACGCTCCTTCATGGTTTCCGTAGAGGCCTCATTCCATCCTCTTACTTACCCGCTTTTTTTTGAACAATGTTGCTTTCCCACCATGATTACTTCTTCGGCACTCTTGACCGAGCTCGCTCAATCAAAGTTGTCAACGTACTGCTTTCTCCCTTCAGCTCTGGCTTTTCACAAACAGAAATAGAGAAGCGCTAGCTGGCGTGGGCATGCTCAATGTTATTCTATTTTCTTGTACAGATGGGCGGCAGCGAAGAAAACACAAAAGATGGAAACGATACGATCGTATTGGAGAAAAAAAAAGGAACAAAAATTTTATCTTTGAACAGCAAGCAATGCGCATCAAACACACACACACGTGTAACAAACAGAGGCTCTTGTTTCCAAGGTAGGCCGGCTGGCAGTGAAATTGGCACATGGACTAGATTTGGCCATCGTATTCACCGAACATATGGCCTCTCTACTCGATTGTCTGCAACAAAGCCGTCCGCTTCTCAGACTCTGAGAAAAGAGCGCGAACCAAGCTCCGCAGCTCGTCACCCGAGAAGAGCCATTCGTGACGCTAAGAAAACACGAAGAAACAATACCATTACGTGAGAGGTAAATTTGGTTATCGCCCTTCTTGCACTTGACCGAGAATCACCTACAGCCGAGGTCAGACAACACACGAACCTGATGCTTCTCGGCGATTTCACTGAGCCGCGCGTTCAAAATTTCTTGGAGCTGCAAGTCATATGAGGCAATCGAAGCAAGTCAGCCAACCCAGCCAGGAGTGGATCGAGATATGTCAAGCCCATTTCCAGCACAATCAACCGACCTGAGTAAACTTAGCCCATGCAGTCACCGCGCTGGCCAAGTCTTGACCAGCACCCTCCAAGAGTAAGCACACGGCATCGGCAGGCGAGCGCAGCAGGTCATGCAGCAGCTCTGATTCCTCCACGGAAATATCGCGTAACGCAATGATTTCCTGCATAATATGATCAAGGACAGCGCTCACCAATGCTCCCATGGTCGACTCGTACAGCTCGGCGGTCATGAGCCCCTGCCCATTGTTCATCACCCATCGCGCTGGTAAGCCTTGGCGGTGTTCCTGCAGTGTGGTGACAATGTGCAAACATGCGAGCGTACCTTCCAAATCTTTGAAAGCACCGTAAGCTGATGCAGAGCTTGACTAATGGCATTGTCAACTTTCTCGTAGGCGCGCGGCTCCTCCAAGCCTGAAAATCCTGAAGCGTCACAAACAAGGGCAGGATCAACAGGTCAGCTCACCCTCAAGCCACGTTCTTGGTCGCTTGGCGGGCACAAAATTGCTGCGTTGACCCTTGACCAGCTGGAGACGTGACCCAGGCGAGGCAAATTTACCATTGAGACCGTCGAAGCTGCTCATAATCTGCTCGTGTTGCGCGTTGAGCATGCGGGTCAAGAATTGCTCGCCCATCAATCGGAAAACGGGAACCTGTCAGCATACCAGCCACAAGCAAAGAAAACAATTTAGGCAACGAATTGTGTGCAGGTCGAAAATCGTGCTCGAGCAATCCGCACCAGATCGACAAAAGTTGCCAATTGAACGGTATCTGTGGGCAAGTATTGCTTGTACAAGTGGGACATGGCTGTCAGATGGTAAGCGATGTAATTACAATCGTTGTAAAAGATCACAGCTGGCTGGGGCACTGTTCACGGTAAGGCAAAAAGAACCCGTGAGGAGCAGCAGCATCATTCGAGCAAGCAACGCCTTTGCCCGCCGGCTAGCAGGAAAACGATTGAGAATTACAACATCAACCCTGTGGCAGCCTTTCCTGGGCCTCTAACAACGCTCAACCAACCGCTATCCATGGCTGCCTTGGAGTGTGCAGGCACAACCGCTCGAAACAGATCAAAAACGTCTCGCACGGAGCCGAAACAGTGCAGAGCCCTAGGAGAAGTCAGAAGAACAAATGAGCTGGCTGTGCGCATGTGTGTGTGTGTGTGTGTGTGTGTGTGTGTGTGTGTGTGTGTGTGTGTGTGTGTGTGTGTGTGTGTGTGTGTGTGTGTGTGTGTGTGTGTGTGTGTGTGTGTGTGTGTGTGTGTGTGTGTGTGTGAGTCGATGAGTGCACCAACGAAACAACATACTCGCAAGACCAGCACACGAGGCCACATGACCCGGTGTGCTTGCTGGTACATACCATGCGCTGACGATTGGCAGTCAGGTTGATGTGATCGCGCACGTAGTCGCGCAATTGGCTGACTTCCTCTGTCTGCAGCCCAAAAGTGTCTTGCAATGATGCCTCCATGGCGTCAACTTCTTCCTTGAGAGCCTCAAAGGCCGAGGTTTCCGCATCAGCAAGGGGCACAAGGCTTGCAATGCCGTCTTGAACAATGCACGGGGCTCCAGCACGATAGAGGGCCAGGCCAAAGGCTGCAGTGATTTGGGCTGTCGCCTTTTCGTCTGCATCGCCACCCGCCGAGGCGAATATTTGTTGCTGGAAGGTCTCAAAGATTTGCTTGAGCACACCCAGGCCGTCGGCTGCGCACGGAATTCCGGAGGGGCGTCGTCAGTTGAGCAGATGCAGAGGAGCAATAGTCGCAGCGCCTCATCTGTAGCAGAAGAAGCAAATCAATCCGACATACTCATATCCTTGACTCGGATTTTGGCACGACCGGCCGCGGACCGTTTGCCTTTGGCAGCAGCACCACTTGGACGAGCCGTCCAAGTTAAGTGTAGACTTTGATGCTGTGATTTGATGCTGAGCGTAGCCCTGCAAGACCAGATACAAGATGTAAGAACGTGTGCGCAATGCTGGGAACGACGACCGAAACGAAAAGGGCGTCAGTTTGAGCAAGCAGGCCGATAACTGACGAGGGATGGCGCATAAGAGGTGCAACGACGTCGCGAACAAACAAAGAGCCTAGGAGCTCCAGCTTGCTGCCTAAAACCTCCAGGGCATCAAAGGCGCGCAACACCTCGAAGAGAGAAACAGTCACAGAGGAGCTGGCAGCTACATATGCACAACAGCCGTGGGGAGGCAGGCAAGAGCAGCAGAGCACGCATCAGCAGTGAAAGCAAGAACAAGGCAAACAGCCGTCATCCAATGATTCGTTGGATGAAAAGATGAGAAGCGTTTGGCGCTGACGCACAAAGAACCTCCTTGGCCAAATGAATGCTGCTTGCTGGCAAGCCTCCCGCGTCAGTCTGATGAAAGACGATGGCACGGCGCCACATGTCATCCAGTTGGCTGGCGAGGTGAGCGCGGCGGTTTCGGCCTTCGCTCTATGCATATGAAAATGTCATGTGTGAGTGGTGGAGCCTGCGTGATTTTTCTGTAAATCGGACAGGCCGCAAGGTGCTTTTCCATTTGCCCTGGTTTCCCAGAGCTTTGACATTCGAACCTTGAGAAGGCGAAATATGGTGGCGTTGCAGATTTGCTCATCAGCCACATTCTCGTCGCTCAATGCTTTGTCCTAGGGATATTTTCGAAAGCAGGAAGAAGGAGACGAAATCAGGGCGTAATGGGAACGTCGAGGCACCCAAGAATCGATCGACGGCGGAACATGATGCTAGCCTCCAAAGTATCAATGTCAAAGCAAATGCAAAGGCATCGACAATCTCACCATGGCTTGACTGAGCAGGGCTGCCTCGTAAAGATGACCTTGCTCCATCTGCTCCTCGAAGCGATTGAGCTGATTATCAACCTGTTTGAGACATGCGCCTCAGGCTCATCGTGAGGACTAGAGCTTCAGATGGCAGAATGGAGCTATTGCCGACGCACCTGTGACAAACTCTTCAAAGCATTGATGGTACGTATGGTGGTTTTGAGCTGCGTAGCCAGCACGCGTTGCTCACGCACATCGCTGACCAGCTCCTTGAGTTGTGAGCTCTACGTGTGGGACCGCCCGAGTGATGCAGATGAGAACGATGGCACTCGGCGCTCCCGCCAGTTTCAAAAGAGGGAGAGCAGCGTCAAAAGCGTAAAGGAACGCACTTGCACGCTGGAGGTGAGCGTTGCAATGCGGTCATCCAGGACGGCAAGACGGTCCTGAATCTCCTCTTGCGACTCGAAAGTTGCCGTAAACTTATCATGGTGCGCCGAGATGGACTCGTAAATCTGGCTCTTGAGCTCATCGATTTTCTGTGTAATGGTGCAAATACACTTGTCCAAGTCTCCTCGATTGACAATGGTCATATCGCTGCCACTCTGTTGTTGCTGCTGCAACTGCTGATCCAACATACTCACGCCCAAGGCCGCCATGGTGGCCATCCCTGCTGACCTGCTTGTCCAAAAGTGCAACTGTCGAACAAAATGACGAAAATGCACAAAAAGAGTAACACGGCTTCACCATGACATTGTTTTCTTTTGTTTTTTGGGGCAACTTTTTTTTTTTTTTGAAATTCGCCGCGAAACTCTAAATTTGGGCGATTCGTCTATGTTAGGGTGAACGTTTTTATATTCTGAAGATGTAATTTTCACATTAGGTCGAAAAGAAAGGAGTTTTCTTTTTGGAATTTTGTTGTGCAAAGGGCAAGTCGTCACCTTGAAATTTGGCGGCAGCGTGTTGGCCCAAGTAGGTGCGTGTTCAAGGGCGAAGTTGGCTGGCTTTATGAACGTTCATTTGGCAAACTCGTCTTCTTATCACGCCTCCCATCCCTTTGCTTTTAGACGTTTTAGACCTGAGGTGTTGTGCGCGCCAGCGCCGGCATCCAACCGTCGTTGCTAGCTCGCGTTGACTTGATCGAGTCTGTACAAGGCCCTCTCTGGGCTGCGTCGCTAACTGGCTTTCTCAATCATGGCCACTGAAAACGTGTCTCGCCTTCGTGAGTGGGTGTCTTTGGAACATTGGGAACGACCTGGCCAAGCCTCAGTGACGCTGAATCACACTCATTCGATAAACGCTTTTCGGCTTGGTCGTGTCATGAAACGCAGAGGACTTTGTGGCCCACTCTGACAAGGTCAACTGCATCGCCATTGGCCGCAATGCCGGTCGCTACTTGGCAACTGGTGGTGAGGACCGTAAGGTCAACATCTGGCACATTGGCAAGCCTAACGCCGTGGCCGTAAGTCCGCAGAGGAAATCCTCACTCTCTTTCTCTCTTTCTCACTCTCTCCTCTCTCCCTCTCTTTCGGTCTTGCGCTCTCTGTACCGCATATCCACTCGCTCCCTCTTGTGTGAAGATGCTGAGACCCACTTCTTTTTGCATCTGCTGTACTGCGCACCGCCTCAATTTTGACTGCGTCACAGACACTTGCTGGCCATACATCTCCGGTCGAGTGTGTGCGCTTTGACAACACCGATGAGGTTGTGGTAGCTGGGTCTTCCTCCGGCACGCTTAAGCTCTGGGACGTCAAGCAAGGCAAAGGTTGGTGCGCTGTACCAAAGCTTGCCGCTTCTGTTGTTTGCCACGCCACCTTTACTTACTCGCCCCCGACCCTCGCCGCGGGTCCTTCTCCCTCGATATTCCTGCAGCCGTGCGAACGCTCACGGGTCACAAAAGCAATATCCGGTGCCTTGACTTTCACCCCTATGGCGATTTCATCGCCTCGGGCTCTCAAGATACCAATCTCAAGGTAGATGGATCTTCAAGCATACACCTATCTCCCCGGAATCTCGCCTGAACAAGGCATCCGACACTGATTCGGGGCTCGTGCTCTCAATGACGTTAGATCTGGGACATTCGCCGCAAAGGCTGCATTCAAACCTACAAAGGCCATACAGAGGCCATCAATGTTCTCAGCTTCAGTCCTGATGGCCATTGGGTCGTCTCTGGTGGCGAGGACGGCGTTGTCAAGGTATGATTTGAGGCACGCGTGTGCCCCATCTTTTGCCCGCATTCACTGCCCACTGCCCACTGCCAGCTCACTCTTGCCTTGATTAGCTGTGGGACTTGACAGCAGGCAAACTCATGACCGAGTTTCGAGACCACGCCGGCCCCGTCACAGATCTGCAATTTCATCCTTCAGAGTTTTTACTGGCCACAGGCAGCGCCGACCGGTCGGTTCAGCAGCCACCACGCCTAGCCACCCTTGCCCTGTCGGTTGATTTGCTCGATTGACCTGCCTCACCTGTGCAACGCGCTGCACCCGTGCGGGTAGGACCGTCAAATTCTGGGATTTGGAGTCCTTTCAATGTGTCTCGACCTCCCGCCCCGAATCGTCGCGCGTCCGGTGCGCTTGCTGACAAGCGCTTGTGAACATGTGCCGTGTACTAGTCGTACATGTATTCCACAAACACGCCTGCTCATTGCTGCGCATGTATGTGTCCATCACAGGCGCATCTGCTTTGATCCTTTGGGCCGAGCCCTGTACAGTGGCTCGAAGGATTCATTCAAGGTGTACGGTTGGGAGCCAGAAGTCACGTACGACTCTTTGTCCATGGGCTGGGGCCGTTTGCAAGATATGCACGTGAAAGATCCGGAGGGAACAACGCTGGTACAATTTTATTTTACTTTGCGCTACTCAAACTCGCCGAATCAGCCTCCGGCCTGCTCGCATGGGCGCAACCGACTCATCCGACCAAATTTTGACTTTTTCATCTCGCGCGACTCGCTTCGCCTTGCGTAGGTTGCTGCTTCTTGCCACAACGAGAGCGTCAGTGTCTGGCTTGTTGATCTTCAGAATATCAATTTTGATCGCAACAACGCAAAACCGTAAGATGCACGATATCTCCACTCTGTGTGCCATTCCGTTGTCTGCTCCGACCTATTTTATTAAGGCCTGCTCTTGTGTGTCTGAGTGTGTTTATATTCCCCGGTTTGCTTCTTTGTTTCTTGGAGTTGTTGCTCCTAGCTTAACAGTCTGCGTTGCTTGGTTGTCCTTTAAGCCTCATGCCAACGATGTGCGCTGTCAATGTGTTTCTGTCAGGGACGCTCGAGAACCTCGCTCAGCTGCCGCAGCCCGAGCACCCAGCAAAGCAGAAACCCCACGCGCTGCCAATGCAAGGTAGCATCTCACGACTAAGCACCAATGGCACAAAAACAAATGGTTGTGCTTGGCTCACGCTGCTGTTGAACTCGTTGCTCCATGCCAATGTTTGCACACCATCTAGTGCCGAAACACAAGTGGTCAACCGCAATTCAACGATGACCTCGGACGCAGGTGCTGTCTTGTTTGATCGATGAACTATTCCCTCACTGACTCGAGCACCTTCTTTGCTCATTCATTGGCTCACAAACCTCGCTGTCGAAATGATTGTGGGGCGCACAGACTCTGCACAGCGACCGCGGGCGCTGCCTCGCGCGCCAGCAGCGACTGCCAACGCCGCACGACCCCGCATCTCCTCCTCCAGCTCGACTACGGCCTCATCGGGCGCAGCTCAGCTGAATGTTCCAGCGCCTAAGACCGAGCCAAATGGTACCCAGGCCCTAAAGAGGTCCTGGAACAAGACAGATCGCCCAGTTATCCCTTCCACTCGCGACAAACCGCTGGATTTGGACGTTTCCGAGTTTCTGCCGGTTCGTGCTTCATGTGCCTAGCCGCCATGCTGGCGAGGTTGCCATTTGTGAAGAACTCACCTGTGGCAATTTTCGTCCTTCTTCCCTCGCCGTGATGGCTTTGTAGTCCCCGATTCAAGACGTGAAACGGAACGCAAGTCAGACAGAGGATGAATTGCTGGCGAGCCTTCGCTCTGGTATAACCCATGTTCACCGCCTGTTTTGGTCCACCCCTGAGCTGCTTCTCCCGTGTCTCAAGCTAGAGCTCATCACCTACTTGCCCCTGACTTTTGCGACTTGGACTGTTGCCAGGCCATACGTCGATGATGACCATCATGAGCACGCGAGCTCGCAACATTCAAATTGTGAAGAAGATTTGGGCGCAAGGCCGCCATAGGGTGAGTGAAACCAGGCTGACGCCGAGTTCTCAGCATCCCCAACATCTCATTTTTTTTTCTTTTTTGGGGACTGCTGTGAGGCAGCAAGCGCTAGAGCAGATGGTAGACCTTGAGGACAATGCTGCGCTTGTGGATCTTCTGGTGAGGCTGTTGCCATACCTGTGCTTGCGTCTTGTTCAATCCACCGTCAACTTGCTTTCATGTCTGCTTCGTTCCCTATCATGGAATGCCTCATCTGTATGTTGCTCCGTGGCCTGATATTCATCTCGCCATGACAGAATTTGATGCTGGCCAACCCAAACGTCTGGACACTGGACTGTGCGGTGGCTGTACTTCCAGCCTTTGCTAACCTCATCAATAGCAAGCATGAAACGTGAGTGTCGCCTCACAAGTCCAATGTGCTGAGCGAGGAGAGCCATGCGCCTTGCACAATAATGGGCTGGGCTGGGCTGGTAGTTCCCAGACAGATACACCCATCCATGTTCAAAGCTTTACGTCACTGAGCATGCGCGTGTCTTTTTTCGTGTCTGGGAAGTGTGCAACTCGTCTGGCTCACTTCACCGCATCTGGTTGTATGCCTTGCTTCCACCAGGTACGTCATTGCTGCCTGTCAAACCACCAACTTTCTGCTCAAGAGCTTCGGGACGATGATCCATGCAGCGGGGATGACGGCAGCGGCAGGGCGCAGCGTTGACGTGTCCAAGGAAGAGCGCCATGAGAAGTGCTGTGCCTGTTATGAGAGCTTGCAAGTGGTAAAGGAGGCTCTACAAGCACGCAGCGATGAAAGCGGCAAGCTTGGCTCGGCCATTCGCAAAGCCATGCGCGCCATTGAAGTCATGTAGAACGTGTGTGGGTATGTGTGTGTGTGAGAGAGAGAGAGAGAGTTGTGCAACACAGGGCCGAGCTCTCGTGAATTTTTCCGTTTGTCTTGGTGCCGCAAAGTAATTTTACCAAGTGTCCCCCACCCCCCAATTGTAAGTTTTGAAGGAAACAAGTGACACGAAGCGCAACCCAACCAGTTCATGTCACCCCACAATATTGCGTTTGGTTCTTGGGCCAATGTGTGGCGGTCGCGCTGCAACAAAGGGACCCTTTTTCATGCTCGTACACAAGTCCACGATGCCGGATCACCACTGCAGGCCTCACACCAACGACTTATGACTTGTTGATAATAAATCGGTTTTTGGGTTTATTGTTTGATTGTTTTCTGAGGAAGGCGCGTGCTGGGGGCTGTACGTCAAGAGGTGATGAAGTGCACCATCGTGCCCCGATCTCGCCAAGTAATCTCAACACCAAATCCACGTGAGAGCGCCGCGATGCAATTTATCCGCCAAATGACTTCATCACCAACCCAACCGCGCCTTTTGGCCCAACAGCACATGCCTTGAACGTGTTATTCGTAGCAAGAACAACAAACCGTAACACAGCTTCCTCTGCTCGGAAACAATTTCCCCCATTGATCGGTGCATGTATGCACTTAATCCCATATTCAAAGGTCACCATGATGTGATAATCGTTTGTGCTTGTGGTGATCTGAACATCTTGCCTCTTGCTATGGAAACCTTTTGAATTGTTGGTAGTTGGTGAGATTGTACCTGTGGTCAAGTTGACCGTCACAGCACCTCGCTCGCCCTACTGCTCCGATGACGTTATGATGAAGCGGGCGTGAAGGGGAGAAAGGACTGCTCCGAGGCAAACAGGATGAGGCTTTTTACTGAAGCAGGACAAGCTCGCGTCAGCTAGCATGTGCACTTGGCATTCGACACACGACAACAGCCAAAAAAAAAACCACCCTCGCCACGTGCTGACGATAAATCAAGGAGCAGATCCGTAAAATAGCAAAACCTAAAGCGAAAGTGTTTCCCTCCTCCTAGCGCAAGCTTGAGGCATCAGCATGTACGGTCGTGGCAACATCTGAAGATTTAGGAGGGAGGTAAATTATTGATAGCTGGCATGCGACACCTCGTTCGATCCCACCACCCAATGGGTACGACCATCACAATCTTGGGTTTGTTTCAGGGTACCCCGATGCATTGGCTGTGACTGAAGTGCTCTGCAATGACTCACCCCTCCTTCTCAGCCGAGTTTTTGTCTCATTACACTCAAACTCGAAGCACAGAGGAAGGCAACACAGCTGTGCCGCCAGGCAGCGCCCTCAAAGCTCTCGCTCTTGTGGGGGAATCAATGGTTGCGGAAACGTGCATTTTCCAGCAGCGCGAGCGAGGCTTGGCCAGCCACGGTTCACTGGTTGAACTCTGTCAAAATGTCCCACCTAGAGGCGCTTGCTCCAGAGCTGGGGGTGTTTGGTACTGTCGCCAATAATGAGCCGTCCTATTTGGCCCGTGTATGGCCTGCCCAAGAGATCCTAAGTGAGCCATGGTTTTGCCTGCCAGAGACGGATGACTTCCACACCCTATCCGCCCTGGATCTAGCAGAGCAGAGCGCAAGCGACCTTGGGCAAAGCTATCATCAAGAGGCATCTCCCGACACCTCCGACTGGCTAGACGACATGATATCCGGGCTTTGCAGCCCGATCTCCAAACGAGGCGACTCGCCCGTAACAATGGCCAAAACTTGCCCTCGCACTGCAAAACGCCCTCCCAGCCCTTGCTGGGTAGGTGTGCCCTTGGCAGCCTTCGGCGGAATGAAATCGGATCTGGATGCCGCCAGCCCCACGCCTCTGCCACGGCTGCGAGTGCAGATATGCACCGCTCCCTCGACGGCAGCAACAAGCAAAGTCCCAGCCACGAGCCAGCCTCTGCCTCGCAATATCGGCGTGGCTGCTCAACTTTTCACGCCCAATCTCTCTTGCCACGGAATACCAGCACAACCCGTTTCGGCTGGAAAGGGTTATCAAGAGATTGATGCCTGCAGTAGCAACTGGGAGTTTCTCTCTTTTTGGCAGGAGGGCCGAGCCTCCATGCCAATGGGCTACCCAAACTAGCGACCTAAATGTAGCTTTTAGTTTCGTCAAGGCGCTGAGCCTGGCCACGGAGATTTGTTGAAAGATGACCAGCTGCCGTGCTTGTGATTACGCGAATTGATTTCAATATTTGATGCCCAAGTGGATCAACACGTCCCCGAGATAATCATCCTTCGAGGGGGAAGCTGCATATCACGCCTGAAACCATCTTTTGACACGATGCCATCTCCGAGTAGTCACCTGGCGGCAACGGTAAAGCCATGAGAAGAAGCCATCTTGAACCATCAGGTCTCGCACCAGAACTTGTCTCAAAAATTGTCCTGAAGACCGAGAACGACTGATGATGAAGCAACTGTCCTCGATCAAAGGAAAGCCGTGAAATGCAACAGCCAGGGCCTTTCTTGATGTTGTGGTGGTCCGTGTCACAGATAACCTGGATGCCTTGACGCGCCCAGTCCCCCAGCCATTGCCCGTCATCATGCATGTGGGAGAGGTCCGGTAGAACCGCCAGAGACAATTCATCTTGACAGGTTTCTCCCAATCCACAGCGATCATTCAGCGACACGAATATGTGTTAGCGTCAAATCCGTGCTTCCACGCATTTGAGCACTCCCAAGCCTGACAATATCTCTTTTCAGAATGCACGACACTTGGCTGATAACTTACACAAAGGCCAAGTGACACTTTTGATGCTTTCTCACTCTCGATTCTTGTTTAAAAAAAGGGCGGGATGGGGTAAGTGTCAGAATTTTACGCTAACCGTAAGCGCCCTGTGAGCGTCGACGTAAAATTACGAAGCAGCCTCAGGTTGGCCCGTTGGCGAGGCTGGTGCAGGACTTTCACTGCGCGAAGACGTCTGGGAGCGCCGACGCTACAAGACATCCAAGATCCCATGAGAGAAGCGTAAGGGGTGATGTAACGACCAGTGCAGGTGCCGACTTGAAATGACACAAACAGGCAGAGCGACGCACCAGAACACCCGACCATGACGGGATACGATTGTGTTTTTTGCGGCTGACGACACTTGTCTGGTCGACCATGTTCTTCATAGCCTGCAGAGATGCTCCGAGGGCGTCTACCTGAAGTTGAAGGCGCTTCTTGTCATACCTAAGTTGAGCCGCAGTCTCAGCCACCTGCGACATTTTCGTATCCTAATATTGAATCCGCAGTCAGCCATTGAGGTGATGTCCGGAAAATGGTTCGGCTGCATGCAATCAAGGAGCCTTTGACCTCACCTGTGCTTGGCCTTTGAGTCGTGCCGCCACCAGTAAAACCTGCAATCTAGCCCGCTCGTGTCGGTGGCGGCGCGACAAGTCGAGTAGTGCAGTGTCATGCTCGGTCATAATGTCTTTCAACTACAAGAAGGCAATATTATTAGGTCCACGTTCACTCAAAAGGGGAAAAGGAAAAAAAACCGAGTTTGCTCAAGAGCTTGACATGCGCTCGAGATGGAGCGCAGGGCCGTACCCGTTGCTGGGAGAGCGCAGCCTCTAGGTCTGCATCAGCTGTGATCAGAGCACGGCCATGCTCCTCCGAGCTGGTTCTAGTTTCATTCTCCATTGCGGTGGTGGAAGCCGGTGCCTGAAATTCGTCCAGGCGGTCTTTGAGCTGCCGATTCTCAGCTCGCAGGTCCACCAATTCATTTGCAGCTTCTTGAAGTTGTATGTACTTTTGCTACGAGTGTGGGGAGAGAGAAAAAGATGAGGGCTTGCATGGGTACAGAAAGCGCCAAGTGCTGGGTGGCTATGGCGTGGCTAATTCGCATCGGCCCATTACGGCGACGTTCTGAACACCGGACCTCAAGTGTTTGGGCATACTCTTCCTGTACTTGCAAGCGGTTGTGTAGAACGTCAACCTAGAAATAGCAGAACAGATCAAGCGCATGAAATGCCGACGCGCCATGCCAACGAGGTCAAAGAAGATTTGGCAGTTGAGGTGAGAGGGGGCTGGTTTGCACGGCCTACATCAACCACGTGTTGTCGCTGGGCAGCTGCGAGCTCATTTGAGAGGCAATCAACCTCTCCGTGTAGCCTGTCGCACTCCGACTCCAACTCGGCCACTCGATCGGTGCATTCGGCAAGCTCTTGGGCATGGCTTTCCTGTCAATTGCTCAACATTAGAAGGCGTTGCGCAAATGTCAAACAGCTGAATGGCCTGCTGCGCGATTTGAGAAATCAGGGCGTGGGCTATGTAATGTGACATAGGACCCAAGTAGACCATGCACATGCACACCAAGCCGTCAGCAGCTCACCTCACCTTGAGACTTTTGACTTTGTCCGTCAGGGACGCGAGCGTAGCTTGCTGCTCCTCCATAAGAGCTCGGCCCTCTTCGGCATTACGTTCACGTTGATCCTACATGAGTACTGTGAGTGGGTGGATGCGATGCAATCCCGTCTGGGTCACTTGACATTTTCAGCCGGCTGAAATGCGCACCGCTTCATTGGCGCGGATGGTATCCCGTAATGCATCAATCTCCTGTCGGTAATCTTGAATTGCTTGCTCTTGCTCAGTCAGCTGTTGGTTGAGGCTTGTGACCTCTCGCTGCGTGATATCGAAAGGCGTGTCATGTTTGTGTACGAAATGAATGAACTCACAGCGCCTGCGAATAGGCGAGGAACCTACGTCATGCCGCTGGCTCTGTGTACTCAGTATAGCCTGGTTTTCTGTGCGCTCCTGCTGGATCTGTCACGGAGCCAAAATCAGCCTGATGGACGCTGTCTGTTGTTTGAGAGGCCAACCAAAGGGGGTATGCGCACCTGTTGGAGCGCAGCATCGAGTTGCTCGCGAAGCTCAGCCTAAGATGACCACCAAGCGCACCTGTGATGTAAAACTTTCTTTGGATGCCATGTTTATGGCTTTGATGAGCACATGACCCACTAGCCAGCCACTCTGTCACCAACCTCGCGTGCTTCAAACATGAGCTCCAATGACTCTGATTTGCACAGCGTAGCATTTGCACCCGAGTGCTGAGATTCGGTGGGTGTATGGGGGTTGCTGGCTACATCCACGTCAAGCTGCATCAAGCTTGCCAGATTTCGGACCAAGGATTCGTTATCGGCCACCGCAGCTTCAAACTACAGACAAGCATGTCACGGGGTCCAGGCGCATGCGATGAAGGGCGCTCGTGTTCGCCAACGCTTGTGCTCCTGTCACGGGCGCGCAAGGATGCTGTTTTTCTTTCAAGGAGTCGGATGCGGATGGCGGCATACCTCTGCAAAGGAGACTTGTCCACTGTGATTCGTGTCCAAGATGCCCATGAGCTGTGTCGCGCTGGCCTGAATTTCATCGTGGGGCTTGCTCTGACCAGATCAGGCGCGAGTGAGGAGCCGACTTGTCAACCCAATTTTTACGGCGCTTGCTGCCAGTCAATCCCAGCACAGGTTTTGGGACATACCGCGTCTAGAGCTGTCAGCATGCCCATCAAATCTTCAAGTGTGATGGCTGCCCGATCGGTTGAGATGGCATGGAACAAGGCCTCACGCAGTCCAGCCGTGGCATCCAGCTCGTGCTCAAAGGCCGCCATGACACACACGAATTTTTGTGCGCAACCGTAGAATGTCAGATAAAAACTGAGATTGCCTTTGTTCTGTTATGGTAGATGTATTTGTCGCAAGTTTGGCTGTTTTCGTCGTTTTCAACATCAGCTTGGTGTAACGTTGTGCCGGGTGCTGAGAGGTTATCGCGCTGCTTGTGCCAACGACTTGACAACCAGTGAATTATTTTTCGTTTTTCCTTTTTTTTTTTTTTTTCTTATCCTCTTGACTGCAAAAGGAGAGAAAGTGTGTGAGTGTGAGCAGAGAGAGGGTGAGGGGCGAGGAGCAAGAGCGGCAACGTCTGGGCGGCGTTGGCTCTTCCAGACGACGTTGCCTGAGAATAGGTAGTCGCTGGGGTGTATGTCATATGTGCTGCTGTAACAGTGCTGTGTAAACTTCCGGGCGCCATGTTTAAGCCAGCCTTTCAGTTCAAGCTGGGGTATGGCGTCTTACCGGGTCGCGTGTGCGCCGGCCGCTTTGACGGCCAGTACCCTGCCCTCGCGTGCGCCGGCACGGGTGGCAAGGTCATTATACATCATCCTCACCAAGGCGATGATGCGGGCTTGTCCCGATCGGCTGTGAACCTGCTCAACTTCAATCGTGATGTAAGGCGACATTGCCAGTAGTGCTCGTTGGCCCTTGACGCTCGGATGGTGGTGAGTGGGGGCAGCTCATGCTGTGTTGCTCGATTGATTTGTAGGTCACGGCGCTCACTGCGGGATCCTTAGACCCTGCTGGACAACAAGACATCCTGTACATTGGCTCTGCCAGTACGCTGACAGCTCACGATGTCACCAACAATTCGGATGTTTTCCACATTGATGTAAGGACAATTTTTGCCGCCCCTTGAGGAACCACCGCCTGGAGCTTCACGCGCACTTTGACTGGCCCTGATATCATGCGTTGTGGGATGGCGTTGTGTAGGCTCCGGATGGTGTCAACTCCATTGTTATTGGCCAGGCCGCGGCCAGCAGCCAGCCGTTGGTGTTTGTGGGCGGTGGCAGTGCTGTGTTTGGCTACAACGAGGAGGGCAACGACCTGTTTTGGATGGTCCGTGCTTGTTTGTTCAAGCCACTGCTTTAGCAGCTTCTTCTTGGATAATCTCTTGGTCCAAGAGATTGATCGCTGAGACATGATCCTGGCTGGACTCACGCCGGCTTGCCACGTTGATAATTTCATCGCGCGTGGTAGGTCGCAGGTGATGATATCTGTGCATTAATCCTGGCCAGCGTCGATACTTCGGCGCCCGCAGAAGATCGCCAGGTATGCTTGGCCCCCACAGCTTCATTTGATTCATACCCTCGACTTGACTCCCCGAGCTGCACCATCTCTGCTCCTGATCTGAAAGGCATGACGGTTGTCCCCCTTGCTCCCGGTCGCAGCTGGTGGTGGGCCTGGCCGAGCGAAGTCTGAGCGTGTATAGCGAGGACGGCGAGTTGGTGCACGAGTTTGCTGAACAGGAGGTCCGTCATCTGCTGTCATGCCTGCCTCTGTAGACTTGAGCACCTTCTCATGTTTGGTGTTTTGCGGCATACCCTCAGGGTGTGACGGCACTCTGCGAGCTTGGTCCAGGTCGATTTGCATTTGCCTTGCGCTCTGGCACCATTGGCGTGATTGAACGATCAAAGATTCTCTGGACGCAACAAGTTTGTTTTGGACTTGAACGCATTTTTGCTCGCAACGCAAGCACCCCCATCCCAAAGTTGTAGCCTCATGTGCCAGCATATTTCTTCTTCTTCTTCTTTTTTTTCTTTTCCTTTTTTTAGTGCAAAGCAGCTGTAAATTGCCTTTGTGCTTTTGATGTGACGCGTGATGGCGCCAAAGAGCTGGTCGTGGGACAGGCCGATGGCAGCCTCAATCTGCATCAGGCTGAAGCGGGCCATGTGCTTCTGACGGACCGCTTTGAGGATGCCGTCGCCGGTTGCGTTGTGGTACGTGATTTTTAATTTTTAACGGGTAGTTTTTGTGCAACTGTTTGTGGATGTTTGCGAGTGTTTTGCGATGCTTCACGACGGGTTTGGGGGGGCCGTAGATTGATTACCGCCGCGAAGGCCACGACTCGCTGCTGGTTGTCTCTGGTGCTGGCCACGTGCGAGGGTACCACCCCCTGGGTGTTGCAGCCGCCGCGAGCGTCAGCCAGGGCGCTGTCATCCAGGCCATGGACTCGGCACAGTTGCGCAACTTGCGCAAGCGGAAACAGGCGAGTTTTCAGCTCTGGCTCTCTTCACGTGCTCTTCGGGGAGTGAGGACAATCACAACTAGGACACGAATGTTAATGCAGAGACTCTGACCCACATTGTTCACCATTCTGCAGGATCTTGAGCATCAACTCCACCTTTTGAAATCTGCCAAGGTGTGTCGGATGCATGCGACCAAGTGTCGCTTGATTCGTTGCGTGAGCACGCAACCGGCACCCGCATTCCTCTTGTCATGAGCTCTGCTTCAACATCTGACCTTGTAGGACAAGGACAGCTCGACCCCGGCGGCACTGGAAGGGTTGGCTGAAGCGAGCTTGCACTTGGGTAAGATGTTCATTTTGGTTCATTTCCTTGCCTCATCTTCCATCCTGACCCCGTCTTTTATGAGGCGACACTGTTTGAACTCATTGAGCTCTTTGGACGTGCCAATGCAGAAATTATCATTCGCACAAACCCCAACCGTTGTTTTGGCGTGGTCTCCAGTAAAACACGTGAGGACCATGAAAGCCTGTGTCTGCACCCCTCTGAATTCTGCGTCCACGGTGGCTGATGTCGATGCGCTGTGCTACGCGGCTCGTTTCCCTGGCTGACATCAGGTCACATCATCAGATCAGTGGTCATTAACGCGCCGGGACTCGTGGCCAATGATACAGAAACCATCTGCATCCCTGCCAATGCTGCCACAGATAATTTGCAATTTGACCTTCATCCTGCCAAATATGGCCCATACACCATTAGTGTGCTGGCGCTGCTTGGCGGGTCTGGAAACACGTATGTTTGAGCTGTCTCTTCATTGGTGCGGCTGGTCCGCCCTTCTTTGATCTGCTCCACAGCGCTCAAGCAAGCAGAGCTTGAAATTGCTCAAGTGTGGCATGGGTTTTGTGCGGTGATGTGACTGATCTGGTAGTAATTTGTGGCGTGTGAAAAACATCTCCACGCAATTGCCAAGCCTGTTCATGCTGCATCCAGCTCCTGATGTCGCGCCCCCTCGTGAGCAAGCCGCCTTTGCCCTCGATGACCCCGAAGTGGTGAGTTGTGGCACCCTCTTGGTCGGCCGGTCAGGGTTGTCCAGTCGTTGCGCACGATTTGCCACCAGCCTGCCTGACAAGGACCGACCATGTACTTTTTGCCCCGACTTTTGCATGGCATTTAGTTTTTGAAGTGGCTCAGCAAGCAGACAAACCAGGCGCAATTGGAGCGGTTACCCGCTGAACTCGTGTTTCGACATGTGACGCTGGATACTGTTCTCGCCTTTCGCTACTTTCGCAAAACGGTGGGTGTGGAAGACAGCAACGCTATCAAAGGAAATGAAAAAGGGTATCGGTCCAACCCGCTATGGCGGCTCATCGCTCCGCTTGTGGAATCATTGTGCCTGACGTTGCTTGCGCTCTACCAATAGCTGATTGTTTGTGGAGATGCAGAGGAGCAAGTCGCGCCGATCGTGAGGATGATGCGCAAGCGCCTGCGTCTTCGCGTATGTAATGCTTCTTTTCTGCGCCGATGTGGCTATGACCCCACGTTGAATAGAGAAAATAGTGATGCAACGCCACTTTCTGACCAGCTCTTTGTTGCAGCCGGTTCCCCTTCCAAATCTATCGGATGCCCCCACCGCGCTGGAGGAGCGTACTCGGCGTCGCTCGAAAGACGCTGAACCGGTGGTGGCGATGGAATCCTCACAACCCGGGTCACCGGGGCAAGCAGCCCAGATCCCAGTACGATCCGATCTCAACTCTCCGACCAGCGGAGGGGGTGGCGGTGACAAGGCGGGTGAGGCCTCACGCACGGAGGCAAGGCGCTTGCCTCAGCCTCCAGGTCAGCTTCCCCGAACGCACAAGGCCCAACGCAGGCCTGAAGGTGATGATACCAGTCCTCTGCCCGCTGCTCCAAGTGCATCCCCACCACGCTCCTCGGAAGCTCTTGCTTCAGATGAGAAGCAGCGTCACACGCCACCACTGCCAATGGCCAAGACCGATAGTCAGCACGACAATGGTCTTGCAGGCATCAAAAACCTGCTCTCTGAGATTGCTGACCTGCACGGAGTTCGCCAGCGCCTCTCTGCCGAGCTGGCAGAGGGGAGCAACTTGGTCAAAAGCCTTCTCCTGCGCGCCGAGGACTACCGACTCATGGGAGATACGTGTGTAGCCATGTGCCCATCCTGTTGCGAGTTGCCTTTTCATCATCCCGGTCTCTCACCAATGCTCACAATCCAATGTCCTCCTCTTGGGCGTGTGGTGTTACACATGGTCAGGTTTAACATGCGCGAGACGTATGCGCAGCTGCATGCCGCCAACAGGGACCTGGTGAACGCCTACACGATCCGATCAACCAATCACAACAAGCTGCTAGAGGGCCTTAAGTCCTTGAACATGTTCATTCAAACTACGGCCCAGCTACTCGGTAAGCGACTAGCTTGTCAATCTGCCGGTGCCCCAGTGCCCCGAGCTGCAATTCCTGATTGATGGTCTCATCTCCCTGTGTCTGTCTGTATTAGATGGGCCCTTGCAAACCGAGTTTGTCGCTGAATGTCGTGAGTGCATCCGCAACAGCGATATGGTCAAGCTGTTCAATGTTTTGCACGCTGCAAGAACTACGAGTCATGCCTGATGCCTGAGAGTAAATTTATCTTAAGGAGACGCTTGCAAGCGAAGCCCTTCATGGCAACCCTGGTGCTAGATACACATTTGGGCGTCAACGGCGACCTTACAGTCTGGGAATTGGCAAGGCGCCACGTTGGCTCGCGGATGCGAATATTGAAGAAGTAAAAATAAAGGGGAAAGATTGGCCGAAAAGATGCTTGGGCAGCAGCAGTTATTCTAGGGCATAATGAGGCACGCCAAAAGCAAGAAGAAAAACAAAACAAAACAAAAAAAAAACAATTAGAACAGGGTGAGTTCCACCGTGTCGGCTTGAGGTGTCTCAATATCGCGCTGCGAGGGCAATACGGAAGGAAAATTGCATGTGTGAGCCTGAGCCATCGTGACAAACGGGAGAGCTAACACAAGCAAGCTGGTTCATGTGGCCCGCACCTTGCTCTCAATCAAGCGAAGTTCTCGCTCGCGCACACTAGGTGAGGTGGAGGTGCAGCCCTCAAAAGTGCGCCGGCACACTGCTTGCAGTGTGGCGGTGGCCAGTCGCACCGCCTCGCTCATCTTTTGCGTTTCACTCCAAGCCAAGATGAGCGCTGCAAAAAGATCACCTGTCAACAAGGGTCACACAGATGTTCGTGTCATATTCTCGCCCAAGTGGTTCATTGATCAAGGGGCCCGGGCCATTTCACGGCGGAAGGCGTGGTCGGCCACACAGACGCGCTGGCGTGTGTACAACCAAGTAGGAAACGGAACGACAGCCCGACAAAAACCAAAACAAGCCAGATTGGGAGTGAGAGGTTCATAAAGCAGAGCAACGAACGTACCCGTGCCCGTAAAGTAAAAGTCAATTTTGGGCACCTTGCAACGAAAGCGCTCCCCGCTCTTCTGCATGATTCAAAAAGTCAAGGAAAAAGGGGCGGGCGGGTTTAGCTTTGTGAACATTTTGCACTGATTTGCACAGCCAGGCGACAGGCAACGTACTCGGTCGCTACCGATGATGTGGATAAATCCATCATCTAGAGAGCAAAATTGGTTTGAGAGTGAGTCTTGAGTGGCGGATAAAAAAAAAAAAAGCAACATCCGGGTTTCAGCAGCCATTATTTTTTTTTATTTTTTTTGAGCCTGCTCGTACCGCCATCAAGACTGGTAAGGATCACAGTGGGCACGCCTTGCTCGTGAAGCTTATCGATGGCGGATAGAGCGTCCTCCGGGCTTTGGATGGTACAGTCGGAGAGCAGCTCCAGCTCAAACTGATTTGGGGTCAGAACATCAGCCACTGGTACCACTTCTGTTTTGTACACATCAACCAATGCTAAAGCAAGTGCGGCATGCCACCAGACATTGAGAGGGGCGAAAGTTCACAATAGAAGCGTTCAGTGCGGGTGGATGTGGTGCTCACAACACACTTTGAGGCACATAGAGCTTGCCCCGGTCTCCAAGAACGGGATCACACAGATAACGTGCCGCCGGGTTTATCTAGGGCCGGACAGAGAACGCGTGCATCAATGTCACCCGCGCTTCAGTGGCATGGGCGCGCTGCGAGACGGCTGCAAATGCACACCTTCTTGATATCCCGCACAATCGACACCAGTGCCCGTAGAAACTCAGCTGAGCCCACGTAGCCTATGGGTGAGTGACATGGAGCAAGGTTTGTCAAGATGTGGCAAGGGCGCGAATTGCGTTCTGCCATTGACAAGCTGCAAATGGGCGCAGGAATGGCGGGGAGAAACACGTGCAGCGTACCCGTCAACACGGCGTCATAATCGTTAAGGCTGTTCTTGACGAGACCCTGGTACAAATCAAGGAGCTCCTCTGCAGAAAGGCGAGTGCCTGACCATTGCCCAAAGCCTGGGTGCCACGCATTGATGAGTCAAACGGTTCAAGGATGCGACAAGCTGTTGTGCAATAGGCGGAGCTGATTCAAACGCACTTACCAGTGTGGTTACTAAACTGGACGCTGCAGACCACGTCGACGTTGCAGCCCAGAACCTGTAGGGTTACACGGCATGGGGCACGTGAGAGCTTGGAAAGCAGCAGATAAGGTGCGCAAGAACTACTGGCTTGCTGTGTGCGCACCTGCAGTGGGAAGGTGGCCGCTCGGTTCCCCACGTAGCCGGAGACCACATGGCTCTGAATGCTGAGAATGTGCGGAGTATGCTCAGCCATAGTGTCGCTCATTCCACGACCTAAACTACCAATTGCCCAAGCACAGTCCACCTCTTCAACACTGTCACTCGTGTGCTTCCCTGCTTGTGAATCAGGGTGGGTAACACCGCGCTGCCCCCGCTACCGTCACAAAACCCCCTGATTCGAGAGAGAGAAAGCGCGAAAGAGAGAGAAAGCCACAAAAAACAAAAGTCAGAAAACAAGCTACACCACTGTGTTTGCACCGCCTTGGACTGCAACATCTTGCCCATTGGTCAAGCGTCTTCCCCCTTTGAACATGCTCCATCTCGTCATCTTCTCAACCTGCATCATCGTAAAGCCGACTTGTATCGTCGAAACGCTCAAACGTCTGACAATTTCACGTCAACAACTCCAACATGGCTTACATTTTCGTCTGACAACGGCGAAGTCGGCTTGGACAGAAGATGGCGGCGGGCATCGGGGGTGTGATGCTGCCCCGCGTTCAATGGCAGCGGGGTGATGGGTTTGGAAATCGGCGAAGGCATTGGGTATGGATGCTGGTTTTGATTGCGGTCAGCTTATCGCGTTGCGAGGACTACATCACCCTCTCCATCCCGTTTTTCGAGATGAATGGTCGCCATTTCGAGGTCTGGATAGCGCTCGCTACTTGTGCATGTCGGATGGAAGAAATAGTAGCCTGGATCGAGCTCAGTGCGTCTTTGGTGCTGCCGTTCGTGTTGGTTAGCTTCCGGTTGGTTCAGCTCTACAAGTTACCTGTGCTGAAAGCTTCATGGTGAGAGCAGTCCCTCGCGTTGTTGAAGCGCTGTTCTTTTGGTGCCCCATCTCTGCTGTCTTCATCGCGCTCCGATATCGGCGCGAGAACCTCACGCCGCCTCTGCCATCTCACAGTCTCGTGTCACCGTCCTGGCCAGCGAATCGGCCTATACGGGTTGTAACCTGTACACCTGTGATAAAGTTATCTCAAACGCACCCTGGGACTGCAGCGTCACGTTTGCTCGCACGCGTCGTTTGTGGCCTGCTGCTGCGCAGCTCACACCCAAATTGGGTGTCGCCTACGAGTATGCTTTTTCGGTGCGTGGCCGCTGTCTTCTAACACTTGATTTTGCCATTGACAAGTCAGTTGGCCTTTGCCACCTCGAGCTCCCGCTTCTTACGCATGCCGTGTGGGTTGATGCAGGGCTTTGAGGTGGGCCAGACCTATCACTTCGTGTCCGTCTCCCAAGGCCTCTACACCATGCCCACACGTATTCTGGGCCACAATTGTGGAGGCACGGACCCTTCGACCGTGTGTACTGGTCGCAATGACTGCACGCTTCCGGCCATCGGTGGTACTTGTCAAGCTAATCAGACCAAGTTTACGGTCAGCACCGCCCAAAGCCTTGCCTTTGGTTTTCCCTCGGCATACCCTGGCCACGCTCGGATCTGCCATACACTCTAAAAGCAGTTGTTGTACGTGCAGGTCAAAATTCTACCCGAGCCAGCCTGTCCAATGCCCTGCTGCCGCTTCGGGCTCAGCGTTCCTGTGGTCGTTGACGGCGAATGCACCTGCCTGATCCCCGAGCTCCAGACAGAGTACAACGTAGGTCTCAAGCAAGCGCTTGGTGTGTGTGTGTGTGTGTGTGTGTGTGTGTGTGTGTGTGTGTGTGTGTGTGTGTGTGTGTGTGTGACTCCAAGGCCATGTCAACTGGGTAGGTGGACGCTTGCGGCAGAGTTTGAATCGCACCACAGAATCCTCAACTGACATGGGCCACCTTTCAATTTGCTCGACTGCCACAGCCTTGTGGCAGGTCTGAGTGCAGGGATCGCTGGCGGTGTCCTCCTGCTTGTTGCTGTCGTGTTCTTCCTCACGCACAAAAGGCCGGGCCCCAGAGTGCAGGCAGCTCCCAGTGGAGGTGAGTCGCATCGCATCATCTGAATCATTCCTTTGATCCTTGCATGGATGACAGTATCGATGTGTCTTGTGATCAGGCATGCACGTTAATCCAGTGTATGGTGGAGGTCGACAAGAGCACGCGCGTTACGACCCTTTGGAACTGCCCAAACCACCGCCTGCCACTGCGCCTCCACTCGCTATGCTGCCGCCCTCGGCTGACCAAGCTACCACGTCAACGTTTGTGCAACCCCCTTCGCTCATGTCGTTTGCTGGAGCATCGCCAGTAGCAGAAGAATCATCGGCGTAGAGCGTTGTTCTTGCGATGCGTGTGCCCACATTTACTAATTGAACCTTTGAACAGCAGCACGTGCTGGCAATGGTGGTTGGAGACGAGAAAAGTGATTCATCTCACAGCCCAGTCAAACTGCCCTAAACGACGATTTCGGGAGCATGCAACTCGTTTGCGATTATTAAAAGTCAACATTGTTGTCCGCAGTTTGCTCTTTTGCATTTCTTTTTCATGTGTGCACGAATCTTGGGCTGACCCCAGCATGTCACTGACACGAGACACACTGGCGGAGCTGCCTGCGCCGTTTAAACGTAAGCTGCTGACGCTCATCTTTGCCGTGCGGCAAGATGGTGCCCGGCTGTTAGGCATGAAGAAACGAGGCTTTGGCGCTGGTCGCTACAACGGCTTTGGTGAGTGCGAGGAGCGGTGCCCGCGGTTAGGGCTTGAACCCCTGCGCGCGCTCAGACGAGTGTCACATCTGAGTTGCACCACACTAAGATCCGAGATGTTCGTGTTGTTCGGCTTTCATTCATCCGACCGTTGGTTCTGCATGGTGGGCATTTGACCTTATCGATTGGCCGCGACAACAAACACGGCAACAACAAATGCAGGTGGTAAGGTAGAACCAGGAGAGGAGATTGACGTTGGGGCAGTGCGGGAATTGCATGAGGTCTGGCCCGTCGCCTGCTCCTTTGCTGCTCTTTGCCTGTCTTCTGTCAGACACCCCTCCCAGACCCGGCTGAGATTTGTCCGGTGCGTCTCATTCTCTTTGGTCCACAGGAGTCTTTGCTGCTGACAGAACCGCAACACCTTCGACGGGTGGGCCGGCTCTTCTTTGAGTTTCAAGATGACACAACCATACTGGACGTGCACATCTTTGACACTCGCATCTGGCAAGGCGAAGCTGCTGAGACTGAAGAGGTCAGCATCGTGTGTCTGAAGCGCAGCCCCAGGCACCATCACGATGCCATCATGCTCATGTCTGGCTGTGGTCTGTCTAGATGCGGCCACAGTGGTTTAACGAAGAGGATGTCCCCTTTGACATGATGTGGCCCGACGATCGCTACTGGTTCCCTCTCATGCGCCAAGGTACGGGACGTTCAACGCTGAGAGCAGCGTCCCGTGCCTTTTGAAGAGTTGAAATGGGTGCTCATCCGTTTGGCGCATGGCTTCCAGGCAAATACTTTACGGGCTATTTCTACTTCAAAGATCAATCCACCTTCTCACACCACAAACTGGTTGAGGGCCGTGCTGAATTTGCGGATCTCCGCTGAACCTGTCTCACGCCGCCCATCAACTTAGTTGAGGGTCGTGCTGAATTTGCGGATCTCCGTCTGCGCCGCTCATGCATCTGCACCACTTTCTGTTTTTGAACCCCCCCTTCAAAATCAATAATAAATTCGCGCGAAAATTCAAATCCATCGATGTTCCAATGTGTTTTCCTTGTCGACCAGGCTCGGTTGGTCTCGTCCCTGGTTGCGTTTTGAGATCGCACATCAGCACGCTCGCATGCGCATCGACTGCACGGTGAGGCAATCCCTGGCCTACACTGAGAGCACGGCAGTCACTGTGCCTTGCCATTCAGCATGGAGGACTGGGATGACGAAGCTGAGCTTGCGCCGCTGGCGCCCCTCAAACCCATCACAGAGCGACTGCAAGGCCTCAAGCCATCGCAGGTAAAGTGCCTTCATCTTCTCTTGCAATGAATGGACGCTGCTTGCCTTGGTCCGCCATCAAAATCTGATTTTGAATGAGTGCCGGTCCGGCGTAGGAACTGCTGGAGTTTTATCGCAAAAAAATAGAGGAGTATGAGGGTGACCAGGCTGCCATCCTGGCTCGGCTTGAGAAATACAAGCAAACCTACGAAGAAAAGGTTTGTCACGGTCGCACAAAACAGGCAGCGTCATGTACTTGCAGCAGTCTTCTCGGCGTATAGCTGACCTAACCTCGCTCACCACCCAACTACCCAGCACAAACTGCAATGGGATCTGGCCCAACGCGATTCGGAAATCGAACAGCTGCAAAAGGCCCTGAGCGATATGCAGGTACAGTTCATCGAAACAATCTCTTGCAGGCAAGCGGTGTGAATTGTGGGCTGTGGTTAAACATGGTGATATTGCTGCTTCTTCATTTGCAGGTCTATCTCTTCCAAGAGCGTGAACACGGTGAGTTGCGTGGAGAACGAGAGGCCTGCCGTCTTCTTCGTCTTCTTCCGCCCCCCAAATCATTCGAACAACACTTGCAACAATGGCTCCTGGCTCATAGTTTTGCGGCTATACGCCGAGAATGATCGTCTCAAAGTCCAAGAGCTCAGTGATCGAAAGAAGATTCAACGGCTCTTACGTATGTACATTGTCGTTGGAAGAGTCCGGGATTGTGGCAATGTTTGAATGGCTTGCTCTATGCTGTCATGAATATGCACTCAATCAACGCCCGATTGTGTCAGACATGAGCAGTACAGAAGATGCTGGGGAGGAAACCACCTATTTCAAGCAGCCTGGCGCAACCAAAATTGTTGCCCCCCATGAAAAGGTAGTATCAAAGGTTTTGGGCGTTATCGGATAGACGACAGGCCACAGAAAATCAATTTGCAGTCGCGAGCAAGAATTTGACGTCAGCTCCCGCTCCCCTGTGTCACAGGTCAAGCGAGCTGTGCTGGAGGAGCGAGCCTCAAAATCTACCACCCGGACCAGTGCAAAAGAAGGTTAGTCACGTCAGGAACATCAATTCCGCTGCGGCTCACTTGAGCAGCACTCAGCATACCACACGTACTGCACTGCCACTTAGAGCTGGAGGTGGCGCGCAAACGGCTAGCCTTTCTGGAGGACCAAAATGAGACGCTGTCGCTGACTGTGGAGGCTCTCAAGGCGCAACTACAAGACCAGGCGCGACTGGCTAAGGAGGAGACCGCAGCCTTGATTGAAGATCGCAAAGTTCGCGCCGAGGAAGCCCAACTCAAGTCTGCCAAGGATGCCGAACAGTTGCGCCGACAGACAGAGAAGCTCAAAAACACACAGCAGCTCTTGTACGACAGCACTCGTGACCTCCTCGAGCTCAAATATGCACATCGAGCCGCGCTGCGGGAGAGCGAAGAAGAGAAAGAACGGCTCCTGCACCGCATCGAAGAACTCAAGGAGGACATCGACAAGCAACATGCCCAAGCCATGGCCCATTTGAAACGCCAGGCACTGCAATCAACACGTGTCCACACGGCTCGGTAGTTGCACCACGACACCGCTTGCTTGGCTCAAACTTCATGTGATGATGGACTTTCAGCTTACCCTTAATGTGTGGTCGACTGTAGTGAGAAGCTGGACAAGGAGTACCGAGATATGGGCACCAACGCATATCGGTTTGTTGTGGTGCTCGAGTATACCTTTGCTTCCACCGGTCGCTGGCGGGAACGCTCACCGCTTTTTGCCGCCATGTCAACAGCCCGGGTGGACGCGGCATTGATCATGATGCTCCCTCGCCGCAGCGGGCAAGCGGCACCAGCGGCACCCCAAAACGTGGGGCAACCAATGCTGCAATTGGCTCAGGTATAGAACCCTGCCTCCACGACCACAACTTGAGCGCGACTTTCTTCCAGGGTCCAAGCCCTCACTCGGTCGATGAAATGATTCTGGCATCGTGTCCTGCAGACCCACAGCCTACGAACCTGGAGTTGGAGGATTTTTTGACCGCCGAAAAGCCGCAAGCCGCCCTGCAAGACACGCTAGCTGAGATGTATCGGGAGCAATGCGTCCAGGTGAGTATGATGCCACAGTCCGCCGGTTGCCAACGCCTTGATGTTGAACTACCTCGCTTTGTCCAAACCTTGCCTACAATTGCCTCAGCTTCCCTCCCGAACTGAAACCCACTTTTTCTTTTTTTTCATCGCTTTATCGCAGCTTGAGGATGAGGTTTGCCAGCTGCGTGAGCAGCTTGAAATCAAACGCAGCGAGAATACGCGCACGTACGAGCTTGGCTCGGTCAACCCACGCGCAAGCACGGAGCACTGGTATCAAAAATGTTTTGACTTACTTTGTCAATTTGCATTTGTGAATGGCAGGTCCAAAACACACGCTGAGCGTGCCAAGCTTTGGAAGCAGCGCTACGAAGCACTTGATCGACGCCGCACCTTGGAAGCAGAGGTTTGTGTGAACGGTTCCATCTTTGAACATGTTGTTCATTCAGCCCCCGCCCACATTTTTGTTTTTCTTTATGGCGGAGGGGTCGGGGTACCTTTGAACTTACACGCGACCATTGGACTATGCAGGGCTACCGCACGGATATTGACCAACTAAGGAAGCAACTCAAGGGCATGGAACGCCAACTTTACAAATTTGCAGTTCAATCTGGGCCGGCCAGCAGTTCAACAAAATCGGTGCGCCAGGACGGGCTTCCCTTGCTATCTTTTGCAAACTACCGCGGGGCGGCTGGGCACCCGTCGCTAACAGCACGCACAAATGCATGCCGCAGATGGTTCAACATGCTCGCCAAGCCGCCGTGCGCAGCGAAAAGGTCATGGGCGAGCTCCAACAACTCAAAGCGCGCATCTTCAATGCTGAGCGCCAAGTACATAGAACGCACGACTTCTAAAGGCACCATTGTATAGCTGTGACGGTGTATCATGCGCATTTGCCTGTTGACGTGAAGATGCCGCCCCTGTTTCGTATGCGTGCTGATCAACAATGTCATGTCAGTCATAAATTGCAAGGAAGAGACAAGCAAGGCCGCAAACCGCGGCATATCGCCGTCATCAGATATGGTACTCAAAATTTACTTTTAGAAAAAGATTAGCAATGACGCTGGATAATGAATGGGTCGCTTAACAAGAGCCGCGGCGCGCGGAAAGAGCACTTTCCGTCGCGCTCTGTCAAAATCAGAAAATTAAAAACAAAACAAAAAAAAAAAAATTCTAAAGGGAGAAGCAAAGAAGGACGAGGAAGGTTGAAACGTCGACGCAAATCAAGATGCTGATGATGTCGGAGTTTGAAGCCCAGCTCATTCCTCCCCAACAAGAGCACTCATGATGCGAGGGTCAGGAGTTGGGTGCTCGCTCCGTGAAGTGGGACTGCTTGAAGGTGTGTCCGCGGATGGTACTGCTTCAGTGGCTCCCGGAAGCGTGGGCTCGGTCAGCCTTGGTTGCGGACCTACTGAAGCACCCGTATCTTCGCTCGGCCCATCGTACAGCGGGTTGGCAAAGACTGGATCGAAAAAGGTCCGCGCGTTGCTGCGCGAGCGCCGAACAGTGCGCACCGACTTGATGCCATCATCGCCCGTTTCGGCAATCTGGATGTATCCAACCTCATCTGCTTCATCCGCTTCAGATCCGTTCATGGGCACGGGGTTTGGCTCGGCCAGGGCTGTGCTCCACCCCAGGGCACGCGGTGGAGGCGCGGTACCGTCGTCATCATCATCTAAGCCAATCGAATCCCAAGCTGTTTCTGCCAAGCTGGGATTGTGAGCGCCTAGCACTGTCTCAGTCTTATTCGCGTATGTCGGGTTTTCAAACGCGACAGCTGGTCGATCAAAAGTCACGATGCTTGTTCTCTCCTGGCACAAGTTGGGACCCAATCAACAGTGATGCATGCATGAGTTTGGCGCGCATGGTACGGATCAGATTTCCACACATATAATGATGAAAAGCAAGACGCGCGCGCGTGTGCACCTAGCGCTCCGAACCACTGAACAGCGCGAGCCACGCCACTCACCGTTTTATGACGAGCCACGTAGATGAGCGCCGCCACGAGAAGAATCACTACCAAAACCACCACCAAACCGATGGCCCAATTCGTGCCGCTGGCTGTTGAGCTCGGACTGGCAGTTGGGGCACCTGTGCTACTTGCACCCCCAGAAGGATCCAGGGTAGGCCCAGTTGTTCCTGTGGTCGCAAGCTCCCCCGAATCAGCACTCAGCTCCAAGCTGTGACAAAAGCCAGCCAACCGCATCGGAGCCCACGAAAAAGTGCTGTCCTCACACGCCGCCTGGATTGCGCTACGCGCAATGACCACTGAAGTGTCTCCCCCTCGTTCCAAGTAGAAATGAATCACGGTGCCCTGCTCCTCTTCACTCACATCCAAGAGTACCAAGATTTCGGGCGCCCCCAACGCCTGGTCAAGAAAATTCGCAAAATCCACAGACTCGGCTTGCCACACACCGCTGCACGCTTCCGAGGCACACGTATTGGTGGAGGCGTGATAGGTCGCGACAACAATGTTGGCATTTGGTGCGCAACGCGCTTGAGTCGCATTGAAGGCGGGCACGCATGTGCTCCCAGATGAGCATGATACAGTTGCACAGCTGCCAGAGTGAACCAAGCAGCGATGCCCCCCCATGCCTGGTCCGCACGTGCATCTAAAACCGGGCTCACCGACCTGATCAACGCATGTGGCACCGCTACCACATGGTGCTGAAACGCAATCGTCAATATCAGAATCGCAGCGGAAACCCCCGTAGCCTTCCGGACAGACACATGAAAATGTTGTGCGACCGTCATCTGTGGTGCCGTCCACGCATGTTGCGTCATTCTGGCACTGACGCGAGTAGCACGTATCTGTGACGGCCGTACATGCAGAGCCGGGTAATGCGTGGAGGCAGGTGCGCTGAACGCAAGCACTGCCATTCACCACGTATCCTGTATCACAAGGACATGAATAGCCAGTTCCTTCTGCCACGCAGTAGCTGTGCAAAGGACACTCGGCAACGCCACGTGCACAGGGATCGGCTGTCATGGACAGCGCTGTCACAAATTTGTGCGTTGCTGCATCTTGCACTTGCACGCGTACAGTGGGAGACGCAGCAAAGAGTGGCCCGTTGACGGTAACGATCCCACTTGTCGGGCTCAACGCCAACCCGGGAGTGCCCGAGAGCAGCTCAAACGTGTGGGTGTCGAAATGATCCGGATCAATGGGGACCACGCGCAGCAATTCCGTGCCCGAGGGGATGGCCGTCGAATAGCGCAAGCACGGGGTGGGGTCGAGAGCGGGAGCTGAAGACCAACTCGGACTTGTGTTTGCCTCGGTGGAGCGCATGTGACAGCGCGCCCCAGTGTAGCCATAGGCGCAGTCGCAGGTGAAAGCAGTGCCATCTTCTTGACACACGCCATCATTCAGACAAGGAAAGTTGGCGCAACCACATTGAATATCGATGCCTGTTATGGGCTCGTTGACATCCCCCACCACCAAGTCAAGCGAGACTATGGTTTGTAGGACTGCCGATCCGCTAAGAGTTACGGATATCATGTGTGCAGCCTGATTCTCAAAGTCAAGATCGGCACCCAAGACCAGCTGGCTCTCGTTGAGTTGTAGGGGACCGGCACCAAGAGCCACGGTACACGTCCCCGCCGCCTCCACCGTAATGCAGCTAATCACGCAGAGCGGTGTTCCCACTGCCGTTAGCTCAGGAACTCGTACAGTTCCATTGTGATAGCATGTCACGTTGGCTGTCAGAGCCGTAAGGGCGATGCCTGTGGGTGGCTCTAGGACGTTGTCCACCGCAAAAGTGGCCACGGCCACCGTGGTGAGCGCCGTGAGATCTTGACACTCGACCCAGACCTGCAACATGGACGAACACTCAAAGTCCACCGCATCTAGCAACACCAGATTGTAGGTGTCTGCCTCAAGCTGCACACGGGGCCGCTGTACACAGCCTGAAGCCAGAGATAGACCCGTCGCATTGGCTGTGCAGTTGAGGCTACCACCCTCTGGATCAAAGGCATCGAGCTGGGCCAGGAGCAAGGGCGCTGTGTTTTCCGTGATGCTTGCGCGCTCGAGCTGAAGCGCCAGTGACGGTGGCTCATTCACATCCAAGACCGTTAAAAGCACCTCAAACTCGGCAGACAGTGGCGAAGCACTCTGATCCTGTACAGCAAGCTGCAGCACCAGCTCGGTCGCGGCTTCAGCATTCAGCAAGGGGCTCGCTTCGATGAGCCAAAGCTCCAAGCCATGTGCTTCCACGCTGCTTGGGCTCAATACTTGCAGCACATGTTGACCCGTCGGCAAGAGCGCAGAGTCTTGGTCAGACACGCTGACCGTCGCCAAGAAACGAGAGTCCTCGGGTACTGCCGTACGGGATAGATTGATGCCAGTGATCGGGTCGTTGCGGTCTTCTATGACCAGGGGAACGACAACCTCTAACGAGAGTGCGGGCACACCATCATCTGTGGCAAGTAATGTAACGACTGCGTTGCCCGGGATCTCAAAGTCAAGTGCCTCGGCCAGTACGAGTTCGCCAGCGACAATGATAAAACGGGGGTCCAACGACTGGAGCGAAAGCGCCTGCCAAGGGCGACAGCGCGCCGCATCACAGTTGTCGGGATCGAGGGCAGACAACACTCCGCATCTTCGACCAACAGTACTTGGTCCCTCGGGCAAGGTGAGCACCTGAGCTGAAGCTAGCGTGCTGTTTAAGAAGATGGCAGAGGGGGCCTCGTTGAGGTTGGTCACCTGCAGAGTGACGTCATCTTGGAACGCTTGGGGCGGCAATCCATCATCGGTGCAGCGCAGCAGCAGGGTGAACTCCTCTTGCGACTCAAAGTCAAGTTCGGCTGGCGATTTGTGAAGCACATTGTGTGCATCGATGGTAAAGGCGGCCGTGCTTGGCGTAACTTGGACGAGCGTACAACTGTGGCTTTGCAGCTCTGCACTATATGCTGTGTTGTCTGGGTCCTCTACCAAGATCCAAGCTAGGCCCATGGCTGAGATTGGGCCCTCCGTTACAGGCAGTGGCTCAGCGGCTGACGATGCGTTGGCGCCCATGGGTACCAAACGCGCTTGTCGAGGCTCTTCGTTCATGTTGAGAACGATGATTTCAAAAGACGCGACGACAGTGCGTGGGGTGGGGGCAGCATTGTCGGATGCCTCGACTCGGACACGCACACTACTGGTGGTTTCGTAATCGAGGGCTACCCCCTCGGCGAGGGCCAGCTGCTGCGAGTTCAAGATGCGGAAGTAGGAGGGTTGGGTACCAAAAGCTGGTTGAATCGAGAACGAGAGAGTTTGACCGACATCGGGATCATGGGCTCGCAGTTCTCCAATCATAGCGCCTGGGCTGTTCTCCGGCACGGTGGCGGCACTGAGGGTCAAATTGGTGGGTGGCTCGTTCCGATCCAGCACTTGAACAATAAAAGTACGATGCAGGGTGAGGTTGCCTGAATCAAATACGGCAATGGTCACGCTCAACCAGGGCTGTGTCTCATAGTCGAGCAAGGCCGCCGTGACAAGGACATTGCCCAGAATGGTTAGCCTGGCCATGGTCGGGACACATCCGTTGGTAGCATCCCAGAGACAATAGCGGAATGTCTCGTTTCCAGCACCACTGTTGTCAGGATCAATGCCTTGTAACTGACCCACAACCGTTCCAATCACGCTGTCTTCGGCCACTGCGTTGGCTGAGAGGACAAGGTCATCCGGAGCCTCGTTCACATTGGCAACCAACACGACCACAGTAGCAGTGATGCTGTACGCGGGATTGCCGTGGTCAGTACAAGTCACGGCCACGGATACACTTGCGGCACGCTCATAGTCGAGATCAGCGCGCTGCAAAACAAGCGACGTTTCGTTCACCACGCTAAAGGAGCTGTCTGGGTCGATGATTGAGCACGAATGCACGTTGTTGGGGGCTGAGGTGTCCGGGTCGACCACATCAAGTTGACCGATCAAAGCACCACGTTCTGCGTCTTCTGCTATCGGGGCGCCTCGCAACGCGACCGCGAGTGGGGCCTCGTTGAGATCCTCGATCGCCAGGACGATGGACCGGTTCAAATCAGAGTTCTCTTTCACGCCTACCACAAAAACAACGGCCGCGGAGCGCTCAAAATTGAAGCAAGACGAGTCGTTCACAATAACGTCCAAGTCAGCCAGGACCACGGCAGCACAAGAGGAACCATTCAACAGCGTTGTACTGCGCAAAAGAGGCACGTTGAGACGAAACGCGGGAAGCTGGTCTGGATCTATCACGGCAAGTTGACCCAGCAGGGAACCCGCCGGCACATTTTCGTTGACCGAATTGCGATTGAACACAATGTCAGTTGGCGGGTCATCGACGTTGCTGACATTGAAGCGGACGGTCTGAGCAGCCATGAGTTCTTGTGAATCTGTTGCGACCAGTGTCATCTCCCAGCTCTGCGTTGTTTCATAGTCAAGTGCGTGTTGCAGCGTGATGTTGCAGCGACAGACCAAACCCTCTGTCCAATTGCTGGCAAGGTTGAGTGTCTGACGCAAGGCCTGCGTGATGTTTTCACAGGTGGTCGAGGCCGTGTCGAGAGCAAAAGGCGAATTGGTCTGAGCAGAGGTAAGGGCAAAGGTCAACCCCCGAGTTTCGTCAGTATCCAAAGCCAGTACCTCTGCCACGATGGCGCCGAGCGGGGTATCCTCTGGCAGCTCAACCGGGCTTGGTTGGACGATTAAGGTAGCAGGTGCCTGGCCTGACGCGGCCTCAAGGACAAAGTCGACGGTCAGGTCGGCAGTGGCGACGGGATCACCATCATCAGACACGCGGAAGCAGATGGTTACGTTGCCGGTCGTGGAGCTGCCGGGAGCTGCTGACAGCTTAAGCGCAAGCTCTTCGACTTGCGCCCAGGCGCTGGCAGGTTCATTGGGACAGAGCACAATGCTATGAGATTGTGTATCGCGATTCAAAAGCCAGCTCTTGGAGCGCAGATTGTCTTCATCCTCGACCTAACGCCGGCCAATGAGCCAGGAAGGGGCGCATGAGAAAACGAATGGCGGTTGGGAGCGGCGCTCAGCGAGCTGGGCATACCGAGAGAGTGGCGATGGTATCGCCAACGCGTAGGTGATTCAAATTAATCAGGTTGGAAGAAGCCACCAAGCCTGTGGGCGGGTCGTTCTTATCGTTAATGCGCAGGGCTACATCAAAGGACTGGCCTCCGCCATTGGGGTCGGTGGCGCGGATGCGCAGGGCAAACTGGTTCACTTGTTCAAAGTTGACATGCTGGGTCACGTAGATGGCATTGCCTTGGACAGCAAAGTAGTCTGTAAAGGTTTGGAGCACAATGGTATGTGGACCGGTTGGATATGCAAAGTCAAAGACAGTAATAGAGGACACCGCCGTCTGGCTCGCCGTGTTCTCGTCCATGGAGTTTGGCTGAATCGTCAGATACACCGGCACGCCTCGTGCAGCTGGGAGCCAGCTAGCTATGCACACGGCAAAGCAGACCAATGCCCACGGGCACCATCGAGCCAATATGGCCATGCTCGCTCGTGGGCGACAAGGACGCATCTGCGTCTGCCTCATCATGGCGCGTGACGGGCCACACGCACTTGGCTGCTCAAACCAGACAACTCATTGTCGTTCTAGCGCTCGGTGACGCTGCCCCTCCCTCACTCTCTTTCCTCTCTCCCGATCTCCCGCTCCCCCGCTCCCTTACCCTTTGCCACAGCGTCCACCCCCCCAACCCCCAGAAAGCCACAAGCCAGAGCTCGACCACATCAACACCGTCCCAACAACAGTCGGGTGTGTGGACGAAACAGAAAAAAAAAAAAGAGAGAGAGAAAGAGAGAGACACACACACACAAAAAAAAAGAAAAACTTGTGTGTGTGTGTGTGTGTGTGTGTGTGTGTGTGTGTGTGTGTGTGTGTGTGTGTGTGTGTGTGTGTGTGTGTGTGTGTGTGTGTGTGTGTGGTCGCAACTGACTTGCAGAGGGTGCCGAAGAACAGTGCTTGCAATTCTTGCACGGGGCTTGCCAGCGAGGCCCGCTCTGCCCCTACCGACACATCAAAGGCAATAAAGGAGTTGTCTGCAATTTCTGGCTTCGTGGCATTTGCAAAAATGGGGACGACTGCAACTTCCTTCACCTCTACATCGAGCAGCTCATGCCCGAGTGCAACTTTTTCAAGACACATGGCTACTGCAACAAGGAAGATTGCAAGTTCAAGCACCTGACGGAGGAGGATCGAAAAAAGGACTGCGCCTGGTATGCTCGTGGCTTTTGCTCGAACGGTACGCAAAACTTGCCGCTCCCACCCGAGGCTGGCGCTAACACGAGGCTTGCTCTGCTGTGGCGCTCCCTTCATTCAACTGTGATGCCGCTTGTCTCCGGGGGTCCGTTACAGGCAAGAAGTGCATGTATCGGCATCGCCGTGCGCGAATCTGCCCCAATTACTTGTCGGGGTTCTGCCCTGAGGGCTTTCACTGCAGCATGGCTCATCCACGCTTCGACATTCCGGCTGGCGCCTGCATCAACCCCAATACCAACCTGCCCGAAGTTCGAGGTCAGATATCCTCCTCCTTGTCCTTTTGTGGCCGGCGTGTGGTGTCTTGGGATGTCTGATTTGTCCATTTTTTGCTTCTCGCTACTCATAGGTAAACAAGCGCCCTTCCAGACACTCGCCTACCCCATTGCTGCGCCCATGCCACCAGGTGGCGTGCCTCCGGGCCAGGCACCACCCCCGCACCCCATGATGGTTCAAAGTGGTATGGAGCCGCCAGGCGCCCACGCCTTTGCTTCGGGCCCCGACCAATATCATCAACAACAACCTCAGCAGCAAGCACAGCAAGGACACCGTCAACACCAGCAACAGCAGCGTCACCATCAGCAGCACCAAACACAGCAAAGCATGGGACCACCAGGTGGTCGCTCTGGCCAAAGCAGTCGCCGTCCCAGCCATGCGGATGGCAGTCGTCGTGGAGGACCTGATGCGCCGATGGGTCAGTCAGGCATGGGACCCCCTGGCATGATGCCGGGGATGAACATGGGACCGCCGGGCATGCCACCTATGGGCATGGATGGCCCGCCTGGCATGGGTGGTCCGCCCGGTCATCCCATGGGCATGGGTGGTCACATGCCACCTGGAATGATGGGTGGTCAACCTATGATGATGGGTGGCCCAATGCCGTCAGGTATGATGGGTGGCCCAATGCCGCCAGGAATGATGGGCAGGGGCATGCACATGAACAACATGGGTGGCGGTGGTGGTGGTGGTGGTGGTGGACGTCGAGGACGCCGATGATTTGTCCCAGGTGTTTTTATCCAAAGGTCTTGCCGCTTTGCATTCAGCCTCTACTTGGCCTCCCTGACTTTTTTTTTGATGTTGTTTTCTTCAAACTTCTTCTGTCTTTGTTTGGCCCTCTTCCTCTACGCCTCTGCACTTTGATGTGATTCACTTATTTGATTTGTCAACTGTGTGTTCACATGTCAATTCAAGTTGCTTGAAGCATTAAGCCTCGACCGCTGTTGTTCACTCGGCCGATGCGGTATAGTCTCGAGCCAGCCTGGGTAATATTTTTCTTTGAAAATTGTCCAAATGTTGCGTTTTCTTACTTGCCGAAAAGGGAGGCAAACAATGTATCGCGAGCTGCGTCACTGGCTTCGTATGCCGTCTCATTGGGTGCCATTAAGTTGACGAGCTTGGGCTGTACGTCGTAGCGGACCTTACGACCTGATCACAGCAAAGGCATGTGAGCCCAAGGGCGCTAAGGCGTTTTCCGATCATTTGATTCTTTCACAATTGCAAAGGGAGGCAAACCAAGCATGGGGCAAGACGCAAAATTTGCACACCAACCTTTGCTGGCTTTGGTATCCACGAGGCGCTTCGTTTTGGCACGCAGTTTGTCAATCTGCACGTAATGGCGACCCATTTCAATGGGGTCCATGCTGTCCAGCTTTGTGCGACGCTCAACTGCAAGCAGGCATTGTCATGGGCAACAGATTCACCATGAGGCGCTTGTCAATCGGCAGGGAAATATGAGTGAGCGAGAGCGACATACTCAGCTCGCGCAGTTGCTCGTGATAAAAGTCAACGTCATCAAAGATGTCGGCCACCGTGTCGGCCGGTTGCACAGTCCGGCGATTCACCAGGGCATCGCGGGGCAGATCTGGATCTTCCTCGCCTGAATCGTCGTCACCCAGCGCGCCACGAGCCGCCGACAAATCCTGTTGGCATTGCACGGGCCCATCAGTGTTGAGGGTGAGCTGTGAGCGAGGGCAAAATGACAAGATTTTGATCGAGTCAATAGAAAAACAATACCTGCTCTGGTGGGGTAAAACCAAGAATGTCTTCTTGGAAGCGCTTGACACGAGTCCGAGCGATCAAACGTGGCATGTCTTCGGCCACCTGTACACGAGGATTGAAGCATGGTCGATGAGGATGGTGTAGGAAACCTGGAAGACGATTTCAAACGGCAAAATTGTCCAACGCTTTCGCGCCATCCTTACATCGCTGATTTGTTGCAAAAGGCCGCGATCGAGCGCCTTGAACTGCTTAGCACCACGTCCGGTGGCCAAGCGGGTCTTGCGGCTCCACTTATCCAAAAGCTGATCACGAACAGGCCCGTACCTACAGGAACATAATCATTAGGGGCTTGACATCATGAGACAGAGAGCCAGGCAATCATCTGAGGATGGAGAGCCTTGATTGCCAAATGCTGTCATAGGCTTGACCCAACGTACTCTGCCTCAACGGCGGAAATGTATGCGGAGAGCTCCTCATCAGCCATTTTGGCGCGCTTGGCACTGGGTGCCCCCTCAGTGGTGGCAATGGTGGGTGAAGGCAGCTCAAGGTGACTGGAGCTTTCGTGTTGCTGTTGCAGCTGCTGTTGCAGTTGCGCAATGGCCTCGGCCAATTTGATCACCTCCTCACTATGGGACAGGCATAGATCGTGAAGGGAAAAAAAAAAAAAAAAGAACCGACAGACACTGGGGTTGCCAGTGCGAAACGGAAAAATGAACAAACGTACGTGCAACCAGCCAGTTCCTCCTGAAAGTCGGCCATCAGGTCGTCAAATCGTTCTGGCTGAGGAAGTCGGTTGGCTGCCGCCAAGGCAGGCTGATGGATCGTGCATAAGGAGGCAGGATTAGCAATGAGTGAGAAGCATACCGAGACGCGCAATGCGACAGGCTTGGCGAAGAGGGATCCTACCTGAATGCGAATGCGTGCCTCGAGGGCTGCATCCCAGAGCGCCAATTGATTGCGCGCGTGTTCGCCCTTCTTGCGCTGTGCGGCGGTATCTGATGTCAGCGACTGGGCTACGGCTGCCTGCAAAACCGATACACGCAACGATAGACCAATCCGAGAAGAAAATTGTTACAATTTAAGATAAGGCCGTGGTGATGGATGCTCATACTATGAGCGGCGTGCAGGGGAAGCCGGGGCGTGATGGCGCGATCTACGAACCTCTTCTTGGGCCAGTTGTTTGAGCTCTCGCTGCAGCTGGTCATCATCGTTGCCCGACGCATTGCCACGGGAGAACATACTGACGTTGCCGTCATCCCCACTCTCCTCATCGTCATCATCACCATCTTCATCATCATCTTCATCGTCGTCCATCTCGTCATCTTGGTCTACCATCTCACCCACGTCCTCGTCCTCGTCGTCCTCGAAGGCGCCAACACTTTCGTTGTCATCCTCGTCTTCTTCGTCATCTTCATCCTCTTGCTCAAGGATATCTCGGCGCGACACGGCGCGACCACGATAGCGCGGGTCCTCGCCCAGATGAGGCTGACGACGAGAACCCTTGACGCCCTGCCAAGGGTCAGCTGCATCGAGCGTGGCGTTTTCAGGGTCCACGTCTGCTGGCCGCGTGTTGTTGAGCTCGGCCAGCTCCTGCAGGAAGCTTCGACCCCCCGCCATCGCCAACTTTTCAAGACAAAATATGCCCCAACTACTAGTTGCCAAACCCTCTTCCTCCTATCACCACTTCCTTGTGCGCGCCGCTGCCCTTTTGCCGCGCCAATGAACAACTGGCACGCTTGCTGCGTGCTGTGAAGCAAAACAGCTTTTGTCAACAACACGTGTGTGGCATCAAAAGTCAGCATTGCCTTGTTTTTGCTGACATTTGCGACTTCAGACTGAGCTTGAACGAGCAAGTGTGCTTGGTGTTTGGTAAGCTTTGGTACTGATGCGTCGAGCTCGATGAGGTACAAAGCACCACGTAGGCTCAATTTTTTAAAATGGGCTGCTCGATTCGACGTCTGAGGATGAGAACGGGTGCTAAACGCTAAACTCTTATAGACCAAAGCGGCGGGGGGTTGAACGGGGCGTGCCAGGCTCGCGGCGTGAACCAGGAGTGGCGATGCGGATGGAGCGGGACAGTGCCTTGCGCTCTTGCTCACGACTTGCATCGCGCGCACGCATGGCATTGAGGGCCTCTGTCATCTCCTGCTCCATGTGCTTGCTTTCTTGATCATTCTCCTTCTTGCGCCGCAGCCGCGCTTCAGCAGAATCCTACGGGTCGATCGGGAAAGCCACAACGACACGGAGAGGGTAAAATACACATGTTCATGAAACCCGTGTTGGATGAAGCAAGCGATGGGATTGTGCGCAGAAGAAGCTGCAAACCGCACCTTGACGCTGAAGAAGATGTTGCCAAGCTCAGCCAACCACAAGGGGTCCACGGCCGTCACAAACTGCATGTACTCCTTGGTTGTCATCACCAGATCGTGATAGCAAACCCAGTCCGGGTTGATGCCCATGCCATAGAGAGAGCTCGTAGGATGAAGGTGCGCGGGCATGCCCGTGCGTGCGTTCACATATTCCCCGATACCCTTGAGTCGGGCGGCATGATGGAAATACGCACTGCAGATGCACTTCCGAACGGCGTCCCAACTTGTGCCGCTGCTGATGACGGGCACCTTTTGAGACTTCATAATGTCCATCAACTGCATGCGAATCTCGCGGACCTAAGCGATGGGCCACATCGACAAGAGGTTACAACAACGCCTCTAACACAAGCAACCGCCAGGCGGCAACGATTGAGGTTTATTAAGGTAGTGAGTGGAGCGCCAATCACACCTTGCGCATCGATTTGGCGTGAATAAAGTGCTCCGACGCCCAAGAGCTCGAGTAGTTGTTTGACTTCCACTGTTGGTATGTGTTAAGTAGCGTCAAATGATCGCTTTCAGGTACCTGCAAACACAAGCGTCATCGCCCCACGTGAACAAGGGCATCATGCGTCACCACAGCCGCTGCAGGCACCGCGGTCCTACCGCAAACTTTTCTCGCTTGAGATCCGATTCCTCTTCCCGCCCCGGCGGGCGGAAAAAGTGCTTGTCCACAGACAACATGCTGACGATGGTCAAAATCTCGGACGAGCATTCCAAGTCGGCTGACACAATCAGCATCTGGAAATGAATGCAAGCCACACAAGCACGTTATAGATTAGAAGTCGGACCAAGAAAGGGCGTCAACTTGGGGGTAAGCCTCACTAGCCCGTCTAGTACAGACTACAACCAGATGTTTGTCGAACCTTGGATTGCGCCGGATCCAGGGGGAACTCCACCATTTGGCGGCCCAGCGGCGTCAGCGCGCCCGTGTTGTCAAGCGCGCCCAAGATCCAGAGGTTATACATGGAATTGAGGATGGTTTCCTGGGGCGGCGGGTCCATGAAGTGAAAGTCCATCAAATTTTCAACGCCCAGTGACTTGAGCAGGAGCACGACGTTGGCTAGATTCGTTCGCTGAATCTCCGGCACCGTCAGCGGCAACAGTTCGTTTTTGTAAATGGCTTCAGTGTAGAGCCTATAAGCGTTGCCCGGCCCCGTACGGCCGGCACGCCCCGATCGCTGGTTGGCATTGGCTTGTGAGATGGGGTAAATTTGCAGATCGTCAATACCAATCTTGGGGTTGTAGCACTTGAGCTTGCAAAAGCCGCTGTCAATCACGTGCATGATACCATCCACGGTCAATGATGTTTCGGCGATATTTGTCGCAACAATACACTTGCGAACATCCGACTTTTTAAAGATCTTGGCCTGACGGGACGAGAATAGTGATGGGTCAGGGTACTTTCACCTGAAAAAGCACGAAAGCGAGAGCATGCCGAGGGCGAGTGTGATTACTTGAAGGTCAGAAGGCAGCTGCGAGTAGATGGGTAGAATGGAGAGTGGTGGTACGTCCTCGCCCAGCGCCTCCAGCCGTTCGGCCAACACAGAGCAAGTGGCCTCAATGTCGGCCTGACCCGTCATGAAAATCAACATGTCACCTGTGCGCACCATGCCGACATGCCATCAGAGGGTGCGAACCGCAATGTGCCAACCCTCTGCTTGTCCCCAACCATCCCAAGACCCGCCCCGACGGACCAGGATGTGGCTGCAAGTGGATCTGCACGGCTTGTTTGATCGCGGCCTCGACATAGTCATCAACGGGATTCTTGGCGAAAAACACCTCAACCGGGAACGTGCGACCAGGAATGTTGAAAACAGGCACGTTGCCTTGAAAACAGGTTATGAATAACCCGCATACAGCAAGAATGTGAGGATGCGAGAGGAGAGAAGCCATTCGCCGGTGCTTGTCCGACGATGTTTTTGTTTTTCTTTTTTTGCGACCGAGGCAACACACCAAAGAAAGTAGCAAATTTCGTCGAGTCCATGGTGGCAGAGGTCACGATCAGCTTGAGATCACGGCGTCTAATGCAACGAGGCACACGAGAATGAGACGGACGGACGCATCTTGGGGCGGCTGTGCCTCCAATAGGACATTTGAGATCAGTAATGCAAGAACCCTTGACACAGAACCGCACCGGGCAACCACGTCACGCAGCAGGCCAAAGAGCACGTCAGTGTTGAGAGAACGTTCGTGGGCCTCATCCATGATGATGGCACTGTATTGATCCAAGTCACCTTCGTTCAGCGACTCGCGTAGCAGGATGCCATCGGTCATGTACTTGATTACCGTCTAGGTGGCGGCACCCACATAAACGCAATGAGACAACGCTAGCAAGCCCTGAGTCATGACCAGAGTAGAACAACCAAAAACTTCTGGGCCCTGACGAGAGACGAAGATGGGTTGAGTACATGCCGGCCCGCACTCACCTCACGCGAAGTCACGTCCTCAAAACGGATGCTGTAGCCAACTTGCTTCCCAAGTTCAACGCCCATTTCCTCGGACACGCGCTTGGCCACAGACATGGCGGCGACACGGCGGGGTTGAGTACAGCCAATGGTGCCAAAGTCGCCATACCCTGCTTCGTACAAGTATTGGGTCATTTGCGTTGTTTTGCCTGAGCCGGTCTGTCCGACAATGATGATGACCTAGGCATGTGTTACCCGGATGAGTGTAAGCACACGCAGAGCAAATCCTTGCCATTCACTGACGCCGGATAAGGGGGCTACACGCCAGGCATCGAAGCCCGAGCTAGTCGAAAGAACGAACAAACAAGTACAATGGCTGACCTGGTTATCACGAATGATGTTAAGGAGCTCTTGGCGAACGGCATAGATCGGCAGGTACTGGCGCTGCTCTTTGATGGTCTTGGTGCGAGCAAAGTGTGAGGTCGCATTATCTTCCTTATCGTCCTCCTTCATATGTTCAGCAAACTTTGACCCAGCCGCATGGTCCTCTAGTCCGTGGCGAATGAACAAGTGTACAGTCAGCGAAAACCAACGGTTGTGATGCGACAAAGCGCAAGGAAGGCAGAGGCGGCGAGAAAACCGGTTGCCATGGAGGCCAATAAACGGAGGAGGGAAAGGGGAGGGGGGGGCGTTACAAACCGGGCTCCTGATCGGCGGGATCATCTGACTTGTCTTTGACGCCCATGATTTTGCCCAAAGCGGTGCCGGCAAGTTCCCACTCCTTTTTCTGGCCCTTGACGGCATCCTGCTTTTCGCGCTCGCGGCGAACAAGCATGGAGCCCTTCTTGGCCAAGACGGCAATGTCGCTCGCGGGGTCCCTGACCGGATACACTGGCTCGGGTTGCTTTGAAAAAGTAATGCGGCCATCGAGAAAAGGGGGCACGAGATGATGAACAAGCAAATGGACTTTGCCCACGTCATCATCCTCGTCGTCGTCCATGGGCCCCACGCGCTGGACAGCGCCTGAGGTGAGCATGCGGTTCTGTTCCCAGCGATCTTGATCGGCGTTTCGTTGACGCTTGAAGGCGTTGATGCGTTCCACGGGTTTTGCCAACTGGAGCTGCTGCTCCTTCTTGGCAGCGTAGTCGGCCATGCCGGCAAAAGGATCAAAGTCATCATCGTGACCATCTTCATAGTACCAGTGTCGCTCGATTTGATCCTGCTCGTGCTTCCAGGCGGCTTCTTCCTCCTCGTTGGCAAAGTCTGGTCGTTCATGGTCGTCCTCTCGATACACGCGGTCCCCATGCTTCTGCGATTCGCTCTGATTCCATGAGTTTCGCTTGTAAGAGGGCGTGGAGATGGGAGTGGATCGATACATGCTACCCGGTGTTCTGCGCGACAACAGTCAAGGTGAGGGCGGGGTGGAGCATGCCTGTGAGTGTCCTGGTACACTGCCGGCTGAAAGAGCCGGGGCGAGATAAAACGCACGATTCAACTCCACGCTTTGACGATGGAGTGGGTGTGGAGGCTGCTGACGAAGCAGGGGTGCTGCCACCTGTCGTGCGACGTCGACCGCGGCTGATACGCACGTGGGAGTCGCTACTCTCCTCATCATCCCAAGTACTATCGGTTGGGCAAACGGGAAACGGGGTCATTGAAGGCTCGGGCTGGCCCAAGCAGGACGGAAGGATCTGGATGCCGGTGTGAACGTGAGCCTCAAACATACCTTCGTCCGGGTGTTTGAAGGCGGCGGTCGCTGCGAGGGGTACGATCATCACGACTGCGCTCACGTTCATGTTCATGCGAGCCCCGACGCTCCCAAGAACCAGCGTCACGCCTTCCCTCTCGACCTTGGTCGTCATATCGTCGATCGCGCTCGTCCCGCGACCGACGGTCATCGTACGGCCGGCGGTCGCGCCCGCGTCTGTCGTCGTAACGAGACCAATGTTCGTCGCGGTCGTTGTGACGACGGTCATCGCGAGGCCGGTCGGCACCAAAGCGCTGGTCACGGTGGCGCTGATGCAGTTCTTCGCGCAAGGGTGTCGCTAACCCTGCACCCTCTGATGGAGTGGCCTCACCGGGATGGCGTCGCCGGCCAGCCTTGGGTCGAGAGCTACGTGACTTGAGTTTAATGTCATCCCCGTCCTGGGAGGGTCTGGTCGCAGCAGAACCGACTGGCTCTGCTTCCTCCTCTGCCTCCCAGCCGAGATGAACGCCACTCGTGGGTTTGGAGCGCTTGCTCTCGGCCCCTTCGGCATTTTTTTCCTGCTCGGCCTTTTGTCGTCGCTTGGCGGCGGCCAGGCGGTCAAGGCCGAGGACGGACTTTGGCGGGCGAAACACCAGGTCTTCCGCGCCCTCTGCTGGCTTGATGTTACGCGGGCGCCGGACAAAGAGCCCTCCTTGCTCTGGTTCGGATGCCGGCAGCTGTTGAGCATGCTCTGGAGCTGCTCCGCCTGCTCCAGCAGCGGCTGAGCTTCCCTTGACTGTCTTGATGCGACAGTAGAGATCCTCCAGCAACTGTGACTCAAAGCGGCCAAAGGCGGAACAGGTTTTGACAAAGCGCTCCAGCGAAGGTGCGGCCCGACCTGCATCAACGACCTGGCGCGCCAAACCGCGATTATTGAGGCTCAAATTCAAAGCTGCCGATATCTTGACCGCCACCTCTTCGAGGAAGAGGTCGTCCGCCATCGTGGCCGGTCGTTGGTCGACGCCTTTGAAAAAATAAAAGAGAGAGAGAGACGGCTTCAACCAATGTTCAGTGTCGAAGTGTGATTCTTGACGCGCTTCGGGAATTGGTGCTATTATGGTCACTGAATTCGTTTTGTGTCCTTTTGCTCACCACCCTTGGAAAGAGTGTGGAGGAAGAAAAAGGGGTCGGCACAGGAACATGAACATGAACATGTGCTTGCTGGCTTGTTGAGGCAGGGCATACACAAGGAGAGGTGCACAGGAAAGTGGAAAGACGTGGCGTGAATGTAAGCAGATGATCATTGGGATCAGAATACAATTATTATTTGATAGCCCTAAAAGGTCGAGAAGGAGGTCCTAAAACAGCGAGATAAACTGTGCAGCAGGCACAGATGACACATCAAGGGAAACAGGCTTGAATAATAACTCATGCTTCGAATGGAAGCAATGGGTGCTGCCAGCAGCAAGACAAATATAATAGACAAGAAATGTTGGCCTAATGCCAGGGGTCGAAGGGAAGGCAAGAGACGCGGGCATCGCTTAAGAAGGGGAAGACTCAGAGAAAGGAGCAGACGATCCACTCGTGGACCACGACTGCATTATGGACACGGGGTTGAGAGAGGTAGCAGCTCGTATTACAAAACTGTAGTGTTGAGAAAGCGGTTGAGAGAAGAGCTGGACACCAGTGAGCTGGCACCGGGGGAGCTGGTGCCGGGGGAGCTGCGGTGTGAAATGGCAATGGAGTGGACGCTGGAGGGCCGCTTGTGAACCATGGAGTGACGGGGCGCGCCCTTGGCCTTGGTGGGTGGAGAGGGAGGCGCGGGGGATGCCGGTGTTGGAAGTTTGGGGGCAGTCTGGTTCAGCTTGGTAAAGCTTGGGGAAGGGGTGGCAGCGGGGCTTTCTTGGCAGCGGAACCAGGGAGCGTTGCTGTCGATAAAGGCGGCGATTTGCTCAAGAGAGGCACGTGTCTGGGGGTTGGGGTCGAGCATGCGGAGGAGCAAATTGTGAAAGGCCGGGGTCAGCAGCTCCAGGGCGGCTTTGCCGGGCAAACGGCCAGCAGACTGGTAGGCGACAAAGAGAGGATCGCGACGACTGGCCCGGTCCCACGGCAGATCGGCGAAGAGGGCGGCATAAATGACAAGGCCGATGGCCCACACGTCTTGAGGCGTGTTGCAGGGTTGACTGCGTAGCAACTCTGGGGCCATGTAGAGCTCAGTACCGGGGATGTAGCGACCATGTCGATGGCCAATGCGGGTGGTGGTGCCGAGATCGTGGAGAACGAGATCACCGGCTTCGCTGATGAGGCAGTTCTCGGGCTTGATGTCACCGTGGACAAGACCGCGCAGGGCAAACTCTTGTGCGGCAGCCACAAGCTGGCGGATCCAACGCCGGGTCTGGTGGATGGTAAGGACGACGGAGGAGGCTGGGTGGATGTACTCGAAGAGGGTGCCGTGGGGCATGTATTGGAGGACGATGCACTGTTGGCCCTGGCTGTTGGTGTAGCTGGCCTCGGCTTGGGCCACCGTGCTGCAACCCTCAAAGAGCGGGTAGAAGGAGAGTTCGTCGCTGTCGCAAGGACCTGGCTTGGAGGTGTTGAAGACCTTGAGGGCGACGGTACGGCGCTCCAACGTGTCAATGGCCTTGAATACGGTAGCGGTGGCTCCCGAGCCGATCTTCTGCAAGATCCAGTAGCGCTCAGCCGGAGATGTGGTCATGGTTCTTGGTCAAGGCAGTCAGCCACGAGACAAGAAAGTAAAGGTTGGGTGTGGGGAGGTGTAAGCAGGACTGGCAGGAAAGCAGAACAGCGTATTGATGAGCTGCGCTGGATGAGGTTGGAAAATGCCGACAACGCGGAGAGGTCGTGCACGAAAAGACGCGGTGGGGCGTTGCTCTCTCTCTCTCTCTATTCCTATGCATGGAGCTGAATGTGGGTTGCAAGGTTAAATATGCACCACTTGTGCGGACACGACAAAGAGTGGTCAGTGTGGTGGATGGATGGGTTTCAAGGCGGGGGGTCAAAGGCCGCGCCTGCCTCGCACAGCTGCAACAGTCTAGCAGCATGAACAAGAACGAGGGAAGGGAACACTCCTGTATGTACACACCACGCGAACCCAAGCCGAAGCAGGGGTCTCGAAGGGCACGCGACGGCTTGAAGGCGTCATAAGATGGGTGTGTCCCATAAGCTTTGGGGGTTCTGCATGATTGCTTGCGGAGCGTGCCGTGGACGCTTGCCCATCATGGAGAGCATGTGCTGCACATGGAGAAGGCACATGTCAAGTAAAGTTGGGGCAGATGGTTGTAAGATTGGATATGCGAACAGGACAAGGACTACACCCTACAGAATGTGATTATTGAGTATCTGTGTCTAGCGTGGGGACATACGCAACCCGTGCTTCTTGCTTGCTATTCCCGATAAAGCCCACACTTAACAAGTACTCGGTGCCATCCCCATTTTGTCACAAGTTTACACATCCACAAGAAGAGCCCCACCAGGAATGCAGCTGGCACATGACCCCCTTCGCAACTAGTGTTCATGACATGTGCTTGCTTCCTGAGCTTTACTCACAAATCAAATCGGTCTTGACGTCACCACCTCACGTGTCTGGACTGGGCATATGCTGCCATTTCACAAGATATCATAATGCTCTCTCTTAGTCGCGGGAGAAATCAACGCCCTCGACTGCATCGACTGGTAGCAACTATCGTGCGCTCGGAACGTCGGAAGCAATGCATGAGGACTGACAGAAGCAAAACATCCCTACTGTGATAGTAGACCCTGATGTTGCTGCACACACAGCATGGAGGACGGAGAGATTGCAGCACAGCAAAGAATCACAGGCGCTTGCAGTAGAAGGGAATGAAGAAAACTCGAGAAGAAAAGGAAAGGAACATCACAGGTGTGCCTGCCAGACCAACTGGAGGCAACTCCAGAACACGACATGCCCCGACCCTGAACATCTGTGAAACAGGCATGGGTAATCGGGGGCTTGACTTGGCCATAACCATGGCACACCCACAGGCCACAACCAGTCCCACGGCACACGAGTACGCCATTCAACACCGTGGTCTGAGTCTTCCAAGTCTGAGTGCCCTGGTCTCTCAGTCTTCTGAGAGACTGCTCCATCCTCGAGCCACACATCGAGTCTGAGGTGGAACATAGGTTTGTCACATGTTCAGGGACATGTGCCAAGAACCACGCGGTAATCCTGCGTCAAAGTAGTGAAATCATCGAGAAATGTCAGAGAAGAAGTCAGACATTTGTGAATTGCGGACAACAAGTTCTGGAACGTCTGTGCTTTGGGGAAGATCAATTTGTCATCAATTTTGGATTCCTGAAAGGGGGGCTCCTCCTAACAAACTGATTGCTAGACCAAGGTTATCAGAGTTCGGGAGCTGCGACGGCGCTCAAGCTGCCATTGCTTACTAGACCTGCGGCGCGGCGGCGGAGGGCGCACCATGGGTCCTTGAATACTGCCCTGCCCATCGGAACGGGTGCTCGGCGTCTCGGGTGTCGTCGGTGATCGAGGTGTGGTCGGGGTCGGTGGTGTCGATGACCGGGCTGGTGAAAACATGTGCTGGTACGATAACTGTCGGGCATCGGAGGAACCCGGCCGGGCATTTGGGTGCTGGTGTTGATAAGGCTCTTGCTGCTGGACTTGATCGTATGGTCGCTGCTGTGTAGTGACACCATGATGGCTGGGACTGCCTCTTGGCGGTGCAGGTGAGACTGCAGGCGAGGGACTGGCTCGAGCACTTGCAGAGCTCGATTCAGTCGTCGAGCCCAAGCTTGAGGGGGGCGAGGCAATCTGGTTCACAAACCAGGCAGGATGCGCCTGCAAGAAGGCGTGCATCTCAGCCAGACTGGCGCGTCGACGAGGGTCGGGATCCAAAAGACGATGGAGCCAGGTGCGGAAGGCCGGGGTTAGCAGGTGCAGACGCTGGTGGGGATCGGGCAGAGAGTTGGACTGGAGGTACAAGCGATAATTGGGGTCGGAGGGCATGGCACGCTCCCACGGCAAATCAGCAAAAAGAATGGCAAACAGGACCAACCCAACGGCCCAGGCATCCTGAGCACTGCTTGATGGCTGACCCAACAAAACTTCCGGGGCGAGATACGCCCGGGTCCCCGCAGGCTGGCCACCGTGCTTGTAGCCCACTCCGACCGCACACCCGAGGTCATGCAAGATCAGCTCACCGCGAGCATTGATGAGGCAATTTTCGGGCTTGATGTCACCATGCACCAGGTTGCGCAAGGCCAGCTGAAGGGCCCCAGCGACCAGGTGACGGCCCCACCGACACGCGTGTTCAACGGTCAGCAGGTGCGGTGCATTGGGTTGAATGTACTCGAGGAGCGTGCCGTGTTCCATGTGGGCCATGACAATGCAGGGCCGCTCCTGAGCATCGATAAAGTGGTCTAGCAATTGCACGACGTGGGGGGCCCCTTGCATGGTCTGCATCATGGCCACCTCACGCTCATAGGAGCGCTTGGAAGTATGCAGGATCTTGAGCACCACTGCACTACTTGCCTGCACATCGGTGGCCAAGTGAACGTTGGCCAGACTGCCCTCGTGCAGACACTTGAGCAGTAGATAGCGCCCGTCTACCACGGGCGCGGCCGGCGTGGCCGCGGACTGGCCGACACGCAGCGCCATGATCCGAGCATGCACGTTGAAGAGACCTTAAGCTGGCCTGTCAATAAATATTGAGCAGCACCACTGCAATGCCATGCCCTACGCTGCGGCGTAACGACAGCGGTTGAGGGAAGGAACTGGTAACGGCGTCTCCTCTCCAATAGGATACCAAACCCAGAATGTTAGAATGTTGGTGACGACGACATGCAAGTCGAGGCAAAAAATAAAGAAATGCCACTGGGACGGATCAAGTCAGAGCCTCGAGGGGGTCGGGAACCACCGTCGACGGAGATCAAAGGCTGCGGCGTTGGCCCGAGCTGATGGGCACCTGCTCCCTGACAACCTGGGCGTTGCAACTTGCTCATGCGCAGGGCACTGTGCACAGGCAAAAGATTTTTGAAATGCTGTTTCAAAAGGTCGTCAGGGCCAGAACGCGGCACGTGGAATGCAGTTGTCCAGATATGGTGGTCTGCCTTGATCAGCACGACTGCCTGCGGGATGCATGAACCTCACCCTGCCGATGATGATGATGATGAGCGTTGAAGATGTCGGGGCAGGCGTGTCGTGCCGCGTTGCCGATGATGCGTGTGGTTGATTTGCTCTTCTTACCCCTTCAAACGTCAGCGATAGGTGTGATCAGCGATCTCTGTGTGCGTGTGTGTGTGTGATGTTTGGCTCTCTCTTTGTCAGCCATTTCCGTTTGTCAGACTTTATTAAAAGTGTGATGTTTATTATACTGTCGCTTAGCCAAGTCTCTCATGCTTCACTCTCTCTCTCTCTCTCTCTCGCTCTCGCTTTTGCGCACGCGTGCTCTGCTTGAGGGTGACCAGGTGCTGAGGCCCGGCCCGTGTGCGTTGGCAGAGTCTTTGAGGAAGAGCTGTGTGTAGTGGGGCAAGGATTCGGGGATTGGGGGGCATTCTCTTGAAAAGGGTTGGCACACAACAACCGCAAAGATGGATGAACTCTTGCAAGCGCTATTCAACTTGCTGCAGCCAGATAATGCTTGCATCCAGACCGGCACCGAGCAGCTGGACACGCTCACCAAGCGCTCGCCAACCCAGCTTGTGCCCGAGCTTTATCAAGTCATTGCCCGTGACTATGACATTGACATCAAGCAACTCGCCATTGTTCTTCTACGTCAGCGCATTCTTGCCCGGTTCGTACTTTATTTTATTTTCTTAAAGAACCCTGTGCCCCACGACAATGCTCAGCACGATGTTCGCTTTCTGCCTTGGCCTTTCTCACCTTGTCCTCTCGTCTGCGGACGCCGCGACAACCCCGTGATTCAGCTGGAATCGCTTCCCGCAGGAAATGCGCCAAGAACTCAAAGCTGGCTTCATTCAGCTGTGGCAAAACACCTTTGGGGCCGCTGAACAGCGCGCGCTCAACAATGGTCTCCTTAACGTCATTTGGTATGCTCCTTGCGCCCTCCCTTTGCGACTCCATTGCAGCTTGCTATTCGAGTTTGCGATGATTGTTCCTTTCTTCCCCTTCTTCTTCCCGTTTTCTCCCTTTCTCTCTCACTCTCTCCCTCGCGCGCGCGCGCTTCACTTCTTGCCTTCGCCTGCGTTTTTTTCCCCGCCCCCCTTGTCCACAGCGCCATTGCCAAGATTGAACTTGGCGATAACCAATGGCCAGAACTGTTGCAATGCACCCACGCCCTTCTTACTGCCGAGGAGTTGACACACCGCAGTTCGTATTGTGCCCCAACACCCGTGTCATGCTCGTGTCTTGCGAATTATGGGTCCACCAAATGACCCACATGCAACGCTCTGCGATCAAACCTCTCACAACTTTGCTGTGGCATTTTTCCCGCCCGCGCTGCGTATTGCTTGCTTTGGACATGCACAACCACGCGACGTTTTCCTTGTCTTCTTTTGCCGTGATCAACCCAACGATAGCCTTGGGCTTCCGGCTCTTGGCGGCTCTGCTCGAGGATGGCAACAGCTCCCAGCTGGTGCGTCGCCGTGGTTGTTATCTGCAAGCCCCTCCTATTCTTGACTCTGACCCAGCACAGGTCGGCTCATCATCTGCTTTGCACAACCGTGCCCTATTCAACAGTTCCAGCCCCACTTTCCCACTATCCTTGCCGTCATGAACCCTTGTCTGCAAGCAGACGACGCGGAGGTTGTCAAGGCTGCCCTCTCAACTTGTCAGTAGGCGGCCCCTCCCGTGTTGCCTGCTCGGGTTTTTTTTTGATATTTTAAGGACATCCTTGTTTCCTTGCCGACTCACCTTGACTGCCTCTACCCGTGCCCAGTCTCCGCTATGCTTCCCGCTGTGACAAGTGCACATGCCGCCGCCGTGCGTGCCATCATCCCGACCGCATTCGTTGCCCTCCGGCGCTGCTTGTCCACCCCGGACGCTGCAAAGGTACCCTCGAACGCATCAACCGCATCCCTGGCCCCACTTCATTTTGCAGTGCCTCAACAAACAGTCATGCCTGCTCACGCCATTGCTTGGCTTGGTTGCCCTTGCCCTCCCCACGCCCGCCGAAAACTGACTAGCTCATGGAATTGCTGGAGGACTTGACCGAGTGCGAAGTTCCCGTGGCCAAGCCTTTTATCCAGGACATGATCATGTTTGCCCTTAACGTACGTGCTGGCATCATCCGTGCACGTATGCCACGGGTACTTTATCCGTTTCACGCCAGATCATCAATTCCATCTAAATTGTCATTGATCATCTCTGACTCTTCAATTTCAACCTCGGTGATCGGGTGGATGAATCATGCACTCCGCGCAGGTTGTCAAAGCTGACGAGTACGATGAGGAAGTGGTCATGAAAGCTCTTGGATACCTGCACTGGATGATCATCCGCAAGTCCAAGTCATTAGTGAAAAAGCGTCTGTTGCCAACGGTGCTGAGCACCCTCTTGGGACTCCTTCGGGTCTTGAGTGATGGGTTCGAAGCTGATAGTTCGAGTGACGACATTGCTGATGAACAAGTTTACAGCTATGCCCTCGAAATGCTGGCTGCCGTCTCTACCCATGTGCCTCCCGAGCTGACGCTCCCGCCAGTAGTGGAACACGTGCAAGCCCATGTCAGCTCATCTCTTCCCGGCCAGCGACGATGTGCTTTCGATGCTGCGCATGCCATTGTCGAGGGCGCCTCCCACTACATCAAAACAACAAGGTACGGAAGCGCCCGCTGGCCCGCACACAGGGGCTTCAGTGCATGGGTCATAGACTCTTTCCGCATCCCTGCGTATATCACAGCCCACTGATGCTCGGTGTGTCACACATTCTCAAACCTTTGCTTCCCCCCGTCTGGCTGTGCCAATCTCCTTGATTCTTGTAGCAATCTACAGGGCCTCATGGCACTGGTTCAGAATGGGATGCAGGATTCGGCCCGAACCGTGCGCAGTGCTGCTTGTGTGTGCCTCACGGCACTGGCCCAGCATTGTACACCAGAAATCACAGAGTACCACGAGACCGTTTTACCCGCCATCATGGGCTGTGTGCAAGACTCTGACAACGAAGTCCAGGAGCGGGCCTGCGTTGCCCTTGAGCAGTTTTTGGACAGTATGGAGTCGGATGTGGAGCCCTATTTGCCCTCGATCATGGATCTCCTCAACGTACTGACCGGCATGAGCTTGGACGCCCACCAAACAGCTGTATCTTGTTTGGGTGCGCTGGCACTGGCCTGTCCCGAGGCTTTCAGGACGTACGTCGATCCCGTGATGGGTCATCTCAAGTCTCTTCTGGGTATGCGCGAGCTGGACCAGCTTCCGTTACTCTGCCAGGCCCTGGACACAGCAGGTCTCGTGGCCTCGTGCTGCCCCCGCTCGCAGGCCGAGGCTGGATCGGGCCACGTGCAGGACATGTTTACTGCCGTCTTGCAGGTGATTCGCGAAGTCGATGATCCCGACGTACGCGTCGCCAGCTTCACCATGTTTGGCAGTTTTGCCCGACTTTTGGAGGATAGCTTTGCCCCCTGCCTGCCGACCATCATGCCCTTGGTACTCAATAGCACGCGTGCCGCCGGCGTCCACCGCACCGTGGTACCCCAGATTCCAGTCTCGTTGTCAGGCCTGGGCAACGAGGACGATGAAGATGATGAAGACGACGATGGGTTTATTGGTGCCGTGCACACTTCTGAGATGCCTGAGGCTGAGGCGGCCATGCAGCTCTTGGCCGCCCTGGCCAAATTTTGCCGCCTGCACTTTGGGCCATATCTAGCACAAGGGTTCGAGGCTTGTGCCCGATGCGTGGCCGATCGCTACCAGGCTACCATCCCATCCCTTCTGGCCTCCACCTACAAGGCCTCGGTCGAGCTGTGTATCACACAGATGGCCATTGCCCTGCAGAATCCCGACCTGGATGCTCAACTTTGGACGCCAAGCTTTCCTGCACAGCCACCCTTGACGGAGGAACTGCAAAGCCCCATCTCGCACACGACAGCGCTGCTTCTGCAGGCCCTGCAGGGGGAAGAGGACAAAGAGGTGGCTTGCGATCAGCTCGAGGCGCTGCACCGACACTTGCAAGGTTGTGGTCCCTACGCGCTTGCTGCGCCGGGACATGTGGACGCCGTTCAGGGCCTTTTGCTGGGTTTTGTGGGTCGGCGTGCGAAATGCCAAGTGGAGGATTATGAACACGAAGCCATTGACCCTGATGAGGACCCGGACGACGAGGAAAGCCTGGCTGAGTTGGAGATGCTCCTGATGGAGTACGTCGGTGAATGCATTGTGGCTTTGGTGAAAGCTCTGGGCCCTTCGGGCACGGCCCTTGCAACAACATTCTTGCAGCCGCTCTCATACTATGTGCGACCCCGACGCGCCACTGCCCCTGAGCGAAACTTTTGCATCGGCACGGTGGCAGAGATGATTGAAGGTCTGGAATCCGGGGCCCAGCCCATTGAGCGCGATTTGTACACACTTATTCAGCCCTGTCTTCGAGACAGCGACGCGGAGATATGTGGCAATGCTGTTTATGCAGCAGGTCTCTTGATGGAGCACGGCACCGAGGCCATCCAGTCCACAGTGCCCGAGCTAATGGGCGTCCTTTTAGGCATGGTGCAAGTGGCTCCTGATGACGAGGAAGGTTTGCACGCCCGCGATAATGCCATGGGGTGTGCATCACGCATTCTGGCCCGTCAGCAGCAAACATCAGCACCTGCGCTCGGTCTCGATCAGCAAGCTGCCGTACTAGCCCAGATTGTAGAGGCGTTGCCCCTGCAACAGGATCTGTCAGAGAATCGCACGGTGATGGCCATGTTGCGCGTAGTCCGTGAGAGTGGCCGTCTCTCTGTCACTCCGCAGCAGTGGCATGCCGTGTTGCACGCCTTGTTTAGCATTCTCTTGACGGGCACCAAAGTTGAAAATGGTAAGCATGAAATACTGTGTCCATCCCGATACCACTGTCCTCCAGTCTGGTCTGCGCTGATCGTGTCTTGGATTTTACGCTATGCCTGTCCACTAGATATTCGTGCAGCGCTGGTCGACTTTCTGCGCTTCTTGACGCAGGCAGAGCCAGACGTGTTTTCGGCTGTCGTTGGGAGTCTTAATCATGCCCTCCAAGAAGAGGTGCGCGCTCTCCTGCACTGAGGCCGCGCAGCACTGTACGCGCGATGCATGCGTCTTGTCACGTGTTGACTCCAGTCTGAGCTTGCGGATCAGTCGCTCTTGCTTTGCGTACCGTTCACACGTGAATGGTGCCTTACACAACGGGGGAATAATCGATCTTGACTCCACTGCCGACAAAATCGCTTCACTCCATAAAAGGTGGTGCCTCGGTCGCACTCGCCGCCACTTTGTAAGCTTGACACTTGATTGCGGTATTAAAGCCGGTGCTCACAGAAAAAATGACACTGATACGATAATGATATTATTATTATGATGTCTTCACGAGGCTAACAGGTGGAGGTCTGATCCGCCGCGCGTTCCAGTACCAAAAGCAATTTAACTCGGTGAAAGCGATTTGCAACGCCGAGATCGTCTAAAGTTGGTCAAATGAGACAATCAATCAATCACATCACCATCAATGGAAGTGGGTTGGGAAAAGGGGAAAGAAACCTCGGATGTTCGAGTTGTTGTGATGCAAAAAACAACAACAACAACACTTCATGGACCTCCTACCTTTGAGCATGTCGTCGTCCAAGGCCAAAAAAAGCCGTCCGTCTATCTGTTCATTCCGAAAGCGTGTCACGTACTGGTTCAAGTTGAGATGTTCCAAAAGCCGTGCTACATCGCCAACGCCATACCCACCCAACTGCACGACCCAAGCGTCCCAACGCCAAGTGTAAAGGGACAAAATAAAAAAATGAACAAAAATTAGACAAAAATTAGGGAAAAATTACACCAAACTCCCATGACGATGCCAGGCCCAGAGCTGACCTCATCAGCAGAAGGGTACTCCACAGTCCCAGTGCGGGCATGTACGCCTGAGGTTGAGGGCTCTGGGCAATGTTGCGCAAGAGGTACCGTCAAGCGGGGTGACGAGGGCATCGCGGTGTTGGATTGCTCCAGGGCAGCGACGGCGGGGCGCGATCGGTTCGCTCGCTGCACGGGGCCCGCGGCCAAGGTCTGTCGACGCGGAGGATGCGCCTGGTTAGCCATCCAAGAAAGGTCGGCCGATACACCTCGCGCACGGCTGTTGTTGTGGACAGGCGCAGAAGAAGCGTTTTTGCTAGCGCTGCCGGGCACGGCGAGAGAATAGCGTCGCATGCCAGTGGCAGTCTGAGGTAGGCCCGAATGGCCAAATGAGCGTCAGCTTGTGCAACAGAGTGTGTACGGATGTATCGAGACCCACACGGAGCAAATTAATGACTCAAAATCACGGAAAAAAAGAAGAAAGAAAAAGGGGTTGATACGTACCTGTGATTGAACCTGGCTGAGATTACCCGGCTCTGCATAAACGTTTGCACCGGAATCGAGTCCAATACCAGGAACGAGATATCCATCATCAGTCGTGCTTGCCGGCGCGGTGGGAGTGGTGGCGCTCGAGCTTGATGATGGCGGCGCATACGCAAAGTGCCCACGCTGCGAATCTGCTCAAGGCCTCCGTCAGTCCGCAGTGGTGCGCAAAGCCTAAGCACAAGCGAGCTGACCAACCGAGAGGGTGTCGTAATCTTGTTCCAGCTTGCGTATCATCTCATCCGGCTCCTCGTAGGTACCCGCCAATGACTGCCGCCGCTGTGCAGTCTTGGGATTAGCCTGAGAATTTCATTCGAGCCACAAATAGGTACACACTCCGCCCAGTCAGTCACGCAGGGCTCGTCGTGGAGCAATACAGTGCAGGGTAAAGAGCAAGGATGAAGCGGGCGGGAAGTAAGGCGTAAGGCACAAAAGGCCAATTGCAGCACTTGCCACTTGAAATCGAACGTCCAGATCCAAGGGTATGAGCAAGAAGTCGCTACAGGACTGGTTCAAGGGCCGAGCCAGAAGGCAACGGGATGTGGTCTTGCGCTGCAAGAGCAAGCCGTGGAGGGCACTAGCAACAAAGCACACGGCAACAAGGTAGATGCAGAAACAAGGGGTTGCGGGAAGGTTAGCGGCGGTCTGCTGGCCGAGCGGGAGTGTGGGGCGGCACTGAAAGGAGGCTGTTGTGCCCACCAGGACAAACCTGCGCTTGAGCCCGTCGACCTCGACGTCACCCTCGATACTCACGCGAAGAGGCAGCTGGAAGTGAGATATCAGCAGTCGAAGCGAGTGCGAGCCTAGGGGATCGAGCCGGCCTGGAGTCCCATGCCGCAGCTTAACATGGCGGTCAAAAAGGCGAAACGGAACGCCGAGATCAAGCGGTACAGCTATCTCGCGATCCTTGCGATCGCGAGCCATGATCAGTTCCTCCTCTCGCGAGAAAAATATCGTTCTACAGTGTCACCAGTATAGGGCAAGAGGATAAATAGGCGAAGCCCCAATGATGTTGTGATTCGGCGGAAGTAGCAGGGAGGCCAAGGGGCTGGCATGGGGCAAGGGGGGCTCGATCGCGTGTTTAATTTTCTTGAGCAAACACCAGCACAGCGGAGTGGTGGCCGCTGGTAGAACGGCTCATTGCGGGTTGATACCTACAGCTTTTCGCCCTCACTGAGGCTATCGGCGTCCTTGAGACCATAATGGCCTTTGACGGTGACGACAGGCAATGGCGTCTGGTACTGCTCCAGCAGCTGCGCAGGGGTGAGCGCCATGATCAAATTTGGATGCAAGCAAACACCATTGTGACACTATAATTACCTCTATTCTTTCCACTTTTACTATCACTATATGTGCTTTGGAATCTACAACTTGTGTAGTCTTTACTACACTTTCTTTGGATCAGCCATTTCTTTGTGTGACTTAAAAGAAACACACACACACACACACACAATTTTTCGAAAAGCGAGCGGAGCAGAACGAGGAGGAGGAGGAGGAGGAGGACGACGGCAAAGGTCTTGGCAAGGGACGAGCGACGATACGGGAACGAAGGTGTGTATGGCAACCTTGCTGGTGCTGGTGCTGAGAGGGTGGGGTTGGAAGTTTTGGGTTAGTGCTGTGGTCGCGTTCAGGGAGTTTGGCACTTACTGGTGGTCCTTTGCCGGGAAAGCTGCAGCTTGCGAAAAATGGCATCTGCCGCGATGTTGCGAACGCTGCGCAGTCCAAGTGCAAAAGGCTGGATGCGGCAGGCGCCTGTGCTCATGAGGACGGCTGCGACAAGGGCAACTTCGACACCACCAGCTTGGCGGCATCGTGTGGGCTGGGCTATCATGGCCACGGCTACGGGCGGTGCTATGCTTGGTGTGGCTGGTTGCGAGCCACCCGTTCCTGGCATGCGCGTGGTCAAGGATCCGTTGTCAAATCTGGAGCATCCCGCGGCCTTGGAGGCTGGTAGCTTGCTGGCTCCTCAAGAGTCTCTTGCGCTCGTGGGGTGTGGAACACGTGCGGTCACCTTTTTGAACTATTACGTCTATTCCGTGGCTCTCTATCTTCGTGAAGAAGACCGCCGCCAGTGGGGCAACCGTTACGCCGAGCCTCTGCCCGAGGCTTTCCGCGAGGCCGTGAACCAGAGCCCGCGTGTGATTCGGCTGACACCTTATCGCAAAGCCGCCTTCTCCCACCTGCGTGACGGTTTCAACCGTGCTCTCTTTGCACGCCTCCACAAGAGCTCTGTTGGCCCGGAAGAGGACGAGCGCATTCGTGGCGAACTTCAGGAATTGTCGCAGGTCTGGTCTTGGTCGTATAACTGGAGCGCCATCCTCATAATATTCGCTCTGCTTTACGAATCAACCATTGCCCTCTGAATAATGGTTCTCGCTTTCTCTTTTCCGTATGTGCAGAAATTTCCAGCCGGCAATTTCCAGCTGGGCGATGAGCTGTGCTTTCGCATTGATGGGTCTCGCGTCCAGATTTTCAATAACGTGAGTCTTATTGTGGGCGAGGATATGCTCGCGTGGACTTGATGGCAACTTGGCTCCCGCTCATCCTTTCGCTTCGCTTGTTACTTTGCTCGTCTCCAGGGACGCTATGTATCCGAGATTGACTCGGCCTTTGTGGCGCTGGAGCTCACGCTCCAGTATGTTGACACCGACAGCGTTAGTCCAGCCGCACGGAGCAGCATCCTGGAGGGCTTGCGGCAGGCATGAATGCCGATCAATGCTTGAGAGATCAGGGTGGGCAAAAAGGCTGGCGTGTGTGGTCAATTTGCTCCCGTCACTGTCGGCTTGGGTCGACGTTTGGGATGGTTGCGGCAGCTGCTACAGTACCACTTGTCTACCAACACTGGCGGCGACTACATCATCGCTGCCTCCCTGTCGATTTGGATTTGGGTTTGTCGGGTTTCGGATTACTAATCGATAATGACCGCCTGTGCATCGCGACAGTACGATGCAAACTGCTGCAACGCCTTATTAAACTTCTTTTTCAAAGCAGCTAACATCGCATTGTTGAGACAAGCCAGGTGACAGACTTTGATGAGTACACCCAAGCACCGCGCGTGACAAAACTGAACAAAACCTAAAACAACAACAACAACAACACAAAGCCAATGTCGAAGAGAACGAGAAACGGACGTACTGGAAGTTGCCATTGTCCCAAATTCGTCACGCACATCGGCGGGGACGTGTGCATAGGCTGGCTGTCCCAATTCGGTGGGAAGCCATGCCTTGAATTCGTCGCGATATGTGGAGGCAAATGCAAAAAGAACGCCTGCCATGTCAACGATGAAAGCGCCGAGGGCTGTTGTCGCAATGTTATTCAGGGAGGCGCTCATAATCTCGCCGGCCGTGCTAGCCACAGCCTGCTGCAACACGGGCGTCTCTTTGCTCTTGCTGATGAGTTCGGAGAGCAGCTGACAAGCATAGCGCACAGTCAAGGGTTCGCGCTGCAGCATGCCAAGCCGACCCCAATACAACAGAGACATCGCAAAGTTTGAATCATTGCCCACCACCAAAGGGGCATTAACTCGCACGAGTTTGGCCACAAAATCAAAGTAGGCCATCAAGATGTTTGTGTCCTCTTGCTGCGGGTGGCTTAGACGAGATTCAAGGGCCTTCGATACATCCAAGAGCTCCTGGTGAATGACAGGCTGGAGGTCCTGATTGCGATGGTGTAGACGTCCCAAAGCCGCCAGCGTTTCGAAGAGTCGCTCAGAGGGCTCGCGACCAATCACAAGATTCACGAGGTCAAAGATGGAGGCGCACAGTGGCGCTGATGCCGTCCCCAAGGTTCGGATCGCCGACAGAAGCCAGATGCACGCCTGCAGTGCCACCAAGGTAATAACGCAAGACAGCAACGTGAGAGGCTCGGCGAGTGGATAGGTACGGGCGGACCCCAAGTTGAGCAGTTTCAAAGCTATCAACCAAGCAGCACAGCCGAGGCAAATAAGAAAGTAGTATGACGGACCTCCTTGACAAAGCCTGGATTTACGGGTTCTTGACCGAAAATGGCACGCAGTGGCAGCATGCTGCTTTCCATCAAGGGGTAGAGTGGAGGGGTGCTGCCTGGTTCGGGGTTGGTCGGCTGCAGGCACCGAGACACGGCCTGCATAATCTGCAAATGGCTCATCAAGGCCTCAATCGTAGCTGGATCGTGTAAGTTTTGACGCAGCAAACCCAAAGTTTGCTCATGGAGAGGATTCACCAAGCGAGCACTGGTACGCATCATAGTTGCAGTGGGCGCAGCACGGATGGCACAGCAGGATGCCTCGACCAAATTCTTGCGAACTTTGATACTGATGGTGGCATCATCCACGATAGGTAAGATGGCATCGAGGATACTATCCAAAATGCTTTGGACTTGGTTAGCACCAGAGTCAAGGCAGAGTCGGAGAGACTCTGATGCCACGGCACCGAGGTCAGCATCGCGCAGGGGCTGGTACAGCATGGGAACCAGTGCTACCAGGACATGGCCATGAGCTGCCAACCATTCAGCAAAGCTGCCGATGCAGCGAATGGCTGTTCGCGTCATGATGGGGTGTGATGGCGCCTGTCTCAGTGGCAAGCGAGAGCGAGATGTCAGTGCAGCAACACGGGTTTGCAGAGAAATACAAGCATGGAGAATAGAAATGATGGCCTGGTCACAAGGCAGACCACTGTGCTAGCGCGCATCACTGACATCTGTAATGAGCTGCAGCAAATGCTCTACGGAAGCGCACTCGGCATCCACCCCTTCTGCTGCGCAGGCCGTGCAGTACAGCACTGCTTCATAGGCCTGCCACGTGACATTGGACTCCCGTGCCTCAACCAACGCGGAGCCCAAGACGTTGATGCATTCATCGCGCAGCATAGTGGTTACGCAGAGGATGTATTCACCCCAGACGCTTCGATACTGATCAAAGTCCTCTAAATCATTCTACGCAGCAAATTCCAAAACGCGAAAGGGCAGGTGAATGGCGGGCCCCAAAGGTTGCTGGCATTCTGCTGTTGTCGCGTCAGATATCGAGACCTACGGCATCAAGCTGCTCTTCAGGGTAGCGAAGCTTGATCACCAGCGCAGCCACAACTTGCAAAACTATGGGCTTGTAGCTTGCACAAAGTCTGGGCCCGAGCTGTCGGGCAGGCGGTGATCATCGTACGCTCGCATGAGGTGGCAATGCTCTAACACGCAAGCATACGATGATTGATTGAAAACAGCGGGTAGCCGAGCACACCTGCTCGTCAAAAGAGGCCAAAGTATCCACAAACTTGAACCAAAAGTTGGTGGGCAAGCTGCTGATGGTTTCTCCTACCAAATACTGTGTGCACGCACGAGGTATGTGCGCGAAACTGTGTCAGCAGGCGGGAAGGCGTAAAGGCGAGAGGGACACTTCAAGTAAGAGGGGGGTCATTGTGACGCACTGGTTCGGGATGCGCAACAGCAGCGGCAAGAAGCTCGAGGAGCAGGCCAAACTCGCGCTGCATGTCTGGACTCTCCGATGACAAGAGCTTATGAACGTGTTCTTCTCCCACTGCCAAGGCCACACGAATGATGCCTCTGCGTTGGAGTTTGTGACACATGTCATCAGAAGCAGCCTGCGAGGCGGGGCGCAAACAGCAGATTGCAAGCTGATAGACCCACCGCACAACATCGTCTCGCCCCTCATGGAGGCACTGCTGCAGCACTGGCCTAGTAGAATTGAGATAGCGCATCATTTCTAGCCAAAGATCTGGCATCCTACGTAGCCAAAGAGTCATGTTGCTGTGGCCAGCGCAATGCGGGGCATGACCAAGGCGATGAAGCTAGTGCAAAACACGCCTTACGTTCTTGCATGATCATGACTCAAGACTGCAACTAGATAGGTTGCTGCTGCATCGGATAGGTCATCATTCTACCGATTGATCAAACATCATGATGCAATGTGAGGAGATGCCCCTTTAGACCTTCTACGAGATTTTTGAGACAGGTGCAAACTCACCATCAGAAGCTGGGTGGTGCGTTGCAGCTGGCTGCTGAGATCATTCTTCATGAACGGAGTAAATGTAGCATTGCCAGGCGGCCCGCATGAGAAAGAGTGTTCGTATGCAAGGGTGCAGAGGCGCTGCTTGCGCACAGGGCAACCACACTTGAAATTATGGCAGCAATGGAACGCCTTGGCATCATTGAGACAAACGAACCAAGGATGAGAGTCGTTCGACAAACTCGGCCATGGCTGCCAGTGTGCTTTGCAGCAACGCGGTGTCTTCGGTGCTGGACTCAAGCACCGCCGTGGCTGCGGCCACCACCTAGGCAGTTGCACACAATACGCGTCACATGGCAGGGGTAACAGCTTTTGAAGCCGGCAGGGCCACCCACCTTTTCAGTAACGAGGCGTAACTGGACGAGTAAATGGGGCTGCGTGGTCTTGTTCGGAACCGAGAGCCGACGGCATTCAGAGATGGACTGCGTCGCGGAAGACGAGGCAGTACCATGTGAGCGGGTCCAGAGCAAGCACACGTTCGTCTTTTTGACGACTTGACAGCGACGAGGCCATACGCGATAAATCTCCATGAGCGTGGCATAGAGCTGGTTTTCAGAGCCTCCGTGCTGCTGAAAATATTCGGTGAAGCCGTTTTGAATGTCCTCCACCGGATTCACCCAGACTGAGCCCACGGCCTAAGGGGACAAGACACGCGTGCACTGAGTCAGCCAATGTCCAGCCAGATTCAATTCGGAATGGCCCGCTCAGCAGACAAAATTTGCCTCGCACTTTGATGGCGGCTGTGGCCAAGACGCGCGCCAGCTTGCGGAACAAAACCGGTTGTGCCAGGCTCATCTAGAACGTGGACACACGGTAAGGCGCGGCGCAAAAAAAACCAAAAAAAAAAGCAACCAAAAAAACAGAGAACCAAAGGCAGGTTTTGACAAGGTTGAAGGTCAGATGCACTGCTCTCGCTCTGGCTCGGGCCTCAATGGTGGTCATGGACCACTGGAACCGATGCTGAGTTTCCAACCTGTTGGGTCAGGTGCAACAACCGCTGGACCGTCTGGGACTGCTCAGCAGCATCTATGGCATGCCAGCGCACACCCATCTACGTTGCGCCCACCACAACCACGACATGAGTCAGAAGCATACACGAGTGAGGCGGGATGGCGCCAACAGACCTTTTCAGAGAGAAGGTTGCAGGCGAAAAATTGCTCCTGGAGATATGCGTGTGTGTAAGAGGGCGCTCTGCAGCACGGTTGTTCCAATGCGGCGGAGGCGGAGGCACCGTTGATTGACCTACCTCAAGGGTGGCATCGCCAAGGTCCAAGATCTGCCAGGCTAGCTCCCAGCTGGTCGGTGAGCCTCGGCAGGCTTGCACATATGTCTGCAATGGCGCGAGCGCGAATTTGAGGCCTGGGCGATGCTAACAGAGCAACACCATGCGCTTTGCAAAGAAGCACGCCAAGCCTTTTCGCAGACAAACCTCTGCATTGCGTCGGGCGACCTCGTCCTGGGTCGCCGCGATCACGGCTATCGCCTGTCGCAGGTGGCCCAGGTCGACATCCATGATGGGAGCCAGGCACCGCACTGCGTGTTGAGACTGTCTTGAAGCTCCCTCTACCCACAATTAGCCCCAGCTCAACTCGCGATCCTATAGAGGCAATCGTCTGCAAGGGTCGCCCCTGGCTCCCTCCCCCTTAACGCATCCAGGGGTGCCGTCGTACAAGCCCCACAACCACAACGACAAGAACAGCGCTAAAAAAAGAAGAAAAAAGAAGTGAAGTGAGAGAGAGTTAGAGAGAGAGTTGAGTTTAGAGAGAGAGCTTCAAGAGAGAGAGCTTCAAGAGAGAGAGCTTCAAGAGAGAGAGCTTCAAGAGAGAGAGAGAGAGAGAGAGAGAGAGAGAGAGAGAGAGAGAGAGAGGAGAGAGAGAGAGAGAGAGAGAGAGAGAGAGAGAGAGAGAGAGAGAGAGAGAGAGGAGAGAGAGAGAGAGAGAGAGAGAGTTTGAGAGAGAGAGAGAGAGTTTGAGAGAGCGCTTCAAGAGAGAGAGAGAGAGAGAGAGAGAGAGAGAGAGAGAGAGCTTCATAAGAGAAGCGACAGAAATGCACTTTGCACTTATCTGGACTGACGACGGACGGGTTGTTCAGTTGTGGCCGTGCGGGACGATCGGCGCAGCTTGGCGCTTGCTTGTACAGCGTGTTGGGGTTGTCGGTTGAATCGGGGTCATGCCCGCTGGGACCGAGGTGGTCAATGGGCCAGCGGTTAGTAAGCCCAATGAACTGGCTTCTGGATCCGTCGGAGCTTCCGCTGGCAGCGCACCATCCGCCGTACCGCCCAAGCCGGCAGTAGCTTCATCAAGCACCAACGCAACAAAGTCGGGGGCCAGCAATGGTTCTAGTTCTGTGACAGGCCTTGCCAACGGGGCCAAGACCACGACCGCTGCTGTGGCGGCTAGCAGCAACAGCGGCAACGACGAACCCGTGGAGGAAGAGGCCAATGTGGTCGTCATTCAGCCCGGATCGGCATACTGCACCATTGGCCGTGCCACAGATGCGATTGCGCATCGCATTCCTGCGGTGATGGCCCGCCGCATGCGTATTCAGCCCGTGCCACGTCCGCCTGTCGACAATTATACACCTGAGAGCGTTGCCTTGACGTCTGTCGAGGAGGAGGCACTCGCAGCCATCAATCAAGAGATTTCGGTGGTGCGCGATACGCGCGGCCAAGTTCTGCCGGGACGTCGGGCCATGGCTGCCTATGCCACACTCCAGGACGACAATCGCCATTGTCGAGCCACATCCATTCCCTTCCACAACGATCGCGAGGCGTGCGAGGTTTTCCAGGCCGAGACGGACGTCGTTACGGGAGAGGCAGCGTTGCGCATTTCTCTCCACGACCAGCCTCAGTACCAGCTGCGCTGGCCTTTTGCTCCCCTGGGCCTGGACACGGACTCTCCCGTTTATGGCGGCAGCGCACAAGCTGCTCGCATGGATGTTGCTGCATATCTACAAAGCATTTTGCTCGAGACATTAGACCTCTCGCCTACGCAATTTTCTCAGCACCGGGTCGTCCTGGTCATTCCAGACTTGATGCGTCGCGCCACCGTGGTGGAATGGATGACCATTCTGATTGATGAGCTTGGTTTCGGCTCTGTGGTCATGCAGCACTCCTCTGTCTGCGCAACCTACGGCGCCAGCTTTAACATGGCGTGCGTCGTGGATCTGGGTCATCATAGCTGCTCCGTCGCTTGCGTCAACGAAGGCTTGTCACTTGTGCCCAGCCGTATCATGTTGCCCTTGGGAAGCGATACCATCGAGCGTGTGCTCTTGCGCGAACTGCACTTCTCAGGCTTGCCCTTTGAGCCCATCATTGACTTGGCCAACCCCTATCACCGAGATGCGCTGCGGCTTCTCAAGGAACGCCATGCTACGCTGGATCTGGACAATAGCAAGCGGCAAACGGTCACCTTGGCCTTGCGCTCTCCGAACGAGGCCACCACCACATTCAGCATTGTCATTGACAAGGCCATTTCGCGTAGTGCATTGGTCCTTTTCTTTCCAGCTCTATGGCACGGCCTGAGCGACAGCGTACAGGTGGGCCGCACGGATCGCATGGTCCATCACAGTGATCACCTGTACGAGGATAACAAGGGTAGGTACTCGTTGCCAGTCGTGCTTGACCCGCGATTTAATATCATCCCATCTCGTTTGTGCAATGTCTTTCCTCGTATGCTCGTGTCTACCCTCCTCCTTGGCTGCGGCCGAGCAGCCGAACCAAGTTTTCGCGAAAATGCTGCCGAGGCGGCTCATGTCACCTGTTCTTGGGTGTGAATTCTTTTAGAAACATTTTTGGCCGTGTACCGTCAACGAGCTGCCACCGCGGCAGCTTCTAAGCGGTCCAAGTCGAGTGCGACTCCGACGAACGTGGCCCCAGCCACCAGTACATCCACTTCAACCCCTGCTGCACCCCTCACCACCACAACCCCTGCTACCCCGAACAGCGCAGGCGGGGCGTCTCGGGCCAAGAAAGCCAAACTTAAGCGTTCCACTTGTCAGTAGTTTTGGTGACTCGTGTTCCTGCCTCGTCAATCGTGCCTCCAGAGTGAGCCTCTCTCGGCTGTGGTAGCGCCGCGCACCCTCACAACCGCTATGCTCATCGCGGCGCACGTAGCTACCTTATCAGTCCAGCCCTCGACCACGGCTAGCCCGCTGACGGTCGTTTCATCCAACAACAACAGTCGCGCACAGGTGTGGGTTGCGCCCGGACTGTACCCGCCTTCACAAGAGACGCGGACAATTTTGGTTCAAGGCGATCATTTGCATGCAATGGCTGGGCCTGCACGCGTCTCTAAACTTTTTCATTCCTTGTCTTTGCTGCAGACACCTGTGGCAATGGGCGAAGATGGTCCCAACTATAACGGTGATACCTCCGCTGGTGCTGGCGAGCCGGATCCCGATGATGCTGAGGACGATGCCATGGTAAATATCGCGATTGCCGGGCGCCATCTGGCGAGCCGTGTCTTGTCGTGCACTCAAATTCTCACTAACTATCCACCTTGTCGGGCATCCTCGACTCTCTGCTCGCTTGCGCATCAAGCTTTCTGACGAGATGCGCGGCATACATCAGGCCGTCATCGATAGCATTTTGACGTGTGAGGCGCATTCTCTGAAGCAACAGCTCTTCAAGACGATCGTCGTGATCGGGGCAGGTGCGCGTCTAGCCCACATTGGGCCGTATCTACAGCAGCAGATTGTGCGCAACATCCCCCCCTTTTACAGCAAGCTGGTTGAGGAAGTGGCGGTGCTTGAGCGTCCCAAGGTAAGTGTGTGCAAAAATAAAAGTGCAAACATTCAGAAGGATACGCGGTGGACTTGACTTGAGTATTGATTGATGCGCTCAGCGGTCACGTGTGCCCCTGCCAACGAACGCACTCGAACACAGGACATTGAGCCTGACATGCTGGCATGGAAGGGGGGCGCCATTTTGGCCGCGTTGCCCGTGGCCAAGGAGCTCTGGGTTACCAAGACGGATTGGGAACGCGAAGGCGTGCGAACTGTTCGAGAGCGTTTTCCTTTTGATTGGTGAATCAGTTTGGATGTAAAATTGACGAACATGGCATTGAAAAACATCAACTGAGCGATGACACGGGTGAAAACCGTTTTTTTTCCTTTTGCAATTTGAGAATTTCGGCACAAGGGGAAGCTGGTCATCATTCCTCATCACCGCGGCGGCGCTCTGGTTGATCCTGTTCACCATCATCGGCGGTTTGCATCTTGGAGTCGTCTGCTGCCTCCTGACCATCGCGGCGACGGCGGAGTGGAGGATCCAAGGCCTGCAGTACCAAGCAAAGAAGCAGACTGAGAAGCTCACCGGAAAGGTGTGCGTGTGTGCGTTCGTCCAGCAACTCGGTAATGTAAAGCGTGCAGGTATTGTACGAGTCAACCGCACCTTCCATTGGGTTTTCTTGCGCTCCTCTTGTTCTTGGTCAAGCTCCTGCTGCGAGTTGATCAACATGGCTCGAGTCTGATCGTTGTGCTTGCCCTAGCCTCGCAGTCAACACCAGCACAAAGAGTCCACGTAAGTTGGAAGTCACTACATGTCAACTTGGGACACAGCGGCCAAGACTGCATGACGTACCGGGACAAAAAAAATGCGGGGCTCGGCTTTAAGGCGAATGAATGTTCGTAACCTCTTGGCATGATCCTCCCATGCTGATTGCTACCAAGACGCGTCAATGTTAGCCATCAAAGAAAGTCGCACAACGAACGCTCTGTGGTTGCACATTTTTGGATAGAAAATGAACAAACGAACAAACAAACAAACAAACAAACAAACAAACAAGCGTTCAAGCAGCAGGGGCCAGTAGCGACAAGGCAAAGCGTACCCAAGCCGGCAGCTCGACTTCTTGCTCTAGACGAAAGAGTTCGTTACGCTTTTCGCGGCGTTCATCAAAGAGTGCGTTGCGCTGCTGACGATATTCCTCACGCTCCTGCTCTTGCTGCTCCTTGAACTTTTGATCTACCTCCTTGTAACGCAGCTCCTACATGACACGAACGACAGGCAATGCCTTGTGTGTGAGTCAAGAAGCGCCAGCCTGGCTTTTGGTTCAAGGCTGACGGCACGACAGGCTGGCTATGGATGTTGGTACGCACGGATTGTGACTTTTTCTCGGCCCGCTTTGAGGCTTGCTGCAACGTGCCCATGAGCATGCCAAACATACGACGATTGCTGTGTCGAGCAGTAGATTCAAGTGGCCCATCAAAGTGAATGTTGTAAGGCACCATGGGCGGGTGGCAAGCCTCAGGTGTCGGTCGGAGCAACAAACCGAGCAGTCGTTTTGGAGTCGTTCTTTTCCAAGGACGGGCGGCTGGAGCGGCTAGCCACTACGGTAGCAGATGCAACCTGGTTGCAGCAATGGTACAGATTATAGGTCAGGTTCATGCATGATGAGGACAGGCTCGGTCAGTTGATCAATAACAGTAACACTCTGCAGCCACACAGCGGCTCCCGGCACCCGCTGGTCTCGATCGGGCAAAATGCAACAAAAGGAGTGCTTCCGAAACGTGAGTATCATGAGATTTTTTTTCGTACCTTCTTCAGAACGGGTGCTTCTGTGACATCGGTGCTTCTACATGAACATGCTTGGTGAGCGCAAGAATAACGACGCTGCTCAAAAAAGCAGGAAAAAAAAGCGAAAAAAACAAACAAAAAACGGGGAACCAACGTGTCACGCTTGGCCGTGGAAGAAGCCACGACACTACGCAGCTTATTGTTATCCACCGCTGGCAAGTCTTCCAGTTCACCTTCGGTGCCGGCACGATGGCTGCCACCAAAAGAGGTTCTTCCGAGTCGTTCGCAGGTTAGACACAGGAGAGGGTGGGTGATGGGTGAGTGGTGGATGAGAAAGGCGAGCCGTCTAGTGTATGAGTGGGCAGCCTGTCTTGTGACATTGGCGAATCTTACCGGCGCTCCTCTGTGGGTCGGCGGCGGTGGCGCCTGTGCAGACAAAGGAGGGGCGTGTGAGGGGAGGCGCGATCAGGTCCGACTCGAAGACTGCTGAGGGGGCAGCAGATCGATTATCCTTGAATTGCGCCAAGGGCTGACCTTTCCGGTTCATGGCCAACCACCTGGGTAATGCGCTCGTTGATGGCCTCGAGTTCCTTCTGCTTGGCAGCCAGCAAATCTGTCACATTGGCGCCATCGCCATCCTGCGCCATCTCAGTGGTGGCGCCCGCTGCGTCTTTGCCTGCCATCTCTTGCCGTGCCGTGTTGTGTGACGATACCAACTGTGACTACACAACACAATCGTAGCGCAAAAATGAACATGTCAAGCGAAACAAAAGAAATGTACCAGTGTGTGTGTGTGTGTGTGTGTGTGTGTGTGTGTGTGTGTGTGTGTGTGTGTGTGTGTGTGTGTGTGTGTGTGTGTTGAGGGTGAATCGGTTCATGTCAATTTTGTTTTCAAGGTTGGAGATGGGTCATGTCGAAGCATTTCCTTCTCGAGCTGCTGGGGCTCCCCACACAAGAGGATTTCAATATCAATGGAGATTGGCTGGCCAATGCTGAGCTTGGCTGGGCAGGGTGGAGTAGCATTAACACCCGCGCCCACAAACGGACACATCAACCCAAAAAACAGCAAAGTTTCTTTATGGTAAAATGGAACAACGACACCATGTAAGATGGTAGACAGCACAAGGGCTTGTCCATGGACATTTCAAATGACGGGCACGCGAGGCGGCACGGGGGGAGGGGGCCGCAGTAGCACTGGTGATGGAGGTTTGTCTGGAATGGCAGGGAGGGAACGCCGTTCAAAGGGGTTTTCATCACGTTGAAAGAAATCAAGCACCTCAGGCACGGACCATACAGCAGGCAGAGCTATGAGCGCAGCCAGCCAATCCGTGAGCTCGTCTCGCCGACGATCAGCAACGTTGCGCAGGTGACCCAGATAGATCTTGGGCGGAAACACCGGTAACTCCAGACCGGGCAATGCTAGTCGAATGGCCTCATGACACTCCCGAAACTGCCGATAGCGACGTGAGATTGTGTAGCACGCGTCCTTGGTCACCACCTCAATATCGTACGCCAGGATGGTACGTTTGAAGCGATCGCTCAAGCCTTGGCGATTCCAAACCGGAGAGGCGCGGCCTTGGGCACATCCACTGCCCGGGCCGGGTTTGGTATGTCCTAAGCTCGATGGCGGCTCGCGGCTTGTGCTATCATCGAGGCGAAATGAGTATCCCATGGCAACATCACGCCGCGAATAAGCGTGTCGCGTGACGTTGCAGATGCGAGCCGTGCGAGGCACAAAGCATAAACTTGCAGGCTGCAAGCAATGACCATCTCGATCGGCGCTGCAGGCCTCATCACGCCGGGCAGCCATGCGGCGATTGCTCAGGTAATGTCGACCCTCGCTAGATGTGAGAAAGTCTGGGAGGACGCGAGCACGTAGATTTTGTTGTACGCAGCTTTGGCAGTGTCGTAAAGTGGTCAAGTCGTCATCTGTGAGACGAGAAACGACATTCGCAGCCTCTGGCTCAGGTATCTGCTCGTCTAACCACACGTCATTCATGGCCTCGACGTGAAGCGCCGTCTCCATGCCCGCGAGGAGAGAGGGTGGGAGTGTGATAGCCAGCTCGGCATCGGGTGTCAAGTACTTGTCATAAATGCCTTCGCAGTAGTTGGCGAGCTCCACTGGAGTAGCAAGACCAGCAACGTCTAGCAGTTGCTGCAGATCGAGCCAAAAGAGTGCTTGGCACAGTCCCTCAAAACTGCATCGGCTGCAATAGTTCAAAAAGTGAACTTCCTCTTCAGCGAGGATTGTGGCCATGTCCAAATCGCGAGCATGAACCCAGTGCGGCATGGCAGCCAAGAGCGAGGCGAGTGCCCCCGAGGTCACTGCAGAGTCTGCAACGACACTGTTGGGCTCTGCATAGGTTTCGGAGCTACTGCGACGACGATGCCCAGTGGCTGTTGCCATCAAGCCGCTGCCGTCGCCGTCATCCACCTCGGCATACACGGCCTCCTCAGGAATTGGCTGGCCGATGGTAGGCTGGCCACCCGCGCCGCGAGGGCGCTGCCCAGGGACGGTACCACGCAGCCATTGCAGCGCACCTGCAGGTAAGGCATATTCGTATACATGGGCGCCGGACTCTCGGGGGTCAGGGTGGACCAGTTCGTAGTCTGCGTTCTCTTTGGGTCGGATATAGCCCATGCTGGAGGTGTCTGTACGGCTGCTGCTGCTGCTGCGCCGCCGGCGTCCGGTGGCTGAGTGGCTGCTGTGGCGTCTGCGAGACGGCCCGGGGGGTAAAAGACCAGCGGAGCCAGTGGTATCGTGTGCGAGTCGCGTGCTGCCCACCGTGGTGGAGGAGCGACGCGACCAGCGATTGGGAAAGATAGGGTCAATACAGCGCGGGCAGACCACCTGGTCGTCCCGGAGAAAGAGCTGGTGTTGGATCGGCGTATCGCAGGCACTGCAGCGCAGGCAAAGGCGGTGGTAGTGAGTCTGATTGACCATGACGTGGTTCTCAATGACGGTAAGTCCGCAGACCACGCAACTCGGGCAGCAATCGTAGCAGACGGGCTGGCCATTGGTCAGAAGGAAGCGGGTGGTGGTAATGGGTTGGTGGCAGTGCTGACAGCAGAAACACTTGGGGTGATAATAGCTATCATTGCAAAGTAGAGCCTTGCCTCCTATCAATAGCTTGTAACAGTGTGCGCAGACAAGCGGCACAATGCTGGTAGCAAGGGTCTCCAGAACCTCGCGCAATGGTGGGGTTGGAGACATCGATGTGGCTTCTGCTGCCTCGGTAGGGGGCGCGTGGGCGGAGTGTTGGGAATCATTGAGAAGAGCGGTGTGGCCAGGAACAGCCGCGGCGGAACTTGGGTTTGATGCTGGCGTTGTTTTGACCAGTGCCGTGGAGGCTTGCCGCGAGCCATGATGTGACGCGCGATCGGCGCACTTGCTGCTCATCGCATCGAGGCAGCACTGCTTTAGATCGGTAAGGGCATCAATGGTCCGGGTGCGAGCTTGTCGGAAGAGGTCAGCACCGTCACTCGATGGAAACTCGAGCTGGTCCAGCAGATCGGTGGCTTCGGCCATAGCTGCCAACACGGTCGGACCTGTCGCGCAGAGCGCCGCCTGCTCGTCGGGGGCCTCGAGGCACGCCTGTATCGGACTGAGGATGGACTGGAAGTCAAAGCGGGCGGGCGGTTCAGGATGACTCGGTGGCTTTGTACCAGTAGAATTGGTACTTGGGAGAGCTGCACCGGCCTCTAGATCGGCCTTGGCCTCAAGCTTGGCCATGATGGATGGGGAAGAAGGGTCACTTGGCGCTGACGCCATTGCAATCGTAAGCCTATTGTTTGATCCGAAGCGATCGCGATGCAATGATGGCAGCTTGCTGAGCTCATCGAAAGGCTTTTTTCAAGAAGACACTGCGCGCTGCGCAATGAGCAGGGTCAATGACGCTGCCATAATCCCGGGCCGAGACCCGGTCGCTCACCCACTCTGTAAAAACGTGACGCAGACACACAAGGCAATCGTTATCGTAGCAATCCAATCACCAGGAACGTGGGGCTGAAAGACCAAGGCCTTTCTCACGATCCCACAAAACAGCCCTAACCTCACGGCACTCGGGTTACACCCCACCGCACCCAGGTCGGCCCCTCACTTTGGGCCGGGTCTGAGGCGCAAGGAGACGTCAACAGGGGACGGGGAGGGGGAGGAGGCTTAGGCAGACGTATCAGTGTCTCTTCTAGAGAATGCTTAAAACGGTTCACAGGTTTCGTCTTCTGCCAACTTGCAAGGAGCTGATGGTCACAACGATTGTTGTGGCCAGCGGTCCTTGATGTGTAAGAATTATCACAGTTTCTCAGTGCCCACCACGCACGATGGCGCTGCGCACGAGTGCGACCCGAGCGACGGCACAATCGGCAGCCCTGCTGCTTCGTTCTTTGAACGGCCCGGCTTTCGTGCCTGCCTTATCTGCGGCAAAGCAGGTCTGTCGTCAGTACTCTGCAGCGGCTTCCGTTGATTCTGAGAAGCAGGTGAGTCACTGCTTTCGCGCTGGTTCAGTTTACCCTAACCGTTTAGTTTTTGCATGTTTCGCTTTGTCGTCACGATGCGCCTCGGTTGCCACTCATCCCCTCCTCACTCTGATCAGACGGATGCACCTCAGCACCATGCATCTCTTCCGTCCATTGCCTCTTCTGATGCGGTATGACTCGTGCATGCCCTGCTTTGGTGGTGGTGGTGGTGGTGTGTTTCTGTGTATTTTCCGAATTGGTTGAGGCCAAACCAACCCATGACCCCTGGCAGCTCACCTGCCCAGAGGGTCGCAAAGTGGTTACTTTTACTTCCACACCCGCACATCTACTCGTCTTTGCTCGGCCTTTTTTTTTTTGTGCACCGACCTGCCATTCCTTCGGCTTTTTTTTTTCATTCAGCTTTTCGTTCACCATGGTGTCGGTCGGGAATTTAGGGCCGTCACTCGTTGACCGACGCCAACTCCATGTACATCATGACTGAAGAGCATCAGAAGCTGTTGTGCACCAAAATTATGAAGCCTATTCGTCGCCGCCAGGTGCGCTTGCCGCTGTGCTGATACCAAGAGACCACTTTCTCCGCTGCCTGAGACGCCCCCAACCCAAGCAGATGAGATTCATCATTGTGTTCATACTTCCAGGTCCAAGAGATTAAGTCTTGCGCCACCTTGGTGCGCAAGGATGTCATGCAGGCGCTCAACCAGCTTAACAAGGCTTTGGTGGGTGTGAATCATCTCTTGCCATCGCTCTAGTACCCGAAGACGTCGCACCTCGGCTCACCCGCACACTGTCTCCACGCAGGATGCCAATCAACCTTGCCGCGTGCTCTTCTATGGCAACGACGGGTCAGTTATCTCTTCTCACATACGTTACCTCTCGTTGTGACTTGAATGAACCTGGCTGGCTGGCTGGCTGGCTATGTAATCATGGAAAAAAAAAAAAAAAAAAAAAGAAAAAAAAAAAAAAAAGAAAAGAAACATCTGACCTTTCATTTGATCAACGAGCGTCCTACGACTCATGGCCATTCGGCGGTGCCGCAGCCTGGGCAAGACGAGTGCGCTTGGCCATATTTTGCATCACTACTACTGCAAATCCTACGCTATCTTGCCTGCTTTCCGAAGTGCGTCTCCTGTGACATTGTTGCTCTTGTCTTTTTAACCGGCACTGTCTCACTTTCTTTCGCCAACCGCCACAGCGGCCCAGTGGTATTTTGAACCCAACACGGTGGATATCTCGACCACACGCCCTGGCGACATTGACCTTAACATTGATGCGCGCTTCTGGCTCCACACCTTTAATGCATTGAACTCTGAATTGCTTGGCCAGGTATACGGGCGTTCACCGATGGCGAGGCGCTTGCACTGTGGGGTCTTTGGGGCCTTCTCATTGAGCCATGCGTCTTTGCGCCTCTCAGATGACCACGACCAAGGAGCACACGCTTTCGCAGGACATTGTTCTGCCACAGGGCACAGCCTTGTCCGAGGTTGGTTTAGGGCCTGGACCGGTAGCTGCGCATTTTTTTGTTGTCAGGTTGACTGGTTTACCACATGGCTTTTTAGTTGTCGGACATGGCACAGCAAAATAACCGCATCGCAACCGACCTGGCTCTCATCGCCATCAACGAGCTTTTGGAGAACCCCAACCGGTAAGCGTGACAACCCCTCTTGCCGGCTGTAGCCATGTTGTTGCTTTTGGCTCACGCAATGTCCTCATCGCGTGTCGGGCGGGAGGAAACACAGACCACCCGTGGTTAGCGTCATTGACGAGGTCAACGTGCTCTATGAGCAAGAATGTCCTCAAAAGGACGGTTTTTGGGAGAAAATCTCGCTCCAAGACGTTTGTAGCCTGCTTGTACTGGTTGCATGTTACTAGCACGAATTTTAATGGCGAGCTCACAACGTTTTGTTTCAACTGTTGAAAACATGCAGAATGCGTTGTTGCGCACGTTTCGCCAGCTCGCCACCGGCGAAGGCCTGACTGAAGCCCAGCAGCGTCAGCATGTTGTGGTGACCGCCGCCTCCGAGTGCGTGTTGTTGATGAAGCTTCTTTATCGGGTCATGTTTTTTCACTTAATATATGCATGCAAGTATATCGGATCTCCCACATCTCACGCCTTGCTTTTGCACAGATATGGTGGTTTGACGGTGAACATGAATGAGGGCCTCCGCACTGCCATTCGAAACTCGCAGCGTCTGGACAAGGGCGAGAATGATCTCAAGCAACCCGCTTGCGCCGTGCGCATGAAAAACTACACCCTGGAAGAAGTCAGCTCCGTCATTGGTCAGTGGTATCGAGCTGATTTGGCCATCGCCTTGTGCATGTCTCTTCCTCTCGCGAGATGTAATATGACGATTATGTTTGTGGATGTGTTTTTTGTATTTTTGGCAGGCTTTCACAGTGGCATTGGGTGGACTACGCTGCCCAATCCGGCTAAGGATGCCCACTTTGCAGCAGAGCTTCAACTGTTGACCGACTTTGACCCGGCGTCAATCAGCATCATGATGCGCCGGCACTAATTGCGCGCCAGCATCATTGCGGTGCGCGCAGCTTTGTCTGATAGCTGCAAAGACCGATGAACTCAGGAGTACCCAACGTGTGGGGTCACCCCTCATCTCATTTGCCGTCTGGGTGTGAACCCTTTTGAACCCTTCACACGAGGGCATGTAATACCTTTCAAACGCACAAGAAAATTCATATAAAAAGAGTCGTGACACAAGTCAAGTCTGGATGGATCTTCGGTACCCTGAATTTTGTCACGTAGAAGTAACTAGGGTTGGGTGGTGTGTTTGCGAGGGTGTGCAAAATGAACCAGGGGGGCCGGGGTCACTTTTACTCGCTGTGCTTGATGCGCTTGTGCGCGGGCTCGGCAGCTTGCATAAAGTCATCGAGTGTAGCGCCGGTCTTGCGGGTCTCCATGGGCTGGTGATCAAGTGCATGTCGTGTTGGGCTGTTAGGTGCGGTGCAGCACGTTGCTTGTGGCTGGGAGCAAATAATTCACAAGGGCACCACCCCATCTCACCTTGCCCGGAGCAAAGAGGCGCACATCACGATCCATGCCGCGTAGAACGGCCTTGTCACCAACGACCTCGATCATCATGCCTTCTGGGAGGCCTGAGGGAGTCAGCAGTAAGTAGGGCACCGCGGACTCGCTGTAGGTGCACAGGTGGTGTCTGCATGCGGGTGCGGTGTTGGATGCTACGCACCGACGACGGGCAGATCGTTTTCTTCATGAAATTGTGCGAGGCGCTCGGCACGAGTCTCTCCCTTGTGCGTTGACGTGGGATCAGGCTCTAGATAATGCGCATTAAGCTGAACAGCAACAAGCGGGTGGATGAGCAGGCAGCCACTGTGAGTCTGCTTCCTCATTGCGCGCACATAGCAATGTCTGTTGATAGGTAGAGGTCTTGACAACTTGCGCCAGTGTCCGGGTGTGTATGTGCGCTGGGCAAAGTCACGATACTCGAGCACGACCAAACCTGAAAAGGAACGAGGCCAAGGGCCAAAAAGGAGGAGGGTTGGACAATGGGCATGTCATTGGTGGTAAAGATGCCTGGGCATGCAATGTTGCTACCTGTGATAGTATAACGGGCAGCGAATGAGAGGGAGGTGTGTACTGATTGATGCCAATTGTCAGGTTGGGCGCGGTTCAGTCTGACCGGCGCTGGCGCCCATGTAGGGCATGCCTTGTTCCAGGACGCGCCGACGAATGATTTGAATCAACTGTGGAATGTCAAGATCAAAGGCATTAGAACGGATAACGTCAAGACCAGTGCCCATGCACCACAGGGCGTGAATCATACGTTCTTGTCCTGCAGGGTCTTGAGAAGGCGAAAGGTGTTGCCTCCACCCACAAACATGGCATCATGGCTAGCCTACAGTCCTCGGCACCAGTGCGTGAGAGCAACGCTATGAGGAGTTTGGTGCCCATGCATTCAACATCGTACCACGGCTGCCTGTTGGTCTTCAAATTCGTGGATGGAAGCCGCCTCTGCAGTGATATCAACGTCGGGTCACGGGAGCGCGTCGGATTGCGTGAGAGGCGAAATTCGCGGCCAGAGAGCATGGTGGGCGACCAGTGCGGCAAGGTACACACTAAAGCCCATGACGGCAAAGCGTTCCTTGGCCTTGGCAGCGTAGCCATCGTGATCCTAGAGGCATCAGTTGGAACAAGGGATGAGGCGGGTGCGTTGGCGAATGCTGAACAGTCGCCACGAGGCCCCGAGGGCGGTGCTCACAGAAAGCAAGTCCACCTCTTTGAGCAGGAGAGTACCTTGAGTGCATAGGGAACAAAAAGAATGGTCTTGACGTCTGGGCCCAAGAAGTTGACCATGTCTTTGGCGCAATGGTCCAGGTAACCGGTGGGATGGGTCTGGTCGCACCAGCCGAGTCAGGCGATCAACCATGGGTGTGCTCCGAAACCATCTCCAGGGGGAAGCGTACCGTAGAGTTGCTCACGAGCAATACGCGTCGCTGTGCCATCGCTCTGGTCTTTAACTACTGCTCAATCTCACTGCGCGGCAGAACACATGAGTCTGAGGCTCACTGCCCTTGTTGGCACGTCAGAGGTCTGAGAGGTCACAGAGAGAGAGAGAGAGAGAGAGAGAGAGAGAGAGAGAGCGCTGCTTGCGGTTGGTCCTGGAGCACCAACGGCGCCCTTGTTGCTGCGTTGCGGCATTCGTTTTATAGGGCAGGGGCTCGTTGAACGAACGTCCTTTCTTCAGTGCTTTGTGCGAGCGGGCAGTTGTAGACCACGCCCTCGCCTCAGCGCAAAGCTGACACAACGCGTCGGCGCGGGTTGACGGCTTTCAGATACCTCAACTTTCAACGCGCGGACGGGTTGGCGGATGGATAAACGAGATTGCTTCAGGTGCAGTTGCAACGCGCAGCAGTGGCTGCGGTGAATCCCTCTTCCACCCGGCACCTGTGGTGACGAGAGGACATGTCTCGGTGTCGCTTGGCGCACCGACCGTGTCGCCTGACAATTTGTGGGGCCTGAGTGACAAGCCATATCCTCATTGGCTGATAGCCCGTGCACTTGCGGCTCAGACACAGCCAGCCCTTTTCACAGAGACGTTGGCCATTGGCTGGCTCCTCACTTCATTGGGTGCCCCACCCGCTCCAGCTTCGGTGACCTCCCAACATGGATCCCAACAACGCTGCGGCAAGCAGCGCCCACGACCTAAGCTCGCTTGATCTGAGCTGTCTGAATGAGGCCGAACGTATCGTCATCAACTCGTTCATGCGTGGGCCGCACGCCCATTTTGAGCACCTTGGCGTTGGGCCCAACGTCAAATGGGACGAAAACCTGTCCAAGCGTGCCTTTTACCATCTCGTGGCCATCAATCATGCCACCCTCAAACTGCTCGTGGCGCAAGCCCGCCTCTGCTCCATGCAGCAAATGAATGCCCCCAACCTCACGAATGGAGCCAGCGCCACAGCCCTGGGCTCATTGCACCCCTTCTCCTTGGGCAATCCCGCCACCTCTGTCACCATGGCCTCCAATCCCCTCGCCAACGGGCCTGGCCTCCGCACTCAACTCATGGCCCCGGACTTTGCTCTTGCTCTGCTTGGCAACGGCACCACCCCCCATGCTTCTGCCGGTCTCGGTGCGCTCAATCCCGGCCTGTACAACCCCAGCGCCTCGATCCTCGGCGGCCCCTCCAGCTCGGGTGCCTCGTCCGTCCTGCCCAGCCCGTCTGCACATACGCCCGATGCCGCAACGGATGCCAACCACCTTCCAAATCCTGACCCAGCTTCTGGTACGCCCCTTGCGCCGCACACCGTGCCTCCATCTTCTGCAAAAACAAAACCAAGCTCAAGCAACGTGATGTGGGCGTTTCCGGCAACCGATACCACTCCACGCACACAATGGTTCAAAGACCCTCTGGCGCTCTCATATTTCTCGAAAACTTGATTTGTGCGTTTCATGTCCATGCTCACCGACAGGTCGCCAAGAACTCACCCGTGCCGGTCGGCCGGCGCGCAAAAAAATGAAGGCTACTGCCCTCGATGCGGCCCTTCGCACAGAGATGCCAAACTGGCCCAGTGTGCAGGATGAGTACGTCTGACACTCCTTTATTCTTTGGAAATCGTCGACCATCCCTCGCTTTGTTGGTGTCCACCCTTGTGCTCGCTCTCTGACGGGTGGCGCCGCCTGATGCCTCTTTGTGTTTTTTGTTGCCTTCCCATAGTTTTGTTCGGTGGACGCGCTTGGCTTGGTTTGAGGCTGGCTTCGCGGTAGGTTTGCGCTCGCAGGTTGCATGGCCCTGAATGGTGCGAAGTAGCACTGCCACTGCCGTTCTTTTTTTTTGCACCCACGTGGTTTAATTCAGCTCACTCCATCCTGATGTTGTGGCGACCTTAGTCAACCATCAGTGATGGCGCCATCGGGGTGCAAACACGGCGCCCCTTCTCTCCCTTTCTGACAACCACCTTTGCTCAAGTGGGCGTGCATTTGCCTTCCATGTCCCCCAATCTCCTGCGCGCCTTCAATTCGGTATGCTCAATCTAAACTGCTCGAGGGTTGCACGTGTGAGCGAGTTGGTTTTTTGTACCTGTTGAATCCATCGGGCCTCACTCCACCCCATTCCACCCCTCCTTTTTCAGTGGGTGGACATGCATTTGCGCTCTTTGCGAGATCACTTCAAGGGGCGCATTGACAAGCCCCACGCCGGTGTATGTGTCTCGGATTTCCGTCCCCACTTGAAGTTTGATTTTCAACCAGAACCCGCTTGCTCTCACTGATTTCTATTTGTCCCGTTTGCCCCAATTTTGGTGCGGCGTGCCATGCGGGCGATTTTGAGCAGAAGGCCTCATTGGCAGCCCGCTCACTGGAAGACACCACCTTTGTCAGCCTGACCGAGTTTATCAACAACATGTGCAACAGGTGAGGCGCCCCATTTTTCCCCGTCTGGAATGCTTTGCGCCCTCATCGATACCCGTCCTTCTCGAAGCTCAATGGGGGATTGCCTAATGACACCTTTGCTCACGTCATCTCGTCATGCTTCCATCTGCCTCGCTCGCTTCAATCCTTGATTGTCAACCACCTACGCGCAGCTATAACCTCATCAACTCGGAGCTAAGCGTGGCAGCCGTACGCGCCCTCTGCAAGCTATACCTCAATGTTCGCAACATGGCCACGGCAAAGGATAGCGAGGGCGTCTTGCGCGTACATATCCGCGATGCCTCCAATCGCCAGCCACCCAACATTTTGCGGGGCACGTAAGTGTCAATGCGACTCGTCTCCTCATGGCGCGCGCAGCGCGCGCGCGCTCTCTCTCTCTGTGCGCGGCATCAGTCATGGTGTCTCACATCACTTCTCCGTCGCGGCCGTGAATGCCCAGCTTGCCACAAGATCGCGAGGACGACGACCTTCTTACATTGATAACTGAGTGTGGAGCCATTGACTTTGACTTGCCCACAGACACATCGGATACGAGTATCTTAGCAGCCTGGCAGCGTGCCGTTGTTACGCCCTGGCCTAGTGGTCACAACTAAGCGCCCAAAGCGAACATCTGCTATCCCGTGGTCTGCGTATCTGTTCGCACTGTCTGTAAAGGTTTACAGGCACACTCTTTGAGCGCACGAGGCGCCCCTCACCCCCCCCCTTTTTTTGTAATTTTTTTGTTTGATCGGTGTGCGTATTTGACCCTTGCTCCACCCGTTAGTGGCTGTCGGTGTTTGAGTCAGCGCCACTTAATCTGTTGTTTATTTTTTGGTGGCTTGTTGCGGCTCATTCTTATTGCACCAGAGCCTGAATTGCAAAGGACTTTTTCCAGTTAGAACCGGCCAGGATCATCGCATGGCCTCACCCATATCATCATACCCGGTCGTGATGCGATCAGTAGTTGAAACCCAAAATGTCAAAGTGCGACACTGAGTCTTTTTGTTTCAATCAAAGTGTGTAACACGACCTTTGCGTTTGGAGCTATTTTTCGTTGTTCGAGAGGTGCGAGGCGCTTCAGGGATTTGGCATCATGACGCGCGGGCGTGGTCATTGTATGTGGCCAGCGCTAGTGGCGCTGGCGGTGCTGATGGTCATGAGCACCAGTGCCACGACGCTGACGCTGGATCAAGCGGGTTGTTTCAGCAGCTTGTCAGGTGCAGCCAGCGCGCAAGTGAACCTGTTGACCAACGTCACGTGCGAGTGGTTTAGTGTGACCATGGTCACTGAAAGTGGCACGTCCACCATCTCCCTTCCGAGTAGCACGCGTCCCAGTGCCCACATTTCGGCTCATGGCAAAGACTTTGCCCTCTCCTGGCCCAAGATCACCGAGGGTCTGGAAATCGACATTGGTTTAACCTTGGAGTTGCAGCACAATGTCACGCTAGACGCCTACGAGCTGCGCGCCAAGGTTGTCAATCATCGTCCCAAAGCCAAGGCCAGCCTGTGGCAGCTGGAGCTCAACTTGCGCAATGTGCGACAACCCGAGGATGGCTCTGCATTCTTCCCCGCCGGGTATGGCGTCCGCTACCAAGGCGCCTTTGCAGCCTCTGGCTCGTATCCGTCGTCCGGCGCAACCATGCAATGGATGGCGGCAGGGGGTGGGGCGGCCAACGAGGGGCAAGGCCTGTACTTGGCAGCTCACGATGGCTATGGATACATCAAGTTCCTCAATGCGGCAGCCGTTGAAGACGTAGCCTCCCTCAGCATCGTTTACCTGGTTGAGGATGCTGGCCTGCCCTTTGCCGAATCAACCATGCCGTTTCCACTGACACTCGCCGTGGTAGGCGGCGGCGATGACCTGTGGTATCAGGCGGCGCAGATGTATCGAACCTTTGCGCTCGGCGAGGCCCAGTGGATGCAGGCCGGTCGTCTGCACCAGCGACAAGATATCCCTGGCTGGTATGTCAATAACAGCATCTGGATCAATAGCGGCTGGCAGTGCCACGACATTTTCAACGAGACGCAAGGTGACCCCCACACGGTCCTGAACGTCACCCGTCGCATCCGGTACGCCGCGCAATCTTGAGCCGACCATGTTGCATTGCAAGCTCATTTCCCAAGTTTTTGCTCCTGCATGCACTCATCTATTGGTTTGGACCACACTGGCTTGATCAATGTGCTTCACAGTGAACGTTTCAACACCAACATGGCGCTTCACTGGTATGAGTGGCAGCAGGGCCCAGATGCGAATGCAAGCGCGCGCTACCGCTTTGACACGCATTATCCTGATTATTTGCCGCCGCGCGGCGGTGACTACTTTGGCACCGTCGTGCGCGAGCTGGAGAAGGAAGGCGTTCACATCTTCCCCTACATCAATGGTCGAATTTTCGATGTGGCCTCGACATCATATGCCCAGCACAATGGCAGTGATCACTGCTGCCGCAAGGCCAACCCCAGTTTTGGAGCTGCCGACCAATCCTTCTACGTCGAAAGCTATGGCTCGGGCTCGACCTTCCACACGGCCGATCCAACCGACATGTATGTGTTGCGGGGGATGAGCCAAATGACACAGAACGGCAGAGCAACAAAAACACGCATTTCACGATGGTTTTGGCGCTTATCACACCCCCGTCCCACGCAGCTACTGGCAAACTACCTTGGCCGACACGGTGGATGCCTTGGTTAACACCTATGGCGTGGAGGGCGTGTATATCGACCAGCTCGCAGCAGCAGCCCCGACGCCAGACTGGACGAGCTGGCATAATCACACGAAAGGAGGCGGCTTTTACTGGCGCACCGGCATTGTGGACATCATCAAGGCCATGCGCCAGCGCGTAGGTTGACATGGCTGGCAAAGACGCGGCTTCTTTTCATGCAATCCGCCCCGCTTGGACGTGTGGTGTCGTCCAGGAAAGACGAGGACGAAAAGTACCACAGTAGGGTTGGGTAGGGGTTGAGCTCTGCTTGTGTTTCTACAGGTCTGACACACACTTTGACCATAGGTGGGCCCTACAGTTCCCCTGGTCACTGAGTCCAACAGTGAACCCTACATGGATGCAATCAGCGGCTTTTTGACACTGGTGGCCTTTGAACCAGCCTTTGTGGGCACCAAGGCCTTGGTTCCAGCTTTCCCAGCCATCTATGGCGGTGCGCTTGCGCGGCCCTGCGTTTGAACTGGTCTCGAGCCTGCTCATTTCTCATCTGCACTCGGCCTCGCACCCTTGCTTCAGGTTACTTTGTGGGGTTTGGCGACATTTTCAATGCTGAGGATTTGGCGGACCAAGACCCTTTGATGGCACGAGTTGTGGCGCAATTTGTCTATGGCGCTCAGCTGGGATGGTTCTCTTTGGGTGGCGTGACTTCAGGCCCGGACGTTGATACATCGTGCGTTTGCTTGATACTTTGTCAAGCGCCTTGCGCCTACGGTTCATTGTTTTCTGAATCCGAACCTTGCTCATGTACCAATTTCTGTGGCTGGGAACAATCGCCGTGGTAGTTGTGGCAAGATGGGCGAGTATGATCTCTGGATGAGCGAGAGCAGCGACGCCATCGTGGCGGCTGTCGAATACTATGGCAACCTGCGCGTTTGCCTGCTCGAGTAAGAACCCGACTTGCCTGACTGACCAAATGGGATATGTGGCTCATCTACAAATAACTGTCTCTACCTCCAGGTACTTGGCCCACGGCCGCATCCTGGCGCCGCCCTCATTGTCACCTGCCCCAGCCGAGTTCATGGCTGTGGAGACCGCCGTTCAGAATGCCGGTTTGTCAATGGATTTGTTCGAGCATGCAAGCGCATCTCAATAGGCATCTCAGCTGCCGCTCATGTGCCTGTCTTATTGGGCCTTTTAGGACCGTTCCCGAGTGCCATGTCAGCGGTATGGCTTCATGAAGACGAAGCGAGCGCCGGTATGCTTCCGAGCTTGCTCACTTGACATTTCGGGCGTGCCAGTGTGCATGCTAGCTCACGGCCTTCTTCGGTTGATTAGTTATCATTGTTGCTGGCGTTTTGGATGCTGGGCAGACCTACAACGTGTCCGTCGACTTGACCTTTTCGCTACCAAGCCTTCACGATCGTCAAGTGACGGTACAAGAAATGTCCTGCGATGGACTCTCCCAACAATTGGACGTAATGCCCGCCAATGACATCCAAATCTATGACGTGACACTCTCGGACCGCAACGCCCGCGTCTATCGCGTCCACTTTGGTGCATAAGAAATGTTGAAGCAGGCGTGTTTTTGTTGTTCATGTGCTTTGAACCTGAGCAGAATTCAAAGGCCAATTCTGGGCCTACAATTGACGTCACACAAGCAGTCTCATGACATGCGTACACAATGCTATCGAAAAGCCGGTGATGTTGATGCAAGTGAGTGTAGACAAACGTGACTGCTGCTCAGCAGCTTGCTCTTCTTTGGAGGGGTGAGGCTGGGTGATCAGACCGGCGGCGGCGCGCTGGGTTTAGGATCGTTGTCTGCCTGTAGCTGCCTCAGATCGGTGCGGACCAGAGTATCTAGAAAGCGGCGCCAGAGCGATCGCGGGTGGCGTATAAGGCGGCAAGCCCGGGCGTCAGCGACGGCCAAGCGCTTCCATTGCAGCATCAACTGTTCGGTCAGCAGAGATTCAGGGAAAGGGTGATTCTGCAGTCGCCGGATGGGGCGGCCCATGACCATGAGGTTATGGTACGGGACGTGGATTTCAAAGAGCATCTGCAAACTATAATAAATGTCCGTAATGGCAGCAATAAGCTCCTGACAGGCGCATGTGGCGTCCTCTTCGAGACTGGAGCTGAGGCGGACGGCCTCAGATGGGGCGGCGCTAGTACCCATGTGAACGGCGTCGGCAACGGCCTGCAAGTAATCGACCACAGCGGTTGGAGGCCTGTGTTCGGGTTCAAGCAGAGCAATGAGCTCACGGGTGATTTGGGCAGCGACCACGGCCTTTGTTCGACGGGTCTGCTTATGAATCACTGTCCAAATGGGGAGCAGCCAGTCACTGCATCGATTGATCCGGGCCATCGTCTGCGGAGGACCAAAGCGCAAGGTTTCAAGGACTTGAGCGTGATTGACAATCTTGTACCGGGGGGGGGGGGTTGCTGCCGTGGTGCAAGACAAAACATCGCCAGGTAGCCTGTTGCACGCACTGCCAATGGAGATGGCTCTGGTGGTGTTGGGAGCTGGAATTGGTGAAAGGCATCGTTCAACAGCTGGGCCTGCGGGTGGGTGGCGTGGTGTCGTTGTCACATTCGAAAAAAGTTGAGCTCAAAGCGAGTTTGCAGCGGCAACAAGACAACTCTCCACCTTTGCGCCTTGGGTCTTACCCGGTCTTTGGCGGTTCTGGCAGTGGCAGGACCAGCCTCTTCCTCCGAGTGCGCCATTTTCTCTCTCAAGCACGATGGAGAAAATGCAGTGATAAATGAAGATAATGAAGAAATAAAGCCGATACAATGGTGAATTGAATGCGTAAAACGAGCAGAAGATGTGGATAAAACGAATGTAGCGCGATTGAGTCGGGGTAACAAAGGTGACGATAAAAGATAGATTCGTTCGCAAACCAATTGGCATCCCCATAATAGATTCAGCGGAACTGCACGGTTCGAAGCCTCCCAAGCAAGTTGGATTGCGATCACAATCAACGCCGGCCGCCGTCCAACTACATGTGTAGCACCACCATCTAACGACATGTAGTCCCCTCCTCCCCCAGCTGTTCGGCGCGACCATTAACACGTACATCAATGACATGGGGGACTGTCATGTCATGAGTCCGAAAAATCAACAAACACACACACACACACACACACACACACACACACACACACACACACACACACACACACACACACACACACACACACACACACACACACACACACACACACACACACACACACACACACACACACACACACACACACACACACACACACACACAAAATTTGCAAAGTGACGATTCTTCATTTTTTGAAGGTTCTTGACATCCCTGGGCCCACGACCAGCCAGCCTGAATTGGAGTAAGGTCATTGGGCATGGCGTCATGCATGAGTCTGTGGCCGGGGGCACGTTGCACCGTGAAGGTGCTCGTTATAAGCTGGGCGCTAGTCATGGCGGTGGCGGCTCAGGAGCCGTCGATTGCGGTGGACGAGGCCGGTACACTGCATATCAACGCGGTTGGAGATGTGGTGCTCAACTCGACCGGAAAAGTGGTGCTTAACGGCATACACGTGGAGGCAGCCCTCGCCTATCTATATGACGCACCGCCAAACTTGTGGTGGAGCGCACCAGAGCAGCGTGTCATCTCCACCACCGCCGTCGGTGGGTTCTCAGTGTATGCGGCTGATCTGGACGCCGACGGTGATCTCGATGTCCTCAGCGCCAGCTGCTATGACAACAAGATTGCGTGGTACCGGAACAACGGCGATGGCACCTTCTCCGCTCAAATCATCATCTCCAACGCCACTGACGGTGCCATCTCCGTGTATGCGGCAGATCTGGACGGTGACTGTGATCTCGACGTCCTTAGCGCCAGCGAGAACGACAACAAGATTGCGTGGTACCAGAATAATGGCAACGGCACCTTCTCCGCCCAGATCGTCATCTCAACCGCCGCCGAACATGCCATCTCAGTATATGCGGCCGATCTGGACGACGATGGTGATCTCGACGTCCTCAGCGCCAGTGTTGGCGATGACAAGATTGCGTGGTACCGTAACAACGGCAACAGCACCTTCTCCGCCCAGATCATCATCTCCACATCTGCTGATGGCGCCCGCTCGGTACATGCGGCAGATCTGGACGGCGACGGTGACCTCGACGTCCTCAGCGCCAGCCGCGACGACAACAAGATTGCATGGTACCGGAACAGCGGTGGCGGTACCTTTTCTTCGTGTTCAGAACGGTCGGATCAAACTTCATGACCTGTGAATCCTTTCTCGAGCCATAATGGTTTCAAGCTGTGCACAGTTTTTCGGCACTGGCCGAATGTTTGCAACAACGATTGAACGGCTTTTTGTATAGCTGTGCATAATACGAGACCAAAAGTTTGGTAAGCAATTGCCTTTTTTCCCACATTTTACGACGGCAGTGTGTTGATTGGTGGTGTTGATAGCAGATCGATGCTTGATCCAGTGATGATCATGTTCAAGTCTGTGGCAGACGAGGAGATCATGGTCATGCCTGTGACAGACGAGGACTCCCTTTTTGCATTCGGGTGCGATCAAGTCTCAGGTTCGGTGGTGCTTCTTATGGACAAATTTCATGTACAAACTTGCATCGAATTCGCGATTGTGCGTGGCTGGTCTGGTGACGTCAGCTGACCAGTCATCCTTGCCGGGCCTGAGTTTGATGTTACCACTGCACCCTTTTGAGACGGCACATTGGCCCTGGTTGGCAGTTACGGGCCACATTTGGGTGAGGCACGCCGTCTTGAGTTATCTAGCGGGGTGTAGTTCAGAATTCATCTGAATTCACGCTGAGTTTGTGATCTCGCGTGGCATGTGGGATCAGGCCAGGCATCAAGCATGCCTCTTGCTCTTGAAACAATCGAATGGGTCGGTGCATCGGCACCACGACTATGTGAGGCAAACCCCCCTTTTTTTTTTCAAGAGGTGTTGCTTTGTCGAGTTGTTTTCAAAAACACCCTTACAAGGAAGGGCTGGTGGTTTGGCCACCGGTCGCTCGTCGACGAGAAAAGTATCGTTCCTCGACGTAAGAAAAATCCAAGAGCCGATTTGATGTTTGAACGCGTCATGCCAGTATTTTTCTTTCGCCCGCCCCACTTGCCCTGAAAGTAGGTCTTGCGATGGCGTGTGTGGTGTGCTGGTGGAGATGCTGGGTATTGGGTGACCGGGGGTAGATGGGAGATGAGTACAGCGGGCTTGGAATTCACAAACTGTCGGCCTGTGAAGTACACACGAAAATATCTCTCTCCACAATCAGGTGTTTCAAGCTTGGGTGAAGCACCATCAAATTGCCAGACTTGGATCACGCACCGTGAGATAGCCCGACGAATCTGGCGCGCAACCAAGGGGAAAACATATTCATTCTACGTGCCATTGAATGCCAAGCCTTTGATGGGACTTGCTTGACGCTCTCATCCGTGAGACATGTCCGTGATGATGGCACACAGAGCAAACCCACCCAACCTGCAGTCAGGTTTAAGTGCCCAAGCGTCACATCAAAACGAGGGCCTGGCAGCGGCGGATTCGACATGGACTTTGTGTTCTGACTTACGCGCACTCAGCGAAGAGCTTGGGGAATGGAATTCGTGGTTATGTGTCCTCGGGGATGCGGCGACTCTAGAGCCGAGGGCACTGGAGGATGTGTCTGATTTTGCTCAACTGTGCGAAGCCAGCTGGTCGGAACGGAGCGATGCTCGAGAGCAGGAGCTGAACATTTCAAGTCCAGTGAACCCAGAGCAGTGTGGCACCGAGAGGATGGCTGATAAAGAAGCCACAGAGAGGATGACTGATAAAGAAGCTACCTGTCGGGGCGAAGGCGCATACAGGTTGTACTCTCCGCTGCCCGAAACTCTCCGGTGCTACCAAGCAGTTGAAGCAGATCCGTATGTGTACATGCGACGCAAGCCCAGGTATCGATGGCATCCACGGCTCTGTCGTTGCAGCCGAGACGAGTATTTGTCGCTTCGCAAAGAATTGCGTGTGCTTCCAGACGGACGTCGTCTGGCCAAGGACCTCATGAGTCTGCGGCGACGGCACATGACACGTGGTCAGCAGCGCCGACATCGCGAGCGCGCAGCTGCCGCTGCTGATGTCGGCTAAGCTTACAAACATGATCCTGGAAAAAACACACACAGCCAAGGGCGGGTACGCACTTGCCTCAACATCCCGGTGACCCCCATCCGTCTGCGCGTTGCGCCATCAGCTCATCCAGTGTTACAGGCACCCGATGCCCCCATAATAACAAGCGGTCACAAGTTTGAGTCCCTCCATACGACGGCCATTTTGTTCGCAACACCAGTTGTCATGTTGTTGCTGTTCCAATGAGATTGTCATCATTTTACCATCAAACCGGTTTTCTTCTTTCACATTGGTTTCTTCGATCGAAAGAGAACCGAGAGAGAGAGAAGGGAAGAAGAGAGAGAATAAAAGCGAAAGCATGACAGCGGTCACATATTTGCAAGCTGGTTGGTTTGCAACCCCCTTTTGTACGAATAACACCATTCACAATTTTTCTTATGTGACGGTGCAGTGCCCACTTGCGCGCAGGCATATATGAGAGATTGACTACCTGTGCTGTTGCCTGCCGCAGCCTCCGTCACACACACACACATCACAGACACACCACACACACTCTCGCGCTCGTCATCCCCTCACACACACAGGGAGAGAGAGAGAAACATCGGTGTGCATTCTCGCTGCTGCGGCCTCATTCGGGTGCATTCAGCATCCAGGTGCTGCTGGCTGCTCCAGTGCCCTTTCTGACTTCTTGGGCTGAAGAGCTCTCTCTCACCAGCTGGGCGTCGGCGATTCCTCGGACCTGGCAGTGCAGCCACTCTCTGGACAACGCCAGTCGGGCTTGACCATTGTCTTGCTCAAAATACTTGCCAAAGTCCAGACCCTAGATCAGCTCTTAGGTTCTCGCACTGGTTCCCTCGGCACTGGTCGTGTCCTTTTCCTCTCCCACGCGGCCAGTTGCACCTGCCATCTGCATGAGCGGGTGCCTTGAGCCGCCCTTCTAGTCTTTTTTTTCTATTCTTTTTCTTTTTTGTTGTTGCGCCGAGACGCATCATCAGTCTTGATTTTGCCCAAGCGGCGTGCACGTCGTCAGTGCTCTCGTCTCAATTGCTGCCGCAGCGGCTGACATTGGGGGTGCTTTGTGACCACTGCATCTCGTCCCGCCGCTTGTCCCAACGCGGGTCCGGTTTAGTGGTGCGACGGCAATGAGCTGGAGCCGGTACCATGCCGGCGATTGAACCGCAAAAGGGTCGCATGACCCGAGGCAACGGAACCACCGTGCACAATCGGCCCTCTCAGCGTGTATACGTGTTTGGCAGTGCTTCTGATGATCATGCTGGCGGCCTTGGCGAGCCCGAGGCAGTCGAAATGTCGGTTGTCGATAACAATGGCATGTCTCGGCGCGGTCGCGCCAAGTCAAGCCCTGGCACCGGCAGTCAGGGTAGTACCAGCTTCGACGGACGGGGGCCAGTATTCACACGTGATGCCATCGGCTCTGAGAGCGAGCTCACCTATATTCTGCATGCCGTCGAGGCTCACCACACACTGCAAGGCATCGCGCTCCAGTATCGCGTCTCCGTCGATCAGCTAAAGCGCCTCAACAATCTATGGCGTGAAGACGAGCTGCATTCACGCAAGGTATGTGCTCGTGGTGCTGACCCGGCTAGCTCCATGTGCTCTCCTTAAAGCAACGGCACGGCCTTGCATTTTTTCCTTTTATCTCACCCCACGCATCATCACCGTCGGCCCTTTGCGCCCTCACACAACCATGATAGACGATCAAGGTGCCAGCATCGCGCTACGGCGCTCTGTATACGGCTGTCATGGAAGGCGACAACTCTTTTGGTGTGGCAGAGCCGACATCTGACGAATCACGGACCCATACCACCATGCGCCCGCTCCCAGCAGCCCCAGTTGGGCGTAGCGAAGGTTAGCCATATAAAATTAGCCATACAAAATCAGCATTTGCAAGGCGCTGCTAGCTCGTGGGCATTCTCATCAGCCCGGCGCCTGTGTTGTCGTATCCAGGATTTCAGTTGTCAATGGAGCCCGAGGGGCGATCACGGTGAGATGGCTAAACCTGCTCTCTGGTGTTGTTTGAGACCGCAAGGCTCAAATAATAATACCATGGTTCGCCACGGCAGTAGCGGCCCACCTCAATGTTGGCCCTGACAATGCTGATTGCGCTCATTCTCTTCTTGGGTCTGCCGGGTGCGGTGTTAGGGCCAATTCGGCCGAGTCGGGCGACCTCTTGGCCAAATACGATAAACAGCTGGGGGACATTCTTGAGCAAGAGCGACAACGAAGCGACGAGCCCGAAAAAGATTCCGATGGCCGTCGTATTTTTGCGCCCGTGCCACGTCGCCACAACGCCATGACGGATTGGTATCCATCCGACTGGCGCATCGTCCTACTCGTTTGCTTGGCGTTGTTAATTGCCGTTCCCATTGTCATTTCCAAGATGAAGCCTCGAGTGCTTTAGGCGTAGTCATGCAAAAGGCAGCCCCTTTCGCGTCGTTAGTTTTGCTTGTTCCCCGCATGAGGACGTGCGGGTCAATGTATCTGTTGAGTTTCCGATCGCGCTCCGGTCACGGCGCTTGGATGAATGGTGTAGGCGTGTCTGTGTTTGCCGTTTAATTTCTTGGATGGCCATGGTCCACCTCGTTTTGTTAGCCTGCCCCCCACCCCCCTGCCCTGAGCCAGACCTAGGCGCCTGACAGACTGCCACAGAATCAATTAACCGAGAGTTGCACCATCCAACTTGTTCAAATGATGTCTTCTGCAGGCTGTCACATCTTCCCGCCAAGAAAACCAGGAAAGACAATCCAACACGGCCAAACCAAAAGTGCAAGTGATCATTCACATGTAAATTTTTTTTATTTTTTTCGTCAAAATCGTTTTTATCACGATTTTGAAATTTTTAGGATTGAAGGGAAAGGAAAAAAAAGAAATCATTTAGTGGTGGCGGTGACGCTCGGCGACCACGAAGGATGAGCTTGGTGACGTATGGGTCAGATACCGACTCGGGTTCGGAGGATGAGACGCCAGTTGTGGCTGTTACGTCCACATCAGCCGGCTCACAGGCTGAGGGTGCTCTAAAGCGCACAAGTCCATCAGCACAATTTGAGCCCACATCGTCAGGTAACACACAGACAAGAATATCACCGTCCTCGGGGAGGTCTTCCCGCGAACCTAGTGCCAGCCTGACCCCAGCTGCCGGAGCTACAAGCACAACACAGGGTCAAACACCGGTGGGTCACAAGAATATGGGAGAGCAGCTACCAGCCGTTCGCGTATGCCCATTCGAACGGTCTTTCTCACCAGAACTGTGGCCTGGTTTGTGTAGGAGTCACCTACTCGAACACAAGGTGACCGTGCAACACCGCCCCGCGAGCCTTCAACTCCAACTACAGGTGCGCCTAGGGATGCTTATTTCGTTTGCCTTGCGCCTCCTGGGACGCGCATGAATCCGACGCTCATGAATCGTTGGGTGTTGTAGCACCCCTCGGAGCAGCACGAACTAGCTTGCTGGGCCGCCTCGATCCCAGCTTGTTGCCACCTCGCCCAACCGGTACGGCTAGGGTCTGCGCAAAATGGGATCATTATGTAGCTGCGAGTCACCGAGCTTGGTTGACTCACTCGAATATTTTCCTCGCATCTCGCATCCCACTGGCCAACAGGCGAGGTCGATCCACAGGTGAGCGCCCGCGTGCGGCAGGTACACCAGGCCATGGTCCAGCAGGGCACCTCCGCTGTTGCCTATGTCGAGAACAACAAGCAGTTTCGCAATCCAGGCATTTACGAAAAGCTGGTGCAACGCATGCATATTGATGAATACGGTTGGTGGTGTGGCAACCTTGAACCGGCAACACTCTGTGAGCGGTCCTGACACCGGCGCCTGCCCTTTTTGGCCTTGCTATATGTCATAGCCTCGAATTACGACCCGGCGATCTTTAGTCCCTCAGAATGGCATCAGCCCGGGTTTGCCGACAAGCTTTGTGCGTGGTCGTGGGTGCTGCAACTCGGGCATCGGGAAGCTGCCGGCAAACTTCAAGCTCATACCTTACTTGCAATGTATGCACGGTGTAGACGAGGAGCAGCAGCGCGCAAGCGAGCGCCGTGCAAGCCAACAACGTCAGCGTGCCGAGGTGAGAAAGGGCGCTCTGCGTGTTGATGGATCAAATTTGACTGGAAGACAGGAAGAAGCAGCGCTTCGGGTCTCATGGGGGGTGGTTATGCTGGGGCCAGGTGGATTTTGTGTCTGCGAAACGTGGTGGAGGACCCGGAGCGCGTGCCTTTGCGAGCCAAGAGGCTTTTCAGACGGCGTCCAAGCGGGCCAAAGAGATTTTGGAACGAGCAACACGCCGGTAGATGAGCGGAGGCTGCATCGCACGGCAGATGCTCTCCTGAAATAAAGAATTCAAGGCTGATCCTTCAGCACTAAATGAATTTCTCTGGTTTATCGAGGACGAAATCTCGGGGCATGGACTACGCATTGAGGTACTCGCTACGCATTGAGGTACCCACTGCTACCATGACTTTGCAGCACATCAGCGCACAGGCTGCCATTCAGCCCGGCGGCGTCAAGTGAGCCGGCATAACCGCTCGAAATGCCCGAGTCTGAGGTGTGGTGGCTGTAACAGGGTGTTGATGCACGGCTCGAGCGTGATACGCTGGCGTGGAGAGGACAGGCGGCTCTGCCGCGTAAGAAAACAACAGTGACCGATACATTGTCGCACTTGATGTTGTGCGAACGCGTGCTGTAGCAGCAAAGGGGGAGAGGGGGGTAGGGATTATGAGTGGATCATATTGGCAAAAAGTCTGGGAACGGAGCGGGGAAAGAGAGAAAGAGAAAGAGAAGGGGAAAGAAGAGGCTTCAAAAACGCGTTCGTAGTATGCCCACGTACAACTGCAGGGCACACTCGACCAAAGCGGGCGCTGGACAGCAGTTCTTGGCAAGGCTCTAACATGGATCGATGTGGACGTGAGAGTTCCGTTCCGGGTGTGGTGAGCCAGGCGTGCGCATATCGCGCTGTTCGACAGTAAGCACTCAGGATGCCGACCCACCTCTCGGACAACGACGCCGGCTGTCGCTGGGGGCAGGCAGTCCCAAAGTCCATCAGATGCCATGATGACAAAGTCATCCTGGTGTTGGGTAAAACGAAACAGGGCATGCAAGAGGCAGGCATGTTCGACTCATTGAGTTGGTTGGTTGGGAAAAAAAATTCCAAAAGCACAGGGGACCTTTAGGTCAATAGGTTTACCTCGTCAGGCTGTCTCAATCGGTGACAGGTGTGGGGGTGGGGGTCAACGATGTAGGCCTCTGAGGCGGGGTTCCAGCTCCAAAAATCGCCCAACGCTCGAGTCATATTGAGAAAGGGCACAGACACGCGCTGGCCTGAGCTAGCAGAGAGCCGGGTCCAACACACCCGCATGGCACTGATGCGACCGCCACAGTTGCGGATGCGCCGAACTTCCGAGGGAATGTTTGGTAAATGGGAGACAGTGAGGCACTGAGGTTCATCGGCACCGAGGCAGTAGTAGAAGGCATCACTGTCGCCCACGTTGGCAAGAAAAAGGTCGTGGCGCGTGCAAAGGAGAAGGGTCGCAGTGGTGCCCGCGGTTGAGTAGTGTTTGTCCCGGCGTTGTGGCCAAGAACGGTAGAGCTGGTGCATGGCCTTGTGACAATCAACGAAAGCAGCGTCTAGCGCTCGCTGTACGATGCGATGGGCTTCTTCTAGCTCGCCTAGCTTGTCAAGGTGGGCTGACAGGCTTGATGTGGGCACGTCGGGCGGCGGCGAATTGAGCATGCTTATTGCCACTTTCAAATCTTCGTTCCGGTGCAAATATCCCCAAACGTGGTGTGAGGCAAAGCGCGCCGCCTGTGATGGCATGACAAACATTCTTGTATGAGATGAATCGGCGACTTCCCAGCGAGAAGCACAGCACCGGGGGCCGAGGCTCGTCACATGGTCGACCCATTTCCAGCGCCCACCTCGTGGCCACCATGCCCATCGAAAAGAGCAAAGCCAGCCCAGCCTTCAGCGCTCGATTGCGTGACAAAATCTTGCATATAAGGGCTGCGGGATGGAGCAGTGCCAGCAGAACAATCGGTGAGATGCGCTCGTCACGGTCTGGGAGGTCACACGGAGCCAGCCCCGCTGTCATCAGCACCTTACCGATCACCGTGGTCGCAAGAGGAGCAGGCAATGGCATGCTGCCATTCGTCATCCACAGGAGATACCGGGTTTGGGATCAACATCGGGGTTGCCTGTTGCTTTGCTCTCTTGCCGAGGGGTTCAGCGTCGGGGTCTGGTGCAGTGTGCTCCATGATGATCGTGCTACGGCAACAGCGGTGCTCGGCAAAACTTGGTCGGATGAATGCCGGTGCGACTCAGAGACAGGCTCAGGTTATGAGCATGATGTCTGATGTCCGCTGAGTGTCGGCTTCCGACACTTGCTGGGGTGGTGGTGTTGACAATTGGGTCCTTGCAAGAATGCTGGGTGGCAGCGCCAAAATAATCAAATTTCGAGACGGTTCCGACTGGGAAGACACACACACACGCGTCGAGATTGAAAGAGGGGAGGCACAGCAGCGGCGTCGATTGGTCAACCACCACCAAACGGGCATCCGCAACGACAGCAGCCACGGCAGCACAGACACCGGCAAATGGCACGAGCAGCAGGGCATCACCTCGCCACATGTCGAGTGCGTGTGTGTGTGTGTCACACAGCGAGCGCGCGAGAGAGACACAACACACGAACACACACGGTCTCATTCCGTTGTCAGATTGGGATTTTGGCGCGCAAAAAAAAAAACCGTTTCAAGCGGACACGGCCAAAAGCCGCTTAGAGCGGTAACAACCTCACGACGTGAGACAACAACAGCTGCTTACCAATACGTTGAAACCGCTTGCCTCGCACCGTGGTTACGACAATAACCCATCCCCTCACCAGCAGCAACTCAACCTGCACACGCTGACAATTCAAAATGTCAGAATCTGACATTTTCTTGGCAACAACAACAACAAGTGTGTGTGTATGCCGCCATCACAGAGACACAGAGAGAGAGGGCGGGAGAGAGAGAGAGCGAGAGGGCGGGAGCTGATGACTGCCGGGTTGGAAGGGGTTGTTGATGTGATGTCGGATCAAGCTCATGGGCGGTGCGTTTGAGTGACAGGGAGGGGGGTGGTGCAGATGTCCTGTAGAGTCGTCGTTGTGACGACATGGCTTTTCCATGGAATGCGCCCGAGCCGTACGTCTGCGTGCGCGATCAAAGGCCTCAGTTCGACCAAAAGCTGGTCTTCGTGTTCCTCTTGCCGATTGCCAAACGTTTCATTCATCTGCCCCTCACCCGCCTCGCGTTCCTGGTGTGACTTCAAGCCCTTCGCGGATCGGGCGGCATGCGGAGCCCCTGCCGCCCATTGCCACCCCTCCGCCTGCCAGCCGAGATGAAGGATCGTATTCGGATTCAGCCAACCCGATGCCCGGTCGCGCCACCATGCCCTCTCATGCTCGCACCAACGTAAGTCATGTCCTCATGCTGCTGCCAATGCAGTGTCCTTGCAGGCCAACCAGAACAGTCTTGAATGTGCGCGCGTCTTGGGATGAATGAGCCCACGTCTCCAAGACGCGCACACACGCGCGTGCACCTGATGTTTTACACCGCTCACTTTTCAGACAATGCTTCGCTCGTCAATCATGATGGGTTTTTTTTTCTCCACAGCTGGATCATCTGGCCCATGCCCAAGCCTCTACCGTTCGTTACTTGCGTGAGGCGTTGCAGCTTCAGACCGATATTGATGAACGCTTTCAGGTCAGCCATTGTTCACTTCTTTTTGCGCTGTCCTGCCAAGTATGGCATGCTGTCATCTCATACCAATCGGCGAGTTGGCCGACCCACGATTTGTAGCTAAGCCAAGATGTCTGGCGGGACGAAAAGGCAAAGCGCGCTTTACTCAAGGATCACGTGGCCTCCATCACCGCCATCGTTAAGCACATCAGGTTTGGCCTTCCTCCTGGATTGGATGATTGCTTTGTGCAAGACCGTGGTCGATTCATGTCTGACCCCGTCGCAACCTCAGTCGAGAGCTGGAGCGGGTTGAGCAAAGCGTTCAAGAGCGCATGATGGCCACCCACGAAGCTGTGGCGCAGCTGCGCATGCGACAGGACGCAGGTCTGGGCCGAATCGGTTGGACAGAAGCCCAACAAGAACACATCAACGCCTCAATCCGTGAAGCTGTCATCGGGCTCCAGTCCGTCCAAGGTTCTCATCAGGTGCATTTATACATTTGACTCGTCAAAAGCGCAGCTTCCAACTTGCTCGACGTGCACTCTCACGCACCCACATCGGCGCCTTGATGCCTTACTTACGCATAGGCGGCCATGAGCGAGCAACTTCGCCGCGTTCAAGGGCGCCTCGAAGAGGTCAATTCCAAAGTACGCGGGCCTTCTTCAGCGCTCGCATGGTTTCACATGGTGCCGCGCCCACCGTGGATTGCTCATGTCCCATGCAAATCGTTGTGCCAGGTGCAGCACAGTGGTGCCCAGGCAGAACATACGGGGTCCCTGTCCGCTGCACGCTTGGCCGGGCTCCAGGACGAGCAAGCAGCACTCAGTACTCGCCTGGCCGGGCTGGAGGCCCGCCTGCAGCAACAGCAACCAGCCATTCACAGCGCTCACGACGCCACCTCTGAGCTTGAGCGTCGCCTCGTTCATCAGGAGCTGCAGAGTGCGACGACCGTAGAAGATCTCCGCCGAGCTGTAGCTGATCAGGCGGACCGCCAAGTGAGCGCTCTGCAAGCCCTGCGAGATGAATTAAGCCGCCAAAGGCGCGAGGACCAAGAAACAGCCAAGGCTGCTTTAGATGCTGGTCTTGACCAGCTGCGCCAGGCCCTACAAACACGCATGGATAAGTTTGAGCAGGAAACACGCGACGAACTAGACCGGTTAGTAACCGAACAACGCCAGCAACGTGCTACTCAAGACGACACCCGTTCTTCCCTCGAGGCTGCCATCGACAAGCTACGCGAGAGCATGCGCAACAAGGTTTGCAGCTTGCTTTCCTACAAAAGTATAAGTCTTTGAAGTCTGGCTTCCTTTCACGACTCGTTTCTAAACCTCTCAGGTGAAGGCTCTAGAAAAGGCGCTGATTGAAGCCGCCGAAACGAGCACGGCCATCTCGGAGGTATCGGATCTTCGACATCAAGAACTCAACGCACGTCTCAACAAGGTGCCTTGACCTCATCCCTGCTCAAGGTGTTTGTGGCCAAGCCCCGCCGGGTTCTGAGATTGCTCACTCATCTCTCCTCGCCGCTTGGGTTGGTCACTGCAGTTGGTCCAGACGGTCGTGGTTTGTTGAAGAGATGACCTGTCCACTTTCTGACAACTGTGAGCGCTTACTCGCTGTGCGAGAAGCGCTTTCTGTTTTTCAAGGCCTCCTTTCGTTTCGCATTGCTGGGCTCTTCTCGAGAGTGTAGAGGATTTGCTTGGTCACAATCAACGGATATGGGAAAACCATGCTTTCAATTCGATGAGATCAACCAGATGGAATCGAACCAGCACGCCTGCTCTGAACCCGTCTATGCCGAAGCGTTGGCATTGGAAGAACGCTGGACAATGGCAGCATTTTGAAGGTTGAGCTGAGGCAATGGCAGAACACCCTCTTGTCCAGCGCGCGGCGGCAGCTCAAAGTAGCCCACATGTACCAGGTATGCCAAGTACACGCCCATCAAATTTTGTACGCTTGAGGGTCGCTCCATCTTGGAGCCCTTGAGGGCCGCAGCAAGGTTGGACCTATCCAGTTGCGATTCCATGCAGGGGGAAAAACAAATTAAAACCGGGAAAGAAAGGGCAAGGAAGTGTTTGGGCATCTTCAAACGCGCACACAGAGTGTCTCAGGACTCCTAGACGGGACGCACCAATCCAGTTCAGGGGTCTTGGAACGGCTGGGAAGATCATCCAGCACAAAGTGCAAAAGGGGGTACAGCGCATTGTTGCGGCTGCTCAGCGTCAAGCGCATCAATGCATCCTTCCAGAACGGGTAGTCCTATGGAAGCACGTAATGAGCCCACTGCCTGGATTGACTAGGCCAAAGCACAGATGCGGATAGCAAAGCTGACGACAAACCACAAATTCTACGTTGTAGCCATAGTCCTTCAGCGCGGCAAAATATTTTTTGAAGGTGAAGCTAAAACGATTGGGAGAAGCATCAGGAAAATGAGCAGGCAGAAAGAAACAAAAACCAAAGAGCAAAAACAGGTTGTTTTTGCGTTTGGGGAAAAGGGACACGGCATCAAGCAGACATGGCATGCTCTTCCTTAAAGGCAAAAGAAGGTCGAAGTGGCGAAGCGTACCGTTCGGGTTGCCAAACGTGGTAGCACCGGCCCGTGCTGCCCGGCTTGAAGGCAGTTGTCACGACTGCCGAGGCCACAAAGTCAACGCTGCACATGTTGATGCGGTTGAGGATCTTGGGCGCCTGTCCCAGCTGGATGCACCCCTTGAGCAGGCGAACCAGATAGTCATCGATGTTGGTTACGCCAGTGCTGGTCGAGAGACAAACAGGGGCATGACAAGCGCAGGAGTGAGCATCAGATGCCAATTCTTTCCAACCAGCCACATGCAAGACGGCATATTTATCCAGGCAACAACAGCAAGCTGTACCGTGAGTCACCCGTGACGTAGCCCGGGCGGAAGATGGTGGCTGGCACGCCGCGAGAGATGGCCTTGAGGACCAATTGCTCAGCCACCCACTTGCTTTGAGCTGTGGGTTTGACAACGCAACAAATTCAAGATGACAGCATGCCACAATCAAGTCAGCTTGGCACTGTTACCGCGATTGCAGCCAAACAGGATTGCATACCGTAACCAACGGAGAGACCAGAGCCGCCACTCAAGTCATCAGACTCTGGAATGGGCGTCGTCTGGTTGATGTAATGCCAGCTGTCAAACACTGAGGTTGAGGAAACAAAATGGAAGCTAGCCAGGCGTTTACCGGCCGTAGCCAGACGCATCGCCTCCACGGTGCCCGTGACGTTGAAAGGTTTCAAGCGGGAATACGGGTAAACCCAGTGTACCACAGCACCATTGTGGATCACCATGTCCACCTCCTCTGCCAAACTGTCAAAGTCACTTCGACTCAAGCCCAGGAGCGGACGACCGAGATCACCAATGACCACTCGCACGCGTGATGCGTACGAGGCATCCCACAGAAGGTGGTTTCTACGCCAAAACAGGGAAAAAGAAAGAAAACGGCATGAGGCAGTCAGCAACGAGTGGAGAGGGAGGCAACCTAAGGGCGATCAGAATTGTATTGGTATCCAGCACGCAGGGGAAGCGCACACGCACTCCATGTTTTGAATGAGACGCTTGCGACCATCCTCTGGGTTGCGGCCGCGGACGAGGTTAACCACGCTCAAGTCTGGGTTGGCAGTCAAAAGCTCGCGCAGCAAGAACGCTCCCAAGAAGCCCTACACACCCAAACCGATTTCATAAGGTCAGCACTAGCATCACGCTCGGCCATAGGTAGCGCCTCAGATCGCAATTGTCACCGACTGACCGTGGCACCGGTGAGAAAGACGACCTTGGGTACATCAGGTGCTGCCTCCTTGTTCTTGCCCGTGATGGTGTTATCCAAACGAAGCTCCTGCTCCAAGTCAATGGCCTCTGCGTGATCGCGGCTGTTGGTGTTTTCCACCACGGCAGTCGAGTTTTCCTCCAAAGCAGCGGCCAGCTGCCGGATAGTGGGGTACTGGTACAGAAGGTTCATGGGCATATCCTAATCAAGAATTTACAGCGTTCCCTGAGATGCCACGGGGACCGCGTGTTTGCAAGAAAACAAACCCGGTTTGCTTTGTTTGGCAGGGGGTTCTAGTTTTGTCCCCCTTGCAATACTCCGGGCATGCATTTCGAAGCATTTTAACGCACCTGCTTGAGCTGACTGCGCAATTGAAACGTAAGTCGCGTGGCCAAGATTGAATGGCCACCAACTTCGAAAAAGTTGTCATCGGGATGAACAGGGCGGCCTAGATAGCAGCGCACAGTTTGCAAGAATGAGCTCGAATACGATAGGTTTTGTCATTGCCACGAGCTGCCCCGTCCCCAAGTACTTACCAAGGGTTTCCTCCCACACGTTCATGAGTTGCGACTGAAGCTGGGTGAGCTGCTCATTGACCTCCTTGCGTGTGCGGTTCAAGAGCATGACAGCCGTATCAGGGAAGGGCAGTTTGGCCTTGTCAATCTTGCCATTTGGCGTCAAAGGCATGGCTTCAATCGGGAAGAAAACTGTCAAACAGGTAGAAGAACCAAGGCGATAATGATGGCACGTGTGAGCAAGGGCAACAGGCTGAGATAGGCTCTGACACGAGTTGCAGAACACACGCTTGAAGCAACCACTTGGCAATCGGGGGCGGAAAGAATACACCATGCGATAACACGCAAAATTGGCAAGGCACCGGCCTCAACCACCAGCTTGAACCACCATCGTCTTATGCGAGCGCCTGCGAATCGATGAGGCAAAACGTACTAGAGGGCACTGAGTAACTGGGCAATTTGCCCTGCAAATGACGACGCAGTGCATCCAGATCGTACTGGTCCTTGACCTAAGAAAGAGGTACACAGAGCACGAGGCCCGAACAATTAGGCATGGCGAGCGGGAGTCAAGCTTGACCACGTGGGAAGTACCTTTGGGCCCCTCAGGAGCACAGCGATGGGCAACCAGCGAGGCGGAAGGCGCTTACCAAGGGGACAAAGTAGGAAATGATCTGCTTTTCTTCGTTTTTGTCACGTCGCACAAGCGTTTTGTTTTCACGCACATCCGGGTGTTGGCCCAGGAAGGTATCAATCTCCCCGAGTTCGATGCGAAAACCGCGAATCTTGACCTGGTCATCAGCGCGACCGATGCACTCCACATCGCCGTTATGCAGATAACGACCCAGGTCACCAGTTCGGTAGAAGCGGTCAGCCGGTTCGTTGGTAAACTGAGGGAGTGTCATGCAGAACAGGCCATCAGCGCTTCGTAGTATGCTTGCGAGGTGACGGTCATGCATTGGCAAGCATCGATAGGACTCACCGGGTTGACGAGAAACTTTTCGGCCGTGGCCTCAGGTAGCCCCATGTAGCCGGCACTGGAAGCAGTGACGGCTGTGAGAAAAGGAAGCCTTTTGCTCGCCATGTGCCCGACCACGCCACTGCACAGGTCTGAATGATGTGGGCTTACCTGAGATGGGGCGAGCGAACGAAAAGCTCGGCCAATTCACCGACACCAGCCATCTGCATTTCTTGATTCAAGACGAGCAATTGCACATCCTTCATACCGCGACCGGCAGGGAGAATCTATGCATGTATGGTGCATTTCGTTACAGGCCGTGTGAGATCAGAAATTCTCCGTGCGCCGATGACCTCCAACATGCGGTTGGGTACAAGTTTGTTTCACTTACCTCCTTGAAGAGCTCAATAGAGGAGTCGTTGGGCACTTTCTACTCAGCGTGAAGAAATGGCAAGGTCCGCCCAACAGTGAGCACCGTGCACACATCAACACTTGCCAAACAAGGAGCGAGCGGAAAACACTTGCACACACCAGGTAGGAGACAGCACGCTGCGTCTCAGTGGTGCCATACATGTTGACTGCGATGAGGTTGGGCGCCAGCCGTTGGAGACGCTTCACGTCACGCCTAGCAAACACGAGTGCAACTTGTGAGTCGAAAAGCGGGCATGTGTGTAGGTGGGAATCAGGGCGACCGAGTAAGCCGTACTTGGTGAGAACATCACCAACAAAGAGGGCCACCCGCAAAGATGGCATCTCCGTGACGGCGTTGGCGGTCAGAAGCTGACCCATGGCAGGGGTCAGATGGGTCACGGAAACCTGTAGACAGGCCAAACACACACGCGACACTAAGTGACGGCGACTCGAACGGACGGGACTAGACAGACTGAAGATGATTGGCACGAGCAGTTGGGCCGCAGGCGCACCGCATGTTCGGCGACCCATTTGGCCAGAGCACCAGGTGTCATGATGTCATCAGCTGTAGCACGTGAACAATCGGACTGGCATGAGCTTTGCAATCCATTGCATCATGGCCTGGACAAATCGCTTTCCTGATACGAATGTGAGTGCAGAATCATGCTCATCATACCATCAGGGATATGGATGGCTGCTCCAAAGAAGATGGGCGTGAAGACGTCGCGCTGGATCGGATCGTGCGCAATGCCCGAAAGCATGGAAAAGCTAGCCCAAACAGTGGGCACAATGCACATGAGAAAACTCGCGCATAATGTAGACACGATCAGGAGAGGACGGCAACATACCGATCTTCGGGATTGAGTCCAAACTCTTGTGACATCCAAGGGTAAAAGTGGGTCAGCGAAATGTGACGACCACGGACGGCCTTGGGCTTGCCCGTGCTAACGCAAAAGCAACAACCAGCCCATGGGCAAACCATGACGCGCATCAGCAGGGCACGTCAAACGTGACATGGTTGTGGAAAACTGAGCAGATGTGTGAAAGCAGGTTTTCCAGGCGGAGGTCTCTGACCTGCCTGAGGTAAAGGAAAGGGTGCCAATGTTGTCCGGGCCCACTTCTACCCCAACTGGTGCGGTGGACTCGCCTTCCAGCGGCCCCAAATCACCTACAGCATGGGAGTCACCAGGCGAGGCCAACGTCAAGCCCCACACCCGGTCGTTGAAATCCAAAATGCGGCTGTCAGGGCCAAGGCCATGGGACACGGCGCTGTACCTTCCATGGCGAGACCGTTGAGCTGGCAGCGCAGATTGAGTTCCTTATCGATGTAGGCCTGCACCTCCTCTCCAATGGGCCCGGCAGCAGCTAGCGACACAATGCCACGCGGCTGCGCGACCTCCAAATAGACCGTCTACAGGCAAAGAGAGTGAGAGAAACACAGCCTGTTAAAAGAGGAAAAACAATCAAGGCCAATAGCCTGCCATCAAACAAGCAGCAGAAGCCATCCATTCGTTGTTGGCACGCTTACCTGACGCTCAATGGGATACGCTGGATCGATCACGGTAAAGGTGGCGCCCGACTTTATACACGGAAGCAACGTCAAGAAGACATGAAGAAGTGAAGAAGCGGTACGGTCGTTGCAAGACAACCTTGCACTCCCAGCCAAAACAACTCAGCCTCAGCGGTGAGAAGCAAATACTCGGCGCCGCAGGCTCGGACCTTGAGGATACCCATGATGCCCACCACGAGGGCTGAGCTACGGTGCGCATACAATGCCACGCGCTCCTCCTTCTGGATGCCATTGTTGACCAGGTAATGGGCCAGACGGTTTGAGAGTTCATCCACCTGCTTGTAGGTGTAGACGACATCGCCGTGTACCAACAACGGGCGCTCAGGAGTCCGGGTTGCATGCTTGGAGAGGAAAGACTGCCGAACCATGTCATGTGAGAGACGAACAGTCGGAAAAGGAATTGGTACGTCCGTTTGGGATGACCAAGGTACGTGGGCGGGGGTGGTTGTACGTACAAATGCCGGGCCTTCCCATGTGTCGTCAAGACGCTTGTTGGGGTCTGGCAGCACGTTGGTGTCGCGATGAGTCGCTAGGCTGCAGGCTTGCAACTACGGCACAGTTGCATGCAGGAAATGAGGAAAAGGCTTTGATGAGCGACTGAGTGGGTCATGCAGACCCGACAATGAAGCATGACTGCCGGCCAAGTATGCCAATGCAGTGGCAATCGAGTCACTCACGGTGGTCTCCGGAGCCTTGACGATGCGCAGGGCCACTGATTCAATCTGGCTCAAAGTGGCTTGGATGCGTGGGCGAGCGAACAAGACCTAGAGACGGGGAGGTGATGAGAGCACGCCTTGAAGAAAAAAGTGGCGCAGATTCGTCCAAGCACATACACACCGAGTTGTAGACAAGACGCAGACGCAGGGGTAGAAGGCGCTTGGCGTCGGCAACCTAAAGCCGCAAAGGCCAGGACAATGCGTGCGTGCGTGCGTGTGTGCGTGCGTGCGTGTGTCAGCTTCTGTCAAGCCAGCTCAAGATCGCAAGAGGGAGGGATTCGGGGGCGTGCCTGTTCGACGAAGACGGTCCAATCACATGTGGTGGCCCCGAGCGTTTCAGCATTGGAGTCGACGGCGTTGAGGATTCGCACGGGAAAGGGGCTTTCACCGTCAGTGTTGGGGTTGATGCTGCCCGCACCAGCTCGAGCCGCAGTGATGCTTTGGAGAAGGTCGCTGAAAGGCACTTCGTGCTACACCAGCACATTGATCAAGTGAGTGTATGCATACCAATCGGTGGCAGGTGCAGAAGGGAAGCTCAAGGCGTAAGGAAAGCTAGTTGTAGATGGCTCCCTGCTTTGTGCGGGGTTCAGGGGCGGCGCTAGACGAGGAGCAGGCGTACCTGTACGGCAGTTTGTTCGGCTTCAAGAACTTTGTGAACAACCTCGCGCAGCTGCATCTCTCCAATAAGATCAACGCGCAGAACCAAAGGGTTGAAAGTGGAGCTTGACGTGCCAATGGGGAGGCATTCTTCACGGGTGTACTGTAGTACGTAGAGAAGAGAGAGGGAAAAAAAAAAACTCATTAGAACTTGCGGTGTGCACGCGCATTAGCGCACATGCCATGGGGATATCCGGACAGACCTTGTGCATGAGAATGGCCACGGTTGCAAAGATGATGGAGAAGGGCTGAACCTGCTCCTGCATACTGTACTGGAGAAGAGCACGGCACACGTTCTCGGGCAAGTCAAGAATCTCCTCCGCCTCAGCGTACTGGTAGGCGCCTGATGCCGAGCGAGGGTAGTCAGTAGGCAGCTGCATCTTGGCCGTGGGCTCTAGGTTTTGCAGCCACCAAGACATCTTGTCTGTCACTTTGACATCCTGTGACGAGGCAAGGACGACAACCAGGTGAAAAAAAAGAGACAGAAGCGCCCAGTCAGTCTCGACAGGGACGTACGCCAGCGGTATCCATGGCCGTGGTTGACATTTCGACGCGCTTGCTATGAGATGAACCAGGGCACTGAAAGCACCGCGACGTGTACGTCTCGGTGCTTGAGACCTGATCTGACGGGGCGCACAAAGGATCAGCTCTCAATCAGTCAATCAGCCAATCAGCTAGTCAGCCAGTCAGCCAGTCAGCCAGTCGGTCGTCTGGTGTTGAGCCAGAAAACGGAAATGCAGACGAACCCAAACAAAATCATTTCAACAACTTTAGCGCTACATCTTCGCTCAATATGTCGTCTTGTTTCAAGCTTGTATGTGTTAACAGATCTGCATCAAGTCCATGTATATCAGCATGAAGCACATCATTCTCTGACTTTCATGCAAGTGGCTCGAGACGTCAGTGGAGGGGATTGTGCAATGCTACCCGAGCTGCACACACTCAACAACATGTGCACGTGGCAAACGCTCTTTCGTAGTCTTCTTCAAATGTTTCTACAGTTATTAACACGATCAACGTGATTATTTCTGCATTATCTCTCATTATCGCCGCGTTTATGCCGTACATGCTGCTCAGAGCGGCTGATGTCAGACATGAGAATTTAAAAGTGTGATAAATAGCACAGTGTCGCATTTGCCAAATTTTGAGGAATTTTTTTTTTTTTTTTTTTTGAATTGAGCGCCTCGACTCGTTGAGTGCCAGCGCGCGTCAGCTCCGCACACAAGCGTGGCGATCTGGCTCGGGCAGTATTCTTGGTAGTTGTCCATACGAAATTAGGATCATGCGCTTGCATCTTTTGTTGCTGGTCGATGTTTTGGCCCTACTCTTTGCCATGGCCACGCTGTGGCTCATCTACCAGACGTTCCAGGACAACCACCCGGTTGTCGGGACACACGACGGCTTGGATAACAACCCCTACGACGCCTATGACGCTTACGGTGATTATGATCCCTCAGAAGTGAATGGATTTTAATTCCCCCAAGCCTGGTCCCGGGCCATTGCCCCATGAGGTGAAAAGTCAGAGCTTGGGCCAAGTTGCAGGTTGGTTGACGGTCGAACTCGCGTAGCTTCAACTCCCCACGGACTTGATCGAAACCCCCTAGGACTTGATCAATCAATTATACGCGAGCCACCATCGACACCCGCTCTGCCCTCATGGCTGAGCACTGATCCAGGCCTCCTGCAACGCAGATGCAGTTGACGCTGCCCATGAGCCGCGCAGCAGTGCCTCGTCATGCGGCTGTACCGCCCTGTGTTTGATATTCAAAAGATCCACATGCATCCAAGTCAATCACCAAAAGCGCAGTCCGAGGCACAGTGGCATCCCACGAGCCCTCGATCAACCTCACCCCCCGCCCCCATCTCGGGCCACAGACCATGGGTCTTGAGTTACGGACCTTTTTTGCGCCACCTCCTGCTCCAACTCCTCAGATTTGACTCCAGCTCGTTGCAGCAGCGTTGACGGCAACCTGGAAGGAAAAGAGCAATTCACCGGTTTCCACAGCCACCGATTGATCAGCACTGCACGATTGTTCTTGTCGTCATCGCAAGCAGCAGCCAATCGATAATTTGAAGAAGAAGAAAATAAATCGCTTGGATCCGGGTGAACTTACTGTGCCAGCCGAGCCACGTTGAGGCCGTAGCTGCGCGCTGCCAGACCTTGCCGCAATTGATAAAGAAAAGAGATGTGGTCATTGGGTCCATCCTCGTCCTGTTCGCACACCCCAGCCTCAATGTGAGACGCCATCCGTCCACAAATACTTCTCTGCCAACACCCCAGCCCGCTCACCTCCTGCAGAAAAGCCATGTGATAGCATCGCACGTGCTCTGGAAACGCGGTCGCCAGCTCCGCCAGTGCCGTGTAGTGCGTCACAAACAGCGACAAGCATCGCACCTAAAACGTACACGAAGCATGTTTGAAATGAGCATGCGAGCCTTACGCAGGCACCTGGCACCTGTCAAAAGTCAGGGAGGATGATGACACTGACTCGAGTGACCAAATGCTTGAGGGTGGCATAAGCAATTGCCAAGCCATCGTGGGTGCTGTCAGTGAACCGATTCCAGTAAAAAGCAAGTGAGGTATCGTTGGCTCAGACAACTCAGCAGGGGCGGGTGGCATACCAACGCGCCACTTGTGTTACGCCTTGGTCGACATGACCAACCTCGTGCCTCGACCCAGCTCATCAAAAATCACCAAAGACCTGCAGTCAGCAGCAAAATATGAGGAGGGACATGACAGGTCGCTGGATAGCACGAAGACCTTACCGCGGTGAGGCGGTGGCCAGGGCATCGCTGGCCTCTTTGAGCTCCAACTGAAACGTTGATTGGGCCTGGAAGATGGCATCACCTGCTCCCATCCTGCATGGGGCCCAGTCAGACCGTCTTGTCAGATGCGAGACATCCTGGCGATGCGAAACACATCACGCCGGCACTGACCTGGTAAAAATTGCATCCAAGGGGCTGAGCCGAGCCTTGGTAGCCGGCACATATGAGCCCAACTGCGCCATGATGGCAATCATGGCCACCTAGAGTTGATGCATCGATGTATATAAGCCACACGAGGAGCTGGTTTGTGCATGGCTCTTTTGAGGCCTCTCTCAAGAAGAACGAGGGGTTTTTTTCTGACTGCAGGGTGCACTTGCCTGGCGGATGTACGAGCTTTTGCCGCCCATGTTGGGGCCGGTGATGAGCATGGCATCTCCCGACTGGCACCCCCACAACGAAGTATGACAAAGTGTGAGCACCTCCTGCAAGCCAGCAGCCTCGCCCGCGCCAAGCCCTAGAATGAGTCACGACTTACTTTGAGATGACATCCATTCGACACATACTGGCGCGCCGACAACAGTTCCGATACGGGGTGTCGCCCGGCCTCAATCTCAAGAACTGATCCCTCATCCACTGCGATCAGGGCAAAGCCGAGGTCGAGTCAGCGAGCCGTGACAATTGTTGAAACATTGCTGCTTCGCCTGTTCAATATGCTTGAGGCATGGCACCGCCCTCACCAATCTCTGGCCTGCAGTAGCCATCACGCTGCGCAACGTTTGTCAGAGACTGCAAACAATCCAGCATGGCCAGATGCCCGATGCCCGCCATGATGACATCAAAGTGCTGATTGAGATCACCTATGATTGCCGTTGCACACAATATCATAACCCTTGTCATGAGCAGCGGGCATGCAGCGCTCCCAGGAGGCAAACTGGCTACTCACGCATGAAGCGCATCCAGGCCTCATTGGCTCCCAATGTGAGGCGTTCTTGGGTTTGTGCACGCAGCTCCAGCTGCATTGATATCGAGTGAGGTTGACAGTGCGCTGCTGAATGCAAACAAATGCAAACGACGGCAGGGACTATCTCGATACGTACGTTGTGTTGGATAAAAGGGGAGCGATAGCGAGACATGGTCTTGGTCGCGCTGATCTTGAGCCAGTCATGGGGTATGCGTCCAACCTGCTCCGTCAGGCCAGGACGCAACGCACGCGATTAAGGAAGGACCAGGCGGAACCGGTGATATTTTCCGGCCAGTCCCGAGAACGGGCAACGGCCATACCTCCTTGTTTTTGACCTCAATCAAATACTCTTCTCCCGACACCTACATGTGCCCGGAGGAACACAGAACAGCCACGCATGCGCCCAGTCAGCAGGGGTAACCAGATCGACTTTGCTGTTTCGCGCCAGCTCGACGCCACAGCACTTACGGAACGATACTCCAAATCCGGCTGCTTGAGTAGTTTGCGCAAATCAAGCAGGTGTCCATCGATGTCGTGGTGAATCTTGCGCACCGTCTCATGCAACTGTTCTTGGTCTGGAAAATAGGTATCCTCGGCAAACATGGTGGCCTGCCCACACGTCAAGCAAGCGTCATGAGGCGCTAGATAAGCCACAGGGCTAGGAGCGATGCTATTGGAGCCTTGTTGATGGCTTCATTACTAACCTTGTCATTCTTGACTGCGCTGGCCACATTCAACTTGAACAAAAAGGTCCGAACAACGCCAAAATGCCGGTGCATGGCCTGGCCATGTTGAACATTCGTTGAACGCACAGTTGGGTTGGTGATGAGCATGAAACTCCCACCACCACCCCCCTCAATGGCATGGGCATGAAAGACTGACAGCGCAACCATACCTCGATGGCCTGATGCACGAGGGCGGGAAGCGTGCTGGCCACAGCCGGCGCCATCAAAACTTCGGTAGCCGTCGCCACGGCGTCGATGGTTTGCAGAGCTTTGACAACATCCGATGGCTTGGCCTACCATCCACGGAAAAATATGTCATATAGCAAAGCGCAACCAGGAAGATTCGCCGCAGCCTTGCACACGCAGCGGGCAACATTGCGGCGGCGACACGTACTCGCTCATGCAGGATACTGGTGGCAATGCGTTCCAGGTCAGGACTCGCGGCCAGCGTTTGCAGCAAGCCTTGCAGCTCCATGGGTTCGGTCAAGAGGTATGCAATGGCATCGTGGCGAGCTCGAATTTCGCTACGGGGGCCAACAAGGCACACCGTCAGGTTGGTCGGCCATCACCAAAGCCCCGTGTGACTTGACACATGATGGACAGCAGTTACCTGGGCTTGATGAGAGGATGGCATAGCCATTTGCGAAGGCAGCGGCGCCCAAAGGGCGACTTTGTTTGATCAAGGGCCCACAGCAGCGAGCCTGTCCGATTGTGGTCCGTTGTGTTGGTCAACACTTCCAGGTTTTGCAATGACGTGGCGTTCAGTTGCAAGGAATCGCCTGCGCTTGTGGAGCGGTTGGTTTGTGCCCGTTGCAGCATCGTGTCGGTACGTGAATCCCACCCGCGTCAGTTCAGATTTCACGTGGCATCGCGGGACTCGATAAGCGGGGCATGTTTTACCCTGAGCCATGCACGTACGTTCGGCCACAAACTTGTCAAGTGAAGCTGCCATGTGAATTGAGTTATCCAGGCGAAATTCCTACCAAAACGAGTTCACCCGAAGTGGTGGCAGCGGGAACGCGTAAGCTTGAGGCTATGGGCAGCACACGGCAAGACTGGGCCTACCTCCAAATGTCCAAATAGGGCCGCAGCACAGCGCACGGAGAGAGGTGGGAGATCGAGGAGGGCAGTCAAAGAAGCATCTGAAGCCGGGCCAGCCGGCGTAGTGCCACGCGCATAGAAGGCACGAACACGATCTGAGGCCCCAACCGCCCCGTAGCGATCAACTGGCATGGTTTCGACTCGGACGCGCACTCGTTGTAGCTCGCAATAGGCGGCAATGACCTTTTTTGTTCGTGCACTGAGATTTGCGGGAACCAAAATCTCAACAGGCTCCAGGTGGGTCAGGCGGGTGTTGAGCTGGGAGCGGGCCAGGTCATCCGAGAACTGATCATGGACTAGACGGCCGGTGCTACAAGACACGCAGAAAAGAGCCAAGGTCTGCTCTGCGGTTTCGTCGGCTGCGGGGGCATTGTCTGCTGTGTTCTGAAGGCCAGAGGCTGCCTTGTTGTGATCTGCCTCTAGGAGGCAGACAAGGTTGTTTTGGTCGTTGATGCCGTCTTCATCAAAGTCATCACCGCAGTCCTCGCCAACCAAGGTGGCCTGGGTGTAGAGGGCATGGATTTCACGAGTGAAGAGCTTGGATTTGTTGTCACCAGCCTTTTTGAGAGCAGCCGTCTCGGTCTGCTTGGCCACGCCCACTTTGTAGCCTGCCGCAACAAGGCGGCGCATGTGGACAAAGAGGCGAGGCACGGGGATGCTGGCGCTGTTAAAGTTGTTGTGACCGTACGCGCAGTAAATCGAGAGAATTTTGGCGGCAATGGCAGCATCTTCGCCAAAGAGCTGGTACTTGTACCCCACCTCGAGCAGCAACAAGGCATCTGGATGTTGGCATTTGATGTCCACAAATTGCTTCTCCAGCGGCGTGAGTTTGGCTGACCGGGCCTGAGCCATGAGTACTTGTCGCACGCGCTGCTGCCGCCGCGCAGCGGGTAGCGCCAACAGCTCCGGTAGCTGTGCCTGCAGAGAGCTGGCATCTACGATTTTCACGCGGGTGGGTGGTGCAGAGGAAAATCGAGGTCGGGTGGACATCAGGACGGGCTGCGGGTCAGCAGCTGATCATGGGCACGAGTGGGGCCACAGAGGTGGTGCTTTGGACGCTTACCATCGGTTGAGGCAGTGGCGGGGGTCAAGGACTCACGCCGTAGGTTATCCAAGTCGTCCACTTGTGGTGCGGGGCTTGCTGTTGGTTGCGAGGCGGGGGACGCTGTGCCCTCACTTTGGCGTTTGGAGCGTTTAGGAGTACTACCAACGTGGCCACGTCGACGACTGTTCAAAGTGGGAGTGCGAGTTGGAGTCAAATCTTTCCAGTCTGGGTCGTGTTCCTGCTCAACGGATGCGTCCAAAAGGTCGTCTTCCGCCTCTTCGGCGCTGTCATCACCGATCAAGATTGACGGCGTCTTGGGGTCGCTCGTTCCTGTGGCCCGTGGGCTACGTGCGTGGCGACCACGAGACCGTGGCTGAGCCAGCACCTCACTTTTTGGTGTTTTGGGGGATCCAGTGCTTGGAACTGCGGCTACGCGGCGTTGGGGCGGTGTCTGCTCGACTTGCGGCTTGGCAGAAGGCGGTGTGACCTGCGGCGGAATGAGATGGCGTGGGCGGGGCAAGTGAGAGATTGGGCTTTGCCTGCTGAGCGAATCAAGCGGTCGCTGCTGAGAAGAGGTGAGGGATGACAACCGAGACTGAGTGTGGTTGGAAACTTGACGCACCAGAGCAGATGGCGCATCCTTCTTGCGGGTTGGGCTCGACTCGGACTTGCTCGTCGAGTGCGCCAGGGCATTGAGGCTGTCGGTATTGACCTTTTTGGTCTTGGTGGGCGGGGCGCCGTCATTAGCACTGCTTCCAGATTTGGCCAGAGCCTTGGCCTTGAAGAAAGAAGATAGCTTGATCTGCTTCCCCATGGCGCCGTATGACGGGCACGACAAAAATCACGTCGCCGCAACAGCTCGTCCTCGACCTCTCACCGCCGTCCAGGGCCGTTTACTAGCCGTTACAAATCACGAGAAAATGCTGACATTCTTGCAAATTAATTTTTTTTTTTTTTTTTTTTTTTTTGGGGGGGGGGCCTCTTTCTCGTGCCTTCCTGTGGTAATTTCACTCTTGCATTACACGACGAGCAGCTGCACACACACACACACATATACACATTCACACGCACGCACGCAGGTTGCGGACTTTGGGCAGCGACCGCAGGCAAAGATGGCGTCCAGTGATCCCAACGAGGATGAATGGGTTGACCTGATGGGCTCGGGTGCTGTCTTGAAAAAGGTTTGTGGATCTGCTCCATCTTACCCTCGTGGCAGCCTGCTTGGGTTGCAGCATCCTCAATGGGGTTGGTCGTAGACTTTGCACGCGGGGCATGGTGCCCGCGCTGACCGAGGCGCCAACGCCACCATTATCTACTCCTTGACCTGCGATGGCAAGGATGTCTTCCGCGACAAGGAACTCCGCTTCCGCACCGGCGAAGGCGATGCCCCCACCGGTACAGTGCTTCTCCCAACCACCACCCCGCATTTCTCTTTCAGCTGCATGAAGCTCTCGCTTGCCCTGATCGTGAAACGCTCCACTTTGTCTCCAGCCCTGGATATTGCCATTCCGATGATGAGCCTGGGCGAAAAGGCATTGATCAAGTCCTGTCGACGTTTTGACCCGTATGTCGGCGGCCATAAGCCTGCCAGCCTTCGTCGAATCGGCTTGCAATCAGAAGCGTGCTCTCACCGGCCGTATGTGCTGGTGTCCCTTGCCTTTTGCTCCAACACAGACTGGAAGGTGCGACTGAGGACTCGGAAATTGTCTATGAGGTTGAGCTCAAAGACTTGGCTTCGGGCGTCGAATACGAGGATATGAGCCCCGAAGACCGCGTTGCCATCGCGTAGGTGCTACAAGGGCTCCATCGTGCTCCATCGTGCTCTTCTGGATCATTCTCTGGTCTGAGGTTCGAAGCCACAGCTTTCTGACAGGACCACCCCTGGTTGTACTGCAATCAGATCACAGCGTCGCGCTAAAGGCAACGAAGCCTATTCGGCTGGAGATTTTGTTGCGGCCGTGTCCTGTTACAATCGGTCTGTTCGTCCGCCCCCAGCTGGCTCATCTCTGACTGCTCTGTGCGTCACCCGAAGCATTCCCTCAGCCGCCTGCTGCTCCGCTTTGACGCTACCATGGCAGGGCGATGGTGGCATTGAACATCTCCGCAGAAAATCCAGTACGCCTGACAAAAAGCCAGAGGCGTGGCGTTTTGTCGCGACCCTTCTCACTTTGACACTTGGCACTGCGCCCCACAGGAATTGCCCGCTGAGCCTGCGCTGCGTCACGAATGCTTGCTCTGCTTCAACAACCTTGCCATTTGTTACATGAAGGTGCCCAAAGAACCCTGCGTGCTGGTTTGGTCTCAAGTACCCCGCCTTCCTCACGACCCTGCCCCTCCACACCCAACAGCTGAACGAGTATCGCAAGGCCATGGCAAAATGTGATCAAGCATTGGAATTGGACGGCCGTAACGTCAAGGCTCTCACGCGCAAGTTCACGGTGAGCCGAGGTCGTGGACTGTCACCACAGCAATGCGTGCGAGCCGCCTTTCACCCACCCCCCTCCCCCTTCATAGTGTACACTTGAGCTGAACCGCCTGGAGGATGCCGAGGAAGTCGTGCAAACTGGTCTCAAGGTCGATGAGGAAGTAAGGCCCATCCCGCCTCTGTAGTGTTTTTTCTCCCTCCAAAAGCGTCCATGATGCCTCCAGAGGCTTCCAATCGCTGGCTACCATTCACTCGTCGCGTGTCCTAGCGGTTCCGTGTGCTTGAGGCCAAGCTCAGGTCAAAGCAGCGTAAGGATGACCGGGAGAAGACCGAGTAAGTTTTCCTGAGCCGGACACCGCGTTTTTGTCTGGTCACGGCTCATGGCAATGCCCCACTTGGTTGGCCCAGCTTGTATAAGCGAATGATGAAGGGATTTGATGACGGCAAGGGCGTTGAAGCAGAGAAAGATGAAGGTATGTCATGCTGCCGCTTCACATGAGGGTTCTGAGTCGGCTCCTTGCAGCCGTACTGTGACGCTGTCTCACTGCATCGCCGTGGTGGTTCCCGGCTCTCACTTTCAGTCAAAAAAACTGAGATGGAGCGCAAAGTTAGCTTCTTTATCATCGTCATCGTGGTCATCTCCATCATCCTAGCCACATTGGGTCTCTTTGCCTGGATGCACTTCTTCCCAGAAGCCTGAAACATCTGATGTGAAGGAATAACTTTCATGCCTAGTCAATGCTCTGCTCGTCTGTTCGCTTCGCAGTTATTTTTGCGCTTTGAGGAAGGCCTTGAACCCAATGTCCATGTTGACTGATTACAATGCCGCGCCCTGCTTGTTGTTCGCCGCTGTGCTGGCGATTGTGGCTCTGTTCCTGGCTATGTGCCTCCCTACCCTCTCTATTCAAGAAGCTCCCTTTTTTTTTTTTTTTTTTTTTTTTTTTGGTTTTTGTACTTTTCCACACACACACACAGTCAAATGCAAAAGTGTGATAAATGTCTCATTTTCATTTAGACCACCCACCATGGCCAAGTCCAAAGCACGGTAAGCACATGTTGAAGTCGGCTGCCTTGGTGGCGGGCTCGCAACGGCAGCGGGGCCTGACAGAGCTCGGAGGTCTTGTGCAGGAAGGGGAAAGAGTGGGATAGTTTTTTTGCGCATGCGAGGAGTGGGATAGTTTGTTTGCGCATACGAGGGACTATGCCTGGGCTCAAATTTGTTTCAATGCATCATGGATTCGCTCACAACCTCCCGGCAATATTCAGGACTATTTTTGTGCGCCTGGTGAGCATGGCTGGCACCGGCTTTTATTACACATATAAGCGCCCACGCCTGGCCGAAAAGATGATCATGCGCAAGTATGATCCTGTTGGTAAGCTGTGCTTGAGATGCATTTTTTTATTTCATTCTTCACAGACGCATCAGATCTCCTCCACCTCAGCCCAAGGGGCCAACTCGCTGCTCACCACAAGACCAGAAAGGCCCGTGCTATTGCTTGAACCTTGAAACTCATCTGATTTTCTTGTATTGCGCTTGGGTGTCTTGTATAACACAGTGCAACGACATGTCCTGTTCAAAGAGTCCAAGTCCAAGTAGGCGCCCATTGCACATCTTGACACCGACACATCCTTCCAGGCTCAAGACTCGGCTTGGCCTCTGACTCCCAAGTTGGATGTGCATTGCACATTTTACTCTCTCAAATGGCCAGCTGAACCGCAACACAGTGTGTGTTTTTTGCTCTAAGTGGCAACCCCGTGTTTTCCCTCGCACTTGCCCCGCCTCTTCGCGTTTGATTCTGTTCTCCTTTTCGGCTCTTGCGCTGCCCGCGGCAGCGTGAGCCTAATGCAATCCCGACTGTGTCTGTACCATGCTGCGACCCGCGGCGCGGTTGTGCTTAGCATAGTCAATCTACCACAAAACAGTCTGCTCATTTCTACAGCTGGGACCTCGATCAGTCTGATACTTATCATTCGATTTTCTACCTCTCTGCCTCTCTGTTCAAGATTCCGGTTGCGCGTGGACAAAGTACTCGTTTGTCGGCGCTCGAATTGGCTCAGCCAAGAATACGTCTGCACTACATGTAGGGAGCCCAGCCAATGTACATTAATGCCAAACGTTTGGGGTCCGTGGCCTCTTGAATCAGCTCATCCACCTAACCGGCAGCAGCAAGCAAAAGATGGGGCAGAAACACTCGGTCAAGGACAATGGCTTCGGCCGCACACACAACAGACAGGGCCGCGTGCCAAAGCTGCCAACCGCTGGCATACCTGGCCCTCGATGGACATTGGGATGAGTCGGGTTGAATCACCCATCTGCTCGTGCATCTCCGACTCGAGCTGGGTAGCGTCAAACTCCGGTTTGCTTGTTTTGCTTCGCTTGGCTTGCTGCGCGCCACCACTGCTTTTTTGCTGTGCTAACACAGCTCGCACGTGTTCCTGCCGCTGGCTCAGCGTGGCCTTCCATTCCGCCACATAAGCCTCAATAGCCTTCTCGCTGACACCCTGCAACTTTAGCCGCACTGTTTCTATCACGCGCTGGCCTTCCGTGCTGTGCAGTTCATTCCAGAATTGGTGCTTGGTCTTCCCTCCATGGTTGTCGTGCCGGTCCCATTCCAAAAGGGGAGCATAAAGCATCATCTCCAAAACATTGATGATGGATACGTGCTGCTCCCGCAGCACACGCATGCTGATCTCGCAACACTTGCGAAAGGTTCCTTCATGCCCGGTTGCGCCCATGGCGTCCGTCATGTTGTGTGTCAGCCTATATCGCACCCATGCCACTGAGTTTGCCTCATCTTCATACAACAAACTCGGACATGTGAGTGGATTCCAGAGCCTCGACTCACCGGAAGGGCACGCGCTCCTTGACACGAAGCGTCTTTCCCTTCTCAAAAATGACGTCAAAGTCTACATGCATCACCTTTCCATCTGTGGTGTCAAGCATGATGTTCTCGTAGTGCCGGTCGCCCAGACCCAATGCGTGTCTATAAATTGAGCACAGGCACCATGTCACTTGCTCGGAGCACTCGCGGCTCTGACGAAAGCATCGGTTCTCATCCATCCGTTCAACATGGCAAAACGTCACACGCAACGTACCCGAGCATGGACATGACGGCAGATGAGCGAGCAAAGCGCGTTCGAGCACTGTACCAGCTGGTGGGGTCAGGAAACTGATTGATAAACCATTCTCGCAAAACTGGTGGATGCCGTGCTTTCAGAACCTTCTCAAAAATGTCCACCTATGCCACATTCGTTGGCGCGGGCCGTTAACAGGAAACCGCATGAAAACAGATGCATCGATGTGCTGTACGTGGCAAGGTTAAAACCCATGCGCAATACAAAAGCCAACCTCGTTGTAGCCCTTATCGGCATGCGTCTCAGGCTTGGCTAGACGCCGAAGCTCACGACCGGGCATGGCCAAATTCTTGGCTCGATACAACGTGGATAACACGTCACGGATTGTGGTACATTTGGGAACCTAAGTAAAGAAAGAAGAGAGTGAGTGAGAGTGAGAGAAGCGTGAAGCGCATCCTTAAGAAAAAAGAAAAAGAAAAAAATGGAAACTTATATTCTGCTTCGCCTCCACACAAGTAGCAAGCGCAAGAAACGCACCCACTCAATCATGCCCGTCACCTCGCTCAACGGCCAAACGCCGTAAGTCTGGATGAAGAGATCACGCTGCAGAGAATCAGGGTCCGCGCGCAAAAACTTGTTCACGACGGTGCAAAGATTTAGGAATCGGCTGTCTTTGCGAATATCCTCGTCTTGCTTGCAAAGAAACTGGTGCTTGTGGCCATCGGTGCCGCGGATGAAAATACGCTTGGGCTGCTGCTTGCTGGGATAAATGACCACCGTCGATTCAAAGCTCTCGATGTATGGCAATTCGTCTGGAAAGGGCGCTGTCTTGTTATTGGGGTCCGTCGAGGCCGGTAGCATGATGGTGGTGGCCTTGCTGGTGGGCACAAGAACTGTATTCCACGCCCTGCGCCCTGCCAAGTCCCTATGCCACTCAAGACAAGATGAGATGGCAAAGTAACAAAAGCCAAACTGCAACGTTTCTGCCGTTCAATGGGCGAACACCACCACCCCCCCTCCTCCCCCCCCCCACACACACACACACAGAGTTGCCGTAGAAGCAAGGGCAGCACTTACGGGGCCACTTTGGAAAGCTTGATTTGGCGTTGCGTGGCCGTCACTTTTTGATTGCAGAGGCCAATCAACGCCTTGCTAATCTTCAAGTAAATGCTGAGCAGGCTTTGGTCAGAGTCCGCCAACTATTACGTGCGTACAAGGGAGTGAGTGAGTGATAAAGCCCAAAACAGCGTGTCGAGTTGATCAACTCTTGACTTGTTGTGCACCCAATGGCTCTCGCTTTCCTCCCTCCTCCTCTTCGACACACAGGCATACCTCAATCTTGAGACGATCAACGAGTCCGTTGAAGCGGGTGATGCGAAACTGAAACTGCGAGTGCCAGTTGGAGAGTAGCAGCCACAATGACTGGTGGGGAAAGGCTCGCACCACACGAATGATAATGCTGCACACTTGCTCAAATACGTGCAGGTTGACATGTGTCAAGTGTGTACTCAGCTGTTCCAAGCAAGTGAAGAGCTGCTGTGCGCTAATGCGCTGCGAGGCGTAGCCCACCAAACCACTGATCTTCTTAAGAATGTGCTCATCCCCCTTGCGCAATGCATGTGCCGATAGTCGGCGGCCGTCCTCGATGGTCTGACTCAGGCGCTGTGACTCAAGTGCGGGTAGGCGCGACCCGTATTCGAGCCACAGTGTCAAGAGGCGCGGCAGGGCGTGATACGTATACTTGAAGCCTCGTTCAACGGCCATGGCATACTGCTCAATGATGGTAGGTAAGAGTTCATGCTCAGGCAAGCTTCGTCGACTGAGCAGCGAATCCAAGTACGAGGCGTACAGGTAGTGGCTCTTCTCTAGGCTCGAGCAGTTTTTGACTAGCTTTTGTAGATAGCTGCGCACCACATCAATCGAATGGCTGGTCGTGGAGAGCATCCACTCGCCCACAAGCAACGAGGCTGCATCGTGCTGCTCCTTGTCACTCGACAGATTAGGCTGACCAATCTCACGCGAAAGTTGATGGATGGCTTCATGATTGCGCCCAGTGTCCCACAGTAGGCGCGCGTGCTCAAGCAATGCCCCAGGGGCGCAATCACTGTCCACGTGCAGCAGTGCCGTGTACGCTGTGTCAAGCAGGCCGGCCTTGCGCGCATGGCGCGCTGTCAGCTCCCAAGTGCTCGCCACAGCCGTGTCGACCAGGCCTCGCACTGAGGTGTAAAGCTGGCTAGCGCTCACACGCGTGGCCTCCGCCTCCTGGTCTCGGACCATTTGCAACACCGAGCGACGCAGCGAGAGCAAAAAGTCTTTTGACTTGAACGTGTTATCCGCCAGCACCAAACGACGTTGCCAACGTGTGTTCAACTCCTCCAAGCGCTGGGCTGGGCGTGGCCCCAGCCGCTCTGGGCCCAGAAGCTGGTGAACGGCGCCCTCCACCTCATGGAGGCCGTGCAATTGAAGGAGATAGGGATACATGCGTTGGTAAGACCCTTGCGTACGGGCCAGGGTAATCAATGGCGCAACGACCCCATCACGGGCAGTTTGAATGCTCTCACTCAACGATTCCATCTTTTGTTGTCGCACGGCGTCCAGCAGCTGACCCAAACGCAGATTGAGCTCCCCATCCACTTGAGCCAGGCCTTGAGTAACGGGCGAGGTCCCTTGGGTTCCATTGTTCAAGGATGCAATCCTTTTTGAAGGGTGATGCGGTGCCAGCATGCGGTCAGCATGGTCTTCGAGTGTCTGGTGCAGTTGGTCCCAGTCCCCAAGCTTCCAGGCGGCCTCCACGCGATAGGCGCGCACGTTGTCAGCCCAGGCCGGAAAACGCGTCTCGAGGCCGAAAGAGTTTGCACACACGGTCTGGTAATGACCCAGATTTAGCTGGCACTCAAGCATGCCACAATATAGGCCCAAGCTGGGTGCCTCTTGCAGTGCCTGTTCATAGCAAGACAGCGCCTCGGTCCATTGGCCCGAGGCACGGTGATCCAAGATGCGTGCTTGAATATTGGTATGCGCTCGCGTTGCGGCCACGCCTGCCATGCTATCCACGTCAGACAAATGCGCGTAAATCTGTTGCAGACGATCCAAGTCTGCCTCACTGGGGCCCAGCTGCATGCCAGGCTTCAAGAATTCACCGGGCTTGGGCGGTGCGGTGGCATCAGCCACGTGTTGCTCGAGCCGCTGGAGAGCGCGGATGTAGTCGCGACATGCAAATGCAGCGCGAGCCGCCAGGTCGTTGCTCACGCCGTCGAGAAGCTCCCGAATTCGCTTGATCTCGGAATCAGATGAGCCCAGGTTGTCTGGGCTAGGCAGGGAAGACCGCGAAGACTTGCTGCCAAGCATGAATACGAAAAGTGAGCGCCGCCTTCCCCAAAAATAAGCAAGCAAGTCAAACACAATGTAACAAAAACAACAACAAAAAAAGAGGGTCAAACATAATCAAAAGCCAAGCCCAGTACAAATTGACGCCTGACCGAAGTGCAGCAGGCAAAAAAGAAAGATGACGTACAGGTTTTTCTCACTCTCGGAAATCCAGTGCCGAACAAACTCGAGGGTCGAAAGCACCACATCCACCGCAATCTGTACCGAGGGACTCGGCTCACCCGCGCTGTGCTCGGCTGCTTCGTTGAGAACGAGAACAAACTCGTCCATCAGGAGACGGCCGAGCGGCCGGCAAGCTCGTAAAAAGGCCAGGACAGCGTGAGGGAGAATAAAGAAAGTCAAATCGAGGCTCTCGCGCATACAAAAATAACACGTCTTGAGCAAGCGCTGTTCGACCGAGCTGTGACCGCTACTGCTTAGCTGAGCGTTGAGGTAGAACATGAGGCACTGGCACCAGGCACTGGCATCTGACTTGTACTCTGGGAAAAGAGGAAGGCGTGCCTCAAGCTCAACATCCGTGATGCGAAAGCGCGAGCTGAGGTAAGGATGAATGACCTCTCGAACGGAGGGGCTCAAGCTGTGCCAGAGTTGCTCTGGTAGGCCATGATGGCTGTTATCCACCAAAGTTGATGTGTGCAGGGGAAGCGCTGAGGTACAGCCATAGCAAGAGAGGCACTCCTGGATGGTTGCGGCTGATCGGTCCTGAGTGCCGTGTGTTTCGGCTGCAAGCAGCATGCGCACGAGGAAACCCTCCAGCAGAATCTTGCCCACGCGGGCCGTGAGCAGGTTGAAGCCCGTTGCGTGCGCCTGGACCTTGGCCACGGCCAAGTCAACTTGACCCAGGCGACCAGGATCGATGGCACCAATGCAGCCCAGACATCGGGCACACAGATCGCGCAGCTCTGCGTCAGACTCGCGCAGATTGCGAAGAAGGCAGCCGACAATGTCACGCAGCACGGCAGGCGTCTCAGTGAGGGCGATTTGATCCTGCAGCATCACATCCTGCTCCTGAAGGAGAAACGTCAGCATCTGCCGCGCTGCGTGCTTGCGCACAGCCACCGTTTCGTGTTTGAGGCCACGCAGCACATCGACAACGCGCGCCGACCACGTGTCGGACACATACGCCTTGGAAGCGAGATTCAAAACCTTATTGACGGGGGCGTACTCTGGTAGGTCCAGACGCGGCAAAAAGAGCACGTCCTTCAAGGTGTCCTTCATTTGCTCCCGGTGATCGCAGAGCATGTACGTGAAGAGCGGTGCCACGACACGCACATGGCTTTGCATATAAGGCATCAGCAATACGCTCAGGTCGGGCAGGACGACCTGAAGCACAGTTGGTGCTACGGCCTGGGCAAAGGCGCGTGCGCACTGCAAGGCCGAAGTCACAAGTGCCTCCGTCTGCAAGCTATGGCTAATTAAAGCCAGGATTTGCACACGGACGGCGGCCAAGTTGTTGGACCCTGCCACATCCAGTAAACCTTGGAGGCCACCAAGAGCTCGGCGCTTGTTGCTCATGCCCGACTTCAAGCTCAATTGGCGCAGATGAAAGAGACACTCGGTCATGTGATTGCGCAGAAACTCCTGCAAGCTTTCGGCTGTCACCTTCTCTGGTGACTCGAATCGAGGGTCGTTGCGCGCAGCATAGCAGGCCATCAACTTGAGGGCCTCTCGAAAGCGGCTCATGAGGGTGGCGTGCGGGGTTTCCAGTTGCGAAACAAGTGCTGTCAGGTGGTGGCGAGAGCGTGTAGAGACCAAGACCTCAATCCCGCGGTTGGCCAACTCAGCCATGTAAACCAGGGCTGCTTGCAGGTCCGATCCAGACTTTCTCAGGAAAAGGCGAGCAAGAATAGCAGGGCTTGACTCCAGGGCCACCTGCTCGAGCGACTTGCCAAAAAGTGTGGCCAAGGCCTCCAGCTGGCTGCGATTCTTATCGACGAGCAGGTACCAAAGGACGTCGTCCGCGTGCATTTGCCAAAACGCTGCTGCGTTGGGTTGCCCAAAGACAACCTGCCAGATATTGGCAGGCACCTGAAACTCGCGTATGCACCGGCTCATAGCCAGCACGACGGGCTCAAGATGGGCCTGCACCAAACTAGCGGCCGAGCTTTTGACGCGCGCGGCCATTGCTTCGAGCACGCTGATGGCATCGCGATATTTGGGCAGCAGCAAAATGATGTGAATAAGCACGCTGCTCCCAAGCTCGTGCGCGTGCACGGCCTCAAATATCTCTGGGAGAACCGTGAGCATTGCAGTGACCTGAACCGAGCTGCGCTGCAGGTAGCTCAGAATCAGAGGCACAATGTGCTGAACGGCATAGTCGCTGTTCAGCAGGAGGCTGCGTAGGGCCGCAGTACGGACGGCGAGAGGCGTATCGAGCCCCATGACACAGTACTCCACAAGGCGGCTCAGTTCCACGTACGCACAGGGGCCGTCGTTGAGAGGAAAGCGGCTAGCCACGGCCGGCAGAACCTGCACGAGCAGCGCCTCGGAGGCCGTACGACTGGCATCGGTGATAAAAGCTTTGATGATGTCATAGGCATCACTAGAGCATTGAACAGGACCCGTAGCAAGCTGGACGGGGCGGGTGACAAATATGGGGCCATGATCTACGGAACCCTCCTCCTGGTTTGAAGCTTGTGAACCATGAACATCCAAAACGTCCGTCCAGCCCAGGAGAGAGGTCATGGCATAGCCCCCAGCTTTATCCGGGGTGAGTTGACCCAAGTTGTTCTGTGCCAGATGAGCCGAGGCCATCACCCGCGAAGAGCCCGCCAAAAAGGTCGCGAACGCGGGCAAGCACTCGAGCCTTGCCTGGTTGACAGCCTGTGATCGGCAGGAAAGGGACGGGAGATGCCATGGTTAGAAAAGACGCGTGCTAGCAAAAAAGAACATGAAAAGAGCAAAACCCCATATACGCTGCTGCGGTCATGACTCGTGACAAAGGAGCTTTGAAACAAACGGAACCGGGTTAAGTTGGCCACCGGGCTTTGCACAAAGCATATTGCTTACCGAAGAATTGCGATTCTCGAGAATATTGGCAAATCGACGAAAGGGTGGAGTGCCTTGCACGTCCCCCAAGGCCGCCAAGATGTGCGGCAGAATACAAACTGCCGCCACCTGCTCGCTGGTTCGTGCAGCGGCCAAGATGTTTTGAATGAGCCCAATGACAAGCTCAGGGCGCTTCGAGGTGCGCGCTGCCGCCAGACCCAGTGCACGCTGCAAAACGAGCAAACGATCCGCGGCGGCCCAGTCCCGCCAGGCAGCAAATAAAGCCTCCGTGTCGGCCGCGTGACGCTTGAGCGTCAGGACCGCCTGGTTGCAGTCGTGGTGTGACAGTGTCGTGGGCAGCCCCGAAGCCAGCCAAGGCAGCGCCAGTAGGCTATCCACCAGATTCATCAGCGCGGGCAAGGGGGGTGCTGCGGGCCAGGCTTGTTCCAAAAGGGCCAACAGGTAAGCCACCTCAAAGACCGCTCCAAGTACAGCCGGCCGACGCACCCCAATGCCAAGGGCCACCTCGATGTAGCGGGTGAGCGCAGCGTAATTGAGGGGAGGCGGTGACTCCCTCTGGGTCAGCCGTAAACGAAGTACCAGAAGCCAGGCAATGCCTTGATCATCAATGTTGGCAGAAGTGGGCGCGTCACTCACAAGTGTATTGGCCCGCATAGCCACCTAACCAACCAGATCACAGCAGTATGTGAAAACTATACCTGGCTGTGTGACCAGTGTTGGCAGGCCACTGCATACCTGTGAAATGTCCAAGGCCAGGTCGTGCGTAGGGAGTAGAGCCGTTTGGAGCACGAAGCGCCACTCGGCCAGTGTGAGGCGGGAACGGCGAAGCAACCGCTTTTGCAACGTGGAGGCTACACTGGCCGTGGACAAGCTTCGCCATGACAGGGCCTGTAAAATGGCCATACCAAACACCTCTAAATCGCTGTCGCCCATAAGATAACAACTGGCCGCCAGATTTGCAAGGGGCTGCGCTACGGCATCTCCTAGGGCAGATTCTAGTCCTCGGGCGACCAGGACCTGTGCCAGCTCGGCAGGCTGGTCCCAGGCCCGTATCGTGGGTTTGAGCCAAAGTCCTAGCCCCTGGAGCAAGGCCTCGATCTCATGGGCATGGCTCCAAGGCAAAAGTCGTAGGAGAATAACAACTCGCGCACGAGCCAATGTTGGGTGGCGGGTGGCCTCTGTACGCAGAGGCGCCATCTGCTGCCAACACCAGCGCAACTCGGCTGGACTGTATCGCCAGCAGAGCCCGTCTGCCTGCGAGCAGTCGAAAAGAACCCCCGACAGCAAAGAACAGATAATGAGGGTAGGAAGAAGGCTGCTTAGAAAGCCCTCATCATGCACACCATCGCACGCTATGGTGGCAAAGGATGGCCCCACCGACCTGCCACAAGCTGGCCAGGGCGCTCAAAAAGGTAGCGACATGCTCACGATTCCTCATGGTCAGGCGAACACTGCATCGCGTTCGATGGGTGCACGAAGTGAGGATGCAAACAGGAGAGGCATGACGTTAGCATGGGGGGGGTGGGGGGGCATGGCCATGCTAAAAGCCAGTCAAAAGACTCACTGGCAGCGCGGGCAATCGCTGGCAGCCAACTCAATGGGAAAGGTGACCACACTGTTTGGATCAAGCACTGAAACCAGCGACAATCGAACATGCGCAGGTCAGGCATACTGGGGCACAGGAACTCCAAACGCGAGGTTAGTTGGTCCAACACGTACGGGCACAGCAACACGCAAAAGCGTTCAAAAGGGACTGATGCAGTTCGCGGGTAGCCGAGGGCACGCCATCGACGGCAGCCATTAGCGAATACAAAGCTCCCAGGACTGGGGCCTCCTCGTCCACTGAAGCCAGTAGATGAAGCAGATGGGCCAGCAGAAACGTAGAGCGTGGGTAGGAGTCGTCTGAGCAGAAACGTGGAAGGAGGAGCAGCAGTCAGGCCGAATGAGGAACGCTGGTAACAAGTGTGAGGCGGGTGTGTGTCAAGGGAGAGGAGCGCACCATCAGGTAACGTGAAAAGGTCTGAGATGCCCTCAAGGGCAGCGGTGAGCACACGCAACCCCCCATCAATGAGGCGTGCACGATCACCTGCCAGTGATGAGTCGGAAGATGGTGACATGCACAGATAAGCGTTCGAGACCAAGATGGGCGGGCAACAGCACCCTGGTAGAGAACTCAAGAGCAAAAAAAAAAAAAGACTGACGAAAGGTGGCTTGAGATGTGGGCACTGGACCATCATGAATGCGTTCAAAGACGCCTCGCAGCTCGGTCATGTAGTCTTGAATCGCAGCCTGGCGGACCTCTGGATCCTCGCTAATGGACCAGCCCACGGCAAGACGCGTCAGGCTGGGAGCACGATGCGCACAAGAGAAATTGACGAGACTGACCTTTCCAGGGCATCGCGGTTTGCCAAGAGGCGACTGAGCCCAGACGCCATGGTGGTCTCGTGAATGCCTGATCTCTTACTTTTACTCCTCACACCCCTCACACCTCTCACACGGCTGGCGCAAACCGCTGGCCCTCAGCTGAGTTTGGGAGCAGAGGCGCTACCCATGTGCTGGGCGGGCCAAGGGCACGATGCCCCAGTCCACACCGCCAATAAAACAGTCCCACGATTGTTGGCAATAGCAACTGTCCCGCACTCTTCCCTATCTATCCCAGTTGCTCCCATCAACCAAAAAATTCAGTGACCTCGGTCAAGGCGCGAGTCCAGAAACACATGCGCGCCAGCCAGCAGCAAACGGCTCATTTCCGTCAAGCGCCAGAGCAAACCGCAGAAAATCTGACAAAATCGTGCTGTCCAAAGCAGTTGATGGCAGTTGTTCGAACTTGGACGTTGAGTCTCTTTGAGTCTCCACAAATCTCTTCATCTCTTCCTCGAGCGGACGTCGCTCGTGTTTTTGTGTGTGGCTGTTGGTGTTGGTGGAGTGAACAAAACGCCTGTTGTGTGTGTGTGTTTGAATCTCTCTCTCTTCTCTCTCTCTCTTGTGTTCAGTGAAATTGATTTTTTTTTTCTTCTCTCTCTCTGAGGGCGCTGGTTGTTTGGTGGTGAGCGAATGACACAGACACACGCTTGACCAAACAAGGAGGGGGGGACTGCATGTTGTGGAGCGCGCGTGTCCCAGTGTGGGAACCGGGGGTGGGGCAGTGTGTTGAGCATCGGGAGGGTTCGATGATAGGGGTTGCTCTTGGATGGCATCGGTGCAAGACCCACTGTGGCCACCAGCACGTGTCTTGCGTTCACTTTTTTGGACTCACCTGCTTGTGCGGCTGTGTGCTTCTCGTCAGTTGAGTGGCACTGCACCCTTCACCGTCATCATGGCCTCACGTGCAAAAGCACCTACGTCCTCGACAAGCTCGGCGGGATCCAGCCGTTCCACCGCTGCACGGACCCCCAAGTCGGCCAGCAGCACGGCGCGCAAGCCTGCCGCCCGCGGTGATGGCAAGAAGAAGGTGGCTCGCCATGTCGATCAGCGTGTTGCTCAGCGTAACACAGCCCTCAATGCCTTTGGTGGTGTCAAGGTTTGTCCTTGATCTCGTCCTCTTAGCCCGTGTGCCCGATCTCTGCGCGTTGTTGATTCACATTATTCCTCTTCTCCCTCTTTGGACTCGTGCCTTCTCTGTGCATTGGGCATTCTAGGTGGACGTCTTTGTGCGCATTCGCCCGCAAGACCCGTTGCGCGAGAAGGAAGAGGACGTGGCTGTTGTCGCAGATCCTGAAGAACAACAGATCACCCTGACGGACCCAGCAGGCCATCCCGCCACGTACACGTACGACAAGGTTTACGGCCCGGACATCGACCAAGAACAAGTCTACAATGATGCCGTTGCCCCCATCGTGGAGCAGGTCTGCAGTGGCTTGTCCTGCTGCATCTTTGCCTACGGCCAAACCGGTGCTGGCAAGACATACACGATGCGCGGCGATCTGTCCGGAGATCCCTCCAAGCACGGTATTATTCAGCGCTCCCTGGTTCACCTCTTTAACCGCCTCAACGAGCATGATTACTCCAACGTCGAGGTGAAAAGCTCCTTCCTTGAAATCTACAACGAGGAGCTTGAGGATCTGTTTACTGACTCACCCCCACCCAAGGACCTCAAAAAGTCCAAGCGGGGGCCCCCCACCAGCTCGGGCTCGGCCCAGCGCCTCACGCTCGTGGACCACGACTCGCGCGGCTGCGTCTGCGACGGGCTCGTCGAGGTTCCAGTCGAAGGGCTGGAGCAAGTCATGAACCTTCTCGAGAAAGCCGAAGAGCGCTGCAAGTGCGTGACTGATTCTTTGGGCCAGGGTTGTTCCAGTACTTGCCCCAAAGCCTTGTTCGCCTGCTCATCCCTACCCTGCCTGGCTCCGACCTGGGCTGCAGGTATTCCGAAACCAAGATGAACAAGTGGTCCAACCGCGCTCATCGCATCTTCACCCTCGTGGTCTCTTTCCTGCGCTATGACAAGCCCGTCACAGCCACGCTCACCTTTGTTGATCTTGGTACGATTTTGCGCTTCCAGGCCCGATCACCCTGTGTTGTCCTCGCGTTTTTGCGCTTCCACGACACGGGCTATGAAATAAAATCAAGCTGCTAGCGCCCGTGCCCAACGTGCGTGAGTTCTCACAGCCAACCCACCTTTGATGAACTGTGTTCAACCTACTCCTCGCAGCTGGTAGCGAGGATATCAGCAAGTCCGGTGCTACAGGCATGACGGCACGTGAAGCCGCACACATCAACCGCAGGTACGGGACACAGCAGAATACATCTGATCCCAACAAAAAAAAAAAAACTCGAATTCGCGACCCGAGGTCTGCACGTCGATCCTGCGTTTCCCGCTCATTTGGGCTACTGTGCTTGCCGTCCCCTTCTGCACAGTTTGTTGACGCTGGGTCGCGTCATCAACGCGCTCGCTTGCAATGAGAAGCACATCCCATACCGCGACTCCAAACTTACACGCCTTTTGTCTGAGGCCCTGGGTGGTGTCTGCAAGACCAGCTTTATTGCGTGTGTGAGCCCCTGCAGCGGCTCGACTGTGGAATCCAATTCGACGCTTCGCTATGCCGAGCGCGCCATGGAAGCCCTCAACATTTCTCAGCTTCCCCGCTGGAAGCAAGACGAGATCATCATCGATGGCCTCACGCGACGCGTGCAGCAACTGGTGGATGATCTCGAGAGCATGCGTAAGATGCACCACGAGGAAATGCGAGATCTACGCAATGAGCGTGACCACTTGCTCGAGGAGAACGAGGAGCATAAGCGAGAGATTGCCCGTCAGCGACGCAAGATTAATCGTTTGTTGACCCGCAAGTCGGAACTCAAGTCCAGCACTAGCTTGCTCACTTCGCAGAAGCAGAACCTGCTGGCAGAGAAGGAAGCTCTCCAAAAAGAGCTGCTCGAGACTCGTCAGCAACGCGACGGTTATCTGGCCGATCGCAAAGTGAGCTTAACATCCGCGCTTGCCTGCCGCGCCATCACGAAAGAAACTTCGAAATGCGCGGCTTTGCTAATCTCTTTGCATCTCTTCCACCATGGTGATGATAGATGTTGATGGAGGTCATTGGAGGTGTGCGCCAAATGCGCGAGAAGCTCCTGGTTGCCCACCGCTCCACCGAGAAATCGTTGACAACCGACGCCTTGGCCCTGAAACAGGTCATTGAGGGCGCCATTGTGGACATTGATGATCTGCACGCCGAGGTCAGCCGCAAGAAGGAGCTCTCGCTTTTCAATGAACAAATTGCAGACGACTTCCGCGATCGCTTGTCGGAAAAGCTACGCAGCATTGTGCAGGAAGTCAATGACTTCAAGTCGGATCAAGATCAAGAGTACAACACGTTGCGCGGCCTATTGTCGGATATGAAGGATGCGCGCCAGAAGGAGACATCCTCTCTCACACAAGACCTGAGTAAGCTCACCACGACCATTACGGGTGTATTTGATGACGTGCACCAGCGTGCACAGGAAACCCACGCTTCGCGTGCTGCCCGTATCACCCGAGGCCGCGACGACGCAGCGGCTCACTTGCAGCAGCTCAAGACGGTGGTGGATAAGGCCCAGGAGGTGATTCTGCGGCGTTGTCAGGAGGCCCAGGAGCAAGCTGCCGAGTTGGATACCAACCTGGCGACCTGGGCCGGCAAGGTTCGAACACACCTGGATGATGTTGACAACACCACCAAGAACTTCACCTCTGAGCTTTCCAACCACCTTCAGACCTTGGGCACCCACGTCCAAACGGCCACAGCAGCTCAGCTTCAGCAGCTCCAGCAGCACTCGGACGAATTGGCTAGCTTTTTGGCGTCGGAGAAGTCAACCATGGAGGAGACTTGCAACCGCCTTGTCGAAGACATTGGCAGCTATGTCAAGCGCATGGTGGCCGACGTCCGCAGCCAAAATGCGCGCCGTCTGGACACGGGTTTCTCTGGCTTTCAGAACAGTGCCTCGGCTTTGTCCCAACAAGTGCAAGACCTGCAGGACCACGGACGCGGCGAGATGGCCGCTCTGGCGGCCAAGGCGACAGCACACCTGGATGCCAATACAACACTGTGTGGTGTCAGCAAGGACACCAACAACAGCATGTGGCAGTCCTCCAAAAAGTTGTTGCAGGGCGAGACCGCAATGCTGCAACAAACGGAGCAGGACATGCGTCAACATGCTGGAACCATCAACGACCTGGCCGGCCAACACCACGCTGGCAAGCTCCAGTACTTCCAAGACGACCAAGATTTTGCCAAAGCCTCCCTTGATGCCACGGAGCAGATCACGCGGGCCGGCACTCAATCCCTGCAATCGGGCACCGAAGCTCTTCGCAAAAACGTAAGTCCTGCGTGGATCCCTGGCTAGCGATCGAGGCACATTTAGCAACATCGCCCATGATATTTCATGTGGCAATTTTTTTGTTTTCCCTTTTTTTTCTCCCTTTTCGATTGTCCATGACTAATGTTCACTTCGCTGCGATGGAAATTGTGCAGGTGGTCAAGTATGGCAAGTCGTTTGCTGAAGCTGGCAAGACACTGGATGATGGCATGGTGGGCAGCCATGACATGGTGCGCACCTTTGTGACTGCTACTGATGAGGGACTGTTTGATGCCGAAGCAGACGGAGTCAACTACGTCATGCAGGTTTGTGTCGCCCTCCCCTTTGCTGGGAGCAAACAATGCACCGCGCTGTGCTTCGTGGCTCGCTTATTTATCTGTCTGCCCGCCTGACTGACTGATGACGACCTCTCCGCACTTGTTTTTTTGCAGGAGATCAAGCGCGACGTGAAGGAGCCACCGGCGCGCCGCGAATACACGTATCCCAAGGAGTATGACGCAACCGATCCCTACGAAACTATTCTGGTGGAGCAGCCAACAGAATGGAAGCGGGAGGTGGATGTGCGCGAAGGCCAGCGCTCACCTGGTTTGGGCACAGACTTTGTCGGTCAGCCAGGTCCGGAGGATGACAGTGGTATTCTAACCACAACTCGCAACAAGCCTCCGACGAGTGACGAGGCCCACCTCCTGCAGCGCGCCGTGTATGAGAGCGATGCCGCCGAATACGATGATCCCCCAGGCTATGAGGAGCCTGACAGCGACGAGGAGGAGGACAACGAGGACACTGTGGAGGGCCAGGCGCAAGAACAAGAGCCTGCTGATGAGCTCGGCCAGGAGGAGAGCCAGAGCCAACCCGATACAGATATGCCCGAACAGAACGGCGAAGCTCTAGAGGTGGCCAGCGAACCGGCTGAAGATGAAGCTGAGGAAGATGTGTAGGTGTGCGCTTGATGCAAGCCATGCGCTACCGTGAGCTTAATTTTGGCGAGGTCACATTGCTAGCCGGCTACAGGCGCAATGCGGACGATTTGTTGTTCCGACAGTCCTTTTCTCGGTGTCTGGCCTTTGTGACATTGCTATCACAGCCTCTGACTCGGCCTTGAACTGGCTTTTTTGCTTTTTTCTCCCCTTGTTTGTGCCACCCATCTGCTGCCGCTTGATGTAGTATGAAATTTCGTTTGTCATCCGTTGGGCCAAGTAGGGGGTGGTGGCTGACACAATGACTTGCAATCGCCAAGAACCAGCGCTTGATCAATTGAGTCAGGATTCATCGCTCAGCGGGCCCTTCTCGCTCACAATTATGCGCATCCACAAACACATGCACAAATGCAGACTCGGTGTCATGCCTGAGGCTTGAGAGCCCGCCAGTCTGATGAGTCGTTTAACAGACACATTCACAGTCAATTAGGGTTGCAACGCCACACGCTCAGCATGGATGGCAGGTATTCTTGTGGGTTTCTGGTCTCGGGTTAGTCACACCGAAGGTGGCCAATGAGCCCTGACCACGCAAGTCCGAAAAGCACAAGCACAAGTTGGCTCAACATGGGTGAGGGAGCCGGCGCGGCTGCATTGAATTCAACCACACCACAGCCGAAGGTAAAGCTGGCAAACCCGCGTGCTGTGATAAAGGCCGTTTCCTCCATGTTGATGCAGTCGCCTGGCACGCCCACATGCTCAGCCAAATAGCTGGTGCATGCTGGATCTGAATACTGCCTGACGGCAAACCCAGCAAGATCGCAGCGCTCAACCTTAACATAACCGGATGAGTACGGGGAGGGTTGGCAGCCAGCCGGTAAGAAAAGATGGGCGACAGGCGATGCAGTACAATTGGCTACTTGCTGCAGCAGCACGGTAGCTGCCGCTGCGCTCGGATTGCGAGCGCAAGTGATTTGCTGCCCAGCATGACAATTGCCGGCCAGGGGGTAAACGGCCTTTTCATTCTTACAGCCCTTGCCATTTAGAATGCGAACGAAGGGAGTACCCTCAGGGTCGCAGTAGTAGATGCCCGAGTTGGAGCCGCGCGTGTTGAAGCAGGTGCCGGCGCGAAGATGTGTGCGTGCGTACGAGGACGGGGCAGCTCGCTCGTGCCCACAGTCAGTGTAGGTCACAAAAGGATACTCCACGTCCCCAATCACCCCCGAGCTCAACGCCAACACCATTCCCAGTGCCGGCACCAGCCACCGCCCTTGCCGAGCCATGTTGAAGCCCGAGTCGATCAAACAACGCTCTGCTTCAAGGCGCTTGCACACTATTGGGCTTGCCTGTGTGTCGAAAGAGTCGTCATGGGTAAGGCCGCCAACAAAAGTTGGAAATGAAAAGTCTGACGCTTTCTTTCTCTCTCTCTCTCCTCTCTCACTTGTTATCAATTTCTTCGAATAATTCTGCTTTTTCGCTTCATTTTTGTTCACATGCTTGCATGTCAATGTACTTTGGTTCATATCGATCAGAAGAACAGGCGCTTGTCGACGCATGCAGGACTCTCGCGTTCTGCATCACAAACAGAGACAAAGCTTCAGCTCTTGCGAACAGTCGATGGCGCACTAGAATTGTTGCGATGAATCTCGGTTCCGACTTGTAATCTTATCAACCCTCGATTGATGGTGTGCCACGCTGGATGAGGGCATCCGATTCAACTGATGAAAAGAACAGAGTCAATTTGCAGCATCATAACAACAGAACTGCCTTAATCCATGCCTCACAGTTGTTGCACCGAGCGGTGCTGCGCTGCAGGTGCGGTCCGGCCGCCAATTCTGGGAGCACAGATGTGAAAACAGCCACGGCGACGCCACCCCGGGCGCTCGACCTTGCTCCCGTGCCGCCTCGTATGTTACACCATTGGGACTGAGGCGGCACTGAGCGCAGTGGGCAGCACCAGGAGCTACAAGATCACGCAAAGGTGCATTCTGTAGTGAGTATGGCCGAGCGAGTCATGTAATGAGAGCAGATATGAACATATGACGTACCGCAGGAAAGTTTGTTGTAAAGTGGCTTCCACTGCGGATGTCTTTCAGAAGGACGTTTTGTAGTTTGTGAGAGCCCGTGCGCAGAGGCATAACCACCAGTTCCGTCACCTATTCAGTGTCAAGCGGGTTGCATTAGCAAAGGCTAGTGAGGAGGCCAGGGAAAGCAACGTGCAGTGGCTCACAGAGGCACCGGACAAATTTACATACAAGCTCTCCAGTCGGCTCCACCACACCCAGAGGGCGCTCCTGAAGCCCTTGTAATATCAAAGGTGCATGCTGTTGGCATAGCCCGACAGACCCACTGTGAGGGTGGACCTAGCTGCGTGCGGCAGCAACACATTGCCTGGTCTGCTAGTTCCGACGCTTTGCCTTCGGGTTGCATACCTGCTCTGGATTGTAGCTCAAGCCCAGGGTATACTGCCGGTCGGTAAAGTTGATGATGCGCACGCGTAGCGTGCAGAGAGTTCCCACTTGCACCGAGTCGGGCGGATCCAACACGTCCAGGTGCACATCATTTAGGGTGGGCACCTGTCACGATGATCATTCCCAGTGTGCAAAATCGAGTGTGAAAGAATGGCCTGCCGTGGCTCTGGTGCACGATCAACAAGCAAAGTTTGCACATAAGAGACACACCCTTCGCTGAATCGTGGCAATGCTGGTGTAGCCGCGGCCGCCTCGCATGGCACGCCAAGAAACCATGACTTGGCCCACCTTGGCGCTTTGCCTAGGCGATGGTGAGCAGTCAAGAGGCACCGGGCATCCAAGCGGCGCGTGTCGAGTGAATGGGCAGCCCAAGAAAAAAAGACATGAAAGCGTGGGTCGCACCCAACTCCCTCGAAGCATGTGTCGCTCCTCGATCCAAAAGCCAGGAAACCAACAACAAGAGCAGCAAGACCACCACCACCACCATCAAGAAGATCAACAAGGCGCAACCAACTTGAACGTTCGTGCATCGACCGTTGGCTGAGGCTTGAGCACAAATATGCGATTGCGTGTTTTGCTGACGGGCAGCTGCTGGTCGGGGCTGGGTGGCTCTACATTGAGCGCAGGTTCAGATTATTAGCCGCATAGGACACAGGGGGTCATGGAACGGTCGGTTTATTGATTGTTATACGTACCATCGGTTTCTTCGCAAGTGTAGACCTTTGTTGGTGTCATGCGCACGTATTCAAGGATCAGGGGCTCCTTGGCAATGTTTTGCACATTCACTTGGACCATGACATCATCCTGTGCGCCCAACGGAACCAGATGAGGCCGTCAAAGACACAAAATTGATGCATCTGGATTGAGAGGGTAGTCTCGGTCGCCCGATATCTGGTCACCAACCTTGAGGGTTTTGCAGAGAGGTACAATTTCCAACGGTTGTGTGACTTCAAACTTGAAATGCTTGCGTAGTTGCTTTCGATCACCGTCTTGCGAGGTGTACGCCAGGATGCACACCATGCTGGGTATTAAGATATGCCCGCGTATCATCGGTGAGTCACCCATCGCAGAGGGAGGAAGGGAGGGAGGGAAGGAGAGAGGAGGGGGATGTGCTTAGGTGGGGTTTTCAAGAATCGCATACATGTGCACGGCTGGGTCCTGCAGTTGATATTCGACTATTTGATCAATGGCCTGGCCAGGGGCGAGCTTGCCGATGGGCCCGACCTCCTGCCCCTTGCGCTCACCAGTGAGAGTGGGTTTGAGGGAGGTGCGCTTGGACCCTGTCTGCAGCTCCACCTGCAGCACCAGTGATTCAGGCAGGGAACGGTTGATGAGTTGCATGGACAGGCTGCCAGACAACATTTATTGATGAGGCACAGTGGGCACCCTGACCTTGGTGACGATGCTGCTCACGCTCTCGCTGCCCTCGTTGTGCACGGAAATGAGGCAGGATAGGGTTTGGCCGAGATAGACGTTCCTACCGAGACGTGCGAGGTGTGTCGTAGAAAATCGAGTCAGGGGCGGGAGATGCATTGATTCAGAGAGCGGTCGCGCAGATGGAAGAGCCTACCCAACGGCTGCTGGAAGCTTGAGGACTTCGCTGACGCCAAAGTTCTCATAGGATGAGCGTAGATCGGCTTGGTTTTGTTGTGTGATGATCTCACCTGCAGAGGCCACGGTGGGTGAGTGAAGCCAGCACGCTGCCTTGTACATGCTCCCAAAACAAAGCTTGTGCCTACGCACCGATGGCATCTTGCTCTTCACACAGTGGGGCGGTGAAATCTGCCATGGTCGGCTGCGACAGGCGCATGACTACGGTGGGGGCGGAGGGCATGCGAACGTGAGGGTTGACATGACCAGGTAGGCAGGCAGGCGGGCAAGCAGATGGGCCAGCAGGAATGTACCCTTGAGGGTCAAAGGATGTGATTTGGCGTCCATTTCGGCGATGCGTCAATGCATGAATGCTTGAACGCTTCCTCTTCGTCGCACTTCCGGGTGCCGTTGCGATTCTCGACTCGCACCCGCACCCGCTACCGCCCGCCACCACTGTGCAGCCCGAACTGATCTGCGTTGAGTGTGTGTGTGTGTGGGGATGCCAACACAACACAGAACAAAGGAATTGGAAACACACAGAGAAGAGAGAGAGAGAGCAAGGCTGGATGTCATCGTTTTGCTGACATTTAGTTGTCAGATTTTTGTTGTTCGCAGCCACGTTGTGTGAACGCGCGACAGAAGAGAGTGAGAGAGAGAGGGACACACGTTTGAACCAACGTGGGGGTTAATTTTTTTTTGGGGGGGGGAGGTGTCTGGTGAGCGGGTGTGTCTTTTCGAGGAACTTGGCCTCAACTGATTACGAGGCCCAAGCTCGGTAGATCCGGGGCCTGTGCCAGAAGGAGGCATTGCGAGGAACTCTTCCTCTCCTCTTTCTTCCTTTTTTTTTTTCGTGCGTGTGTGAACTTTTGCCAGCCATTGAGGCGGCATCGGGGTATCATCATGGAACCGAAGAAGATTGCCCTCGACATCTTGCCCGAGGAAAGGACACAACAAATACGCAAGCGACGTAAGCATCCTTTCTTACTCAGCGCAGATTTCTGTGTAGCTCGCGTGCAAAGGCCTTGTCCGTCTCACTCTTGTGCTTTTCTGGCCGCACTCAGCCAATCCCAAGGGCTCGCAAACCAAGCGCAAATATGAAAAGGCCATCGATCGGGCCAGCCAGCGCTACCAGCGCGTGCACACCTCCAAGGATGACGTATGCTGCTTGCCAAGTCCTGTCTGTTTTTTGCCTCGCGACCGAGTTCACACGCCCGCCCGGTTCGTTTACTGTGCGCGCAGTTGAAAATGAGCAACAAGAAAGCCAAGAACCAGCTGAGCAAGGCTGCGCAGCGGGCCAAGCAAAACGCGCGGGCAGCGGCCAAAGCAGAAATTTTGCTTCCAGAGCAAGCAGGGTATGAAGCCATGCCCAAATCTTGCTTGTTGCGCACCATCTACAGCACCCGCTGACTCGTGTCTCTTGCCATGACGGTCGTCACTCGCGGGAAATCTAGCTTCCTCGAAGCTGAAGGCTTGGAACGAACGTACAAGTTCACGCAGAGCGCTATCAGCGAAGCCGTTGACGAAACCAGTGCTCACAAGGTGCGATGAGATTCTTCCGTCTCCGCCTCTCGCGTGCCCCTGTAGCTTCCTGCCTCCTTGGCAGCACAAGCCCACAAGCCCCCTTGTCATGGAGTTGCTCTGCTTGGTGGGTCAACCTCGCAGATTTTCAGTCTGAATTTGAATACCTTCGGGCCCTATGCACTACGATACAGCAACAACGGCCGACACCTTCTTCTCGGCGGCCGCAAGGGCCACATTGGCAGTTTTGACTGGCAAACGGGTGGCCTCCGTTGCGAGATGCAACTACAGGAGACGGTGCGCGACGTTCAGTTTCTGCACAACGAGACCATGTTTGCCGTGGCCCAGAAGCGGCACGTATATCTGTACAACTCCCGTGGCGAAGAAATCAATTATCTGGACAAGCACATCGACCCTCTTCGCCTCGAATTTCTTCCATACCATTTTTTGCTCGTGTCCAGCAGCAACAGTGGGCTTCTACGCTACCACGTATGTGGTCGACGGCCAACGCGAAATATGTACATGACCTCTGGCTGCTTTGCCTCTCTTCATTCATTTACCCTGGGATTGTAGGATGTGTCGGTGGGCTCCCTGGTCACGCAGCTCAAGACGAAGCTCGGTCCCTGTCACGTCATGCGCCAGAATCGCTGGAACGCCGGTGCGTCCTTTTTTTTTTTTTTTTTTCTTGACGACCATGGGTTGACCACTATGTCAGCGGAGGCGGGCCATCCGTTTCCCAAAGTCCGGCTGCTAGCTTTCTGTATTGCCTGACGGACCGACTGTTGCTTTCTGTATTGCCTGCCGGACCGACTGTTGCTCACATGACGCCTGGATGCTTGGTGACGCCTCGGACAGTCATGCATTGCGGTCACACAAACGGAACCGTCACCCTGTGGACACCCAACATGTCTACGCCAGTCGTTAAGCAACTGTGCCACAAGGGAGCTGTCGCAGGTTCGACGTCTTTGCTTGATTGCCTTTGTCCCCGCTGGCTATTGCTTTGTGAGGGCTGGACATTATCCTCACAACTTCCTTGGCGCGACATGACTTAGCCTTGACAGTCGAGCCAACGGGCCACTACATGGCCACGGCCGGTGCCGACTGCATGCTCAAGGTGTGATGGTTTGGCTATAGACTCAGCTGTACACCTTTTGTGGCGCCTCACGCACCTGAATGCGACCTGTTTTTGGTGCCTTAGATTTGGGACATTCGCAAGTTCAAGGACGAGCCTGTACGTCCAAACCCCTTGCCCAGCTACTCATCTGTTGCTATCTGCTGCACCGCCGTTCACAAGCACTTGTCTCGACCTTTCGTGGCGGTGGTTTGCGTTTGCGTTTGCGTTCGCTGTCATTCCGTAGGTCTTTTCCACTCGCCTGCCGACAGCACCCAGTGATTTGGATTACAGTCAACGTGGGCTGTTGGGTGTGAGCTTTGGCAGCAGTGCCCAGGTAAGGACGCTTTCTCTCTTGCTTGTTGCAGCGGTCAGGCACACTTTCCAGCGATGCCGCCCCCGCCTCTTGGTCTGATTTCCTTTCTGTGTGTATATTTAGGTGTGGAGCACGCCGCACAAAACGCCGGCAACCATGCCTTACATGACGCACAATACGCCCGGCAGTCCCATCCATCAGCTGCGCTTCTGTCCATACGAGGACGTGCTGGGCATTGGGCATGCCAAGGGCTTTGCTTCCATCTTGGTGCCCGGTATGGCCAGATACCTCTCGTTGTGTCAAGTTGGCATTTGTAGCCACGCTGATGGCCCTGGCGCATGAATGGCCTGGCTTCTTAGGTGCGGGCGAGCCGAACTTTGACAGCTTGGAGGCCAACCCCTATCAGACTGGCAAGCAACGCAGCGAGAGCGAAGTCAAGCAATTGCTCGACAAGGTGCGCAATCAGCTGGTGCCCTCGCGTCAGGCCCGGCGTTTTTTTTTTTTTTTTTTTTTTTAATTCTTGCTGTCGGTGCTCATTGCCTGGTTTGTTAAAACCTCGACACACCTTAATGACAACTCAGATCCCGCATCATCTGATTGCGCTGGACCCACACGCCATCCTTGAGTTGGACAAGCGCTCCCATGAGCAGCGCGTGCAAGACCGGGGTGGTTTGGTCCAAGAAAAGTTTGATCCCAAGCACCGCAAGCGTGGCCGCAGCTCCACCAAGAATCGTTACCTCCGCAAGCAAGGCCAGGTCATGGTGGAGCGTCGCCAGGCTATTCGCGATCGCTTGAAGAAGGAAAAGGCTGCCGCTGCAGGGGCCAACGACGCTGCAGCTTCGGGCACCGGTTAGTTCAGGATGGCTCTCGTCACACACTGCGCATCTCATGTTCCCTCCGCAGCCACGCATGTCCTAACACTTGTCCTTACACTTGTTTGCTTGCCCATTGCAGAAGCCGCGCGTTCGGCCCTGGACCGCTTTGCCTAGCCAATCGAATAGCCATCTGGTTTGCTTGTCCCTCCTCTTCAAGCCTCATATCCTTGAAAACTGCACAACCCACACACAAAGGAGGGGAAAATTTGCTTGAAAGCAAACACGACCCGAAATTTTCCCTCAAATTTTTCGAATTGTGTGTCCTTTCTTTTTTTTTTTTTTTTTTTTTTTTTTTCTTTTTGGAACGAACAGTCATGGCCTCTGGAGACACAACGGTCGACTGGTGGAGCACGGATGGGGGGTTTCGCGACGCGTTGAATAGTCGCTGGTCACGGCCTGCGCGGGCACGCGCTGATGTCACACCAGCAGCATCGTCTGCCGGTGCGATCTCTCCGCCCGGTCTGGCTCAGTATACCAGCCACGGCTGGGATAGTGAAACACCAAGGGCCAACGGATCAGGCGGCGGCGACCGAGTAACCCCTTACAATCGCGCTGGGCCCAGGCAGCTGAACTCGTTTACTCGGCCCTCCAACACGCGCCACGCACACGAAGACAGAGCAGAGTGGGCAGGGCCTGCTGAGATCTCGTCTGACTTTGCTGAACCGGCTGGACGCGAGGCGCTCCGTCGCGATATGACGGCAGAGCTGGCCGCCAAGCAACTGCAAGAACTCGAGGCAGCGGCGCCCGGAGCCTCTCCCCCGCTGTCACGTCGACGCCTTTACGACGATGCACCTGCTGACGTGGATGCTGGTGACCTTCAACGACTTCGCGTCGAACTCACCAACACAAAGGTCAGTGATTTCAGAGACCCTCTTACACACGACCCGCTTGTAATGTACCTCGCTTATCTGCAGGGCTTTTCGGCCAATGCGCCTGTTGATCTCGACGATACTCTGTAGGATCAGTTGGGGCTTCATCGACAGCGTGAATATCTTTTGCGGGAAGAGCTGGAGACTTGTCAGCGTGAGCTGGGTACAGCTGAAACACAAATTCTGGACCTTCGCTCTCGGCTGGCTGATGCGGAAGAGCAGGCCGCCCTGGGCGACGCAGCGCGTGTAGGTTTTAACAGTGCGCAACTCGGATTTTCTTTTTCTTTCCCTCGAACGGCACTCTAGTCTTGGGATTGACGTTGCTTTCTTACGCGCTCATGGACTTGTTGGTCAAACGACGGCTTGCTCCGTTGATCTAGGCTCATGTTCAACGGCTGGAACAGTACTTGAAGTCAGTGCCCACGGCGGATGAGCATCAGGTGAGATGGCGACACAATAAGTATCTTAGACAGACTTTGAACACCAGGTTCTTGGCGAAGCTCATTGCGAAAGTCTTTTTTTAGGCCCTTCAAGATGAGCTGGAGCAGGAGCGTCGGGAGCGGCGGATGCTGCAGGATACCGTCTTTAACCATGCCAAGGAGTCTGATGTGCTACACCGTCAACTGAGTGCTCAGGTGGGTCAGGGCTTGATGTTTTCCCACCGGAGCTCGCTCAATATATGCCGTGTGGGCTCGAGTGTGAATTTCTTTTTCTCATCACTTGTGTGTGTGTGTGTGTGTGTGTGTGTGTGTGTGTGTGTGTGTGTGTGTGTGTGTGTGTGTGTGTTTGGGCTGCTGGCCCCGTCGGCATAACAGACGCAGCAGAAGCGCAAGCTGCAGGCTGAGTTGGAGGAAATGCGGGCCATGGTGCTGAAAGTGCAGGAGGAGAAGGTTTGTCATTTGTTTTTTACGGGCTGGGCTTGCTTGAATTTGTGCCTTGAGCCAAGATCAAGGTTCCAAGGTTCCAAGGTTCCAAAGGCGGCTGACGCCATGTCGGATGCGGGTGCGCTTGACAGTTGCAAGCAATTGAGCAAGAGCGGTCCTCAGTGCGACAGCTGGAAATTGAGCGCAACAACGCACGGGAAATGTACGATCGGGTGGCGCGCGCGCTCACCGCCAAGACCGGCGAGGCACAAACCTTTCAACTTCAGTACGTTGCCGTTGAGGTGTAATTTTTTTTTTGAACGTGTGCCGGATGATGGACGGCTCACTCAGTTTGCTTTTTGGATGCAGGCTGGAAAGTGGCAAGGCCAAGACAGCAGAGTTGCAGCAGCGCCTCAAGACCCGAGAAGAGTAGGTGGCTCGACGCATGTCTTGATTCCGTGCCATCGAGGCGTCGTTCTTACTCGCATTCAAATGTATAGGCAACTGGAGCAACTGCAAAGCCGTGAGCGGCAGCAGGTCGCTACCCACCGTGACTTGCGTAATCAAGTGGAAGATGCTGAGGTGTGCTATGGGCCTGATACAAACCGGCCCATGTCTACGCTGACAGACAGGGCTGGACAGGGCACGGTGGATCTGCGTGTCCGTCTCACCAGCCCTTTCCTCATGATGATAGGAAATGCGACAAAGCTTACTGAAGCGGATCTCAGCACAAGCCACGACGATCCAGGAGTTGCGGGATAGCATCCGTGGCGTACGTTTTCACCTGCACTTTGTTTCCCCGAAAAATTTTGTTATTCACCACCCGCTACGCACCGATGCAAGGCGGGATCCATGACTTTGCTTGCCTGGTTAAAAAGCTCATATCTTCAACACTATTCATCCTCGCCAGTTGTCTGAGCAAAACCAGAACCTGGTGCTGCTGAGTCATCGCCTGCGATTGGGATTGGACGTGTCACCGGCGGAAGTGGACCGCGCACATCGCCGCGTGGAAGCGACCACCACCACGGCCACCACCAGCACCAAAGCCAAGGTGGATGCAGAGCGGGCAGCGTCAAGCTATGCCACTCCATCGGAACTGGATGCACTCCAGGACGAGGTTCGAACGCTCGGCTTTTGGCTCTCACATTTGTTGGCTACCTCCCTGTTTATGCCCAGTCTTGTCAGCACCACGGTGAAGCATCCTCTGACGTCGCGGGGACTGTTCTCTGCCTTGTGGGTCTAGCTGGGCACGGCGGTGGAAGAGCTGGTGGAGACATATGATTTATGTCGCACTCGGGCCGTAGAAGCCTCGGACGATGTGAAGCGAATGCTCGGACTGCGCCAGGACGCCGCCCTCCCGCCTCTGTTTGTTCGCACAAACGATATTGAGACACGCGTCCAAGTTGTCAAGTATGTTTCAGCCTTGTGATGACGGCACACGATGCCTGGCCGCTGTGCTGTGCTGTGCTGTGCTGTGCTGAGCTGTTCTGACTCTGGGGCGTGCGAACGGCTGTTGGGCATGGCAGGGAAATGCGGGTACATCTGCAGGCTTTGCGTGATTCTGTTGCCGATGAATTTGCTCGTGGTGAGTGCTTGCGGCGTGCGCCTACATTCGCCAAGACCTTTGTCCAATGCCGTTTTCTTAATGGCATCCCATTCTTCTCATCGCGACGGGATTTCTGTTTGGCCCTCGCGCGCTCGTAGAAGCGGGCGATGAAGCCTGCCAGATCCAATAGACCCAACCAGAGCGAATAAATTATAAATATAATACCCCTCTTAAATAACAATCAACGATTTGTCTGACAATGAACCGCTGTGCGCCTTGTTACCGTCATCCACTGCAAGAAGAAAAAAAAAAGCGCCCATGTGGTCCACACAAACCATAAGGTAGTAAGGCGTAAGTCAAGTGGTCGTCATGTGTGTGTGTAAAACAAGTTTGGAGGAACAAAGGAAAAACAGGAATTTGTTTTTCTCTCTCTCTTGTGTGTGTGTGTGTGTGTGCGTGTGTTTTCTTTTGGTGCGCAGGGACCAGCAACGGGATCCGCTCGGTGCCTTCCCTTCCCTTCTCGAGGCAGGGGGATTGATCTTTTGCACTGCTGTCTTTGCTGTCGCTGTTGGATCGCGCACAGCAACAGGCGTTTGTGCTGTGGTTGGTGAGGGCAAGGGATACATACCCGAGCACCAGCGCGCCCACCCCATCTCTGGAGGAGAGGGACGTCGACGAATATCCTTTCTTCGCTTTTTTTTTTTTTTTTCGAGTTGTGAACAACCGGCAGCATGCATACGCCGTACCACTTCTTCCTGGCTGGCCTGATGCTGGTCACGGGCTCAATTAACACCATTACCACCAAGTGCGTACACGTCACCGTGTGCAGACTTTTGTGCCTTTGCTTTGCTCCTTGATCCTGTCAAGCATCGTGGCCTTTTTTTTTCTTCTCTTGCGTTCGGATCTGCTGGCTCATCGGCGTTGTCGCGTTGCGATCATGCTCAGATATGCCGATATCACCTGTGCATACGGTGTCGATTACTATCCAAAGGGCGAGTCAGCCTCGAAGAACGCGTGTGCTGGTCGCACCAACGGTGAACATCTTTTTGACCATCCTTTTGTTCAAGCTCTGGCCATGTTCATTGGCGAGTTTTGCTGCCTGATCGCCTATCACATCTATGTTGCCATTGCGCGTCCCGCCCCGCTCAAGGCCGAGGTAATATTGCCATCTCTTCCCCCTGCGATGTTGTTGATTTTTTGCCAGCTTGCATCAATCATAGCGCATTGATCAATTTTTTGATTACTTTCGCGCTCGGCGTCTTGGCGCTCATTCGCACGCGTCTGCTGCCCCCGATTTATGCAATTTGGCTGTTTAGAATGGCAAATCAACCACGTACAACCCCATCATCTTCCTTCTGCCTGCCTTGTGCGATTGCACGGCCACCTCGACCATGTATGTCGGCCTCACGCTGACCTACGCCTCCCAGTTCCAGGTATGTATAGCTTGCATGTATCCGAGCCGAGTGTTGACATGACTGGACACGTGATTATGCATGGGTACGCATCGAGTCACCAATTTCCGTGCCTGGGCGTTGGTCCATAGATGCTGCGTGGCTCGGTCATCATTTTCACGGGTCTTCTCAGCAAGTTTTGGCTGGGCCGCAAGCTCGAAGGCTTCCGTTGGGTATGCGAGTATCTTCCCAGCCTTGCCCGTTTTTTTTTTTTTTTTTTAAAAAATTTCCTTTTTTTTTTCGGTTCAAGTCTCCACTATTCGGGTTTCCGATTTTGGCAAAGGGTTCTTGGTTGGGCGCATGCACTCTTTGCAAACTGATTTTGGCTGTGACTCGGGGCTAATTGTAGATGGGCATGGTCCTCGTCCTGATTGGCCTGCTCTGTGTGGGCCTTGCGGCCTTTTTCAGCGGTTCCTCTGGTGCCAGTGCCCCCAACCCCATCCTTGGTGACATCCTCATCATTGCTGCCCAGGTATGATGGCCATCGTTCACGGGCCTACGGGTTTGAAAAGAGCGTTGAGCTCGGCGTCGTGGCTGTGTCCTTGTATCTACTCCTCATGACGCCACGCGCCTGTTGTGCTTTGTAGGTCATTGTGGCCTTGCAAATGGTGATTGAGGAGAAGTTTTTGAGCAAGTACACCGTGCCTCCACTCATGGCCGTCGGCTGGGAGGGTTTCTTTGGCATGGGTATCATCACGACGCTGTGCCTCATTTTCTGGGAAGTGCCCGGCACTCGCGCCGGAGGCAAGTTTGAGAACATCAATGACGCCTTCCTGCAGCTGGGCAACAGCCATGCCATCCAACTGGCCATTGCGGGCACCATCGTATCCATTGCCTTTTTCAACTTTAGCGGTATCAGCGTGACCCAGGAGATGTCTGCTACCACCCGCATGGTGCTCGATTCAGTTCGCACCCTCACCATCTGGGTCTACGGCATGGCCGTGGGCTGGGAAGACTTCCAGTACATGCAGGTCATTGGTTTCTTCTTCCTCATTATGGGCACCTTTGTATACAACGATCTCTTGATCCTGCCAGCCCTGCGCCGCTGGGGCCTGCTCAAGCCCAAGCCAGAGGAGGGCAAGCCTCTGCTCGTCAACGACTCTTAAACCTTGTCAACGACTCTTTCACGTGTCGTTTTGCGGCGCCACCAAGTTTCTTCTGCAATGCGTTGGTAGCCACGCTTGGTTGTTGCAGTCAACGCCATGCTAGTTGACAGCGTTTGCTTCTTCGCCTTGCTTTGATGCCGCCTCTGCCTTTGGCACTTCCAACTTGTCCCTCCTCCGCAGTTGCTTATCTCAAAGTCTTGCTCAATAAAATCGAATTTGCGTTAGCGTCACAATGGTTTGGGCAACAGATCAGACCTCGCGGGCCAATCCCAGAAAAAAAATCACATCCAAAGAGCCCCCCTGGCACCCACCCACCCACCCACACACACACAGCAGCAGCAGCAGCAGCAGGAGCACCAATAGCAGCAGCAGCGCAGGCAGCAACCACAACAACAACATAAAACATAAAACAGAAAACGCTCCACATACAAACAAAAGAAAAAAAAAAGCACGTGTCCCGCCTTCGCAAGCAGTTGTGCTCCGGCATGGCTTTGCCTTTGTGGTGGTGACCCAGTTCTCTTCTCCGTCTCGCGCAGCGCTACGGCCTCCACCGCCATTCCACATGGCTGTCGCAGATCCCATCATGGCTGTGGAGCCGGCTGTGATGCTCATGGCCGTGCGTGGCATTGCCAATAGTGAACAGCGCATGAGTTTGCTGACTAGCGTGATCAGCCAGTTGCCCCCACCTCCTGCCCTCGTTGCTGAGGACGTCCAGGTGCTTGCCAAACAGCAAGTGCTGCAGGCGCTTGCCCATTCAGAGCACGCCGATAATGCCAAACTTGCGCTTTTGCAGGCCTGTCGCCCCTTCGAGTGGCTCGCCAGACCCGTGAGCGCGCATTTGGCCCAGGAACTAGCCGCTTATCACCATCTTGCCTGCACCTTGCGCCTCAATCTCGAGGATCCAGAAGAATGCCACCTCGTGAGTCACACAAACTTTGATCCCTGGGCCCTCTGCTCCTGACTTCTCGCTCGGGGCAGGAGTTGTTTGGTACACATGCGCTGTCTCACCGAGCCTCCCGCCACCCTTCTTCTTCTTCATTGCGCTGCAGGGGGAGCGGCTGCCGCTTGGCACTGTCTGCCTGGGCCTTGAAGTCTTGCAAGAGGACATGGCTGGTGCAGAGCAGGCCCTCCTTTGGAACCAGCTGCTCCAACTTCTCAAGGCGGTCGGCCACAAAAAGCAGCTCGCGCTTTTGGGCGTTCTGGTGGGTCCAGTGCGCGCGGCCATGGAGAGCATCGCGCGGGGACCAGCCGGTACTCAGCAAGCATGGGACTTTGTGCTTGCGCTTGGCTCGGAGGAGGTCGGCCGAGATGCTGCTCTTTGTCTGTTGTGTGCGCTTTTGCCCATTTGGATTGCATCGGGCTATCTGGCAGCTGCAGCCCGCTCCCCCATCTTCTGGCGTATCGTCCTCCACGGCTTTGCCAATCTGCGCAACGCCCTACCCCGCAAACGCGCCAGTCTTATTCTTCAACTCATGCAGGCCGCCCTCCCCAATCTCACTGAAACCTTTTGCGTGGAGGACTTGTTTGAATGGAACCCCAACCACGCTGAAGCCATCCAGCGCACCATCTCCGACCTGATTCTCATCTCCGAGTGCTTGGACGACACGCAGATTCACATCATCGCCCCACTCATGCCCCGGCTTCTGCGCATGTTTCCTGCCCACGCGGTGCTTTCTGCTGCAAAAGCAAGCTCTGGGAACGACGAGAACGTGCAACATCGTGAACCACACGGCTGGACTACCATCTTTCCTTGGGTCAACGCCCTACTTGCGCGCATGCTTCAGCACGAGAAGGCCAATGTCCAGACCTTGGGTGTTCGTACCGCGTGCCAGTTGCGCTGTGTTTCTGTGGACGACGTTCGCGCCCTGCTTGCCACCTCCCTCTGCACAGGAAGCCTCGTGCATGCCATTGATTCTCCCAATGCTTTTCTCATTCGGCCTGACCACCCTTCGGGCACACTTTGCGAAGCGGCCCACCAGGTCATGGCTTTTTACGAGGCCTTGCTCTATACCGCCAGCACCGATCAGGCACTGACTACGCAGCTTCTCGATGAATTCCTGCTGGCCCTGTGTACTAGCGTGTCCTTTGAGGGTAAAACACTGTTGCTCGTGCGCGCGCTGCTTCGCGTGTCACCCTTGCATCTGGGGCCCCATCACGTGCAGCTACTCCAGCGAATCGCGGCCCAGTGCGCCATTTCTCCCGACCTCACGCTCGCTTCCGCCCTCTATAATGAGCTGATTCGTGCGGCTGTGCATCACATTACTCCGACATCAGTCACCCAGCGAGGCGTGGACGTGGCACAAGTGGCTGCGCTCTTTGCCCTTTGCCCGACGGGCGATGGCCTCTTGGTGGGCCCGGAGCACGAACAGTGGCAGCTGATTCAGGAGCATCTTTCCGGGCTCTTGGGCGCGCACCTGGATGGGCCCACCGCTACAATTCAGCGTCTATACGAGGATTTGTGCCAGGCAGAAATTGTTTCCGATGCGGAGGCGGAGGCCACATTGGCGACGCTATTGGTGGCCGTTGTCCCTTGGACGGCTGCACCCGACCATGCGTTGCTGGCCACCATCACCGAGGACATGCTCGGTCTCTGCACGCGAGCGTACATGGGCGAGCAACAGAAGCTTCATCTTGTGGCCCTGCTGGCCAAGCTTGCTGAACGATGCACCGCTCGCCGCAACTTCATATCTTTGGTTCATGGCGTGCCACCTGCTCCCACCGCCTGGCCCACTTGGCTTGCACAGCTTGTTGTCAGCGCACAGGAACCCGTGACACAGTTTATAGTCACTGAATGTCGTGGCTCACCAAAGACTCTTTGGGCGCAAACCAGCCGATTGCGCTTCTTACTGCAGAATGCCAGCGTGGTGTTGTCAACCGAGATGCGAGAGCTGGCGCACCGACATCTTGGCACGAGCCCGGGAAGTGTTGCCGCCATTGCTGCTGTGGCTGGTGCAGAGCTTGTCAAGGCTCTACTCGAGGATTCGAGCCCCGAGGGCCGTGCCCTTGGCTTGGCACTCCAGGGTGCCTTGCCCTTAGGCAGCGAGCCTCGCTTGAGCCTGCTCCGCGCCATGGAAGTTCAAGTTCCTCGCTTTGCCACCTCCGAGTCAAGTTCGATGGAGGCCGTGGGTAATTTTGTGGAAACTTTTCGCTGGAAGGTGATTGCCAGTTGCATTCAGGCCTTGCGCCGTGGTGCCGTGGCGCTTAATGCCAGCGAGACGCGGGCCGTCCTCGAATTCACCTGTATTGCGTTGGATGGCCTATCGCAAAAGGAAGCCTACACTGCTTTGGCCTGTTTGCCAGATCTAGCTGAGGTCGTAGATTTGACCGCGCTGTCGGGCAACGAGTTTGCCGCTTTGGCTGATCGTTTGCTCACTTACGCTCGAACCGGCCGCTCTCGCGATCGCACCGCCCAGTCAACCCAGTACGCCTCATCAGTTCCTGTTCGGCCCCTGTTTGGTTTGGTTTTTTTTTTGCCATCTCTCTCAAAGGGGACAATCAGATTCTTGTATCCTCCTGACCGCCCCACGCAATGCTTTGTGTCCTTACGTGCTACACGCAACTTGTCGTGTGCTTCTTACTCACAAGATGCAACTTTTTTGTGTGTTTCTCACGTAGATTGAACTTGGGGTCTGTGTGCAGCTTGGTGTTATCAGTCAAGGCCTTGCGCGCTTACGTCGACAATACTGCCTACTGCCAAGCCATTGAACACAACCTTCGCGAGCTGATTGCCTCCGTATCAACAGTGGGCTTTTCTGCCCGCCGTGGCCTCTTGGTGCCCCTTGCAGCCGTACTGGCGCGTCATCTGCCCGACCTGGCGGAGGCCCCCACGGGATTGACCACGAGCATTGGCCTGCTGGCGTCCTTTGGAAACTACACCAATGCCTGGCTTCGGGCATCGGATGCATTTGATGCCCACGTGCTGGCCACGCATCGCGTTTCGATTCCCCACCCCCCTGGTTTGTTGAGCAATGGCATCCCTGTCAACTATGCTTTGGGCCAACGGACAACTTCGCAGTTGCATTTTTTTTTTTTTTTTTGAAAGCGTTTCTTTGAGCAGGTTTGTTGTCGTTGATACCACCTTATTGTGCGCGCCGACGGCTGCTTGGGCCTGATATAGGTCTGGCCAACATTCTGGACGACCGCTTTGTGCGTACTTATATCCTGCGTTACCTTCTTGGGTTTGATTTAAACAATTCTGCGCACTGGACCATGGCTACCCGTACCATCGAGGTCAGTTTGTGTTTCAAGGCATCGCAAACTCAAACCAGGTCATCCAGGTCGGCAGGCAATCTTGGCTTGGCGCGTTGATAGCAACTCGTCAATTCATGCAGTGTGTGTTGTGACGTTGGTCCCTTCCTAGGCTACCTTGGCTTTGTACAAGGCCTCGGACGCAGACGAAACCTCAAACCATGTGGGCACGATTGCACACCGGGCCAAAATGCGTTGCAGTCAAGTGTTGCTTCTTCTGCTCGTGTTCCTGCTGCGCGCGGGTCAAGCCGACCGGCCAATTGTCGACACCCTAGTGAAGTGGGGCCAAGAGCAAATGGCATCGGAAAAGCGCGTCTCGCTCCGCTTCATGGCCATTTGGATGCTGGTGCTCAAGGCCAGGGACGAATCGCGCTTGGCTCTGGCAGCCTCGTCAACAACGTCGAATGCAGGGTTGACCATGGAGCGCGTGCCCGTCCTTGGGTGGATGTTGCAGCAAGCCGAGCGCGTAGATACCCGCCCATCCTTTGTCTGTGGTATCATGGAGTTTTTGGCCCTGTATACCCGCCAAGTGGATGTTCTGGCTCCCATGGCAAGCGTGGCATTGATTCAGCAAGTGGAGGCCTACGTCCTGCCTCACGTGGTCAATTCGAACATGACTGTCCGATTGTATGCTGCAAGCACCTTTAGCTTGCTGCAGCGCCGCGTGGCGGCAGCTGGCTTGAGCGAGCCTGCCTCGCTGCCGGGTCGAATTCTGCACTACATTCAAAACAACGCCGATGCCGTGCGTCACTCTGGTTTTCTGCAGTCTACCTTTCTCTTTGGCCGCTTTGATGCGCATCGCGAGCTGAACCTCAAGTTTTTGTTTGAGGCCTGCATTCCACTCTTTGAGCTGCCAGCCTCTGAGGTGGTGCTGTTCCCTGCTTTTACTCAGCCCCCACAGTGCGTTGCGCTTGACCGTTGCCCACCCATCAGTTTACTTTTTCTCAAAAGAAGGACGGACCTTCCCTCAGCCACCATGCTGTGTGGAGTAGAGAGCATTGCCTTGTGTCATTCATCTCAGCCTCTGACCAGATTTTGTTGCCGCTACCATGCTGCGACGCTCCGATACCATTTTTAGGTGGCTCGCCGAACAGTGGGAGCTTACTATGGCAGACCTCAATTTGCCTACTTCGGGTGATGTTGCGACCGATTCGGTGCGTCTGATAGCAGATGCTGCAGGCAACAATGGTTGCGGCAACGAGCTGTCTGACTATTGAGGCATTTGGGTGCTGGAGTCCCGTTTTGTATTTGCAAGGGGCTCTATCCCCTCAGCTCTGGTCCGAAGGGGTATATGTGGTGCCTGCTCACATCTGCTTTGTCCTGTGTCTAGGAGGGTGAGGCCCTGCATGAGGTGGCAGCGCAGCTGGAAACAGGTAAGCCCGCGAGCAGCGCTCAAGCCTTGCGTTTATCATGTCGTCCAGCGCAAGCTACCCCAACACTCATGGGCTTGGTGAACCCGAGTCAACAGATGTACAGAAAAAAATTGTGACAGCAGATACAGTGGCCGAGGCAGCCAAACTAGCCTTTGGTGAAACGGTGCGTGCGCGAGAATTTTGACGGCACACTTGTGACTGCCAGACGGATATCCGACAATACACGCCACGGTTCACATCCAAATTCTTCCCTGTTTGGTCTTATGGCAATAGACGGGCCAGCTAATGCGAATCCACGACCGAAAACGCTTCCCCTTGATCGTGGCGGCGAGCTTCGTCAACATTGTGCGTTGTACAAACTTGAGTTGCCACACGGTATTTTTCTTGGCCTTGGGACTCACATGTCGGATTGTGGGGCAGCCGTACAACTTAGGTGGACTGACGCGAACATGCGAGATTTTCAATGCCGATCGCCTCGTTATGCCAGATAATCGGGTGCTGCAGTCCAAGGTTTGATGCCTTTGATGGTTGACACGGGGTGGCAGCAGCGCACAGAGAGGGAAGGATACGGATACTATCAGGGGATGACCTTTTTCTTTAGGTCCAATGTTGATGGAGCATGAGTGGGGCGCTGGGCTTTTATAGGAATACAAAGGCGTGAGTGTGAGCAGTGAGCGATGGATGCACTTTGACATCGTCAAGCCCGAGGACGAGTTGGTCGAGTATCTTGTCCGCAAGCGTCGCGAGGGCTACACCATTGTGGGTCTTGAACAGGTGAGGCCTCTTTCGGGGTGTACCACCACCCCAGATGTCATGAGATGTTTCTCGCCTTCATGCTTGTGACGGGATGTTGCGTGCCGCTGGCGTAGACGGCCGAATCAGTGCCTCTTCAAGAGTACACCTTCCCAGAGCGGACAGTGTTGGTGCTCGGCGAGGAGCGGCGGGGTATTTCACCCAAAGTTTTAGCGGTACGGACTTTGCGATGGTCGTACTTGTACTTGCATGGGGGTTGTGGGGTTGTGGCCTTCTTGGCCTGGGGGCGGAATGGTGTGTGACACCATTGCGCACCACGACAGACTGAATTTGAAGGCAAACTCATGTGCCTCGCGCACCCAATCTTAATATTTTTCTTTGTTCTTGATCATCACTGCACCCCCTTTGCTCGGCGAGCAGGTCATTGATCGTTGTGTAGAAATACCTCAGTTTGGGGTCACCCGATCTCTCAACGTTCATGTGAGCGCGGCAATTGCGGTACGCACGTCGACGGTCCTTGAGAGTGCTGTTATATACGGGGCGAGCCAGTCCTTCCACTCTTGCTCAGTTGCGACTGATTTGCGTCTTCCTGATCGATCGGTTTGTGCAGATTTATGCCTACGTCCGCTGCCGGCTGCAGCCTGCGGCTCTCTAGTGCCGTCACCTGGTGTGTCTTGCCTGATGTCTAGCTCCAGTAACTGTTTAAGATGACTATAATTCCACAAACATCGATCTTGAAATGTGCCATCCCAACCCCCACCGAGCTTCATCGCAAGGCTTGGGCGACGTGGGGATTCGAATACACACGGACACGGACACAGACACAGACACACAGAAAAGAAGCGTTTGTCGTTTGGTGGAATAGAATTCTCCCATCCAAACAATTTTTCCGTTTACAAAATAGTCGCTCATCATGCGTTTTTAGTTTGCGCGCGAGCCAGCAAAGAGCTCAGCGGGTCGAAGAAAGCCAAGACTCTACTGGTGCATGGTGTGATTGATCGATTCCAACAAAGCGCCTCGAGGCATATCTGACTGTGATGCTATGGTACACGCACTGATACCTTGAATAGCGTCCTCAGCACGGAGGTTTTGACATTCACATGTCAAACATTCCTGAACCCTATTCACTGTCACACAACATCATCTCTCGACGATGATGTTGCCCCAAACCTCGACCTGGGTCACAATACGTGTGAAGTGCGATCGAACCCTATAGGATGACGTAAGGTGCCCCATGGGATGGCATGGGTCATGACACAGGCTTATGATCCCCTTCTCCCTCCTGCCTCGGCACAATGATGCGCGTGATGTGGTGAGTTCGGTGATGTTTTTACCACTTTTATTCACCAGCCTGCCCCGTGCACACCGAGGTCCACCAGCATCGCAGCCACTTCACTGTCATCCACGCGCACGGTGCCATCGCCTCGATCCCCACATCGAGGCATGGCCGACCACCATCACCTTTGGAGGGACGAGTCCATCCGTGCCCCCTTTACAGGCCATGCCTGGCAGCATACTTTTGCGCACGAAGGGCGCCCGCAGTCCGGTTCTTTGCATCCCGAGACGCAGCTCGACCAAAACACACGGCTGCCGAGCAGGATGTTGGCCCCGTTCCTGGAGAATCAAGAGCGGGACTGGGCCCAGACGGCAAATGAAATCTCACGCCTGCTCTCGGACCAGCCGTATCTCTTGACGGGGCAAGTCGAACCGCGCGAGCTCTTTGAACTTCTCGATGGCTGTGGTATCGTATCAGCCAGCGGTGCCACGAGCAACCATGCGCAAACAGGCTCAACATTCCCATCAACTGCCACACGGTACTTCTCAGATCAACATCAAGACCAAGACGCCATGGCAGCCTCTTCGGCGCCCAGCATGGGCATCGGCATGCGGGGAAGCGGACCGGCTTTATTCTACACTCAAGCCTTCGACACATCCCAACATTTGTCGTCAACTGCGGTCTCAAAGGAAAGCGCATTGCAACCCTGCAGACCAGAGGGGGTCACCCATTCTGCCATGGCATGGCCACGTCAGGAAGCAAACGGCTTTGGCTTTGAAGCCGCGATCTCAAAAATGACGCCCTTACTGCCACCTCAGACGGCCCCAGAGGTACTATGCTGGACCCCGAACGAAGATTTAATGCTACGCGCCATCTTGCGGGAGCTGGTGGACCGCAGCTCGAGGCTCAGTGCAAAGGACGCTGCTTCTGAGCCATGCATGGAGTTTCAGCAGCCGTGGGACCTTGTTGAGCGGCTCACCGAGCAGATCTTGGCTGTACCCAATGGCCAGCCAAGAACTGTTGCTGGACATGGCCGCAGCCATTGTACTTATCCTCAAGCTGGATGATGACCGTCTCCAACGAAATCAGGCTCCCCATGACCTAGCTCGCGGCTGGCCGCGGGTCCAAAATGGGATTCACTTCTAAAAACAGTGGCTCCCTCAGAAGAGCGGTGAATGTATCCCCTGTCTATTCGAATGATTTCCTTTGCATGCCGCTGCTGTGTAGCACGGCCTTGTCTAGCTGCCAGCGCAAATAATTGTATACGCGCACAGATGTGCTTCGATTCAACCGCACACACCGCACAATTCATGGGAGGAACGAAAGAAGAAATCGCAGCGATGCAATACCGGCATTTGATACCCATTGCCTGACAAGATTCGGCTAATCCTCCATGATCTATGCAGGCATTTGAGCGATGTTGTCTGTCGTGAGTGACAAAAAAAAAAAAAAAAAAAAAAAAAGCAAGAACGAAAACGACTTCGTACAATATCAAAATATTTGTCGCAGCCGACGTGGCAAGAACGCTCGGCTTTGTGGCCCCTGCGACGTATGGCCCAAGCGGGACGAGCGATGTAACGCGCCGTTGTGGTACAAGCGGTGAGATCAGAGCCGCAGCTGTTAAGCACTGGCATGTAGCTGACGACGGTGCATAGCAAAACTTACTGTACTTCTTTGGACTCTTCACAGGCCTTGGCGCAAGCCAAACGCATGCTCAGAAACCAGTCACTCATCAGCTGGCGCTTCTCTCGCAGCTGTGCGTCTGAACAGCCATGCAATTAGCGGAGCCTGACAGTGAGGACACCCCTGGAATCAACACAGGTTTATCATTTCCCTGCTACCCTGGGGGGCGGACGCTGGCCCGATCACGCACTTTCAAGAACGCTGTCAATGTCCTTGTCCACCTTGTGCGCGATTTCAGAAAGCTTGCGGCGCTCGCTGTTGTTTTGCTGAATGCGCACATCCGCTGTTGAAGCATAAAAGCAGCCTTTAATGCAGGCCTACGTCGACAGATGAAGTTCAGCGTTGGTCAGGCTCACAGCACCGAAAAAGCTGGCACAACTGTGCCAAGACAGCACAAGAGTGAGGTTGCAAATGGGACTCAGCGCACCTCTTTGTGACGCAGCATCTTTTCCGTGTGCTCATCAGTATTGCGCCCGCCAGCGACGAGTGCCCGTTGCAGACTGCCAAAACGCGAGCGCCACGATTTCGATTTGATGGGTCAGGCGCGGAACACAAGGCCAGTGCGCATGACGACGATATCGTGCGGTTCTACAAGGCCGCCGCCTGCTTGGACAACAACATACCGTGATGGATTGCACGAAACCTCACACATGCGACGCAAGAGTGCATGCAAATCGATCTCCATCCCAGCGGTCAGTGCGTTCGCGATTGCGGGTTTGCGAGGCCACCTCGACGCGAAAAATCTTGATAAATAGTATACTGCATCAACTATATTTTAAACAACAACAACTCGGAGCTGATCAAAAAGGCAGGCAAGCTAATCAACAAATAAGAGCGACAACAACTCAAAAATTGACTGCAACATTCGATTGGTCCAGTTCGAACATCGCTTTCCCTTTGTTATCGTTGTTGTGAGGGTTCTGGTCAAATCAATTCGGGGCTGGGAGCGCAGATCAGGCGGAGGGTAGGTAATAAATAGATAAAAGGTTGTTGATGCTGTCAAATGGCGGGAAACGCGGCTGATGGGCATCCGAGGCCCGGATCATTGTCACTTTGTCGGCGTGAAGCGACCGGCGCACATTGGCCCACTTGGTTGGTACGTTGCAGCTGCTGGACCAATTTGAACCTGTCCTCCATCCAAACCCGATTGCAACAAAGTGAGCCCCAACTTGCCTATCATGACTGTACAAAGGCAGACAGGAAAGAGGCAACTGGCCAGCGCAAGCAGGACAGGCCAGCTTACCGCTGAAAGCGATTTGCCACTCGTGTAGCAACGTCGTGGGTAAAAACGTTGGCATGCGGGCTCTCCACGTGCGGAACATGTGTAACCCAGGCTATCAGATCCACACGCACACGCAGGATCAGCTGCCGTGCGACGGGCGGCAAACCTGGCAAACACAGTTGGCTTGGAGGACGTACCGCCTTTGACAACGGCAAAACGAAAGCCCTTGGCCGCCAATGTCATGGTATAGGCGATCTTGTTCAGCCCGTAGCCCTCAAATTGCTCAGCAAACAAGGGGAGCTCAGGATTATTGCGTAGCGCGACATAGGGCTCAAATTTATCCTCGTACTCGATCAGATAGTACGGCTGACGGTTCTCTGGGTTCAAAAACTACCACGGCGACAGCATCTACGTCAGTCATGCTATGCCTCATGCCGGCAGTAGTGCACAGCGTGTGCTCATCAGCGAGCGCATGGACAGGATCTAACCTGTGCATAGTTGGTTGCACGATGCGAAAGAGGGGATTCGCGGCTGCGAAAAGGGACAACCTGATCAGCAGCGTACTGCGAACGCAGCGCATCCATCGACGCCGGGAGCAGTCGATCTACTGTAGGTCCACTCTGGCCTTTGAGCTCGAAAGCGGGCACAACCCATGCGATGCGCGCAACATCCTCGCCGTCCGTCTCGGCAGCTGCAACGGCCGCTGCCAGTGCCTCCTGTATTGCGTGCAGGGTGCAGTGCCCGGTCATGAGAATATCAAAGCCCTTTCCATTCCCGTGCCTCCCATCTCCTCTGCCTCTGTGCCCACAAGCCTTCTCCCACTTCTCATGCCATCCCGCAGTGTTCAGAGGGAGGCAGCCCACCGGCAAGTCGGGGCTGGGCAAGAAGTCGGCGTCCAGGTAAAACATAAAGTCTGCCGCGGGTGACGAGGGTCCCAATTGCATCGCAGCGTTGCGCAGTGCATTGATGGGGTACGTCTACAGCGACGGCAGCACAGGGAGAAGGACGGGGATGAGAATGCACCCCGATCTCAGCATGGGTGGACAGGTGACGGCACTCATACCGTGTGCGGGGTCGTCATCAGACCAATGTCCCAGCTTGCGGGGCGAGAGAGTTTGCGAAAGGCCGAAAGCTGTTTTTGTGCGTAAATGACCTGCCATGACAGCGTCTTGTTGTTGGCGCTAAGGCCGTGGGGCACGTACACAACAGCCATGCCTCGGGTACCGGGCCATCGACGCAGCAGCATCCGCAATGCGTCTAAGCGGTCAATGGACAGCTGCGTGGCCAAAGCCACGGTGGCGCGAGGTTGGGGCTGCGTGCTACCACGGCTGCGAAAGGAGGAGGAGCGCGTGACCCCAGCCTCGACGTTTGGCACGGTGGCCGCGTGTTGTGGTAGACTGTAGTTGGCCAGAAGAGAGAGCGGGCGGCGGGCGAGGGATGGAGCAGTGAACCCCGAGCAGGGCGTTGCCCGCCTTAGCCAGTGCCTGTCTTGCTGGAGAGTAAGTGCGGCGTCACGCAGGGTAAGGCGAGCATGGGAATGTTGACAGCCCAGTGTAACGAGTGCTAGGCATTGCCGCTGAGCAGGGCCTGACAGATTAAAGGCGGCCTGTAGTGTTGCGTGCCAAGGGCCAGGCTTGCGGTCAGTGCTTGTTGGCTCGGGGTTGGCGGGCGAGCTGTTGGAAGAGCTGCTCGTGAGCGAGAGTGGCAACCACTGTGCCGGAAGATGGCGTGCGGTGTCATCAGCCTCGCCCTCGCACTGCCAACTCAGGTACGCAATCAAGGAGCGTGCTGGCTGCCAGGCGCGGTCCGCGGTCGCCTGTGGGGCAGTCCAAGTAAAAAACCCAAAGATGGAGATATAAGAGAAGTTTGAGGGAAAGCTTAGCACGCGAGTGCGGGGGTAGGTCGCCTCACCTCCAAACGTAGCACGGCTAAAACGGGTTTGCTGCAGGCCATCAAGCGGGTGTTGGTGACCACATGACGACATGAGAGTTGAATGCTTCTTGTGCAGGAGGGCGGTGTCAGGGAGCCAAGTGGCTGGTAGCAGACGTTACCTGGTGGGCAAGGGTTCGGTAACCACGGCCTGGAAGACGTTGTGCATGGCTGTATTGCTGCATTGGGTTGTCAAGATCGGGCCACGGCCATCGATAGGAGCGCCGAGGGGATCCAGCGTTGGGATGGGTATGTCGGCTTCCCAAATGGCGTGCGGGCGCCACCACCCAGCCAAGCACAGACCATGGTTGGGAGTGACAAAGTGGTGAAGGAGGTCGTGCTGCGGCGATTCAAGTATCGTTCGGCGGCTGTATCGGCGCAATGAGTGGGTCAGACCGTACCAATGCCCATGCCACGCGGCCAGAACCAACAAGCTAGCCAGAAGGCCGGCTGTGGCCAAACGGCGTGGCGAAGAAGCCCAGCGCATCCCGACAAAAGTCGGGATGCGATAGAAAGAGAAAACTGGGAGCCGGAGTAGCAGCAGAGCCCCGAGTCGCGGCCTCGGGTAGCCACTGGTGAAAGTGGTGAGGAGTAAAATGCTGCCCGCCACGCAATGTCGCTGGCCCACCGCCTCAGTGACGCGCACGTCCACCCAAGTGGCCGTTACCCGCGCGATCGCGCCAGCGCCGGAAACGCCTCGTTGCATGCATGCACGGACGTGTATGTGTGTGTGTGTGTGTGTGTGTGTGTGTGTGTGGATGTCATCATTTTTCTTGTTGACGCGGTACTATTGGTGGCGGCCAAGACCCCTGGATCAAGGAGGCGTTGACTCCTGCCAAGCATGCTGAGTTAGCCCCATATTTCTTCAAAGTTGTGTGGCGGTTTCTGTCCTCGCTTCTGTCATGGATCTGGTGCTGGAGTTTTACGACGAGCATGGCCAGCCCTTGGGGCTGCCTCGCTGGCCGGGCGGTGTTCAACAGTGGATTCCACATGTTCCGCTCGTGGCCGACTCCATGCACCCGCATCGCATGACCCTGAGTGCTGCCTTTTTGTCTCATTTCGAACTCAGCATGAGTCATTATGACTCGATCCGCCACCTCAAAGAGGTCCTGGTTCAGGTACGGCGTGCTTAGATGATCCCACCGCACCCTCGATCAACCCACTGCCTGATCGCTTCAACCACCCAAATTTTCACGCGCCCTCTGCGACAGACGGTACCCTTTTTATCCCCAAACCTTGCAGTGAGCCGGCGAATCGACACCGTCTCGTTCTGCGGCCAAGAATTGCGCGATGAAATGATTCTGAGCGACTCTCAGGTCAGCCACCACTCATGTCCTTCCGTTTTTTTTTTTCTTATGCAATGAACATGCTCACCAATTCGGCCCTTGCCAGGTGCGAATCATCAACAACAGTCAAAAAGGTATGACTACGCTGCAGGGCCAGAAGGAACACCTTCACGTCATTACCAAGCCCCTCGTCCATCTCTGGGATGGTGACAAAGCTATCATCCTTGAGCTCGAGAGCTGGGATCCCACCACCGTCACCACCGACGACCTAGCCAGCGCGCTCTACGAGAAGGCCCGCCGATCGCCTGCCAATACCCACATTGTTCGCCGTTACCCCACTGTCCGCCCCATGCTGTGTACTCCGGGCCACCACCTCTATGGATTTGCCGGCCAGGTAGGGCCAACCCTGGCTCGGCGAGAGCTGATGGCACCATCTTCCTTTGTTGACAGACCTTGCGGGGGTTGACCGAATGTTGCAATGTTTCTGTGCCGTTTGACCTGGGTACAGAAGGATAAGGGGATCTGGACCAAGGCGCCACACCCTGGAGTGCTGCAGGGCTGCGATCTCACCACTCCTCCAGACTTGCGCTTGGAAATTGCGCCTGCCACTCTTGTGAGCCAAATTCAAGCCGAGGTAAAACGCTGCACGCAGCTGTACTCTGCAGAACCGCTTTTGTTTTCCTAAGCGAGCCCAACGCTGACAAGAAAATTTTCATGTCAAGTAGGAGCAATGGTGGGCCGTCCTAGAAGCGCAACCGGGTTGGGTGGGTCATTATGAGGCACCAGCTGGACCCCGTGAGCCCATGACTGTGGTTCTTCAAGCTCCTCGGCCTTTAACCTGGTACGATGCCAGCTTTCCTGGCGCTCCAGAACACGTTCGCGTCCACACCCTCTGGCAGGTCGGTCCCCCCTGCCGTCAGACCCGTGTCGGCTGCTCTCATTTGGACACAGTTTTGATCTTGTGCCGAAAAAAAAAATACACGGGTGCTTACTCTTGTATTGGTTGGCTTTTATTTGCTCGGGCCCGGGGTGCACCGGGGGGGCGATTGGTACTCTTTGGAAATGACGAAAGAAATCCTCGCGCCTGCCTGATCGTCAAGGGGCTGTGCGGGCCATCGCCGCTCCCTACCATGCCCTCACGCCCGGCTGGAAGGGTGCCGAGTTTGCCGCAGATGCTACCGTTCAACCCATTCAAGGTAGGCTTCCCGTTTCCGAGGCATGCGGTCCTGCCTTGCTATATCCATCTGGGTTGCTCTGCAGGCCGTTGCGCCGCATCTGGGCCAACTTGACTGGCGTCTTGGTGATGCGAAATTGCAGGCTGGGCGTACTTGCCTTCCAAGCGTGAAATTGATCAAGAGGGAGGCCATTATGCGCATGCCACGCCTTTCACCTCGTACGGGGATGCACACATCAAACTGGGCGACAACGGGCAGTCGATGACTGCACGCTATGAGTTGCTTGTCGGTGACAGTGAGGTCAAGATTCTCATGTGCGCTCCGTTACCGGAGCATGCCGAAGGCGACGGCCCCGCTCCCGAACTCATTCTCACTGCAACATTGGGGAAAGGTGTGTGTGTGTGTGTGTGTGTGTGTGTGTGTGTGTGTGTGTGTGTGTGTGTGTGTGTGTGTGTGTGTGTGTGTGTGTGTGTGTGTGTGTGTGTGTGTGTGTGTGTGTGTGTGTGTGTGTGTGTGTGTGTGTGTGTGTGTGTGTGTGTGTGTGTGTGTGTGTGTGTGTGTGTGTGTGTGTGTGTGTGTGTGTGTTTGCGTGTGCGCGCGGCCTCGGTGGGACTTTGAACAATTCAGTTATACCTTGCATGCTAATGACAAGGTACTTCAACTAACCCCTTTCCCTCTTGATGCTCTGCAGGGCTGACACAGTGCTACTACATGCGCGGTACACAAGGCGTCCAGTGGACGGCAGAGATGCCTCCCAATCCCGTCATGTCGTCGCCCTTTTGCCTCTTTCAGCTGACCGAGAATGGTGTTATTCCCGACGTGGTGACCTCTCCAATGGGGCGCCGATACGCCAATATTCAGGATCGTGCTTTCTTGGTGGTGATATGCGATGGAACTTTTGACTTGGCCTACAGCAAGGATTTTATGGACATCCAGACATTCATGGCCAAGCATGCTTCTCAGCCCTGTGTCATCATGGGTGACTTTGGCTTCCTGCGAGACCATCTCTTCTGGAACGTTTCTCTCGTGGTGTTGTGGTACGAACACGCGCTCACCGCGCTCACTCTTTCAACACAAACACGGCTCCTGCGTGAGGCTTCGGCTCATTTGATCGTGTTGGTCCCAATTGTAGGCAAGTGCGCGAACTTTCGCAGGTGGCCATGAACATGCAGGATTTGTTGCGTTGTATGCCCTTTTTTGTGGAGTCACTGCGAGTCGAAGGTTTCCAAGAGCTCGAACTCAAGACCAAGAAATACGGCCAACTTTGTGGGGTGGGCCCGCCGCCCACCACGGCATCCACCAAGAAACACCCGCCCATTCAGCGCACGGCCTCTGTTGCTGCAGATGCCCAGCAGCAGCTTTCAGCCGCAGACACGGCCAAACTTGCTGCCGTGCGCCTGCGAGCTCAAGCAAGCGAAGAAAAATAGAATACAGATCGCGCTCGCACAGTGTTTCTTCGTTGGATTTGCAACGAAACGATAATATGATTTTCCGTCAAGAGAGGACTACATCATCCGCTGGAAGCGGCAGCTACTGCCTTGCCTGGGTCAGAAAACTCAATGTCATGTTGTGGCAGGGAAGAGGACTACTCAAGAGTAAGGCTCGATTGTGCTTGTCACGATCAGGCCTACGCCCCTTGCTTGGCCTCATAGCGCTGGGCCAAGGCTTTGGGAATGTGCTAAAAGCGCAAGAGAAAGATTCAATAGTCCCGAAAGACACCAACCGCAAGGGAATGAGATGCTATGGCAGAACACACAGCATCGGACAGGCCACAACCCTTGCTGCTTAAACGCGGCACGAGAGAAGGTTGGAAGCCACGGGCATACCTTGGTTAAAACTGCATCCACCGCAACCGCCTGCGCCTTGGCTTCGGGGGTGTGTCGAATGTATAGGGGCAGCTACAAGCCGGTCCAGAGCCCAAGGCGGTGCAACAATCGACATGAGCTGACGTCGTTTGCGAGAACCGGGATGACTCATCGACACAAACCTCGCGGTCATTGATCCAATGCTGCCAGCCTTGGGTTCCGGTCACAAAGGCGGCCGCAAATTCCTCCGAGACCTGTGTGAGTGTGTGTGTGCGCGCGCGCGTGTTTTCAAACAATGAGATGCTTGTCAAGGATGCTCTGCAAGGCGCGCCGTTGCAGAGACTAAAATAAAAGTGGTTTCATCCCTTTTCTTTTGTACCCTTTCTTCTGCCTGCAAACCGTAGCAACGGGGTTAACTCACTTCGAGAGCGCCGGACAGGATGACATCGATGTAGCTTTGAGGAATAGGAAAATCGGCATCCGCCGGCTTTGGGTCATTAATGCAGTAGACCCAATATTCATCATCTACACTGAGCGTGACGGGCCCATTGCTGCTTGTGGTTGAGTCTGTCCAAGCCTTAACCGCCTCTAAAGTTGCATCAAGATGATTTTTTTTTTTTGTTAAAAAAAAAAGAAAAAAAAAAAACCGAATAATTGAGCGCGCGCGCGATTGGTCTTTGCAGGTGAACAGCAGATTGAGGGGTTGAATATAAAATTCTATGTTTACCTGGAGCCAGGCGGGTGCGCGTGTAGCCCACTTCCCGCTCATCAAAGCTGGGCAACTCCTCATCAGGCACTTGAAACAAAACACCCGTGCAAGTCACGCTGGGATCCTCGACCTTGACAACACCAACCGCCGTCTGTGTGCACGATGCGCAGGTTAAGCTACCGCCTAGATCTGATGAAGGCGCTTTCCGCACAAGAGATGGAAGCGAGATCACGGCGTCTTTTAGGTCCTACCATGCCAACGAGCTTGGGCTCAAGACTGGGTACATCCCAGGACCAGGCATGCCGCAAAACCCAGCGGCGTTCAACGCCTAACAGCCAGGGCAGATGTACACGACCAGTGGTGAGGGAGGCGCTTGGAAGGCGGCCGATCGCCGTCAGCGAGTAGCGCACCTGAGACTAGCGCATTGATGTAGTTGCCACTCTTCCCGGTTTTGTCACGAGACTGCCCGGAGATGAGTGAGCCGTATCCAAAGATCCAGTGCATGTTGATGGCTATCAGTCCTCCTCCTCCTTCTTCTCTGCGCGAATGCCAGCCATGGCATGTGATTGATCAGACCATGCCAGGACCCCGGCATCCTTCCAAATCCCAATCCCTCACACGACCCCATCATGACCTTTTGAGCACGGCCTTTGGCTCCACTCAACCCCTCTTTCATATCCCCGTCGCCCTCCCATCGCCACCCACCATCGAGTTGGATCGCCCCCTACAAGCCTTGAGCAAACCTGCATCAACAAGAAAAGTTAAAAATACGAAACAAAGAAATACCACAACAAACATAACAAAACGAACAAGATCCTTTGTCACACAAAAACTCGAATTTGTGGCCTAAAAATCATTTCAGTACACATGCGGATATGTGGGTGGCTCATTTGGGATAGCCGATGTAACAGCTCGGCGGGCTCTTGGCAGTTATGGATTCTGATGTTGGTTTGTACAAGCAGGTAGTTGTGTGGCAAACTCATGCCATTTTAGCTTCGAGGGTTTCGAGCCGGCTTTCCAGCTCATTTAGGCGCCGCAACACCTTGTCGGTCTGGGTTTCGACAATTTGCGTCACAGTGGCAGCAATTTCCTCCAGGCTCGTGGGCGTGAGTCCCACCTAGCGGGGGGTCACGTATGAACAAGGCGATGAGAACTAAGAGTCTGCCGCATCATCACTCAAAAGAGTGTGACTTACTGGCTCTTGGCGAGCGGTCGCTCGTAGCCGCTTGATTTCGCTCTCGGCGTCGAGCAATTGCTGTTGCAGCTTTTGAGCTCGGTCGTCCCCCTCAACAGACTTGCTGGCGACGTCCTTGTTAGCTTTGATGAGTCGTTTAATCTCCTTGACCAGGGAGTCGACGCTTGCTTCTTTGTCGGCATCCTCATGAACTTCAAAATAGAGTTTGGAGCCCACAATTGCACCTAAAGGTCAGAATGCCCACCGGCAAGGGAGGCAGCGTGAGCGAGCGCTTTCGGTCTGCTGCCACAAGGCTGCCCTCCCTCAAGTCGGGCCTTACCGAGCCAGCCATCGGGGCGGTAGTCTGACACCGTCTTGAGGGGCACAACGGGCTTGCGAAGGTTAAAGGCGTATCTGCGTAAGCCATCAGCTTTGAGCATCCTGCGAAATGCGAGGTTGGCATTGCCAAGGCGCCATGTCAGGCACAGTTACGTACTCGCCCTCGGTGCGACACGCTGCCGAGTCCTTGTAATCGGCCGAGAGTGCCACCACGACCACGGAGGCGTCTTCCACTGCGCTGGCCATGGCCTCGAGAGTAGAACCAGACATCTAACATGGCAGTTGAGGAGGAATGCATTGCAATGTGCGATCCAAAGCGAACGACAGGGGCGGGGCTGAGACGTACATGGTCCACGTCCATCCAGACAGGGAAGTTTTCGGCCTCGAGGCGCCTCTTGACTTCGAGCATCGTATCTTGCTGCTTCCAAGAATAGCTCAGCATGACGTGACCATGATCTCCCATGGAATTCTGCTCGAAACATCAAGTTGTGAGGTTGCTTTTGCCGTTGGCCGGCCTGAAAGACCGCGGTGGCAAGCGTGGGTCATACCCGCTTGCGAGCAGCAGTCTCTTGATTGGCTTGATGGGTGCGGCTGAACAGCGCGAGTTGGGCAAGGCGCTTGGCCTCGGCCGACTGCCCATGCTCGGCCACGTAAGCCAAGAGCTATGCGTTTATTGTCATCGAGATTGGGATCGTGAACTAGGTGCCAAGCCAGACACCCCTGCGACCGGCACGGTGTGCTCAGGGCAAAACCATGTGAGTTCCACGTACCTTGTCCACGCTCTTTGAGATCTTGTGGAGGTCAGTGACAAAGGCCAAGTTACCGAGAAGCATAACAGCGTACTCTTCGGTCTTGGCGTCCGGGGCAGTGTGCTTGGCCTTGAGAATATCAATGGCAGCCTTACCCGCTCCCGCGTGCAACAGCATCCTGCATCGGCATCGCACCCAGGGTGCAGGGGCGTCAAGAAAGTGAAGTGGGTGATCGCATCAGTAGCTCAGTGCTCATCAGGTGGGACATACGGTTTGTTGCTGTCAGCAACAGAGAGGGCGGCCAAACACTGAAGGGCAGCCGAGGTGCGCCAATAGGCGCCGTAGAACAGCTGCCCCTTGCGCGCCTTGGCAAGACAATCTAGCATAAGCTTAATCAGCGTGCTATCCGCCTGAAAAAAAAAAAAAAAAAAGAACACCGGGGTCATAACAAGGGGAGGTTATGAGCTATGTCTGGAGTCCTGCCGCGTTTCCAGCTGCCTCGGCGCGATGCGGTAAGGTAACAGACGTGCCTGCAACATGGGGTGATTCTCCTGGTTGCCCAGCAGATTGGCAATGGTACTGCCAGCGTCCACCGGGGCCTTGTTTTCGTCTTTGCTTTTCATGAGTGGAAACATGCGGTCGTGGACGCCTAAGCTCGCGGGAAACGGATGGCTTAAAATGAGTTGGGTTGGCTCACGATAATTTTTTGTATCTCAGCAGCCGCGTTCAAAGGGGACCACCCACCCGCTTTGAGCATGGGTGCTCGTGCCTCCTCGCTTTGACTGAGGTTCTGCATGGTGCCCACGATGTTTTTGAGTGCCATAGCCTGCAGCTCTTGATCCCAGGAAAGTAGGTCCAACGTCTATTGGGTGAGATGGCACGCACCAAACATGAGAGCAAATTGCCAACAGAAGCAGTATAAATATTGGAGAGCTTGGGCTATCGGTGCAAGATGGTCTTGTGGATAGTCAATCAGCTCAAAGGGTCAATCGCGCTCACCTCGACAACCTTGACCATGTGCTCCTGCATGGCAACGCGCCCGCTGTTAGACATGGGATACGGGCGGAGACCTTTGGAAGCCCATTCCATGGTTTCGGCACTGGCCGCAGGGTCAAGTAGTGTCTAGGCCCCACACGTGAACACGAATCCAGTTGGTTTGAGGATCATGTCCGACCGTTTGATCGTCAACTTTAGTGGTGCGGTTAAAGTGGGCGCCAAACAGGCGCCAGCGCTTCGAAAAATACCTGCAGCTGGACGGCCAGGGGAACCACTTCCAGAGCTTTGGCGTGAAGGACATCATTTTTTTCATGAAATGTGGCATTGAGCTGGCGAAGCAAGTGCCAAGCTGCCAAATTAGTCACACGTAGGAACACAAAGAAAGCGACAGGTGAGAGTGCAGGTGACTGCGAGATCTTGCTGGCCAGGTCAGAGAAACTGGTGGGTGGAGCGGCTTTGAAGTTGAGGTGAACACACCTTTGCCCGTCAAGTCGCTCTTCTTCGTCTCAAGGGCAGCTTTGATGGCATCGTAGACCCCGGCCTCACACATGGCCATGCGGATGACGGCAGAATGATGATCCTCACCATTGAGCTATTCCACAAATACAATTCAGCGGGCAAGGGCATGTGCATGCAGACGCGAGATATGGCGGGTCAGAGGGGTTGCGCGAAACGGTGATCCCAAACTTGTGCTGGGTCAGGTCATACCCCTTCCAAGAGATCATCAAATGCCTTGAGCTGGCCTTCTTTGGCCTGCGCCACAAGCAACGTCCATTTTGCGGCCATGTTCAAGTCTCCACGCACACTGAAGCTGCGAGGTTAAGACACCAGAGATCGGGCGTTTCCGGGATCTAGAACACAATTTCAAAAGCCAACATTTGACAATGGGAGAGAAAGGGGAGGCGAAAGAAAGAACGAGGGGATTAGGTAGATGAGAGCGGGAGGGGAGAACGAGGAGAGCAGGGCAGGTGGGAGCAGAAGGGAGGAGGGGCGAGGGGCAGCAGCAGGCAGGGGGGCGTGTGTTGGGATCAAAGGGGGCTTACTGGTGCTGTCCTGGTCTTGATGACAAATAAAATCGTGTTGTGTGCAAAGTCCTTAAGGAGAGAAAGGGATCTGACATTGACGCCAAAAAAACGGTTGTCCTCAGAAGGGCCTTCAAGTGTTGAGGAGCGGGTGAATGTGTGTGTGTGTGTGTGGGTGAGAGTCTTTTCAAGTGCACATCTCAACGTGCTGAGTATGGGAGATCGGTACTATATTTTTACGTGTCAGGTTGCAGGTTTAGAAAAGACGTGGCCACCGCCCTCAAAGGTGCAGCTGGTCCAGGCCGCTGGTTTGCTTTACTTGCCGGTTGCACGGCGGCGAAGATGCTCGCTATGGGTACTCTTGCTATTAGCACTGGAGCTGCGGCGGGGCTGAAGGTTGAGTTTGAAGATATCCTGGATCTGAGACCAGCGCTGCCGACGCTCGTGACCCTCCTCAATAAGAGCAGCCATGTCGGCCTTGATCTTGGTCATGGCCAGTTCCAGCTCGTGCGGCTTGGTGCTGTGTGCCATCCGCAGGTTGAAGAGGGCACCACGGCGATTGGTGAGCTTTTCATATTCGCTGGCAACCTCTTGTTGGCGCTCGTCGATGCTCTTGGCCTTGAATTTGAACAGGGCCGTTTCGCGTTCAAAACACTGGTGAATAAGATCGCGTGCGTTGGCATCCAGTTGGCCACTGAGACGGCGGTTCTCCGCCTCGAGTTGCCGCACCTGAAAAAAAAACCAAGGTAGACACCCCACACATGCGTGAGCAGCGGCATAGCAAAGCTCTGTGGCGCCTCAGGCCCGAACAAGGAGAGCAGGGGGCAACGAGGCAGACACCCTATCATCCCCGAGAGCCGCAAGAAGAGGGAAGGGGGAAGGAGAAAGTAGGTGTGTGTGTGTGTGTGTGTGTGTGTGTGTGTGTGTGTGTGTGTGTGTGTGTGTGTGTGTGTGTGTGTGTGTGTGTGTGTGTGTGTGTGTGTGTGTGTGTGTGTGTGTGTGTTATACGAGGGGAAACGTACGCGCGCCTGCAGAGCCGTCATTTCCTGTGCCCCAAGCTCTTGCTTCAGCGCGTCGGCATGCAGTTGTTGGACTTGCTCCAACAAGGCATCCTTGTCATGCTGTCGAACGATGCCACCACGATAGTCTTGAGCAAGCGCACGTCCTGCCCGGGGTGCAGCCAATCCATTGCCAACACTCCAAACAACCAAAAGAACTTACCCCTTCATGGCGGTTATCGTTGAGGAAGCGCTCCACCTCGTGCATCTGGCCACGCATCGTGGTCAACTCGTCCGAGTCAGACTTGAGACGCTCCAGTTCCTGCGCCAGGGCTTTGGATTGGCGCAGATGATGGGCAAGGAGCAGCAAGGAGCTCAACGCCAACAAGATTGAGACGGCGACGATGGCGTACTGCCACCTGCCATCCCACCATGCGTCAAAGGTCAAAGAAAAGCGATGAGGGCCGTGTTTTGTCCCGCATGTCGGAGCAAGCGTAGAAAGTGAAAGCAAGGTCTATTCTTCCATGTTCTATCAAAGTCACGCACAGGTCGGATGGAGGCGGCCCAAAAAGGATAATGTCCATGCTTCGAATCTTCAGGCGGGCGCGTGTCTGCGCACTGAGGGCAAAGTTCTTGAGCAGCGTATCGTTGGTCGCGAGCATGGGCAGCATCTGCGATATGGCAGGCTGGGGTTAAAAGAGCGTGGTTTTTCACCCTGATAGAGATGAGTGAGGCCCGAGGGATGCAATTCGTACAGTGCCGTTGACTTGAGCCTCGCGTAGCAGCCGAGCTGTGTCAACCGATCCAACTTCCCGAAGCGCCCACTCGGCAACTTCTTGAACGGTCCAGTTGCGGGCTGGATGGGGTGGGAGGGAAGCAGAGCACGGTGAGGTTGGTGCGCGTGATCGCAACCTCCAGCACCTGCTTGCCAGATTGAAGAATCAGTGTGGCAATGGGCAGGTTGCGTAAATGAGCTCGCCTCACGCCCGGGCAGTCCGTTCAGACCGCTGTACTTGTACTGACCGGGGTTAGCAAGCCAGGCTTCGTAGATTTCGCGCAGATCGCGAAGCGCATCGAGCTGAAAGTACTCGTGGGACTCGGTAAGAAATTCGCTGGTATCCTCGTCGGACATGTACGCGTCTTTGAGGATCTGTCCACAAACAAGAGGGGTTTTGGGATGATTGAGTACGGCCCATGCATTGGTCGGGAAATGGCGATGAGGATGGATGGCGGGGCGGAGCCTGGCATCGTACCCCTGCCGTTTCAGCCTCGTCAATCACACCGTCCCGGTTGTAGTCGATGGATGAGTGCAGCAGACTGATGGCTTGCATCTCAGCGTTCGTGCTGCTGGTGCCTGGTGTGACTGGACCTTTTCAGGGCCCACAAGATTTTATCAGAAGACAACGGAAAGACGTCCTGTTCCACGCCGTCTTGGTAGACCATCTCAAGGCCAGTGATCGAGACTTACCTCGGGCCACGCTCGCAGAGCCAAGAGCAATCAAAGTGGCCCACAGCCAGCACGCCGATCGGGCCATGCTGCTGGTCGTGCGGCTACGGATGCTGCTCTCACAACGCAACCGCAAAGTCCGATGTCTTGACTGACGTGGGAAATCGAGACGTGGTCGCAACGAGTTCTCCCCGCCTCCACCAGAAGACAGACCCTGCTGGTTCAAACCCTCTATGGTAAATTTCGTCGCTGTTTCATCCAAGGATAGCGGCTCTACCCTATGAGCCCCGGCACGGCTCTACCCTATGAGCCCCGATGCCGTCTTTCTTGACAACGACCAACACTATCTCTCTCACACTCTCTCTGTTGTTGTTCACTGAGGTGGGTAAAATGATGACAATGGCAAATTGTCAGCACTGTGGAGCACAAGAGTGTGAGCCCGGTACACATGACGCAAGTCTCTTTCGGTGTGAAGGCACATCTAGGTAAAAATGGCAGTAAAGTAATTCAAAATGTGCGGCTGCAGTTCAAGTCGCAAATCAAGGGAAAAGGTCCGCTAACACAACAGCGTGCCACCAGGCTCTGCTACCAGCTGTGAGTGCATCCCATTCGGCCTTTGCGCTTGTTGAAGATGAAACGGCAGCGCCTGCGGAGGGGTGCTTTGGCAGGCGCAGCAGCCTCTTGACCCCCTCAATTGACACGATGGCCCTTTTGCCAGCGATGTGGCGAGCATGCTTCAGCCTCTCTCAGGGCCTGCCTGCTCACTTTCCCCGCTGTTGCATTCGTTTGTGTGACGTTCTCAATGGTCTTTCTGCCTTTCTTTTGTTTTCTGTTGTTTCTCTCTTTGCTTTTTTGCTTTTTTTTTTTTTTTGTGTGTGTGTGTGTGTGTCTCTCTCTCATTTCGTTCATTTTTCTTGGCGCCGTGGATTTGTGCAAGTGACGGCATCATGGCGGCGGCTCGTTCTACCCCCGCCCTGCGCGCTCTGGCCCCGGCGCTTTGGCGTGCCTCGGCGACTCGTGCTGCTCCCCTGTGGCAAAAATTGTCCCAGCTCAAGTCTAGCTCTCCTGCAGTTCAGGTAGGCTTCCCTCCTGTTCCAATGTCACTTGCACTGGCACATGGGAGGGTGCAGCCCTTGTCTTGGCTGTGCCGTAGCTCCAGACCACTGGGCTGCGCACATGCAGTGGTTGTGTGCTTGGATCTCAAGCATTTGTGCTTGGGCCTACGGTCCTCTACATCTTGCTTGTCTTTTCTTTTCTTTCTTTCTTTTTCTTCCTCCTGCTCCTGCCGCCTGCCACCCACTCACGCGCCACTGCTATGCACGCGCGCGCACACATGACGCGCGACTGAAGTGCCCTCAGGTCGCTGTTGCAGCACAGCGCTTCTTTCATGCCACTCCTCTGCGTCGTAAGTATGAGCGCATGGCTGATCGTGTGGCAGTGCTCAGACATAGAGCCTCCAACCGCGTTTTCTGAAGACCTTGTTGACTTGTCCCACACCCGCCACTTGGGTTGCTGGCGAATTTGCTGGCGCCTGCCGCTCAGTCGTGACTGCTAAATGCGTTCTGAACTCTCAAGTACTCATAAGCTTTGTCACCGTGGTGATCTACTGGACCTGCAGGCGCCGAGGAAGTCGAGGTCCCCGTGCCACAGGTGGCCGAGTCCATTTCCGAGGGTGAAGTTGCGGAATGGCACAAGGGTAAGCCAGCGCTTGGAGCTCAGTGTCTTGGGTGCGGTGTATCCTCTAGAATGGTCGAGCGGCCTCACGCGCCCGCGGTGGTTGGTATGTTTGTGCAGAGGTCGGAGACTTTGTTGAGATTGATGAGGCCGTCGCCACCCTTGAAACAGACAAGGTAGGCTGCCGTGCCAACCTTTGCGCGCCGTCCTGCAGGCCCACCCAGCAATGCGTCAGGCTCATGTCTCTTCCCTTGCTGCCGTCACCTTGCTATCCTCTGCTTGCTAGGCTGCCGCCCCTGTCAATAGCCCACAGTCTGGATACATTACAGCGCTCCTAGCTGAAATTGGTGACACCGTCCATGTTGGTGCTCCCCTCTTCAAGCTCCGACCTGGAGATGGTTTGTTCTCGGAGAGCGCTTCCCTCCCGTGTGTTGATGCGTGCTTGCACAAGCCCACGAGACAGGGGAGGGAAGACCAGTCGTCACGAACAGCCACGACTGCAAGGTCCAAGCCGGGTGGACTTGGACTCCGGCACCTTGCTCATCTCGCCATTCTCACCCTCCTGCACTCCTTGCTCTTCACCCATCTACACAGCTCCCGCGGAAGGTGCCTCTTCGGATGCTGCCAAGACCGAGTCCGCAGCGCCTGCGGCGGAATCTTCAGGCCCCACTGAGTCAGACAAGCCCGAGTTCACCGTTACGTTGCCCCGCGTTGCCGAGTCTATCTCGGAAGGCGATATTGCGTCTTTTGAGAAGGAGATTGGTGACTTTGTGGAGGCCGATGAAGCCGTTTTGATCGTGGAAACTGAAAAGGCCTCGGCCCCTGTCAATGCGCCCGAGTCGGGCATCGTCACCGCTTTCCTCGTGTCTGAAGGCGATACCGTGCCCGTCGGGGCCGAGCTTTTCAAGATTAAGCCTGCCTCTGCCCCTGCCAGTGGTGGCTCCTCTGCTGGTGCGTCTGCCGGCGCGGCTGCGGGCGCGGCTGCTGGTGCCGCCGCAACTGCCGCCCCCAAGGCATCGAAGACCCCCTCTGCCGCTTCCCCTGCTCCCGCTGCCGCTCCCAAGGCCTCAAGCAGTGCCAATACTGCCTCGGCTGCCCCTGAGGACCAGTCCTCAGGTGTGACCAAGGTGAAGATGTCCCGCATCCGTCTGCGCACGGCGGAGCGCCTCAAGGATTCGCAAAACACCGCTGCCATGCTTACCACTTTCAATGAGATTGACATGAGCAACATCATGGAGTTCCGCAAGAAGCACAAGGACGCCGTCTTGAAGAAGCACGATGTCAAGCTTGGCTTCATGTCTGCCTTTATGAAGGCCTCGGCCTGGGCTTTGCAGCAGGAGCCCGCTGTCAACGCTTTCATCGACCCGGATGGCAAGCACATCCTGTATCACGACTACGTCAACATTAGCGTGGCTGTGGCTACCCCTCGCGGCCTTGTCGTCCCGGTCGTGCGCAACGTCGAGAAGATGAGCTACGTTGACATTGAGAACGAGATTGCCAGCCTTGGCAACAAGGCTCGCAACGGCGACCTGGCCATTGAGGACATGGACGGTGGTACCTTCACCATCAGCAATGGTGGCGTGTTCGGCTCTCTCATGGGTACCCCCATCATCAACCCACCTCAGTCTGCCATTTTGGGTATGCACGGCATTTTTGAGCGCCCTGTTGCCATCAACGGCAAGGTATGTCCCAACTGACGCGGCGTGGTCGAATGTCGTACCTTGACACTGTGTAATCATCTCCTCACCATGGTACGCCATCTGCCGACGACTTGTAGGTGGAGATCCGACCCATGATGTACGTTGCGCTGACGTATGACCATCGTCTCATCGATGGCCGGGAGGCCGTTACCTTCCTCCGCAAGGTCAAGGAGGCCGTTGAGGACCCCCGCGTCTTGGTGCTGGAGTAAATGGCTGCCTTGTCGAAGCTGCCGTTTTCAAGCGGACAATAATGACTCGTCGCTGATATTGAGGCGCGCTCAAGTCCCCACCCCCTCGCTTTTGTGGCGTTGTCACTTGCATGCCCATGCGCGCGCGCGCTCAGTTGTACTTGCACTTGCACACAGATTTGCTCTCTTGTGTTTTCTTTGTTAATGTCTGTCTGGCTTGTGTGTGTGTGTGTGTGGTTTTTCTTTTTTCTTTTTTCTTTTTTTTTTTTTTGTGCACGTTTTGTCTTTCTGTGCATGCTCCACAATCTCGCCTTCTTTTGCCCGGATGTGTGAGAGGATTTGTCGTGTTGCGCACGCTTGCTCCCCTTTGCATTCTCAGCATTCCCTCTTTCTGAGAAACCCTTGTTGTGTGGTATGTCCTTGTTGATTTGACCAGATTTTTCTTTATGGCGCTCTTTGGCCGTGGAGCTGCAGCCGTTGTTTTGGTCTCACTGGCCGCTTTAAAGTTGACCTTGTGTCCGGGCGCCCCACCCTTTTCCCCTCCCCCTTGATCCACTCCGAATCCAAAACGAACATCGCAGATGGCGCCCAGCTTTTCTTTGCTGATATTGGCTGCGGGATACGGAGATCGGTGTTGGCAACAGCAAGGCGTTGAGGATGAGATGTTGTCGCTGCCCTTCGCCGAAAAGGAGTCATATCATTTGATCGTGTTGCTTGGTGACAAAAAGAGGTTGTCAATTACTCCAGGTACACCAGAACCAAGAAAAGAAATAAGAACAAGGTTGAGGATGTGCAGCCTGTTACAATGGCCCAGCCACAAACAGCGCACAGCGGTGGCAACCGCGCGCACGCTCCTCTCCCACACACCAAGCACGGCACGGGGGCGACAGCCGCTGCTATCTCCACACGCTCTGGCGGTGGATACGGGCTCAAAGCTGTGCCACAATCACGTTAACAATGCACACGCGCACACAAACACACATTTATCTTCCATGCACCAATCGGCCGACCGTGGCCTTCCCACTGCTCAAGCGCTTGCGGCACGTTGAGAACCGGACGCTAGAAAAATTTCACAAGCGTACTTAGGCTCAAACTTCAATGCGCCCCGGCCCGGGCTTAAAAGATGATGTCACAGCAGCAGCACACCGCTAGCGCGGTGAAGAGACCGGCGCAAAAGCCACCCGAGCCCTTGGTCGCATCACCATGGTGATGCTGTGCGTGCTGGGGCTGGCCCGGCTGCTGCTGAGGCTGGGCATAGTAATACTGGCCATTGTGGAGGACGTAGGGAGGGTTGCCCGAGGGATCATTGGCATACTGGGGATAACCGCTAGGGGGTTGGGCCGACTAGACATTGGTATGTCAAGACAAGCACATGAGTTGGTCAACACCACCATGAAGAACGTCTAGTCGGAGCAAGCGTGTCGTTTGTCTCCCACCCACTTACCATGATGTTGTTTGACACGAAGATTTGAGGGCTGGCTCAAGGCACGGGGTGTGCAATGGTGGGAGCGAAGAAGGACGGGGTGGTGAAGATGCACTGGACGAGCGGAAAGAGAAAAATGCTCAAAGCGCGCGGCGGTGGCGCACATCTGGAAAACACGCGAGGGTCAAGTGGAGGCTTGCTTGTCCATGTCTTGCGCACGATGCCGCGTCAACGGCAGTGTGGTTAGCGCGGTGCACCTCACCAGGAGGGCTGTGTGGGCCTTACCCATGTCCGAGATTTTATGACGTTCCAGCAGGAGGGTAGGAAGAAAAGGCAGGCAGAAACCCAGAGTCCATGTCAACTCGGCAGGGCTCCAGGGCAAGAAGAAGGAAGATGCAAAGGCAGAGTTGCCATGTGAAAGATGCGGACAGCTTTAGGCAAGCTGAAGCTGAATTCAAGAGTGGATCGCTCGGTCGACAACGCCATGGGGGTCCTTGCTGCTTGTCGCCGATGCTTGCGAATGCGTCATATCAGCAGTCGACTGCTCAGAGCTCAAGCGTTTGCGTTCACTTGAGGGAGGGCTGCGCTCGGGTTCATGGACAATGCGCGGCCACGAGTTACGTATTCAGGCTGGGTGCAGATGACTCCAACTGCAGTGGCCATCGCCATCACATTTTCAAAGAAGCTAAAAGGTGTTGCACGTGCAAGTTCACTTGAAGGGGTTCAAAATGCGAACTCAGTGAGCATCAACTAAAATTAATGGCCAAAATTGCGTCATCAAGATTTGTGGAGGGAAAAGACGAAATCAAAAAAAAAAAAAAAAAAAAAAAAAAAAGGGAGGAGAGAGGAGAGAGCAGCAAAGAAGAACAACAACACTTGACCCGAACGAGCATCGCTTTTAGGAGGGCCGCAAAGTGGAACATGGTGCACAAACGACAAGAGGCCGAGGGCAGCAAGAAGGGCGTTATTTATGTGAGATAGACAACAAGTAGAATCACGAGCAAAATAAGGAGCAAGCAGATGCAGCACGATTGTTTGCCATCTGTGCGAGGGGAGGAGAACAAGAGGCGTTGAGGTGAGAGACAAAATGAGGCGCGGGGCCAGCAGAGCCATGCTGGGAGAAAGAAGATGCGAGATACCTTTGGTAATGCTCAGGGTGCGATCAAGCTTGCGGAGTACGTTGGTTAGGCGATCGCCGGTTGTGGTCATTTCCGTGTCCAAATCCTCGAGCAGCTCGTTTTGGTCCTCCAGCTCGTCGCCGATCATCTGACCCATCTGTCGTAAAACTCCAATCGTCTGGCCCACCTCCTGCAACTGTGTGTCTTGCTCCCGCATGATCATACCCTGGGTTTGATGCTGGTCATCAATGAAATCTAGTGACAGCAGGCCGCGTGGCGTACAAGCCAGAGTCATTTGGCGGACATGTGAATCATTCATAAGACGTGCGTGCGGCCCGCACGCGGCAGTGCGAGGGTCACCTACTTTGATTATCTTCCTGAATCTCGCGCTCTAGCTTTTCGTAGCGATTATACTTGCTGCCCCCCATGAGGTTCTGCGCGCAGCCAGAAACGAGTCGTGAGGCGGCTGCGATGGGCCAAGCAGCATGCGAAGACCCTGGCCCGGGAACCAAGCAAAAGGCAAGACCCTGGCCCCAGGAAACCGGGCCAGCGTGACCGAACACAGACCGCCTTGTCAGAAGCGTCCCGCTTCGCTTTGATCTTGGCGGGATTCGTCCCATCCACCATTTCCTGCGTCGCAGCAACAACAAAAAGCGAGGTAAGGCGGTTCGCCATTCATGCTGCTCAGGCCCAGCGTCCGAAACACGCGTGCGTGGACACAGCCCTGTGGCAAGCGCACCTGTACATCACGGCGGCTACGCTCAATAAACTGACGACGCGCAGCCAGCTCTGTGTGTGAGAGCTACAATATTGGAGAGTGAGGTCAGCAGGTCGGTCGGGCAGAAGGAATGAGCTGGCACAACGAGCAAGCAGCGCAGAAACGCAGCCCATGAACGTGAACACCACCTTGAATTTTTCAGGCTCCTTTTCAGCGATGACAACCGTCTCTGCCAAATCCTCCAGGTCCCAGTCAATGCCCTTGAGAGAGGTGCGCAGCTCCTTGGTCGTCCACTCCAGCTCCTCCGAGTCTGTGGAGCGATCTCCGAAAAGCTGCTGCCAACGCTGATAAAGCGCCCGCGCCTTTTTCATGGTCTGCTCGACCTCTCTATACGTTGATGTCGCACCACCAAGTATATGTGTCCCAACCAAGATGAGGCGCAAAAAGACGAAATCCCCGAGGCAAAGGCTGACGCCAGACAGTTCTAAGGCTTTGATACCGCGACACTGCGCCACTTACTCTTTTACTACCAAAAAGGGATCTGCCGCCGCCATGACTGAGCAATGATTCCCTCTCTCGAGGACTAAAAGGAGGCTACTAGGAGTTTCAACTTGAAGGACCCCTCGGACCCCGCTTCAGTCACCCACGCCCGAGGCCACAGCACAGCTCCTCGGTGACGGCACATAAGACGCCCGACGGTGGCGTGTCAATAAGCGCGGCCAGAAGTGTGACGATCATAAGCCGATGCACCTGGTGTGCCTATCCGCTGGGTGCTCCCGGCCGCGGCCCACTCGGCGCATGAACTGTTTCGCAACGCGACGTAGCTCAATGCCACGGCAGCAGAGCAACAGCGATGGAGCCAGCGCCAGCAGATGCCGCTCGAGTTGTTGTAGTCTCCCCAAAGTTGATATGTTCACAACAAATGTTTCCAACTACTATAAATAGCGCCTGACACCAGAATCATCTGACATTCTTATCACAGGCAGGTGGGGGTCAAGTTGTACGCTGATGCAGTTGCGTGACCCCCATGATGGCAACGCGAGGCTTGGTCAGCGCCTGGCGGGCGGCGGTGCCCTCAGCGCGAATGGCCGTGCCATCCCAAACCATGGCTGTGCTGGCCAACCGCCTGCGGCAAATGGAATTAACAACCAAGCGTGCGGCCTCAACTGCGAATCGTCGCTCCGCTAAGCCGCGCTCCGTCAAAGCTGGTCTGTCTGTTTGTCTGGCTGGCTGGCTGTCTGAATTCGGCCTGGCCACATGCAACTTGAAAGTGCATCCATGCTGGTTTGGCGGTGCTCACCTTCCTCCCTTCCCGGATCCCCGGCACTTGGCTCACAGACACAAACGAGCAACCTGTAGCCTTGCACAAGGGCGCCGTGTTTCCAGAGTCCATGGCTGGCCTGGCCAACCCCATGGAGCTGGTTGAGAGTGCACGACGCATCGAAGTCGAAAATGGTTTGTTTGAGACGCGGCTCTTCCCCGTTTCACAGTCCCGACACGTCATAGCAGGGCAGGTCAAGGCAGGGCACGAGCAGACAGCCAGCTTTGCCAATTTAACCACGGTGAGCCGCCAGCCTGGCCATTTCCTTTGCTCGCTCACATCCCAAACCTTGTCGATCCTCTCGCAGAGCTGGAGGACAAAAGTTCCAAGGATTTTGAGGCCCGTATTGTCGAGGTGTGTGTGCTCATCCGACGCTCGGCCATCCACATCACGCTGGAGCTTGACGCCGAGTCCTACCGCGCTCATCCTTTGCCACGTGCCATGTTTGCAGACGAAGCGAGTTATCAACATGACCCGTGGTGGTCGTCAATCATCCATGTGGGCTCTCGTCATCGTGGGTAACAAAAAGGGTGTGGCTGGCTTTGCCATTGCCAAAGCAGAGGACGTGGGTGATGCCGTACGCAAGGCCACCGCCAAGGCTATTCGCAAAGCCGTCTTTATCGATCGCTTCGACGAGCGTACCAGTGCGTAGCTCTGCCCCTTGACCTTTAACCGTGACCCTCGCCCCCTACCACCGACACGACCAACGCTTTCGAGCGCTCACCATCATCATTTGTTTTGCGTGGTTCAAACTTTGCTGTTGATTGTTTCATATGCCAGTCCATCACACCATCCACCACAAGTTTCTGCGGACCAAAATTTTCCTGCGCCCTAAGCGTCCGGGGGGTGGTTTGATTGCCCACCGCTCCGTCATGGGCATTGCCGAGTTGGCCGGCATTCGTGACTTGGGTGCTGATATCATTGGCTCCAACAACCCGCTCAACGTGGTGCGGGCCACCTTTGGGGCCCTGGCCCGCCAAATTCCGGCTACCGAACTGGCCGAGGCCCGTGGCAAGACACTGCTGTACGCCGAGCACCCTGAGAAAGTGCCCGAGGTGGCGCTGCGCGTCCCCAATCCGCGCGCTGGTACTGAAAATGTGCACCCAGAAGTAGAGAAGCGGGCTGCCCGTCAATGGCTAGACGCCTTTCCAGGAGAACCAACCCTGCAGAACATTCGCCTTGCGATTGCTGGCATGGATGCCCTCGTGGAGGACGCCGCGACCGCCTCGCCCGTTTTGGCCAAGCTGCCCGCTGACTTGCGCACCTGGCTTGAAGCCATGCCGAGCAACGCCTGGCTCTTCACGCAAGGCACTGTCCTCGATGACTTCTTTCGACCCGTGCCAGCAATGGAGTAGGTTTCCCACCTTGAAAGTCACTTGCAAACGTTCACTCCCCACCAGTCAAGTATCTGCAGCGCGCGCTGTATCTATTACTAAGCCCTTGCACACCATCATCCACACCACACCACACCAGGGCCCGGGATTAAAGGCATTGTCTTCACCCGTCCGATGATCCTTGCTGTCCCGTTACCTCCACTGATACCCATGTCTCAATCGACCATGAGATCACATCCAGACGTCAAGTCGTTCGGCTGCCAAACCAAACGGTACGCTAGTCATCCAAAATAAAAAATAAAAAAAGTCAATTACAACAGCAAATGCTCGCCAAGAACCTTCCGATCCAAAGCGAGCACCCCGCAGTCAGTCACATTTCATTTAAACATTTCTTTCAAAACAACAACAACCAAGGAGAGCAAGGTGAAAAATATCACCGCATGGGTCACCAAGGGCCAAAAACGCCAGCGCGAGGGTTTTGTGCGGTTCGTGCCAGAATGGGATCAATCAAACAAGGGTTATTTAGGACGGAAAACATGTTGATACGGCGCAACCATCAACAATATTGTTGTGTGAGCAACAGCAGATGAAGCACAATTGGATCAACATCACGGGCCGGCCAAGCCGGGAAGAAATAATATGGGAAAAAAAGTGTCAGGACAAGTAGATCTGGACCTTCACTTGACATTGGTGCTGAGAGTGCGATGGCGGCTCGCACGCCGCCCGCGCAGGCTGTTGGAGGAATTGGAATCGCTGTCTCCGGTGAGGCGAAAGCCGAAGAATGATGTCGATGACGCCTTGCGTAGGTGGGAAGGCGGCTGCACCGCGTAGGACCGCTCAAAAAGCACATCCTCGTCCACTGGGGCCAGGCCCTGCAGCATGGCACGTACATTGGGCAACACAATCAATGGGTAGCTGCCCTGTTGCCGCGCCTCCATATCCTCCAACAAGACACTCAGGTCTCGCAACTTGCCCGTATTGAGCATGCCGCACCGCAGCGTGTCCTGATTGCTGTGCAATGTCATGGTCAGATCACGGAGATAGAGCCCAAAGTACGGCACCATGGGTGGTCGCAGCTTGCGCAAAAGGGCGCGGTAGCGATGGAAGTTGCGTTCGGCACTCATCAGACGCTCCAGCCCCGTAAAGGCCTTTCGCGCAGCTGGGTCCACGCCGGCCCAGGTCTCCGTGAGGCGACGAACAGGCGTCAGGCCTAGCCCGGCAACCACCTCCATGGCCCCATTCAGGTTGCCCAAGGTGTAGCAGCGATGGCCCAAGGCAATCATCTTCTGCACCAAAGCCACGCGGCGCTCGCGATCCGTCTCCTGCAGAACACAGGCGGCCACAAAACTGGTCATGGCGTTGAAGTGGCGAATCATGGCGGACACCGATGCCACCGTCGCGGCTTCGCCCGATTTGACCTTGTGCACCAAGTCTAGAGCGCGAACTCGTTTGAATAAGTCATGCTCATACAATGTCAGTTGACGTGCGAGCTCGAGCGGATGGGGCGTGCAGTCGAGGGGCGTGACTGAACGCTGCATCAAGGCTGCGGGCAGCGCTGGAGACGCCGGGCAATCACAGATCACCACACCACGCGACACCAGCATGTACGGCTTGAAGCGGCGATCACAGTTGGTAAACGTCGTTGCGTTTGACTCGGCTGACGTCTTGCTGCCCGACGCTTCAGTGGCAGCCACATCACTGGAGCTGGCCACGGCCGGCGGAGGATTGGCCTGCCATGCTGATGCTGGAGGACGCACCGAAATCGGAGAGGGCGGCGCCGTCGGGGCAGCGGTGCCGGCTACGCTGGGCACCACCGTGGTACACGCCGTGGACGGCGACGGCGCTCCAACAGTCCCGCTGCGGCCGGCACTCACCGGGCCCGCGGTGTTGGGGATCGAGGTGAAGTTGGGCGTGGTGGGTCGAGTGGCCCCGAGGCTCGCCGCTCCGCTGCCGGCGGGGGATGAGTCCGGGGCCCCTGGAGGAGTGACGGCACGGGGTGTGACGGTGCCCGAAGCCTGACCGCTGGCTGCCGGGGATGTGGCTGTAGTGTGTGTGTTGGAGCGCGGGCGCACATTCCCGAGGGCAAAGCCACCCCCCTCTGATCCGTTGTTATCGTCGTCGAGCGGCTCAGAGAGTGTAGCCTCAACCTCAGCAGGTGCAAAAATGTTCAAGTCAAAGTCATCGTCCATGTCGTCAAAACCAAACATGGAAGTCCGAGCGTCAACATCAAGCGTCGAGGCGCCAAGCGCCCCACCAGCTTGGCCTGCACCATTGCCGCCGCCGCGTCCACCACTAGTGTCACCATGGGATGAGCTCTCGCGCAAGCTGGACAACTGCTGCTGGGGAGCAGTGCTGGCCCGAGAGCGCAAACCGCTCGTGAGATTGGATCCTCGGGTGGCACTCAAGCCGGTGCCTCCCAGCATGCTGTCATCGCTAGCCGCGTTGTGACGCCCAGGCAGCACCAGCGCTGGGCTTGTGGGCGCCGTAGCTGAGGCCGATGTCGTTACGGAGGAGAAGCCGGAATTTGCCCCCGGGCCAATGGAGCCCGTGACCGCGGCAGTGGAGGCACCGACACCGCCAGCTTGTTGCCCATGGCTGGACGTGCTCGTCGTACTCACGTCGGCATTGGGCTCAGAGCCACCTCGGGCCCCGAGAGCTGTGACTTGCCACAGAAGATCGGTGATCGCAGTGATGGTGGTATCATCGGCCAACACAACCAGTTCACCACGCCCAAACTGTAGGCACAGGGCATGGCGCTCGGGGCGGTGGCGCAGAGAGGCCTTGGGTCGGTCCTGGCGAGGAAAGCGATCGCGGACTTTCTGAATGTGCCAGCGCTGCAGTGCCTGAAGCGGGTACTTGGCCTCGACCTGGCGAGTCTTCTCCAAGGTGAGTACGATGCGCTTGGGAGATATGCCCAGCAGGCGCGGCAAGCGGGTGCGCGGTGCCTGCTCGGGCACCACCCGCACGGGGAAAAACTCGCACTCGGACTGCGCCTCAAGATGATACTTGTACAAGTAGAAGTGCATGGTATCCCGCTCGTTGCGCTTCGCAATGGCATCGTACGCGCGGCGAATTTCTTCGGCTAGCTGTTTGACATCACGACCACGTGCAAAGTTTGGCGGCAGCACCTGCTTCATCTTGTAAGAAGGGATACCGCCGCGGGGCTCAATGACCAGTGCCCCGGGCTGGCGGCGAGCCAAATCCTCGATGTGTATGTAGGCCGCCGCCAATGCCACGGCTGTCTGGTCGGATAGTGGCAATTCACCCTTGAGGACGGCTTGGTGTGCACGGCGATACATGGCCTGATGAGCTGCGGATTGATAGTTGAGTTGTCCGCTCAGGAGCTCATCCGTGCGAGGGCTGAGCTCGGCCGTCTCGAGAGAATGGCACGCCTCCACGTAGACCGGGCCGCGGGAGCGAGCCTCTTGAAGCCACGCTTGCATTGCACGCAACATGTCCGTGTCCGAGCGAAAATGTTCAGGGCTGGTCTGCAGCCAGGCCCCAATTACAATGAAGAGTTGGCGGTGCTCCGGGTCCAGCACCCCTGGGTCATGGGCGGCAGGAATGGAGCGAAATCGGTGGAGCAGCAGACGCAGTACAACGAGCGGCGGCCAATAATCAGCGATGAAGATGAATGCCAGTTCCCACACCGATGTTTGGCGTGGATCCGTCAGCGCCAGCAGGAACCGCTCCAAATTCATACCCAAAAAGCGTCGCCAGTACTCGGTGTGGGCCAGCCGAGAATGCGGCCCAACGTAGGTTTGTAGTGCGTGGGTTGAATCCTCAATCACTTCCGTGTGCCCCCACTCGGTGTTGGAGGTCAAGGTTGATGGATCACCTGCACGTAGATCGAGTGCCTCGATGCTTTCGTCAAACACATCGACGCCCGACACATCTGTTTCTCCGAGAATGACCAAGGCACGGGCAGCAAGGCGTCGCAAGCGGCGGCTTGTGTGATGCAACAGCTGGCGCAGAATGTCATCCACCCCGAGTCCTCGATACATGGCTTGCTTGGAGAGGACCGCACAGAGGTTGCCCACTAGAGTCAGGATGTGGGCCAGCAAGAGCTCGTGGTTTGGGCCTGCGGCCGACGGCTCGCCGGAAACCTCAGCCATGTAGCGATGGCTGAGAATGTGGCTCAGGACGTCCACGAAGCTGCTGCTCGAGAGTGTTTTGCGACACTTGGGAAGCATTGTAACAAAGCAGAGCAACCGGGCGGACAGGCCGAGGTGTTCCATGTCCATGGCTCCGTTATCCGAATCGGCCGCCATAACAATCTCAACCAGGGGATTGAGATCACAACGGGCCAGTGCAGCCACACAGTCCACGGGATCCTGAGTGCCTACCAGGCCGTTGAGGGCGGCCAGAGCGTGACGTCGACTGGCGCCTGGGATACGTGTCAGGGCCAGGACGCACGCTAGCACATCAGGGTCGCAATTGGAGCTGCTTTGGTCCGTCATGACGTGATCAAGGAAGGTCATCAGCAGCTCTTGTGCTCGATCGTTGCCTCGACATGAAACCGCCAAGTCGTCGGCGACGCTCGGAACGAGCTCGCACAAGGTGGCCTGAATTTCCCGGTTTTGACTGAGGCGGATGAGGGCTTGCAAGGCGTCAACGACGTTTGTGTGGTTGGCCACGTCCTCAATCACAGAACGGCAGAACACGGCTTGTGCCTCAACCAGTTCTGGGCGATCATCGATGGGCCGCTTGCCCTGCGCGTTGACAACACGAATTCGTGCGCCATATTGAACCAGGACCATGGATGTCTCCAAGCACTCGCTGCGCGCGGCGGCCTTGTGCAAGGGGGTCTGTTGTTGATCGTTGACGTGTTCCAAATCAGCGCCGTGCTCCAAAAGAAACATGACAATGTGTCGCAGATTGGCCCGGGCAGCCCAGTGGAGCAGAACATCGCCACCACTGTTGAGGGCGGCCTCAAAGATGCCGCCGGGCTCATGGTGCAGCAAAAGACGAGCTCGGGGCAGGTCGCTGTTGTGCAAGCATTGAGCCAAGAGGCGTGCACGAACCTTGACTGGAAGGTGATCCAACAAGGCCCCGTCACCGCCGCCCTCGAGCCGCGCCTGCAATTCCTCAAGTGGCGTATGGACCAGCGCAAAAGCCTCCGCAGACTCACCATGGGCCAAGACGGACTCGAGTGGCGGTGTTGCTCCTGGTAGGCCCAGACCGGCCTCAAAATCGTCTTCATCTAGCCGGACATCGCCCGCAGAAGCACTTAAGGTGGCGGCCTTATGAGCGGTGTTTTTGAGGGAATTGAGGCCAAGTGTCTGCGTTGGCGCTCCAGCGCCTGCGCTGGCGTCATCGGATCGTGACTGTGAAGCTGAATGCTGAGCGCCTAGCGTTGCGCTGCGGGCGCGAGGTGCCTCAGCACTGCGCCCTTGGTCCAAGGAAAAGCGATAGAGGCTGTTGGAGTCATTAAACTCGTCACCTTCGTCGTCAACATTGAAAATGAGTCGCAGCACGAGAAGGGTGGTCATAAACTCGACGGCCTCATGGCGGCTGTGAAAGTCGCGCTGGGCCACAAGCCAGGTGATGACTTCATTCCCGATAAAAGTAAGGGGCTCATTGCGGCCACTGGCAGCCGTGTGGTCGCTCACAAGGCAAGGTGTTTGGGCGTGAAGCCGACGATAGATGTTTTGTACCGTCTGCTCCATCAGATAGTTGGTATTGATGGAAGGTCCTGCCGGCTGAGGCGCATAGTTACCTCCATCGCTGACAGTGCGCCGGTGCCCGGGGGGTGCAGACGATGCTCTGGAGACTGGTTGGACGGTTTTTGGAGGGGCTGAGGTGCCATCGCCTCTGGAGGGCTGGGCCTTGGTCAGGTCCACACCCCCCTCGGGTATAGGAGGCTGGTGACTTCCTTGACTCGTGCTATAGAGACCACTATCGTGGCTGTTGTAGCTTTGCAAGGATCTTGCCTCTTGGGCGTGGCGTTGCGCGCCCGAAAAAGCTCGGCCAAGCATCTGTGCGGGCAGCATCCAAAACATATGGTGAAGTAACGCGGCGGCAAATGGGCTGTCAAAATTACAAAAGAGCGCCGCCATTTCAAAGAGGCTAACAACCGCGTTCGCGGAAAAACTCTTGCACACAAACCTCAACAATGGTGGAGGCAGTGGTTTCTGAGTCAGTTCGATAAACGTGGAGAGCATAGCCCATGGGAAGGCCATCGCGCAGGTTGTCGGCAATGTAACCAAACAGAGCGGCTGTGCGGGGTGTGTTGCCAAAAGCTGCTACGGCAATGGTCGATAAAGGGGTGGTGTACAACATCTAACAAACAAGCAAGCAATACGGTGTGAGGCTGGGCCCTGCGGGCTTTTTTTGGCGCTTGCTTGGACACGACCGCTTGGATGAACCTACTTCGGCCGTGCCTGCCCTTCGCGTGACCACTGATTTGAGGTTGACTTCGAGCTTCACGGGAATGTGTTGGGCCTTGGGCACAAAGCTGATGTCCCGGGAGTCCACACAAGGCCGGTGAGTTGTACATGGACTGGGGCACTGGATCAGACTATCCAATGCATGGTCGAACCTAGCAGCGGAGGCGTTTGCAACGTCGGCGATGCCCTGATGAATGATGTGAATTGACTCGCCCTCTTGGAGCTCCATGGAGGAGACATAGAAGATGTTACGGGAAAACTCGACGTGAAAATCTGCAACAGCCCCGTGAGTTTGGGGCCGAGCCATTCAAAAGCGAGGGGATGAGAGAGAAGAGTAGCAAGAAGTCGGGGTGCAGCGTCACGGAGGAGATTGAAGCAGGTCACGAGAGACGGCGCAAGACGCACTGTCTGGGTGTTGTGAGGCATCGACTGCGGGGGCCGCAGGGGCCACTGAGCCCTTGCTGTCCATCGCACTCGGTTGGGGAGGGGTGATAAGACGCAACAGAGAGAGAATAGGACGGCGCACGGAAGCTAGTCAAGGCCGTAGACGGTGCTCAAGTATCAGGATCGGACCACATTGCGGCGAGTATCAACGCCCTTCGGCTATGATCGTCTCAAGCAGGGAGAGGTGTAGCGACTGCTCCTAAGCGAACCGCATGACATCAAGAGGAGCGGCAAGCCTGAATCATATGATGCATTCAAAGTCCCCGGCCGATGGCTCATTGGGTTTGGAGATGCGTGTGTGGATGCGTGCTGAACCGCAGCCACGGCTTCTTTGTGATCTTGGCCTCTACCCTTTGATATCACTCTTCGTGGTGTATGTATGTGTGTGTGTGTGTGCGCGCGCGCGCGCGGGAGACGAAAGGAAAACGGCACGAGAACGAATACGGCGCGACAGCGTACCTGACGAGCTTGCGTGTATCAACGGAAGGATAGCCGTTTGCACAAGAGGCAGAGGTGAGGCCAAGGCAGACAAGATAGGGTTGTTGCCACGGATAAGGCACCTTCTAGACGCTCAGAACACGAGCTGCCGCGGGCAGGCAGGCGCACATCTACAGTCCCAGACAGGGAGAGGGAGAGGGAGAGAGAGGGCCGTCGCTCGTCTGAAGAGCAGGCAGAAAAATCTCGAAACCAAAGCGAGAGAAAGAGTCGTGAGATGTGAAATCGGCAGAGGCATGGATGAATCGACCATGTATTCAATGTAGAAAACTAAAGGGAAAAGAGAGAGTGAGCAAGATGCTGTCTATCATGAAGAGATAGGAGGGCTCTTTCTTCTTTGCTTGTCAAGTTTTGCTCTGTGGTGGGCGTGTGTGTGTGTGTGTGTGTGTGTGTGTGTGTGTGTTGTGTGAGGCACACAACGGTGGCCGCTACCGCATGTTCGTTCTCCAAAAGCAGAAAGGCTTTTTGTCAGATAAATTGGGTGAAAAAAGTGGGTATGGTGACTTGTTTCGCCGTCTCGATCCGGATCGTCGAATCGTGCTGCTGCTGGCGCTGCTGGCGCTGCGTCTGATGCATTTCTGATTGACCTTTATTGAAAGACCCCGACGGAGGCGCTCAACTGGATTGATACCTCAAAGATGGCGGCCAATCAAGGTGCGTGTGTACGACCGAATTGGTGCTCTGGATCATGGCTCTGTGCGCCGCAGCTTATTGACAGGAATTTGGTGATGCGTGTGTGCGCGCGTGCAGACAAGGTGCTGGTCACTGGCGGGCAGGGCTTTCTTGGAGCTTGGATCGTCAAGCAGCTCATCGAGGCTGGGGCTCATCCCATCATCTTTGACCTGCGGCAAAGCGATGACATTCTTCGCCAGGTACCATTCCTCTATGCCAGACAAACACACCTGCGCGCTCGGCGCGCGCCTTCACCTTTGTGTCGCAACTGACCTAGGTGCTGAGCGAGGAACAGTTTGCTGGCCTCGAGCGCCACTATGGTCAGTGACTTTTACTCAAACACACGCGCACGCACACACACACGGTCTTCATGACCCGAATTTTCCGTCAACCTTGAGTCATTGTTTTCGATCGGCATCACGCACAGGTGACATTGCCGATCCGGAGCAGTTCAAGACCCTAGTTCTGGCCAGCAAGCCGTCTGCCATCATTCACCTGGCAGGCCTACAGATCCCCACCTGCAAGGTCAACCCGGTTTTGGGAGCGCAAGTCAATGTCATCGGTACCCTCAATGTCTTTGAGGCTGTCCGCCTCCTCGCTGCCGAAACTGGCCAGTCCCCAATCCGTATCGCCTACGCCTCGTCTGCCGCCGTCCTGGGCCCCAAGGCTGACTACACCAACCCACCCGTGCCAGACGACTTCTACCACAAACCTGCCACCATCTACGGCGTCTTCAAGCTTGCCAACGAGGGCTCCGCTCGCCTCTATTGGCAAGACCACAAAATCCCCAGCGTCGGCCTGCGGCCTCTGACTTGCTTCGGCGTGGGCCGTGAAATCGGCCTCACCTCGGCACCAACCAAAGTTCGTCGCACTTCCCCGACCCTTGCATGCACGTCGTGTGTACGTGCTCAAGCCAGTCTCATAGCTGGCCGGTGTCCTTCTACCCTTCTTTCTCGCGTGCTTGATAGGCCATCAAGGCCACCATCGTGGGTCAGCCCTATGTGTGCAGCGTCACTGGCACGACCGGCTTTAGCTATGTCAAGGACGTCGCACGAGCGTTTATTGGTGCGGCCTTCTCTACCTCCGACGGTGCCCCCGTGTTTAACATCCGAGGCGAAGTCACGTCAGCCGAAGAATTCATCGACTACGGTTCGTCGCCCTGCCGTCCGGTGCTCCAAGCATGTGGCTAGCAAGCCATCACTGCGCTCCTTTGCCGTATTTGGCTGTTCGGCTTGTGTTATCATGCCACTCATGATCCCACTGGCCGTGTCGAAAATCCAGTTCGCCAAATCCTTCCAGCCGCTGAAAAGCTCATTACAATCGATGGCCGTGAAGTCCCCATCATGGCTGACGTCGACGAAACGGGCTTGCAGACCATGCTGGCCAGCGTCCCTGCCCCTTATGGTCTCACCGGAGCCTTCCCGACTCCTCTCCCCGATGCCATTCGCGAAACGGCGGAGCACTTTCAGCGCTTGCAGGCTGAGAACCGTCTCCACGTGCGCGACTTGGAGTAAACCGCCCTTGGCAACACCCCCTTGGACCCACGCCTGTCTAGCCAATTGACACCTCTAGCCTTCAGGCTTGCATCGCTCATCTCTAGCACAGTTGCCAAGCACATTCGCTTACAAAATTTCAATTAGAAGCTTGTCATCTCTTCAAACAACCACACTGCCATCATCATCACGTGGGGCTCTCTTCTTGCCATCAGACGCCGCGCAAGGCCATGTGCTTACGCATCCGGAGCCGACGGTTCTTCCCAGGCTGGGGCGGGTTGTGGCGGCTGATAGTTACCCGAGCCACGATGCAATGAACGCCCTGAGCGGTGTGACAGGTTACCCTCGGACAATCGCCCCGGGGCAAGCTGCATGTCAGCGCCCTCAGAGGCGTGAGTCAGGCGAGTGAACAGAGGATTATTGTAGCGCTGTTCATTGGCATCCACATCAGCTTCGGCATCTGATTGGCAGTTGGCAAGCAGCTCGGCGTGGTCACGCTCAAATGTGCGCGCAGAGCGATGCGCCCTCCACATGAGAAGGGCACTTGTCCCACCCACGACCAGACACAGCAGAATCACAAGCAACAAAGGTGTCAACGCCGAACCCGTGCTCGAGTATGTTACGGTAGGCGCCACCCAGACGGCCGACCAGTTGCGTAGTCCTCCAGCCCCAAAGTATGCCTTGGCCGCTGAAGCCGTCGCGGCCGCCACCGTGTGTCCCTGTCGGAGCTCGCTTAAAAAGGCCAGCCAAGCCGTCTCCTCTGCAGCACCCTCACTATACGATTGGGCCAGAACCGCCACCGTTGTGTTGTCACTCAGGCTAGTCTCCACCACAAACTCCTCCGCCTCAAGACGCTGCTCCACGCAGCGCATCCCTGGTGCGTCCGTCGATCTGAGCGTCAGCAGGAGCTCGGGTGACTCACCAATGATGGTCTGCGCCACGTCCACGTGTAGATACCCGCCGACGCGGCAAGGCTCCCCACGAGCGGCCATGGACACGTGGCTCGCTAGCGCATCCTGGGCTGCTGGTGCTGAGAAGGCTTCAAACGGCAGCGCCACGTAAAGCCGCGTAACATGAAGCTCCGTGCTCGACCGACACACGCGATCACTGCTGCGCGTGGGCGCCGCCGCCTCATATTCGTCGCCGCCGCACGTTTTAAAGGTTTGGCAATCCCGATCTGAACTGATGGTGCTGTCGGCCAGAACATACTGCTGGCTTGTACACTGCTGCACCGCCTTGCACACGCCCGCTCCAGCCGTCGACTTGAAGGTGCCCTCTAAACAGGCCGTGCACTCGGCATCGCTGGTAGGCGTCGCAGGCTTGACGTCGTAAAAGCCCGGTCGGCAGTCTGTGATCTTGATGCACGGTGCTAGACTGATGTTTGGGCTGTAGTGGCTGGGGAAGCAGGATCGACAGTCGGAATCACGAACGGAGGACCCTGGTAGATAGAGACCTTCACCCAGCCCACACAGAGAAAAGGACCTGCACGGCGCATCCAAGTTGGTCTCGGTTCCTGTGCGGAAAGTCCCTGCGGGGCACCGCTCGCACTGGCGATCCGAAGCAAACGAATACGAATTGGCACGCGCCTGGTAACCCGCCCCACACTGTGTGGCTTGTTCACAGGCCGTTTGGCCAAAGAGATTCTGGTACTCTGTTCCGTTGGCGCAGGGAACACAGGGCGTGGCAGCGCTTGCGTCGTGGTCCTTGGTACCCACGGGACAACGATAGTACTCGCATCGTCCCGTTGAACCGGCTGGCACGTACAATCCCGGGCCACACTCGGTACAGTTGATGCCATTTTGACCCACCGTCCCGGCTGGACAGATCGTGCAGCTGCGATCAGATGTAGCCGTTGGCGCCCGGTCCTCATATTCTGAAGCATCGCACGGAGAGCGCACCACAGCGCAGATGCGGTCAATGCCTTGGTCGGGAAGCGGTGCCATCAACTCGAACTGTTCAGCTGTACACTGGGTCATGTTGCGGCAGATGCGATCTGTGGTCGCCGTTTCCTCCTGCCACGCGTACTCGTGGTCTGCACACACGGAAAGATTGGCACACTGTCGGTTTGTGGACAGAGTGCAGGGCACCGTCTCGTATTCGTCAGCTGCCTGGCAATCGAGACATTGTGCACAAGTGGTATTGTGGTGGTCATCGCACTCCTGCTGCGCAAAGGATCCAGGCGCACAAACGCGACACCCATCACACCTGCAAAGAAGGAGTCGCGCGTTGGCATCCCATTGTTGTCAGCTTAAAAGCGTCGTCGAAGTAATTACAGTTGCGTTGCCGCTGCTGGTGGCGCAACTTACTGCAAGTCGTGGTATGCGCCACACGGGCCTAGATAGCGGTGGTTGAAGGGGCAGGTGGTCTGGCAAGGCAGGCACACTCGGTCTCGGTCAGCTGCTGGCGCAGTGCTTTGCCATTCGCCGGCTGCACACACGGTAAGCGTCAGGCATTGTCGATCCCTATGCATCAGGTCAAATACAATGCGTAGAATGGTCAGCCAGGGTCCAACGTGCATTTTCAAGCTGGTCGGAAAGCACAACAAGCGGTGCCATGAGATGAGGCAGCGCCTCCTTGAACGTACGTTGAGATGGTTGGGGGTGAAGCTGAATATTCATCGGGCTCGCAGCTGGCCTTGGCTAGTTGGCACTGCCCCTGGCCTACCTCTGGTTTGAAACTACCAGTCGGGCATGGCTGGCATTGACGATCGGTTGAGGACGTGGCAGCGGCTGTCTCGTGCTGACCCACGGGGCAGTTTGAGATCGGCATGCAAATGCCGGCACCGGCCTTGTCCTTGAACGTAACGCCCACTTGGCAGCTCACGCAATTGCGATTGGCTGTGGTCTTCAGTGCCCCACTCTGCATTGTGCCTGCTGGGCAATCAGTCAGCGGCAGGCAGTTTTCGCTGTTGTGCGTGTCCGTATATGAGGCGCCCTGAACGCATGCCTCGCACACGGTATCACTAGACACAGAACCCAACAGAGTGCGCGCACACAGGTAAGAGAATCCAGCGATGCAAATTAGCCAATCCGCATGAGCATCAAGCAGCGCACCGACACCTTGTTTGCACACTTCCTGAACAGGCTGACAACCGGCAAGGCACGCACGCATCAAGCCTACCTAGTCCGTGTGGGCCATGCGGCGACCTCGTAACCTGGCTCACAGATGGTGGCACGCGTGCAGGAGGAATCCAACGACGGCTCGTCGGCAAACTCATAGATGGGGCAGAGCAGGCAGTAGGCATCGCTAGAGCTTGTCGGCTGAGTCAATGCGTACTCGCCGGCGTCACACAACACATGTGCCATACAGTTGGGCGCGTTCATGGTCGCACTTTGTGTTGACGCAGGGCAGGCGGCACAGACACGATCCGTTGATCGCGTGGGTGGCGTCATCACAAACATACCAGGTGGACAGTCACCAATAATTCGGCACCGTTCTCCATCTCCAAAGTGATCGGCTGCGCAAGCCTCGCAAGCAACGTTTGATACATTCGAGCCGGTGCCAGCAATGACTGCACTTCCCCCGGGACACACACTCCATGGTTCACACGAGAGAGCTCCAGCTTCAGAGCTGAAGTATCCAGTGGGACAGCGTTCGCAAGGCGTGGCAGAAGAGTTGTCCGCATCGAAGGTGCCGGGCTGACAAGCGTACGCGCTGCAGGAACCTACAACACCTGCGGGCACATGCGTCCCCGGATCACATGGGACGCACGGGGTCGTGGCGTTGGCGTCTGCATCCACTGTCCCTGGGCCGCACGCAATGCACACGCGATCGCTAGTAGCCGTCGCCGGGGTTTGTTCAAAAAATCCCGATGGGCAGGGGGCGCTGACTGGTGTGCAGGCCCGGTCTGTTGAGGCTGTGGGTGCCGCCTGCTCAAATTCCAATGGGGTGCAGATGGTGTGGTTGGCGCACACATTGTCGCTGTATGTCGTAGCAGGAGCAAGCATAAATTGCTTGGCTGTGCAGGGCGTCACGTCCCGACATTGTCGGTCATGGGCCGAGGAACACGTGGTGGAGGTAAACTGGTGACCCTCGCACACGGTGCAGGGCGCGCAGACTGGTTCTAGGACATTGGCGCCACACGGCTCCGTGAAGTATGAGCCCGTCGGGCATGGAGTACAGCCATAGCACTCGGCATCGCTGGTGGCCGTGCATGCAGCCACTTGGTAATGAGAATGGCTGGAGCAAATGGTGCAATTGGCACAGAGGCGGTCCGTAGTGGGCGAAGCTGCGGCTTGCTCAAATTGATCCGCAGCACAGGTCGAGATGGAGCGGCACACGACGTCGGACAATGCGGTACCGGGAACGAGCTGGAATTGCTCAGGTGTGCATGATTGCCACGGCTGACAGGCGAGCGAGTTGAGTTCACTAGAAAAGTGTCCTGCGGCACAACTGGCACACGTGCGATCTGTTGTGCTGGTCCCGTTGCTGAGTATGAATTGACCTGCGGCACACTATCAGTCGGACGCGCGGTGGTTGGTGTGTGTGAATTGCAAAGGATAGGGGATAGTGCAGCAACGACTCGAGCATGCTTGGCTAAAATTCGAAAAAAAAAAAAAGGGGGGGGAGGCTTTGCAGCACGTTTTTTGTGGACTCACGGAAGACAGCTGACGACAGGGCTCCAAGCCGGCAGTAGGGCTGAAGGTACCGGGCAGGCATGTCTACACACATTGTTGCAAAAGCGTAAGCCAAGCTGGATCAGGTCATTTCAGTCGTGGACTCGCCCAGCAGGTGCAAAGCACAGAGTGCAAGCACGCCATGGTGTTGCAGGGGCACGCAGCACCTTGACCTACCGTGCACTCGCGATCACTAAACAGAGTGGGCTCATGGGTCATGGACGTACCGGGCGGGCAAGTCGGGCTCACGAGTTGGCACGCGATGTTGTAGCCAGTGGCGTTGCTGAAGGCTTCACCCAGTTGGCACGGACGGCAGAGCTCGTCGTGGCTGGCTGCAGCGGGCCGAACGGTCTCTGTACCGGGCCTGCATGGCGTTGTGGGAAGGCATGTTGGCTGGTTGGTGGCATTCTGATAGGTACCAGCTTCGCACGGCACACATAGCCGGTCCGTGCTTGACGAGCCGTTGGAAGCAATGGCACTGCCCGCAACACATGTTGTCCAGGGCAAGCAACTCTTCGCGTTGAATTTGCTGCTGAAGGATCCGACATCACATGCCAAGCACTACAGATGGGGGAACAAGGAAACAATTGTTAATGGGTGAGCTGCACGACTATGGACAAGATCTCACAACTAAAAATGGCAACACACACCTGACGATCTGTGCTAATGGTTGGGGCGACATTTTCAAAAGAACCTGGCAGGCAGGTCGTGGTGTTGACGCAGTGGGGCAAGCCGTAGTCCTCATAATAGGTATCAATGCCATCGCAGTTGGTACAGATGCGATCCGTGGTCGGTGTGGGCGGCAGAAATTCAGCCACCCCGTACGAGCAGTTGTGCGTTGGTTTACACGCTGTCTGCTGGGGTTGATTTTGATATTCGGCGACGCCATCGCACGCCGTGCATCTGCGCACGCCGATTGTTGACGGTGCATGCAAGTTTGGTTGTTTTTGCGTGTGTGAGCTTGGCGCTGGTCGCACGCTTGCCTGTCAACACACACACACACACACACACACACACACATACATACACACATACACACAAGATGCGACTTGGGTCGCCAATTGAACATGACCATGTCATAAGTTTAAACGTACTCGCGGGCTCGTGAAGTGCTCCCAGCAACAGAAATTCGTGTGCCGGGCCCACAAGTCACCTGTGGAACACACATCGCCAGGTTGGCTTCATCCGTGTAGGTGTTTGAAGGACAGGACATGCACACGCTGCAATAGCACGAGACCCGGTACAGCATAAGAACTGGTAAGTCGAGGGTTTGAAGGCGCAGTACACGGGTGCACTCCCTCACCGGTTGGAGGAGGATGTGGCGGGCTGCAGAGCGTATTGCCCTGGCGTGCACACACGCAGCGTTCGGCAAACACCGCTCAAATGGCGGTATTCCGTCTCCAAACAAGGTTCTACGGCGTACCATTGCGAGGTCAGAGCTGACAGGAGAGTAGTCGTGTGTGTGTGTGTGTGTGTGTGTGTGTGTGTGTGTGTTTTTTGTGTTAATGGCATTCAAACTGTTCTCCCATGCAAGCAACAGACCTGCTAAGAGAAGAGAGAATGTGTCGTCCGAGCACCCGACCGCCTCGCCAGAAAAAACAAAGGTATCCTCGACAGAGCTAAAGCTGACTTCACCAAACAGGTTGATTGGCAAATAGCTGGAAGGACCCGTGTGTACAATAAAATGCGAGCCCTCCTCAAAGCCATCCACAATAAATGTGGCACATGGGTTTCCAAGCACGCCCTGCAAGCGCCAAATGGAAGTGAATGAAGCGCCACCAACCACATACGTGGTGGTAAGGGTAGCGCTGACATTCCAAGACGGGCCCTGAGAGTTGGTGATTTGCAGAACGGCGGTCTCGCCAATGCAATCAAGACTGCCGACCCAGGTCTGGCCCACTTGCATCGCAGAGGGAGAGTCACTGGGAGAGCACGAATGCTCGAGTGATTTGCATTCGCAGTCGGTGCAGCCAGGAAAGAAATAGTCGCGAAAACGCTCGTGGCTCAAGAGAGAATTCAGGCAGTTTTCGCTGTCACAGACGCGCCAAGCCGGACAGGAACATTGACCATAAGCATCAGGTTGTGCATGAGTCACCGCTGTATTACAGGCCACCTCCTGGCAGCGGCAGCTCGTGCAATCGGATGGAAACATGTCGGTGAAATTCGCGGTCACTTGCTCCATGCGGTCGTCCGTGTCAAAGACGCGCAGGCACTTGGAGCGGTCGCGGTTCAAATCGGCCACGCAGGTGTCGCCTTGCGGGCAAATACAAGCACAGCTCACGTCTTGAATCGAGCCTGTGGGGCACGAGTTGGGACAAACGCATTGACGGCTCTCAGCCGCAAGCACCTTGCCAGCCTCGCAACTGCAAGCGTAGCCGACATTGGTGACCACGCAGTGTCCCCCACGATCGACGCCACCCTGCCATCCCATGTTTCGAGAGTGGCACATGAGGTGAGCACGCCATGCGGTAGGCGTCGAGCGAAAAAGCAAGGCCAAAGTGCTGCCGTCAAAAGGCACCTTACCGGGGTACAGCAGTTGTGATCGCAAGAGCTATCGCCGGGATCGGGCTCGACACATTCGAGTAGAGGGCGAATCGTGTATGCCACGCTTGTCTTGGCCAGCAAGAACAAAGCCAGAATCAGAAGCAAGGAATGGCGTGCAACCCGGAGGCGCGCCTGCCCATGGCCGTCCACCATTGCACCGGCCAGAATGCAAGAGCACAGCTAGCACCCCGTGTGGTCGCACGAGAATTTGGATTTTCCTCGGGCGTGCTCAGGAAATAAATGGAATCACCGCCACACGGCCTGTACACACAAGTTACAAGGACGAGGTCGAAGCGTTGCTTGGTTCGTGGTGATGGATACCTGCCCAGAGTCGGACTGAGGCTTCAGTTTGAAAAGAGCAATGCATCAAACCGGAGATTGGCTTTTGGACAGGATCATCAAGGCCCATCCACAAGCGGAAGCGAGGGAAACAGCAGTCAGCTAATCCACTCACCACCCTCACCCTTGTCCCATCATTCAATTTTTCGGCGGACGGCTGAATCGATGACCATTGCATGCAAGCACGCAAACTGACGAACCCCGGACAACAGGTGTTGATAACTGTCGTTGTAAGCTTGCCCATTGGTGCCCTTATGCAGATGAAAGATGGGAAATTTGTATCATTTTCCCGATACAAAACTCCGGTAAAGTAATAAGGCGGTTCCGCTGAAAGCAACCGTTACAAAACGAGAGAGAAAAAACGCGCCGCCGCCGCCGCTGCCACCGTCACCGCTGCTGCTGCTGCTGCTGCTCTTGTCGCTCGTCACCTGCTGCTGCCCTTCCATATGCGGTGGTGGCCTAGTGTCTGTGAAGTGCTTTCTTGCGGCACATGCTGGTCTGGAGCCGACTGGTGGATGAATCCATGAACACGCGTGCGCCAGTGTCTCAAGTCAAAGGATCTCAATCAACATGTGCCTGGGCATGGCTTGTAGATTTTTTTCCACTTTTTGACCCCCAAACACTGCACAATGGCTGCTGCTGCTGACACGGCGGAAGGTGCGAGCGCGCGTCTTTGCTGCTCCTGCAGTCGCACCTTGGTCCACCTGATGCGAGCAAAAAAAGACCGACTCACGTCCCTTTGTACCTGCTAGCCGATACCATGATGAACGAAAAGCTCGTCAACGAAGAGTACAAGATCTGGAAGAAGAACACCCCCTTCCTGTATGCTGCCAAAGGCCCGCTCCGGATCCATGTTACCATGCACCTGACTTGTTTGTGTTGCACGCCGTTGCTTGACCTTGTTTTTCTCCTTGCTGCACCGCCCCCATCCTTCAGCTATGATCTGGTGATGACCCATGCGTTGGAGTGGCCGAGCCTGACCGCTCAGTGGCTGCCCGATGTCAAGTCAGTTTTAGTTCTTTGATATGACTCTGTTTTAGATCCGGCCAGCTCTACCCAGTTTGCCGTGTCACGTACTGCCACCTGACGTGCTCACTTTGGTGTCTCTTTACGTGTGCCTCGCCATCTTGCGTGGCGCGCCTGATGTATTTCTTGTTTTCTCCAGCACGTCTGGCAAGGACTACAGCACCCACCGCATCATCCTCGGCACTCACACGTACGTTGCACGTTCATGCCCTGTGCCATATCTCGAGTTGTCACACAAGCTTAGTGCACCTTGCTTCACTGACGCTGTCTCGCCTGTTTTACCTTATGAAATCCACTCATACAATCATCTTCATGGCGCAAACAGCTCGGACAGTGAGGCCAATCATTTGCTAATTGCCCAGGTTCAGCTGCCAAACGAGCACGCACACGTTGATGCCCGCAAGTATGATGACGAGAAGCACGGTATGACTTGCTTCCACTAATCAACAACGCAATTTTGGAAGCACGACTACCTGCTGCACCCGTGCCACCATGGTCGCCCTGGCAGCCTTTGCAACCTTCATGGCAGCCTCCTTCTGATGACCAATACGTGCAGAATATGGTGGCTTTGGCAGCGTGGCGGGCAAGATTGAGATCAAAATGAAGATCAACCATCCGGGCGAGGTCAACCGGTATGCCCACAAACCCGCACCCCTGATTAAATGCCGATCGACGTGCCCGTACATGCCCGTTGGCCCACAACCTGTGCTGCAACTGTTGTTTTCTGGCGTAGTGCGCGTTACATGCCCCAAAACCCTTCAGTGATTGCCACCAAGACGCCGTCAAAGAACGTTTTGGTGTTTGACTACAAAAAGCACCCTTCCGAGCCCTTGGATGCTGAAGTCCACCCCAACCTGACACTGACCGGCCACTCAAAGGAAGGGTGAGTGGCCTCGGCAGAGCATGCTTTTCCTGCGCACTCTGACGTGGGCTCTGGACTGAGGCGGAAGTCTTCTCATTCTTGATCTCTGCGTTGGCACTCAGCTATGGCCTGTCTTGGAACCTTCATCATGAGGGCTATCTTCTGTCAGCGTCTGACGACACCGTACGTTTACTAGACCTCGCTGCATGCCATTCTCGTCCCCGCTCTGCTCTGCCGGAGCAGTGTTCACTTTGCGATTATTGCCCTGTGTTTCATGAGTAGACCGTGTGCCTGTGGGACATTCGCCAAGTCCCTAAGGGTGTTTCGGAGCTGGCAGCATCGTCTGTTTTCACTGGTCACAAAACCATTGTGGAGGACGTGCAATGGCATCCTCTGCACGATTCAGTATTCGGCTCTGTGGGCGACGATCGCAACCTGATGTTGTACGCCTACTGCGCTATCCTCTGCAAATGTGGCCCATGCCCCAAGCTTCCTTCGGTCGTATGGTTGCAGTTGCTACCCCTCATTATCAACTGGGGTGCTCTTGTAGGTGGGACACGCGTGTTGGCGTGTATGATAAGCCTCGCCATGAGGTGCTCGCGCACGCGGCCGAGGTCAACTGCCTCTCTTTCAACCCTTTTTGCGAGTACATTTTGGCTACTGGCTCGGCAGACAAGGTTAGGCGACCTTTTTCTTGTTTTGTTTTGTTTGTTCTTCGTTTGCGTCTTGTGCCTTGTTGGGATGCATGAATCTTGGTTCGAGCTCACTTACCCGTTTCGTGGCTGAATGACAGACCGTCGCTTTGTGGGACATGCGGAACCTCAAGGTCAAACTGCACTCGCTCGAGTATCATACCAGCGAGATCTTCCAGGTGCAATGGAGCCCCCATAATGAAACGATCTTGGGTTCCTCCGGCACCGACCGCCGCGTGCATGTGTGGGACCTCAGCAAAATCGGGGATGAACAAACGGCTGAGGATGCCCAGGATGGACCTCCCGAGCTATTGGTACGGGTTGTTTGTTTGTTTGTTTGTTTTTTCGTTTCTTGTTTTCGTTTTTTTCTTTTTTGCTCTCTACCCTCTTGGCATCCAACCCTCTTGGCATCCAACCCTCTGGCAAAGGATCTCATGATTGAGTCGTGGCATGTTCTGCCCCCACTAATTGCCTTTGCAGTTTATCCATGGCGGCCACACATCCAAGATCTCTGACTTTTCCTGGAATCCCAATGAGCCCTGGGTCGTGGCATCCGTGTCCGAGGATAACATTATGCAAGTGTGGCAGATGGTGCGTAGCTACCCCCTTGTACGCTACAACAGAGGCGTGTCTTGGTCTTGCAAGTCGATTCATACTTGGGTTTCGCCTCATTCATATAATATGCCTTTTGTTTTAGTCGGAAAACATTTACAACGACCAGGAACTCGAGCCGCCCTCAACGGCCATGGATGTGGCGGCATAGACTGACATGGGACTCTGGCTTTCATTTGCTGTGCATGTTGATTGCCATACGTTCTTGCCATGCCACTCGTGGCATTGCAAAGCGTGCACCCACTCGGTTGGGGATGGAGTTTCCTCGCCTCAGTCTCAAGCCTGCTCATGAACTTGGAGCACGGTTTTTTAGTGTGGTTGTCGGTATTGTTTTGTGATTGTTGGCATGTTTTTATCATGTGGGCTTTTTTTTTCCTCCTTGCAATGGGTGGCGAGCCCACTAACTCGAATCGTGGCTGAAAGAAGAGGATATAATCCAGATCAAATCAAACAAGAAAGTATCTCTCATGTCCGGATGCACACTCTAAGAACAGATCATCCCATACGACCCAGCACAAAACAAAGCCCCAAACGAAGAGAACAGAGCTGTGAGGACTCGGGGTTCAAACGAAGGACACCAAAAAGCAAGGCAATGGCAGTGTCGCATCAGTTGAACGAGAGACGCTACGCTGAGTCAAAGTTGCATTTTCATCAATTTTATGATGAATTTCTCGTTGATTTCTAATCAGATTATTCTTTTCACAAGTGGGTCCTGACCTGGCGCGACGAATCATGATAAGCCAGAAAAATCACCATGACGGAAGGGAAGAATGGCGTTTTTTGTGCAGGTCTAAAAAAAAATAATAAACCAAACGTTGAGAGGTACAGGTCAGAATCTGCTGTTAAACCTGGTGCATTGATGGACAGAGACCGCGGGGTTCGAACAGAAATGCCAGTGGCGCACACCCTCATCCCTTAATGTTTCCTACGCAGCTATCAGTCTGGTTGCCGTCGAGCGCCAGGCCAAATTGTGAGCCCGAGATTGTGGTTCCCTCAAAAACAGAGGTCAAATCGAACGTTTTCAATTCTTATTTTGCAATGCAGGTCCAAAAAAAAAAAGAAAAAAAAAAAAGAGAAAAGAAATCAGGAAGACGCTAGCAAACTCTGGGCACACCAGCCGCAATCAGTCGGGTTGTCCCAAGAGGGGAAAAAACTATAGGCCCCGTGCCGTATGCACGAAATGAGCAACAGCCTGCTCTGGAATACGACCCGTTTCCACCCACCCGCGGTTTCAACGACGACGGCGGGCTCGCGAGATACGCCACGAGTTGGGCTCCTCATACTTGTTGAACAGAGGCTCGATAATTTCGTTGCGCTTGCGCTTGGACATTTTCGTCGGGTCTGCCACGCGGAAGAAGGAAGGCGCTAGCTCAGTGAGCCAGCGAGGGTCAATAGCCGTGACCGTTCGCATGTACTCCTTGGTTGTGAGGACCAGCTCGTGGTACACCAGCCACTCGGGCTGACGTTGCCACAAGGAACTGGAAGGATGGACATAGACGGCTTGCTGGTCCACCAAGGTGCGGAAACCTTCTTGAGGATCCTTTTTGGCTGCGTTGCGGAAGAAGCCCGAGGTGATGGCCATCTGCACCCGCTTGTACGCCTTGCCACACGAGACGATATCCAATTTATGTCGATCCATAATGGCAACCATTTGCTTGCGCACATCCTGTGCCCGCTTCAGCGAGCGTTGCTGCACAAAGTTTTCAAAGCACCAGGGAGCCGAAAATTTGTTGGCCTCCCAGCTCTTATATACCTGGAGCAGAGTCAGATGGTCACCCTCAATCTGGTGAAATTTGGCCTTGCGCTGATCAGCGAGCGCCGCCTTCTCCTTTGGACGGTAGAAAACGGTTTGCACGGAGAGCATGCTCACAATGGTCAAGATCTCATCCGAGCAGCCCAGGTGGGTGGACTGAATCAGCATCTTGGACAATTGTGGCTCAAGAGGGAACTCAGCCATGCGGCGACCAAGGCGTGTCAACAGCCCTTCATCATCAAGCGCGCCCAATGAGTGCAGGTTCTCCAAGGCCAGAATCAGTGTCTCCGTGGGTGGCGCATCCATAAAGTCAAAGGCAAGCAGGTCGTTGATGCCCATGGCCTTGAGCGAAAGCACGGTGTTGGACAGGTTGGTGCGCTGGATCTCGGGCACGGCCGTCTCTAGCATCTCCTCCCGGAAGGCACGCTCCGTGTAGAGTCGATAACACTTTCCGGGACCGGTGCGACCAGCACGACCTTTGCGCTGATCTGCCTGCTGTTGTGAAATGGGGGTCACCACCAGCGCATCCATGCCAGTCTTGTTGTTGTATACCTTCTGCTTGACGAATCCGGGATCAACGACGTAGTAGATGCCATCGATGGTCAGGGAGGTTTCGGCAATGTTGGTGGCCAGCACCACCTTACGACCGCCCGGAGGGGCGGGCTCAAAAATGCGTGTCTGCATCTCACTCGGCAATGCTGAATACACGGGCAAGATGACCAGGTCGGGCACATCATTACCTAAAGCTTTCATGCGCTCGAACAAAATCTCGCATGAGGTGTCAATCTCTTCCTGGCCCGTCAAGAAGAGCAGAATGTCACCGGGGGGCTCAGTCAGATGGATTTGCATGATGGTGATGAGGGCAGCATCGAGGTAGTCGCTCTCGGGCTCCTTGGTGTACAACACCTCGACAGGAAAAGTGCGGCCCGGGATGGTGAAGATGGGAGCACCCAAAAAGTATTCTGAGAACTTGACAGAGTCCAGAGTGGCCGAGGTGACGAGCAGCTTGAGGTCGCCCGGGCGTTCGCGGACCGCGCGTTTGACGAGACCGAAAAGGACATCCGTGTTGATGGTGCGTTCGTGGGCCTCATCGAGGATAATGCACGAGTAGTCACGCATAGCTGAGTCAATCAGGCACTCACGCAGGAGCATGCCGTCTGTCATGTACTTGACGCGTGTCTTTTCATTGGTGCAGTTTTCGAAACGGATGGTGTAGCCCACCTCATGGCCAAGGAGGCAGCCGTGCTCTTCGGCCACGCGCTTCGCGACGGACATGGCAGCGACACGACGAGGCTGCGTGCAGCCGATCAGACCACGCCCACCAAGGCCCATCTCGAGGCAGTATTGCGTCATTTGAGTGGTCTTGCCTGATCCCGTCTCGCCAATGACGATGAGGACCTGGTTGTTGTCGATGGCTTCCATGAGGCTGTTCTTGAGCTTGTAGATGGGAAGCGACATGCGCTGTTCCTGAATCGACTGATCGGTCTTTTTGCCGTAAGAGACGTGCCGACCGCCGATGGTCGCCTTTTTCCACTCGGGCATGTCTCGCATTGGATCGCTGCGGGCACCGCGCTGCATGCTGCCCTCGTCCTGTCGGAGCGGGTCGCTCCAGTCACGACCCATGGGCATGTGGCCAGCCTGTTCAGCATCGCGCTGTGCGTTACGCACCTCACGACGCTCTCGTGAGAGTTCGCTCTGATTCATGGCGGCGCGCTGTAGCGAGCCGTCCGGGTTTTTGACGATGCGCACGGGGCTCAAATCTGCTCCCTTGATCTGCCCGCGCAGGAAAGCGGGTTCATCCTCGGCCAGCTCAATCTCGACTTCTTCGTCTGATTCCGCGTCAATCTGAGGGAGAATACCAGTTTCTTCATCGTAGTCGGGATACTCGGTTGGGTCCAGGACGCCAGCAGCAATGAGCTGCTTCAGCTCCCACTTTTCAGGCGAGGTGAGGCGCTTGCGACTGCGCGCGTTTTTGGGATCTCGCTCCAGCTCCAGCAAGTCAGGACCAGCATTCATCGGACGATCAGGATTGCGACCCAAGGGCATGGCTTGGTCATAGGGGTCTGCGGGCCCATCGCGGCCCGGGCCCGAGCGGCCTCCAAAACCGTCGCGTGGTTCGGTGAGGTCTTGACCCGTGCGCTGATCCACGTCTTTCATGGAAAGGCTAATTTTGTGGTTGACCTTGCTTAAGACCTTGACCTTGACGGGCTGGCCACGTTGGACAACATCGTGGGGATCGGCCACACGCCCTTCGTTACTCATTTGGCTGACATGAACCATGCCGTCCACACGACCTCGGACGCCATCCAGCTGGACGAAGCAGCCAAACTGCGTAATACCAGCTACAATACCATCATATACCTTGCCGACGATGGCCTCGTCATCCACAGGACCTCCCGCGCCGCCGCGGCGGGGCGGCGAGCGGCCACGGCGACGGTCATCATAGCGATCATCTCCACGGCGGCGGTCCTCATGGCGGTCACCGCGGCGGCGGTCGTCATCGTAGCGATCTCCGCGGCGGCGGTCATCATCATAGCGGCCTTCTCGGCGACCTCGGCGGTCATCATCGTAGCGGTCGCGGCGGTGGGGCGGTGAGCGAGAGCGAGAGCGAGAACGAGAACGGCTGTAGCGGCGATGGGAGCCGCGGTCGCGCGGCGGTGAGGCACGGCGAGCCGGACGCTCTTCCCAATCGCGGCTGCTGGCACTGGGGGGCTCTTGCTGGCTCGAGGCGGCGGCAGTCTTGCTCTCCTCGAGAAAACTTTCAAGGCGTGCCATGGTAGCGTCGGCATCATCCTTGAGATCATCAGCCTTGAGCGGGCCAGACGCGTCAGGTATGGCGAGAGCTGGGAAAGCGGATCGTTTGGCAGACGGGGCCGCGTCTCCAGTGGGCCCATGACTGCCGCTTGCCCCGCTTGACTGTTGAGCCCGGATCTTGGGATCTAAACGAGCGATGAGGCGCCACAGGTTGGAGATAAAACTTGTCTGCGGTGGCGTCGGGTGTGGGGCGTCGGGCAACGGGAACGTGAGGGTGCGAGCAGGAAGCAAACGGTGACAACAGGCAGGGCGTGTGCCCTTGGCAAGGGGCCGTTGACCCACCTCGAGACCTGCTTCGAGGGCATCTACAGCACTGGCAAACTTGGATTCCTCGCCGTTCTCCTCAGCCAAGTTGATGAGAAATTCGGCTACGTCGCCACAGCCACGAGCACAATCATTAGATCACGGAAGGAAAAAAATAAAAATAATGAAAGGGTAAGAAAAACCCAGCCCATTCTTTCTTGCGCCGTCACAACAAGACAACGTGGAAGGTGTGATTATAGGGATGGGGCAAGCGTGCGTGCGCAAAAAGGGGAAAAAAAAAGAAAAAAGAAAAAAAAAGAAAAAGAGAGCAGGGATTTCCACGGTCCCATGACTCGTACCGAGAGCTGTATCGCCGACACCCAGGTTGTTCTCAAGCTCGGTGACAACCTTGGACACCAAGGAAAGACGCTGCAGCTGTTCAACGTCATCCATGGCTGCGGTGCTGACCAAGGGGAGGGGGGCTCTTGAGCCGCGGTCCACAATCTGAGCGATGCTCAATACTTTTCGATCAAGCGCAGTCAAATGGGTGAGTCACTGCAGGCGGTGACAGGCCACAACGCCCCGCAGACAGCCAAGGCGGTTGCCAGCTGGTAAATTCAAGTCCCAAGGCCACACGCGCTAAGGTCGCGTGGTACTCGAGGTCGAGGCAAGTCCGGGGTCGAGCCGGGTCTGGTGTCTAAGGCGTAAACGACGCACGACGACCAGAAAATGAGCGCGGGGACCGGCCGCCAATGGCTTCGTTGAAAACACATGTTTTCTACAAACAGCACCTTGACTTGGTTATTCTCACTGACTTCGGGTCTCGAATTTATGTGACTGTGTTGCGCATGCAGCCGTCGAACGGGGCTTCGGGCTGCGTATTTTGTGACTGCCTTGGCTAGCAGATCCGAAAACGCTGGGGTGTGTCTGGCTCGGAGACATGACCTGGTTCAACGTTTGTTCTTTGATGGCTCGACACAAACGAGAGGGTCATGATCGCAGCACAGCTGTTTTGTTTTCAGTCGTCTCTTTTGAACTACTGTCACCGGACTTTTTGACGTTGGGACATCATAATATCATAGGGCTCCAGTCAAAAGAGAGAAGCGAGAGAGTCGAAACGAGAGAGAGAGAGAATAAAAGCATACAGTTGCAAGCTTGATCTGTGTGTTGTGTGTGTGTTGTGTGTGTTCAAGTGCATGTGTGTGATGTTTCTGTCATTTTCTCTCTCTCTATCACACACACAACTGTAACCGAACTTGACTGTTGGTTGTGTTGTGTCGTGTTTGATGTTTCTTCTGCTGCGCGTTTGTCGCGGTCGGCGGTCGTGCTACTGGACGCTGAACGCGCTGTCTGCTGGTCGCGGTCCACGGGGAGGTACGTGGACAAAATGGTTTCTTGGGAAATGGCGTTGGAGCGTCGTTGCTGGAAGGGGGTTGGCGGGGCGCCAGTGGAAGGCTTCACTGGCGATAGGCCAAGTGCCGTCTGGCAAAGCCAGCTGCATGCATGCGCATTTCGTTGCTTTGCCGTCATCACTGACAAGAGGGCAGCGTCAGCTCCATTGATGGCTGACTCTGCTCCTGTGGCCTCTGTTGCTCCAATACCAATACCAGCCTTCAACCTGCCATTCACAGGTGCTTTGCCTCTCCTCATGGTCTTGATTCTATCTACAGGTTGCCCAGCTTGTTTCACGACCTGCGTGCCACAGTGCACACGACGGCACCGTGCAACACTCACGACGGGCAGCCGCAGGTCGTAGCCTGCCTGTTTTTCGCGGCATGGTGCGCTTCTTTCGCTTTGCTTTGCTTGTTATGCTTCTCCATTACCTCCTCGCCATTGACTCGCCAGCGGTATTCTTGCTGACCGACCGGGTGGCTTCTGTTGCCGGCTTCTGGTGGCATGCTAGCGGCCCTTGGCCGCTTCAGACCCTGGCCGTGCTGCACCTGCATGTTTGTAACAAGCGCGCAAAGGGTTTAAGAGAAGACCGGCGCCATGTCCCTCAACCTTACGTTTTGGGATGCCAAGTACACTGCCCTGCGCAACTCTTTTGTCTATGCCGAGTCGCTCGAACGGCTCTGGACTCGCCTCCAGAAGGACAAGGTGGCCCTGGACAATGGCAGCGAAGATGGTGTCCAAGGCCCTCAAACCCATGTGACCGATGAGGTCATTCGATGGGCCGACCTTGATCCCGATGAGCTGCAGGACCTGCTTCTGCGCGATCATCTCTACTTCTTTCAGCTCCAGGGCCGGTGCGTGCGTGCGGGCGCAGCGCTCGGCTCGTTTTCGTCTGCTACTTGTGTTTTTCGACTGTCCATTCTGACATGCTCACACGCGGTGTGTCGTTCTTTGCTCTTGATGATCTACACACAAATGACAGGACGGTCTTTGAGGAGCGAGGTGCCTTGCGTCTCAGGCTCCTGCGCCGCTTTTACCAGGATCTGGCCCAGTTCGCTGTCGAAGTGTACAGCAAAACTGGAGCCTCCACTCATCCGGGGGCCAAACCAAGCGCATGCATTTCCCAGCGCACATCGGCCCCGGGATCGCCCAATCGCACGCGTCGCAGCTCCCCGACTCCTGGCACCAGCAGTGGTGACACGTTGATGGTTCCCCAGTCTACCGAAACCGAAGTATCTGAGGGTGGTCAAGCCCGTCTGCCAGCATCTCGAGACACAATCTTGCGTCGGGTAAGCTTGTCAATCCCAGCTGATGGGATGCATGTGACATTCATATGACAAAGGCGAAACCCTTGTTGCTCAGCCAGTTTGGCTTTGGCAGTCCTGGGCGGTTCCACAGCTCGTTTTCATCACAACGTTGTTTGGCTCACCTGGTATGCCTCCGTGTCTCTCTCCAACCCCCCACCCCTCTCCCTCTGCCCATAGCGTGGAACAGCAGAAGACCGCTTTCTCCACTTTGCCATTCGCTCGCTTGTGAACGTGCTTTTTGCTTTCTTGCGCGAGGCCAACCGCAACAGCGATTCGAGTGTCTGCCGCCACCTGCTCGAGGATGCCAAGGATTTGCTGGCCGACCTGCCCCTGGCTAGCCTGCAAAAGATCTACGATGATAACAATCAGGAGAATTGGATCTACACGATTCGTCGCGCCCAGCTCTTCCTTGAAGAACTGTGTGAACCCAGCGCTTCGCCAGACAAGGCCGATCGCATTTCAGCTTTTATGCTTCGCCTGGAGCTCGCTGCTCAAACTGGCAATGGTGTCAGCATGCTGGGGGCCATCACGCATTTGTTGCACAATGGTAGCGATCGTGAGCTCTTCCTGCCTGCCCACGACTATCTCCAACGCTTCAGCGAACTACGTCAGCAGCACACGACCGCCCTTGATTCGTCCTCGCAATCTTCAACCATGCCCGATGTCGTCAGCGTGGTGGATGTCTTGGAAAACCAGCTGCGCAAGGACGAGCCTTTTGCCCGCTCAGTGGATCCGCTCCGCTTGGCAGCCTTGCTGCTAACCCAGCTCGCCCGCCTCTCACCACCCGATCGTGCTGAATTTGAGGATGTCAAGGTTTTCAGCTGGGGCAACACGCGTGACGCTGAGCTTGGTTACGTGGCCAATCAACCCGTTGAGAGTCCACAAATCAACACCCTTCTTAGCCGCCTCAATCCCACGCACATTGCTCTGGGCCAGCGCGGTACTTTTGTCATTGACGGCGAGGGGCGGCTCTGGTCCTGCGGATCGCATACGCGCCCACAAAACGATGTCAAATCCTTTTTGGGCCATGCCGAGTCCAGTCTGGCTCTCGTGGAGGGGCTTGAGAGCGAGCGCTTCATCCAAGTGAGTGCCACCAGCCATGTGCTGGCTGTCACCCTACAAGGCGAAGTCTATTCCTGGGGCTCCAACTCGTACAAGCAACTCGGCCGCGACGGCGTCAACAACCGCCCCATGAAAATCACTGCCCTCGAGGGCGAGGAGGTTGTGCAGGTCTGCGCCGGTGGGCATCACAGCGCCGCCGTATCCAAAGCCGGCAACCTCTACACCTGGGGCCGGGGCGGCTATGGCCGCCTTGGTCACGGTACCTCAGATGATGTCAACGTCCCCACACGCGTTGCTGCCTTTCCCGAGTAAGAGGCAAATGTTCTGCCGCTGCTATGGGTGTTCAAAACTGCAAAATGTCATGACAACTCACGCCTTGAATTGCTGTCCGCAGGGGCATCCGTGTGGTGCACGTGGCATGTGGCCTGGGAGATGCCCATTCCATGTGCGTGACTGAGGACGGGCACATCTACAGTTTTGGCGATGGGGATTTTGGTGAGTTCAGCTCTTGTGCTCATGTTTGTGAGCGTTGATGCGTCACCGATCCGATTCCATACGAACGACATCGCTGCGTGGAATATCGAAGGCCCCACGTTTTCTAATAATAATATTTGCGTCCTTTCTTCTTCATCAATTTCTTAATTTTCTTTTTTTATTTTTGTTTGTGGGGGTGATGCAGGCAAATTGGGTCATGGTACCAATGATCGTCGTCGTCAGCCCGAGCGCATTGACTTTGAGTTTGACGGCTCAGGTGTCAAGGCGGCGTGGTGTGGTCTGCAAATATCCGGCTGCCTGACAAATCACGGCGCCCTTTACACCTGGGGCAGGTACGACCCTACAACGGCTTTGGCCTTGGTACGAGGCACTCCTCAGGAGGCTCATCGATCTCTGAACTGGGGTCTGTCGTGCTTCTCATCATTGCAGTTGCGCCTTGGGCGCTCTCGGCAATGGGCGAGTCACGGGCTCAGTGCCCTCTCCCACCCGCATTTTGGAGGACCACGTCATCACAAACGTACGCTATCTTCCTCCTCTATTTCCATTTTGAGTTTCTCTTTTCGTGGCAGATCTCACACACATGCTCTCAATGCTCTTTCGTGGTGTCAGGCGGCGATGGATTATTCGTGCGGTTTGGCAGTGACAGCAGAGAATGAGGTGTACCAATTTGGCACCGTGAGTGAGGGGACAAAAACCAATCCAACCCCCGTGCTTCTCACCACACTAGTGGGGAAAAACGTCACCCAGGTGCGTCATCACCCTTGTGCTGTTCATTTTCTCTGCCACGCCGAAGAGAAAAGCCGGTTCTGTGCCCGTTGCCTTATCGCATCGATTGTCAACGCTTGCCGTCAGGTTGCGGTGGGCTCCAATCACGCCATGGCCTGGACTGGCTCATTGGCCGTGCTGCCCTTGACGCCGGTGCCGTTTGCACCCGCTGGGGATCAAGCCTCCTTGTTAGCGATTGCTCGCACTTTGGAAGCATTGATGGAATCATGCGCGTCGCCAGAACTGCGCAACCGATGTGTTTACGCCATACTTTCCATGCTCGAGCGCAGTCTTCAGGTGCGGCCTCTGTTTGGGCCCACAAAGCCGACACAACTGGGTTGCATGCTGTTTGCTCTCCCGATGAAAGCTCATCAGCCACTTTTTCCCATTCTTATGTGTTGCTCTATGCTTTAGCTGGCCGTGCGAACACGTGCGGCCATTGGCGAAGAGGTGGTAGCTCCGCTTCGCAACATGCTCTTGACCTTTGCTTCGGCCTCACTCTCCGTTTCATCACAAGTTGCGACATCGGCTCAATTTTGGTGAGTGTTGTGCTGCCAATACTCCCCCGTTTGTTTGCACACGTTTGCGGTCATGTTGGTTCATTCCACTTTGACGTCTGGGTTTGTAGCTTACTGCAAGGCTGGCCCATCCTCAACGTTGCCGAGTCGGATCGTCAGCGCTTGCTGAAGGCTGTCACAGACGTGGTGTTTGCCAAGACGGAGCCGGCTCCGTCACCAGAGGACATCCACTTGGCACGCGAGCTGATTCGCAGTCGCTGGCGCTTCTTGATGCCCGTTTCGTATGTGTCATGCCAATAACCCTCGTCTGGTGGATTGCTTGCAAATTTTTGTTTGTGGCTTGCCCGTGTTTCCACCTCTTTGCGTCTGCTCACGGCGTCTGTCGTTTGATGCCGCTCGCTTGAAAACTTGGATCACTTTTGATGTAGAGATCGACTGCACAATCTTTCCGAGCTCCTGCCCCAGACGAGCAACATTTTGGCACGGGTGCATCGATCGGACGTGTCCGACACAGACCGCATTCACGCTGATGGCCACGACTTTTTTGTCACGGTCATTATTGACAGTCTCATCCAAGATGGTGTGGTTGAGAGCTGCGTCCTCGAGCTTTTCGGCTTTGATGTGGAATTGGTGGACGATGAAGATCGTGGTTCACATTCTTCTGACACCTCGTTCGTTGCGGCCACGCGCGCGTTTGAAGTCGCCTTTGGCCTTGAATTCGAGCAGGTGGAGCGTCAACCAGTGTTGGAGCAGATTGTTCCACCCGTTTGTGCCTCAGTCCTCAGTTTGATTCGTGAGGCAGTGACACAGTGGACGGACATTTGTCGGTCCGGCATTCAGAGCAAGCGCGATGTCCTGGTGTGCAACTCGCTCACGCGCCTGGTGCTTCAGTTTCAGCGAGTCCTTTTTGCCCTCGTCACCAACAACAGTGCGTGTCGTGACGTGGGGTTGGGGCCCTACGTCCACTTTATGGTTGACAACGCCTGCAAGGTATTAGAGTGCTGCGCTCTTTCCTTCGATAAGGATCTCAACGCCCACGTGGACACGGTGCGCCAGCTACTAACGACCATTCCCCTGTCTCCAATTGGCGAACTTCTTTGCTCCCTCGTGCTCGAGTGCACTGGTACCGAGTCCACCTTTGCTGGTCGGCAGCAGAGCACGGACCTGATCCGCGCGGCGCTGGACAACCTGATCCACCTGATTGAGCGTGTCATGGGCTCGTCGAGTGATCTTGTCTTGATGGACATGAGCTACCAGCAGGCCCACTCTTTGGCGCGTGGCGGTCCGGCAGCCACTGGCCATAATCCGCGCCAAGCGCTCTTTGATCTCGGGCAATCTGCGTGCATGGCCCTCGCCAGCATGACGCGGGCTGCTATGCGCGCTGGCCAGCAGCAGCAGCAACACACTGCAAGCTTGGAGGACTACCTCACTAATCCTGTTTTTCTCAACGGCCTTCAGGATGGGCGATTGCAGGACGAACCATCCGCGGCCATGTCCGATGTCATTCTGCCCCTAGCGCATCTCGAGGATAGTACCACCGCGCATGCGGACATCCATACCCTGACGCTGTACTTGATATCCCAGCATCGTGTCATGAGTCTCCCAGCCACCCACCCGGTGTGGCGCGCTCTTGGTGCCGTGACGGCTGTTCTGGCTTATCACCTGGACCTGACCGAGCAGTTGGCCAGAGCACTACGGGAGCAAGACTTTGATGATCCTGCCCTCGAGGAAATTTTTAAGGCCTGTTCTGCTGTTCAAAGCCATCTCGTGCGCATTAAGCAGGAGCAGGGTTGCGAGTACGTTCAGATTTTGGAGCAGCTACGAGACGTCACGGTCTTTCTAGTGGACCGCGTTCAGCGGCCTCAAAATTTGTCTGTCCTGCGTAGCAAGCGTTGGTCCAGAGCAAAAGTTCGTACCATATCCGTCAACGACGAATCTGTTGCCGACGTTCTCCTCACCAAGAGCCCAGAGCTTCCTGGTCGCGCCCTCTCGCCAGATCGGCTCTCTGACTCGGTCTCTTCAGAGACCGATCAGGCGGCTCTCGACTTAGGCAACGATATCGAGGGGAATGATTGGAAGGACCTCGTGCAAGCGGCATCTCACAGCTGGTTGCGGCCTGGTTTGCGGGGCAAAGCTACCCCACCCAGCCTGTGCAAAAACATCACTGAGTTGCTTGTGACGTACTTGCGAGACCCCATTGAGCTGGACGTCCTCGAGCAAACCCTGGACGCGCAGCAGTGGCACGCGGAACTCCGTCAAGCATCGCTTGCCAACATGACCAATACCCTGGATGCCTGCACCAACAACGCCTACCGCTTTCAGTTGCTTCGTGGTCTGCTGGGCTCGCCCCTCGACCGCGAGGTGGCCACCAACTTTGGCTCTATATTTGCCAATGTTGAGAGCTGCTCGGAGCAGTCCCGGCAAGATTTGATGAGCACCTACCTCGAGTTTCTGGCCTCTGTTGAGCGCATTGTACGATCATCTCTGCAACAGCTACAGGCACTTCCCATCTCGCCGCCCGCCAGCAGTCCGGCCGAGAGCAACCATCATTCGGTGACTGCAGTGGGTGACACTACGCCTTCTTCTGCTGCTGATGCGCTCTCGCCAGAAGCGCATGCCCCTCTCCTTCGCCTGATCAACATGGCCGTGGCACATTTACATCAGCAGCTAGAGGGGCCCGTGCTTAACCGTCTTTTCGAACAAGACTTTTTGCAGCGCCTCAAGGAGATTCACGCCCAACTCATGAACACAAGCGACCAGACGCCTGCTTTGCGCGCCTCTTCCCCTTCAACCGGGGGTTCGAGTGGCGCAATCTCCTCGTCCAAACCAAGCATGGAAGCCAGCGCCAGTGATCGGGACACGGGTGCCACTTCTGCATCCACAGCTGCAACAGCTGTCGGCGACGAGCATGATTCCGAGGCAGGCCAAGCCATGCAGAATGAGCTGAACTTGGCGGTGGATCTTCCCTCGATTGATCCGATTGCGACGGTGAGCGTATCCTCAGGGATGGCCACGGCGCAAAATTTACTTAATGATCGCGCCGATCGCGTCTGGACTTCGGATGGCACCAAGGACAGCCACAAAATCAATTTGCACATCAAGCCCGACGCCTGTATTCGTTCACTGCGCCTACGAGCCCGCTACGGCGATTCATTCAGTCCTCGCCTCATCGTGGTGATGGGCGGACCACACCAGGATAGCCTTGAGGAGCTCAATCAGGTTGGTAGGGTACAAAGTCTTTTCTCTCATCTTGCTCTGCGTGGTGTTGTGGGTGTGTGAGTAAGGGGCGATCAGGTGGACTCTTTTTTCTGGTCGAAGTGTGTTATTCCATGCCTCAGTCTGCATTATTGGTGGAGGAGGGGGTTATTTTTATTTTTTTATTTTTTATTTTATTTTTTATTTTATTTTTTATTTTATTTTATTTTTTTGTCCTCGTCGCATGTGGTGGAATAGGTCACGGCGCCACAATTTGGCGATGAGGGTGTGCTGCTGCTGGACACCCAGACCAAGTATTATCCCTTAATCCAGCTGCAGATCAAGGCCGCTGGCATCAACACTAGGTATCGTCATTAGGGGGAGGATTAGTTTTTTTCCACTGGTGCACTACGTGACACCACACTGGCTCATCGATTTGCTTCGGGTACGCTGCTTCATGGCAAACCTGATTTTAGGGTCTCTCAGATTGTAGCCGAAGGTTTTGACTTGGGTCTCTTGCAGCACAAGATCGAGGGGGCCCGCAGTCATTTGAACGCTGTCTCTCGCCTATTGAACTACTTGGCGCTCAGAGGAGCCGTTTTTGCCCACGAGCTTTCAGACCGTGCCATTGACAACATCTGCTTTCACTGCGAAGAAGTGGTGCGTTGATGTTCTTTCGGCTGCCAGCCAAACACCTTTGCGCACACGCTCACACATCCCCCCTTTTTTTTCTCGGCAGGTGGATGCAGGTAGCCCCAGCTCGCAGGCAACTTTCTTGTCGCTATTTCGACCCCTGGTGGGCACCAGTCGACTGCAACGGCGATTTGCATCGGCCAAATGGACGGATCTTCTGCTGAATCTCTTCCATCATGGCGAGCCAAATGTGCAAATCCTGACCATCCGCTTCATGCAGCAGGTTTTGCCCGGCGTTAAGAATGCCGAGGGAGTGGCCCGTCTAACGACCCAGCTCATGGCCCACGCTGCACGCCTGCTGGTCACACCGCACGGTTCGGACGCTTCTGGCGTTGGCGACGAGATGATTGGTTTGCTGCGAGTGCTGTACGGCTTGCCGCAATGGCGCAAACGCCTTGAGATGCACATTCGCGACACTCTTTTGTTGATTCGTCCTATTCGCTTGAGTCTGCTTCGAGGACAGACGATCAACGACGATGCGCTGCACTCAGTGCTAGCCACTCTGGCCATCATGGGTGAGCAAAGTCCACGCCTGCGCGTCGGTGCCACGGGTGACCATCCTACTCTTGGCCACGTGATTGTTGTGGCCGTTGAGAGCCCGACGGCGGCGACCGTTTACACTCGGCGCAGCGTGGACGGACAGTCCTTTGTGTACCTCAGCGGCAACGACCTGACCAAACTGATTCTAAACCCAGTGCAGCAGTTTGACTTTCACAGTATGTTGTGTCAGGCTGACGGTATTCAGGCCTGTGCGCTCATGCTCTCAGAGAGCTTCAGTGAGTGGCATCGCTCCGTGCAGAGTGTCACCATCCACCATCGCTTGCTTCAGTCCTGCCTCGGCCTTTTGAAGAGCGCCGACGTGCTGGCCGACGTCTTGCGTTGCGGTGGCGACTCTGGGTTGGACGCAGCGGGTCCCTTTAGCAAGGTCGAAGTTGAAGGCAGTGAGCTGCAGGCACCCCCGACAGGATTGTGGTCGTCACGCACGCCTAGCGATGCTCCAGCCACGGGCGTCGAATCGTTGGCACGTGGCGCCGTGTCACCTACTGCTGATGCGGAGCCGATATTCTCGAATGGTATTCCCTCATCGAGGGGGTCGGAGGCAGGCCGTTTTGGCACCCAGGCGCGCTCTCCCTTGCAGGAGCAAGAACAGGAACAGGAGGCCGAGCAAGAACAGGAACAGGAGGCCGAGCAAGAACAGGAACAGGACGCCGAGCAAGAACACGAACAGGATTTGCAATCACTTTCAGTGCAAGCAGGAACGGCTGGTGTTCGGGCTGAGGCAAGGCCGGATGATTGTGATGAGGATGGAGATACCCGATTGGACCAAGCAAAGGAGACGCTGGCCGAGCAGGTGCTGCGCTGTGCGGTTGGTCCCAGTCCGCTGCGCGTTCAGTACCAAGACGAAGAAATCTTCGAGGCTTGCTCGCGCCTTTTGGATAGCATCCGAGCCAACATTCCCATGGAGGAAGCACCGCCGACCAAGTTCGTGACGGGCACGGAGGCCATCGAGCGGTTGGACGTGTCCTCGAATGAGCGACACGCATCCCGGTTGCTCGACGGCCGGCCTGAGACAGCATGGAGTAGCTCTGGTCAGCAGGGCTCGCACTGGATCAAGCTCACATTTCGCGAGAACGTTGTCCCTCAAGAAGTCCTGGTGCGTCATTCTGCCGACGACACGAGTTACCAGCCGTCGCGCATCGTAGTTTACGGAGGCACTCACGAGGATGACCTCAAGGAATTGAGCGTTGTTGAGGTGCCGCGCACGGACATGGCCACGCCCGTGTTGCAGAACAACACTGCACCGCTTCGCGTGCTGCGTCTTGCCATCAAACGCTGCCATGACGGCGGGTTTGACACTCGAGTACGCGGCATCGAGGCTCGTGGACTGCTGCAAGCCACAATTCCGGAGGATGCCTCCTTGCATGACATCTTTGCCGAGGATGTGCTTCGAGCAGAGAGCGGTAGCCTGCGCTACATTGACATCAAGTCGGACCTCCGCTCTGTGGCCTCGGCTGCCTCTCTGACCTCGCTTCTGACGGACATTGACGACTTGGATGACTCGTCTGCGTGCTTCTTTGCAGGCGCGAACAAGAACGGTCTGGTCAGTCCTCTGCTGCCCGAGAGCGAGCGGGCCACACTCGGAACGCAAACGCTTCGCTTTCACCACTTGCCAAAGCTCGTGGAGCAGGACGTGATTAAAGTGGCAATGCACAAGACGGGATACTTTGCCATTACCAAGGCCGGGCAGCTGTTGATGGCCAAAGGCGGTGACGCACCTGCACCCGCGCCCTTTGCGGTGGCCAAACCGCCCATCATCGTTGATGTGGCTACCAGTGGTCATCACACACTTGCCGTAAGCGACAACGGTCAAGTGTGGGGCCATGGCAGCAACACCCATGGTCAGCTGGGTCTGAGTCACGGACGCGACATCAGTGCTTTTGTCTTGGTGGCCCCGGAGCTTTTGACCAATGTGAGCATGGTTGCGTGCGGCAAAGCGCACAGCGGTGCTGTGCTTGAATCTGGTGAGCTGTTCATGTTCGGCCATGGCATGTATGGCCGACTTGGCATGGGCGACGAAACGGATTGCACGGTGCCCACGCTGGTCGAAGGTCTGGTGAGTCGGCGAATTACACACATCGCGCTCGGGGATCGTCACACGCTTGCCGCCGCTCAGGACGGGTCCGTCTTTGCTTGGGGTTATGCCGAGCAAGGCCGCTGTGGCGTCTCCACACCCCGACGCAAAATTCTTCGTCCCATCAAGGTGCCGCATCTGCCGCCGAGCATCGTCAAGGTGGTGTGTGGTTCAAGCACCAGCGCCGCCATTTCTTTATCCGGTGCTCTCTACGTGTGGGGTGGTGGACGGCGCTATCGCCTTGGGACCGGTACTGAGGCAGTCATTTGGCAACCTCGGACGGCACACGCGTTGAACACGCACAAGGTGGTTGATTGTGCTTTGTCTTCGGAGCATGGCGTCGCCGTCACAGATCGCGGCGAAGTTTTCGTGTGGGGCGCCAATGACCACGGTCAATTGGGAGCGGATGCCGGTTCTGAGAAGACGATTATCGCGCCTCGCGTCATCAAATTGCCCGGCGAGTTTCCCGCCGTGAATCGTGTCCACTGTTTTCCATACGGCACAGTTTTGTTTCGCGACCTCACGCGTGACCGTCGTGAATACTTTCACGCCAACGAAATGCCCGAGCCCGCTGAGCTGGAGTTTGCACGGGAGAAGGATCGGTTGGGTGAAAACTTCAGCCAGGAGCAGCCCGTGGACCTGCTTGGTGTGCGAGTACGAAGTGCTAGCTCGCTCACGCACGCCATTGCCGCCGTGGCGTCTGCTGATCAGCAGCCCACCGTGCTGGTTCGTTTGACACAGGCCATGAAGGTCGGCCTGGCACGTCAACTTTGCTTGACGTGGCTTGGACGGGGGCCGGGAGTGATTGATCAGCTGTCCTGGTCGCCTTCCCGCGTGATGCTCACGCTGGTTGATCTCATGAAGCTGCTGTCTGCGCGAGCGGCCAACACGGTCGAATCCCTGCAGCCCATCATCAACGCTATTATGCACCTCATGGAGCGCAACGTCAACTTGATCAGGCCCTTGGCAGCCCTCGTCTCGGCCGAGGTAGCGAAGGACTTTCCGACGTCGGAAGACGAGGTCGAGCATCATGATTCAGACATGGTGGTGCTATCCACCACGGCTAGTTTTGGCATGATATACGCAGCCGTAGCCATCTTAGCCCGCAAGGGCAACATTCCAAGTTGCATGGAGCTTGCGCTAGCACTGGCGACCCTGTGGCTACGCCATCCACGCCAAGCCACGCGACACTGGTCACTGCAGCGCCTCACCTTTCTCATTGGTACGGCAGGCCCCGACCTCACGCGCGAGCTGCGCAACGTGGTGGCTTCGGGCGCCGATCCAAGCTTGCAGTCACAGGAGGTGAGCGAAGCGGGCGACGGTACCGGTGACACCGGATCCGATGCGGAGCGACTTCGTTCGCCCGCGGCCCGTAAAGCGTCGTGCTTCCAATCCGACTCGGAGAGTGAAGACGAGTCAGATCCGGCCGACACATGGCGCCGCGAAGAGGAGGGCACATCAATTTTATCCAGCCAGCTCTTTGACTCGTGTCGCATGAGCGACAGCGACGAGCTTTCGGTGGCCGAGTTGGCGCTGCTGTTTGCACGCGTCGGGGTCAACTCCTCCGTGTGGGCCATCGAGCATCTTCGGTCCGGTCTCGTGTCCAACACGGACGAGGCTTACTCCTTTAAAGTCGTGCACGAGATGCTCAGTCGCAGTGGCCTCAAAAGTGACAGCCATCAAAAACCCCTCGTTGAGTCCACGGACCAAGGACTGAGCGCCGCCCTCCACGAGTTTGGACAAAGCCTGTGGGAGACCCTCGTGAGTCGCATGGCCTTTGAGGAGCCTTTTATCAAGCGCAACGAGCAGCTGCTGCACAGTGGTTTTGTGCGCAGCCTCGTGGCGTTGTGTGCCTGCCTCGAGTTAGACACCAACCAAGAACAAGAGGTGCCAGAATGGTTTCAAAAGTACAAGCTCATGGCAGGAGTCATGGCGGGGCTGACCAACCGTTTACCCTTTCCCGATGACTTTGTGTCACAGGTCATGCAAACGGTAGGCCAGCGCGAGCCGCGCAGCAGTCCCTTGCCGGCGGGCCAACGGGTGCTTGATTATTTTGACAATGCCGCCTTCTCCCGAGAGATGGATCGCGAGCTGTTGCAGTGGAAGGCCTCTGCGCCGGAAGATCTCAAGCTGCCCTTGAGCAGCCGTCGTCCGGTGACGCAGCTGGCTGAACTCAAATTCTTGCGGGGGACAGACGAGTCATCGCATCTGTCCTTTTCAGCCAACGACTCATCCGTTTGCCTCAAGGCCGACTCTCAGGAGCGGAACACATGGGTCGTCGCCGATGCTGTCCTGACCTCGGGCATCTACTACTGGGCCGTGCGCTGTGACTTCAAAGGTTCGGCGCGGCGCTATGTCGGCGTGGGCGTTGGTCGCAATGAGAGTCAGTTCCCGGTGGGAGCGGCGCGCATTCTCTCCGATGGTCACCTCAAGAGCGCGTCTCTGACTATTGACATCCCGCAAGGCTTTGCGGCAGAGGACATTGTTGGGGTGTACCTGGACATTGAAGCATCAACCGTCGCCTTTGACGTCAATGGTGTCAAGCGTGGCGAGATTTCCCTGCCCGATCTGGCGCCGGGGGACGGTGTACGTCCTCTGGTATATCTGTTTAGCCCCGACGATAAGGTACGCTTGTGGCTGTTTGGGGGTTTCCCATCGACAAGGATGGTTCATCTCTTGCGTGCTTTGAAGGAAAATAAAATCTGGCTATTGTCTTGTGTGACACACCCATCGCTTGCTATCCTTGAACCATGATTTACTCTATCTCACTTCTCACTTTGCATGTCACTCGTCCTTTTAATCCCGACTGACTTAGTTTTCCTTCTTGACCAACGTACCCGTTCCCTTGTGCTATGAAATGCACGGATCCCGCTTCATATACTACACGTTCACTTCGGATCAGCCCTTGGCGTTGCATTCGCAGCCATCGCTATCATCTCCTAAGATTGGCAGTCTTCAACCGCACATGAGCGCCGCTCAAGTGGCGGACCTGCCCACACCACAACAACAGCTGAACACAGCGCGGGCCCCATCACCCAGCCGATTGCCCCAAAGAGTGGCGGTCGACGCCATCCCTGGCCCTGCCAATTATTGCCTTCAGGTACTCGAGCTGAAGAGCAATTCTGATGGTGTTTGGGTCCACGTGGCCAACCCGGGCCACCGCTTCTCAATGTCACAAGTCTGGTGCCTGCTACGTGACTTGCAAGGCAACGAACAACTGCGTCTTTTGCGGCCCGACGAGCTTGGGGTCATGCCCATCATCAACCCGACACTCGACCTTGCTAGCGGCCAAGCCGGCGCCGAAGGCGAGGAGGTCCCGGAGGGTGCTCGTGCGGCACGCTGCGTCACCAAGGGCTCGCGCCACTTGATCCGGGCAGGCCCAAGTCTGGAAACCCTTGAAGTGGGCTTTATCACCCCAGGCACTACCGTCTTTTACACAGACATGGTCGAGGGCCCGGATGGGACCTGGCTTATTTTGCACGAGGAGAGCAAACGGCGCTTTGTCGACAAGCACATGATTCACCTGGACGCTTACTCTATGCGGGAGAGCAAGACTGGTACGCAATATTTTCAGCTGAGCGACGCGCATGAGACGATCAAAGCCGCACCAGCGGTGTACCAGCATTTGCAGGGTGTTGATGTCGATGCCCTGCGGCGCCGCGCATACATTCTGGAGTACGCGTCCAGTCTGCTGCTCCCACTTCTCCCTTTCTTCGAGTTGAATGTACAAGCCTTGGGGGGTCGCGAGCCCAGTTTGGCCCTTGGCGGTAGTGCCGAGGGCCTCCGGACGCTCCAGTCTTACATCGCCTTTGGCCATAAGGAACGACTGCTCAAGTCCATCCTGCAGCGCACGACAGAGACCACGGCTCGCGTTACCATAACATTGAACCGCGTGCAAATTCAGCGGACGCCCGAGGGGCTGGCAGGGCCTGATGGCAGCCAGTCCGTGTTTGCGCAAGCGGCTCGAGAGCTCCGTTCGGTGGACCAGAGCGTGTTTCTTGCTTCCTCGCGCTGCTGGAAAGTCAAGTTTCGCGGGGAAGGTTTGGATGATGCCGGCGGTGGATTTAGCGAGTCGATCTCTGAAATGTGCGAGGAGCTACGTAATCACTCTGTGCCGCTGCTTATTCCAACGCCCAATGGCCGCGACGAGGCTGGCGACAATCGCGACGCCTTTCTGCTTAACCCAACTTCAGACAGCGCCTACCACCTCCAGCTTTTTGAATTCCTGGGCACGCTCATTGGCATCGCAATTCGCACCTCAAGCCCAATCACCTTGCAGTTGGCACCGTGTGTTTGGCGTCTCATCGCCGGCTTGAACCTGACAATTGGTGACCTCAAGGAAGTGGCTGCCAATTACGTTGCCACGCTTGAGTTTATCAGTGGTATGTCATGCCTCATGTTAATTTTTGCATGGGTCAAAACTGTTTTTTCTTTTTTCTTTTTTTTCTTTGCTTCTTTTCCAAACCCATCTTCTTCTGCTAGGCCACACAGTACATGTCGGCAATGCTTGCTCACCCGAAAAAACAAAAACAAAAAACGCCTCGTTATTTTGCTGCCTTGAAATCCGGTTTGACTCGTAGCTGTCTCGCCAGCCGATGTGTTTGAACAATGCGACTTTCCCACGACCACCCCGAGTATGTTCTTGCACGTCGTGCCGCGCGAGGCATGATTGTTGTTTCGCAGGCGTCGCATTTCGGTTGTTAGCCTGCTCATCTTGCCTCTTTCTTTTCCCCACACACGCCCCACACACGCCCCATGCACCTGGTGTAGGCTCGCTTGAGGGTGTCGACTATCAGGTGGTGCCAGGGGCGCGCTTGACCTTGGCCCGACGCGATGAATACGTGCGCCGCTCCTTAGAGCTCCGCCTACATGAATTTGATCGTCAAGTCGCAGCCATCCGTCGTGGCTTGGCTCGAGTCGTGCCTTTGCCCGTCATTTCCCTTTTCTCCGCCGACCAACTGGAGTCGCTCGTCTCTGGCGGGCAGCACTTTGATCTTGAGTTGCTGGTTAGTAAGCAATGCTTTTTCATGGTAACCCGAACTGTCTTGATCACGATTGCATCTGATGGCATTGTTTCATGCTATGCTTGGCTTGGGGTCTGACTCAACTTTTAGCGCTGGATGACAAAGTACAAAAATTGCGAAGCCTCGTCACACCATGTGAGCTGGTTTTGGGAAACGATGGCTGCCATGACGCCCGAGGAGCACAGCCTCTTCCTTCGCTTTGTTTGGTGAGTGTGGATGCTGCAGCTGGCAAGGTGGCCAAGGATTTGTCGTCAGCATTTGTGACCTCAGTCGACCTGACGCGTTGTTGTGTGCGCTTCCCGGCTGCTTGCCAGGGGTCGCACGCGCCTGCCGCGAACCGAGGCCGATTTCGCCGGCAATCAGTTTAAGCTCCAGGCAAGTCTTGGTGGTGTACCTTCACGCGTACCCGATCGCAACTTTCAGTCAGAGTTGACTTGGTGCACCGCTAACCAAACTGTTTGAATATTCGTGCCATGTACTTAGTTGATTGACAAGTTTGACGAGGGCACGCCGGAGGCTGATGCAGCGCTGCCAGAGGCTCTAACTTGCTTTTTCCTGCTCAAGCTTCCTCGGTTCGTGGAATATTCGTCTTCATCGAGAGAAAGGGAATATCAGTCTGTGGTTGAGCCCCACCAAGCTGCTTGTGGGCAGCCATGATCGGTTCCGAGGTGGAGCACTGACCCAACGTGTCTTTTTGCCTTTACTATGCATGCAGGTATTCATCGCAACAGGTCATGTCCAGAAAGCTGCGTTACGCCATCACTCATTGCAAGGCCATTGATTCGGATGCCTATGCCCGCACCAATTTGGCGGACGAAGCACCAGCTGCAATGGCCGCGGAAGCAGGACCAGGCATTCACTGAGTGTATTGCTTGGCCAGCATATGAAGCGTGCGGAGCGCGCAATACGGTCTTTTCGGGACTTTAAACCGTATCAGAGCCCATGGGGCTTTTCATGTGTGGCAACAAACAAGTCTTGTATTAACCAACAACTTCAAAGTCAAAGTGCTTGTTTGCTTTTCTTCTTCACTCTCTTCTCCGAATCAGAGGTCAGCGCACATACTTGAGGAGCCTAGGATGCAATATGGGAGCGGGAATGCAATCAGACTGATTTTAATCATATTTACAATTTCTTGCTGAGTGGGCCATAGCAGCCTCGAGATGCACGGCATAAACTGGGGCTAATTGGCAAAAGGAAAATGTCGGATGGTGGGACGCATGCACGCAGGTTCAAGGACGGGTGATGTAGTGGGCGTATAGAAGGATGTCTGCAAACTCCTCGATCGTTAATTGCAGACCCTTGGTTTCCTGTACTGCGGGCTCCTCTGGCTGGGCGGGCGTTTCATCCTTGGTTTTTTCCTCTGGGGCATCTGCGGTTGCACTGCCAGCGCGACGACGCTTATCCATTGCTACCTCAAGCCGATAAAGTGCCATTTCCTGTAGAGATGAGGTGGGCAGCAAGGCGTTGAGATCAAGCGCCGAGAGGCAATGCACAAGAGAGCACGTTGCAACCAGAGCGAGAGACAGGGGCACGGCCGGCTCAGGCCAATGCGAGAGCAATCAAACCTGATAGTTGAGGGTGCCATCGTCGTCAAGGTCAATGAGTGAAAAGAGTAATTGGGCCTGCTCCTCGCCGATATCAATGCGATGTCGCTGTGGAAGAAGGAAAGGAGAGAGAGAGAGAGAGAGAGAGAGAGAGAGAGAGAGAGAGAGAGAGAGAGAGAGAGAGAGAGAGAGAGAGAGAGAGAGAAATAGTGCTTGTCACACGAGCGCATTGACATGGAAGTGTGCTCAAACTGCCCGATGTTGCTACAGACCTGGAAGCCTTCGACAACCTCGGTTCGACTCAAGCATCCATCGACATTGCGATCAAAGAGGCGAAAAAGGTCGACCAAGCGTAGCTGCAGCGGGGAGCGACCATGGCAAAATTGAGCTAAGAACGGGTATTCGGCAAGCCACAAATCATCAAAGCCTACCTCCTTGGCCTGCAGGTAAGATTCAATCTTTTGGAATGTTGCGGGATTGAGCTCGGGCTCATCCTCCTGCACGTTTAGATCAGGGCGAAAGTCAGGCCACGTTGCCGGCCGAGTGAGACATGCCATCCATCAACAGACAAATAAACAAACGAAGAAACAAAAGATGGGGACCGGGCTCGATCAGGTCAGCATACCGCAACTGCGTCATCCTTTTCCCCCGGTCGAGCATGGTGCCCCAGTGTGACCTTGTATTGCACATCAAGGACGCGTCGCAGGTCCCCAAATCGAAACTGTTTTCCACCGCGCCCAGATGAGATCGCATCGCGACAAAGCGCACAGCAGGCAGGCAAAAAAAAAAACAACCAACCGCGAGAGCACATGGAGCAAGTCACAAGCGGGAAGGCCTCGCCAGTCACAATCAAGAGCAAAAACGACCAGGCCCATAACCATTGAGAAAAAATATAACAAAAACTGAAACGCCCATAGAAGCCATGTCGCTCAGCAGGGAGAGTCGAACTCCTACCAACTGAATGGTCAACAGGTTTGAAGCCTGTCCTCGAAACCGTTCGAGTTCAGCTAAGCAGTTGAGGTCTGATAAAAGTGTATATAAAGGTGTTGGTACTTTTGGTGTATTTTGTCTGACAAAATATGACCAGCTGTGTGTGTGTTTGGTGATTCGCAAGTCCTTCTCAACCAACCTCAGCGTGTGCGGTGAGCTCGTGTAAGATTTTGATGAGCATGCCTGGGTGGTCCAGGGTAGCAAAGTAGCGCTGCAGAACCGTCAGCATGCGTCGATAATGCTGCTTGTCGTGCCGACACCTGCGAGTGGACGAGAGAAGGATTCCCACCGCGATATGAGGGGAGGCTGTCACCGCATCGAGAAGGGAAGGAAAGAAAGATGCAGGTTGAGTCAAACCGTAAGGCCGCAGCAAAGAGCTCCTTGTCGTCACCCCCGGCCTTCTCGCTGCCCTCATCAATCAAGACGAGCATGATGGCCTATGTCGAACACCTCATGCCGAGAGTGAGACGGGGTGACAGCCACAATGCTTTGTAGTTTGAATAGCGCTGGGTGAGAGGGATTGCTCGCACCTTGACGAGCCCCTCCAGCTCTAATTCAGAATAGGGGAGGCGATGCAGGCGAACCGAGTTGATCCAGTCTGCCTGATCGCACACGATACCCTCGCCTCTGATGTAGTGCTGCCGAAAATATCGTCGCATCTTTTTTTTTTTTTTTAAATCACATCACATCGCATTCAAAAGGGCGATTGTCAGGGGAAAGCCGGAGTTGGCGCACTGGTTGACCTGGCAGCCGCGGGACGAACTGACCTTGCTGCGATTCCGCATGGTATGTGCATACCAGGTTACAATCGTGTCATGCCAAGGCCATTTTGGCTCTAGGTGCAAGGTGCCGTCTAGTGTCAGGGCCCTGACGCGCCTGAATACCGATTCGGGCCCGCGCCACATACCTGCAGAACTAGGTGCTGCCTTCTCTTTGACACCGGCACTCTTCTTGCCCTTGGCCGACTTTTTGCCCTTGGCACTGGCACTCTTCTTGGGCTTTGCCATGATGCCCAGGAGTCACCCTCCTCTTGTGTACGTGTCCGTATCACGCGCGTCAACGCGTGCCCACGAAGCAACCGACCGAGTGTGAGATAAACTCAATAACAAAAAAAATTTGAGCAAATTTCGGTTCGTTCGTTGTGTTGTACGCTTTGGTGGTCAAGGAATGAAAAGTATAATACATTGTTGACGGGCGATGAAATGTATAATACTTTTTTTGATGTACAAGCCGACATTGGGCTGGCACGTATTCTAATGGCGGCTCAGGCGGGCACAGGGGACGTGGGATCCTTGCAGCATGAGACGTACGAAGCCATTCGGATCTTGGGCCGTGGGGCATGTAGCACGGCGTTTCTGTGTCGTCACCGTCAACACGGCAGTCTAGCCGTCGTCAAACAGGTGGAGCTGGAGGATTTGCCGCCCGCAGAGCGGGAGAAGGCCTTGACCGAAGTGGAGCTCCTGGGCATGGTCCAGCACCCCAACGTCATTCGCTATTTTGATCATCTTCTTCAGCCCCGAGGACTATACATTGCCATGGAGTATGCGCCTGGCGGTACGCTGGATGACTTTATCGCCCAACAATCCAAGCCCCTGCCTGAGGCCGTTGTGGTGCGCTTCCTAGCGCAGCTGCTCCTGGCACTGCAAGCACTTCACGAGCGTGGCATTGTTCATCGAGACTGCAAGCCGAATAATAGTGCGTAACCCCAGATCATGCGACTGTGTGAGGCCTCCGTCATGTTTGGCCTTTGTTCCTTGGCTCATGCGTCGTTTTCGCGGCCCTCTGCGTGACCCCTTCCCGCTGCATTCGCACCAGTCTTTCTGGACGATCGTCAGCAGGTAGACCTTGCTAGTCGCCAGCCTTGGCCTGTATCCACCGTTTTGAACCGCTTGGCCCACTCACCAATGACGCTTGGTGGGACTGGTAGATGCTCAAGTTGGCAGATTTTGGCATCAGTCGGGTAGGTTCATCCTGCGATGTGGCTAAATCTTGTCTACTCAAACGACTTCCGTCCCTGTGCTACACCGGCCTCTGCGTGTCGCTTGTTGTGATGAATGCATGCATGTCCGCGGTCTTTCTTTCCAGTTGGTGCCAGCTGCCACCTTCAAGGCCTCAACACTGGGGACACCCAATTACATGGCCCCCGAGCTTCTCGAAGTATGCGCGCCCTCCTAAACCCTTGTCGTTCGCCTGGCGTATTATCTGGGCAGGCACGGGCAGTGCGAGGCTCATGTTGGAGCCCCTTCATTAGGGCCGCATGTATACACAGAAGAGCGACGTCTGGGCCTTGGGCTGCATCGTGGCCGAGGTAAGGCGAGCGTCGCGTCTGGCCAAGTTGTGGGCCACATGATTATTCACCTGAGCCGTTGCCCTGGGTAGATGTGCAATCGCAAGCGTGCCTTTGAAGCCCCAAATGTGAGCGCACTGACGCTGCTCATTACCAGTGATAAGCCAGTTGTACTGGATAAAAGTTACTCTGCGTGGTTGCAGGGCGTGGTGCGGGCCTGCCTGCACTCACAATCCGATCAAAGGCCAGCCATCGCCCATATTCTATCTCAACCCGAGCTCCAGAACGCCCTCGTGGACGTGCAACTCCTTTGAGCACGCCTAGGTGTTCCCGGCATGCCCCTGTTCTTTGTATTAGACGATTCACAAATAATCAAACTTGATATGTCCCCCAAAGTAGTGCATGGAGATTGTTATGATGGCCTATTGGCCTTTTTGGACCATCAATCGAAGAGATTCCCATCTTTGATTGAGAGGACAACGGGGGCAGAGACGAAGTAAAGGCGCAACATCCTGGCGGCAGCTTGGCTGCAACGCCATAGTTTGATCAGGTGGGAGATAAGCGTGAAAATGATGGCACAAGAGTTTCAGGAACGGCACCGGGCCAACTCGGTTGGGTACCGGTGTCAAAGTTTGGGCCTAAACAGCAGTTTCAAGCGAGCTAGTGGAGCCATCCCGAGCCATTTGGGGCAACGAGCCTCGGGCTTCTGCTCCGGCCTCAGCCAACAAGTCTGAAGCACGGCCTCCACTAGGTGATGAGGGCGTGGGGGATGCCAAGGCAGTGTTTGAGGTGGAGTCTGGCGCCTCGGGAGCCGAGCTTGCGTCTGGGACGTGGGCCGAGCTCGCCTCGTGACGATGCTCGAGCAACATGCGTTGCGCCTGCCACAGGTGGATTTTGTTGGGCGCCCCATCGAGCCATAAGCATCCGCATCGAGCTAAACTCCAACACGGCCCCAATCCAATCAATACCTTGCTCTCACATGTCCCACTCAATGGTAGACACTGCACCCCGCCAACCCGCGACACCAACGCACCCGAACATTGTAGACTTTTTGGGCCATTGTTGTATTCCAAGCACGTATCTGGCGGTTTTGGGCTTGCAGGCTGTTAATCAAAGCCTTGACAGTTTGCAGCACCAAAAGCGTGTGAGACAAGTAAACGGAGAAACAGGCATGGACTGCGAAGCCAAGGATGGGGTGCCACACGAGCCAAGCACGAGGGGTTTTTGCTGACATGGAGGGTCTGAGTGCGAGCAGGTTCAGGCAAGCGTTTGGCTTGCTCAAGCTGATCGCGAGCAGCGCGCATCAGATCTGCTACAGTCCCAGAGGACGGTCCATCAAGACCCAGCCCTGAGTGATCTGAACTGTCAGTGGGTTGGCTGGCGGCAAGGACGTCGGCATTAAAGAAGCTCTTGTACCCAGACTCTGCCACGGGTTGCCCATCCTCGGCTTCGACGACTTCAGGCAGGCTTTGCAAAGACGAAGACAGGCGGTGCGCGGCAAAGCGCCGTCGTGCTGCATCTTCCCCTGGTGCACGGGCGGCACCATATTCCAAGGCATCGTCCTGCAGTACAAGCCCAGTTTTCAGGTCAGCCAATAAGAACAGCCCCAGCGAATTGTGACGAGACGCCTTGCCTACCAGCAAGGCCAAATCATCAAAGGAAAACGACTTGCGATGACCTCCCACAGCGCGAGACTGCATGGTACGGGATGACACCATTCCAACTGTGAGGTTGCGGCACGTCAATGTCCAAGGCATTTTACCAAAGAGGATCCCCTGCCTCCAGCTACTGGTTGGATGCCCTCGGTATGCGCGCACTCACTCCTGGACTATGCCCGCCGTTAAGCAAGGCTTGCTGGGTGGCCACGCGGAAAAAGTTCTCCGACTGAGCCTCCTGCTCCAGATGCTGTGCAGCTGCTGTCAAATCTGGCTGAGACTGTGCCACAGACGGCACTCTTCGCCGATCCATGCCACCATGTGGCTCGAGTCGTGTAGCAGAAGCCAAAAGAAAAAAAACAAAACAAAGCTCTTGCTTGAGAAAAAAAGAAAAAAATCAGCACACTCAAAATCTCAAAATTAAACTTTTTACATTGGTCGGATGTTAAAGAAACAATACTAGAGAGAGGAATGGGCAATCATGCTCTGGTCGGTGCAGGTCAGAAACACAAAACCCCTTTGACGACAGGGCAAGGCATTGCAACGTGAGATACAACGGAACCGTATGCCTATGCCGTGATGGCATTGGTCGGTCACTTGTTTAAGTGAAAGAGGAAGGTGCGGCTTGTCAAATGCAAGAATACAATTAGACGAGGGGTGCTGCGGCAGCCTGGGTCAACAAGTTTGAGGTGAGGGTCGCTAAGAGAAGTCCACTTGATCACCTTAGGTTTGCAAAGGTGGGTAGTTGTGGTGAAAGCCGTAGTATCGAAAGACGGACATGCTCACATTCCAGCGAGTGAGGATGGCGACCCAATACAAAACCACGACCCCAGCGATGGGATAGAGGTAAATCTCGGTGCGATGCAGAAAGGGCAAGGAGCTGTAGCCCAAAAAGGTAATGTAGATGTAGTAGACCAATGCCAACAGCCACAAGGTGTCGGCTAGCACCACGCTGATGAACCAGGGCTGTGAAACAACTACAGATCAGGGTTGGACAATACAGCGACAACGCACTAGTGAGATCAAGAAGAGCAACACGAAACAAGGGTCTGCAGACCAAGGTCCCGTGAGGATGGGGCACGGGGGAGGGACATACCAGAAATCAGGGCAATCTGTATGCAATGTAGCACGAGGACCACGGGAAAGAAGGCATTACAGTGGACGTCAAATGCGTAGCCGAGCTCAACGGTCTGCTCCACGTATTGGGACATGGCCGGTGCAACCAGGAAGCGGTTGGAAAAGAACCTAAAGGAGTAGGGAGCATGCCTGGTCATGAGCCAAAGGGTATCTTTACCGGCCCTCAAACGATGCCGCCGATAGCCGCGAAAACGCACCACAGCCCTGTTGAAATGATGAGGCCCACACCAATACAATCCACAAAAATGACCCACAGTACCAGCTCCAAGAGTTGGCCAAAGTGGAGGCCAAAGACCAGAGCGCAGCAAACGCTGGAGATGGTCAAGAAAAAGGCCAGCAAGACCAAAAACGCAGGGTCGTCTCGCGCCCACTGGTTTTTGGTGTCTAACGGAATATCAAAGGGGCAAGCATGACTGCTGGAAATCAAGCGAGGCAGGCAAGTCTTGGCACAGGTGGAAGAAAGATCAAAGCCAGGTGCCCAGTGCGTGCAGTGGGCTGTGCGAAGAGCAATCTTACTCTTTTGGTACTTGAAACTGCGATATCTATTTCGGGCGATCCGGGTGCACGGTCGAATGGTGCAGTAGCCGAGCCAGCGGGACAAGCGTGAGCACAAGTAGATGCAACAACATTACAAGGCTGGCGAGGGCCATCAAAGGCCGCAAACACACAGGCAGGTGTTTAGAGGCAGGCAGCAGAGCGAGGCGGGGGCCGGACGTACACTCGTGAGGGAGAGATGATGAGATATAACATTTGGTGAAGGGCCATTTCAAAATCCATCTGACGAAAGTCGACAAGCCGACGCACAAACTTCCAGCGCCCATGGGACACCAGGCCGCTGGATCGCGGACGAGGCGAGCCAGGCAGCGGCCCATAGTTGCCACTGGAGCTGGCCATGATGACGAGAAACTTGACGCTTTTTCGAAAACGCTCTCAAGCCAGGCAGCAAGCTGGGACGCGGGCGCTGACCACTACCAAGCTCACACCTTCAAGCGTGCGAGCGCACCCCAAACTCGACTCGGCGCGCGCGGAGGCTCGGGGTTGGTTCGTAGTCAGGTCAAGAGTATTGGAGCAAACCCAACGAGCCCAGCTCAACAGTCCTTGCTTAAGCTGTCAACCTCTTCAGGAAATCCACGCACAGCTTTTGGGCTTGCGGCCAGCCCGACTTGGCGGTGCCAGTGGTGGCGCTGCCGTAAACGACCGAGGCTTGTTGTTGTGAGCTGTTTGAATGCGTTGGACAACGCCTAAACTGTCATCCCCCCTCGATTGTTAATCACTGATCACAACACTAAGTTTGACCATTAAAAAATTCAAAAAACCTGTTGTCAGGTGTGATTGCCGATGTGTGTGTGTGTGTGTGTGTGTGTGTGTGTGTGTGTGTGTGTGTGTGTGTGTGTGTGTGTGTGTGTGTGTGTGTGTGTGTGTGTGTGTGTGTGTGTGTGTGTGTGTGTGTGTGTGTGTCGCAATCGGCCTCAATGGGCTCCAGAGTGATGTAAAAAGGGCAGCGCCGGCCTGTTGTACTAAGACGGCCAGAGTCAATGCAGTCGTTTTGCAGCAAGAGATCGCTTTCACACCACCCCTTCACGCCCACCTTTACGCCTTGTTGTCGCTCAAGCCTTGGTCGAATCCATCATCAACCCACTATACCATTCTCAAGAGTTCATGCGTCAGAGCCCGGAGAAACAAGCCCGACATGGGAAAGCTCTCTCTCTCACTCTCACTCTCACTCTCTCACTCTCACTCTCATACTGGCGCAGATCGGTCCACTCCCTCTTTGTCGTCTGTCGCGTGCCGTGGGAGCAGCTCATACTTGTCATTTTTTCTTTCTTCTTTTTTTTGACGAGGTTGGATTTTCTGGGCTTTCGTGCGACCAATCCCTTCAGCCCACGTATACCTTGACAGCAAAGCTGGGTGCCCCTGCCCCTGCCCTTCACCACCCACCCGTGCAGGGTGTTGCTTCTTTGCTGAAGGCAGCCCGTGCATCCTCGTTGTTGTCACTGCAATCATGTTTTTCTCCATCTGCCTGAGCTCACTGGCCTTTGGCCTGGGTTTGACCATGATGTTGCCCATGCCTTGGGCCGTGGTCATGGCTGCCATCGGCCTGGGCTTGGGCATGTACATCAAGGTTGAAGACACCACGGCTGTGCGGTGGTTCCTCACGTCCCTCGTCAGCATCTTCTTTCGCGAGGTCGAGACACGCAACAGCCATACTGTCCCCGTGCGCGGCCCGGTCATCCTGGTATGCGCTCCACACTGGAGCCAATTCGTGGATGCCGTCCTGGTCATGAGCACCAATCGCCGGCCCATCAAGTTTTTGACAGCCGCCAAGACCATGCGCCGACGCTTTGTGGGTGCTTTCTCCCGGTACCTGGGCTGCATCCCCGTGGAACGACCTCAGGACCTGGCTACCAAAGGCAAAGGCACCATCAGCGCCGCCACCGGGGCCACGACCGTGGTGGGTAAAGACACCCAGTTTACGAAGGATCTCACGCCCGGCAGTGGTTTTGCTGTCGACGGCCACGTTTTCAAGGTTGAAAAGGTGATCAGCGACACAGAGGCTGAGGTTCGCGACGGCCCATCCGAGGGTTTCAAAGACGTTGCCTTTAAAGTTTACCCGCGCCTGAACCACGATGATCTTTACGAGATGGTTTACGACGCCCTCAAGCGGGGGGAGGCCATTGGCATCTTCCCAGAGGGTGGGTCTCATGATGGGTCCATGCTGCTCCCCTTCAAAGCCGGCGTAGCGCAGATGGCCCTTGGCGCCATGGCGGCGGGCTCCCCACCCGTACGCCTCATTCCCGTAGGCCTGACATACTTTCACGGCCATCGCTTTCGGTCGCGCGCCATGGTCGAGTTTGGCGATCCCATCAGCATTGAGCAGGATATGGTCGAAGCCTACCGTAATGGCGGCGATGCCAAACGTGGTGCCTTTGACAAGCTTCTCAAGCGCGTGCAAGAGGCCGTTGAGGCCGTCACCATTACAGCTCCTGACTACGAGACCCTCAAACTTTTGTGGGCTGGCCGCCGCCTGTACAAGCCCGAAAACCTCGAGCTATCCACCGAACAAACGCAGCAGCTCACGATCCGCTTCTCCGAGGCCTACGTCCAACTCAAAAATGAGCCCGAGGTGCAGGCCTTGCGGAGCGATCTCGCCGTGTACAACGACGCTCTTCGTGCTGCTGGCTTGCACGACCACGAGGTGGTGCAGACCACCGTTTTGCAAGAGTCTGAAATCTTCAGCGGCGTGCTCCAAAAGGGCTTCCTAGTGCTTATTCAGACGGTGGTTTTGATCCCCTTTATGGTGTTTGGTCTACCCATTCTGTTTGCATGTCGCGTGGTATCCACCTTCAAGGCCCGTGCTGCGGCCGCCTCATCCGCCGTCAAGGAGCACGGTCGCGATGTCGTCGCAACATGGAAAGTCCTGACAGCCCTTATGATTGTGCCCATCTGTCTGGTTCTGTACAGCATCCTCCTGGGCCAGCTGATTCACCCACGCCTGACGGGTATCTCTTGGTGCCTTCTCCCCATTATCATGCTTGGCTCATTACATCTCTGGGATCACTATACCGATCTCGTCAAGCAATTGCGGGGTCTCTTGGCCCTCATGATCTCCAAGCAGCAAACTGTGGAGCTGTATTATCAGCGCTGCAAGCTCAAGCGTCGCATCCGTGCGCTCGTCAACCGCGCTGCTGATGACATGGGCATTGATCGCATGTTTGACGAGAAGGACTTTATGGGTGAAGCTGATCACGGCCTCGAGCTCGACGAACTCCTGTCGATGTAAAACGGCCTTTTAGTTTTTGGGAAGCATGCCATCCCTGTCAGCACCCCTACATGCTAACCAGCATGCATCATGGTGGTGCATCCATCACTAGCGTTGCACACGACATAATCGGCAGTGCACGGCTCAGACCAACCAAATCATGGCACAACGACAACCAACATGCATGCACATGTGAATTAATTTGATGGAGTTGTTTGTTTGTTTGCGCAAACTGGTCGTGAGTGATGAGAACTCCCGTTATCAAATGAGCAGGTTCAATTGAGTTTGGATCCGGATCTGATTGCACACAAACGCTTTAGCGGTCCCCAACAGAGCATGGTGACGACCCGTTGTTGACATCTGCTCAAGACAAGCTAGCCTAAGCAATGGTGGGGTCATAAAAATTAAAAAAAACAACAACTGAAAAAAAAAAAAAAAAAAAACCCTTTACTGGCCTCGCCTACAAGTGCGCTGATGTATCTCCAACACGATAGGATCGGCAAGCACACGCCCGCAGCGGTCGCAAGCAAAGCCCGGGCCAAGGGCTTGAGGTAAAATCTCAGTGTGTCGCAGAGACGAGGTGGAACCAGACCGCGACCGTGTCGAACCGGCCCGGGAACGTGTGGATCCGGAGCGAGGCCGGGGCCCACCATGGTTGGTCAGAGACGCGCTGCGGGTCCGCACGGTCAGGGCCTCCTCCTCTACTGGCCCCGTCGCTCGACTCACGTTGGCCTCGGAGCTCGCTCGTACCAGGCGCGTGGAATTTGAATCGGAAGCCAGCTCCGCCTGCAGCTTGGGGCTGGTTCGTGAACGATCAAAGAGGGTGGCGACTTGCTCCAGTGAGCTGGATCGGCGTAAGCCCGGCGTGGGTGTGTACGATGGCATGCTTGCCGCTGAAGCAGATGAATCCATACCCAGGACTTTGCGGGACTCGGAGCGAGAACGCACGCGGCCAGGCTCTACGACAGCAGCTGCTGTACCCGAGTTTGGTGATGACACCGCATGGCTGGACTGTGTTTGCAGGCTGTCCACGCTTCCAAAGCCTTTTGCTGTCTGTGTAGCTAATCGAGGCGGCTCTCCTAACTCCTCGTGTCGTTGATCATGACGTAGCGTGGTTGTTCGACGTTCTGATTCAGGCGACAAGGACCGATTCCGTAACCGAGCACTGTGGCGCGCACGAGGGACACGCATGCTGACGTCAATCAGAGGGGCGACGTCGTCAGTGGCTTCTTGCTTCTCCATTTCGCGGACCTTGGCACGAGCACGTCGCGCAGTGCGCTTGGGAGCATCGCCACGTTTTTCAATATCAAAATCAATGATGGAGGGCGCTCCACCGAAGAGATCCCCCTCTGTCGCGCTTGAGAGCACCTCCGCGGAGTTGGAGGCTGGTTGCGTGGCCTGACTGGGCATTTTTGTCGGCGCTTGGTCCAAACGCTCTATAGCCACCGGTCTGACAATCTCGGGTGTAGATGCTGCAGCGGGCTCTGGTGTGCTGAGGGGCATTGAAGGGTTGACAGCAGTGGCCGGCACTGTTGGTTTGGTCGGCTGGACAGGCGTAACTGCGACACTTGGAGCTGGGGCGGTCGTCTTGAGAGGCACCGGTTCTTGTTCTACCCTCATGGATTGTGCTGGAGAGGCGTTGGGGTTGGATTCGCGTTGTTGGACGGGGGTGCGAGTGATTTCAGTGGTCTCGGCTGGGGCCGCATCGAGAGGCATGGGCACGACCACGACTGGCGCTGGCTGGTCCTCCTCGGCGGTGCTTTGGGTCAGGCTTGCATGGTCGGCATTAGACAAGGTTGGCTCTGCTTTGGCCACATGTTTGCGGCGGCGTCGTGGGGGTCGTACCACGCCCTTGGAAGTGGAAGGGTTGGGTGAGGCAGGTGGCACTGGTGAATGGCGAGGACCAGCACCAGTAGATGGGTCTTGGGGCTGTGAAATTGGGTTTCGAGCAGACGTGGTCCTATGAGCGGTCGCACGGGCACTGGAATCCGGGTGGTAGAAGAAAAGGGCTACAAAAGTGCCCAGTTGCAGCCCGCAATTGAGAAGAGCGAGAGCGAACGTGATGCGATTGGTTTCGCTGCCGTGGCTGATGACGGTGGGACCAAAGATGAGGGCGGCCACGGCATTGATACCCGAGGCAAATATCTGGGCAATCAAGGCTGGGGTCTTGCCGCGCGGATGGACCAAGGCGGCGAGGAGGGCCAGGACGGCGCAGCCAGGGGCCATACCCAAGCCGAGAGGCCCATACTCTGCAGCCAGGGCCAGGACGCCGTGGAGAAGGATGGCGAAGCGTAGATATTGGCCGAGTGTTACGCGATGCAGTGGGTAGATGGGCGGATAGACGAGGATACGACCCAGGAAGAGCGCAATCAGGGCCATGATTACGGCCACAGCTGCGATGGCAAAGAGTATCATGCCAGCCCACTCAAAGTGTGCATGGTGGTTGACTTGGCCGCGGACCGTGCCAACAATGATGGCCGCAATCAGTGCGAGCGCGCCGGTTGAGGTGGCCGCTACGGCCAGATATGGGCGTCGTGAGAGGCCATGCGCCCGCAGAAGCAACGTGGTCACCACCAGGGTTATCATGGCACATACAAACTGGGCCAGAACCACAAAACGGGCCAAGCGCAAGGCATGGACAGATTGGCGGCGAATCTCGACCACGCGATCAAGGTCGGCGTTGGCCTTGTTGACAAAGTCACATTCCCATCCATCATTACCCGAATTGACCACGTGCACAGCAGATGGGTGTGCAGGACGCAGACAGCGTTGCCATAGACCCACTACGATGACGGAGCCATCACTCCCGGGCACCTCGATCCCAAAGAGAGAGGAGGAGATCCCAACGAGCAGCGAACCAGTCGCTACGATGGCAGCCAGCAGCACCAGGAGACCAAGCCAAAACGAAAAATTGGCGCGCAGCCAAGCCAACCAGGTCCAACCCCCCGTGGCTCTGGACTTGCCCGGCAGCAGTGGCACAGCCTCCTCCTCACCACCCTCCATCATCACCTCCGATCACCAAGCCCACAAATGCACACTTTTGCTGTCGGTGTCAGTGACTTGGGTCTTGCGTTGCGCCCGTCGTTACTTCACTGGCTCTGCATGGGTAGCTGTCCGTCTGCTTCGAGACCTCGCCCAGCGCCAAGTCCCCATCCCAGACCACCCTATCCAGCTGCCTACAGACACCGTGAGCTACCTACCAAGCTGCCCTTTCCTCCTCCTGCTTCACTCCGGACCAGTTTGTGAAAAACAGTCAACGAAACTGCTCTTGATGTCTGAATGTGTGTGTGTGTGTGTGTGTCTTTCTCTCTCTGTCTTTCTGTGTGTGTGTCTCTCTCTCTGTGCGTGTGTGTGTCTCTCTCTCCTGTGGCTCTTGTTTCTTCTTCTTCTTCTTCTCTCTCTCTAAAAATCTTTTTGAGCACCGCCCGGGGACAGTGGTGACTGACATCAGTTGGTTGGAGGTGCAGGCGACGGCGGCGCGGGGGGAAGGGGGAATATTTGCTGTCCAGTTTGGGGTTGGACTTGACTGTGTGAAGGTGGCCATGGCAGCACTGCTGGTCCGGCCAGTGGCGAGCCATGCGCCCCTGGGGATGCTGGGTCGTTGGCTCGGGCCTCGCACCGTCTCGGCGACTCGTCACGTGCAGCTGGCTGCGGCTCAGCCACGGGCCGTGCCTTTTGCGATAACCAAGGAAGAGGCAAAACAGGTATTCTAGGTCTTTCTGTTTCCTGCGTGTGCTCGCTCTCATCATCACTTGCTCTTTGGTCCGCATGTCGCTACCACCGGCACCTCACCATGTTCCGATGCGCTGCCTACAGGCTCTCAAAGCATGGATTCCTGCGTTGGCTTCGCAAAGCTGGGTGCGGCAACTGCAGGCTGCCGAGCCCGAGGTAGCATACCTGCCGTTCTACGTTTTTAACGTCAAGGTACATCTTGTTACTCATCTCCTGGTCGGGTCTCTTAAGGTTCCGACCCAACCGCTCTGTGGAACGTGCCGCTGTCTGCGTACTGTGGACCCCACCCTTCCACCCCGTGATGACATGGCATGTGAATCGGGTCTCGATGAGATAGCTGGCTCACGATGGCGTTGGTGTCATCACTCCCACCAGGCACACAGTCGATTCCAAGGGGACGTGGTACAGCGTCGCAAGCGAGCTGTCTTTGATGCTGAGAAACAGGTCTATGAACCCCGGGATGCCGAGGAGCTTCGTTCCATCAACGGGTGGCTTGACGCGGGCATCTCGACTTATGATGGTAGCACACATGACATGCAAGTCTACGCTGGCTTTCGCTTCCGACGACAATACGTCCAAGCTGTCAAGGGCAGCTATGCTGCCACCGCCGAAGCCTTTCACTCTGCCAAGCATTTGCAACCGCCAGCCGTCCTGGCAGCCAAGTCCTCAGAGCCCGAGACAACCAATGCCTCATATGAAGCCACGGAAGCTGGGACCAGTCCTTCAATTCCCACGTCAGCAACTGCCAGTCTGGATTCTGAGATTCCCGTCGTGCTGCCTTTTGAAATGTTTCCCACTTTTGCCTGGGAGCTGGCCCGGACTCGGGTAGAAGCTGCCGAGCTCGCCATGGCTGAGAGATGCATGCTGGCGCAGTATGATCATGCGCTGCGAGTAGAGAATATCAAGATCAATACGGTCATTCTGGACAGCAACGTCACGACCGTCTACCTGCCGGCGTTTATCTTCCATGCTCAAGTCGGCAAAAATGCCGTGCGCGTCTTTGTCAACGGCGTGACCGGCGAGGTGGGCGGTGAAAAGGTGTGTGCCACAATCCACCGTTGTGTAGCTTTGACCTCGTATCTCTTCCATTTCTTCCAGGACAAATTGTTCTGCCTGTCTGCTGCGTTTGGCTGGCACCCTGGGTTCAAAGCCCCGTTGTGTCTCACGTGGATGCGTGCGCACACCAAATGGACAGGTGTATTCTTCTGCCATTTCTGGTACAGCCGCTGGCATTGTCTCCGGCGCTCTCGCCGCGTCCATCTTCCCGGAGCCAACGGTACGACTTTAGGAAAAAAAAAGAAGCCAAAAGAGAAAAAAAAAAAAAAAAAAAAAAAAAAAAAAGAACAGACCAATGCCACCCCCGACTGCTCGCCTCGATTCTGGGCAAAAGGCTTCTTCATTGCTTGATTGTGATGCATCACCATCGTAGTTTATTGCATTCGCCGCTGGCCTACCTGCTGCCATATCTGGCGCTGTTGCTCGGTGGCTCCCGTCGCATCGCGCACACGTGGCGCAGACGGAACAATTGGCTGCTAGTCGCCGTCAGTCTGAGCTGGCACCAGATGCGGTTAGTCTGCTTTTTCCAGGTTCTCGCCGAGGGGCTTGAGTTGGAGTGCCGTGTGGCTCATATGCTTATCTCCTTGGGTCGGATGCAATAGAAGGAAAACGAGTACTTGATTTTGCACCATGCTCATGTCGAAGAGCAGGCCGTTGCCAATGACAAGCACGCTCTGAAGGTTCGCCCGCATCATGGCTGTCTGTTTGGTTCTCGCTGGGGCCTCGGTGCATGGCATTTCCTGCCAAGCCGTGGTGCATGGCTACATCAGCCTGATTCCAAGCATGTGCGCATGGGACGGACATATTTACCCTCCTCCTTAGGCCTTTGGCCACTTGCATCCTGACTCAGAGGGCCATTACGGCGCCTTGGGATTGTCCGATCGTGCTGGCCTTGCCACCACCAATGAGATCCGGAACGCCTTCCGACGGCTACTATGGGCAGAGGGTGCCTGCATTAACGCACGCGTGCAAGATGCCTATCGCGTTCTCCGCAACTGTGTGTCCCCGCTCAGCTTTACTACCCCAACACCCATCTGGCCAACACCCACCCACTGTGCCTGATTTCTCTTCTTACCCGACTTTGATTTTACCTCCTTGCCGCGCAGACAATACCCGCCTGGCGTACGATCAAGCGTGTGCTGCTGCGGCCAAGGCAAGAGCCACCGCGACAGATGCTGCTGCGGCTACTGCGGGGACCAACACACCCTCGTCCTCCCAAGCAGAAACCACTCCAACCCCATAGAAAACGTTGCACGACGCCGGATAATACTCATGAATCAAACTATCAATATGAGCCCAAAAAACACGTTCAACCAATTCACAATTTTACAAAGTCTTGCCACCTGTTGACATCAATTTGCAAAGCAGAAAGCGGTGATTGCATTTTTCCCTTCGAACCTTTCGAACTTCAGTGGCAGCGACAAGTTCGCTGACCGAACGTACGCGCCTTTCGCTTGACCCTTTTGCACGCTGCGGGCTGTTTTGATGATTTTTTGTGCTCCTCTTCCGTGCACACGCTCGATCATGACGGGAAATGGGCAAGGGCAATGTCCTTGCTTTGGCCACCCGCCATCCGCTTGGTCTTAGCTTGCCTCCAAGCGCAGCGAGAATGGTGTACATCCATCCAATACGGCACTTGAAACAAAAACATGAATACACAAATGGGCGAGCGCTGTTCTCTGGGTCTTGCCTAGCCTCCTCTGCCTGCGTGCTCTCGGGTGATGCCGCTGATGCAGCAGATGGTGACTGGCTCGATGCTGCCTTGCACAACCGCGACGGCATGATTGAAACAACAACGCTGATGGGGGGGACTCGATGGCAGCGGAGATGGCAGTGTTACCAGCCATGAGGTGCCAGCTTTGATGTGAACGATCTGATGTTGAATGGAGGGATTCTCGAGACCTGCTGAGCCTTGAACCAGTCTTGGCTCGGTGATGAGGGCCTTGATGGTCGACTGTCCGATGGATTCGAGATCCCAAAATCCTGCTCTCGTCCCTTCATCGATCTCTCGTGCCCCTGGGTACCGTGTCAGTTCATGACTCTCAAACCCCTTCACGGGCGTTTGTACAGAGCCGAGTCCCTGGTGCCGTGGTGGCCAGCCATCTTGTTGGGATCCCTCGACGACCATGTTTCCTTTTTCTCCCCATTCATGCCTCTCCATTCCCACTTCCACATTTGCTCCTGTCTTTCTTTGCCCTCGCGGGTCTGCGAGGGCAATCCTTGCGTCAGCTCGCTATTCTTGTACTTTCCGCTCGTGGCGGTCGATTGATGTTGCTATTGCGGTGCTCCTGGTCAATAGCTTCCCTTTTTTTTTTGACCGGCCCCTGCCCCTTCTCTTCCTTCGCGAATCCCAATCATGTCCGACTACGGAGCTCCCCAAGATGGCGGTGCACGTTCCGGTGGCGGCGGTGGCGGCCGTGATGGTGGCTTCAAGCTTTACATTGGCAACCTCGACTACTCGGTACGTGCTTTTGACGAGCAGCTCGGGGCTCGCCAGAACCTCATATCATCACAACAAACTGTTTCCTATAGACGCGCTCGGAAGATTTGCGTGAGGAGTTCTCCAAGTTTGGTCCCATCAAGGACGTCTACCTTCCCGTGGATCGCGAGTCGCAGCGTCCTCGTGGTTTTGGTTTCGTGACCTTTGAGGAGCAGCGCAGTGCTGACGACGCCATTGCCCAGCTGAACGAGTGCGTCCGTGCTGCATTCTCCTCACCTACCATCATTTTGACACTCATTGGTGTCAATCCTTGCTGTGTTGCAGGCAGGACTTTATGGGTCGTCGCATCCAGGTGAACTTTGCCCGTGCTCGTGGCGCTCCCCGTGGTGGTGGCGGCGGTGGCCGTGGCGGCTACGGCGGCGGCTATGGTGGCGGCTACGGTGGCCAGGGCGGCTACGGTGGCGGCTACGGTGGCCAGGGCGGCTACGGCGGTGGCTACGGCGGCCAGGGTGGCTACGGAGGTGGCTACGGCGGCCAGGGCGGCTACGGTGGCGACCGTGGTGGCTACGGCGGTGACCGTGGAGGCTACGGTGGTGACCGCGACGGTGGTCGTGGTGGCTATGGCGATGGCGGTCGTGGTGGCTATGGCGACCGTGATGGAGGCCGTGGTGGCAGCTATGGTGGTGATCGTGATCGCAGTGGTGGAGATGACTACCGCAGCTCGGCACCACGGTAAGCCCCCTCCCTGGGTCCTGCACGGAAAGCCGGTTGTTTGTCTTGCCCTTTTTGTGTTTGAACTTCTATGTTCTCTCTTTGTTCTTTCTTTTTTTTTTTTTTTTCTGCCTCATCCCATGTGTCTGACTACCCCTTTCCTTGTGGTAGCTCTGAGGGTCGTGATGATGGTGAATCTCGTGGTGAGGCTCGTCGTGATTGAGCGTATCAACCAGCTCCTGTGGCGTTTGTGCGAAACGTGTCGTGTACGTAAACTTGCGGCATCCTTGCTGCATCGCCACATGCTTGTCTTGGTGGTGTGTTTTGTCGTCGTACCTTGATTGTTTCCTTTGGATTGTGTGTACGTTGCTTCATAATCAAATGAATTGACGAGCCAGTGGTGATTGTCTAAAAGAGTACACATTTGTGGTCGCAACAGTGCAGCGACGTTGTGCGTAGCTTCGACGAGTAACTGGCAGAACCACGAAAATGAAACACACTCATCAACAACCCTCACATCAGAAAATTATGTACAAGCAAGACTTGATGCTTGGCTTCACAACAGCATGAGCAGAAAGGTGGTCGACCAAAGTGCTTGCATCGTCAGGTTGGATCCTGGATCTTGGGTATTTGCTCAAAGCGCGAGGACAGCAAGTCGTGGATGATCAAGCTGCAGAGTCTGCTAAAACTCGCAGCTCCTTTGTAAAATCATATGCAAACTGCGAACATATTCAACCCAAGGAAAAAAGACATGGTCAGCTGGACGACAGCAATGCTTGAGACAAAACCAGCCAGTACCCCCCACCTTGCTTTCTACATCGGCCGCTGACGGCACATGCTCACGCATTTGACACGCGTGAATCAGGCTGGCATTTAGCTGCATATCTATAGCCAACTGAATGGGTACACCCACCAAAAGACTCACTAGCAGGTGACGGGTGACGACAAAGAAAGGTCCCCCGTCATGCATGGTGAGTCAAAGCCGTAGACAGCCAAAAGCACATTACCCAAACAAGATCAAGGCGATCGGGCGTCGAGGGTGTGGGACCGGTGCATAAATTCACACCTTTGCGAGCCGGGGTTGTGGCTGTCTTGGAGCGCGCAGTTGCGCTTGCAGGGGGCAAGCGTGCTGTGTATGGGGCAGGTGCTGGGGCATGCTGATGTTGATGAGCGATTGACCCAGACTGAAACATGGTCGGGGTTTGTGTTGGAGTTGGCCCAGCCCCGGCTTGAGCTTGAGCTTGAAAGGGAATCATGCGAGCCAGCTCGTACGCGAGTCGCACTTCTTCTCCTATTGAACCCTTGTTCAAATCTCTGAAAAAGACAAGGTGGAAAAGCGTGTGCACGGCGCATCAGACACAGGTGGCGGGAAAAGGTGAAGAAGAAAACAAAAAAAAAAAAAAAAAAAAAAAAAGAACAAGGTGTGATATGATGATGATGATGACACGAACAAAACTCACTTATCAATCACCTGCCAGCCAGCCGGTGCTTGCTCACCCTTGCGCGGGCGCACCACCGCAAGATTCAAGAGGCCTTGTTCGGTCTTCATGTTCAGCCATGCACGCTGGTTGAGGTCCGGTGCACAAACGGGATTCTGGCAAGCAAAGGACACACAATCATACCTGTGATCGAGGGGCCGAGCGCACATAAAGATGAAGCTTGGAGCCACCGCTTCCCTGATTGAGGTTTGCGGTCTTGTCTACGAACAGTTCGTTCGTTACCCAAGAGTACCCCAATGAGCAAGAGGGCGGCGTACAAGTGAGGGTCAGGGTGGCAGGCACCGACGTGGTCATTCGTCAGACCTGTAATGGTGCGAGAGATGACGCGGCAGCCAGGGGGTACGGCATCGCGACCCACTTCGACAACGCCTATTTCGGTGATGATCAGCGGGTGCTGACAGCCGTGATACGCGCACCAGCGCTGTGAGGTGCTGCTCGACACGTCCCCGACCGTTCCGCCAATTTTCACCTGGAGGCACCTCACCTCTTGTGGTCCACGGCCACGCTGGAAGCAGACAAACAGTTTGGCAGCTAGGGGAAAGCCCACGTTGAGATTGGCGTCATGGCCACCGATCGTGTACTGCAAGCGTTCCCAGCCGGCAGGCAACGCCTCCTCCTGTCCCGCAGGGCCGAGCGGCATGGGCAGTGAGGCCGGCAAGTACGAGATTGTGGGGCATGAATCCTTGACTTTAGCGCTGACGCACCTTCGCCCGGATGATGCCCACGTCGACGATAAAATCCATGCCGTCTAGTCCTGAGCGACACCACGCCCACCACCACCAGCCCCTCGTCAACTGCTGACCAAAACCAAAAATCCCCAGACTCTTGAAAATGAAGAAAAACCGAAAAAAAGTGTGACAGGGTTTGTGGGTTTGCTTGTATGATCCTTTTCAACATCATGATTGTCTTTGAGGTTCAGAATGAAAGTGCAAGAATGGGATTGCATGTCAGGCAAGCAGCAACGGACGAAGGAGCAAGCCGAGTTTGTCTTTGGCAAGCTAGCCGCCGGCTGCTGGCCACGAAGCAAACCCTTGCATGGAAAGAACCCAAACAAAAACGGGAAGAGGCAAAGTCATGAAAAATCACAAGCATGCTCCACAGTCTTATTAAACTACTGAAAATAGTACTTGGTGTAGTGCACGTCCCAAAAGTCACAAGTGTCCGAGTTGAGGTTGTTGCCCAAATAGGTAGGCACATCCATATTCATAAAGGGCTGGGTGGCCATGGAGAATCTAGGAACCAAGCAAGAGGCGACGCACAAACGGGTAAGCCGTGAATAGAGCTTGGAAGAATTGGACCCATTGACTGCCAAGCATCAGAGCCCATCGCCCGCGAGCTGACCCCAACTCGCTTTTTTAGTACTTACGGAGTCCAGACAGCCTGATCCTTTGTCAAGTCATGGTTGGGGTCACCATGCTTGGCCATGTTGGTCCAGTAGAGGCCAAAGGTGGCAGCGAGGCGTTTCTCCTTCTCGCCAAAGGTGTGCAAAAGTGGCGGCCACTGGTTGTCAAACACAAAGCTGAGCTCGGACGTGTGATAGTTGCCCAAGGCGTCATAGTCAACCCAGTTGGGCAGTTTCATGTTGAACTGATAAAGGTACGAGGACACGTTGTGGCTCGCCAACACGCCAGCGGCAGCACTATTTTTTTTGACACGCATCAACATTTCCATCCATAGCGCGTGAGGTCCTGTCAGCACTTTGAATCAGGACAGCTGGGCAAGTCTGAGCGCTACTGCTTGGCCTGACGTACCGGCTCGGGCACATGAAGAAAAAGTCACGCAAGATATGGGCCATGCGATCGTCGTTGTTTCTGAACACACAGCACGCATCATGAGCATACGTTGAAAGTCAGAGAGAGAGAGAGAGAGAGAGAGGTGGTCCAAAGCAATGTCGCACTTGTAGTTGGCTTCAGGATAGCGATCGGTGATGGCGGTGGCTGTGGAGTCGTTGTAAAAATGTTGAAGCACTGTGTAAAAGTCTTCGTCGGACATTGGAAGCTTCACCCCTAGGTTTCAGTTCATGTCAGGCAGTCAGCCCCCTACAGAAGAAGGCATTCGGCCACGCATTCGCGCCTGCCTTTTGCAGCGTTGGTACTTGCCTGGGACGATTTCGGGAATAGCAATCATGAACAAGGAGCCCTGCAGAGCAAAGACGGCGCGTCAGACTGTACCGGGCAGAGAACGGGTGGACAGAATGCTTCCAAAGTCCCGCGGCATCTGCATACCTCATCGCGGTTGGTTCCAATGATCAGAGGAACGTGGGCAAAGTCACCTGCACGCATCATCTCGATGGGGCGAGCAGGCGTGCCAAGTTTGGACCCATCAATGGTAGGACCCCAGGGCATGACGGGCGCGAGCGGAGGTCGTGTTGTGTTGGTCGGCCAGTCGTCCTTCTTCATGAAGAACTTGAAGGCGTCCAAGCTGCGCAGGCACGTCAGCACGTCTTTGGCATTCGGATCACAGCCAGCAGCCTTGATTTGCTCCTGGCCAAACTCATAGGCTATCGGCACGAAACGGGCGCGTGATAAAAAGTGCAGGTTGCAAAGTGAATACTCAAAAGCGCCAAGAGTACTGCACCAGACCAAGTTAGTTGCAGGATGAAAGCGAACCTCGTTGTTGGCTGATAAAGAACTCGGCAGTGGAGCAGCTGCCGCTCTCCATGATGGCAGCGGAAAAGAGACCTTGCGAGGAGGGATTTGTCAAGTGCCAGCAGACGCTACAGGATGTTGGAGGGTATGAGGGGCACCCACGGCAGTTTGTGGAATCCGTAGTAACGGATATGCTCAGGGTTCAAAAGTCTTGTGCTTGAAACCATCGTGAGTCACCTGATTGCACCAGCCGATTCGCCAAAGATGGTGATGGACTTGGGATCACCGTTAAACGCTGCGATATTGCTGGAGGGTGGCACGGACACGCCAGGAATCGTGAGTGAAGCGACGGATTGTGGAACACGCACGTGATGCTATATGGCAGCGACCAACCGGTTCGTAAAGCCAAGGGCGGCCACCTGGTCCTGCACACCATAGTTGCCCGTTGTGCCGCCAGCCTCGCTCTTGAGATCCTGGAGAGCAAGCATCGTGCAGAAGAATGGCAGGATGGGCGAAAAGGATTGACAAGATCAGAAAAGCAAGCTGCTATTCGAGCCATAGGTAACGCCTGCCAGGTTGCAGCCTCCTCACCGGGTGCGCCAAAAAGCCCAGAGCTCCTACACAGGACAACGGGATGACGGGGCGAGCAGCAAAGTAAGCTGGCGCTGGACAAAGCACCGGCTAAGGGGCAGGGTCTGACCTAAGCGGTAGTTGAACTCAACAACAATGACGCGGCGAGAGGCAGCGATGTGCTTGCCACGGTACCAGCCAAATTCATAACCGTCGCCCATGGAATAGCCGCCGCCATAGATCCAGAACATGACAGGCAGGGTCTGGTTGTCGGCTTCCTGTGGGTGGGGAGGGGACATCCACAGCACAAGTAGTAGCGGTATGGTAGGATTTTAGCCTGATAGATCTTGCACCCATGTCACAGGGTCCCAGACCATGCACTCACCTCGGGCACGTAGATGTTAGCGTAGAGACAATCCTCATTGCCGTAGTACTCCTTCTTGGAGAAGTGAAATTGCGGGCAGACCTGAGAAGGGGGCAAGCCGAGCACGTATACAAAGAGCGACGGACGCGATGTTGGAGTCGAGTCAGTGCGAGTCGGCTGTCTTTTGGCCCATCCATTCCAAGATGCGGCAGCCCGGGGCATACGTGGAAGAAGCGATCAATGGTGCAATCCTTCGTCTTGTTCCAGGCTTGCGGGGGCACCGGCGGGCGGAGACGCAAGTCTCCCACGGGCGGGCTAGCGAATGGGACGCCGTAGTAGCCGGTCAACTTGTACTCTGGCTCATAATCACCCTTGATCCGACCATACTCAATCTCCACCTCGGTTGTGGCGGCCATGCCCTGAGCCACAACGGCGGCCAAGAAGAGCAGTAGCACCCCACACTGACGCGGCGGCGGCAACATCTTGGAGATCACAACAAAAACACACACGAGAGAGTCAAAAGAGAAAAAATGAAACATCTTCACCAACTCTAATTAAACCACCATAAAGTATCGCATAATACTAATGGTAAGAAGCAAATATTCTGCAAGAAGTGAAGAAACAACTACAAAAACTCGTCTCATGCCATCTCTACTAACTAGAATGTGTGATCAATGTCACGCTTCCACAGCGGTGGTCTCGTTTTGCTCCTTTTTGCCCGACGAGGACAAGTCCAGTTCCGCGGCAAGAGGGTGCCAGGGGTGGCCTGGCTTAGGGGCAGAGCGTACCTGGGTTGGCATGTGGAAAGATGGCAGGTCGAGGAGGCATGCTCAACGTGTCCGTGGAAGCCAGGACGGCGTCGCAACGGCCATCAGATCGTCGACATGCGCGTCAAAGTACATCGCGCTCCCAGACGGGTCCAGCCCGCGCACGAGCTCCCAGTCGCCCGATGGAACTAACAACGACGGGGGCAGGCCACGCTGACATGGCTGGCCGCATAACTTTGGCAGTCAAGCAATTTGAGACTGAGATACAGACCCTGCTCAAGCGGCTCAAAAAGCATGTCGATGCGTCAGCCGACGCAGCTGAGACCAACGAAGCTGTCATCGAGCTGTTTGAGGAGCTCATCGAGCTACAGACGCAACGTCGTCCCAGGTAGGTTTTGGTGGTAGGCGCGACGTTGTGGCGCTGGTTCAAAGTCTGGACTGCGTCGTTACTCTGTTCTGCCGGCCTCACTGTACATGTCTTTTTGTTCTGCCTGTGGCAAACCAGACTGCTTCATGCTGTGCTCAAGGCTCTACCTTTGCTGATGGGCGACGGGGCTGTCCGGCTCATCCGGTCGCTGTGGCGGCACTCAGTCCATGTGGCCGTCGACTGGTTCCGCCAGCACGCGTCGCGTATCTTGAGCTTTCAACGTTGGTCAAAATACCATTGTTGATCATGAGCCCGTCCTGCTTTTCAACGCAGCTCCACCTCGTTCGCCTCTGACCGGAAACGGACCTTTGGTTTTCATGGGCTGTGTGGTATTGCTGTTCCATTTAGTTGCCATTCGCGGCTTGCTGAGCGAAGCCGCCATCCATTGGGAAGCTGCTGCGCGCCAGTCCTTGCGTTTGATGCGACGATCGCGTGTGGCAGACGTGCCTCGACCCCGCCAGGATAAAGGTCGCTTGCACCGACACGGCCTTGCTCATCATACATGGCTTGGTGGCCGCGGTGCTTCAGCTCCCAGCATGCAGGCTGCCCTGTTGGTTTACCATGAGCTGCTGCTGGCCATGGCAGACGTCGCGCGCTATCGGGCAGTCCTGACGCTGCCCGTCGACGCTGAGGCCCCTTCCGTTGAGACTTTGCAGCAACACGCAGAAGTTCTGTACTCGGTATGGCGTGTGCTCGTCATCCCAAACCTGCCACCCTTGGCCTGAGCTGTACACTTGCTCATAACCGTGATTGCACGTTTTCGTGCAATGGCTCATTTAATCGCTTTGTGCATGCAGCTCGCAGCACGCGTTCACCCCAACGCCGGTCGCTCTTTCGTGGCCTTGGCTGGTTTGCACGCACGGCGCGGTCGTCACCTGGACGTGCTCTTCAACTACATGCGCTCTCTGTGCATCAAACAACCCGTCGAATCATCGCGAGATGCTCTGGTGTCAATGTTGGCCTCGTTAAGTGAGCGCGCGCAGGACTCGCTTGCTACCACGCATGCGCGAGCCACGGCTGGCAAGACCTCGACTTCCGCGTCTGAATCTTCGACCAACATCTCCAACGTATGTGGCTTGCAAAAGCATCACTTTCCATTTTGAATGTGCCAGGCGGTCTTGCTCTGACTTGACATTTCTGACGAGCAGCGCAAGCCAGTGTGGCTGCGGCCTCGCGTGGAGCTGCAGCAAGCTCTTGCCAACTGCGAGACTCAGCCCGAGCTCGTGGAGGCCTTTGATGAGCGGGGGTCGTCCAACTCGGATCTGCATCGTCTTACCCAACAACTGGCCGAGTTGTCAGTTGCAGAGGTTGTTAAGATAACCATGCACGGTATTTTTGCTCTGGTGGCCATGCTGTATAAACAAATGAGGTGCGGGTTTTGCAGTTTCCGTGTCACTGTGCGCGACCGGCTCCCGCTTCAGTACTCATGCCACATGCTGCGTGACCAGGGCCGAGGAGCTAGCGACAACCATGCAAATTGTCGATGCAGGCCTGCGACATGTTGTGGGGCAGCATCAAGGACTTCGACCCTTGGGTCGCAACTTTGCTCTCAAGTTTGCGTTGCTAACGCCATGGCTGCACACAGTCCCCCTGAATCAGGGTCTCGAGCCCGGTACGTGCAACTTCTAGAAAGAGCTCTTGTCTGGCCAGCTTGGTGGTGATATTCAGTGTCGGCTCCGCTCATTGTTGGCTATGATTGTGCTTTTCAGCTGTGGCACAGATTCGCTCCGCTTTCAACTTGCGCACGCTCCGACAGCTGTGGACGTGCGTGTTTTGCCTGCTTTGCATCTCGTGAGCCGTTGTTGTTTGCACAACACATGTATTGCTGAGCACAAGCCGCTAACAAGTTTGCCCGTCATTCCACATGCATGCTGCAGGTCTATGCTAGAGAGCTGCACGCAGGCGCTCCCGGATACCGCTGGAGACGCGCGGCATCCAGAGGGGCTCGAACGGCTTGTGCCCTGTACGCTCTGGCAAAGCCATGTTTGCCTCACGCTTCTGGCGTCGTGATCAAGTTTTGCCTCTCACCTGCCAATCCCTGTGCCCGCAGTATCGGAGGTGATGGCGGCTGTACATTTGTTGAGTCACACCGATATCATTTTATCTACCGAGAGCGGCGGTGACGGACAGGCCTTTATTGCAGCTGTGACTGATCTAGGCAACTTGGCCGTGGTGCTTCTGGAATTTGCCTTGCCTCGATGGGCAACCATGCTAACACGTTGGTGGAGTGAAGGCGATGCTCCCGCATCCTCAACTGCGGAAGGCATGAGTACGGCAACGTCAGCGACAACGACGGCCGCAACCAAAGCTACAGATCAAGCCGAAGACGCTCATCAAGCCCAAGCAGTTGACGTTCATGAGGCAAGCGGTGAAGAGGTTGAAGTTGATGAAGAGGAAAGCCCGGCTTCATTGCGCGCGGCTTTGCTGCGCATGACTGTGCGAAACACAGGGTCATCTGACAGCGGGGATGATGGCGCGAGTGGCTCTGATGAGGAGGATAGCGACGAAGACGACGAAGACGACGAGGAAGAAGAGGCAGACCAGGCAGGCATGCATTCTGACTTTGGGAACGAAGACAGTGGATCTGATGTTACGATTCAAGACCTCGAAGACCTGGAGAGAGCAGATGACACCGACTGCTCAAGGCAGCCTCAGTTGCATTTGGTGGCACAACTGACACGGCTGGCCGAGACGCTGGACGTGGTGGCTACCCTGGGTCAGGCCATGACTGTCCTGGACACGTGGTCAGCCATGGCTGGAGAAGCAAAGTGTCATCTTCCAGAGCGCTTTTATATTCGAGGATTACGACCCTTTCGTTCACTGAGTCGGGAATGGGAACACGAGTGGTATCGCATTGACCTGGGAGCAACTGCTACCAAGGATTGGCCGTCCCCGATTGCTCGGTCCTCTTTGGTTGTGGTGCGTCTTTTTCTTTTGGTGCAACGAATGGCGCAGTTGAGCCTGGAGCGTCCTGACGTATTGGATATCCATGAGGGCCGCTTTGAGTGCCGCATCCAGACCCCTCGATCTCACGCCACCAATGAAGCCGCTGCTGCAGCCGTCGGGGATGAGGCGCTGTGCACCAGCGATCATGCACGTGGCTCAAATGAACAAGATGCTCAAACATCTTCCGACCAGCCGAGTGGTGGGGACGAGGACGAGCAGCCTGAGTTGTCACAACTGGCCTCCTCACTACAAGGTGAACTGGATCGTCTATTGCAGGAGCAAACAGAACAGCACAACGCCTTTGACGATGCCTTGGCACAAGCACGGCGCACTGCGGATCTGCAATGGGTTGTGCAGCCCGATTTGCTCGTGTTGGACACCAACGTGCTCTTGGAAGACAAGGCCTTTGCCATTTGGGAGTCAGTACTGGCCCTGCGCCTTTTTACCTTGGCCATCCCCATTACAGGTAACGACGCTTTCAGTCGTCTCCGCCTGCTTTTGTGCGCGCGCGCTTTTGGGCCTGTCAAACGTTTCACCATGTTGGCTTTTTCATTTGTATGGTTTGACCCAGTGTTGAGTGAGCTCGAGGGCATGGCGCAAGATTCTTCTGGCGAATTTCAACGGCGTACCGCGGCGGCACAGGCCGCATTGTCGTGGATTCAAGCTCAGCCCGCAGCTGGCCATCCGGTTCAAGCGCTCACTGCCTCGGGTCAGCTCTTTGCCACTTTAACAAACTTACACGAGGCTGGAGCCCGCCGCGAGGCGGACAACAATGATGCCGTGATTTTGCAGGGTGCGCGGCGCCACCAGGATCAGGAGCGCCCAGATGAGGTTGTGAACGTAGCCCAGCGCAAATATCTCCTCAAACGCGTGGCCATTGTGACGGGTGATCGAAATTTGCAGCTCCGTAGCCGAGCAGCTGGCGTTGCCGCCCTAGACCTTGGCACCCTTCAAGCTCAACTCCTCGCGCCCTAACCTGACATTGCGATTCAATAGCTCCCAAAAATAGATGATGATATTCTCTATATTTAGAACATCAATTGACCGCGTGCGTTTTCTAAAGCCAAAACACACACACACACACACACTCTCTCTCTCTCTCAAAGAAGAATGTGAGATGTCAGCACACACACGCACGCGGCAAAGACAAGCGTGTTCAAGCTTACACACACACACACACACACACATCCATTCGTTCATTTGTTCGCCTTTTGGTCTCTTGGTCGTGGGGCGAGAGCGACCTCGTGGCGGCGGCGAGTTGGCGGTCTGGAGAAGATTTGCTAGCGCAGGGCAGGTGGATTGAGCACTTGCGTCGTGACTTTTGGAAGGCTTTCTTAGCTTCCACGAAACACCGTCGCCATGGGTCGTATTAAGAAGAAGGTGGGTGAGATGCTCGCCACTTTGCTCGGAAAAGAAAGATAAATAACATCACCAGCTCGGCAACGCCATGCTTGTCTTGGTCTCTGTTGGTGCTCATGTTCCTTGCCTGACTTTGATGACAGGGAGAGGAAGGTACGGCTACCGAGTACATGTCTCGGTCCCGCGCCGTGCGCAAATTGCAGCTTTCCTTGGCTGATTTTCGGTACGCAGCTTTGACAGGCCAACTCTTCGATGACGACCTCGACGACATGCTCATGTCCTTGGCTTGTCCATGTGCCATGCATGATTTTTGGAAACTCGATTCTTAGACGACTTTGCATTCTCAAGGGCATCTATCCTCGCGAGCCTCCGAACAAGAAGAAGGTATGGCGTCCCCTGTCTGACCCTTCTTTCCTGTCATGGCAGGTCTTGGCCGGTGGTCGTGGTGAACGACTCGAGACGGTTTCGACTCATTGCGGCTTGAATCTTCTCCGTGTGTGTTTGTGATGCATCTGAAAGGTGACTGGATCTACTGCCAATCGCACCTACTACTTTGTCAAGGACATCAATTGGCTGTTGCACGAGCCCCTTCTGCAGCGCTTCCGTGAACTCAAGGTGTGTTTCACCTTAGCGCGGGCGGTCTCGGTGTTATGAACCTTTGTAGTTGGCCGAGAAGTACTCGTAATAGACCGCGTCTCATTCGTGCCTTGCGTGTCACCTTGTTCTCACGACGATGTGACTTTGAACGTCTTGCCTGCAACACTGTGATCCCATAGACTTATGCCCGTCGCCTGAAAAAGGCCGAGGCTAAAGACCAGCCCGGTGTCGTCAAGGCCATTCGCCGCCGTGAGCCCAAGGTCAAAGTCAACCACTTGGTGAAAGAGCGGTACGGCCAACCACCTTACCTTAATCTCTCCATTCGTCCTCTAAAAACCTGTGGCTCAAACACTCCATTCACTTTGCTTCCCCCCCCCCCTTTTTTTGGAATTTTATAGCTACCCTTCATTCGTGGACGCCATCCGTGACTTGGACGACTGCCTCTGCATGTTGTTCCTATTTGCTTCATTTCCACAGACGGGCGTGATTCGGGTTCGTGCGCACCACCAGGCCATGCTGTCCAGCGCATTCTTTGTCATCGCATGCGTCTCATTCATTCCAACACCCTCTCGCTTGACCATAGGCTCGCATGGTCGAAAAGTGCCGCCGCCTTTGCAACGAGTTTATGCTTTACGTTGTGCGCGCTCGTGCACTGCGCAAGGTTTTCCTCTCCATCAAGGGCATTTACTATCAGGCTGAAATCATGGGTCAAACCGTCACATGGATTGCGCCTTACCAGTTTGCCACCGATGTCCCCACCGACGTTGATTTCCGTGTCATGGGCACGTTCCTACAATTCTATCTCACTCTCCTCGGCTTTGTCAACTTCAAGCTCTACGCCACACTCGGCATGCACTACCCCCCGCAGGTGCGAAGAACTCATCCCACATGCTATGGTGGTGTTGTCTGGTTGACTTGATCATCCTGGAGAGTGGCTCTCAAACCGCCCACGCTCACATATCGCGCATCGCTCCTGGATTTTATGTCTCCATGCTTCACATCATACCAAACATAGCGTGACGCGCTGAAGGACAGCGCTGGCCTGGGCCTCTCCGCCCTTAAGATGCAGACGGAGCAGGAGTTTGAAGCCGCGCAATCTGAGGCCAGTGAGACGATGTCCAAGCATCATCGTAAGCAAGCCAAGAAGACAGAGTCTCGCGTCGCCCAGGCTTTAGCCGACGTCAAGGCAGCTATGGATGAAGACCTTAACGATGAGGAAGAAGAGCTGGACGCTCAAACCAAACAAGAAGCTGCACCGGCCGGTAGGTACTTGCCAATCTGATCGTTCCAACCTTTTTTAGAACAAGCAAGACATGTATGCCAATTAATTTGTGTTTGCCTGGCTGTGTAGATCGTGACCAGGCTTCCTTTGACACCTTCGAGGCCATGGCAGACCCTGCGGTCGACTCAGACATGAACGTGCCCTCGGGCCAGGATCTTGAAGAAGCTGCTGCCGAGGCAGATGCAGCCACCCGCATTTTTCAAAACTTGTACTTCTTCTTGTCACGCGAGGTATGCCTCAAATTCGAAATGTGGTTCATGGAGACTCAAGTTGACTCGCTCTCCGACTTGCATCTTACTATAATATTTTTTTTTCCCCCTTTCTTATCTCCGGTTTATGGCGTGTACGTGCAGGTGCCTCGCTATTCGCTTGAGTTTGTGATTCGCAGCTTTGGTGGCAACGTGTCTTGGGACGCCCTGGACGAAGCAGAGGCGGGACCGTATGGGGTGGATGATCCCCGCATCACCCATCACATTGTGGATCGTCCGGCTGTTAGTCAGACCTTTGATGGTCGCCACTATGTGCAACCTCAGTGGGTGTATGACTGCATCAACGCCAAAGCTGTACGTGCACGTCTTCTTTCACTTCTTCCTTTACTGTGCCGCTTTTTCTCACACATGATCGATCTCTGCTGCGGTTAGCTGCTGCCCACGTCGACCTATACCTTGGGCGCTGTTCTTCCCCCTCACTTGTCACCATTTGTCGAGGAGGGTGCTGATGACTACATGCCACCAGAGCGTCGTGCACAATTGGCTGCTGCCAAGAACATCCACAGCGTACGCCCTTATGCTTGTCACATACCCTTGATGAGGTTGTTTTTCCCCTGTGCTTTTTTAATTTGGCATTTTCACTCACCTCATATGGTTTGGCTTGTTGTCTTTGCGCTTTCATAGACTGACATGACCATTGACGAGTCAGAGGCGCCTGAGGAGATTGATGACGAAGGTAAAGGCCATTTGTTTTTCTCTTCGACTGCTTCCGCCCCTCTCTTTTCCCCGTGCCCATGTGGGTGCCTACGCTCATTGCCCGACCTTTGATGTGATTAGATATCTACCGCAAGGAGCTTGAGGCTGAACTGCGCGGAGACGATACAGCCGAGTAAGTCCTACGTTGATGCTTGCTTAGCTTTGAGTCAAGCGTGCTGCTCTAACACTTGATATCGCACACTTCTCCAGGGCGCCTGAAGAACCCAAGGGCAACACTGCCAAGCGCAAGAAAACCAAGGCAGAGAAGGGCAAGGCGGCTGAGGAAGAACGCAAGGTCAGTTTTCTGATGCCACTGCCATTAAATGCGCAAGCGTGAGCCGCCAGCTCACTAATTTTTTATTTTTTATTTTTTATTTTTTTTTGTGGTTGGCCCTCGCTTCTCAGGAAATGGCCAAGCTGATGATGTCAAAGCGCGACCGCACCCTGTACAACCGCATCGTTCACTCAAAGGTTCGTTGTTGAGTCGACCAACGTACCCATCCCGCGCTTGCCAAAACTGTGTCGTTGTTCCCGCCGTTGTTCCCGCCGTGGTTGCGTCCTCTGCTCACGCTCTTTCTATCGGCATCTGCCAACATGTTTGCACGTTTACAGAAGCAGAAGCAGGTCGAGGCTCAAAAGCTCACTGCCCGTCGTCAGCAGATTGACAAGGAAAAGTCTGCCAAAAAGTCAAAGAAGTAATCGCCTTCATATCAAGCCCAACAAGTTTGAGGCCGCGGCCGCTTTCATTGGGGAAATGCCCGGCTGGCGTGCGTTGAGAGCCAGTTTGTGCTTAGGGTGCGGCCGGCTTTTGCTGCGGCTGCAGCCTTTGTTATGTCTAGTCGTGCTGTAAATCACAATTCAAGTCGTAAACCAACATCTCTGCACGTCGCTGACAATTATATTCACACATGATATCCACACATGAATCAAGAATTTTGGGATTCACCATCAATTGGATGTGCAGCTCAGCTGTCAGAACAAAGGGTGCGGTGCAATCACTTGTATGAACAAACAAGAGTCAGTTGACCCCTGACTCAAGCCCTAGTTGAGCTGCTATCTCTTAAGCAAGATCGATGAGGACTTGTTGTGCAATGCTCATGAGTTGCTCGAATGCTATGGGACGAAACCTGCAACATTAGAGATGGCCATGATTGCGCGTGAGTTTTTCGTGATGCTGGCTCATTGCAGTGATGCGGCAGCAGAGCCAGTTGAACCTACTTGGCCCACAGACTAGAGTTCCACCAATCCTCCGACGGGAAAGCAGGGCTTCCAATACCATAGGCAATACGAGCCACGACTCGCGGTGTCAGTCTCTACAATGCCACGCGCACAGAAGATGAGACGCTCGAATGCTCACACAAACACGATCCAAGCCCATGGTTGCACAATCGGCCTCACCCGCTCATCAGGGCTGCGACGCTCTAGGAAAGCATGGATGGCGCGCCGCAAGGGTGCTTCGTCTTGAATGCGCTTGCCACCTAGCGAGCTCTGTAGGCTAGGTTCTGTAGCCTCAAAGTACTTCTCGAGGCGCTGACGAATCAATTGATTGGCCAGCGAAGAAGCCGTTGCTACACAAACAGAATACACGTGGTTGGCGCGCTTGACTCACATATCAAGGCTTCCCAACAAGTCCCCAGGTGAACAAAGCTGCCGACTCACCTGTTTCTGTGCCTTCCATAGCCGCTGCACTCTCAACAATGGCATGCATTTCCTCTGACTTTTGTAACAGGGAGCGCTCAAACGCCGACGCCTTGTCGGCAAGCGCTGCCACCCATGCATCCACCTGATCCGTGGACAAGGGTTCACGTAGAGAAAAAGCCACGCCTGTGTTGCCTTCCTCGCAAAAGATCTTGCCCGCTGCACGCATGCCATGTAAATTGATCACAATTTCAGAGGGCTTGAGACCCGTCGCCGCTGCCACCTCCATTAGTCCATGAGCATCCAACACTTCATGACCTGCGCAAAGAGTTCAAAAAGGTCATGAAACAAGTTCATCCGAAACAACACGTTGTAGGTTCCGATACGCTAGTTTGTTCAACTAACCTTTACGGCCGCCCGCTTGAGGCCGGGCTGCGGCACTGACGGCACGTAGTAACGGGTCGGTTGTGGCAAAAGCCTCGTCTCGGACATGAAATGTGATACTAGCCTGTCTCGACATGGCACAGCAAGGTCATCGTTGGATGAAGCGATGAAAAGGTGCTGCAAATCGATGGCCAATGTAAGCAAACGGTGCTCAGGGCGCAAAAGCCAAGACGTACCGCACACCGACTGCCCAGCTGAATGTTCCCGGATGAGAGCAACTCCAAGTTGGACAACATGGTGGTCAATACCGTCTAGGGTGTACATAACGCGTGAGAGAGCCCCACACAGGGAGTTCAGACCTGAGAAAGGCGCGCGCTAACAAAGTCGTCTCACCTCCTTCAGATCCAGGAGAACAGAAATCTCGTCCAGGTCCAGCACGCCATGAAAGATGCGTTGTTTGGCTGCTTGTGTGGCTAGGGCTTGTCCAGTTGCTCCTGTTTGGCGCATCTGGGCTCGGATACGAGATACCGTCTGCCAGATACCCATTATTCAGCGTGGTTACATCCACGCTCAGCCAACAACGACTGCCGCTCTGGAGGAGTGACGAGACGCACCGTTGTGGAGATGGCCGCAGGACCTGCCACATATTCCATCAAGCGCTTAATACCCACCTAATGGAAGAATACAAATGAGCCCGTCCTAGCAAGCATACGTCGCGCGCAGCGCCCGAGGTTGTGGTGTGCCACTCACCAAATCAACTGAATCGCCGTAAGCATGACAGCGGTGGGTTTCCAGGTCCTCAGGGTGCGCGAAGACATGGCAGTAGGCTGGCAGACCATCCTAAATATGTGCGGATGCACAAACACGCGGAGGAAATGCGGAATGATACATGGCGAGCGCTGCCCATTGCAGATGCCGCAGTAAAGCATGCATAAGGAACGTACGCGGCCGGCGCGGCCCACTTCTTGAGCGTACGCTTCAGGGGCATGAGGCAAGCTATAATGAATCACAACTCGAACGTTGTGAATGTTAAGGCCCATGCCAAAGGCAATGGTAGCAATAATCACCCGAATTTTGCTTGTCGCAAAGGCGCGTTGAACTCGCTGGCGCGTAGTGGCAGGCAACCCTGCGTGGTATCTAGTTGGTGCCATGCCATGGATGACAGTGATGAGGCAGCCAAGCATCGCCTTCAACAATACGAAAAAGAGAAATATTGTCCCTCAGGCTAGCGTTTGTCAACATACGCCTGGGCTGCGATGCCTTCAGCTCGAAGCGTTCGTGCCAGGGCTTCCGTCTCCTTCTGCTTTGAGCAGTATACAATGGTTGCGCCTTCGGAATACAGATGATGCACCTTGAGCCACACAGAGGAGGGATAATCATGAGTAAAAAAGGTGCGGCTTTACTGGGCTGGTCACCACGCATTTGTTGGACCATGAGCCAGCAGACCTTGAGTAGATACACCAAACGCTGCTTGCGATCCATTGGGGTACTTGCAGCCAATTGTAAGTTGCTTGGCACACTGAATAGCCGGATTATTCCAGAGTCTTCGATGCCCAGGTGTGTTTGGATCGAGCGCTAAGCGGGGCAACAAATCAAATGAGGCGGAAAAGCGGGTAATAGACCAATTTCGCCAGTACAGCAACAAGATCCATACAGGCACTGGCCGTACGGCTCTGCCTTTATCAGGAGGCACAGACCTGTGTTACTAGCGTGGCTGTCGCTGTAAGAGCAAGGATGTTGTGAACACCAAAGACGTTTTGAAGCACGCCGGCAATTCGAAGATAGGCAGGGCGAAAGTTGTGTGACCATTCGGACACGCAATGTGCCTGCATGTTGTTGAAACCATCAGCGGGTTTAATCAATGAGTGCTTTGAACGAGGCAACGATGACAAAGTGGCAATGCTTCAAGTAACTCGAAGAGCGAGGCGCAGCACAGAAAGAATCAGCACCTCATCCACGGTAGCAAAAGCAATGCGGGGCGCATCACGGTGCAGCAACAGCTGCTGTAGCCTGCGCACGTCGCCACGAAGGTTTCAGGGCAGGCATAGCACGTGAGAGGGTGTGTGACGCCCAACTTCAAACGGGGTACAACCGGTGTTTGGACGCACCAGGAGGTAATGAGCGTCTCTGGGGCAATGAACAAGACATCAATACGACCCTCCAAAACGGCGACTTTGGTAGCTGAGACTTGTTCTGGTGTCAAGGTGCTGTTCAGTGCAGCCCCACGCAAGCCCTTGGGCAGCTGGGCAATCTGTGAATAACATGTTCAGGCAGTCTCAGGTGAGATAGAGCCTTTGACGAGCACTTCTACATCCAGTTAAGAAGTGGGCGCAAACCTGATCCTGAATTAGCGACAGCAACGGTGTGATGACCAGCCCCATGCACCGAAACTGATCTGTCAGGTACAAAAGGGGCAACTAATACGCTGCGTGAGACAAGCAGACAAGCAAGCTTCAAAATGACCAAAAAAAATGGAACGAGGCCCGCACTGTTCAACTTTGATGACAAACCTGATAGCACAAAGATTTGCCAGTGCCGGTCGCCAGAATCAGCAGCGTTGACTGTTGGCGCAGCACTCGGGCAATGGCAGCCTCTTGACCATGTCGAAACTCATCATATCCAAAGTGCTACGTATGTTCGCATAGTCAGCTGTCGACCAACCTTTGCACGTATGCGTTGGGCGGAGACGTACAGTTTTAAGAAGCGTGTGCAGGCCTGTTGAACTGGGAACGGGCCAGTACTGGTCTGGCAGCCTAGGAAAGAAAGAAGCAAAGAGAGGTCCAGACAGAGCAAAGTGGGTGTGATGATGACACGCATTTGGAAGAACTCGCTCAAAGACGCGACCGATCAGCCGCAACTGCAGGACACGGCTCGAACGTAATGTACGCACGGATCACGGTTGTCAAGTTGTCGATCAAACTCGAGTGTGTAGAGGGGTGCATGTACGGCAGCGGATTTGGCTCGAGCGGCACGTCCTACGTGGTTGAAACCTGAATCAACAAAATGCTGGCAAGGTCAGACGTACAAGCAAGCGCAACGAACCTGAAGTGCGACCAGAGCCTCGCGCACGAGCACCTCCTCGCCCACGGCTTGCGCGCGCAGATGACTTGTGTCCTTTTGGCAGCCGCTTGGCTGCTGGAGGTTTGGCTTTTGATTTCGAGACTTGGTCAGTTTCCTTCAAGCAAGATTAGAAAGGCGTGGGGTAAGCGTATGCAGAGGTAGTGTGGCTATCTGATGACGCCAGTTGTTGACACCAACCTGAGGACTCAACGCTTTGACTTGTTTGGGGTCACGTGCTGGCGGCCCGTCATTTGAATCAAGAGACAGAGGTTCGCTGGCTGTTTTCTTCCGTTTTGCCAATGAGCCAGGCTTGACTAGCGTCGAAGGGATCGAGGGTTCGGCTTGAACTTCGTTGTCAAAATCATAAGGATCAAGGGCCTGCGTTGCAGGAGACGGCGGGTTGCCTTGAAGCAGAGGAGAAGGTTTTTGAGTGCCGGACGTGGGGTGCGCGTGTTGGCTTTCGTATGGTGGTGATATTGGGCGTGTGTGGTTTGCACTCAAACCGCTTGACGGGGCCGGAGTAGGAGAGTCAGCTCCGCCCGAGTCGTGCAGGGGGGCGCTCGGAGTTGCACTCGCCGTCGGAAAGGTTGCCTCGTTTGTCTCAGCGGACGCAAGGCGTTGCAGACGGTATTCTGGCACCACCGGGCCACGTAATTCAACGCCAATGGAGTGGCTATCGTTTTCGATGGGGTTGTCGAAATCAAACTTGGAATGCATGTTGGATGTTCCTCGCAGTGGACAGTCGGTGGCCCAATGACCCTACAAAACCAAGCGAACAACACAGCATTCGCATCCACACGAGATGCTTAGAGAAGCAAAAGCAACAAGTATACAAGCATGCAAATGGCCCAAGCCAGCTTTTAACATGAGGCCTCAAGCAGCACGTCAACCGACCTCCTCCCCGCACATGCGACATGCATCACGGCCAACATGGTTGCGGTGGTGTGTTTGTTTGTACTTGCGAGTGAACTTGGCCTGTCGCGGCCGAGAGAAAAGTACAATCGAGTCAGGAGAAAAGTACAATCGAGTCAGGATAGATAAAAGGGGGCACCGAAGGCAAGTTGGCAGGTGCCCTCGTGCTTACCCTTGCGCCCCGACGGAAGCCACCCCCGCCTTTTTTTGTGTTGAGCCTTCGAAAGTTGGTACGGCCTGGGCGCAGAGCGACGCAGGACATCAGATTAAAATGTCGAGGGTGCGAGTCAAGTGACCATGGTAGGCATGGCGCGAGACAACGGAGACTAGCGCGACACGGCGCCTGGGACTTACCGGGACCCGTCGAGGAAACGTCTGTTTGTTCAATGTTTTGCAGTCCCAGCGAGAATGGATCCAGTTCTACGATTGAGATATTCAAGCATGATTGAGGGCGGAGCAAAGTACACTTCAACAATCTCCGATGCCCCGGCATGCATGGCTATAAATTGCCAATGGTACTTACTGAGACGGCGGTGTGGTTGTTTTGTGGCCGCGCCCGTCCCCGCAGTTTCGGCAAACTCGTTTGAAGCCGGGGCTTCAAAGTCGGCCATAGCATGCGCGGTTGACGTGGAACCGAGTTTTGATGTCGGCACAACAGAGTTTGCTTCTGTTATGCTCTTGGGACCATGGCTTTCTGAGCTGGATACTATGCGTGGGTACTCCCCTCGGTGCACAGCCTCAGAGGTGCTTTGATGGCGATGCGCTTTGGGCGGTGTGCGCATGGGTGAGAGTTGAAGAGTAGCAAAGCCGCCCCCGCTAGTGTGGGTAGGACTGTGAGCACGCATAAAGGGAGCCTCGCTCAAAGTGCGAGGCCGTGGACGCTGGCGGATCTTGCGCGAGGCCAAGGAGAAGCCACTGTCGAAAGCTGCCAGACATCGCGCGGCGTCAAAGGCGCCTGAAGCGCCTTCATCATCGCTGTCTTGACGCGATTTGGAGCTGGTGACGGCACAAGTGGAGCTCGGTTGTTGTTGTGCCGCGGTTGATGCAGGTGCAAGCGGTGCCTTGGCTTGGAAGAGAGTCTGGCGCTGCAAAACAGCCATTTCTCGCAAAACCTTGCCCATGGTAGCATCGAAGCTGTCCGTGGTGGTCTCGGTCTGCTGGGTGGATAAGATGGGCCCAGACACCAACGGCCGTTCCAGATATCAGTTGTGGTTTTAGCAAGCATGCGGTGGTGTCAGGACAGACAGGCAACTCAGCAGGCGAGAAGCAGGCTGAACCAACCGTGGGTGCGGGGGCTGCTGGGACATCTTGAGTGGGTCGGCTTGCGCGACGCTTTGCGTTGGAATAGGACCGATATACGGATTCTATCAAAAGAGCCCAAGACCAGAGCATAGTTGGTAAGCCACACTCCAGTTCAAGATGGCGCGCCGTCCTTGCGCACCAAAAGTGGTGGAGTGCACAGCACGGAAAACCGATACAGGCGTACCAATTGCGGGATGCGCGCGCACATCAGCGTCGCTCGGGCGGCGCCCATGCTTGGCCTCGAATTCGCGCTCCCAGGACTTGAGACGCTGCTTTATGCTCATCAAATCACCCCCCGCCATCACGCCGATGCCCACCTCCAGCAGGGCTCGACCTTTGCGAGAACGAGCGTGAGTCTGTGTGAGTGCGCGCGTGTGTGGGTGTTAACGGTCAAATTGGCGCCAGCGCGTATATGATTCAACCCCTTCAAAATTACCTCCTCTTTCTCTTGTTACTTTTTTTACATGTGGTACTTGTACCATTTCTTCTGTGTCTTTGCTGTTTATACTCAAACCAATTCTTCTCTCTCTCTCTCAACTCTCTCTCTCTCTCTCTCAATTCATGTCACATGTGGTACAGTAGTTATGCTTTTCCTTTGTGTCTTTGCTCTTTATTTCTCTCTTTCTCTCAATTCATCTCTCTCTCTCTTTGTTTCTCTCTCACTTTCCTTGAACGGCGACAAGACAAGATGGCAGAGGACGGGCAAGCAGACAAGGCCGAGGTGGCCGCGGAGGAATCCGCCCTGTTTGAAGACTCGGACGACGATGAAGTGGCAGCTCGCAGCTTCGACCCCAATGCTTGGCTCAAGGTATGAGGGCTGCACAAGAACCTTGATCGGCTGGCGCAACAACCTCACATTCATGTGGTTCACTGCTGCTACTATTGCGTAGCCCAAACCCAAGGCAGAGATTCGTGTTGGACCTCAATACCAAGCCATGCAGCTCCCTGCACCGCCTGACCACAGCTGCGTTTCAGATGCTTCGGCCACCGTACCCAATCGCCGCAAAGCATCGAAGCCTCAGCGAGCTGTGGACCTTAAAAGAGACACCGATGCAGCCCGCGCTTCACCGGCGACAGTGGAAGAGAAGAAGCCCAAGACCAGCGATGCTGGACGTTGATGGGCCTCTCCACGTGGCGGCCTGCAGGCTCATGTGATAAGCTTCGTGCCACCAGCTTTATGCTCATGTGCCACATGCTTTCAGGGATGAGCATGCGGCAGGCGTGTGTTGCATGTGTTTTATCTGGTTTTCTCATGTTTGAGGGTGTTGGACGTGTTGTTTGCCGTGCGAAGCGCGCATGCCTGCCCACATTTACACTTGTTGCAACGAATTGACCGCAGCGCGGTCAAATTTCCTCGTCCCCTGTGCGGGCGCCCCTGAAGAAGTGAAGAAGAGTCTTTGTGCCTTGGCGCATTCGTGCCTCAAGCCAGCAAAAAGAAGAGTCATTGACGGCTGCAATGTTTACACTCTTGCGGTCAATTATTACATTCTTCATGTGTAAACGGGTAGGAATAGCCGCCTCGTGGTGGCCGCTCACTCGGGCCCAGTCGCGGATCCTACCACTTTTGTGGCCTTGAGATGCCGGTGCAGCTGCTCCAGGAACCACTGCGGTGCATCGGCTGGCTCGGTGGTGGGCGGTGCCCGGCCATATTCAGCCAGGATCTGCCCAACCTCGTAGTCATAATGCACATACACTTCCTCTCCAGCAGCCAAGTCCTTGAGTAAGCGCAGACATTTGATCGGTCCGAAGCGCGGATGCCAGCAGGGCTCGTACTGTGTACCAGTTGCGAACGGAAAAAAAAAGTGAAGCAGGGTCATGAAGCACCTTGCCCCAACTGAACCGCATGTTGCCACAAGCGCCATCCTCCCTCGCCTTCCCAACGCAGAAACAGGGCGAGCTCACTTGAGCGTTCTGCTGGTCAAAGGAATGGTTTGCCTTGTGACCCAGGGTTGCACAGTAAATGCCGAGTGAACGGTAGACTGGTGGTACCTATGCACCCATAGAGCAAGACGGAAAATCCACACAGACGAACAAACGCAAACCACAATCAGGTCAGAGCACACGGGAGGCCCACCGTGACGCTTGCAAGCACAGATGCGATGCTTGCCTGGACCACCAGCCCCGCCGATTGGACTTACATCAACACAGCAATCATCATCCACGCTCAGGGTGTAGTCGGTTTCATCCCAGTCCCGCTGGTCAACCTCGTCCTGTGCCACGCGTACGCCGCTGTAAAATGCCACAATGGTACCAGCCGTTGCTGGTTTGCTCGTGAAGAGACCCTCCCCCGAGGCTGGTAAAAGTGATGGCCGTACATTGACCATGGCCTGCTCCAACGGATCTGGCTGCAGCGGACGCTCGGCAATGGTGGTCGAGCTCACGGCTTCGCCAAAGTAAACGGGAAGCTGACGCCCCACACATGGACAGCCGCAGGACCAGCGAGCCAGCGCCACATGCCCGCGACCGACCACTGCTGCATTGATGAGCTCTTCGGCCTCGGCCACGGACCCTGCGTGACCACACACGAGTCGCCCGCCGTGAAAGCGCCCAATCAGCGCACACACTTGTCCCGGATAAATGTATGCCCCGATTTGACACGTTAGCCACTCTGGAAGCGCTGCCTATGCCAACGAGAGTAGGTGAGAGCAACACATCGTTTCACATGACGGCGCTCGGAGATACAAAGCCGCGTCTCACCATACTATCTTCCTCCTCCTCCTCCTCTTCTTCGTCCTCTTCGTCCTCTTCGTCCTCTACGCTGCTTTCCTTCGACTGTTCTCCCCTCGCTCGTTCTTGTTCCACGTTAGTGACCTGAGCCGTGTCGCCACCCGATTTGGCACCCTCCATCTCCTGTTTGTCATCAGCTTCCGTCTGCTCCTCCACTGAAGCATCAATGTAGGCGATGATGCGCCCGCCATCTTCCAAGGGCAGCTCACAACGCCCTTGCAACTGGTCATGCTCAAAAGTCATAATGCTGAGCAAGCTTCCATCCCCGTCCAGCAGCTCCTGGGTACCGTGCATGGCACCTTCAACATAGGTACAGATGCGACGGGTGCCATCCGCCATAAAGTGCTCAACTCGCCCCTGCAGCTCGCCATTCTCCAAGCGCCCACGCATCCAACTTCCGTCCTCCAGCTCAATCTTCTGCAACTTAGCCTCATCCGCCATCGCCACCGCCGCCGGCGGGCTCGCACTGGCCATCTTCCTGCTGAAAAGCTTGACAGATGGACAACAACCTGAAAATCGCCTTTGCGCTGATGCTGTTTGTGTTGCTTATCGTCTCTTTCCCGCTCTCTCACACACACGTGTGAACTTGAGATGAATTGTCAGCACGAGCTTTTCAACAACAGCAAGATGATTGAGAGATAGAGATCGAGAGAGAGAGCGAGAGAGATGTTAATCATGTGCCGGGTGGGCCGTGAGGTGCACCAAGGCAATGGCCTCAACGTTGCGTGCTTGCACATTGCTGCTTTCTTCAAAGAGCACCACCAAGTTGCCTTGGGGTTGCAGTATCTCCGCAGGTACATGATACAGTGTTTGGGTCGCCGTGTTGCAGTCCTTGTAACGCATGAAGCAGTAATCTCCATGTTGAGGTGGCGCACAGGGCCCGTCACACTGCCCGGGCAGCGCCCAGTAGCGACCCAAATTGAAACCGTTCACGTAGGCCACGCCTACTTGTGCACATGCCAGTCACACCACTGAGCCTGGAACATATACACGCGCCGCAGAACGAGATAGGCACGTGCAACCTGCCTTTGTTCATGGACCCCAGGTCAAGAGCATACGCCACGCTGGTTCCGTTGGCTTCCGTGCCCCATTCAGGACTGGGCAAATCAAAAGTTGTTTGCAGCCAAAAGCGGCTGTCCTGACTGGATGGAGCGCTAGAAGTCCACTCGACTTGATGCAGCTTGGCTGGTGTATAGATTTGAAGCCTTTCCCCGGTCAAGGGCCAGGACATGGTCCAGTTGCCTTCAATCGGCCGCCCATTAGCCAAAAGTGGACCTGCAATGCCGTTGCCTTGGCTGCACCAAAAGCACCACCAGCAAATCAGCTGAACAGCTCACGACTTGCTTGTCCAAGCACGATTGAAAAGTCATACCTGGGTTGTACACCGGTGTTGGCCAGCCCCAGAGCAGCACTAAAAATTCGCAATCTCTGTGGTGGCCGGTGCAGAAAGGCCAAGGAAATCAAATTTGCACATACAATTAGGAGCAGCCGTACACACCGTCGTATGCATAACCAGACGCCTGGCCGATTAAGATGGCAAAGAGCGGCATGACATACCGTGGTGTCCTTGGTCAGCGTCACGTTGCCCTGCTGGCTCAGCACTGGGCTGCTGGATGGCTGCAGCACCTCATCCACGTACACGTAGGTTTGAGTATGCCCAATAATGGGAAAGGTAACCACATCTCCTATTCATGGTACCCAAATACTCCGTGCGGTATGAGGAAAGCACGACGGGTGCAAGCCAGGATTGAACCAAGCGTCACATGAAGAGAGGCGCACCTGCGTGCAATGGAGTAGATGCGTTTAACGCATACCACAGGTAATCACTGTCATTGTCTGTGAGAGAAAGCTGCTCGACTGGCGCGGAAGCATCGGTCTCAAAAACATTTGCACCAGTATCAACGTAGTATTGCCAGTCTGGACCCAACGCCCGCCGCTCAATCTTGCGAGGCGAGTCTGCTGTTGAATCGAGGGCACTGGTGTTGAACAACACGTCACCCTGTGCTAAATCGTAGATGAGGACGGTGTGGTTCGAAATGTAAAACTCTTGTCCTAAAGGATGCATCCAAAACCAGGGAGACATGAGTGGCCACAGTGTGTCAAACCCGCGGGAAAATGCTCAAGTTGACCAGCACCAACCTTGAAACGTATAAACGCCACCCTGCGTGTCATGATAGTTGGCGAGAAAAGCCACCTGACCAAAGACAGACGCCTCGGCGCTAGAAGGCCCCGTCGTCAGGCATTGACCAGACGCACGATGCTGGAGCTGGCTACCTGCCAAGAATGAAGCGAGCCAATCGTGTTACTCTTCTTGTCCTTCCATTTCATCACCACGGGCGCGGTGCTGCTTGGGAAAGCGCACCTGTCCAGTTGAAGAGTTGATGGCTTGGCAGTGGTGATCCCTGCACCTTGCAGTCCCAAATATCAAGTGCTTCGGTGTCTGTGGCATCCAGGCACTGGGGGCATACCCCCACTGCACCTTGCGCTTTACAGTGCTCCTGGACATGAAGCTCAAGGTGGCCTGGGAATTGACATGTTACAAGCAATGCCGTTCAAGCGCGGGTCCCACGAGCTTCCTTGAGCGATCAATGGCAGATCCGACGGCCACACGCATACCGGTTGATGCATTGAAGCTCCATTGCTGGGCATCCATCGCCTCATTGCATGGCGCTAGCGTCAATCGATCAGCTGGACATGATTAGAGGAAAGTCCGCATCGACAATCCACGTGATAAAATATAAGCTGCCAAACGTCGGAATGGGCCGCAGGACTGCCGCCCAGCAAAGCACAGAAGATTTTGAGCACACCCTGCGCGACGATGTAGAGCCGAACCTTGACCGCTAAGACACAAGCGTGATTGGTTGAATCCTGTGAATTCTAGCAAGGCATAGGTGTTGTTTGCAGACGGGGTAAACCTCCAGTGCGCCTGTTCCAAAAGCACCATTAGACATGTGTGCAAAAAACAGCCCTTGCTAGATCCCATAGAGAAGCAGGTTTCGTGCGCTAGCAAGCGGGGCCCACCGCATCGCGACAGTTGGCCAGGACAACTTGCACGGCATTGCCCCAACCCGGCAATGGCTGTGGCGTTGTGGCATTGTGGCTCAAAAGGGCTTCACTAATATTCTGCAGGGTGTGGAAAAAGCGACTAAAAAACGCGTAGCGGGGTTGGTGGGGCAGGAGCAGGTAGTCAATGACCGTGTCAGGGGCATAGGCTGTTGTGACCAGGGCCCCGGCAAGTCGACCATAGTTGTTGCCACCCTAAAATGAACAACGCCGTGATGATGATACTGATTGCGCCTAAACTGGCGACATGAACGAGTGAAAGAAGGGAAACGAGGTTAGGAATGGCAATGCGACACAAACCGTCATCATGTAGAAATTGTGGTAAGAGCCACCATATTGAAACCAGCGAGCCATGCCATAAGCCTGGTCTCTTGAATCTCGAACGCGCTACTTGTTGGCAGGGTTACACCAACGACAAGGAGACGCTGGGTGACATGGTGTCATTGCAGGATTCGGGCAACAGTGGCTCAAGCCCAAGCCGATGCCAACCTGAGCCACTCCCCATTGGTCGAACCAGCCCTGATCTTCCGTCCTGAACAGAATTAGAGAAGGATAAAGATCGGGAAGTATTGTTAGTCGAACCTCAAACACTCATGGAATTATCTCAAGGTCTGCTCATGACACGCATTGAGCCACGGTCGAGCTCAAGGAGAACCGTCCACCGACCAGACGAGGGGCTGGGTGGGGTTGCCAGTCTGTTGGGCTTGAATCCAAGCCTGACTCGGTTGAGCGAGAAAGCTCGAGCGTTGCTCTACCCAGAATCCATTGATGGTACAAAGGGCCTGGTCGGGGTTACCTGCATCCCGGTTGACTTGGGCGCATCTGCATGCATGGGGAAGGCAAGCAAGTCAAACTCTAACCGTCCATTTTCCATAAACAAGAAACAACTTGCCAGCCTTCAGCATAAGTGATAGGCTTACTGGTGAACATCATGGCATAGCATCCATGGAGTAGCTGTTGTGGCGTTTCGGGCCATCTCCACCGCCCAGCTGTGGGATGAGGGAAGAGGGGGGAGGGCAATCAAGGAGCCATGGGGTCTGAGTAGAAATGTGCTGACAGGCTTGCAATGGCTGACGAGACAGCAACAGCCACAGAGGCAGCGACAGCGACAGAGGCAGCGACAGCGACAGAGGCAGAGGCAGAGGCAGGGAACAAGCCTGCCAGTGAGCCACTGGTCAACTCACTCGAGATAGCTTTGAGAGCCAGAGAATTCGTTTTCAATCTGCAAGAGAATGATGGGGCCACCGTTGGCAAAGAGATAGGGCTCCATTTTGGCGACCACAATGTCGACTATGCGCTCCATCTCGCGCTTCCAAACCTCGTCCTCGCAACGATAGCAGCTCACGTTGTCCAGACTACGCAGCCACAAAGGAAGACCACCATAAAAGTACTCGCCGCAGATGTAGGGTCCAATGCGAAGGGTGACGGTGAGATTGAGATCGGCAGCCGTCTGGACGAATGCGGGCAGATCAGCCTGCCCAGCCCAAGTGATGTTACCCCGCGTCTTGGGCTCGTGGAAATTCCAAAAAAAATAGGTTTGGATATTGTTGAGACCCATGCCTTTGGCCAAAGACATGACGCGCTGCCAATCACTGCGGGGGATCCGCGGATAGTGCATCCCGCCCGACAGGATGAGACGTCGTTCGCCGTTAAGGCGCAACGAGCGCGCATCCCAAGCCACGCCTCGGGTCGCCGACCCTGCCTGACCCGCAACCTGGCCGAGAGCCATCAGGCTCACAAGAGCCCACAGAGCCACCCCAAGCCATGATCCCCCCATTCTAACACTGGAGGAACACCAAACGGCGGGCAATCAGAGGATGGAGGCGACGGAAGATCGGCGCTGAGTGTCCGGAGGGAGAGATCAGCGGTATTTGTCAGCATCGCCTTATTTTTGATATCCCCCTCTTTCGTCATGCAAGTTTCAAACAACAGTACACCCCTCGGACCTAAACACACTACCCACGTTACGTGTGCTGTGTATTGCCGATGTGACGTGGTCAATGTGTCAGGCAATTTAGCTGGTGGCATTGTCTGCAATAACTCCATAAACGTCTGCAACTTCTGTTCAACTGTTTAACTGTCCTTTTCCTTGTAAATTCCATTTTCTCTACATGATCTGCTCCTTGGTGTGTTTCTTCTTGCCCAGATCGCAGCCATCTTCGTCTTCTTCAACACACACAACTCGGGAGATGCAAAAACGGCAGCGCCCGCGGCGAGGATCTAGTGCGTGCGTGCCGGTGCAAAGGCCCTTCCAACACGCTCGCTCGAAGAGATTGATGAATGATTGGGCGAGGAGGACTGTATAGCAGCGATTGCACGCCCACATTCAGGGAAAAGCCGTTTGCAAATCAAGGATGGCAGCCCCAACCTTTTCTTTCCTCATGCTGGCACAAGCGCATTCCCCACATGCCAACTCCAACCGATCCAAGACAGTCAGTCAAGCAAAAGGGATCATATTTGAAAGGCCGAGGATGTCCAGAACATGGCCTTTCGTCGGTGGGCTGTTGGGGGTGGGCTGTTGCACACGCGGTCGCCCGATGCCCTTGAGTCGGGCCAATCAAAAAAGAAAAAAAAAAAATCAAAACAAACCCCTGCAAGCCACAGACAGAGCTTGAACATCCGATGGAGCTATTCATCCCCACCTCTCCTTGCTGTGTCGTCGCATGCGCCAGGAAGATCAGATCAGATCTTTGTTCGCCCACACACACACATACACACACAGATGCATGCACACACTGTACAGCTTGACCTTGATCTTCTTCGTGCTTCTTCAAATGGGATCATGACGGCTCCGATGGATCCAGCACGGGCTCGTGCTTACTCATTTCAAGGATGCGTCACGCCCCATTGACTTTGGAGGGCTTTGGGTGCCATTTTTCAACCCCACGTCTGGTTTGATGTTGCCATTCTGATTCCCTCACATTCTTTGCATCGGCGCTGCCATTTCACACGGTTCCAGCAAAACAAGGAGGCCGCTGCCAAATCATTCCCTCCCCATCGCCCTTTTCCTCCGGTTTCGGCCAGTCGCCAAATCTAGCCCAAAGTGCCAGATTAGCCCCCTTGGCCTCGCTCGACGCTTACCTCGAGCGGCTTTGCTCTCGTGCATTTTCATTTTCCTTCCGCCTCTCGGTTGAGACGCTCCTTCCGTCCTCGAGAGAGCCGACTTCTTTCTGGCTGCCATATCAGTCGGCATGAGTAGTTCCCCCGGCATTGCCTGGGTGGTGGATGTCACCCCCCTCAAGGTGGCAGCCCCCCGCCCTTCAGCCACGGTCCCAGAGCACCACCATGCAGCACAGTAGGTCATCGCGACTCTTTCCCCCGTCTGGCCCTCCTTCCGAGTCGCATCGCTGTGCCCCCGACTCACACGCCCATCAATGACATGTGTTCCGGTTCAGACATCAACATGCCGCCGAGCGTCGTTCGGCATATCTTCACAAGCGTGCGCAGGCCGCCCTGCTACAAAACCGCCGCGTCGCCGAGGCTGCTGAGCATCAGGAGCAGCGTCGTCAGGACCTGCTTGATCACTACGAGATGGCTGTGCGAGACGCGCGCTCTCGCCGTCAACAATGGCTCATGGAACGCCAGGAACACTCGGCTCAACATTTCTCTCACGTCTTGAGCGTAAGTCATGAAGCCCTGTTCGCCCGCAATGACCAACTTGCCATGGGCTTTGTCCTGACTGACTCGCCATGGAATACGCATGCACAGGTACAAAAGCGCGCTGAAGATCTTGAACAAGAACATCGCATTCGCGCCGCACGCAGCCATCTCGCCAAGATGCAGCGCTTGCGTGCTGACAGTGGGCCCAGCTCGCTCAACAACTCCATCAACGGTGGCTCTCTGCTTGATCACGCCCGTCTGACAGAAGCCGCATCACCAGCAAGTAAACCTCCTGTGTCAGCGCGTCGCCTTCGTCAGCTGACACGTGCGTGGCGCCTGCGCACCCGCACTGCCGCTTCTGTCCGTGCCTTTGCGGCCACACCCGCTGGCCAGCTTTTTGAACGAGCAGGCAACTATTCTGCCCCGGCGTCCTTTGAAGAAGTGGCTAGTGCCTTGCACGAGCGCCAGAGCATGGAACGATGCATTCCCCTTGTCAAAAAGCTCAGCCGCTCTCTCGACAACCAGCAATCGGTGGCCGGTATCCCCTTGAAGCGATTGCATCGCGTCTTCCTGACTTGCCTCATGATCACCATGCGTCCAGATGAAATCTTTGACGACGTTGACGAAGACGCTGCAGAGGAACTCGCTGATCGCGCGCGCAGCCTGGTGGAAGCTGTCCTTACCTGGATGCACCATGTCCAAGAGCGCGCACCCTCTGCCGAGACCAAGCCAGCCTTTGCCACTGCCAAGATGGTCTGGCTCAATTATCTCCATGCCTTCCGTCGCTGGTCGCAACACGATCGCCAGGATCTCGTCCAAGGTCTGGTCCAACACCATGAGGAGCTCTGTCGCCTGCGTGAAACCGTTGCCAAGCGCGAATCGATCCAATCCGGCGAGGTAAGCCAAAACATGCCCCCTCGCAGCCAGACCATTCAAGTACTGGCTAGGCCCGTGTGTGCGCATTACCATCACTCACCTGATCACCTGCACCTCTCTCTGGCCTCTCCCTGTGCGTGTGCTTGTGTGCATGTATGTGCGTCCGGGGGTGTTCTTGCTCCGCTTGTGCCACGTCTTTATTAGTGGCATCCACACATTGACCAACAGCTGGTCCACATCGAAGACCGCTTGCAGTCGCTGAAGGCGACTGAGGCCTTTGAACAGTGCAGCGCTGCACGCTGTGAGCTTCAAGCCCAGCAGCACCAACGACAGCTCCAGGAGCGCGCGCGTGATCGGACGGTGAGCGGCGAGCCCCTGCTGAGCGATAGCAGTCCTGAGCCTGAGGCATCAGACCCCCTTCCACCGGATTTCAAGGATCTTTGGGATGTCAGCGTGCTTCATCGCATCGCCGTTGATCCCGACTTTCGCTTTACCGTCGACGAACCCACGCCTGGCCCCGAAAGCAAGGTGGAGGGTGCTGCACCTAGCCCAGCACCCCAGGACATGGGCCGCGACTTTGAGGCCCGTGCTCGACATCAAGCTCGCCGTGCCATTCGCGACGTCGTTCGTGCAGAACTCGAGGCCATGACCCAGAAGGCTGAACCTCACCCCTGCTCCTGCACCCTAGCCACGCTGGTGCAATTGCGAGACGACCTGGCTGCCAGTACCCTGCCGCGTCAGACCAAGCTGCGCCATCAAATTGAGCAAGCCCTTGACGTCGATCTTTTGCACCAGCAGCTTCAGCACGGCGCCCTCGATGAAGCGGCCGTGCGCGAAACGGTGCTGCGCTTTGCTCGCATGCTCTCAGCACCCATGCGCGAGCCCATGTGTGACGCCCTGGCGCGCCAGTCTGACCTGGCCGACTTTTTGCTGGATGCATGCGAGCTCACCAAGTGCATGCGTATTGACCTGGCCAACTTTATCGTCGACGCCTATCGGCCGCTGCTACGACAGCACGCCATCATGGCTGAAAAGGAGCGCGTGGATGCCATGGATCAGCGGGGCGAGCTGACCCTGCCCATGACCAAAGCCTGGCTTTCCGAAGCACCTTCCCAGGAAGATGCGGCGGCTCAACCTCATGCGCCCGCTTTGAATCGCCGAGGCAACGCGAGTTTTGAGACTCTGTTTTACGCTGGCTTTGAAGCCTTGCTCCGCGATCGCCCGGCCCCTGAGCGCTGGCCTGAAACACTGCAGGTAATGCATGCAATTCAAAGTTGTTGATTTTTTTTTTTTTTTTTTTTTTGGGGGGGGGGGGGTTCCGCTCTGCTACAGCATGCCTTGTTGGCCTGGCCTCAATCTGCCTGCACTTGATCATGCGTAGATGGATGCACCGGCGGTTCTGGAAGCGCTGGATAACTACGATACCCTCTTGGTCATTGCCACGCTCTACACGTTGCTTGTGGCGAAAAACGCGTTTCTGAAGGAGGATGCGGCATTTGCGAAGGTAAGAACGACTGAAACTACTTTGCAATATTAAGGGACTCTTTTGAGCCTGGCATGCGCCGTGTTTTAACCATGCTTGCTTCGTTTGTCACAGCTTTTCAAGGATCGTGCCGTGGTATTGTTGCGGGGCGAGGCTGAGAAATGGGCCAAGGCGGCTGATGTTGTGCACCATGTTCCAAGCTGGCATCAAGCATCCCATCAAGTTGAAGAGCGTGCCGTTCAAGTTGCCCATCTCAGCACTATTGATCGCCAACATCCAGTGGCTCAGTTGCTGCTGCGCCGTGCAGGCGATGAACTTCGCCGCCACTTCAATGCCATGCCTGACTTGGATGCCATTGAGATGAAGCAGAATACGGGCTTGGATATTGTTCACGATGATCTCTCACGCACCTTCACGCAGCTGGTGAGGATATGAATGCAACACAGCTGCGGACCCATGAGGGCGTTGAGAAACATGTCTTCCTGCTGTTCCATTAGGCATCGGCACTCATCTCACGGCTGCTCGTGCTCTCTTTGCACCCCTCAGGCGCGCATTGCTTATCACAATAAGGAAGTTTTTGCTGGAGTTTACGACCGCATCCTGGATGAAGTGTATCCCAAGGAAGCCGAATATCTCTCCGAGTCGGACGAGAATGCTTAAAAGCCTCCGTGCTCCTAGGAAATTGTGAACAAAACTTGTTTGTCCACCTGTTGTCGACCCGGGGTGTGTCTTGAAGTTCACACCAACCAGACATGCACCTTTGTGTTTTATTTTTACTTGAGACATCAACGACCGATCGACTCAAGCACATGATGGTCCTGTCATGTGCCTCGGTTTTTGAAATCGACTTTGAATGTGCCTGCGTGAAAATTCAAGTCCCCTCCTTTTTGGTTTCTGATTGAAGGTGTCCATGGGTCAGCAGCTACAGAGCATTTGCACTGGAGCAGGACGATAATGAGGACGTCTCGCAAGGACGCAGGACCCCAAAAATCTATTGGGCAAGCATTGAGTGGCTGGGTCACAAAAGAAAGGTCAATTCCCGAAGCCAGCGGGAGAGAGAGCCGAAACAGCTTCTGGAGGTCAAGACACAGCGGCGCGCCCTTGCGCAGCAGAAGTAAGACGGTTCGAGGGCCAAGTCAACATGGCGGTGGGCACGAACGGGCGAAGCCTGATAGAACAAGGCATGACAAGCCCGTCATCCGAGCCACACACGCACACACGCACGCACACACGCATAAAGCTAACAAGGGCCATTGCACGCGCCACAGCTCAGACGGCGCTCATCGACAATTCTAAAAGACAAACAAGCATCAGGATTTTTAGAGAGAATAATCCAGCTGTAAGCATCAGAGTCAGCTGGGGTCGAAGGTGCTGAAGGGCAGCAGTTCGTGGTCGCTAGAAAAGTAGAGGCCAGTTGCAATCAGGCTAAACAGGACCAGGCATTGGAGGCAGATGTTGTGCATGCAGATGGTGTAGGCGGTGGCCAAGAGCCACAAGGACATGGAAATGGTACCCCCCACGCTCGGTGCTGCCACGAGCAGGTGCGGCATCAACAACGGCATGCAGAACACCATCCTGCACCGTCTATCTACCTGCCCGGAGTCGATCACCAGACGGCAGACAACGTGATTCAAAAGGGCGGCTTGGGTGCACAAAAAAAAAAATGGTGTTTGTGTGAAAGTGAAAAGTGGATCTGTTCGCGTTTGAGGAAAAAAAAAAAAAAAAAATGGAACTTGAAAACTATACATCTTGCGGTGAGATTGGATGTTTGATCAAAGGGAGAGGCGGCATCGCTGGCTGGTAAGGGCACATCAATTCTCACAAAAAGCGCCGAGCTTCAGGGTTAAAAGTTCTCACACAACACACAAGAGATATAAAGAAAAAGTGCAATACGCGGAACATCGCAGCAGACGGAAGCGAGGCAGAGGTCGGCTTGCTAAAGCGCGTCTTTACTTTCGCATTGTAGGCCGACTGTCATATACGTTGCCACTGTTGCCACGAGGATTCGCGACATAGGCATACTGCTCATTCGTGGAAGGCGTAGCATAGGGTGACGCATAATTGGGCGAAGAATAAACGGGGGCTCCACCCGAGACACCCACATCGTAGCCTTGGTTGCCCCATGACATGTCTTGAGCCGCTGTAGTGGACCGTTGTTGCGTATCATAGAGCCCGGTGTTCCAGGTTCCGGCATCACTTTGATTTGAATTTGCGGTATCGCCTGTGCTGTACAAATCAGCATCCCAGCCTGAGACGCTGGTGCGCTGCGCTGGCATGACGTCCACAAACTCGAGATAGCGATAGTTGACGGTGCTTGGCTGCCGTGCAAAAGCATCGTGTCAGCAGATGCCCGGCTTTGATGGGAGCAAAATACAGTTGGTGTGCGCTGGACAGCTGGGTGCAATGGATAGCTCACCTCGTTTTGAGACGCAAGAGCTCGAGCCAAGCTGGTGCATTCGGCACTCATGCGTGGCGCCGTCTTTCAGAAGCAGGCAAAGGCAGACAAGTTAGCTGAGCAGCCACAAGCATCGCATACAGACGGCACAAGCCAAGCGCTGAACGTACGGGTCGAGCCGAAGGGCGATACTCCCAGCACTGGCGCATGAGATCAAAGGCTGATGGCGGGCAGCCGGGCGGACATGGCAGCAAGTGCTGCGACGTGATCTGAAGCGGCACCTTGTCATCGGACACTAGGCCAGGCAATCACCTCAGTCAGGCTATATTGCGAGAGAACAACACCGCACAAAAGCAAAGGCAAGGCTAGAAGACTCGGCTGTTGTGAGCATGTGCGCGATCATTTGCTACCTTGTGCATAAGGAGTGGCTCCGAGTGACCAGATCTCCCACATCAACACTAAGAGGAATTATGAGCATGCGGGGTCAGCCATGGAAAGGGTGAGAGCAGCCACCGGGCCGGCACCTCGAGGACCATTCCAACCGCTTACCACCAAAGCTATACATGTCAGCTGCCATGGAGTAGCCCTTGGACTCGACTGCTTCAGGCGCCAGCCAGCGCTGGAGGAAGCGCTACAGGTTGGAAAAAAAACAAGAGGCAGACGCGGGCAAGCGCAACACCATAAGCAACGAGTGGCAAAGGAAGTCTGAGCCCGTTCGTTGCAAACGCGCACAGTCTGATTCACGTACGTCACCATCGAGATTGGGATCGCGGCCCAAGACAGCAATGCGCGGCTCGCGGTGGGCATCAACCATGACGGTGAATCCATTGAGGGTCATGAGCAGCACGCTTGAACCGTGCAGAAATTCGACAGCTGACATGACTTTCTGGCACATGTTGGCCAGATCAGCCTTTGATACGCTCTCCTCCATGTTGCCAGATCCGCGGCAATCACGCAGCATGGTGGCCAAAAAGCCCTGCTCACACCCTTCTTGCACAATGTACAAAGGTTGCGAGTGGAAGCACAAGCCCACAAGGCTAGTGACAAACAGTGCCCAAAACAAGTCACGAGATGGTTGGTAAGCCCGCGCCCGCGACGAAGACAGAAAAGAAAGGGGGGGGGGGGGGGATGGAAAGCATGAACACCAAAGAAGCAGCATCATGGCCCCACGCGTTTGCACCTGGCTATCGAAGGGTGACAACTGCGACCAATGCGCTTGAGAATTGAGGCCTCAGCCATGAAGGCATCCCGGACTTGCAAAGCACTGTGCTCCTTCAAGCTGCTCACCAGGATAGACATGCCCCGGCCGCTGCGATTCTTGTCCATTGGCTGCGTAAGTTGGGCGGGAGAAGTAGGCGAAAGAGGTGAGTTGAGACCCGTGTGCCAAGGCCCATGCACGACAGCATGTAGCAAGAAGGGAACACGTACTTTGAGGTAACCAGTGCGAAGCCGCCCAAAGGGAGTGGAGGCGATGCTGTCCAACACGGTCACGCGGCTGCGCTCCAACTCCCAAGGATCATGGATCGGATTCTCCGCAAAAGTCAGGGTATCAAGGGCATCCTTTGAGCCATGAGGAGCTGTTTTGGGGTTGTTGCGCCGACGACGCACGAAAAGGACAAGCAGAACCAGGAGAAGAACCACCCCAGCCGCCACGCCAGCAATGATACCAATGCCACCCGAGCCCGAGGACGAGCCTTCTTCTGAGGGCGGTGCGGCGGTAGTCGTGCCGGTCCCCACATTGCCTCCGTTGCCAACTGTTGATGTAGTGCCAGAACCCGATCCACCAGGGCTACCATTGTCCGATGTTGTGGTTGTGGTTGTGGTTGTGGTTGTAGTTGTAGTTGTAGTTGTTGTGGTCGTCGTCGTCGTTGTGGTGGTTGTGGTTGTCGTGGTTGTTGTTGTGGTGGTCGTCGTCGTCGTTGTGGTCGTAAAGCTGATAAATGGATCGTAATTGAGACATTCGACTTCACTTGACACGGGACATTCCGTGTTAAGTTCAGGGTCGTTGTCATTTGCTACAGTCAAGGGATTCAAAATGGTCAAGCGAGAACCACGCTTCAACCTAGGACAGCCGATGGTGATCAAAAGGAAATGAGCATCACGACAGAATAGCTCGCATCGGCCTCCATCCGTGTGTGTCAGCGCGCGCCCAAATGACAATCTCTTTGCAAGAAGTGAAATTAAAGGGAGGGAAGGACACGTCGTGACTTGACATCAACAGCTCGCCAACCCACGCACACACCTGATACCGCTACCGGCCTTGAGGGTCATGGAACGAATGGCTTGATTCTCAGAAACTCGCACAGCATAGTTGGAAGACTCTGCTTCAGTGCCTGCCAACGTCGTGCCATTGATTATGACGTGATCATTGCAGGGCACGGAAAAAAGATCCCATGCGCACGCCTCTGTAAAGTTGTCCGAGGCGGAAAAACGCCATTGCGTGGCCACTATTGGTAGGAGACAGCGCAGCGCACAATCATAAGAGGTCGGCCCGACTCTGAATTAGGAGCACCCGTTCCAGTTGATCATTTCTTGTGTTTTTGATTTTGCTCCTCACCGGGTCGTTCAAGAGTATGTAGAGGCCCAGGGTCGACCGTGTCGTTTGACAGAGTGCGCAGGGTAACCTGATTGCTGGCTTGGGTAAGCGCAAAAAAGGCCGAGGCTGTGGTACCGGTGTAATCACCCACAATTTGGTCGTTGACAGAAAGGCGAACGGTGCCGGCTTCACCCGAGGTAGACCAAACGGCCTGACCCATCTTTGGGCTGAGTGCCACAGTCGTAGACTCGGTAATGCGTGTGCACGGAGCCACATTGCGCGACAAGATAACTGTTGAGTTGCGCTTCAAGCGAAGAAGCACGTTGCGGCCGAGGCGAATGCGCGAAGCCCGTGCCTGTTACACAAGGGTGTTTCAAAGCCAAAATGTGAGTCAAAAAAAGGCGTGAAAGAAATTTGCGCCAAGGCGATGAAAGGTTGGGAATGAAAGTGGGCTAGCTGAAAACTACGGCACCACCCCATGCATGATGTGCACGCGCAAAGGCAAAGAGTGTCTCAAATTGAGAAGGGAGGGAGGAGGCGTCACGCACATCGCTTTGAACGACGACGTTGTAGGCGTCTGATTGGTTGACCGCGGGCAACACAACATCATCACCCGCACATGGCGGTTTGTCACCTGTCCAGCTCGGACCATCGGCCCAGGTATTGTTGGTTGTGACCGGAGAAAACTCGACCACTGTTGGGGTGAGCAAAGGCAAGCGATCCGATGTGAGCGAGGAGACTCAGGCCACTCGCCGACGGGGAGTCCGACAAGGATCTGTCGGTTCCTTGCCGAGCTTATGGCTTGTCAAGCAAACGCATGCGCTACGAATGTGAAAGGAGGAAAAAAAAAAAAAAAGGTACCAGCTTACACTGCACCGGCAACTCACCTTGCGCCTGGACGATGGACCCTGAGACAGCGAGCAGCAACAGCAGCGATACTAGCGAGCACGGCCGGAGCTTGCCGCCCAACGCCCACGATCGCAAAGACGCCAACATCTTGCTTGTCAAATGGATCATCAGAATCAGCCATTCACTTCCTTGGTCAATAAGATGTAGCAGAAATATAAGAAGATGAAGTTTTGTTAATATTTATAACGTTAACAATTGCCTGAAAGAATTAGGAAGATGCATTTGAGGTTGTGGTCGAAACCCATTTGAAACATGCTGAGGTGTGCTTTGCTTCACTATGCTGCAAGAGTTTCAAACATCGAAAATAGATTTGAGCAAATCATTTTCGACAAGGATTGCAGGAGCAGGTGGACTTGCTGCTGCTGCTGCGACTGGCGGATGTGGCAAGTGGCTCACACCGGCCTTGGCCAAAGTGGCAGCACACCTGGGTTGATTGGTTTGGAGAGCATTGCATCGGGTGGCTAGGGTCTATTGGCGCTACCCCATCTACAACTGCTGCCGCCTCTTCGACGTACAGGTATGGTCATGGGCTTTGTTTCATCAGCTGGCACGAGATGAGGGTGGTGCTTCAGGGCGCGTCGACACTCACTCCGCCATTGACCCCCGACCACCTTCAGAGCTTTGCATTCAAGGGCCGACATGACGGTGCCTCGAAGCCGCAGTGCGGCTGTGCAGCTCTTCCGAAACCTCTTTGTGCCATGGACCAGTGAGCCACCAACCGAGGCTACAAGCCTTTCTCACAAGGTACGGCCCTGCCTGGCACAGACTGGACGGCTACCCGCTGCCCAATACTTGCACGCCGTCGCTGAGTCTGTGAGTAACATCATGTGGCCTCTTTCCCAGCTTTTGGTACAGGCAGGTTACATTGCACAGTCTTCCTCGGGCATGTACCACATGTTGCCGCTCGCCAAGCGAGTGCTTGGCAAGCTGGAAAACCTTGTGCGTGCCGAAATGTCAGCCATCGGAGCCCAAGAAATTTCCCTCTCCACTCTCACTGGCAAAGACCTTTGGACGCACTCTGGCCGCTGGGACACGGTCAGCTCTGAACTCTTTCGTGTCGAAGATCGACGCGGCGCCGTCTACTGCCTGGCGCCGACGCACGAAGAAGCCATCACCACCCTGGCCAAGTCATACGTGCGCTCAGCTCGCAATATGCCCCTCTATCTCTATCAGCTCGACCGCAAGTACCGTGATGAACTGCGCCCGCGTTCAGGTCTTTTGCGTGGCCGAGAATTTTACATGAAGGATCTCTACACCTTTGACGTGGACGAGCAGGCCGCACGCCTCACCTACGAGTCTGTGGTCAAAGCGTACCACAACCTGTTCACGCATCTCCACGTTCCTTACGTCGCCGTTGAGGCCGATACGGGTGCCATTGGTGGCAGCATGTCTCACGAGTTCCAGGTGCTGGCACCGGTTGGTGAAGACAGCGTCACCGTGTGCCACACCTGCGACCGCGCCGCCAACCTCGAAGTCATGCCCGGTTCGTTAGCCCCGTTCGTCAACGCCACTGCTGCACATTTGCTTGCCCTCTTGCCCTTCTTGGATCACGCACAGCCTGGAACTCTGACCCATACATTGCCTTGCACGATATGTATACCCAACTACGTACAGCGTTTACTCAAAACTGCCCACACCTGGAACCTGGCCAACGAGTACCGCCGACACTCAGCGAGGCTGGCACAACCCCCGTGGCCCCCACCGACCACTGCCAGTTTGAGAGCCACGCTGGCATTGAAGTCGGTCATACCTTCTTGTTGGGTCACAAGTACAGCTCAATGTTTGACGTCACCTATGACAGTCCCTCTGGCCCCGAGTAAGTGTGCTAGCCACTCGCACACGTGTGCATTATGAGCCTGTGCGTCAGCCACAATAACCATTTGGGCTGATTTCTAGATTGGCGTTCATGGGCTGTTATGGTCTGGGTACGAGCCGCATCTTGGCCGCCGTCACTGAGGCATTGGCGTCGGAGTGAGTCGCATCGATGCTGGCCCAGCACTTCGCGCCGTCCACGTCTGCCCAGCGTTCACCTTGCATTTGCTGAGGCATATTAATTCAACCGCTTGTTGTGCACGCCCCTGCTTGGTATAGAAACGGTCTGCGCTGGCCTCTGAGTCTGGCGCCCTACAGGGTGGCTGTCATCACCTTGGGAGCCTCGCGCAACGACAACATTGAGAGCGCAGCCACTTGTCTGACTGAACAGCTCAACGAAGCCATGCCAGGGGATGTTCTGCTGGATGACCGGTGCGTGTGCAAAACCTGATCTCCCCTTTAGGAGTTTGTGTTTGATCAAGTGAGGCACAACTCTGAATTCACCCTGTCCTACATGTGCCATGCAGGGACCTGAGTCTACGCCAAAAAATCGCCACCATGCGCTTGATTGGTGTGCCTTACGTTGTCGTTGTGGGCTCTCGCTATAACGCGCGCCAGCTGGAGGTTTACGACAGTCACAATGAAGCTCCGCGCAAAATTGCCGTTCATGACCTCATCCAGCTGGCGGCGCTACCTGAGCGTGACGTTCAACTCGTCGACATTAAGCGTGACGGCATACACGCTTCTTCATAAGCTCAGTTACGTCTCGTCGAGACGACCGGCTCCCTGCACTTGGTCGACTTATGGTAGACTGAAGTAGTAATCTGTCAAATTTAACCTCAGCACAATCTGAAATGCTACCTTATTCTGTCTCACCAACCAAATTGTGAAAAGTTTCGAGTTCACATGTGTGTCACACACATCTGGATTTGCACAACCTGCTGCTTGGGCGGGGACGGAGTATGGAACAAAGGTAAGTTGGGGGGGGGGGGGGGGGGGGGAAAAAAAAAATCCCAAAAAAAAAGGC